CACAAACAGCTTCACACAATAAAGAAAATATAAAATATTTTGTGATTTTCACTAAAAACATAGGCGTTATATAATTTCCTGTAAGATTTTTAGATCCATTGCTATTTCCATGTGAAAGCTGTCGACAGCCAGAGAAAAACCGCCACCTTTGGCCAATGGTAGACGTGGAATTCAAATTTAAATTTACAATAATTAGTCATAAGAATTTAGGAGTATAAATAATTAAAAGTATATTAATAAAAATAATTATATATTAAAATTAAAATAATTAATTATTATAATTAAAATAAAATTTAAAAATTTGAAATATAATTAAAATATATAAATTTTTAAAAAATTATATAAAATATAAGACGAATCAAAAATAAAAAATATTATATAATAACTAATAAGTGAAATGAAAGAAATAATATAATATATTGAATATACAAATAATTCTTAATATAATATAAAAGGTAAAAACAATAGTTAATATTCCTCCTTTCAAAAAACTAAACTTCTATTAAGGGTAAAATAGATATAATATTTTTTATTATATTATATATTTATAAAATATTAATTTACTTTAACTTGTGTGATATGATTTTATTTTTTTTTAAAAGAAAACTAATAAAAATCTTCTTAAGCCATTTGCAACAAAAATATTCATTAAAATATCTTCTCAATTTTATTTATTCTCTTTTTTCTCTACTTTATACATTCTTCTTTCAACTCAACAAAAAAATATTTATATGTTTATATTAGTATCAAAATTATTTAATTTTTAGAATTAAAATTTTCTAAAATTATTCATTAAAATATCTTTTGAATTTTATTTATACTTTTTTCCTCTACTTTATACATTCTTTTTTTCAACTCAACAAAAAATATTTATATGCTTATATTAGTATCAAAATTATTTAATTTTTAGAATTAATTTTTTTTTAAAAAAATATATCACATAAATATAAAATAATAAACACATTATAATAAATATATAAAAAAAATTAAAAAGGAAGAATATACTGGGCATATCTGCTGTGATTTTTTATTATTACTTCCCACGTAATTTGTCTCTATTTTCTATTTTCGTTCGTCCCAAGTAACTTGTTCATTCATTTTTTGAAAATATAATTATACACTTTAATCTCATTTTAAATTTTAAATTTTATAATTTTTTTAATCTTAATTAAATTATTTAATTATCTTAATTTTAATTCACAATTATTTTTGTTATACTATAATTATTTTTACTATTATACCCCTTAATTACTTACTAATCACATTTTACCTAAATTCTTATATATACAGTGATAGACTCATATTACGTGTGGGACGGATATTTTTAAAAATGTATGCTTATGTGGCGTTGAGGTGGACGGATTTGTGAGTATCTCCGCACCAGAAGAGATCTCCCCATTACACCTCTCAAACAAACACAGGTAACATGCGAACCACGTGATAATTAATTTATTATTTTCCATTGGGATTAAAAAGATTCCAGTTTGAAATCATAAGTCATGATAAGTTTTTTTTTTAATTAATTTATTTTTTATGTGATTAGTAGATAAACTCTATGACCGTATCCATTAGAAAAATACTATGGTATGTTTATATGTGGGATTTGATTTTTTGTTTCGCTATTTTTTTAAAAAATTAAAAAATTAAATTAAATATTTGTTTTTATTTATTACTTCATTCGCTCTAATTTAAAGTACAATTTTTTACGATTTTCGTGTGTTTCATTCAAAGTATTTTTATTTTATTTTCGTAAAAATAATTATACACTGATAACATTATACCTTTAATTTTTTACATAATTTACAAATATATCATTATAAATACAATTAGTTTATACATAAAGTCAAAAAGACAAAAATTGTCAAAACCACTTACGCATTTCTACTCATCAATAAAATAATATTATTTTTTAAATCTACTATAAAATCTCAAATGATCCATTTGGAAAGTGGGACGGAGCGAGTACATTATACTAGAATTAAATTTTACATTCAAAACAATCACATCAATATATATTCATATCACATCAAATAACTATTTTAATTCAAAATTTCATTATTCAAAACAAAGTCCAAAACTAAAATCTTACAAATAAACATATTATGTATTGTGCCATATGAATAAAATTTGTCTCGTCGTATCTAATTTGTATGTCTATGATTCCCCATCATAAATATATATACTTTCAATTTTTTAATTCAAAATATTTTTTTTTTATCATTTTTATATGTCTAATTTAAAAATATATATTTTCTACTTTATTCAAAGTAACTATATAATAATACCAAAATTCTATTAACTTTTATTTCAAATATAAATATACTATTATACATTTAATTATTTTATAAATAAATTTAATAAACAAAAATATTAAAATTGCTTATACACTTCTAATAAAATATTATTATTTTTTAATTTATAAGAAAATCATTCATTCACTAAAGAAATACTCCCTTCGTCCAAGCTAAAAGTATACAATTACTTTTGGTGCGAAGATTAAAGAATAATAGTATTTTAATTATAGTAGGTAGATAAAAATAGTAAAATGACTACTTTTTTGGTATAAAAGTAACGATGTGATATAAAGTAGAGGTATTTGTGGAAAAAATAAAGTATTTAATGAAATTGTTACTTTGTAATTGGACGTCCAAAAATAGAAATATGTATACTTTCTAATTGGACGATGGGAGTATATATTATGCATATATATTATCCAAGATAGGATACCAGGGCACCTTTATCTTTATATATTATATATGTATATTATCCAAGATAGGATACCATGTCACCTTTATTTTTATTGTATTTAAAAATATGAATAATATTTTATTAAAATAATATAAACTGTAAAATAATAAAATTTTTGAATATATATTTTTATTATATTAGATATATATTAATTTATTATATTTATAATTTTTAATAAATTTATTCCATTGTTTTTATTTTAAATATAAAATTTATATTAATAGGAATATTAATATTTTGATCTAATTTTTAATAAATTTATAAATTTGATGAATAATATAATTTAATGTAAAATATAATAAAATTTATAATTATTTTAAATGTATAAAAGTAAGATTATAATTTAGTAAATAAAATAGTACTATATTAAATATTAATAAATACTCCATCCGTCTCAATACAATAGTTTTTTGTCCGTCCTAAAACAATAGTCTTATTTTCATATATAATCATATCATCATAAAATTACCCATACTTTTTCATTTTTATTACACAATTGTCACTATTTTTAACATTAATACACTTACAAAGACAAAAAATTATTTTATCCATACTTTTTACCAATTACCAATATAATACTCCCTCCGTCGTTCAAATCTATTCTCACTTTCCTTTTTTTTATTGTCATCCAAGTTTATTATTGTTTCTTTTTTTAGTAAAAAAACACCAATTTTCTATTCTTACATATTTTTCTTAAAATCCGTGTCCGGTCAAATGAGCACACAATTGAATGACGGAGAGAGTATCAATATTCCTTAAATTCCGTGTCCAACCCAATTAAGACTATATTTATGGGACGGAGGGATTATATAATAAAAAATATATTTGTATATATGTAAATATTTTTTAAGAGTAAATAACGAATAAAAAAAATTAAAAGTAAAAAAATTATTATAAAATATTAGTTTTGTATAGCTTTTCCTTTTTTATTATTATTTTTATTTAATTTTTATATTTAATGAGATATTTCAAAAAAATTAATTTAATAAATATCTAAAATAACTGTTTAAACAATTAAAAGTTAAAGTTTATTTCCAAATACTTTCTTAATCTAATAAAAAATAAAATAATAGAGTGTGTTTAGTTTAGTCGAATTGGGTATATACTAATGAAGATGCATGTGTGGCAAGTTCAATTAACTTACACGTAATTAAGACGAACAATTAATTATTGGATTAGTATGAGCACACTGCACACACTCTTACCATAGACAATCACTTAAGGACAGCTACAGAATTATTAAAATCCCTCCCAACTAATCCTCTCTATTATAAAATTGACCATCTCCAAACCCTAATAATTAAGTGTAGCACGCATGTAAATTTAGTATTAAAATAATATATGATGAAATATTTTATAAAAAAATATATATATATTTTCTTTTAAAAAATACAGAGTCTAGAACGTAAAAACTTGAAGTTTAGGGGGAGGGAAAAGAAACAAACTTTTAATAGTTATTTAAAAAACAAAATCAGTAAGTACTTCTCCATCATTTCAGTCTTTACTCAAATGATTAATCACAAGTTTTATTAAAAATAGATAATAATATTCCCTCCGTCTCCTTTTTCTAGAAGATGTTTTTGGGGTTTTACAGAAAATAAAGAAATAATAGTATTTTATTAATTAATGAAAGTATATAAAAAATTTTGATATTTTTATTCTTTGAGTTTTTTATAAAGTAATTTTATGTGTAATGATATATTTGTAATTTAACTAAAAATTTAAGTTATTTTGGTATTAGAATATGATTATACTCCCTCCGTCCCATAACAAAGTATTCATTTTTCTATTTTAGTCCGTCCCATAATAAAGTATTAATTTCATTTTTAGTAACTGTATTATCTACCTAGCATTACAAATATCCTTATAGTCATTTCTACCTTATTCCTATTACATCATAATATAATATTAATATTTCTAAACTACTTGCAAAAAGCAAATGGATATTTAGTTATTAAACGGAGGGAGTATTTTTTAAAATAAAAAAAAAATACTTTAAAATAAAATATATGAAAATGATAAAAAAAAATATTTTGAATTGAGATAGCACTTTATATCTTCTATAATAAAAAATACAAAAACAAAAATATCATAAGTTTTTATTTATTTATTTTTTCTTTTATAATTGAAAACGTGGTGCAGCAATGTTTTTTATTTTATATTATTATTTTATTAGCGGGAATAAGAGGAATATAATACTTTGAGAGTAGAAGATCTGCTACCCTACACACTATAAATAGGGGCGACATTGGCATGCTCATTGCTCACTGCAACTATCTTGTTTAATTAATTTTAGATTAATTAATTAATAAATTAAATATTTGGGTTTTGGATCTGCAGTTAGGTAGCTAGCATGGCCGGAGACCGTTACAGTAGCCAAGTGTCTCGCTACCTTGAGGAGAAGATGACCCGACACAACTTCCCGTCCGACTTCATGTGGGGCGCCGCCACTTCTACGTACCAGATCGAAGGTGGCTATGTAGAGGATGGCAAATCACCCAACAACTGGGACTTTTGGACCCAGCAGAACCCTGGTATATTCATTTATTAAAGAATATTGATATTATGTCGGTGGTTGGTAAAAAATATGAATAAATGATTTTTTTGTCCAAAAAATAGTGGCAATTATGTAATAATAATGAAAAAATAGGAATAGTTTTAGATGATATGGTTATTTATGGAAATAAGACTATTGTTTTGAGATGGACAAAAATAGTAAATAAAACTGTTGTATTAGGACGGAGAGAATATTTTTAAGAAATTTATAAAATTCGAATTAGAGAATTTAGTTTCATATTATAATAATTGATATTGATGATGAATGGCTGATTGGCTGCAGATAAAGTTAAGGGGGGCACAAATGGCACCGTTGCTATTGATCACTACAACAGATATAAGGAAGACGTGGCCCTCATGAAGAAACTTGGCCTCAACAGTTACAGATTTTCACTGTCATGGTCGAGAATATTACCCGGTACGTATGTATGAATTAATTAATTAATTAATTGTAAGAAAATAATCTTCTTTTTTAAAAAATTGATTATATATAAATTGCAGGCGGGAGACTGAACGGCGGCGTAAATAAGGAAGGAGTTAAGTTCTACAACGACCTCATCGACCTGCTCATCGCTGAAGGTTATATTGGAATATTGATTAATCTAATCATGATAATTAATTAATGTTTCTAGCCGTTGATTTGTTAATTAATTAATGCGATGAATTGCAGGAATCGAGCCGTTGGTGACCATCTTCCACTTTGACCTCCCTCAATGCCTGCAAGCAGAATACGGCGGCTTCCTCAGCCCTCGTGCTATGTAAGAACTACTTCATTTGTCTCCAAAAATTAAATTATTTAGGCTCCACATGTATATTAAGAAAAATAAATATTTTATTAAAAAAATAAAAAAAATTAAAAAGATGATCAAAGATACTTTTAAAAATTAAGTGAGTAATTAAAAAAAATAAAAAAAAGTTAATAATATTTATTATAAATAAATATTAAATAAAGAGTAGTAATTATATAGTGACTTTTTTTACATTTTTAAATATAGATTATCGGACAAAAAAAAACATAAATTTGGCTTTGAGCGAAATTTGTATTTGCCTTAAAATTAATAATTAATTAATTAATTTGCAGAGAGGATTTTGCGGAGTTTGCGGAGGTGTGTTTCTTCGAATTCGGCGACCGGGTGAAGTTCTGGCTGACGCAGAACGAGCCGTGGTCGTTCACCATCGGAGGCTACGTATTGGGAACTTTCCCGCCGGGGCACGGCTCAGCCGTGGCGCCGAGTGTCCAGCGGCTTGGTACAGCTTACAGGCTCCTCGTTCCAGGAGTCAGCCGACGGGTTGCCGACGACGGCGGCGACGGCGCCGCCACGGAGCCGTACATCGTGGCTCACCATCTAATTCTGGCTCATGCGAGGGCAGTTGAAATCTACAGAAACAACTTTCAGGCAGTTCAAGGCGGGAAAATTGGCGTCACCAATATGACCACATGGTACGAGCCGTACAGCGACTCGCAGGAGGACATCGACGCCGCCGCCAGAGCCGTCGACTTCTCTTGGGGATGGTAAGAAATTAGATTAAAATATTATTAAATGTGATGAAATGAATTGATTATTTTGTTTTGCCCTAATTGCCGCCATTATATAATTTTATTCTTAGGTTTGTTTCGCCGATAGTGTACGGAGATTATCCGGCGGTGATGAGAGAGCGCGTGGGCGACCGTCTCCCTCAATTTACTGAAGCAGAAAAACTGATGGTGAAGGGTTCCTACGATTTCATAGGAATGAATTATTACACTACCAATTGGGCTGCCAACAGAACGCCCATTCCTGGTGAACAGACCACTTATTACACAGATCAAGGAGTCGATTACTACAGTAAGCAACCTTAATTACCCATACAAATTAAATTATACAAATACAGATACATGTATATATTCACACATTGAATTATTTTTTCTTAATTTATAGCTGAACGGGACGGTGTTCCAATTGGGAGACAGGTACGTCAGTTAAACTTTAATCGGGCAACTTAAATTCAAGCTGTTGATAATCAATAATATTTATACATATCACATCATCTTTATAATATAATATATACGTTATCTTATAATATATGATATGAAAATCCGATTAAATCAGCACCTTCCTGAGTTAGTTGAATTACATGATCTGCTGTCATATATATATAATATAATGTTTTAATTTATTTATATGTAATAATTGCAGGCTGGATCGGATTGGCTGTACGTGGTTCCACGCGGCATATACGAACTTCTGATGCACAACAAGAACGAGTACAATGATCCCATAATTTACATCACTGAAAACGGAGTAGATGAGAAAAACGACACAGATCTAACAGTGTCGGAGGCCCGACACGACCCGGAGAGAATCAGCTACCATATTCAACATCTGGCCTACATGAGGCTGGCCATTGAGTAATAATTACTAAGATATATATATATATAATTACTAATATTTATTTATTTTTTTATTTTTTTATGTATATGTAATGTGTTGCAGCCAAGGTGTGAAGCTTAAGGGGTACTACCCGTGGGCGTTGTTCGATAACTTCGAGTGGACGGAAGGATACACGGTGCGATTTGGGTTCTATTGGGTGGACTATGTGAATAACTTGAAGAGATATCCCAAGGCCTCGGCCATATGGCTAATGAATTTTCTTAATCCCAACATTGCCCCGACGACAATTAAGCGACAAGTCATGGAAATTGCCGATGCTAAGGTTACCGATACTCCTGCTGCAAAGAAGAGGAAAGGTCGTTAGGCTTATTAGATCGATCAATATTGGAATCATGTGTGGCCAATTAATTATTTGTCTTCATTTCGGAATTATCCTTTTGTTGTTGTTTGTCATTTTTCGAGTTTTATGTTTGGTGTGTTGTGCTTGAACATTAATAATACAGAGGTTTCTGTCCATTGGCCTTAAAGAATTGTCTCAAAAAGACCACTGCCTCCAAATCCATTTAAAATGGCCCCCAAGGCAAATATATATGAGCGTTTACTATTCAATATATATATAATTTTTTGTTCTTGATAACATTATATTAAATATATATTTGTTCATATTATAATAAAATTTAATTTTATATTTAAAATATCAAATTAAACAAGTAACTTATAATCAAGTAATCCCATTACTGAAGAAAAAAAAGAACTTCCAACTATGATGTAAGCTTCACTAAGGATGACAAATAGCTAAAGTAGATATCTCAAACCTTCCAAAATTAGCAAAGAACATTCCTTCTTTTTCTTTTTTTTTTTCTTTTTTAAGAAAAACATGGTTAGTCAATCCAAATTAAATTTTACCTTCTTTTTTTTTTTTTTCGTTTTAAATACTCCCCCCGTCCCATATACCGTGTATGCTACACTGTAGACGCAGTATTTTAGGAGGGATGTAATTAGTAGATAATTAAGAATATATTAGTGAAAATAATTATTTTATAATATAAATAATTATAAATTAAGATTAAGATAACAAATTAGTTTAATTAAAATTAAAAGAAATCAATTAAAAAGTTTAAAATGAGATTAAAGTGTGTAAATATTTTCCAAAAAAAGAAAGTGACATGGAATGTGGGACGGAGGGAGTACTATAATGATATTGTTCGCTTTGGGCTGAGTCCGCATGGAATTATTTTTGATATTCTTCAAAAGACCTGGTACTAGCGGAGTTCACTTGGGACATATAAAGTGTGTAATTTTCTTGACAACTTCTGACGTGGAACTTAGGTTTGCACCCCAACAAGTAGGCCATGCCAAGTATGGGATGCAATAAAAAATTAATCAAGCGGTCATTATCTTAGGAACACATTACAAATGCATGGGCAAAGTTGGTTCGTTGGTCCTGTAATAACTGTGAACACAGCACCAAGAGGAGGAAGAAGAAGAAGAAGTTCAACTTCGTGTAACCAATTAAAATAAATCAATGAATAAATAATTCTTGAAGTTGGTATCAAGTAAAGAAGCTATGAATAAATTAAAGTGTACGGCAATTCATGCATCAAATTAACAAAAGATATGAATGAAATGGAGAGGTGTGGGCCAATCCCATGCATGCAAATCACGTAATAATTTCATTCACGTACAGGGAGTGTCAAATTTTGCCTATAAATACGCCCCCCTTGGTCTCCCTATAATATATCCCCATAGTTAATACTACTATATTAATTAACCATTTATAAATATATTTATTAGGGATGGAAAATAATACCGAAATGATGAGCCGGCAGGTGTCTCGTTACCTGGAGAACAACTTGACGCGCCGCGACTTCCCGGCGGACTTCCTATGGGGTGCAGCCACCTCTTGTTATCAGATCGAAGGTGCTTACAAAGAGGGATGCAAATCATTCAGCAATTGGGATGCTTTCACCCTACAAAGGCCTGGTATACATACATACATATATTAATTATTATTATTAATATAATTTGAACATGTAATGATCTCTCTCTATATATATATCTATGAGTTAATTGTATTGCATTTTGTTTACAGACAAAATTCATGGCGGCTCCAACGGATGTCTGGCTATCAACCACTACAACAGGTATAAGGAGGACGTGGCTCTGATGAAGAAACTAGGCCTCAACACTTACAGGTTTTCCCTATCCTGGTCCAGAATATTGCCAGGTATATATATTTTATTAATTAATTATATTACATCTATATTTGCACTATGCTTTTATTTAATGTCATAAAAATTCAGGATTTACATATATATATATATATCCACGTGTATGTAATTGATGATCAGGCGGGCACTTGAGTGCTGGCATAAACAGAGAAGGCATCGACTTCTACAACGACCTCATCGACCTCTTGATAGCCGAAGGTCTGCAAAATTAAATCAAATCAATTTGTATAGATTTAATTCAATCATCGATCACATATATGTATATATATATGTATGTGTATATATCCATCCAGGAATTGAGCCATGTGTGACCCTCTTCCACTTCGATTTCCCACAATGTCTGCAAGAAGAGTACGGCGGCTTCCTCAGCCCTCTCATCCTGTAAGTCTTTCTCTGTTGAATCAATATATATATATATATATATAAGTTGTTTATATTGTGTTGTAATGATTCAATCAAACTAACGTACGTGCAGGAAAGATTTTGCTGAGTATGTGGAAGTGTGCTTCTTCGAATTCGGCGACCGGGTCAAGATGTGGATCACGGAGAACGAGCCGTGGGCCTTCACCGCCGGCGGCTACATTTTGGGGGCGTTCCCTCCCGGACACGGCACCCCGCATCCTCTCTACAAATCCGAGGACGATGATGATCAAAACAAATCCTGTCAATACAAGACGACGTCGTCTGCAGATCTCTTCGACAATATTCCGCGGCCAGCTGCTCCTTTCGTAATGCCCAGAGTCGCTCTTGGAATCGATCCAGCCGCCGTCTACGGTTGCGCCGACGCCGGAACCTATGGCGCCGCCGCCGCCGAAATGTCTGACGACGGCGATGATAATAACCCGGACGCCACGGAGCCGTACATCGTGGCCCACCATTTAATTCTTGCTCACGCCAAGGCAGTTGAAATCTACAGAAAACACTTCCAGGCTGTTCAAGGAGGTAAGATTGGGGTCACTAATATGACCACATGGTACGAGCCCTACTCCCTTTCTCAACCCGACATCGAAGCTGCTTCTAGAGCTGTGGATTTCATGTGGGGATGGTAATATATATATAACATTTATTTGTTTATTAATTAATTGCTTTTGTATGAATATTAATTAAGGTTGTTCGATTCTAGCAATAGCAATATTTATGTATAACTAATTAACTCTATCCTTGTTTGGATAAGGTTTGTTGAGCCTGTAGTGACCGGATACTATCCAAAGGTGATGAGAGATCGAGTAGGTGACCGTCTGCCCGAATTTACACCCGAACAAAGAGAAATGGTGAAGGGATCCTACGACTTCATTGGAATGAATTATTACACCACCTACTGGGCTTCTTACAAGCCCAACCCGCCCTGGGTAAAGCCCAATTACTACAATGATCAAGAAGTCGCCTTCCGCAGTAAGTAAAAGTGCTACTTATTAATTAAATATTTCTATTCAGTATATATTTTTTTAAAATTGCTCCTAATTATCTATCTCTACAAATATAATGTCTTTTTTGTTTCTTTCACTTTAAGCTGAGCGAAACGGCGTCAAAATCGGCAAACAGGTGAGTCAATGAACTACATCAATCATTCAAAAATACGTTCATATTTCTTTCACTCACATAATTATGATCAGGCTGGGTCAGCATGGCTGTTTGTTGTTCCACGGGGCATATACGAGCTTCTTATGCACACCAAGATCAAGTATAACGATCCCATCATCTACATAACCGAGAATGGTATATATATATATATATTGTGCAAATAATTAATCTATACTAGGATCTGTGTAACTAATTAGTATTGTTCTTACACTGGTCTGCAGGAGTGGACGAGAAAAATGATCCAAAGAAGACAATGTCCGAGGCTCGACACGATCCGGACAGAATCAGCTATCACATGGAGCATCTGGCTTACATGAGGCTAGCAATGGAGTAAGCCTAAAATATATATATCTATCTATCTATCTATATATATATGCATTTGGTGTTTAATTATTCAATCGATTAATTAACTACATATACAGCCGTGGCGTGAAGCTTAAGGGGTACTACCCGTGGGCGTTGTTGGACAACTTCGAGTGGACAGAAGGATACAGCGTGCGATTCGGGTTCTACTTTGTCGATTACACCAACAACTTGATTCGATGTCCTAAGGATTCCGCCATATGGTACATGAACTTCCTCAACAATAAAATCCTTCCGCCGCGCAACAACCGAGAGGCTGCCGCCGAGGACATTGCTGCCTCTGCCTCTGCCTCTGGTACTGTTGCGAAGAAGAGGAAGGGTAGTATGTAAGAACTAGATCCATCCATATTCGATCTGCATTTGCCTTTATTGCAATATATATACTTGTAATGAATAAATCTGGCCTATATAGCTTGTCTAGCCAGTGTGTGTTTGTTGTTAATTCCTTGTATTATATGGTGTGTAATTTGAATAATAATCGTGGCACTCGAATAAAAATTGCAGTTTAAAAATCTATGTATAGATAGTCTTTCAACATAATAAAAAATGAGATATATACTTGAATTGATCGATCGAGTTTGGCGTGAGAGGACGAGAACGAAATGTAGCCAAAAACAACTTGCCGGGCATGAAAAATAGATCGATGGGTCCGGCAAGTCATCCTTGGCTGCAATCCATTCTCGACCCTCGTCATGCAAAGACACGATCAAATGAAACAACAAAATTGGACAAGAACATGGTGGTGACGAATGTGGTACGATATTGTCATGCTACGACATGAATCCTTTATATAGGCAGTGTAGGAGATAGATAATGGTCAAAAACATTGGGGGGAAGGGGAATATTGATTGAGATTAATTATTGATATTCCGTGGAACATATATGTCAACGCAACTTTAATTTTCGAAGGGAGTGTGGGGACTGCAGACTGGATTGGATTGGATTCGATTCGATTAGATTAAGAGGTGATTGGCAAATAGCTTTTTGAATATATTTTAGCTTATTGAACAGCTTTTAGCTGTTTGACCGGTCAAAGTCAAACAGCTAAATTTAGGTATTCGGTAAATTAGTTTTTTGGACAAAAAAAAATTAATTTTTGAAAAGTTAACTTATCCCGGCGTTTTGAAATAATTTTTTTTGTAAAATTTTTTTTATTCCTTATATGCCTTTAAAAATTTATTATGCATTTTACACAAATAAATATATTTTGATTATTTATTAATTATATTAAAATATTTTATTATATTATAGTTTTACTTTTATAAATTTAAAATAATTAATTTTTATATATAAATTATTTTAATTATAAAATATATAAATTTATTAAAATCAACATAAAATAGAAAATATAAATATTAATAATTTATTTTTATATTAAAATTATATTATATAAATTTTATGCTAAAAATAAATTAAATTTATTGAAAATTATAAATATAATGAACTAATCCATAACTAACATAATAAATATATACACGAAAAATTTATTATTTTATATTTTACATCATTTTCAATAAAAAAAAACTATTTATATATTTCAATAGAAATATATTACTTTCTAAATCTAATTATAATAGAAAATAAATACTTTTATAATACTTTTACAATTTTCAATAACTAATAACAAAAAATTTCAAATATTTGAAACTCAAAAAAATAATTGAATATATTAGAAAAAAATAAAATAGAAATGTCCTCAATTGTCATTTTATGTATAAACAGCTAATATCAAACAATTGTTTTATCAAATATTTTGATACAAACAACTAATCGAATCAGCTAGTCAAATCAGCTAACCGCTATCAGCTAATTGAATCAGCTAACAGTTATCGGCTAATTGTCAAACACGCACCGAATCCGATGATGAGAAACGATGGACACTTGCCAAAAATGTGTATGTTCTAGCTTACGAGTTAGAGGGACGTGAGGCATGTGGTGGTGGGGCTATCTTTCACTCCCACCAGCTGTAATTATATATATATATATATATATAAATATTTGTTTATTTATTTATATATGCGGGCTGTGCTCGAAAAGTTGGAATATTTAGAGGACAGAAAACGAACAAGATTCTTTCTTACAGTAAGTTCTCCACCACCACCTTTCTGTCCAGCCCCAATTCCTCACTCCGCATTGGATGGTCATTACAACCTTATTTGACTTTGAATTCTGCCAATACGTGTAATTGCATGGTTTGACCTTCTTTTTTCTTCTTTTTTTTGTTATAATAAAAATATACTACTACTATATTTTTATTTTTATTTTCATACAATATAAGAGTATCTAAATATTATTTAAATTAAAAGTTAAATAAAAAATATTAATTTAAATTCAAACCAATCAAGCCCCTTATTATGTTGATGGTGATTCATAAGCTATTTGATTCATAGGGTTTACTCAAATCTATATGTACTTTGTTAAGAATAGTAGATGCAAATTTTTATATTATAAAAAAATAAACTAATTATAATAATATTGTTTGCTAGGTGTATAAAATTTAAAAGACCCTAAAATTGTACTCTCTCTGTCCCACATATCATGTCTACGTTGCCGTTTCTATCCGTCCCTGTCACTTTCTTTTTTTTTTTATAAATGATTACACACTTTAATATCATTTTAAATTTTTTAATTTATTTTTTTAATTTTAATTAAACTAATTAGTTATCTTAATCTTAATTTATAATTATTTATATTATAGAATAATTATTTTTACTAATACATTCTTAATTATCAACTAATTATATTTCTCCTAAAATATCGTGTCTACAGTGTAACAGACACGGTATATGGGAGACGGATGTAGTAAGAACTAACACCTAGTATTGAATGTTTGTTATAATATGTATTTCGATTTTCATGTGAAATAAAATGATGTTCGTCTTCACGTTCATCTGCCACACATAGTTCGCCTAGTGTGACTTATTTTATTGGACTTAGTTTATAGGGTATTAAGTTCGGTCGGAGTTTACGTACTTTTGTGGATGTAGATTCCCACATTATAAATAATAATAATAATAATAATAATAATAATAATAATAATAATAATAATAATAATAATAAAAATGATGTTGTTAATAATATTAAGGAGTCCACACATATTAAATAAATTTAAAATCCATAAAATTGTATCGTAATTTAGCTGTTGTAAGTACTTTTATTATTGTTGTTATCTAACTCCATTGCCCTCAGCTTTTATTTATATTTCTATTGGTTTTCCCTTTACAATATCCTCTCTCTAACCTTTTCTTTTCGTTAACAGTAAAAAGAAAAGTAAAGGCTACTACCACTAACCAACTATTCTAATTTTTTTTTATTATTTTTTTTTTTTTTAACATTGATTAGGAAAAGTGGGTGTTAATTTTATTTATTTAAATTTTTTTATAAACTTTGGTATAATGCATGCCTAGGAGAAATTACAGTTCTTGATTGTGACACCTTGGACCATTTAATTTAGTGGTTTCAGTTTATGGGCCCAACAATAAACAAACGTATTTAAATTTAGTTTAACTAAATTTAAAATAAAAACAAAATACATATAAATTTTGATGAATTAAATTAATTCAAGAATTTGGAGAACCATAGAGCAGAAGCCTTTGGATATCTGTTGAGACTGTTGGCATAGTCAACATACATCAATCCAAACCTCACTGTGTATCCTTCATCCCATTCAAAATTGTCACTCCAAGCCCATGCAAAATACCCCTTCACTTTCACTTCTCCCTCACTGCAACAATCATTCATTCTATTTTATTTTATTTTATTTTTTAACATATATGTATATATAAATTTAATTGATACTTTACTTTATTGCCTTTAGAATTTGGACAATATGATCCCGATGATATTTAACCCTTATTGTATCATCGACACTTTGCACTTTGCACTCATTTTTCTCATCCACCCCTGCAAAAAAAAAAAAAAAATTAAATAAATATATATTTCAAATTTGTCACTAAATATTACTTCTTCCGTCCATTTTTCAATGTCCTAATGATATTTACGTGTTTTTTAAATAATTAGTTTTTTTGTTGTAAATTGACAAAATAGCCTTTTATTTTGTGTATAAATATAAAAAAGATAAATAAAATAAGAGTAAAAATGTAAATTTTATGTATAAAAGTAAAAAAATGACAATAATTTTTTAATAGAAAAATAGGATATTAGTTTGTGTACGGAAGGATGAACGAGGGAGGATTATTAATGTAATCGAATTAATTATAAAAATAGATGAGTCCATTACCATTCTCCGTGATATATATAGCGGGTATATCACTGTACGTTGCTTTTATGTGCTTTAATAGCTTGTACAGTCCCCATGGAACAATGTACAACCACGATGAGCCGCCCTACATTACCAATATAATTTATTAAATTAATAATCATTGTCTCCATTTATTAACAAAATTTACACACCAAATAAAAACATACCACTGGCCCAATTGGAATCCCATTTTTCTCAGCTGAAACCAAAAATAAATAAATAAATAATTAAGTCTAATAATTATTTATTTAATTTTTTACTTTCCTCGTTAATATATATAACTTACTAAAAAATTCAACTTGTTGATCTTTATAGTAGGCTTTCCCGGGCTCATGAGTTACATCATTTGCTGCATAATTGGCTGTGTAGTAATTCAAGCCAAGAAAATCAATGGATCCCTTCAGACATCGAGATTCTTCCTCTGTAAATTGTGCCAAATTACTTTCAGGAACAAATCTTCTCATGCTGTCTGGATATTTTCCAGTCAATATAGGCTCCAGAAACCTGGTTCCATCGAATTCAGACAACATTAATTTTGAAAGTTACCAACAATTGATCAAAAAACAGACACAAGTGTTCGGAACCACTGTACCATCCGAGCATGAAATCCATAGCTCTTTTAGCTGCTTCAACATCTTCCTCAGAATTCGAATCGAATGGTTCGAACCATTGGCAGCACGCCACAATCCCAATCTTCCCCCCCTGATGTTCCTGACGACATAAAATCGAAAAATCCTGATCAGATTTTGTAGGAATCTTTCAACAATGTGTGCAATCGAAAACCTGAAACTTTGTTCTGTAAGAATGAACAGCTGCTGCGTGTGCGAGGATCAGATTTCTGCCGACGGTGTACACGTCTTTTGCCGGATCGGGCTGTGTTCTCGGCGCAAACGAGCTGCGGTGTGTTTGGACAGTCGAATTCGAGACATTATTCGATCCGTGAACACCTCTGTATTTTGTAAGATTATTTCCGATGTTGTCTTTAGAGCCTCTGCCTGGAGGATGTGTCCCCCGGACATATCCATTGATGCAGTAGCTCCACGGCTCGTTGATCGTAATCCATGATTTAATCCTGTCGCCGAATTCCCAAAAGCATAGCTCGGCGAATTCGCGAAAATCATCCCTGAATGAATGGAGTTCAGACAAAGGGTAACATTGTTGTTATTTTCATTTGCATTCTTACACGATCTGCCGGCTTAAGAAGCCGTCGTACTCTAGCTCCAAGCAGTAGGGAAGATCCCAGTGGAACAGAGTCACATAAGGCTCGATGCCTGCATCGAGACATCGCGGCAAAAATTGGATCAAGAATGGCATTAGGACATGGATATGAAACAGAGTTTTGATTATTCGAACCATTGGCGAGGTAGGTGTTGATGAGATTGTTGTAATAATCGATCCCTTCTCTATTGATCCCAGCTGCTCGGCGCCCGCCTAGTTTGTTGTAAGATACGGTTAGGTTAGCGCTCGACGACCCATTAGGCGTACACATGTACAAAGTTTGTAAGAATTTTACAGGATCCATTAGAGTTATTACCAGGCAGAATTCTAGGCCAGGAGATGGAGATTCTGCAGGCATCGAATCCGACTTTCTTCATCGCCTCGATATCATCCTTGTATCGATGATACATGTCGACCGCTACACTTCCATTCGATCCATCTGCTATTCTCTCTGCAAATTTGAATCCATTAAGACAGCGCAATTTGCATTCGCTACACTCGACTAAATGTACTAAGAAAAAAATCATTACCGGGGCACTCCATGGCGAAAACATCCCATACTCCGAGTCCTCTGCCGCCTTCGGCGGCTGCTCCTTCAAACTGGTCGAAAAAATAACAAAATTTAAATGATTATTACACCTAAAAGTTTAAACTTAAGTCTTTTGCCTGATTAGCTTCATCAATTGTATGAACAGCCTGACATTGATTTGAGAAATAAACAGACCTGAAAAGAAGATGTGGCAGTTCCGAATATGAAATCCTTAGGAAAATCAGATCGCCTGATCGAGACATTGTCGTCCCTAATTCTAGAAGCTTCCATGGAGGAATTGGATCGAGGAAAAGAGTTAGTGAACTCAGGGCTAAATCCTTTCAACACAAAAATGCTGAGCTCCGACGGCGTAATCGGCGGCGGCGGCGCCGCCGTAGCCAATTGTTCAGACAGGTACTTGGCCTTGCGGAGCTGGTCTGTGAGCTCGACAACATGGATTGCGCCGGCGGTCGGAGAGATGTGTTGCGGAAGCATGGCTACGACGAGCTGGTCCTGATTTTGCACTGTGGCGGCGATGGCGGCGGCGTCGTCTTCCTCGGAAGGGGGACAACATGGGCAGCATTCTCCGATGAAACGCGCCAAGCGTCGGAAAATCAGGGCAGGCAACATTTCTGGTGTCGAAGATTTGAATTTTTTTTTATCAGTTGATCGTGGATTTGGGTATTTATCTGTATGTATATATTGCAATTGCAAGGGAGAAGATACGCAGGTGTTGATTTTGGAAGGGGCCAGGACCACAACTCCACCATATCTGGACTGGAGGTGGTGCTGGTGCTAACAGCGGATCCATGTGGCGCCGGGATCCGGTAAGGGAAAAGAAGGCAGCGGCATGCGGATCACGTGCGCTTCAGCATCAGCATGCAGTTCGCGTTAGCAAAGTGACCAAAGTTCCAGCCCCAGGGGCTTTATAGTCATTACGCGTAGGATACTTGAGTCCAAGTAGAGCTATAATTAGACAATGATCAAGACAAGATTTGAGGGTGAATTTGACTGACTATTTAAAAATTTTGTACTTTATTTTATAATAAAATAAAATATATTTTATTATGTGCATATTCTTTATATATTATTAAAATTTTTAATTATAAAATAATTTAAAATATACTTAAATTTTTATGAATGAAAAGTTTATAAGATTATACAATTCATATATATGTAAATATTTTTTATAATATTGTTGGTATTGGTATAAATTTAAAACAAACATACCAAAAAAAAAAACTAATTAAATTATAGATAGATAGATTAGGATAATCTGTTGTGTGCTACTTGTTTCTTTTAATATTCAAAATCCATTATTTCATAATCTTTCAATCACCATTTGAATCTTTTTCAATAATTATGCAATGAGGCTGATGCTATGCCTATAAATAAATAAATACTTTATTAATTCCACATTAATAGTCTCAAAAGAAACTTATAATAAACTAAAAATAATAATAATAATATTATATTGATAAAAGAATAAAAATTAATAGTACTTTTTACTTTTTACATATACTATGATAGTATTTTAATAAATAAAAATAATAATAAAATAAATTGATAATTACATATGAAATTTATTTATCTAGTATTTTTGCTATAATGTGAAATATAAAAATTATATCGAAAAAGGAAACTGTAGCAAGTCAAATGGGAATAGAAGGACGGAACATATGCTATGGTCATATTTATTTGAAATTTTTTAAAGATTCTTTATTATTTATAAGTATTTAAATAACATTAAATTATTATTTTTATTTAAAATAATATATATATCTTGGCAAGTGTATCTAAATTGTCTTTTATGCCCATATGAAGCAGCAGCATCACTATTTCTCAGTAGCAGACAAAGATCTTCGGATGCACTTAATAGAAAAACAGTACCATTTATATAATACCAATATTTATATTTATATTTTATATTCACATATAAAGTGATGTTGGTGCGAGTCTGTGGCGTTATATATACACACAATATTTGTATCTATATAATATCCCTATCCAATTCCAAAATTTGATGCTAAATGAAGGACCTTCTGGAAATAGCACTTATTGGTTTTCTGTAGCCAAACCCCGACTTGAGTCTTACTGTATGTGTGTGTGCGAGTCGAGAGCAGTATCAGAGTATTACTTGCTGCTCTGTCTTCATTTGTCGAACCAATCTCACACCCCCACCCCACCCCACCCCACCCCTCACTTTCATCCCCCACCCCCTCTCCCACGACGCAACAATTTTGATTCTTTAGATTCTTTTTCCTCTTTCTTCTCGGGGAAGACGACGTAGGGTTTCCTACTCGGGGTAAGTTTCTTGATTGAATTTCTTTGTTTTGATGTTTCTATGAAAAGTCGTTTGTTGTTTGATTAAGGGATTATTGACGGAAGATCGAATCTTTTTGAGGGTTTAGTCCTTTGTGGGTTTCCGATACTGTTGTTGGCTTAATGGTTGACTTCGGAAATGTTCTTCGAGTTTCTTGATTAATTTTTTGTGGGGTTTTAGGAGAATTTCAAATTTTCAATCGCATTAGTTTAGGGTTGTTGTGCAGATTAGGATTCTAGGTTAAATGGGTTTGATTGATTGTTGTGGCGCGTACGATTGTAAAGTTTTTCCATTTATTTCCGTAATTCAACTTAGGGTGTGAAAACCTACGACTGGAAATGGTTTGACTTGGCTTGTGAATGCCCTTCAGATGCAATTTACTTGAAATTTATGATGATCGGTTGAATTCTTGCGTTTATGAAGTTTTGATTGCATTTATTGATTTCTGATTTATTTTAGGGAATTAGGGTTTGAAAGGACCTGTTTTGGAGGTGAAAATCATCACATAGATTTACCTGCATTATCGAAATGTCGATTTGCTCATATTACAAGACCTCAAATGTACAGTCTGGTCTAAGGTTAAATTCTCATCTATTTGTTCACCTTTGTAAACCGGTGTACCGTGGATGAATTTATTTTTCTGTTATAAGGAATGTCGAAACAGGCTGAGGTTGCTGATGCTAATGTTTTTGGCAACGTATGTCTGAGTTTATGTGTGTATATTATGATGCAATAGATAACAAACTAAGATATCTTACATAATCAAATTCGTGTAGCTTTAGGTCTGATTGGTCGAGCGTAGGTAATCTTTGAGGTTGCTAGAATGCTGTATGTCCCCGATTCTATTACACTGCTTGATGTGCTTTCACCCTTACCATTATCATCTTCTAGAACTGTTCGTATACTGTTGAATATGAACTTTTTGATTAATAGCTATTTACTTATTTTTCTGATTGCTCTGTTTCTCAGGGAAGAACTCTCCGGCAAGATCGGGTGAGATTAATCTCCATTGGAATGGCGACTGAAAGCCCCATTAGAATATCGGAAGCTGCTGACAGATGGCCATCGGCTAAGCCTTCTACAAGGTACAGGCCATCATCTGCCGAAATGGCCATTGAAGGTCTGGGCTTGTTCTTCAAAGATCAGTGGCTTAACAACCACGAAAAAGATGTTATCCCGAGCCGATGTGAAAGTGCGCCGCCAAGCATGGAAGGCTCCATCTCAGCAATAGAAAACGTCATTTCCCATCAGAATAACCCTGTTAAAAAATTTCCTACCTTCTCTGCAACTAGCGGAAATGATCAACCGTCGTCTTCATCATACCATGGAAAGTTCAACGAGTCTTTAGGCTCATGGAAGACACACCATGTCTTCCAAGCAACTGGTTCTTCCGGGATCGGGAATGCGGCGGATGCTAAATTTTCCGATAGCTCTCTACAGCTGCCGAGGAATCGACTTCCTGCTCATGAGGAGGAATCTGAGGACGACGTGTTATTTGAATCCGGGGCAGCTGGGAAAACTGGTTTCTTGGGTTACCATAATCGCTCCCTGGGCTCAATGCAGGTAAATTAATTGTCCTCCTTTTACATAATCAACATCTTGCATTTCGGCATGGTTTCGAACAGATTTGGTTCTTGGAACTAAAAAGGATGCGACATTTCAGGAGGAATTCCACCACACGTCATCTCCTTCAAATGATCAGCCACGCTCCTTGGGCAATCGAGCTTTGGAGAAAACAATTGTTTCTGATACCGAACCACGTGTCCTAAACAATACCTCTTCCGGCGTATCTATTGCTGATAAAAATGCTCCTCGACTGGATAATATGATGCAAGCCTTGTCGCTTAATGGAAGAGAGTTCGGTGCTGTAGAAGTCGAGAGAGAGAGTGATTTAGAAAATACCGAAACTGAGGTTATGAAGAATGCCGATCTACTTAGAACTTCAGCGGCTATGGAGTCTCGGAAACTAAACAAGACGGATCAACTCATCTCCCAAAATGAAGTTCTGCAACATCAAGCTGCTGCCCACAACTCCAATGCTTCCCAAGTTCAAGGCTCGTATCCTCAGATTATGTATCCTGGTATGAGTCACGCCTACGGTGGCTTCAACCAGTTCCAATACGGTTCTTCAAGTGTTTCTGCGACAGATATTCAGCCGACTCTCCAGTCATCTGGATTCACACCGCCACTATATGCAACGCAAGCCCTTTATATGGCTTCGACTAATCCTTATTATGCAAACCTGCATCAAGGCGGTTTCTTTAGTCCAAGGTACGGCATGGGTGGCTATAATTCCAATTCTGGTGTTCCAACTCCATATCTGGCCGGATATTCCCATGAAGGTGCTATGCCTCTGGTTTTTAATGGCGCTCCGTATCCAACTGCTGGATCGCCAAACGGGGGAAGCGCAGCTCATGCGTATGATCTCCAGAGTCAACAGAAATTTTATGGTCAAATTGGACTTCCTATGCCACCCACTCTCCCTATGCAATATTTCCAGTCACCTGTTCGAGATCCCTACGGTGCATATGCCCATTTTGCTCAACAAACACCAAGGTATGCTTCGGCTGTGAACCAAGTAGGCCCGAAAAAAGGAGCAGAGAATGCAGGTCCATCGAGCGACCATAAAACTCAGCAGTTAGGTGGGGTTGGGTATAACAATTTGAACCCGAAAACAGTGAATGCACCGGGTCATTATTATTACTATGGAAGCCCAACCAATGCTGGTCCTTCGGTGCATTTTCCCCCGGCATCTGCTGTCAGTCCAGTTGCGAGGGCAAAAACTGCTGCAGGGACGAACTTTTCTGGAGGGGCGACTTACAATTTGAGTCTTTCTCACTCACCAAGCGGTAACTCTAATAAAGCTAACAGACAAGGCCAGACCTGGACTGACATGAATTCGTATTCTTTACTCGAAGAGCTAAAATCTGGTAAAGGTCAAAGATTTGAGCTGTTTGATATAGCAGGGCATATTGTTGAGTTCAGGTGAGTTATTTGGTGTTTCTTGTTTTTTTGAGAACACTGGTTATTGAATGATGGTATTGATTTGTTTTCTTTTTTTTGTTGTTCTCTGATTAGCGTCGATCAACATGGAAGTAGATTCATTCAACAGAAGTTGGAGACGTGCACTGTTGAAGAGAAGTCATCGGTTTTTAAGGAAGTTGTCCCACATGCTTCGAAATTGATCACTGATGTTTTTGGGAACTATGTCATTCAGAAGGTTTGATATCGATCTTTTAAGAGTTATGTGGTCTGATTATAGAATCAATCCTCCCCATTATCCTTAAAATCTCGTTTTCTTTTTAATGTCCTGTCATGATTGTGTGATACAGCTTTTTGAATATGGAAGTCCGGAGCAAAGGAAGTACCTTGCAAATCAATTGGAGGGTCAAATCCTGCCGTTGAGTTTGCAGATGTACGGTTGCCGCGTGATCCAAAAAGTAAAAATCCTATCTTGAAATCTCTATTGCCTATCGTCGTACTTACAGTGTTTCTGAACCAAGTTATTTCTTTGCATTTAGTAATTTTGTGTGATTAGATGATTATTCAATTTTGAGGTATCACACTAACCTGAATATTTCTAATCCCTTTTTGAAGGCTCTTGATGTTATTGATTTAGATCAAAAGGTTAGGCTAGTAAGGGAGCTGGATGGACATGTACTGAGATGTGTCCGCGATCAAAATGGGAATCATGTTATACAGAAATGCATCGAGAGCATTCCTGCTGATAATATTCAATTCATAATTTCTTCTTTCCGTGGACAAGTTGCTACACTTTCGATGCATCCTTATGGTTGTCGTGTAATTCAGGTAACTTAAAGCCTTCTAGAATGATATCTTATAGTCGTGTTTGTGTTTGAAATTGAGACGGACGGTCTATATGCTGTCTTTGAACTTATAGAGGGTCTTGGAGCATTGCGAAGATGAAGCCCTGACGCAGTTCATCGTGAATGAGATTTTGGAATCTGTCTTAACACTGGCTCAAGACCAATATGGCAACTACGTGACACAGGTCATTTTTCCTTTATTTGTTATTACATGATCCCTTCAAGTTTCTTCTTCTTGTGCTATTATTCTATCTTCCCTTTAATAATTGCACACAACTATCTATATGTAGTGTTCAAATTTTAGTCCTTGCGATTTTTTGTTACGGGGATGCTAATTTTCATTTTTCCGTAATGGATAGCATGTATTGGCAAGGGGTAAGGCTCGTGAAAGGAGCGAAATCATCGAGAAATTTTCTGGATCTATAGCGCAACTTAGCCAACACAAGTTTGCGTCAAACGTTGTGGAGAAATGCCTGGAGCATAGCGATGCAGTTACAAAAGAGAAGCTGATCAACGAGATAAGCGGTCTAGGCGATGGGAATGATAATTTATTGGTAAGCCAGTCGATCGATGTAATTCAGGATGTTGCGAAATTGTCGAGAGAACTGCTCTCTAACACTTTACTGTTTTTTTTTTTTTTTTTTTATCATAATCTTAGGTTCTTATGAAAGACCAGTACGCAAACTATGTTGTCCAGAAGATTCTGGATACATGTTCCATCGAGCAACGGGAGATGTTGCTTGGCCTCGTTAAAGACCATCTTCCAGCACTAAAGAAATACACTTATGGGAAACACATTGCTGCCCGGTTCGAGCAGCTGTATGGAGATGGTGAGAGTTTCTTGTTACCTTTAAACTTGTGGTTTTCTGCATTCTTACATCCCAAACTGCAACCAATCTTGAATTTTGTTTTTGGACAGAAATTCAAGGGCAATGAACAGGCTACAATTTAATTCTTCAATGGGAGGGATCTTGATCTTGATCTGGATCTGAATCTGAATCTGCCTGTGTTCTTCCAAGTGTTAAACAGGGTTAACTATTATATATTTCTACTGGACCATCAGTACTGTGTACTATAATATTATTATACATTACAGGACCTGCTTAGAATGTTGGAAGGTTTTAGTCAGTATTTTAGAAGCACTTCAAACGCTTAACAGCCTAAACTTTCAGTGTGCCTTTCTGCTACTTTAATCATTCATTCTCTAACTTTACTTCAGGATGTGTTTGTATATGCTTCCAATAGTTTTCTGTACACTAAAATATTGTGCTCAAGCATTTGTTCAAGAACATTCCAAGATACAAAACACAGCCCTGGTTCTTTAGGTTAGTTACCACTTACTACTCATACATTCAATCTTTTTTTTGACAAATCCATATTTTGATCGATTCTACTAATTCATTCATAACCCTGAATCATATAAATTGAAAAAAATAAAACACACACAAATGATTGATAAATTTGTGGATTGAAAACCCAAAATTCAAAGGACAAATAGTGCATGAGGTTAAATCACACCCAAAATCCAAAACCTTTTTCAATGATTCAAAACTTGGAAAGAGCATAGAAAATAAACCTAATCGAAAAGTGAGAATCCCATGTCGTCGTCGCTCTCCTCTTTCTCTTCCTTCTTCTCCTCAGCAGGAGGGGCATCAGCAGCTCCACCACCGCTGGATGCTGCCGGTGCACCACCACCACTGCTACCACCGACAAATGCGCCACCGCCTACGGCACCACCAATGACCACCTGCATTGTTTACGAATAAATTACATGAACCAACCAAACCCGAAGTCCAGAAACTAGCTACAATTTTCGCAAAAGTGATTTAGGTTTGAGCTAGTCAAATCAAATATTACAAGATAGGTTTTTATGTTTATCTTTTCCTTTTTTCACTAAATGAGTGGCAGTGTACCTCGACTCTTAACTGCCGGATACATACCATCGCCACACCAAAAGTATAACCAAAACTATTCTTTTCTGTTTTCTTGTTTTCTAGTGTTTTAGATTATTGGAGGTGTTAAATTTTTATTTTTTTAAATGAAAAACCATATGTATTGCTGTATATATGAGGATAAAAACAGAACACACACATAATCATCCTTCACTGGAGGAACATTATACGAAAAAACAATGAATTGAAATGCGACGATGGCGAAAATGAATTCACGCCTTAATAATGAAAGAGAAGTATCACATATCAACACACAAATTGAAAGCGCACCTGAAAAACCGCCGACGAAGGAGTCACATAGGAGAAGTTGGACTGAACAGCGCCGGAGGAGTCAGCGGAGAGGGCCACTTGGACGAGCTTCCGCTGGAGGTTGAAAGTGCTGTCTGCTGAAGCCTCGAGATCGCCATTCAGCTGCTTCGCCGACCACTCGGCGCCGGATTCCTTGCAAACAAACGTAAATACTCCCATTGTACTCGCGGATCTGCAATTCGTCGGCGATCAGCAATTGAAGACGACGACTCAGCCGCCCTACTTTGAGTGTATATAAATTGGTCGCAAATCAAACCCTAGATGCAGCTGGAAAAAATTAAAAATGCATTTATTTTGTGAAAATGACAATCGTGCCCTCCATCTACCATTAAATTTACGAATAGCCATTGGGCCTTAAAAGTCTGTTCTTATCTGGGCTTCGCTGTCCACTAAATAACATTTTATTTATTTTAAAAAAATACTTTTACTCTTATTTCGAGAATGTTCTTTTGACCCTCTGACCGTTAAAGAAAAATTAGCTGCGGAAAAAAATCAGAAAAGAAAACGCGTTTTCATTTTTTAAGATTCTGGAAAAGTCGTGTTTGTTTGGGAGTCCTGGTAACTGAGTTGTTCCAAACGCATTAATGGTAGTACATAGGTGTATAATTACCAACAAATGGAGAATTACCAAATGTACGCAACTGCTACTTATATTTGTGATTAAATGCGAACTAAAACTTGGCATTTATTTCCAATTTATTTCAAAGAAAACCATTAAAATGAAGAAAAAAAATTATTTGCTTTCGTGTAATCCTTTGGTCCAAACACCTGGGATCTTGTGATGGCGAGACATGATTTTTGTGGCTCATTGGACCAGAACACCAGATGAATCCCAGCTGTGGGCCCGGATGCTATACATCAGTGGTGTAGATTCGCGTGGCGTTCGAGTCCCGGGACTTCGGGAGAATCGAACACCAATTTATATAGTATTTTTTTTCATTTAATAACTTACTGCTAATCCACAAAATAATACCACTTCAATAGTCCCATAATTACTGTTTTTACCTCTACTTAAAAAATAAAATAAAATAAAATAATTTAAATGCGTGTTCGATAACCACAAGAAAAAAACTATGATCTGTGACTTACTAATCACGTAACTCCGGGATTCAACAGATCACGAAATCAAAGCCGTCCACATAATCCCTGCATATAATGGACGGTGAGATTCGGCTTGTGGTAGTGGTCCGGGAAGGTCCCAGGACCTTACCCCAATGCGACCGTATGGTCGCCCTGCATCAAGCCGACGGTCCCACGACGAAAATGCTTATTGCTTAAGTATCGAGAGGGAAGAGACATTAAAGAGAGACAATCGTATCTCAAATCTCAATCCGCCGAAATTCAGAGGTGATGGTTGAAGAAGAATAACGAAATTTCAGCATTTCGCTTATTCCCATTCCCAGTTCCTTTTTTTTACCAAATCGTAAAGCTTCGGTCTTCCGAAGAAACCCTCCCCAAAAAAACAAAAAAAACCAAAAAAAAATTAGAAAAAGAAATAAAGAAAAGAACCAACCTCCTTGATATTTCTGCAACTCTCGCGGGGGGAGAGAGAGAGAGAGGAGACGCAGGCGGGCACCAACCGAGGGGAAAGAAAAGGTGAAGATTCTTGTCTGACAGGACACCCCATTTCTTGCAGAATCAGATTTCTGGCAAAGGCGTTAACTTTTTGTGCGATTTACAGCGTAATATTTCGCATTTAATATTTGCAATTTTGTGTGCATCGATTTGCAGAAGATCGAAAAGGGCGTTTATTTTTTGTATTTCTCGTCAGATTTTTAATCACTGGCGTGTATGTGTATGTATACATGCTTCTCTCGTTTCCCCAATTTTCTTGAAATTCTCAACTGCCCATCTTCGGCCTCCCCCCGTGTTCGTGTTCTTACAGTTCTATTTTATTGGGACGATTTAGAAATATTCAATCTTTCTTTTTAAAAAGAAAAATATAATATAATAATTAAATCTTTCTTTGGGTTATTGTGCATCGCGATTTATTTTTTGTTTTCTAGATTAGGAGGTGTGGTGGCTTTAATGGCATTTAGCTTTGCTGCTGTGATTTGAATCGAGTGTTTCTTGTGAGCTCGCCGATTTTATCCTTGCCCAGATCTTAGGTTTGTTCTTCTTAAATTCCCTGTTTTGTTCGTTGTTTATACATTAAAAATGATGCTTTTGCGTAAAGGGATTGTAATGATTTCTGGTATTGTCCGCAATTACTATTTTACTCGAATCGATGTGCCCTCTTGCTGCAATATATATGTAGAAATTACTGCGCTTGAATTTGAAGGTACCATTTTGGAGATCAGAGGTTTAGAAATCTCCATTTTCTGTTTCAAATTTGATGGATTGATTGCAGAACTGTAATTAGGTGTTTTTGAAGGATTTGAATCTACATAACTTGTCTGTTTCTGGACAACTGAATGAACTGGCTTGCAATCTTGGATTCAAAGTTCTTAGAACATATTTGACATCTGTTGCAATTTTCTATCATAGATGAGTTCATTTTCTCGAACTCTAATTTGGGAATGTTGTCAGGGTTTGTGTCTCCTCCTACATTGATCCCGGAGGCATTCTGAGGACTTTGAAGAATAAGAGCAAAGAAAGACATGAGCAATATGGAATTCGAGAGCAGCAGTTGGATAAGAGATGGGGTTTCATTCTACCCTCAATTGTTTGGCGGCATAATGATCACTTGTGCAGTATTAAGTTTTTCGACGAGCTACTTCGGCAAGATTACTGTTCCGATGATGCCTCACTTCTTCCCCGGCTTGAGGGCCTTTCACAAGAAGAAATCCTCGAAGAAACGAGTCCGTGTGTATATGGACGGATGCTTTGATCTGATGCACTACGGGCACGCCAATGCACTGAGGCAGGCGAAAGCATTAGGGGATGAATTAGTCGTCGGAGTCGTATCTGATGAAGAGATCATATCGAATAAAGGGCCTCCGGTTTTATCCATGCAAGAAAGGTACAATCACGCGCAATTTTATTCGATAAAAAAGTACAGTAATTTAATTGTAAGTTGCGATTTTATTTGAGGTGATCTTTGTAGGCTGACCCTTGTTAGCGGGCTAAAGTGGGTTGACGAAGTGATTCCTAGTGCTCCTTACGAAATTACCGAAGAGTTTATGAATCGACTTTTCAAGGAGTACAAAATCGACTATATCATACATGGCGACGATCCGTGTCTTCTACCTGATGGGACCGATGCCTATGCTCTGGCGAAGAAAGTTGGCCGCTACAAGCAGATCAAGCGCACAGAAGGCGTCTCTAGCACAGATATTGTAGGTACTGTATTCTTCTCGATCCATGTTCTTGATTATTGAGTCGGGTAATGTTTGCGTGGAAGAATCCCGAACGGGTTTTGCAATATTGGTTCATTATGAATGCAGGGAGGATACTTTCGTCCATGAAGGATACTAAAGCTGCGAAAGAATGTCCGGGATCAGGCGAATCTGATAACGGTTCGCAATGCGACAAGCCTCTGGCTAACGGAAAACTCAGTTCTCATTTCCTGCCTACTTCAAGAAGAATCGTGCAATTTTCGAATGACAAGGTTTGTCAAAGTCGAGTCATTGCTTTCCAAGTGTCACTTGGGTGAAGGATTGGTTTGCTTTCGAGGAATCTTTGTTGGTGATGTTTGCGTCGTTTGTTTTGTTTCAGGGGCCCGGACCTAATTCCCGTGTCGTATATATTGACGGCGCATTTGACCTTTTTCACGCCGGACACGTGGAGGTAATGTGAAACTTTCCATAGCTTCCGTAGCATGTTTTTTGGCGTGTTATCTGAATGAGACAAACCGTCACTTTTTGGGTACGAAAAAATTGATTGAAAGCGATTTGTAACGCAGATTCTTAAGAGCGCCAAACAACTCGGAGATTTTCTTCTTGTTGGTATCTACGCCGACCAGACAGTTAGGTATGAACTGTTACACTCGACAATATTGTTGGAATTGTTGTGTTATGGTAAGAACTTACGACGAAGTTAATCCACTTTGCAGTGAGGTCCGTGGGCGCGATTTCCCGCTGATGAATGTCCATGAGCGTAGCCTTAGTGTACTCGCAACCCGATATGTCGACGAGGTCATTATCGGCGCCCCTTGGGAAGTTACACAGGACATGGTAAGTTTTTTTTATTCGCGTTCTTTTTATTGAGTTGTGTGTTTTCGAAAATTTATGCTGTTAAATACGACAGATCACGACCTTCAACATATCTGTGGTTGTGCACGGGACAGTCGCGGAGAGCAACCCACTGGCAAATGTGAGTCGAAACTATTTTTTACTAAATAATTAAATGAACTTTCGTTAAATCTGGCGTCGAGCGTATACTGAAATGCTCGGTTTTGCAGGTTCACTCGGATCCTTACGCAGTTCCTAAAAGTTTGGGCATTTTCCAAATTCTCGAGAGCCCGAGAAACATCACCACCACTTCCATAGCCCAGAGAATCATTGCCAACCACGACGCTTATGTGGTATTCTTCTTCACTCCCTTCCCCTCTCGTTTCTTTTATCAAAACATTTGGGTTCCGTTTACATGGAGATTTTTGAAATTTTGAAAAATTTTGAAAATAATAAAAAGTTGATATCTTTGATCAATAGTGTCAAATTTCTATAATTTTATATATACAGAACACGATGAGAATTCTCTAGCAAATTTTAACTCATACGGGAAATGGTAATTTGACACAATATTACCAGACATGATCGTCTATCTCGGACAGAACCGCGTCCTGCTGTCCCATACATACAGTGTGTATATATACATACTATGTATGTGAGAAATAGGGTTTGTTTTTGAGACAGGTGGTCCCATAGGCGATATTACAATACGGTAGAGGGGCGTGTTGGAAGAATATTACACTTACTTTTCGTCTAGGTTATTCCGGGCGCTCATAATCGATGCTTACCGTGTAATAACATTTTTGCAGAAACGTAACGCCAAGAAAGAAGCAAGCGAGAAGAAGTACTACGCGGGCAAGAAATATGTGACCGAGTGAAAGACATGTATTTGTCGCTCTGCATGCATCTTTCGTCCGAGAAAAAAGGGGGGAAGGTTGGTCCCGGTAGCTTTTGTTCATCGGAAACTATAGAGAAGATGAACTCGAAATAGAGATAAGGCGATCTAAGCCGTCGATTTTTAGCACATCCGGTGCTCTCTTTGTCGAAAAATCGTTAGTATCTATAGCTAATCTTATTTTGTAGCAAGTTTTTTTTATCTACCATTGTTGTAAATTAGTTGATGTTTTTGCCCATTTGTTTTGTTTGCTTTGTACCATATAATATTCAGCTGCGTATTCTAAAATTTCAAGTGACATAATAAAAATACAAATCTAAATGTGTTGAATTTGATTTTTATTATTTGCCTGATTTTAATTTATTGTGTAATTTTATTTTATTTTATTTTTATTTTTTATGATGTGGAAATCGACAGCTGCTGTCCGAAAGTATGCACCCCTAAATTTTATTAGATACAATGTGTATTGTTGATGTATTGAATTTGTCGATAAGTTTTTTTCTCGCTATCGAATATCCTTCGGGCGGACCGACCGTACGGATAAAAGTTAAAAATAAATAAAGGTAACTGCCCCAACTAATCTTCTGTGTCTGAAGTCAAAACTCTGCCCGTTACTGTCCTTAAATTCTATCGAGTCTTCACAGCACTTTTGACTTTCTGCCTCTCCTCCGCATCACATGTTCTTAAATGCCCGTTTTACGATTTTACCCCTTCCCTCTCTCTAATAAAAAAATAATTTTAATAAACTATTACTAATATCTAGAACTAATTACAATTCAGTTTTTTATTTTCTTTATTAATAAATATATATATATATATATATTTTTTTTTATAAAATAGCATATTGAAATATTATTAAAATTAAAAAGTGAAATGATAATAAATTTGAAACGTGTGGAAAAGTGTCTACTGTCACTTTTGATATTTATTATAGTACTTGTTTTTTAATTCCCTCTTGATGTCACCACTCATTTTATTGCAATTCATAGCCCCTAGAAATTATTCATAATGGTGAATATTGAACTGAAACGTAACACACAAATATTAATATATATATATATATATACAGATGTTATGTAGATTTAAATTAATTAATTTGCAGTTGCGTGTATATATATATAGTCCCTAGGAGATGGTAAATCTCAAGCATGTGGAATTAAGTGGCTATTGCCGTTGTTTAGGGCTGCCCTTTTTTGACTTGTAGTTTAATCCTCCCTCACATCAGTCACGTGCTCAGCTCATGCACTCCTCTATATATTTTAATTACTCCACCAATTAACTGATTTCACTTCTATAATAACTAAAAAAATTAAATAATAACTGATTTCACCTATATATTAATTTAAAGGAACATTGGGTTTGTTGGTTTATGATTTCAAGTACAAATTTATACAATTTAGTTTCATGATTTTTAATAAAAATATCATTTAAATAAGAATTTAAATCAATATATTATTTCAAATTAATTTAAAAAAAACAACCAAATAAATTAAATACTTCCAAGAACATTTAAATATTGCAATTTTTATTATAACTGAACAAAAACAATTTATTTTATTATATATAAACACATTTTGAACCATGATTGATGACGGCATCGGATGCTGGTACTTTCATTGATTAAATTAATAAAGATTTTAATTTAGTGCTTTTCGATTATGATATTTTGGTCACTGTTTTTAACCTTAATGATTATTGGCATTTAATTTATTTAATTACCTGAGTGATGCAGTCAACATCTGATGGTTAATATTAATTAAGTCTTGATTCCTACTGATGTAAACATATACGATGGAGGAAAGGCAGAATGAATAATTGCGTTAAAGGAAAAAGGAAAAAGTAGATATTTTAATTATTGAATACTATTTTATTAAAGTCGACCCATCAATTTTTATATTATACAGCAATATATAGATAGTATTGATTGAATGAATGCCCTGTAGAAACGAAATGTTGGCACGTATTAAAGAGTCCCAAAAAATAAAAATAAAAATATTTGCTGCGTTATAAAATAAGTCCTTTAATAATTGACATTGGCATTAAAAAGTTAGCAACGGGACTATTTTAATTTATTGTCAAATAATTAATCCAAATAATGTAGGGCTAGGAGGAATATAAATACTTTTTAAGGAGACGATAGAAAATGCATCGAATTTAAATTAAATTTGTATTTTTAAATCAAAAAAAAATATTGAAATAAAAGGCTCTATCTTATTTTATGCATATGATTTTTCATGCGAAATTTACATTCAGTAATTATTTTTAAATCTATTGTAAAAGATTATGAGAATTAATGTTGTCACAAGCCATATTCGGAAACAAATTATATAATACATGATTTATTAGTATTAATTATAATAAGCCATTATTTTCCAATCATAAATACAATGGATCTTATTTGAACGTAGGGAAATATCGATTATTAAATTTCATCATATACAATATATATATATATATATATATACATTTTTATTATACGAGCAATTTCATTAATTGCACACAATAGTAATTTTCCCAAACAAACCCTCGCGCTTGCAGAGTATTTACATAGCTAATTGCAAACGGTGCGGTCAGGGGCATTATGGTAAAACGGCAGAAAAGGCCAGTTTCTGCACCCTTCTTTTGCCACTGCGACACTTAAATGCCACTCTCTTCTTCTTCGTCGTCTTCCTCCGCCGCTCTCTGTAACTTTCCCACAACTCGCCGGCAATGCCGCACGCCGCCATCAGGAAGGTCAACATGATCGCCAGGATCGTCCGCCTGAGGCAATTCGTCCGCCGCTGGAGAATCAAGAGCCGCCGCTCCGACGGCGGCCATCGAACCCCCTCCGGCTCGCTCGCCGTCTACGTCGGCTCGGATCGCGTCCGGTTCGTCATCCCGACCCGGTTCCTCAACCTCCCTGTCTTCGTCGACCTCCTCCACGAGGCGGAGGAAGAGTTCGGTTTTCAGTCGACCGGCGGCCTGGTCCTACCCTGCGAACCGGGTTTTTTCCGAGAAGTAGTCCGGCTTCTCGAGGAAGACGAAGAAGCCTTCTGCGGGATGGGGCTAAACGAGTTCCTCAACGTCGCTCCGGAGCTCCGCCTCAAGCCGTTGGATCAATCGCCCTGCAGAGAATCCTCGCCGTCCGTTTCCTTCAGCCCGTTTCTGCCCAATGCAAGGGTTTGAATAAATTATTACTATTTTTTTTTTTTTCTGTTTTTTTTTCCTATTAGGGTTTTGAACATTGCATATCAGTCTTAGGTTCGTCTGGGAAACATCCTTGAGTGAGGCCAGAGTTTTAATGGTGATTTTCTGGCTACTCAAAGAGATGTCTGATACCCCCACCCCCCTCTCCTCTTTTTTTTCTTTTTTAAATAAATAAAAGAAAACAAATATATATGAATTGTAAATTGTTCCATTCCTGATGAACTTTTTACTTCTAAATTTTACCCCGCGATGATAAAAGTATGTGCCAACACACACACAGGCACACTTTTTTGTACTGCATATCACTCTCTCGAATATACTCTCTTCCGTCCACATACCATATCAATTTTTTTTTTAATTTTATTTTAAATTTTTAAATTTTAATTTTTTTAAATTTTAATTATACTCGTTAATTATTTTAATTTTAATTTATAATTATTTATATTATAAAATAATTATTTTTACTAATACATTTTTAATTACTCTCTTTCTAAAATCCCGTAGAATATTTATTTATTACTGACATTTTTGCACTTTTTGTTGGCGTCTTCCCTTTGTCTCCCTCGCTAGTCTCTACCTGCTTTGCGCTCCATTTTTTATTTTTCCTCTATGATTTTAATAAATGCACAAATTAATTTGGGGGCATACCTATTATTTAATTTAATTTATTTATTAATCACAGTAATTGGTTGTAAATGGAGATTTGCAGCATTAATAGTAAGAACACTGTGTTAGTTACTAAAATATATTAAAATAATAATAATAAAAAAAGTGAAACTAATATTATTTGATTTAATATAATTTTTAATTATGGGTGAAAGTAACAGTTGGAAGTGCAATTTGTATGTATGTTTGAAATAAAAAAGGTAACTCTGAAAACTATTATATACTGAAATTCACTGCGATAAAATCATCAGTGTCGGCGCGCGGTTCCTGGAGTGGGATTGGGGCTGATTGGGGATCTCCATTTTGCATCAATCCTGGAATGATTACAGTAGATTAAAGAGCTTTTGATTGCATCGCTTGAACTGCCGTGGTGATGTGTAGAAATGGCGTGCTTTGGTATTGAATGATTTGTACATTTGTAAATAAGGAGAGCCGTCGTTGGGTTGGGTGGTTGATAATCAGTTCAGAATGACAAAATCACAGAACTGACTCTTTAACCACAAGTTTTTCCTTGCTTTGTCGACCGACAGCTATTTCTTAGACTCCACTTCAACGCTCCACGCACAGAAGGCACAGGTGTGTACAGCGGAGACGCCGCGAAAGCCTTGGATTGATCAATTTGGTTGTACTTGTTGGAGGATGGGTGCAGTACGTTGGCCTCGTGAATCAGAGGTAATCTGGATCTGCTGATGGTTGTTACAATGCAATTTTGTTGAGTCGCCGCTCATATCGGCGTTTTATTGCATTTGGCGTACTGATCCAATACAGCTTTATGAAATATCTTATCTTCATTTTAATTCAATTGGTGTTAGATGGCATTTTTTCAGCAACGTGTGTTTGTTTTAGCTCCTTTTCGTATCTGGTAAAATCCGATGCAATCAGCCTGATCTGTTTTGTTCAGCAGTTTAATGTGATTAGGAGAAAGGTTGCGGAGATGTCTGGTAGGGATATTACAGATGTCAGAGTTGTCGTGTCCCCCTATAGGATATGCCCCCTGGGAGCTCATATTGACCACCAGGTGCGTGTCCTGCATAAATCTATGATTACAGTTTGAGAAATAAGTCCAGCTACAACATTGTGCAAATTGTTCTGCAATGTGAAGATGTCATTTGGTTACTAATATCCAGGTTTATAATAACATTCAACCTTCCTGTCATTGTTGCAGGGTGGTATTGTTTCTGCAATGACGATCGATAAGGGTATACTTCTTGGCTTTGTCCCATCTGATGATTCTCAGGTATTTCAATTTACAAAGCTTGTATGTTGAATTCATCAGTTGATAGTGAAGAAAACTGCATTACATCATTGTAAGCTGTACTTAGAAGTTACTAGAAACAGTAGTTGAGTCATTCGGTCACCGGGAATGGACTAACTAGCCTTATCATATTTTATTTGAAAATCTTCACTTGGAAGGGTGAAGCATAAGGACATTCATCTACTTCCTAGAGCAATCTCATAATTTTTTTTGTATTAAAATGATAGGGAATCTAATGATCAATGAGGATGAAACAATATGTACTTTGGTTATAAATAAAATGAAACATGAAAACTCTAGATCCTTTACCACAACTTCTGTTTTCTTTTTCCAGTTGATGAGATTATAGTAAATATTATATATAATGCATTTTCTGATGAAAATTTTTCTTTGTGTTCCTTCGAAGACCAAAACATGATTGCTTTTCTTTTCTAGGTTCTACTACAATCTGGACAGTTTCAAGGAGAAGTGAAGTTCAGGTGCTGATGAACACATTTTTCTTGTAGAATGTTGATTGTATATTTTCTATTCAAATGATTTTATTGAGACTGATATTAATATTTAGGTTTAAACAAGTTTGATACCTTGACTAGTGCCCACACACTTGTAAGTTATTATAACAATGATTTTTTGTTATGTCCAACTGACACAACATTCACAATCTCTTTGTTGCTTTATGAGGTATTTTGATGCTTCAAACTTTTTGTGTTATTTTGGTTTGTTTAATTAGTAGTTATTGGTTGATGCTTGTCACCTCTTGTCATTTATCCAGATAACCATTTTCCATCTCTTTGTTGCTTTATGGGGTATTTTGATGCTTCAAACTTTTTGTTGTGGTGTTATCGGTTAACCAAAGCTAACCCACTCCACCATACTTAAACCAATCTAGGCATTTCAAGCTGCGCACAGTTTATATGAATATCACTCACTAAGTTCTAATCGATTATAATTGTGCAACTACTGAATCTGAAAGGAGCTGACACAGTGAGATACACAATAGTCCTTAAGCATATCTTTATTTCCTCTCAACTTTTGCTTATTACATAGTTTCAAATATGTTAGTTCACTTCTTTATTCAACCTTTTTTATTTCTTATGTTTACTGAATTAATGGCTCTAATTGAAAAGGCTATATACATATATGCATATGTTTTCCTATCCATGGCATCAGTGTAGACGAAGAACCAATACCTGGAAAGGCTGCAAAACAAAATGGTTCAAATCACTTGAAGGGATCTTTCAGCACGCAGGAGGAATGCAGCTGGGGAAATTATGCAAGAGGAGCACTTTATGCGTTGAAGAAGAGAGGAAACAATATAAAACAGGTTTTGTTTTTATTGTTTGAAACCTAAAACAGGAAACATCTCTTTGTTGAAGTTTGAACACACCGACATGGGCAAAATAATGGGATTCCTTTGGCTTCGAAGAGCCATTCTCTGCAAGTTTATGACCTTCATTATTTAAAATTTTATCTAATATTGAAATGGCCTTTATATAAATAATTTGTGAAGTATGAGAATCTAACAGAAGGCAGAGCCACGGGCTAGGGAGCATAATATGAGTATGAATCATAACCTATTTTGTTTAGTTTCTATGGAACAATTTGATTTCTAGTGTTACGATTAGATTTTGTCCAGAAATCTAAACTGCATTTTGAATGGAAAATTTGATTACTGCCATGTGTCCACAATATCAGAATCATGGGGAATTCTTAGCTGACTCTGGCCCCACTGAGTTTTCGAACTCATTATCTCTCTTCAGTTTACAGTTGAATCAGATACACCATATTGTGTTAAAAATATTTTTACAAGTTTCTTCATATGAATGGTGTACTTATTTATGATTTTGCAGGGCATTATTGGGTATATTTGTGGTGCGGAGGGACTGGACAGCTCAGGCCTTAGCTCTTCAGCAGCTGTAAGTTTTCTTTTACACCTTTGAGGGTACCTACTTCATGTTTTGTTGTTGGAGAATTGGTAGCAGAACAATTCCGTTGCGCCCTTATATTTTGAGTAGATAGTTGCAAAAGCTAACAAGGAACACATATAGCTAGCAGCTTTATACTTATACCCATACAAAGTAGACGTTGGGTCTCACACATGAATTGTAACACATACTGGTAAGGTTTTGTGCAAGCAAACATCTGTAGGAGCTGCTGTTCCATCTTTCTTGAATCCCCTAAACAATTGTGGATGTTTATATTTTGACAGGTTGGTGTGGCATACCTGTTGGCTTTTGAAAGTGCAAATGATCTTATAGTGTCTCCCACAGAGAATATTGAGTATGATAGGTAACTTTAGTTTATTTTGTAAGATACATATGTAAGACTTCTTCTTCTCAAAAGTTACCATTGTTTTCATGAGTTACTTCACTCTAAGTCTGAGCATATGTTCCCCCAAATGAGGTTGTTTCCCTTGTTGATGAAGACAATAGAAAGGGTTACTCTACTCTTCTGTTTTCAATAATATACAGCAGCCCACCATCTCTATTTTAATTTTCAGTTTTTGATAGACTAAAACTATAATCGCTTACATGCAGGTTAATTGAAAATGAATATTTAGGTCTGAAGAATGGTATATTGGATCAGTCAGCCATATTACTTTCCAGTTATGGCTGTTTAACTTGTATGAACTGCAAGGTATACCCACTTCCATTTTGTATACATTGGCCTCAACTTACATGCCAAATATGCTGATGACATTAAGAATATATCCATCAAATGTTTGGCATTATGTGCTGTGACCTTAAACTCGTACAATCAGTCAAAATGCAACCTTGAACCAGTCTGTTGTGCGTTTGCAACTAATTTATTGACTAAATTGTTCTCTATAATTTAATTCTGTTAGTAGACCCTTTCAGCTTGGTTCCTTTTATCTTATAATATAATTGATTCACTTTTCCCTCTACATGTTGGTTTATACCTTTCATTTCCTGAACATTTCCTCGCTCAGACAAAAGAACACAATCTGATCCGTGGTCCAGAATTGAACAGCCATACTAGCAACGAGAACAATAGCCCATTCAAGATATTACTGGCATTTTCAGGATTGAAGCAGAATTTAATATCAAATCCTGGGTATAATTCCAGAGTTGCAGAATGTCGAGAAGCTGCAAAGATTTTACTTCAGTAAGATTCCTATTGTGCAAATATCTTGTTCCACCCATTATGTTTGTGACATTTGGAAATTTGTACCATTTCCTCTCACGAAAAAAACAGAACTCTCCACTTCATGACACCCACCTTTTCCTTTGAAATCACAGGGCTTGTGGGAATGAAGAGCTGGAGCCAATCCTATCTAACGGTACCTAGGAGTGTTAATTTATTTCTTGAACCTGCACATGCTCACTCACTTACGCATATACTTTTAACATCTGTTAACTTTGCGACAGTTGAACCAGAGGTTTACAAGGAACACAAGGTCCGTTTTCTAATCAATGTCATGAAGTGATTTTTTACGTTCACATGAATTTCTTATACGAATTGGCGATGCTTGATGGTATTGATATTTACAGTCTAGTTCGCCTTTATTGTTTATTTTAGCTACACTATATTACTAAACTTAAGCAGTTAATGAGGATATTTATTTGTTCTCTACAACCTATTAAGCTATCAGATATTCAATACCTATTCAGATTTTACTAATCTTATGTTCTTTATTATACCATTCTCTCTCTCTCTCTCTCTCTCTCTCTGGTTTCATATTGTTGTCAATGCCCTCAAAACAATGCAGTGCAAACTAGATCCCAATCTTGCAAGAAGGGCAGAGCACTATTTCTCAGAAAACAACCGAGTTCTCAAGGGTATGGTTCTCTAGGACGTTAGTAACTTTTTCTCCACCCACCTACCCGGTCCACCATTTTGTTCATGAGGTCTTGCCATATAGGTATATTGACAACGTGTTTAATTTAAGGGCTTGAGGCTTGGGCATGTGGAAACTTGGACGAATTCGGGAAGCTGATATCAGCATCTGGTTTAAGTTCAATCCAGAATTATGAGAGCGGTATATGATTTCTTGCTAGTTGCTGCAATATAATTAAATATGTGCTGTAATAGTATATGTTATTTGCAGAAAGCATGATTTAATCAAATAATTAAGTAAATCCATCTCATCTCATCTAATCTCATTATAAGTTTCTCATAGTTTGAGTGTATGTATGTATCAGGGTGTGAACCACTTATTCAGCTGTACAAGATCCTTCTGGAAGCTCCCGGAGTGTATGGAGCTAGGTTCAGCGGCGCAGGGTTCCGTGGCTGCTGCATTGCATTTGTAGAAGCAGAGCGGGCGTCGGACGCGTCATCGTACATCAAGATGCAGTATTCTCAGGTCCAACCGGAGCTAGCAAAACAAATGGATGAGGATGGGCTGGTCCTCGTATGTGATGCAGGTGATTGTGCTCGTGTAATTTGAACACCTTCACTTTCTTGCTTATTTTTCAATGTCTTCATCTTGATTTGATTGAAATCTTCATTCGCATTTATACTTGTATTATGGAGTGATTCTATTTGATCTTTTCAATGAATTTACATCGCTAGTCATTACATCTTTCTTTCTTTCTCTGCCACTGCACATGCATGCCCACAACATAAGATTATTTCGTATAAAAAGTAAGTATAATTTATCATTATGAGAATGCATAATAATAAGAAGAAAGAAGAAAAAACTGGAAAATAAAATATAATAAATCCTAAATGGGATCAAAATTCCTCTCTTTAGCATTAAACCAATGATTGAAGTTTGTGTTTAGGGTGGTTTGTTTAAGCTGTCAAAGCACATGCACATGCACATCCACATCCAAGAAAGAAAGATTACAAACCAAATACACATCACTAGGAGACTCAAAACACAAAAGTTGGTGTGATTCATTGGGCAACAACAGCATAAATTTCTGTATCAAGTCACTAGCCTGGCCATGCCATGCCATTCTTCTCTTTCCCAGTCCACAGTGAATAAGAAGATCTGATTGAGCATCACAATGGCTGACAGCAATTCTTGCACCAACTAACATACACAAGATTGAGATCTCAAGTTTTGGGCTTCTTTTGAGAAGCACCATCTCCAGCCTCAGGCTTGCGCTTTATATTCAAGAAGTGCTCCACCTGGGAAAGTAAGTAGATCATTATTATTATTTTGCAGGAAGTTTACAAATCAGTTATTTCATTCATGCCCTACTAATAAGTATTACATCGTCTTGTCAACACTCACCTTTTTATCACCAAGCATGGGGGTTAAGCCTCCGGCAAAGTCCTTTTCCACAGTTGCAAAGCCGCTTCTCGGATCACTGCTTTGCCTGGATACATAGAAACATGAAACACATAAATAGTTGACAGAAAGTGGGAGCAAAGGTAAAAAGACCAACCATAAATTCATCTTACAGACCTGTAACAAACAACAAGCTTGGGCATATTCGACAGGATTTTACAGAAATTAATTATCTGCTCACTCTAGTAATAACAATCAAACACATTTCACAAGCATGGAAATTTATAGTCTAAAAGCATGTATCTCTATTCTTATCATACCCTGGTTTAACATGTCCACTCAGAACAAGATACGGTGTTTGTTGTTTAGCTTGGACTTCCCTCATCCTCTCCACGGAAAGTGATGGAGTATCTGCATTTTTCATCTGTTTAATCTTCAATTCTTCCTGATACTGACGCATACGCTTTTCCTGCTTCATTTTCCCAGGTCCCTTTCCATGGAACTTGTGTGAGAGCAGCCGAAAGGCTTCCTTTGGAGTCAACTGCAAAACAGGAAAAGACACAGTCAATAAGAAACAAACTAACTTTGTCAACTCATTCTGCAGTCAATTGTACAGTAACTTCAACTGATTAATTCGCAAGTTTTAACTACCTATTAAATCAGGTTCCATGAACTATGTTCAGCAAAGAAAAGCACAATAAAACTGCATCCTGCAACGGTTAATCCTAATTCCTGGAGCCCAATTTCCTACAGCGTGAAAGCATGAAATGGTTTAATTTTTATTCCTAGTGTTCCCAGATTTTCCCATCATCAAGACAAGAGCACTTACAATTCGGCCATATTCATCTGTCCTCTCAATGCGTATTTCCTTAGATCCATCATTATCATATATGCCAACAAGCTTGCTTTTTTTCTTGTCCATGTTCCGACCACCCCATTCAACAGTTTCTTTCAGAGTTCCACGATCTTTTAGAAGTTTGAGAGCACCAGCTAGACCCTTCCCAACTGCAGCTTCATGAATTGCCTCATCCGGAACAACCTCCTCGTCTTCCTCCTTTGCAGGAGTTTCATCTTTCATGGTTTCATCCATCTGAGTCTGGTCCTCATCTTCTTCTTTCATTTCTTGATCAGAGGTGCTTGGTACCACATCTTCCTCCATGAAAACATCTTCGCTCTCAGGTTTTTTCTCCTCTGTGAGAATACAGAGAAATCAGAAATGCAAGGGGAAATAAACTTGAAATTTTAAGCAAGGTTAAAGGATCAACATACAGTAGCACAATTTAAGGAAAGAAGCAAAATTATCAGCATAGCACAACAAAAAGGAACAACCAACACCAGTGGGATGTATGAAATCCAATTACTACTAAAGGCACTTTCTTTTGATGGAGGATAGTATGATTTATCCCGTTGAATAATACCATCCAAATTAGTTGGTTTGTAGTGTAGTGACTCATGGTTTTTATGATGCAAAATAAGCAAGTTAGTATGGTAAATGTAAGAGTGAGTATGAGCTAACTGTATGAAATCAAACAGGGATTTCATACCTTCATCATGCTGCAGACCCCACACAAATTCATCCATCTCAGTGAAAACAACTGTATTCTCTTGCTGTTCTCCAGATGTCACATTTTGATCATCTGCCTTTGACTCATTGGCAGTCGAGTTAGCAAGTTGAATTATGAACTTAGCAGAATTCTCTTCCTCATTTTGCTTTTTCAAGGCCTTTTTTCTTGCCCTCTCTAATGCCTTCCGTAGCTCATCATCATCATCACCCAAAGCAGGATTATCATCATCTTCAGTCTGCTCTGTGCGTACTTGTTCCCGTCGAAGTGCTTTAGATGCCTCATCCGCTTTAGCATATGCTGACTCATAAGCATTGCTTCTCATTTCAGCCTCAAGCTTATCTTGTTCCTCCCTAAGACTTGACCTTTTCCCATCTTTTCGTGACCCAAGATCCCCAGCGCCCAATCCAGCAGATATAGCCTCTGCTTCGAGGGCACTGATATCCAGTTTGTCCTTCTTCCTCAAAGATTTCTTTTTCTTTGGCTTTTTGAACTTAGTCATTTCCTCTTGGGTGTAATAATCAGATGAGATCTTCCCGGATGAAGTGAGATCTACAACATTATTGCTTGCCGAAACTCCTTTAATTCTTTTTCGAAGCTGTAATATGTTAAAATTTTAAAATTTTACCAGCAAAAATCCTGTTTTAAATAAGAAACCTACAAATAAACAGAAAATAAATACCTCTTCCAATTTCTTTTCAGCGTCACTACTTATACGTCCAGTTGAATCAAGAGTCACCCCCTATACCAAAAATCAGGATATCGATGTAATCATATTCATCAAGAGCAGGGGAAAATATATTTAAGGAAATTGAAAGACAGACCTCATCTGTGACAGGATCATCATATTGCGGGAGCATTTTCTTCTCAGAACCAGGTTCGTCGTTGAACCTAATAGAACATGAAACAATAATCACTTTATTTACCTGATAACAGAAGACTACATTCAAAATTTGCTAAAAAACCTTACTTGTCATCATAAACACCAGTTTTTTTCTTTGCAGCCTTATATGCATCGTCCCTGCGCTTCTGCTCTCCAAGCTCCACATTCTCGAGCATATCAACCTCTGGTATATACAATTTAACGTCACCTTAGGAAATCTGAGTCCAGAAAATACCGCAAAAGGAATGAAAAAGAACTGTATACACAACTACAGGGGCAATAAAACTATAAAACAGGACAAATATTTTAAAATAATATACCTTGATTGACATCCCCATCGGCGAGTATGCTTTGATCTTTCAGTGTCAATACCACTGCTCCACCTTCAAGTACTTTATCAAGTCCATGGAGAACTCTCACCCCACTTAAGTCATCTGCCATGGATGGATGACATTTCACAATGTTAAGAGCTTGCTGATCATTAAGGCAGAGCAGGAAAGTAATACTGAGTTAATCTTTCTGTGTCACAACAATGCATTCCCGATAGTAACCATTAATTGCATCCTCACCATACACAAAAGATGTTTTCAGCTTTCTAAACATTTTAAGTTTAAGATAACAAAATGAAGTTTGATTCTTGAAGCAACAGTAACTAGGCTGGTTAAATTGGTTTCATCTGAAAGTGGAAATGCCAAATAAACAATAGTCTATTGATATTAGTGGTAACGATGTATAAATTTTAACGAGACATACGAGCTGTTTGTTGATCTGTAGCCTCATCATCACTTTCTTCCTCATTCATGTTGTCCTGAAACATGCAATGAAATATGTTGTAATGTTTCATACGAAAATATAACATTACTCTGCAAGCTTTAAGGTGCAAAAAATAAGTTCAAGACAATAAACCTGCTCTTCAAAAATTTTAGAAAGTTGCAAGGCTTTCTCCTTTTCAGCATTCATCTTCTCTTCAAGCTGTCTGCTTCTGTTAACCCAAGATAAAACCTCTGAAGCACCTTCAGCTGACTTCTTTAATCTTTCTTCCTTCATTCTATGCAGCAGAAAAAAATCAATGTTATATTCACAACTTAAGTATTAAAGCCTCAACTTTCAAACTAGAAACCGTCTCATCAGGGATCAATAATGGAAATGCGACTGTCGCACATCAAAGCTATAAATGTACATCATATCGAATAAACGAATAGACTATTCATAGTAAAATTCTCAGTCAAATAATAAATAGACTACTACCAAACCTTTCAATGTTTCTGTTCAACTTGTATAATTTAATAGATAATCGCACATATAATAAGCCTCTAGTATAAATTTAAACAATAATTATTTGTCTCATTTTTAAATCAAGCAAATTCAGAATAGTTGTCGGATACACCAGTGTGGTGAAGAATTACCATACATGACACACAACACAGTGCATGCTATAACTTATATATATTTTCAAAATACATAATACACATATATATACACCATACACATGCATACCAAACAAACATATATTATATTGAACAAGATTGAACCTCAATATACACATTATAAAATATAAAACAGATTATGCACAAACAGTAACACAAACCTGAAATTTTAATATATATGCACACAGTTTTTGAGCAAAACAGAAACTGATGCTGCCTTACCTGGTGGTTGACCACTGGCGAAGGCAGCATGGTGGAAGATGCAAGAAAAATTGATGAGAGGCAAGGAGATAAAGAAAATAGGATGGGGAGAGGGTCAGTGGCTACGAAGGAGATGAAACTCAGAAGGAAAGATAGAATGAAATTTCCTGCATCCTTATTTAATTGGTAAAAACAAAATAAACTCTAATCAATTGTAATTAACTCTAATAAATGTAAATTAATAGCACAAAGTTTGCATTCAATGTTATGGCAATGGCAGCTCATGCGAGCCTAGAAAATGGCACAGATGTTTGCACACCATGGCGCCATTTACAACTGTGAGCATTATCCTACAAATTAGTAATATTACATAAAAAATTAACATAGTTGTTTCTTTGCACATATCACTTCAAAGTTTTTTTCCTACATCTATCAAACTTTGTACCTTCCTCTCACCAATTACTTTTCTCAGATTTGATCAGTTACTTCAACATTGCACAAAATCCTTTTTGCTATAAGAAAAGGTATAAAGTAAATCAAGTATATGGACTTTATAATAATCAAACATGCCTACTGTAGCAAAAATGCCTGGGAATGTTAAACACATAAAATTTTATAAGAAAACAAACATCACATTCCCTTTAAACAAAAGGTTATGTTTGCAAATTAAGCAACAGCAGTTAACTTACTTGGAGATTCGGTCCTCTAACTCTGATGCTGTTCGGCGTGATCCAGACACTGCAATTTCAGTTTTCTCAAGATGCTTCAAAGTCTCTGAGTCATTCACATCATCAGAATTATCCATTCTACCTTTTGTGGACTGATTATTGTGAGAATAATCATTCTCCATCTCCTTGTCCCTCTTGTGAGTTTCATCCTTTTGTTTACGTGAACTTTTTTCGGTATCCCTTCCCACATCTTTCTCTAGATCTGCTTGCCTTTCTTTATCTCTGGTCCTCTCCTTCCCCTTCTCCCTCTCAGTTGTATCTTTACCCCTATCTCTTTCCCTCTCCCTTTCTTTGTGTTTTTCTCGATCCCTATCCTTCGGTCTTTCTCTTTCTTTCTCTCTATCCTTGTCCTTATCTCTACTACTCTTCTCTTTCCCCCTTTCTTTGCCATGTCCTTTCTCGCCATCCTTCTCAAGCTCCTTTTCCCGCTCTTTATCTCGCTCCTTCTCCTTTACCCGATCCTTTCGCTCTTTATCCTTTTCCTTTTCCCTGTGCTTCTCTCGATCAGCTTCCCTCTCTCTTGCCCTATCTCGGACCTTTTCCTTATCTCTCTCATCTCTGTCCTCCTTCCTCCTATCCCTACGGTCTTTCTCAGAATCTTTATTATCTTTCTCTCTTTCCCTTGGCCTTTCTAGATCCCTACTCCTGTGTTCTTTATCCTCCCTACGGCCACTGCTTTTGCTCTTATCTTTGGCTCGATGTTTCCCTGAATCTCGGGGTTCATCCGATTCATTTCCTTCTAAATCAGCATGCTCCCCATGCCATCTGTCCCTCATAGAGGCATCATCTTGGTCTCGTGTCTCAACACTTCGTGCACGCCTATTTTCAACCAAATCTGCTCCCATATTTGGCGAGGCTAAGAAACTGTTTCCACAGACGAATCAAATATCAATGTTTTATAAAATATTAAAGGCAAACAAACACAACCAGATCAGCAGAAGATGCGAGGAAAAGCCCTGAATAACAGGTGATAGATAGTATGATATAAAAGATCTCAAAAGGATAAACCGCATCCAATTACAGGAAGCAGAAAACGCCAGATACCATCTCTTCCTAAACATTATCAACAACCAAATATTATGCTTACTACTCAAGAGCTATTTCAGGCACCTAGAACTAAAGTCCCAATGTTAAGTAACTCAACCATCTGGAATCAATCTCCGCCCGTCAAAAAAGCTTACCCATCTCTATATTACCATTACAAAACATCATCAACATAACGCACACCTAGCTCTCAACGATAAAACACAAAGTTCACTGAACTGGTCCAAACAAACATATTCAACACACAAATAGTAAACTACGACAATTTAGGGATTGAATCCGAAATACATCTACAAGATAAAAATCCACACAATCCTTCAAATTAATACGGCCGTAAATCTGCTTAACGAAATATCTTTAATCAAAACGAAGACGCACCTTCAACCCGAGCGAACGAAGGGTAGCCGAAGATTCGATGAAGCAAACTTCCCCCTTCAGCCACGGGAAAGAGCAGCGGCAAAGAACATAAATAAATCACAATATGGGCCTGGCCTGTATTTAACAACACTATATTTGGGCCCAAGAATACACTATGGACCTATTAATAATGGACCCAATATATAAGCCCATAATGTGGTCTTAGGCTGTGTTTTCTGTACAACATTTGTTGTAGTGATAATTTTAAAATAAATAACTATTTAATTAATATAAAAATAATAATAAATTAGTGTAATATTTTACATTAAAAATTGAATAATAAAAAATACGAAAATAATAATAATATAAAAGAACTAATTTTAATTTTTATATACATTGATGTACATCTTCGGATGTACAAATAACTATTTTTGACTGAAAATCATACATAGTTATATAAATTGATGTCTGAGGCTCAGTTTAGATAAAGAGTTTGAATTTGGAATTTTTTTAAAAAAAATAGTAAAAATATATATATTTAATATTATATTTTTGAAAGATTATTATAAACTAATAATATCAAAAGTTTCAAAACTGGTTTTGTAAACAAAACTTTCTTTGGGGTCATTTTTTTTTTATTTGGGTAGATTTCTTTAGCTACATGCAAGTATTACTCTTTTAACCATCTATATAAATATAACTTTGATTAGTTTATAATTATATTACAAACGAAAAGTAATATTAAAATGGTCCCAAAATCTATTGAATGATGGAGTAATAAAAAGTAATTTAACCTAAGGACTATTCAACTTTTAAGAGCACCAACATAAAAAAAAAAATACACGCATATAAATCATGGCTGTCTTTTTAGCCAGAAATATATTATCCCTCAGTCCCATTTAATATGGGCGTATTACCGTAGACACGGAAATTTAGGTAAAGTATAATTAGTAAATAATTAAGCAATGTATTAGTAAAAATAATTATTATTTAGTAAACATAATTATAGATTAAGATTAAGATAAGTAAATATTTTAATTAAAATTAAAAAAATTATAAAATTTAAAATTTAAAATGCCATTAAAGTGCATAATTATATTTTAAAAAATAGAAAGGACAAGTTATGTATGACAGACGAAAATAGAAAATAGGGACAAATTATGTGGGACTGAAGGAGTAGGTTTCAATAATAAGTTTTGGAATTTTTTTTTTTTTTTGAAAGAAAAAAAAATTATCTATTGTGAAATTTTTCAAAAATATTTATATACTACTCCCTCCGTCGAATTTCTATTGTCCTAAAGTATATTTGCACGGTTTTTTAGGTGATTGTCTTTTTGTTATGAATCGATAAATGTGCCTTTAATTTTATGGTAGATATTGAAAGTAATGAATAAATTGAAGGTAAAAATGTAAAATTTGTATTTAAAAAAAGAAATAGGACAATAGTTGTTGAACGTCTCAAATAGGAAAGTAGGATATTAGTTTGTGCACGGATGGAATATATAATATTGAAGGTGGAGCTAATATATGAAAATTTGTTGTTCTATACGATATTATTGGATTTAGAATAACTTTTTGACCTGTTCTAATCAGAAAAATTGATAAGATCAGTGCACATGCAACAGGATGCATTTTGTAATTGGTCTATATTTCAAAATGATTGTTATATATATATATATTATATATTTATAATTAGTAAAGTGGAATTAGGTTCTCATTTCCACATTAATGAAAGAATGAATCATATCATATCATAGTATCTCTCCACTATAAATATTATTCGGGTTTAATTGAAGCATACTGTCTTTTAATTTTTGCTGTTGGATTAGACTATTCAACTAAACATATGATATATAGTAGATCTAAAGAAGTAGCACTCCCTCCATCCCAAACAAGGTGTAACGTTTACTTTTGGTACGGATTTTTAGATGGATAATATTAAGTAGGATAATTTAGAAATTAGGCGGGGTAGAAATTAAATATAATTAATTATTTCCTATTTTGGAAATGTTGCAGACTGTTTGGGACATAAAAAAAAAAAAAAAAAAAAAAGAAATATTGCAGGGTGTTTGAGACGGAGGGAGTATTATATATGTCATAATATATTATAAATTCAATCAAAACTAATTATATGACTACTTAGGCACAAATTAAATCTCTTTCACAGGAAATGTGTCCATTCTTGAATTTTCAAACAAACAAAAAAAGGCATATTATTTTATTCGACTAATCGGACGCATCAATAGAGTTGATACTTAATCCACAAAATTATTAGCACATTTTTCACCTCAAACTTGTTCGAAATTCAAATCGAATCTTGCCCTAGAACAACATAGATTTTAACAAATGGTATCATTTCTACTTTCCCAATTTTCTTTTAAGCAAGTGTTATGATATCCACAATGATTTTGATTAATTAAAAAGTCACACAACATTAATTCAAGACTATTAATTAATTTCATAACAATACTTTGACAGTTAACTAATTAAGCCACCAAATTATACACTTTGTACTTTAATAATTAATTGTGAATCCATACACATACTATTATTATTATTATTATTATTATTATTATTATTATTATTATTATTATTATTATTATTATTATTATTAAAATTTCCTCGAATTTAAAAATTCATAAAACAAGAAAAGTCCAAAATGCTACCATCCTACGTCACTAGCACTAGTGCTTAATTAGCATGCAAAAACACACTTATAAATATATACACATTTTTTATTTTATTTTATTTTTTTTTCAACTATGTATATATATATATATATGTGTGTGTGTGTGTGGGGATAGTGTTGGTGCCCCTATAATACAAAAAACCTAAGTAGATATGATTAGATATATCTATGTATATATATATATATATAACTTACGTCCTCCACCATTTTTAACTACCTATCGATCTATCTATTGTACTCAACGCTAAAAGTCTTGTACCTACACTCAATTCGTCTTCTTCTTCATCTTCTTCACTGTAACTGAATTTGTTGCAGATCATGAAGCCCTCTGCAGATGGACAATGTAATAATAACAACTCCTCCACTGTCAGAAGAATTGTGGCGGCCCTTGTCGGCCTGATTCGTTTCTTCCTGTTTCAGGTGAATCCCTTCTGGCAAGAACTCGTCTACTTCCTCCTCCTTTCCGGCGCCGGATTCATGTCCCTTAAGGTTTCCAGGCCCCGGCGGCGACCTCCGCCGGCCAACGTCGATCTATTCTTCACCGCCGTGTCGGCCTCCACCGTCTCCAGCATGTCCACCGTTGACATGGAGGTTTTCTCGAGCCTCCAGCTCGTGTTCATGACCTTCATGATGTTTCTCGGCGGCGAGGTATTCACCTCCATGATCGGGCTTCTGCTCGTCAAATCGAAGATGAAAAGGAGAATCCCGAATGTCTTCACCGCCGGCGCTGATTCCGATCGTGTCGCCGCCGGCGACGGGGTCGAGATCGGTAAGGTTTGTGTTCATCCCAATTTGTGGGAAAAAAACCCTCGCGACGACGGCGACAGCCTGAAATTAAAATCCGTTGCACTTTTATCCACCGTCGTCTCCGTTTACCTTCTGGCGGCAACTCTGTCGGGCTCCATTGCCATTTTCGTGTACCTTTCGTCGATTCCGAGCGCGCGCAGAATCCTCCGGCGAAAAGGCCTGAACTTGCAGGTGTTCGCCGTCTTCACGGCGGTCTCCACGTTCACGAACTGCGGATACGTCCCGACCAACGAGAACATGGCCGTGTTCAAGAAGAACTCAGGCCTGCTTCTGATTTTGATTCCGCAGATTCTGATGGGGAACACGATGTACCCGATTTGCCTGCGGGCGTCGATTTGGGTCGCCGGGAAGTTCACGAGGTCGAAGAAGAAGGAGTACAGGTACATGGCGGAGAATGGCGGGAAATTAGGGTACGACCACCTGCTGGCGGGAAGGCGGTGTGTGTATTTGGGAATGAGTGGATTAGGGTTTATAGCGTTGCAGTTGGCGGTTTTCTGCGCGATGGAATGGAAGTCGGCGGCGGTCGGCGGCGGCGGCCTGAATGGGTACCAGAAGCTGGTGGCGTCGTTGTTCCAGGTGGTGAATTCCAGGCATACTGGGGAATTGGTTTTTGATCTCTCTGCCATTTCTTCTGCTGTTCTCGTGCTGTTTGTCTTCATGATGTAAGTCCTCATTATTATTATTATTATTTTTATTTTTTTTTTTTTCTGTTGATTATTTATTTATTTATTTATTTTTCCATTTGTTTTGCACTTGTTTCGGGTGGGGGTGGAGGTGGGGGTGGGGGGTTCAGGTACTATGTTGTTGTGTGGAATGGAGGAACAGCTCTATATAGTATTATATTCTATTCCCACGCACGTAGGTTATGATAAAGTTGCATGAATGATTAGTTAAAATATATTGATTAGTTTATTGAATGTGGTGCTCGTGTCTTATCCTTAAATTAATTATTAGTATTCTATGTCTCGACCATTGAGAATATAGGTGGGTGGGTGGCGGTCCCTGCAAATCTAAATGTATATTTTGAAAGCACTGCGCGCTACCTTTAATTTATATATATTATCATGGTATAGATAGATAGATAGATAGATAGATAGATGGAATGCTTGCATTTGCATGCATGCAATGCAATTTGGTGATTAGTTTCTGTGAAAATATAATATAATGTAATAATAATAATAATGTAAGTGCAAGCAATTACTACTAGCTCCTTTGCAAATTGCAGGTACCTCCCACCATACACTTCATATGCACCAATTAGTGAAGGTGACACCACAAAAATAAGAGACGACGACTGTGACAATAACGATAACAATAATGATCATGATGTAGATGATATCTGCAAAGTAAGAAGAGAAAACAAGAAGATGAAGCTGCTGCAGGGTGGTTTCTGGGAAAACATGTTTTTCTCACAGCTCACATACCTCACCATATTCGTCATCCTTATTTGCATTACAGAGAGGCATTCGATCAAGACAGACCCCCTTAACTTCAACGTACTCAATGTCGTCGTTGAGGTGATCAGGTAAGCGAGAAAAACACTTGCACTGAAATTTGCACACTCAAATCAAATCAAATCCTAGTGTTGATATGGTTTCTATATTGCAGTGCATATGGGAACGTCGGGTTCTCAGTTGGATACAGTTGCGCAAGACAAATCACACCCGACGGACGCTGCAAGGATGCGTCGTATGGTTTTGCAGGAAGATGGAGCAATGAGGGGAAATTTGTGCTGATCATAGTGATGTTCTTTGGAAGGTTGAAAAAATACACCAGGAGAGGGGGTAGGGCATGGGCCCTGCAATAATACCCTCTCTCTCTCTCTCTCTCTCTCTCTCTCTCTCTCTCTCTCTCTCTCTCACAAATAAACATATATATATATATATGTTTGGTGTGATTGTATCATACAAAATGTAAGTAGCTTCTACCTAATGTAAAACGTATATGCAGGCTTGATCAGCTAGTTGTGTATATAAATATTTCTAGCTTTTGAAAAATGAGTGTTGAAATAATAATAATGTATGTTAGGAATGTGTAGAAATGATGCTGAAAAATATATGTATTTATATGTGTGTGTTTGTCACAATCATGTTCCAAAACAAACCACAGAAACAAAATGGGAGTGGAGTCTAGGTGGAAAGTAAAAACCATTCGACTAAAATTAGTGGAGAGTGAAAGTGGAGCATCAAAAGTCTTGAACATTTTATGGTGGCTAAGGACAGAATGACCGAACATTTTGGGAAGTAAAAGTTCATTTAGCTGACCATTGGTTCGGGGCTGGATGCTGCCAGTATATCCAACAGTGAATCCTTAGGTTCCAGCTCTTCATGCCAGAGAGGTAGTGTATCACCCGGATAGAACTTTCGAACCACTCCATCCTCGTTAATCTGCAATAACAAGTCATCATCGCGACCATAAGGTTTCGAAAGTGGAATCAAGAGACAAGACACCACCAGCAGGCAAGCATGCATGCTGTTTGATGGAAAGAGACTATAATGATTACAGAAATGAATTCCTGTAATTGGAAAGGCAGAAATATGCATAATAAGCAAGAACAAGGTGTAGTTTTAGGGTTTGGGGTTTATCACTTTTAATCAGAACGAGAGGTAATTAACAGGACTTACAGTCACAGTTCGAACAACACCGCCACTAGCACCATCCCGAGCAATGGCAAGAGAAACTGCTTTCACAACTAATTTCTGAGAAAAAATGTCGAAGAAATGTAAGGTACATTAGAATGAGCGGCTGCAATGTAAGTGATAAGCTACACAGCTTTCCAGATTGAACATTATTATATTGCAGGCCTATCTAGACTATGAAAATCACTTGCAAATTCCAGTGATGGTTCATAGGAGCAGTATGCTTATGGTGATACTGATATCTAATTTATACAAACAAAATTTTGAAGAAAAACAACAGAAGGAAGTCCTAAATATTTATTCTCAGAATGAATTCAATAATTTTTCATAGAAGTAGTAGAGCATAAAGCACCTCAGCTTCATCTTGCGTCATTCCTTCCTTCCATTCTTGGTCAAAGAACCCGTACAGATAGGTAGAGCCAGACCCTGAGATACAAACAAGAATCAGTGTGCAATACTTCAAGCCTATTATAATGCATATAGACTTGATTACTACATGTTAAAGCAGAGATATGAAGTATTTGGCCATCTTGAGGTTTGGCCAGTGCAAACCAGAAATATTACACTTGGAGGGTGTGGTCTCTTGTGTTTATTTATTTAGTTCAGTATTACAAAGTAAGGTTCTTCATTCAGTAAGAGTTATAAAAATGTAGGGGGACAAGAGTCTCAGAAATAGCTTAGAAACCATCCTGGAAAACTGTAAAAATAGGTTTTATGTAGAAACTGAAAAATATCTTATAACGAAGAGTAATTTTTAAAAAAAAGTAAAAAAAGGGGGCACCTCCAATGGTAAAAGGCAGATCTAAAATAGTGCCTCCCAGAGGTACTCCAAAAATTTTGCCCCCTTCATACTTATCCCATCCACCAACAATCAGACCAGTTTGCAGCATGTTCTGCAAAAATCAATATATTCAAATAAAGCAGAGACCAAATATAAAAATACTATAACTCCGCAACCACATGAAATAGATATATCAAGGCAGGCTGTAAGTGCAGTTTGGTAATATTTTACATTCAGGCACAAATTAAATGTTCGTCATTCTCATTATCTTGGCTTGGGCCAACTTCAAAATGGAGAACTCTGAAAGCGTTACAAAGACAACAGTCATACTATGTGCATCATCTTAAAAGCAATAAATATGATGATAAGACACATTTACACCTAAAACCATATCAATTATATTTCCATCACATTGAAAAATATATATATTTTGGCATAAATGCATCGGAAACCATTCCAATGGTAGCATAACTATCAAAATTTCCAACAATTTTAACCTGTAAATGCCCACAAAAATTTAAGAATTGCATATAAGAGCTCGTTAGCAAACCTTGTTGTTGTAAGATAATAATCTGACAAGGTTGGCAGCAACTTTTACTGTTGATGGCTGCCCCAACTGTATCCTGCATGGCTAAGAAAATCATAAGAATTTCATTTTATAAACTTAGAAGACATATTTCACCAAGATTCGAAATCCATTTGGCAAACCAATATGAAGAATGTGACATTTGAGGAATTATGCAAGGAGAAATGTTAAACAGCCATTAATGACTAGCATTATTCCAAGATAGCTCTAACTCTCACTCAGTCTATTTAAGCGTTTTTCCTCTATACATAAAGTACACTACATTAGCTCCTTAAGAATTGGAAATTCCATAATCAGGCAGATGTGCTAATAAACAGAATAGATGATGTTTGAGGGGGAAAAAAAGAATTCAAGGTCTTTTAAGTTTCAAAAATCAATTACATTATAAGACACAACAATATTACAATGGAGGTTTCAGGCAAGCTTACGTGTGTTGATGAAGAAAGTGACGGACGTAATCTGATACAATCTGCGAATCTGCTGCCTGAGAAAACAAAAAAAAGGCTCGTCAAAAGTAAGAAAAGATATTTTGCTTCCCTAGTGGAAATCAAGCATAGATCATATACATTTTCCTATTCAAAGAGTAGACACACTGTTCACCGACACGGAACAATATGAGAAAAGCAGCAAACATAATTTCAAACCCTAAACTTCCTAAAAAATACAGAAGGAAAGAAGAAGAGAAACACATAAATAGCACCCCTAAAATTCCTACAAATTCTTACCGAACCAGAGCGGCAGAGATAGACATTATCGGTTAGCTGAGTGATCTTGTCAGATGCCCGATTCGCCACATACATTCCTACAAATCATAGTTACCGAACACAAAACATGAAAAATGGTAATTGTACGAAGCCACGAGATTTTAAGAGCCTTCCTACATCAAATAATTTATTTCTTGGGGCAAGAAGAGTCACCGGTGCTGGTGCGAGAATCGGCGCCCAGAACAACCCCGCCGTTGTAAGTGACTCCGATGATAGTAGTCCCCATCGAATGAGGAGCATTGAGATCTCCTAAGCTGAAATCCATGACGCCAACGAATATGCGAACGAAATGGCCTCAAACCGGAGCACGATTATCAGCAGAGTCCAAACCCTAGCGAAACGATTGAAGAAGAAAGAAGTATCAGTTGAAAATGACAAGAGCCAGGGTTTCGTGCACCGGAAGAATGCACCAGCTCAGTTTCAATCATTCACAAGAGTTCAGCCCCTTGATTTTCAACAATTTATACATCTGCCTCTCTAGAATATCAATTTTGCAAACTGGCCCCAACCCTCTATTCTCCATTGTTCATGCTTTTTTAAATTATATTCTTATTTACAAAATTATCACTTTTATAATCGTTTATTTCAATGTATTTGTTTTTGTAAAATAATTTAAAAGGATATTATATAAAACATAAATAATTATATAAATAATATAAAAATAATAATTTTGTAGATATATTATATTTTAAATATATATATATAAGCTAAACAAACTGCTATTATTTACATAAAAAAATCTTACACAAAATATATTTTCTCTTAAAAATATCACATAAATATAAAACTCAAATCAAATTAAATTAAATACTATGTTAATATAAATAACTAATTGTCAATGTTTATATTTTTCACATATATTCAACACTCCTATGATATTTAAAAAAAAAAAAAACTATTAATAATAACCACAAAACTTTCAAAAAGCATCTATATGAATATTGACCAAATTTTTCCAAATAAATTATAGTAATATGTTTACATTATAGAAGATAAACACAAAAAACAAAAAAACAAAACAAAAAAAAAATGAAAAATTTATTCTTCTTGAATAATACACAGCCGGTGCTTCGAAGACAGGATACTTGAACAAGGCAGACATGGACTTTATGGATTGCAAACTGCAAAACAAATTTCCTATATCTATGTAATGATCTACATATAACTTTGAAGGCAAAACAACAACATTGGATTCTCCAAGCAATCCATGCCAGGTTCCATTCCAGCACCACAAATTTCTGATTCTTCAGAGATACAACGAGTTTGCGAACATTATGCCATGTCGGATGCTTTCGCAGGCACCGTTAAACTTGTCTTCCAGATCAGCTTCCCCGACAGCATGAGCTGCTGATTTCAACTGAAAAGTAATGTACAAAAAGAACATCAACTGAGGTTGAAGATATGGAGTTCAAAAAGGAAATGGCAGGTAGGATTAAATCAGTTTTCAGTCTAGGTAAGAACAGTGGTAAAAACTCACCTGGTTCAGAAACTCGTAAAGCCTTCTTGCTATGCGAATAATACTGCCTTCGAATATGTCAGTCATTTGGATGACTTCGGCAAAGGATGCTCCCTGGAGAAGAAGATTCAAAGATGGATGAATAATCAAGAATGTCAACAACATATATTGATGGGAATATAGCTAATCGAAAATAGAAACAGGGCCAATTTTGAAACTGGTTATTGAAGGTGAAGAACAAAGAAATGAAACAAAAGTAAAAACAGATGTTACTGCTAATCTTAGAGAAATAATCGCAAATAGAATACTGTGAAGGTATACACCAACCTTTGACCAGCAGTAAATTACATCCATCAAGAATGGTCTAATTGATGCCTCAACATATTCGTCCACATCTATTTCCAGTTTGCATTCACGTTGGATCTGCAATGGTGACGTTTCCAGTCATCGTTAATATACTAATTCAAAAAAATGAAATAGAGAAAACATGGAATTTAGAGCATGTTAAAATACCTCAGCTATTCTTCTGGCACTGTCCTGAAGCTGTTGCAGAGGTTTGGAGAGTTCAGCTCTTAAATTTATCTGTTCACTCGATCTATCTCCAGGGATGAAGCAGCTTGCCAAGGCTGCAACTTGATGATAATTCAGATCATTGAAGGTACCTGCTCAAATCATTACAAGAGTTCAAATTACAAAATTAATTCCAAAAAAATTAAATAAAATAAGCCAATGTATGAACAGAACACACAACGGAAGCAATGTAAAAGTGTTTTTACATTAATCATATACAATATGTTTAATTGACATGACAAACCAACACTGCAATAAAACTCTTGGTAACATGTAAAGAAACGCATAGATCTAACCAATGAGAAACGGCAATGCAATATTCAATGAGGCCCCAATGCATAGAACATGCAAGTTAAAATGAAGAGAAATTGTTGCCTAATAGTTTCAAAAAGGCCAAAACATATAATTACGCAATATATTTTGTAATATTAATAGGAGATGGTTTACCATTGAACATCAATTCTGTGACAAGGAGCTCATCTCCTGTATCTATCAGGCAGGCTGCCCGTCCCTTTAACTGAACAACGCCATCAGCATCTATATGACCAAGTTTTCTGAGAACCCGGGAACGATTCTTAAGTTCATCACGGAATTTTTGAAGCTGAAAAAGTTCAAGAGATTCATAACTGATTAGGAAGACAAAATCTTGCATGATACAAAAGTTAGATAACCATTTGATATATGTGTAAAGATAAGCATAAGAGTAAGGAAGAATGGCATGGGTTTAGGAGGAAGCACATCCACCAGAAATAAGCACCTGAGAATCACGCATTTTCGATTTTAGCTGTTGAATTTCATGATTTACTTCTGCTTTTCTCTGAAAACTTCTTATCTCATGTTCATCTTTGGACTGCAAAACATAGCATCGTTTTAAAATATAGATATATACATACTTTTGGTAATGAAAAGCAGCTACAAGACAGTTAGACAAGTGCTAAAGAAGAGATAAATTAACCGTTTGGCATACCTTATGCAGTGGGTGAACAAATAATTTATGTTCAAGTTGCTCAATTTGGTTAGCCAATTTCACAAATTCTGGATCATCAATATCCATATCCTGTCAAAACAGGGGGCGGAGAATATACAGTATCATCCTGGCTAATAAGGTATAAAAGCTAATAAATGCACAAACAATCAGACAAAGTTCAATTTAAATGGAGAAAGCATAACCGTGACAGGATGTTTAGAGTACATGAGAAGGGACATAATACAATATCAGTCATGATAATCCAGGCGACACATATCAGAATAATTGAATTCATGTTGTAACAATGAAAATCATTGAAGCAGCATCGATCACAAACAATACCTTGACAGGGTTCAGCTTTGGAAGACCTTGGGGAAAGCGTTTTTCAAGTTCCTGTACAGCAAGGAGAATGGCCCGGCGAGCTTCCATTGGCCGGAGATCAGAAGGGACTGCTATTATAAGTTTGCTAAGTGCAGAAAGAAGAGGCAGCTGAACAGGAACCTGTCACATTTAAAAAGAAGTGCATAACTTCCCAAGCATATCTCTTTTTATCATAATCATACCAGCTGAAGAAGAAAATTGAGCAGAAATTTTTGGACTGTGATGTTTTCTCAGAAAATTACTAACTCACCACATGCATTTCACCTTTCTCTCCAGGATGAGGAGGACAAGGTCTTGGCTGAGATCCATTTTCACTTGAGCCAAGAGAGCAATGAAGCAGAGTATCCACAATATAGCTATTAACGCGGGAAGAAGAGAGTGTAGCAGGCAAAGAACTTGATGCTGTTGGAGATTTTTTCACCACGTTGATTACAACTCCCCAACCCCAATCTGTTCCACCTTCCCTTACCTTAACCTGCAAATTTCCAGATGTAGTTTGGTATAGGAATAAAGAACAAAGGAAGAAAATGCAGACACTTGATAAAAAATGTGAAAGCATGACATCAATTGAACCAATACATACAGATATTATATTAAGACTGTAATGTCATGTGTTATTTAATTTATACATCCATAACTACCTATCAGCATACATACCAGCCTGCCAGGTGAGAGGAGAGAAAGAACTCTTTCAGGGCGCGTTATTTCAGCCATCATTTTCTTTTCCAGTTGAGCTATCTCAAGTTTTATCTTATGATACTCCGCAACCTCAGCCTACAGTAAAAATATGAGGATCATGTCATTTTATAGGTCTTTAACAACAAATTTCAAGCTCGATGAGGAACTGAAGCTCTACCTCCCCTGATGCATCTAGTACAGCAGCTTCCTCTTCAAGCTGCGTGACCTTTTTCCCAATGTCAGGTAAAGCCTGGAGGTAAGAAAGATGTTGCAGAAAACTTTTAGCCATTGCACATATTTTAGCAAGACAGATCAAATTTAAGTTTAGAGGTAAAACCTTCTCATACTGAAATTGGTGGAAGGAATTTCTGATAACATGCTCAGCAGTGAATTGTCCCTCAGAACGGCTCATTAAATTCAGAATTGAGTAGTAGCTTAGCCTGAAGGTACTGACTAAAGGTGCAGGTTTTCCCAAAACCATGTCTTTGAGGGTATTCATCTCCATCTGAGGTCATAAGAGATGGCATAAAACATCAAATTTATAATAGATTACACATACAAGTACCACAAAATATATGTACAGAGTTCGATTTTACCATTGCTGCAAAGCATAGGTGGACCAAACAATGTTGGCCAACCAAGTAGAAAAAAAAGAAAACAACCAATTGAAAGAATAAAAATAGCACTCAGATTGCATACAATCATTAAAAAGCCATTGCAATTACATACGTAACAGCCTATCAAGATTTTCATCCTACTATAATTAGACAACCATTTTAATTGTTTGCTAAATTCCTCCTCATCACTTCACAATGTCAAAAGATACCACACAGGTTCGCCATAAACTCCCATATTATGACACACAAGGGACCGTAAGATGCTTTGTAATTAGCACATAAATTAGATACAAATTGCAGCTATCTGACTTTGCACATGGAAGCCCTTATCCAACATGCTATCTATGATTAAACATTTTCTACGGCCTCATAGAAACAGCGGAAAATCTTGATAAATGCTTGCACAGCCAGATTACCACCATATTAAAAGCCAGTAGTCTCAAGGTTTACAAACTAGATGAGGAGTAAACTAACAAAAATGGGATCTTTTCTAAGAAAGATAAAATGGGCCAAACCTTTTCATCGACCATTATGATGCATATACCGCGCTCATCTTTACCACGTCGTCCGGCTCTACCACTCATCTACATGATGAGCAAATATGTCAGCAGTCGTCAAGAATAAAAGACATCACACATAGATCATATAAAAGATTGATTACTCACTTGAATATATTCACCAGATCCAATATAGCGATGGCTATCACCATCCCACTTTTTGACACTAGTAAAAACGACAGTTTTTGCAGGCATGTTCAAACCCATGGCAAACTGTTGTATATAAAAGATAAAAGTTAATAAAAAGCAAAAGAGAAAAAGTTTGCATACAGGCATGGTATATGAATAGAGTTTGATTATGTATATAAATGTAGAGCATTCAATATACAGCCAGGCAGGCCCAGGGCAAGTGTGTTTTGGAAATATAGATTATTCGTAAATCAATTGGGCCCCCTCTTGGAGTGGGCCCTGGTCAAGTAGGAGGCACATAAATGTTCAATGAAGAATATATACGACCACAATTTATTATATACGATAATCTATATAAATATATTATTTTTCCTCACAAAGCATCATATTAAAACAACTATTCAAACTAAACTAAAACAAAAATTCTAAACTAAACTCCAAAAGAAAGCAAAATATATGTATAGTAACTTTAACTATCGTGCATATCATCTTTTCATAAAAAATTGCATGCAAGTCACACGTGAGTTTTTAGCCATATGATTGAGGCCCATTACTTATCAATACACCCAGGCTAACAAAAAATTGGAAACAGCCCTGTACCACTTCCTTAATGAACCCAGTGTTAAGACATGTTGTGAAATATAATAAACAAAGTGTATTTGATGTGGAGCTCTTAGTGCAACTAATTTGATTTCTAAAGTAAACACAAACTTATTTGGAAGCGACATCTATATTACCGTTTCTGTCGCAAAAAGAGCCTTAACAAGCCCTTCTTGAAATAGAAGTTCAACAAGTTCTTTGATAATAGGTAGCAAACCCGAATGGTGAACAGCAATGCCTCGCTTAAGCAATGGCAACATCAATTCAACTGCAGGCAAGTTTCTATCTTCTTCACTTAAACAAAGGATGGCATTTCTGAACACCTGCTCCACATCATCTTTTTCCTCCTGGCTATTAAAATCAAGCTTGGACATTGACATGGCGTGTTGTTCACACTCTCTTCTACTAAAACTAAATATGATGACTGGTTGAAATTTGCGCTCCATTATCATCTGGAAAGTTAGAAATAATTAATTCTACGGGAACATAAAATTTGCACTGAAAAAGAAAAAAAAAAAGAGAGAGAGAGAGAGAGGGAATAATGAAAGTGTACAAAGTTCTTGCTTTAGTACAAATTATCGGTAGTCCCTCCTTCCTCACTACTAGGCAAAGGTAAATTAACTATTAACCAATTGGACAAAAGTCAAACATAAATCCTGAATAGTCACCTTGACAATCTTGTATATATCAGAAACACCAGATCCATTGCCACCTTTTGCAATCCTACCCCTGGAATTACCACCGCTTTTGTTTCCATCACCCAGACTTTGCTTTGTGAACGTATCCTGAAGCTTACAAAAGTTATCCTCTCTAAACTGCTCGTTCTCATCAACAACAAGATACAAACCAGAACCACCCATAGGAAACACGTAGTGTTGCAATGGTGTGGGCCTAAAATCTGTGTAGACCACATGACATGGCTGCTTATGTAAATTACAGATCCATTCAGCAAATTCAGTTGCGTTTGACATTGTTGCTGAAAGAAAAACCATCTTAATAGCAGGCGGCAAAAAAATAATACTTTCTTCCCAAACAACACCTCTTTCCCGATCCTTCATGTAATGTATCTCATCGAATATAACCCAAGCAACTTCCTTCAACACCTCGGAACCCCTATAAAGCATCCCCCGGAGAATCTCTGTGGTCATCACCAAGCAACTTGCATTGGGCGAAAGAGTCACATCACCGGTCATCAATCCAACATCTGAAAACTCCTGGCTTAATTCCCTGTACTTCTGATTACTTAAAGCTTTCAAAGGAGAAGTATATATCACCCTCTGTTTATCCCTGAAGGCCATGGCAATAGCATACTCTGCCACTGCAGTCTTCCCAGCTGAAGTGTGTGCCGAAACTAAGACAGACTCATTTCTTTCCAAGCAAGAAACAGAAACCTCCTGAAAGGGATCGAGTTTAAACGAATAAGCTTTCGCCCTTTCTCCAGTATAAATTGGATCACTGAGCGTTCCATGAATTGTTCCATCCTTGTTTGAAACATATCCACTTGGAACTGCCACCTCATGCACACATGTCCTAGACAAGCTTCGCCTCTTGGGCGTCAAGTCTTGCACAGAAACTTCTTGTTTTTCTTTTGAATCATATTCAGGTTGCTTCCTTTTCAGGGATGCGGGAGACTCAGCCATCTGGAGCGCCTCACTCTTTCGACTTCGCACTAGATTTTCCAAACTTTGTTCGCCCACCTTCCAAATCCACCTTCTGCTGATCTGTAACAGGGCAATATGACGACACAAACATTACTTTAATCATAACCAAAAAAATCTTCGTCGCTCTCTATTCTTATTTGACAACCATCATATGTACATGTGCTTTTGCGCCTGTACGTATGTATAACAGGGAAGAAGAGAAAGGACTCGCCTTTCAGCAATAAGATAAATTAAACTGATAGATACGATAAATGCCTTAAAATTAAACAAAGCCGGAACTTTAAACACAAAAATTCACACTTGCGCCCACACAATCTCAACTAATTACACAGGCAAATGAGCGTGAATCAAAACATCCAAAAAACAAAAACCCATGAAAACTGACATGTGAAAAGTAGCTTCAAAGTTCCAATCTTCGGCTACAACAGCATATACAGAAAGAGTACTATCCGAATTTCCGTTTGAAATCTAAATTGACATCTCACATAGCACTTTTACGACTCTACTATTATACCATGAATGTAATTACTTCGCCTATAAGTGCTAATCGAGGAGGCAGTTGAAAGAGCATACCAATCAAATTGAGCAGCAGCAGAAGCAGCAGGCGTGAATGCTTAAACCCTAATTTTTTCCCCAAATTTAAATAATTGCTCCGGGTTCAGGCGGCACCCCTAAAACAAAGTAAACACTATTTAAGGAATATATATAGTGGCGGAAAAAACGAGGGAGATTTTTACTTATTTACAGTAAATATGCGCAGACTTCCCAACCGGTTCCGAACCGCCGGTTCGTCAGTTTCAAACCGAAGCAGCCGTCGAATCCAAATAGATTTTTATACGGTCCGCTTCGGTTCAATACGCGGAACCGTGAACCGCCGGCTTTGAACATTAAATACTACAAATAATATCATACATAAAAAAAACAAATACTCCCACTATAAATACCATAGACTTTTTGGATATTGATATCAATAAATACAACTTCTTCTGTCATAATTCAAACTATTTTTTTTTGTTATTTTCGTATGTCAGTATTTATTTTTATTTTAGTAGAAGTAATCATACATCAATACCAAAATACCTTAATTTTTACCTAAATTACAAATATATCATTACACTTACAAAGACAAAAAAAATTTTATTCATACTTTTTATCAACTTAGACGACGAAATATAATAATATTTTTAATGTTAATAAAAAGACGATCTTATTATTGTATAAAAGTGCTATTATTTTTAATAATTTGTTCATCTACTAATTCTTTTTTAATTAGCAAACGGCTCTCTTTCCTTTTTTGTATGTCTCACAAAAGACAATTCATTTTTATTTTTGGTGATTTTATCGTAAGACTCACTCAAAACCCCCTTGTTGTTGTCTCTCTTCAAATTTATTATTAATAATTTATTATCTACTTAAAAAAAATCGTATTTCTAACAAAATGGTTCATCCCGTGCAGGACGGAATAGATGGAGAGTATATATTTTATCATCTTACAAAATCAACACTCACATATCTCAAATCAAAACACTAAGCATACAAATCCCAAATTAAAATCAAATAAGTTTACCAGTCAGGCAGGCCGAGCAGCAGGAAAGGAATGAAGAAGAATGAGGAGAAGGAAATAATGAAAAGAAGGAAATAAAAGAGCAGCAGAATGAAGGAGGATGAAAAGGAAGAAGGGAAACAATGCAGAAAAGGAAAGAAAAATATGAAGAACGGAGGAAGAAAGGGGTGTTGGGTGGTGGCGGGTTTGGAATTGGATTTGAAATTATTAGGCTGCAAATGAATGCATTGTTCTCCCACTGAGTTTTTCAATTGTGATTTTAAAAGATAATAGTAATAAATAATACAAAAAACGTTTTATACAAAGATAAAAAAATCAATTAGATATTTTAGATATTAAATTTTGGATTTAATAGATATATATTTAGATTTAGATTCAGTATATTGATTAGATTTAGATTCCAGCCGTTTTGTACTAGCCTTTGTTTTAAATATTCAACTTAAAATGATATATTTATATTTTGGACACAATGGAGCCGATGTATTTATTTATATAGTCTCTTTTTTTATGTTTTTATTAAAAAAAATATATGATACTTTTAAAATTAATAAAAATAAATAAATCTAATAGTTTTTAAAATTAATTTTAAATTATAAGAATTTTTTTATTTTATAGTTTATATTTATTACATTTTATTAGATATATAATTTATATTTTTTAGTATAATTAGAGGTCCTATTGGTTACAGTTTCATATTCTATTAGTATAATTTATATACTCCATTAAATTTTATAAAATTATTATGATTAAATATTATTTATTATTTTATTTAAATGTGATTTATATATATTTTTTCAGATAATCATTAAATTAGCGAGAAAGATTTTTAAAAGAAAAAAAAAAACCAATCTATATATATTAATAAAATATTATTGCATTAAGGATATTTTAATTTTTTAATTCATATTAGTTATATTTTATGAGATTACTTATGATTAAATGCTTTTTCTTTTTATCAGTTATTATTTTATTTACATATATTTTAATTTTTGTATTTTTTTCACAAATGAATTATAAAAAATTGGAAAAAGAAAAAACAAGTTTGGAGTTAAAAAGGAAAAAAAAAAAAAAAAAAAAGTCCTTTGACAATTAAATTATTATTATTTTTTTATTGTTATCTAAATTTAAAATTTTTATTTTTGCCTATTTTTTTTATAATCACGCCCGTCAAACACTAATTAAATAAATACTCCTCAGCCCAATTCCAACTACAATATCAAACTGTAACCAATCGCAACCCTAATATTCTTTAAAAGCATGCCAAATTCATATGTGTCTTAACATTAAAAAACACGAATTTGCCACATAAAATTTAACTCGAAAGTTGAAAAGAATGATCAATCTCATCTAAAATATTAAAATTTCTTCAATCATAAACGATGTTGAATTCATCTGTAATGGCATTTAAAGTAGAAATCCCAACAAACTTGAAAACGTAGAGGCCGAGCCATCAAAATATTCCTAAGAACAGTAGGAAAGAGCATCGACAAACCGTATGCAGAGCACACCCATCTATCTGCCTGCATTTCGAAAATCCATAACTTCCTTAAAGCCGATCAATCGAGCTGCCAAACTGCGAGACACGAGTAAGCAAACAGTTATGTTCAAATTACTTTACAATGCTAACTAGTTGTCCATAAAATCTAGCAAAGATTCGAAACTTTTATTGTCCATGCGACATTATGCGCAAACCGAGCAGCCGGCTCAAAGCATATCTAAATAAGCAGTCATTAACTTACCCTTCATGGCTTCATGTTATTCTTGATCTAAAAGAATCAGGCAATTATAGAATTATAGCTCTAAACAAACACTATCTGGATCCATGATAGATCTCGACTTGTATGACAAAGAACAACTGCAAAAATTTCGATGTTTACCTGCAACAGAATCCTCCAGTTCAAGATGCCATAGCTTGCAAAGTAAAAGCCTCAATCAGAAACTCCTAATAAATGATGAAATGCAAGTCAAGCATAACATATAAAAACTCACCGACCAATATGAAGTATCAATATCGAGCACTCACTGCAGTCAGTGATCCTGTCTCTTAGCCATCCTCACAGAGGTCGGCGCATTTCTTGGTACAATGAGAGATGTATTTGCGAATGCTACGATTCATTACTCGAAACATAATAAATGCTTAACAAACATCTCACCTCAAGTTTATTTTAAAATGGAAGAGTTTGTAGAAGGTTTATACACTCAAGTGAATAAGAATCCCTAGTTTTTAAACAAATCAAAGCACAGATCACAGCACCAATATCCTTTTGGCAGACTATACAGAAGAAGATCCAGAGGACTTCACCTCAAGCAGAAAACACCCTATTTGGCTGTGAACAAGAACCCTAAATGTGAATGCTATGTTTCAGCACATAAACACAAGTATTCATTTATTTATGTATATATATATATATTGTTCTATCCAGAACCAAACAAGAAGACAACAAACTTATTAGGACAATTAGAATTAAAGCAAGTAAAGCAAAGCACTTGACAAGCAGCACACAGATGCAATACCCAATCAATCAGCCACAATAAATAGTGCCACACATCACAATTTTGATTGAGACTCATAGCAGAATTGACTGCAGACCATCAATCCCATCCACATTCACTTTCACCTCTGAGGAGGGTCCACTGTCCGAACATTGGCACCGGTCATCACCTCAATTCGGTCTTTGGTGATCTCCACAAAGTGGCCCACCATTTCATAGAACTGCTTCAGGCCAGATAATGGGAGAATGATGGAGGAGCGGTCGGAGCCTGTGACCTCAGATATCCGCAGGAAATGTCCTCTGTTGTTGTTGCCAAGGTCAAAGAAGAACTTCTTCTGATCAGCCCTAATCACTTTCGAAACTCCCAAATTACCACTCATTTCATCAGACGGCGGCAGATCAGAAGAGCGATCGACATTCAATTCGGCTGCCGGAGCCACTGGCTGAGAGCCATGGCTGGATATGAAACCAGCCCCAACATCATCAGAAAGGCCGACGATTCGTTCCGGTGCTTCTGAATTCTGCTGATTGGACAGAATGAAGAGCCCCGACGCTTCGTTGATTTCAGCCAGAATGTTCCTGAAGGCAGCCCAACCTTCGTCCCGGCCGCTTCCGGCGGGGACAATGATCGTGCTGCGGTTTCGATTCACCGAAGCTTCCGATATTTTCAGGAATCGCCCCCTTCGATTCTCCCCAACATCAAAGTAAAACACCTTAGCGTCGAGCATGAGTTCCTTGCTCAATATATCTTGCTCGTCCGAATTCACAAAGTAATTGAAGAGATCGAGGAACCACGCGATGCCGTTCGAGGGTACTATGATGGTTGATCTAGTCGCCGAAGTCTTCTCCGAGATCTTCAGATAGCGCCCCCGCGGATTCTCCTTCAGGTCAAAGTAGAACAATTTGTGCTCTACCTGCAATGTTTTACATAGCAATTCGACATCACTCCCGCCACCGCCTCCCGAATTCCCTTCCATCCACCCGCCAATCCCTCCCCAAACGCACGCAATTCCGAAGAAGGAGAATTATCACCGGAACCTGCACAACCCAAAATAATTTTGATAATATAATCGCATCAGCCCGCGACGTTACCGGGAATCAGACTGCTTGCGGCGGCGGACAGATTGTTTTTCTCGATTTCTAGGGATTCGAAAGGATAAAATCGAATGTCAACACTGCACAGTACATGAAGGTTTTTAAACACGTGCGCCCTTTTTTACTGAATTTTAGTATTTTACTGTTATATATATATACTATCATTGTCTTGTTATTATATTTTTAATTTTCTTCCCATAATATTTTAAGTATATTTTTTATAAGATAAAAAGAATATATTCCCCCTCACCCTCCCCCGGTCGTTCAATGCTGTGCTTATTTGATCAAACAAAAGTTTTTAAAAAATAAATACAAATAAAAAAAAATTACTTTTTAAATAGTAAAAATAATATTTTATTATAAAAAAAAAATAGTAAAATTATGGGCTCAGACACGCCATCCACAACACAGAAATCCATCGAGGGTTTATTCCCATTCTCTCTCCTCTCCGCCACGTCACGAAGAACTCCAACTATATTTTACATTCACATCACAGAACCCTTTAAAATCTTTACTTTTTCCACCTCATTAAATATTTTATCTATTTATAAAATAAACTTATATTTTTTCATTATATTTTATTCTTATAATATTTAATTAAAATAAAATAATTATTTAGCATAAATAAATAAAATAAATAAAAATAATAATTCCACACCCACATACTAATTAAAAATTCAAACTTAAATTTAATAAAAAATACATAATATTACAATATATTTTTCAAATAAATTAATTAGTCGATTGACCAAAAATATTTTACAAAAATATGCATTAAAAAATTACATAAAATATAAAAATATTATATTAAAAATTATAGTTATTAACAATATTATTTTAATAAAAAAATAAATATTAAATAAAACTCATATAATAAAATTTAAATCTAATATTTTAATAAAACAAATTATTATAAATATAAATAAAAAAATATATATTATAAATATTATTTTTAATATTTATTGAATAAAAAAGTGGACCATGGCCCACAAAAATTGGAAGAAACGGTACACTCGCAATGTACCGTTCCTTATGTTAATTGGTGTTTTAATTTTTTTTTATTTAATAAATGATGACGTGAGAGGCGCTTCTCAGCAAGCGTCTCCCGTTGTGGATGCCCTTATATTATTGAATACAAAATGCCACCATAAAAATAAAATTCACATAGGGACTCGGGGGATTTGAGCCCGAGTTATCGTGCCCAATCATTACGTTGATTGTATTATTGTTTATATAAATTATTTGTCTGATCATCAATTTTTACTAAATTAATATTTTTATAACATCAATTCCACTCAAAATAATAAAAACAACTATTTTTGTCAACCTCAACAAAATCCTTCAGCCCTTTGGCGGAGCAAAGCTGGCTCTGCCACTGCCACTGCCACCGCCACTGCCGAACAAGTTTCACAGAAAGAAGCAAGATGAAGACAAGCAAATCATCAAACCAATCCAAGCATCAATAAATCGTCGATACACCGCCGGGCATTCTTTCCTCGGCAAATGTTCTCAGTCGATTAAGCTCAGGCAGCACCACCGTCGCGAGATCAGGCCTGTCTTTACGCCTCAACTCCGCGCAGCCGCGCGCAAGCTTCGCAAACGTCAAGGCTTCTTCCAACGGCCAATCAGGTACCTCCGGGTCGAGCATGTCGGCCAAGGTCCCTTTCTCGATAGCCCTCTCGACATGGTGCATTAAGCCCATCGGAGGCTTAGCTGTTATGATCTGAAGCAGCATTACGCCGAACGAATACACATCGGATTTTATCCCGAGCATGCCGGTCTGCTGGTACTCGGGGTCTATGTAGCAGAAAGTTCCGGCTGCTGATGTCATCCGGTATTGCGTAACGTCGTCGGCTACGGACGGAGGAACAAGCCTGGCCAACCCGACGTCGCTTATCTTGCTCACGAAGTTACGATCGAGCAGAATGTTGCCCGGTTTCAGGTCTCTGTGTACAAGCGGCTCCGGCTTCGTTTGGTGGAGGAAAAGAAGGCCTGTGGCTATTTCCGCGGCGATTCGGAATCTAAGCTGCCAGGAGAGAACCGGAGTGTTCCCTCGCCTGAAAAGAAGGTCATCCAAACTGCCGTTAGCCATGTACTCGTAGACGAGGCAGCCGTACTCTGGACATGCTCCGAGGAGGAGAACCATGTTGGGATGCCTAATGCAACTCAGAACTTCAACCTGTATCGCAGTAGCACTTCGATTAAATTTGCGTCGATATTAAGCACAAGAACTTGAATTTGAGATTTTCATTAGGTTTTTCGAACGTGTGTTACCTCTTGCTGAAACTGTGCTCTTCCCTGGGCAGCGTCGGGGCGAAGAACCTTAACTGCAACCGGTGTGTGATCGAGGTAGCACTTGTAAACAGGTCCGTATCCACCCTCTCCGATTTTACGGGAATCGGAGAAGTGTTCGGTGGCTATTTCGATCTCTTCTATGGCGTATCTGCGCAATCTCATGTCGGTATGGGACAACCGATCCTGCAACTTCTTCCTCTCCTCAGCTTCTTTGAGCGCTTTCATTTCAGCATACTTCCTCTTCTGCGATTCGAGTTCAGCCATTCTCTGAGCCGCGTCGGCTTTCTCCATAGCAGCCTTGCATTTTTGCCTTTCCTTCTCTGCAATCGCTAATGCTGCTTCCTCAGCCGTCCGCGCCTCCTCAAGCTTCTGTTCTTCCTCGATTTTCCATTTGTTTAGCTCTGCAGCCTATGGAAAGAACAGAAACGAACATCAGACTTGCGCCTTAGCGAACAATCTATGATTTCGATAGTTCAGGACAACACCTTTTGTTTCGCGCAGAGCGCTTCCTTGCAGGCGGTGCTGTACAGGTCCATTGTCTGTTTGAGCTCTTGTTTGAGCCGTCTCATCTCGGCTTCTATCTCCTCCTGCAAACAAAAGTTTTCCAAGTATATTAGTAAGAATGATCTTTTCGATTACGAATTGGGGATTTTGAGTCCTTTAGTGATACCATGTTTGGAGCTCCCGACCAAGAGAAATGTCCGCTGTCCATCGAGCTAGATGAGTAGACTCCGAGAAAGCTGTTGTTGGCATCAGATATCAGAGAGTTTGACAGTTGCGACCCAAAGCTCATCCGGCCGTCTGTATCTGAGCAGTTCGACACACGAGGAGCCATCATTAGATCTTGGTCTATTGATCCAATCATGCGATCGCAGCTCGGCCTGCCTGAGCTCACAAACGATAGGTCACTGACATCGGACATTTCTCCATACGATTGGTTTGTAGGAAAGCTTCGAATAAACGGCGACCTGCATAGGCAAGGAAGGTTCACTATTTACATCATCTACTCAATTTTCTTTTGGCTGCTCTTTCCATGTGTCTGAATTATCGAATTTGTGGCAGCGAATCGACTTACTTGATTGTGTCATCCTCCATTGAGCTGCTCAGAGCTCCAAAAGGTGACATTACAGCACCTGCCAACAAAGGGCAACTTTCAGAGTTGTGTTTATCCCGGGGAATGACTAAAATGCTTCGAGATGAAAGCAGAAATCGAAATTTATATGGCATTACTGTGCGCGCCGCTGTTTTGCATTAAGTGCACATCAATTGGATCTGAATAATGTTGTGTTGCAGCAGAGCCGCTGCTCGGAACAGGAGCCGTGGCGGATCTTTGGGACACAACTTTGCCTTTTGATATCACGTACACGTTGCAAAATTCCGGCGCGCCTTTGGATACACTGGTGGGAACATCAGTCGTCTTGAATTTTCTGAATCCAGAGTTTTGTGAGCAAATGCTACTCCATTTTCTCTCTACAGGACGACGAATTAAAGAAAACATTAGGCAAAACAGACAATCCATTCTTACCTGACAAAACCATTCTTGACTGAGGAACCAACAACCAAATTTTCAATCATGTGTTCCTTCACATAATCACAAATGCCTTTCGATACATCTGAATCTTCCTGCACAATTTCAGTGACTTGTATCTGCAGCAACAATATTGTTACAAGCATCAATTAACTAACTAATTCTTCAAAAACTTAAAGAAAAGCAGCTCCTCTTACATCCTTACGCGTGCAGAAGCATCGGAAAGGAAGGAAGAGCTCCTTCCCCATTTTGTCATTGTCGGATGAAGTATAAGCTGCCAAATAGACATGGATTTCATCAGGAAATTCAGATTGACAGGAAGACGAGATGATCATCACAAATAACATTTGGGAAAATGAAACTATCCAAAATTTCAATTTGTTGCTATGCAATGCAGAATATCAGGAAGTGGGCGGGCATTCAGACATTTCGTCGAACAGAAAGGATGCAAAGCAATACATGAACCGAGAACAGAAGAGGTCTTCAGCTTAATGTGGAGGAGGGTGACACTTTTGCCCTTGCCCAGGAGATTATCCACAGCCCATTTCAAAGCTATCTGGCTGCCCTTATCCTTGTCGATCGCCACGGCGACGGTCTCCTGCCCCTTGTCTCCATTCCCTTTGTGGTCCAACATTTCAATCTAGAGCAATTCGATTTTCGACCGGCCAGGCCAGGGGGAAATGGAGTTTTTGCAGAGGGCAAAAACTGTCGACAACCACCAACCACTTTATTGAAGACCTGCTACTGCCCAAGGAAGAATTTCTGTGCAGTTTCCCTGTGCTTGAGGTCCTGTTGTTCTGGATTCTATGTTTCAGGATTGCATTTGCAGCAGCACAGGCCTCGATTCTCGGCCCCAAACAAACCCCTAAAAATAGGTTTATCTCGGCACCGTCCATTGCCGTCGTCTCCTGTTGAATGGTGGTGGGAGCTGCCATTGGAATTGGAATGACCCTCCGGGTTTCCAGGATTATTCATTGGGGGCTTTATTCTGTCACGATTCAAATCAGATTAACACACGTGTTTAGGTCCTTTTTGGGGCCAGAACCCTTGTACATAAAATAAGGTTCTTCTTCTTCCGCCATCGATTTGCAAACACGGTAAGACTTGTTTGGTCGGATTCTTAGTCCAATTTGGCGCAGTTTTTTATAAAATTTTATTAGCCAATAAATTATGAAATAATGTCAAATCAAATATCAATTTTGAAAATCCATTCAAATTTTAACTAAAATATCATTTCAATTATATAGTTTGGCAAAATATGACAATTTTATTGTAAAAATTACTAACAATTCATTTTATTAAGCAAAATTGATTTTTAAATCAAGGCAACATATATTCTCATTCCATTTGAATGTAATATTTTGAAGCTTTATATTATATAAAAAAATAATAATATTTTATTAATTAGTTAAAATGTGTAAAAAAAATATTTTTAAATGATATAGAGAAAAATAATAAAATCAGTATCCTTCGAGTCTGTTGTGAGTAACAAAACCTGTTTGAATTCATAACAGTCCGTCTCATCCCTTTCGAAACTTAAAAGCGTTAGATTAAAAACGTTAGGTTGAAACAAAAAGTCATTGCTTTACTTATAGTTATTTTGGAATTACTTTCAAATTTTCAATAAGTGTGTCTTTGTTTGGAAGATTTAGATTTTCACTCCACTATTCATCCTATTTTTTTTCTAAAAATATTAAATCAAATATTTATTTTTTATTTTTTATTTTATACTAAAAATCAATTTTACATTCAAAATATCACATCAACGCCAATTTATATTATATTCAAATTCGAAATTTTTACTATTCAAATTTCAACTCAAAATCCAAACCCCCAAACAAACTCCCTTGAATGGAGTCCGGAGTTGCTCCATTTCGTTTCCTGCAATTTGCGATAATCCATGATAACATGTCCGTCGCGCACAGTATTGATAAAAATTATTGAGAATTATTTAAGAACTCACACAAACAAAATACATCTTGATGTGTTACTAACAGGGCATGATGAGATAGTTGATTGACTATAATCTATAAATTATTTATAATGTATTATAAAGTATTCTATATAATTGTTTACTCATCGAATTTTATTCTCATTCAAATAATCATTGAAGACAAATCATATATAAATAAAATTGTGTAGTAAACAGTTACCTATTTTGTGTCACATAATATATACTTCATTCGTCTCAATACAATAGTCTTGTTTACCATTTTTGTCCGTTTCAAAACAATAGTTTTATTTTCATAAATAATTATATCACTACTTTTTACACTAATATACTCATAAGGGCAAAAAAGTCATTTATCCTTATTTTTTTACCAATTACCAATATAATATCAATATTCCTTAAATCTCGTGTCCAACCGAACAAGACTATACTTTTGGGACAGATGAAGTATGTTGCAAATGTATTATACTCACTCCGTCTCGGAACTAAATATTCATTTGCTTTTTGCACGTAGTTTTAGAAATATTAGTATTATATTATGATATAGAAGGAATAAAGTAGAAATGACTAAAATAATCTTATATGTGTGATATAAAGGTGATGACATTTGTATAATATATTGTAAATTGTAAGGGTATTTATAATATTAAGTAGATAGTACAGTTACTAATTTATAGTCTAGTAACAAATAAATAATAGAAAATGGAAATATGACATAAAAATCAATTGATAAGAAATAATAATAAAGAAAAAGGATGTGTGCTGATGTGTAATTTTAATTCAGCAATACTGATATATTATAAAATTACATATTTATCCTTATATTTAATTTTCATCTGTACCTATTAAATAAGATTAAGGGATCCAATTAATTCCAGCACGGCTGAATTTTGCATTTCAGCATGCTATCCCATCTAAATAATTATTCTGTATGCACTCCAAATTCATAGTAGTATTTTTATAATATTATTTCATTTCTTTTAATAAAATTTTTAAAATATCTTAACTATCTTTTACTTTTATTATTTTTAAATTTCCTGTCAAATCTATCAAATTTATACAGTAGTAACAAATAAATAACAGAAAATGAAAATATGCAAGAAACATACTCCTACTATATTCTGATTTTATAAAGAAAAAAAAAACAAAAGGGAAAACACACAGTGCAGTCTGCAAAGCCTGGAAAGAACAAAGAATTATTACATTTTCCCAAACCTCGCATCGAAACAACTGCTGGATCTCGTCTCCCTCCCTCTCTCTCTCTATATATAAATATATATATATTTTCACTCTCTCCAAATGATCCGACGACTGTTACCATCATCATCATCATCATCATCTTCGTCTATCATCAGATCATATACAGATTACGACAACAAACGCCGTTGCACTTCCGATCCGACCTACTCACTCACTCATTCTTCCTTAATCTCCTCGATCTTCTCGACGGCCTCCAGTATGTCCGGCCTCAGCTCCACATCCACCTGGCACAATTCCAGCCCTAATTTCAGCAGCTTCATCATCTCCGCATCGCACCTCTTCGCCTTCCCGATCGTCTTGTCGAAAACCTCCGCCGTCGGCTCCTCTCCGACCACCGACTCCACCCACGCCGCCACGTCCGCCTCGCTCCCGCCCTTGTTGTCCTGCAGGAAATCCGGCGGGAACTTCCCTGTCAGGATTTCGATTATCAGAATCCCCAGGCTCCACACGTCCGTCTTCTTCGTTATCCTCCCGCTCTGTCGGAACTCCGGCGACTTGTACGAGATAATGTGCTGCTGCGCCTCCTCCCGGTTCACGATCGGCACCAGACAGTAGTCGTTCAGCAGAGGGTTGTTGGAACCATCTAGAAGCACGTTCGACGACTTCAAATGGCCGTGCGGCGCCGTCAGGCTCGGCAGCTCGTTGTATAAATACTGCAGCCCTTTCGCCACGCCTTTCACGATTTTCAGGCGCGCCGGCCAGTTCAGCGGCGATTGCGTCCGCGACGGCGTGTTTCCGGCTGAAATGAGTTTCCGACGATGCCATTGAAGAACGATTTATAGAATAAAGGTAATTGTAATTGAGAATAGTGGTACGGACCGTGGAGATGGAAAGCGAGGCTGAAATTGTCGACATAGTCGGTGACGAAGAGCTTCTCCTCTTTCCGGTAATAGTAGCCGGAGATGGGGAGGAGATTCTGGTGGCTCAGGCGGCCGAGGCGGCGCATGTGCTCGGAGAAATCCTGTTTATTGACGTTGCTCATGTGCTTGAATCTCTTGACGACGACGACCTCGCCGTTGCCGAGGTCGGCCTTGTAGGTCGACCCGAAGACGCCGCTGCCGAGCACCTCCGCCGACGCCTTCAGCAGATCCGACATGTCGAATTTCAGGCCGTCTTCTTTCAGGAACGTGATCTTCATATTGTGCTCTGATTTCTTTGCCTGGCTGCTCTGCTTCTTTCCGGGAGACGACTTTGACGGCGGCGGCGGCGCCGCCACCGCGCCTTTTTCCATCTTGTCTAAATCCGCAGCCTTTTGATTGCCCTGTCTCATGGCCGGAGCTGCCCTGGACCCCACTGATCCCGCCTCCGCCTGCTGCCCGGCGGGACTCCGGCGACGTAGAAGGATGACGACGACGGCTACGAGAGCTGCCGACGTTAAAACCAGAAGTATCACGACAGTAACGATGGTCCCGACGGAGAGTTTGTTCGGCGCCGTGCACGATTTCAGGGGAGCGCCGCATAAGTCCAAGTTACCTACCAGAGAATAAAAAATCATCAGACATCATTGAACGAAAACGATCGAAATCAAATGACGGACAAACCTTCAAACCCCGACGCTGGCAACTGGCTGAGGCCGCGAGGGACCTCGCCCTGGAGCTTATTATTTGACAAGTCGATCGTCTTGATTCTACCGGGAGGGAACGGCGGAATCAATCCGGTGAACTCGTTGTTCTGAAGCGTCACCTCCATAAGCCGCGGCAATGTCGACAATGACACAGGGATCTCCCCGGAGAGCTGGTTATTAGCCAGATGAACCTTCTTCAAAGCCAACATTCCGGCGAAGAAATCAGGCGGTATCTCGCCGGAGAATTTATTGTTAGACAGGAAAACAGCTTTAAGACTGTGAAGTTTCTTCACCTCAGGCAAAGGGCCATTGAAATTGTTATTGACAAGGCTCAAAACTCTGAGCTTAGGCATTTTAGTGAGAGTGTCGACGTCGATGGTGCCTTCGAGGCCCATATTCTCAAGGCGAAGCCCCCAGACGGTGCCCTGCTCGCACAACAGGCCGACCCAATTCTCGGCGTCGCCGTTGCAGGGGGGCGTGCCGGGGTGCCAATTGGAGAGTGCGCCATTGTTCTTGAGGGAATCCTTAAACTTGACGAGGACGTCGCTTTCGGAGTCTCCGAAGGACGCCGAGAAAAGGATCAAGATGGTTAGGAGAAGGGTGGATGCGCGTAAACGGGGTGATACAATGACGCCTATACGAGCCATTGCGGTGGGCGCACGCGCGGGCGCCCGGGGGAGCGGAATGGAGAAATGAGAGTGATGGTGATCAATAGAAATGAGGATTGTTGACGGAGGATCAAAAGAGGAAAAGAAAAAAAGAAAGTGGTTATGGAGGAGGAGGGAGTGCTAATAATAGGAGGAAAAATTGTGTGTTGGGGAGTAGTATTGTCCTCTTGTTTCTCTTTGCATTTTTTTGTGTTGGAGAGGACTTTAAGGTTTGCCTTTGGATTCTTTGATTCATTTTTGGACTCAATTTAAGGATTTCTTGATTCATTGTTACACACAAAGATCTATCCCAACAGGAAATGTCTTTAAGGTAGTAAAACGTGGTGGTACAGCTGTTAAGATATGAATGGACATCTCCTGAGGCCTGGGCTAGATTAAAATTGAGGCTTTATATATATACATATATATATATATTAATGTATTATTTTTATGTATGAATTTTAATGTTTTTTATTTAATTTTTATAAATGTATTTTAAATAATATTTTATAAAATTTATAAAGTTAAATAAAATAATAATATTGGTCATGATTTTTTTCTCTTTTTAATTTATTATTTTTATCTAAAAATAATTAAAAAAATATTATAACTAACAATAATAATAATTAGTTTTTTATTTAATATTTCCCTTATCTATATTTATCCATTTACTTTTTTTTCTTTTTACACAAAATTTTAAAAATATTATATTGTATTGTTTAATGCTGCAACATACTCTAGCTTTCTTTTTCTTTTTCTTTTACTTTTTCAAGTTTTCTTAAGATTATATATAAAAAAAAGCCTACTATATATCTATATATTTAAGCCCTTTTTTAATCTAGGGCTGGACAAGGGCCTGATGGACCATTTTCCAAGTTTGAGTATATAACATCAAATAAAGTTAGGTTAAAATTTGTTCCATCTTAACTTACAAAAATGGAGAAGGCAGCTTCAATGGATTAGGCATATTTCTCTCTGGAATTCTGTATACCCGACGTCGACGAGGCAGAGGCCATCAGGGGGGCGGGTGGGGCAGTGGCGCGCCTACAAGTTGCATCCATCAGCTTCAGCAATGCGGTTTCGTCTGCACCAGCAGCTGCTTCCCTAATAGCTGTTGCTACAAGAACTCGAACCATCTGCATACAGCAAGACACAACCACAATATCATTGTACCGTACAGTATGGAATACTTCTGGAATTACATAAGTGCACAGAAAGGCATCTTATCGAAAAGAAATATGTGTGTATTTCTCTGAAATTAGCAGCTACCTTCCGCAGGAAGCGATTGGCAACCAATTCAATGCACATTATCCTCGTGCCTGTTCCATCCTTTCGGATATGGGAATAACAGCAAAGCAGATTAGAACAAATGTGAGTCGAAGAAAATGGGGAAGAATGAATTTGACGTGTACAAGATGGAGTGCATGACTACGTCGTGATTAGGCTGGAATATGAGATATTCAAGAAATCAGCACTTCCAACCAATTATAAGACACTTCCACAAGTTAATAAACTCGACTATGCTATTATGGAATACAAGCATATATAGTATATGAAATTTAGAAATGATAATTGCAGAGGAAAAGATACAGACAAATAAAGCATGACTGAGTCAGTTGCCAACCTGAGGACAAGGTAAATATGCCTCTGCAGCCCGAGCATGGAAGACAAAGCATTCTGTTGGTGGACCACTGCAATGAGATCAAATATGATAGTGAATTTCTTCTTTCTAATTCATGCACATTACATCAGATCTTCAAGTTATTGATAGGAATTCGATTCCATGAATAGTGGCCGGAATGCCAGATACAGGAAAGTTCTTATTTCTTTACTCAACAGTAATAAGTTCATGGAAAATAAGGGAAAAATATGAATGAAGATCAACAGCGAGTTACATTGTGTTAAAATCATATCTGAGAAAAAAGAATCAAATGTAAGTCCTGGTGAGCGACATCGGCATCACATCACGCCTACATTTGCAAGCAACTAATCCATCTTATGTATCAAGGTGAAGTGAAGGGGAATTCTTCCAAGTTCCAAAGCAAACCAATAGTTATATGGTAGGAATGCTAAGTGGGGTAGAAAAAAATTTATATTCTTAAAATGAAGATGAGGGGGACCCTAGCTGCACTAGGTTCAGATCGCCTACAAGCAAGAAGGATACTAAAATTGTACCGTTGACATGATGCTATTTCATTAATGATATATACATATATATAGAAAAAGGGGAAAATATTCATCTTACATGTTTCTTGCCGGCTTTGTATCCCGTGCAAACATCCTGAAAGAAAGTAGTTTTCCTTCCAACTGATGCAACATATGGTTAACACGGCTCACTTCAAAACTCATTGGTTTGTTTCCAGTTGACGGTTCATTCTGATCATTATCATGGATTATGTTTTCACAATGTTCCTCAGATGAGGATATGCTGTCTTGGAAATTTTGGCTATCAACATCGTCCAAAACATTGTTGTAGAGACAGTCTTTAGTATCAACGTTTTCATCATTAAATGGAAATATGTAGAGATACCGCCTCCATTTGGCAGAAAAATTAGGATGAAAATCACGAGGAACCTAAAAACACATTATAAACACATCAGTGCCTCTGAAATTAAATGTTAAAAACATTTTGAGGACAGGGTCTTAGAGTGGTTCACAAGTACTACTACAGAAACCATAAATCATGTTCAAAGGCGAAGTACCTGAGTTACAGAATTGACCTTCATCTTCCCAGACGATGCACTGTTTATAGCATCCTTAATTTCTAAAGCTTTGACATCCTGCCTCCATGTATCTACATATGCAAAATGCTTTATAATTATATAAATTTGAGTAATAAAGTAGTTCAGAGGCAATTTCATCAAGAAACTTGTGAACACATTTTAGGTAAGAGGTTTTGTGTTCTGTTTACTATTTAGAGTGAACTGCATAAACCAATGCCCTAGACAAAACCTAATATTGTTTCTCTTGGTTATAGCAATACTGCATCATCTTCTAACAAAAGAGCCACATAAAACAGAAGTTAATCAGTCTCCTTCAGAGATGAATTGACAATGTTCTGGAAAAGGAAGATGTATTCGGGTGATCCAATTAGCAAATATGTTATCCCAGTTAAAGGTTACAGCTTGCAGCTAATAGACCCAACTTTGGGAGATCAGTTGGTAATCAGGAACTTCAGGCTAAGATCAGGCCTTTGAAGCGCTAGCTGCAAACACAAATGATAGCATTGCAATCAAGTCTCCTTCCTTGGGGTTGACATTCCATGGACGTTCCCTGGGGAAGGGCGGCTGAGGGGAAGTTGGTCACCCCTTCCCCATATTGGATGAAGGGGGCCAAAGGATCTACCTCTTATTAGATGAATGGAATGCAGTAAAACAACTAAATGACAAAGAAGGAATGCTAGACTGGGGGCTTAGCAACATGGTTGATATGCCTGACATCAAGGGATGTGTACATACAGAAAGAGCAAACTTGTCCAAGAGCTGTCACCCCTTTGTCTGTTCTCCCAGCAACAACAGCACAGCCATCAATTGGTAATTTCTTGTCTTTGAGTAGCTGTGCTTTCTTATCATCAACAAATTTCCCAAGTGCTCTTTCAATCAAGCTGTTCATAAATAAAATTGTTAGATAAACGGCAAAACAAAGATATGTTGCATGTGAACAGTGTAATGATAAGCCAAGCAAACAAAGTACCATTCAGAGTATCTGATGCAATTTTTGTTATTTCCACTTGATATTTCGTCTGCAAGTAAATTACATTAGCTTTTTTCTGTTGAATTTCATTACTTAGCATGTCACATAACTAAGAAAATAGACACGACATTGCATAAAATTAGACTTGGATAATAACAAATAATAATCTTAGTCAAGCAATATTTTCCAGTGTTGCGCATTATTCTGCGACAATATTATTTTAATTTTTGGCCAGTGAATCAGCTAAAACACTCTCGAGCCTCATTAAGGAGGTCCTTCATCTTAAAGATACAAATACAAGGAAATGAATCCAGAATCCTACAGTTCTAGAAAGCATATGAAGAGTATGATTGCACTTGATTCAATTATTCAAGGAATTTCAAAAGCTCATGGGATATACATGTATATAATTATACACACACATATGCATATCTCACTAGAAGAACAAAAGCACAGATTAGTCTGCATAATTATTATTTCCATGTTGATAGGTGGAAATCATTATGGGAGTATTGTTACCTCTGGACAGTATTTAAACCAGGTTGTTTCTGCCACCCATCAAATGAGCTTCCATGGTATGACAACAGTATTTTGAATGTCACTCTTGCCCATCTTCCAGTCCTTTCCTTAACTGGAATGCTCACTGATTCATATTTATCACAAGTTTCTGCATCTTCAGCACCATGATAGACAGCATGACTCTGTGTAAAAATGAAATCTGATCAAACACCACATAAAATCATTGAAAGTGAATAACAAACAGCCCTAGCATAACCATCACTGTCCTGTGCAGATTGAATTCATTAATTTACAAAGGTGAGACTTCGAGAGTCCATAAGACCTTTTATAATCCACAAAATACCAGATAAAAATAAATATAGCTGCAGGAGGCAAGACAATGCCTGACTTCCATGCAACATCTACTAATGCTGCCCAAGTTACAAACTATGGCTTCTAAAGAATGCATATTGCAGGAAGATTTGTTTCATGTGATTGCATAATATATAATAGAATATGCATGTAAATGGAGGATCCTCGTCGACGTTCAAATAGTTTTAACAGAGCCACTGATATATCACTTATTTGGAAGTTGCAGAACCCCATGAGGAACAAAAAAAAACCCGTCTGACTTGAAGCTTCTACTATTGCTTAAAACTAAACTTCTAAACTGTTACTCAAATGAATGAGAAATAGGAGAATTTCATCTCAGCTGTATTTGTAAAAAGATGAGCTTTCTTCTCAATTAATAAATAGATAAATAAACTTTGAAACGAAGATAATCAATCTTAATTAAACATTTAAACCGCGCGTTTCACCACAAGCTCACCTCTTTCCCAAACAACTCGGACAGAGAGCGGCGGCCGTTTACCACATCCAAGTAAAAGTCATCAATTTTACGCCACTGCCTTGCATACATGTACTCATAACTTTCCCTGCCAAATTCAAGTCATCATCACCTCAAGTTGTGAAAAAGCACAAATCGTGCGACTAGTAGTACAATCAATTTGTCAAATGTATCTTTGACAGAAACTGTACATTTCAGCTCATATATGCATATGATTAACACGATAGCAGACATATATATCTTTGACAGAAACTGTACATTTCAGTTCATGTATGTTATCAAAAAATAAATAAATTAATTAAAGTTATAAAAAATTAAATAAATAACACGATGGCAGAACAGCTACTTAAATTAAAGCTCAGCTCAACAACAAACAAACTACCGTATTGAAATGATATTTAACACGGAGATGCTGAAGGTAGAAATATATGGCGAAACGCAGGAAGAGGAAGCGAGAGGGTATTGGCGTATGTGACTTACTTGGCAGTCCATCTGTACAGGCTGCAAACATCGGCGTGTTGATAATGAACGTAGTCCTTAACCGGCCGGGACGGTGGCGCGTGGAATTCCATTAAAGTTCTCAGCCGCGGTGCCGCCGCCGCCGCCGCCGTCTGTTTTAGCATTCACCTTTCTGCTCCTCCGCGGCAGTCTTTAGCTGAATATGTGGTCATTTAGATTTAATTAGAAAAACATGGGCTTTAGTAAAAACTAATTAAAAAAAAAATCTTAGGTTTAATTAAAAAACATGGGCTTTAGTAAAAGTCTGGAATTAATTGAGCCCAATGCTTAATAATATCTTATAAATATGAAAAAAAAAAAAAAAAAAAAAAAAACTAAAATAATTTATAAGGGTATGATTGTAATCTGAAATTCAAAAAAATTGATTTGTATTTGATATTAAAATAATATTTGATAAAATATTTTAAAAATATATATAATTTAAAAAATACATATTTCGAATAGTGAAATTTAAAGGAATTTGACAAAATAAATACATTTTAATTTTTTTACTCTAATACATTATTTAGAAAAAATATTTTTTAAAAAAAAATCAGATAATCTAATTAATTTTTTGATCCATTAAACAACTGAAGAAATATTTAATAAAGCTAAAAATATTTGAATAAGTTTTTTATTAAAAGGCTCTAAAATTACTATTTCCCCTACGGCGCATTTATTGTCAATGTATTTTTTGTGTGATGGAGGTAATAGTTCCGTCTTTATCTTCCATCTCTAGAGCTGTTACAACCGCTTAAAGTATAATTAGCTTAAAACCTAATTTAATTTTAATTTTAAATTTATATATTCTATTAGAATTAAAAATCTAAAAAGATACTCCCATGTTTTAATTATAAGAGAAAATTTTTGATACATTAATGTGTTAGTAGTTGTCATATTTTTGTAAATAAATATAATATTAAAAATGTATAAATTGAAGAATTTATAAAAATTATTTGTTATAAATAAAAAATATATATTTTTAATAAAAATAATTAATATAAATTTGATGAACGGATAATGGATAATAAAGTATACAGTACTCCCTCCGTTCCGGATACTAAAGACACGGTATTTTATGAGGGGTGTAATTAGTAGATAATTAAAAATATATTAGTGAAAATAATTATCCTATAATATAAATAATTATAAATTAAGATTAAGATAACTAATTAGTTTAATTAAAATTAAAAAAAAAATAAAATTTAAAAATTTAAAATGAGATTAAAGTGTGTAATCATTTACCAAAAAACGAAAGTGACATGATACGTGGGACGGATAGAAACGGCAATGTGGACATGGTATTGGGACGGAGGGAGTATATATTTACTTAAGCATTTCTTTTATTATTTTTTTTGTAATTATGATATCTTAAAAACATATTTAACCAAAATGTTTCTACTTTTATTTTTATTTTTATTTTTATAACTTGAAAATTCGCGGCCGCTACCCGAAAGTGCATACTGGGTAAACCTTCGGCCGAACCTAATACCTTCCAAACTAGGCCCGATGGGAAAGTCACATTTGGTTCGCCGAATCTAATTCCCTGCAAACCAGGCCCGACGAAAAAATTACACTAGGCGAACCATGTGTGACAGACGATCTAAGGGGTCGCAGGCCATCCTTGCGGGACTACTTTTATTTTTATTTTGGGAAATGCTTATTGTGCTAATTTGAAAAATTCAGCCATGTTTATAATTATACGTGTGTTGTATAATAGTATATCGTATACTAAAATCAATTGTTATGTGTTGCATGCGACTGTAGCATGTATTGTTAGTTTATGTATTGTATACGTCTAAATATTAAAACAAGTAAAAATACATATATTTTATATTCAGAGGATGACACTACCGATACTTTTGATAGTAGCAAATGAAATACTATATGGCTTTTGTTTGAATTAGAGATTTTTCTAAAATTCTGAAGTTTTGAAATTTTAAAAATTTAAGAATTGATATAAAAATTTTATTTTAAATAATGCTAAAATTCCAAAATTTATTATGTAAACAAGGCTTATACAATTATGTACCCCAGCCTAAACCTAGACCAGCAGAACTCTCTAGCCCTAGCTCAATTATGTGACATAAATGAAACCATAGGTTTAGGATATGAAAATATTTCCTATTGTCTTGATGGCTTTTGTGTGTGTTACATACACTTGTTTTAATAAAAAACATACTCCCTCCGTCCAATTAGAAGGTTGACATTTATTTTTGGCGTGATATTTAAAAAATAATAGTATTTTAATTATAAGTAGCTGTTAAAAATAGTGTAATGATATTTTTGTCCTTATTTTTTTTTTTTATGTGTAAAAGTAATAATGTGATGTAAAGTAAGGATATTTATGGAAAAAAATAGAGTATTTAATGAAATGTTAACTTTGTAATTGGACGTCCCAAAATATAAATATGTAAACATGGTAAATGGACGGAGGAAGTATAATTTAAAAATTTGTTTAATTATATTTTAAAATTGTTTGGAAATAAATAATATTAGTATTTCTAAATGATAATATTTTGATGTTAATATTTTTTAAAATAAATTAATATATTTTGTTAAAAAGACATCAAAATTGAATAATGTAAATTTATATAAGAAATCATAAACAAACGGGCCTAAGTAAATGAAAAAAATAACTAGATTTACAAAACTCATGTCAGATGGAGTTAGTATTAGATACACAAATAAAAACATCGTCCATTATTTTATTACAATTAAACCGGCAGCCTAACCAAGATCAATCACGTGATGTACAACATATTTCAAAATCAATAATTTTTATTTTTTATTTTTTATTATTATTCAAAATTATCAGATACTCTGACTACTTCTGTTTTTTCTATTATAAAATATTTTATTATACGTCTATTTTAATATTAAATTTAAATTAATTTTTTTTTCAAACCCATCAAAACAAACACAGTTAATTTATTCTATACTATTTTTAAAAAAATATATTTATCTTAGTGTTAATTTTATTTTTATTTTGTTTCATTTGAATACAAGTTTTTAGAGATTTTATTTTATTTTAAAAATAATAAATTTATATATTTAGTGTGATATTTTATTAAAGAAATATATAATTAATATTTTTGAAATAATTATTAATAATTTCAAAAATTTAAAGATTTTTATATAAACAAGCTTTTTATTATTCGCAAATTTGGGAGATATTTCAAACAAACATACCCTTCGGCCTTACGTGTATAGTGGGATGATATATTCTAGAAGATGCCTAGATGTGACAATAGAAATGGACATGTAACAAAAATTTACCGAGTAAAAGGCACCTATAAAGAATTCAATATATATATATATTTTTGAATGAAATGAAAATTCGTAGCCGTTATCCGAAAAATCCTGTAAATTCGGTCCAAAAAGCCACATGTGACCTGAGGATAAACCCATAATCTCACAGTTATCATACCATTCTTTTGGGGGTATTAAGCATTCAATATTTTGACTATCGATTCAATTATATCTCCGAACAGGGTTTGTTTGCACGTAACATTTTTAAATGAATAAAAATTTAATATTAAAAACACAAACAAACACATTCCTGGCGTGCATAAATTTCTTTTAGGTAAATTTATAAAGATTTGCAGAAATTAAATAGTAGTATGATTAATTAATAATTGGAATGTGTCGTGACTGAGTGGCAGGTGGCAACTGTCAAGTTAATTTAATTAATGTGTGTTTTTTTTGGAATTTTTCCAAATTTTTATTATTCATTCAAATTTTTTTTTTTAAAATATCAAATTAAATATTTATTTTTTAATTTTTTATATTATATTAAAAATTATTTTTGTCATTAAAAATATAATATCAATACTTATTTATATCACATCATACAATTATTTCAATTTAAAAAATTTTACTGATCAAATCTCCAAAAACAAATACACCCTAATAGTTATATTATATACACGCATGAGGTCAGTATTCTCTCTCTCTCTTGCTGGCCTTGCAGCTGTGCCACTGTGACAATCTCTGCTTGTATGTCAGTCTTTCTCTGTCTATCTCACTCTATATTCCTGAAATTTGCATCGCTCCTCAGATCAGATCAGCAGGTGGTTTTCGGGCGTAAGTGTTCTCATGCTTTTGCTGCTGCATTAACGACTGAGTGGGATTTACTCGCAGTTATACAAAATGCGAGTTTCGTTTTTCCATCTTTTGTTGATTTGAGTGTTTCCTGGATGTCGTTGATTGAGAGCTGCAATGTAGGAAAGGATCGATCGTGCAGGGGACTAGGGCATTTTTACTCGGCCTTTTCGAGCCTGTTCTTTCGTTTTTTGGGTTTCTTTAAATAAAATTATTAAAAAAGTTTGACCTAATGATTTGCATTTTTTTCCTTTGTACTGTCTAGTTTGCTTCGATTTTTGTTTTTCTTGTTGCTAGCATGAAGTGCGCTGTTATATTCACAGATGCCGACTCTTGTGGATTGCTTCCTGCTTGTTTCTTTGCTGGCGGTGCTTATCGAATTTGCATTAGTTAATTTGGATTTTACTCGTTTAGGGGTTTCACTGTTAGGCGAGGAAATTGAACGAAAAGGGTCGGGAGACGGAAAAAAGAGCCAAGTGGTGAAAGAAGGAATATAATGTGGAAGTTGAAGATCGCGGATGGGTCAAACCCCTGGCTGCGCTCTGTAAATGGACATGTTGGTCGCCAAGTCTGGGAGTTTGATCCTAACCTTGGATCGCCCGAAGACCTTGCGGAGATCGAGAAGCTCCGAGAGCAATTCCGCAATCATCGTTTTGAAAAACAGCATTCAGACGATCTTCTCATGAGATTTCAAGTTCAGTGAGACCCATTTTCACCTTCAATCTTTTTTATTGTTAGATCTCACTGTTGTTTTGCCATGAGATTATGATGGTGATCTCTAGTCTATGTGCAAGATACTGAGTCCCATGAATGACCATGATTATGTGTTACAATTCTTCCTGTGTTTGCAGTGGTTTACTGCACCTAGTTTTGCCCTCATGACCTAAAATTTTTATGTTAGAATAAAGTTCGCTTTGAATAGTTATGGGCTGGTGGAATATGGTTCTTCAATGCTGTTTTGCCTGAACCGATGAGGCCTTGATGCTGGGTGAAATTCTGGAATCAGTTCCATAGTTCTTATACTGGTCTCTGAAATAGTACTGGGCCATCAGTTAATTAATTTGTTTCATTTCGTGTAGTTAAGACTGCTCTCTAAGATGAAATATAAGACATCCTGATGATTTCTAAAATTGTACCAATGTGATCAGTAACTAGTTGTATTTATGTTAATGCTATACACAAAGGTCCAATGAGGTGTATGGAATGCTTGCTGTCCTTGTTGAAGTTTGTAACTATGTTGAACTGGAATTTTTACATGGTCACATTCGATATTGGCAAGGAAATAATTACCTCAAGGCAAATTATTATTTTTAACTCAGTATCTGGAGAGAGAAATTTTGTAGACGCAGAGTACACTTAGTAAGCAGCTTCCATCCTGTTCATGACATTTGTAAGAGTTAAAGAATATGGCTGTTTCTTCTTATATGAATCTCAGAGCAGCTGGATCATAAATTGGTTTGTTTATTGGAAATTGATGTTGTGGTTTTGTTTCATTGTTTATGTAGAGAAGTGTTCCTGTACAAATCTTGAACGCAATGCATGGTTCCTATTTGAGCATGTTGAGGCTGATTGTTATTGATGTAAAATATGGCTGATAATTTTAATTATAGAAACTATATATTGTTTGTGCTTCGGTTGTGGTTGTATAAATATTTGAAATACTAAATGTAGCTTGGGTTAAAAATGAATTTTATAATTTAAAGTACTTTCTTGTTGACAACTTTGTTAGAATAAACATAAGTAACCTTTTTTTTTTTTTTTGGTTTTTGTACTCCTAATATTAGTTCTCAAAGGAGAAACCGAACCCTGTGGATCTGCCCCAAGTAAAAGTGACAGATATAGAAGAAATAACAGCGGATACAGTAACCCATACATTGAGGAGGGCCGTTGGCTTCCACTCAACTCTGCAGGCTCATGATGGCCATTGGCCAGGAGACTATGGAGGTCCCATGTTTCTATTACCTGGCCTGGTGAGTGTTACTTTTTCAGTGTTCTGCTTTCTTACACTCAATTTGAATGATAATTCTTCTAAAAAGGATGACTATGATAGTTTGAGGCTGAGCCCATTTTGCATTTTGATCATCAAAATTCAACCCCAAAGCATACGATGCTCAAATGTAGCAATGAAGCTTGAATAACTCAAAAGAGATGAATCCTGAAACATTAGGTTCTTCTATCATTTATTGATATACATATCTAAATAATCAGAAAGTAAAAGTATTCTTTTCCTAGGAGTTCTCCAGCTGAGGTTAAGATCCAGAATAACATGTAGTTTTATTGATTTTGCATGTTCATTGTCTGTATATCAAGTTTATCTTGTAGAAAAAGTTTGTTGTCTCAATGGAAGTAATGATTTGGAATTTCGAAAACCAGTTATAATAATCAGTGTTTCTATAACTCAGTTATTTCTCTATCCAATATCATTTTCTGGAACAGGTTTTTACATTATCTATTACTGGAGCATTAAATGCTGTATTGTCAAAAGAGCACAGGCGAGAGATCTGCCGATATCTTTACAATCATCAGGTGAAGAGTGCATTATGTTTGTAAAGTTAACTGTGTCCTCCTAGATTGTATCAAATTGATGTACCATTCAGGTTATCCTCTATTCCTAACAGTCTCGTAACTAGTAAATGTTCTATAACAGAATAGAGATGGTGGATGGGGTCTGCACATTGAAGGGCCAAGCACCATGTTTGGATCTGTTTTAACCTATGTCACTTTACGGTTACTGGGTGAAGGAGCGAATGATGGAGATGGAGCAATGGAGAAAGGTCGAGACTGGATTTTGGATCATGGCGGGGCTACTAAGATAACATCATGGGGAAAGATGTGGCTATCAGTTAATAATTCATTTCTTGGCTTTTAGTTATGCTATTTGTTCCAATTGCAATCTTCATGCGCCAACTGTTGATTTTTGTATTTAGGTACTCGGGTGTTTTGAATGGTCTGGAAATAATCCATTGCCACCTGAGATATGGCTTCTTCCCTATTTTCTTCCAATTCATCCAGGTTATGCTTGCGTGTCTTTAACTATAATTTTTCCCCTCTTTCTGTTTCCTCTGCAAGTGATTGTAAAATCTGCCCATGTCTTCCTTATATGTTCTAGTTGTCTTAGCTTGTTATTTAGTGTATCTTAGACCTACAGTTAGTATTATTATAGGAATCGATGAACATTTTAACTCACACACACACACACAGACATATTTCAACATAGCTGTAGCTTGTCATTTGAAATTTCATGTTACACACCCTTCATCTGAACTCACTTAAAACCCATTGTTCAGGAATTAAATTCTGATTTTTCCATTTCAGATAAATACATTCCGTGATGTTTTGGGTTTTTTTTTTTAAGAAACCACTTCATTGCGTCGTTTTTGCTCTTGCCTAATAAACACAACATTTTCCTACCATTCATATTGCAGGCAGAATGTGGTGCCATTGTCGAATGGTTTATCTGCCAATGTCCTATTTATATGGGAAAAGGTTTGTTGGTCCACTAACACCCACAGTATTGTCTTTGAGGAAGGAAATTTACACAACTCCTTACCACGAAATAGATTGGAATCATGCTCGTAATGAGTGTGCAAAGGTTGGTAAAGACCACAATTTTACCTTGCAAGTTTTAAGTTTGATCATAATATTTTTATGAGAGTTTTTCAGTGATTAAAAAACAACAATCAATCTCCCCATTCTCACATATGGTGTTCTCTGTTTATGCTTAATATAGTATCCTGTGTGTCATCACTGCAGGAAGATCTGTACTACCCACACCCTCTTGTACAGGACATACTATGGGCGACACTTCACATGGCTGTGGAGCCTGTTTTGACACGTTGGCCTGGGAAGAAGCTCAGAGATAAGGCTCTGCGCACTGTTATGGAGCATGTACATTATGAAGATGAAAATACACGTTACGTATGTATAGGCCCTGTAAATAAGGTAAATTGGAAGCAATTATAAATTCTGGGGATGAAAGATTGTGATTTTTTTTTACCTATTTATGAACAATCAGAAATATTGTTGCACAGCAAGATGCTTGCAACTATAGATTAGTATTATGGGATATGTACGAATTCAGGGGTGAGTTTAAGTATTCAAACTATGGGTGTTGCTTTTTCCAATAGCTTTTCTGCATCTGTCCTAACCTATTTCTGTGACCTGCTACTTGCAGTAATGTTAATGAACATTGTCTTTGTAAGAGCCACATATGTCAACAATCTTAGTTTTTCTTCTGTGTTTTAATTAATGGCTGAAAACCAAAATATTTTAAATGCAGTGACCTGGTTCTTGCAACCCTTTCTCATGCATCCTCTTTAAAATGAGATTTACAGGTGTTAAACATGCTTTGCTGTTGGGTGGAAGATCCAAATTCAGAAGCTTTCAAGTTACATCTTCCAAGAGTATATGATTACCTATGGGTTGCAGAGGATGGCATGAAAATGCAGGTTAATTTTTATGCATATGTTACTATATGTATTTAATGTTCTTTTCTTCTGCTGGTATTTTCAATTTGATGCCACACTGAAGGATATAAATTTAGGGCAAGAATTTTCTTACCATTTTTCTTGATAGTTTGGATGATTGTAGCTAACTTGATACTGTTTCAGGGATACAATGGCAGTCAGTTGTGGGATACTGCCTTTACTGTTCAAGCCATATTGTCGACAAAACTTGTAGAAGAATTTGGCCCAACTTTGCAAAGAGCACATACATACTTAAAGAAGTCACAGGTTATCTTTTGAATTTTTCTTTACCACGTTCATAGTATTCTGTTGTGTCATGATAACGCATTTGGCATGATTTACTATATTCCATATACTGTATCTTCTTGTTATAGGTTTTAGATGATTGCCCTGGAAATCTAGATTATTGGTACCGTCACATTTCCAAAGGTGCCTGGCCATTTTCAACTGCAGACCATGGCTGGCCTATTTCGGATTGCACTTCAGAGGGACTGAAAGTACCAGTTTAATATTAAGCTAGCCCACTTCCCTAGCATTTGTTAAGTATAGTGGCTACATAATGGTAACCTGTTACTGTTTTTTCAGGCAGTTCTACTGCTGTCAAAGTTACAGTCCGACATTGTTGGTGAACAACTGGATGCGAAGCGGTTATATGATGCTGTGAATGTAATTTTTTCATTACAGGTAATACACCATGTTTTTGGAACTTCATTCACTTTGTAATTTGGATGGAGAGAAGTGTGGGGTAGTTGTTTCAGTTGAAGGGAAAAGCTTTACCTCAATTATGCATCATGTGATGTGACGAACATTCAGTTGATAGATAAATGTAATTGATCCAAAAAATCAGGGATTGACATTGGTAAACTTGAATTGAACATGCAAATTTTACCCAGGCCAAACTTATAAAATTTGGAAAAATTGATACATCTGTGGATTTTAATAGACATTAGGGTGTGTTTGTTTGGGGGTTTAGATTTTGAATTGGGATTTGAATAGTAAAAATTTTGAATTGTAATAGTCGTATGATGTGATATAAATAGGTGTTGATGTGATGTTTTGAATGTAAAATTGATTTTTAGTATAATATAAAAAGTAGGTATTTAATTTAATTTTTTTGGGGGAAATTTTTTTAATGAATAGTAGAATTTTTGAAAAATCCTATAAAAGAACACACCCTAGATGGGCTAATAGATTGGCTATGGAATTGCATATTATCCACAATTAGCAGTATCAGATTATCTGTTGTAATTAATAATTTATGATGTCATGCATATGGTCTAATAACAAGTCTGTCCTGGATCATGTAATCTTATTCTCTGTCTGTTCCTTCTTCGTCATCTAGAATGTCTAATTGATGGCCTCTAAGAAACAAATTCCTGGAATCTTTTTCAGAATGCTGATGGAGGATTCGCTACATATGAATTGACAAGATCCTATAGTTGGTTAGAGGTATGTTATTGTATATGTCTATACCCACTACAGCTTCCATTTTCATACATATTATTCACTGTCAGTAGTAATGATAGGAGAAATTGTACCTCGGTTTGACTGGATTTAAAGTTTAACTTTGGTGATTACCCAAGCTATTGTGACATGGTCTTAGCCTACTAAAGATATTTGCCTATTGTTTCTTGCATTCTGGACAACTCTATATGCTTTTTCTGTTTATGTTTGTTGATATGTTGACTGTAAAGCTTTTACATAATCATGAAGCATGTGGTCTTGCTTTTTTCCTAAAGGCAGTTTTGTTGTTTAGGCATTTCAGGTATTGTATTTCCTGCACTATTAAATAAAGATCAATAGAGTTAATTTCCTTACCAACAAGGTCGTTATTCTAGCTTTTGGTGTGATTCAGTATGCTTTTGTTGCAGTTAATCAACCCTGCTGAAACTTTTGGGGACATTGTCATTGATTATCCGTAAGATATCTTATCTTCTGCAGTATATGTATCCATTTTCTCATAGTTTTTCAGAATGCCAAAAAAAAGCACGCAAAAATGTCAGATAAATACTCTATCATGAGCATTGTACTTTATCAAATAAAGGTTTGTCTAAAATTATCGGGGACTACGTAGCAGGAGTGTAAATAGCTCTGATTAGATTCTATAAACTTAAAATATTTTGACTTGCATTACTTATTAACCTCCTGTTAAATAAAGTCTGTACTCTGGTTTCATAGGTACGTCGAATGTACCTCAGCTTCTATTCAAGCATTAGCAGCATTCAAGAAATTGTATCCTGGGCATCGGAGAGAAGAAGTGGAACGATGTATTGATAAAGCTGCTAAATTCATTGAGAAGATTCAAGCAGCTGATGGCTCCTGGTCAGTTTTTTATTCTTTTCTGCTTGAAAACTTTCTGTAGTTTCTTGATCCTGAGTTGGAGTAGATAGTGTATATTGTATATTCTTTTCTGCTTGAAAGCTTGGTGTTGATTTCTAGTCAATCTACCAATCAGCTTTATTTAAGATTGAAACTTCACACAGGTACGGCTCGTGGGCAGTATGCTTCACTTATGGAACATGGTTTGGGGTGAAAGGTCTTGTGGCAGCTGGGAGAAGCTATAATAATTGCCCTGCCATTCGCAAGGCTTGTGATTTCCTGTTGTCTAAACAGCTTCCTTGTGGTGGATGGGGAGAAAGTTATCTTTCATGTCAAAACAAGGTCAATAATTTCTAAATTAGTTTTCCTCTCCATCTTTTTATCTTGTGGTATGTGGCCTGGCTCTGTGGCTAAAACAATTTTTTTTTTTTCTTTGTGAACTATTTGACCACTAACTGATTCTAAACACAATCTATACTTCATCCTTTTTTGCTGTAACCTCATTCATAAAAGGAAATCATTAAAATCTGAAATTTTCTCAAAGTGGTGAATAAGGTTCTAAAGTGGCCTAGTTATTTTCCTTTTTCAGCATATGTGAAAAAGTTCATATGTTTATCCAATAAATATGCAGAAGAAATAGTTGGTCTATACAGAGTCGTTGAATGGTTTATGTCTGATACTAAAATGCTCCTTTACAAGTACAGGTGTATTCAGATCTAGAAGGGAGAAGATCTCATGTGGTGAATACAGGGTGGGCTATGTTGTCTCTCATAAGTGCAGGACAGGTACATAAAAATCCTTCTTACTCAAATGTGTTATTGATGCTTTGCTGTCTTTTCTCCTTCTAGTGAAATGTTGATCATGGAAGATGATTCAATTTGATTACCAGAAATCACTAGACACAACTAGCAATTGTATTAAATCACAGTTTTTGTTTCCTGTTGATGTCCGGCAGGCAGAGAGAGATCCATTGCCATTGCACCGTGCAGCAAAGGTTCTCATAAACTCTCAATGTGAAAATGGAGATTACCCGCAACAGGTAAAATGATTATATCATTAGCCTATACTGTTTCTTTCATGTAATCCTGATCGAAAGCTTTGATACTAACACCTTTAAGAGCATAAACTAAACAGACTAAACAACTACTCACTTTCAAGATCCACATTCACCCGAACTGTTTCCCTTACCACTTTTCGTTTTCCAGGAGATCATGGGAGTCTTCAACAAGAATTGCATGATCACATATGCCACCTACAGGAATATATTCCCCATCTGGGCTCTCGGAGAATATCTCACCCAGGTTCTTCAACCCAAGGAATGAATAAGATCTTCACACAACGAAGATGTTTCCTTTCTTTCATCTTAATCATAATTGAAACGTCGCTGGTCTTCATCGTCCTTTCTATTGCCAATCTTGAATTAGTTCCTAACTTTGGTTGAAAGTAGTGGGATGCATTCTCATTCTCTGTTCTCTACTTTGTCATGATATTGGTCCCCATTTTTTAACTCAAAAGTAGGAACAAAGTGATACTGGTTTTACGACTATTATGGATGGAGAATGCCTCATTGTTTGTGTTGGCCTTTCTTGGTACTTGCAAGGTGCTTTTAGTACTTGCAAGGTGCTTTTAGTCAATTCAAACCACAAAATAAAGTGAACTATGCATGTCAACATTCAATTCTAGTTTGAAAATAAATGGTTGATAGATGACGAAATACATAACACAACAAAAACTGTCTGCACCAATAAAACAACACAAATGAGATTTGAAATTTGAAATTCGAATTTTATACATGAATGAAACGTATTCGTTATAAAAGCGTGTTTTTTAAACAGCGGTCCCATGTGAGCACGCTTTTTTCAGAATTTCGAAATCCAAAGCCAAAGCGCCAAACTTCGAATAAAATATTTTTCCTCTCTGTGTGTGTACGGACGGGCGAGATATTCTCGAACAACGCTCCCCTCCCCCTTTGCTCCGAAGTTCTTTTAGCTCGTGGATCTTTGAATTTGAACTTGAAGGTGGTTCCATGGCAGGACTCTGTAGTATTCAACCTACTATATTTTAAGTGGCTTGCTTTTACTGCTTCAATCTCGATGCAGCGCTTTTACCAATGCTGTTTGTCTTGAATTGTAGCTATGAATAAACATTAGCTTTGCGCGGCTGAAGAGAAGAAATGGTTAGCTGCTAGGTACGTTTTTGCTTTGAATGCAATGTCGTCTTGCCATTATTGTGTGCTGTTGTTTATCTTGTTTGATTTGTGTTCGTAGTTAAGTTTTGCTGAAAGTTTCTTTTAAGCTTAATTCGTTCGAAATTAGCTGAAAGGAAATATTAGTCGTTGGAAGCTGCAAACGATTTGCAATGGTTACATTTCCGTTACTATTCTTTGTTGATTTTAAACAAGTAATTTTATGCCATGTAGATTATATCGAGAGAGAGAGATACGGAGGATTTTAACGCACGATTTTTGTAGGGGAATTTTGGAGCGTGGAGCTGAGCAGTCATGCTGGCCTGCTGGGGGTGAAAACTTGATTGAATGGAAGTTAAAGATTAAGTTGAATGAAGAAGATGAAGGCTCACGTACATATGGTGAAAGGAAAAGTAACTTCAAGGGCGAACCCTCAGCAAACAGCCTTTGAGCTGAAACAGCGAGTGATTCTTGCACTCAACAAACTTGCAGATCGGGACACTTACCAACTTGGGGTGGAGGACCTTGAGAAAACTGTTGAATGTTTGACACCTGATGGAGTTGCACCATTTCTGTCTTGCATATTAGACACAGATTCAGAGAAGAAAAGTGCAGTTCGCAAAGAATGCATTCGCCTATTGGGTGTCTTGGCAACTTTTCATGAGGATCTTGTTAGATCTCATATTGGAAAGATGGTCGCTGGCATTGTTAAGAGGCTAAAGGACTCAGATTCTGTTGTAAGAGATGCTTGTGTAGAAGCTTTTGGAGTCTTGGCTTCCAAATTGAGCAGTAGTAGAATTGACACTGATGGCATTTTTGTTGTACTGGTTAGACCGCTTTTTGAAGCCCTTGGTGAGCAGAACAAGCAAGTGCAATTTGGTTCTGCCTTGAGTTTGTCGCGGGTCATTGACAATATTTATGATCCCCCTCCTTTGGTTTTGCAAAAGATGTTGACAAAAACTGTGAAGTTGCTGAAGAATCCTCATTTCATGGCAAAACCGGCAATAATCGAGTTGAATAGGAGTATAATTCTGGTCTGTCCCCATCCTGTGCATTTGCTTCTATTTTTATCTGTCTTTTCTTACAGCTCATAGTCTTCTTTCTCGAAGGCTTAGTAAATAAAGATTTATTGATAATATTCGAGGGACAGTTGAAATAACATCCATTTGTTTTTGTAGTACCAAACTTCAATTCTTCAAATTCCAACACCCAGTTAATGTTTTTGAAGTTAGTATATAATTTGTGTATTAGAATGTGCCAATGGACTTTTAAGTAGCTTATAGCAGAAACCCTCAGTATGCTCTTATCTTAATATGCCATGCATTCATATTACGAAGTACTATAATCTTGTACCAATGGTTTCAGGCTGGTGGTACTCCAACACACAGTTCCTTAACGGCTGCAATGACGAGTATTCAGGAATCTCTGAAGAACAATGACTGGGCAACGCGTAAAGCTGCCTGTGCAGCATTGGGAGACATTGCTACTTGTGGTGCAGCATGCTTAGGATCATATCGGACTTCTTGTATTCGATGTCTTGAATCATGTCGCTTCGACAAGGTTTTATTGATCTTGTTCAGCAATTCATTCAGCTGAAAAAAGAGTTTCTTAAATAAATCCTTAACCCATTTTTATCTATATAGGTGAAACCGGTTAGGGACATAGCTTTGCAAGCATTGCAGCTTTGGAAAAATCTTCCTGGGGCAAATACACCTGAGCCATCTGAGGCTGGATCTTCTGTCAAAGGTATTGTCTTAAGTACCCTATTATTGCTCGATGTCCAGGGTGGGTATAGTGTCTTGCAGTTTGCTATATTCTAATGGTGTGCAATCTTTTCTATTACTTCCTTAACTCTGTGCTTAAATTAAATTCCAGCAATCATTTCGTGTGCTATTACTACATGAAATCTATAATACAATTTTGTTTTATAATGTATTAACCCAATTTGTTAAGACAAATAGGGATCTTTTGTGGATGATGCATGAATATTGTGAACATTTAAGAAAGGTGATTATAGACTCATCTAGATAACGAGGACACCATCTCCTCCAACTTATGAAAAGATTGAATGTAATAATGTTTAAGAGAGAGCATTGTTTGCACATGTGGGGTGTGTTGGAGGAAAGAATAAAAGTTATATAACGATATACTTTGCTATAAAATTAAGCTTTGTTAGACAATGTTTTCATTTCACATATTCTTGTGGCACTAAGAAAAAAATTCAATGGTGAAAGATCTGCACATGTGACTATTTTAGTGGTCTAACATTTTGAACTAGAACTTGGACCTCCTTTTTATGAGTTTATGTTCTCTAAAGTTTTGTTAAAAGGTAGTGCAGTCAGTAAGTTCTATTGTTTTTGTCAAATCAATACTTCGTTGGCCCTTTCATGGTCTTGTCGTTATTGGTAACCAGTCTTTTGTTGTTTATGTGTAACATATTTGCCTTAAGCAGAAAAATCTTATAAAGACGAATACGGTGATATCACTAGTGCTAGCATCACTAGTGCTAGCGGATCAACACAGACCGACAAGACACCGTTGAAATTTGGCAATGAACTGCCCAAAAAAAGGGTTCCTCTATCTTCTAGAAATTTCGGAAGTGCTTATACTGATAAATGTCAGCAATCTGAAAGCAATGACTGGCAAATAGAAATTGCAGTCCCAAAGAGACATAACATTTTGGCATTGGAAAATCAACACGGTGAATCTGAAGGTGGTTCTGTTATCACATCTCTGGGTAGTTCTGTTAACAGGAGATGTGAAAGAGTAAATTCTGATATTAGAAGTGTCAATAGCATTGGATATGCATCTGTGGAAGTTGATGATAAACAGGAATGCTCATCTGCTTCCAATATTTTCACTGAAAGCAGCAAGCCAAAGGTTGTCACTACCCATTTTGATGCTTTTGACGATGCCAGTTTGGTGAAGTCCACAGGAACTAGTCAGAGGTTTGCAGCTGATGAAGTTATTATTGAAGAGCAAAAATACTTGTCTAAAGTGCATGACCGTGTAAGCTTAGATTCAACTCTCACCAATTCAACCTCACAGACTGTGCGGGAGTGTTGCTCACAAACAGAAAAAGAGATGGTGTTAATCAGGAAGCACCTCTTGGAGATTGAAGATAAGCAATCTAGTTTGATGAATATGCTAAAGGTAGCTGCCTTTGTTTTCTAAGCCTCATTTTCAATAATAATTTTTAGAATGTTTAGAAACTCTGAAATTTTCACTTTTAATATTCAATTGCATGGCCCTGTCTTAATAGAAGCAATGTAATATGTTACAACTGCGGATCAAAGTCGTGTTTGGTTGGGAGCAAAAAGAACCTGGTTTACTTAAATGGAAGGAATGAACATGAAATTCTTAGAGCTAATTAGTATAATGAAAACAAGTTCTTTGGATGGTAAATCTAGAATGAGCATGGCATGTTATTCTAGTTTCATTATATTGTTTCCTACCCATCTGTACTGCCCTTATTCGACTGAAATTCTACAGATTCAATGATATGAATGATAACAATCACTGAGAATGGGTGGTCTTCTTTGTAAGAAACTTATATTTAATGGAGGCAACTAACTTGAGATTCTTCTCCATCTTCAGGTGTTCACAACTTCTGTAATGGATAGTGTATCGGCAGTGCAGATGAAGGTCTCAAATCTGGAACTAGTAGTTGATAAAATGGCACAAGAGATTTTTCATGGGGGAAGATATTCAGACACATCAACTACCATTCTGAAAAGGAGTACTAACAGTGCTTCCCCTAGATTTTCCACATGCACTCCTAGACCATCTGTTGATAGCAGCAAGCAGCCTCCATTGCCACCCAACAAAACTTCAGGAGTATGGGAGAAGACATTCACTAGGAACAGTTCAAAGAATTTTGGAAAACAAAAAGCAGATATATGGACTGATGCACATCTTAAGCCAAACAGAAGTTCTTTGTTGAAGGCAACTCCTCCAAACTTTTGTCTCGAAATTCATGAAGACCAAAGGAGACATGTTGGTGTATTTGATCAGGTTTCTGCTACTAAAGCAAGGACAAATAAACTAGAAACCAAGAGAAGCCCCCGGGCAGTTATGCGAGATTATTTCTTTGATGGGGATCTGAACTCAGCATACATTGAGGCCCTATGTTCAAGAAATGAACTTCTTTTGTTTGAAATTTTGGATAGAACAGGTCCTGTGCTGGATAGTTTATCACAAAATACTGCAAGCAACCTGTTAAGCACATTGGCTACATATCTACTGGAGCAAAGATTTGTGAACTCCATAATTCCTTGGTTACAGCAGGCAAGTTTATTTTGTATGTGTTATTTAGTTATAACAATATCTAAACAGTATGGCATGAATTCTGTTTCACATTTTTGGATGTGAGCCATTAATCTTATACTGATAAATAATCTTCTGGAAACTTTATGATTACATTTATCTGTTGCTTGGTTACTGTTTTAGATGCTATCGTGATTTGCTAAGCATCATGAGTTATATTGCCTTTTGTTGCTTTATTCAGCTTGTGGAACTCATCAACATCCATGGCCCAACATATTTGGTACTGTCAGCTAATGGAAAGCGAGAGTTTCTATATGCTATCCAGGAAACTGCCAAGTCTGTCAATCTTAATGCCACAGAGAAAAAATTATTTGTTGATATTGGCAGGACATTGCGCCAAATATGGGGTTAGACTACTTTTTTGTTTGAATTTCTCAGAACCTCTTAACTGGGCTGAATTTGAATTATGGTGTGCTGATCAGTAAACTTGTTGAAGTGTCAATTGTCAATTGATTAATGTTTAGACTTGCATTTTAGAAAGTGGGGTTCTTGATTTCTATGGTATAGCCACAGGAGTTTCTCAACAATTGTTGATTTGATGTTTACACATGGCTTTATTATACACACATATCTCAACTTAAAACAGGAAATGTTCTTCACGGAGAACATGGAATTCAAGGAGATTGAAGGGTCGTAATTCATTCTAGTTTGAAAATGCAGCTTTTTTTCAGTTATATTCTTTTAAAACTGGCGGCAGATAAGGAAGAGTTATGGCTTCCAAGCAGGATAATTTGTTTGGTTGCATTTTGCAGGAAATGGTTCATGCTAGCGTTATATACAAGAGCTTTTGCAGGAAATGACTCACGCTAGCTTTATTTACGAGAGCCTACTCACCGGAACTGTTACAGAAGCGTGCGACTATGGAAGCCTAGAAAGAAAGCAAAAAAAAATGTGTTGAATTGCATTAAACTGGATTCCATTCCTAGTACAAGCCCCAACTAAATACATGTAGCAATGACAATCCCCCAAGATTCACCTGTTGTTGATTGTCTCCCTTTAAGTTGATTGAACAATAGTTGTAGTTTGCTTGTTATGCAGTTATGACATTTTGGCAACATGTAAAACAGGTGATGTGCAATTTCAGATGGAATGGAAGCACTACAGAAATGGCTATTCAGGGATAATAGCAGGTAATTCAAGATGGGCAGCTTGTAATCTTCATAAAAATACCATTTTATATACAAAGATGATACCATTTCTGATACAATGAAGTTATGGAACAGGGTCATGCCAGAAGTACCTTGTCACTCATCTGGTTGACAATTCTTGATGAATCATTGAGCCTATTTGCTTTTTCATAGATGCTGGCAACAACAAGATGCAAGTCCTTCTGGTTAATCTTAGGATCTTGCTCCAGCCTCTCGAACAATCTCTCCACCGTCTCGAAATCTCTTCTCGCCCCGCTAATGTCCAGCATCTGAAAATGAACCTCATCCGAAAAGATACACCCCTCCTCCTGCAGCTCTGTATACACGGCATTCGCCTTGTCGAACTCATTCAACTTGCCACACGCATTCAGAACCAATGCCAGCACCTTAGAATTGGGAAAATACCCTGCCCCTCGCATCTTCTCAAACACCTCAATCACATTTGCATACTTTCGGTGTTTAGAGAGCATATCGATCATGTGCTCGAAGATGGATATGTCCCTGATCTCTCCGGCTTCAACAGCCTGCCTGAAAACCCATGTCGCTTCTTCTATCCGACTGGCTCCAGCAAGGATTCGGATGGCAGTTTCCCTTGGGATATTGTCGGGTTGCTTCAGTTCTTGCAGGAGTCGTTTGGCATGACCAACCAAACCGGCCTTCTCGTACGCAACAATCATCGTCTGATAAAGCACCTGATCGATCTCTACACCAGAGCTTCGAAGCTTCTGGAATAACATAGCTGCCCGGTCCAGCTTCCCTGCCTTGCCCCATATCGAGATTATTGTCGAATAAGTTATCGCATTCGGCTCAATCCCTTTTCTATGCATCTCCTGGATAAGATTATTAGCCTTTTCGTGCTCCATTGTCTTCCCGTAGATCATCATCATCGTATTATACGTCACAACATTCTGCATAATGTCCTTCCTCTGCATCAGCCTAAACAAATGTATGGCTTCCCCAAAAAGCTCGGCATCACCATACACCCGCAAAAGGGTGTTATAACTAACCACATTGGGTTCAATCTCCATCTTCCGCATCCCCCAGAACAACTTATCTGCTTCTTTAGCCATGTCGACCTGCCCGTACACATCGATCATTATATTACAGGTTGTGAGGTCAAGCAAACACTTGTTCTCCTTCATTTCCTTGAACACTGATAGAGCCTCAAGAAACCTGTGATTCTCAGCATACATTGTCAACAGTGTCGAGTAGCTAACCGTGTCCGGAACAACCCCTGCCGATTCCATTTCGCCAATCAACGCTCTCGCCTCCCGGAAAAGCTTGGCCTTCCCAAACACATTGATCATGGAGTTATACACAACAAGGTCTGGTGCAATGCCTGACCTCTTTAGCCTGGAGAAAATGGAGATGGCCTTGGAGTAGTTGCAGAGTTTTCGAGACAATTCGATCAAGTTGCTGTAGAGAACTAAATCGACGGGCACATCGTCCTGCTCCATCTTCTGCAGCCACGACAGTGCATCGTCGAAAAGGCCTTGCTTCCCGAAATGTGTGATCAGAGTGGAGTAAGTGTACCTATCGGGTGATAGAGCTCTTTGACGCATTTCGTCGAACAGACCGTGAGCAACCTCCCATTGCTTGGCCCGCAGCACGTTCCTGAGCACCACGTTGTAGGCGAACACGGAGGGGCTGTAGCGCGCCTCCTCGTTCATCCAATCGAGCAGCGCGAGCGAGCGCTGCCAATCGGATTCGGATGAGAGGAGGGAGACCATAAATCGTACGGAAAGGCTGCGGCATTTGTACGGCGACATTAGGGCGTAGAGCTCGTGCTCGTCCGATGTCTGGCCGATGGAGGAGACAAGCTCGTTCATGTCCACGCTGTGGTCGATGAACTCGGAGCTCCGGTCGCGCCGCCGAATCTGGCGCGGCGGCAGATTGGCGGGCGTGGATAGGGCAGGGGATTGTCTCCGCCACACATCCTTGGGAGACGACAAGGCGACCACCGTGAAGTTGGCTCGCCTCCTGTTGGCGACTTCAATGTGCAAGAATGGAGCGTGAAGCGTTTCCATGGCTGGTTTAGGGCATACCGCCCCACTCATCTGCACCACTCCTGGACGTTGATAGACACAAAAATCTTCTGCTGTGGCGGTTGTCAAGAACTGTATCCAGAAAATTTATCTGCAATTTATATCATAAATATTAATTATATTTTTTTTAATTACTTCAAATTTTATTCATATTTCAATATATTTTTTGAAATGTTTCTATATTAACTATATTTTTACATTAAAATATTAATTGAGATTGATTAATCAACACAATTTTGCCTGATATCAATATATTTGTGTCTATAATTGCTAACATTTAGTCATTCATTTTCGACAGCCAAATGGTGAAAGACAAAAAAACCTTATTACCAAGCAGAGGGAAAAGAGGAAGATACATTTGAAGAAGGGTTGTCTAAACTTGAAAACAAACAATCAACAAAGATCAGATTTTGATCTCTCAACAGGGACGCCATTGTCATCTTCATCACCAAGCTTGCATTCCTTCGGAAGCTCGCTATTGCATCTTCCATTCCCCGCCAAATCCTTCCGACAATTCTCCGACCGGCTACTCGGCACTTCGTAGAGAGTGATGCACCCGCCTCTGCTCTGCGCCATCGCCTCTCCCCGGGCCGTCTCCTGCGCCACCAGAGGTTCGAGTATCTCAACGACTTGCGCCATCACCGGCCGGCCCTTCGGGTTCTGGCTGAGGCATTGGTACGCCAAGTTCGACACCTTCATCAGGACTTTGATCGAGTATTCCCCATCGATCCTCGGATCAAGAATTCGAAGCAGTTTCTTGCTATGGTTGAGCAGCGGCCGCGCCCACTCCACTAGGTTGTGCTCCCGGCTTGGCCGACTCTTGTCCATCGCTCGCCTCCCGATCAACATCTCCAACAACACCACCCCGAATCCATACACGTCGCTTCTTGCCGTCAAATGCCCTGAAAATTCCCACCAAGTAAATCCTCCAGATGTTGGACTATTTTAAATTTTTAGGTGAAACAGTCGTCTATTAAACGAGTCTTTGAAAATGAACAAGAAGTTTAATGACACTCACCGGTCATGACATACTCGGGAGCTGCATACCCGTACGTACCCATTACCCGTGTCGAGACATGCGTTTGATCTCCGGTTGGTCCGACCCTAGCGAGCCCGAAATCAGAAAGCTTCGCGTTAAAATCCTGCGTAAATTCCCATTACATTTTCAGTCAGTAAAGGCGTATAAAACTGTCGAATATCTCAGACAACTAACAAGCTAGCTCAACTCACGGCGTCTAGCAAAATGTTGGACGTCTTAAAATCGCGGTATATTATAGGATTTTCGACGCCGTGAAGAAATGCTAGCCCTTTTGCCGTATCCCAAGCGATCTTCAAGCGTCTATGCCACGTTAAAGTGGCGCGCACCCCTGCAATGAAACTATAAATGAGGCGACGCTGGATCCATATAATCTACGGTAATAATGTCGATACAACTAATGCCACTCACTTAAGAAAAGGTGCTTCTCCAAGCTCCCCGACGACATATACTCGTAGACTAAAAGCCGGTGATCGCCCTCGCAGCAGTAGCCGATAAGTCTCACTAGATTCGGGTGCCGGAGTTGTCCTAAATAGTTCACTTCCGCCTGCAAATTTTAACCAAATGCTGAATTCTACAAATCCACATAATGTAATAATGTAATGTAATGTAATGTAAGGTTTTGATTTGTAATTTTAATTTGGTTTTAGTTACCAGCCATTCTCGATCCCCCTGCAGACTTTCTGGATCGAGTACTTTAATGGCGACTTTGGTGGCTTTGTAAGAAGGCCTTACATTCTCGTCTATCACTCCTTTATAGACGACTCCGAAGCCACCTTCCCCGAGAATGAGGTCGTGTCGGAAATGCTTGGTGGCCGCCTCCATCTCCTCGTATGTGAAGATGTCGAGGTCGCCATTCCCAGGACTCTGTCGCAGATCCTTCAAGTCTTTCGGGATTACGAAAATGTTCGATTTGCCTGAGCTTGATTTGTCCGGAGATTGGAGATCCCCACACACACCTGCAGTTGCAGTTGAGGAACAGAACCCTAAATCGAAAGGATAAGTGACGATAGAGAGTTCGGACACGTGGAAATTAGATCAGTTGCTTGCTACACACCTGCGTTGTGGCTCGATACCTTGTTGTTCTCTCTCTGCTCTTTTCCGGAGTCGGCGCTGAGACAAGACCCCATTTTGGCTGGATGAAATCTTACCAGATTCGCATCAGGACTTCCATCGTTCGTTCAGTCGAGATTGGATTCTATCTCTTTACCAAAAATAAAGAAGTGCACATCGAACAATTCAAGTTCCAAAACGGGTTCGACGTTAACGGAAATGATTTCGCCGGAATCCCATCTGGTTCGCCCCGAAACAAAGCATGCAGTCGAAGGAATAGGAATAGGAATAGAAATAGGAATTGGAATCTATCCTCAGCGAAAAAGAAAAGAGTGAAGATAGTGCAGTGAGTGTAAACTTTGGGTATTTTGCTATCGTAGCACCCTTCCTATCTTGTTTTTATATATATAAATATATATGATTCCATTTGGACCAATCAGTCAAACTTTGTATAGGTTTGGCAAGAAAAATACAAAAAAACAAACTAGATGCCATTTTATTGTCTCCCATCCCATCCCATGGCCTACCTCTATATATATATATATATATTTCACACGTATTTATTGAATCCATAAAATAAACAAACTAAACCACAGGTTTAGGATTACAGTGAATGAATCATAATTCTACTACAGTCAAAATAATTTTCAGTGAAGAAGAAGAAGAAGATAGAAGCAGGAACAGCAAGCATCTTACAAGTTGCAGTTAATTATGATTTTACCATTTTAGGTCTTAATTTGATCAAAGCACTAAACCCTAATTATGATTTGATTTCAATATTAATTAATGTCTCCATACTAAAAAAAAAAAGAAACAAAATTATATTTATATGAACGAGAGGGAGAGAGACTGAGATTACCGGCAGGGGGTATTATTGGAATTTGATAGAGTCGCCTAAAGCTGCTGCCACAAAATTTGCATTTCCACGTCATCCGTTGACCCGGTCGGCTTTACGCGCTTCCAGCTGTACAACACGCTTTTAAGGTTGTTGTATTGTATCGGTTTTGCGACTTCTAGACTTTCTCCTTCATTGTGTCAATATGTACTAGAAAATATATAATAAATGCATACATAAAGAAAAACATGCAAGCGCTTAACTTATTCGTTGAAACTCAGCCTAGTCAAACGTTAAATATGATACTAATAATTTTGTATATATATATATATATATACATGTAATAAATAATACATCTAGATCTGCTTTCATTTAATTATTTTTCCTTTTTACACGAATTCAAAACTCAAAAAGACATACAGTATTGTAGTTATTCCATGTAGTTTAGTTAAGGTGTTGGTAAGAGAGCATTTAGAGTGTTTGTTTGGTTGTTCTTCCCAATTTTTTACTAGTTGAATTATGTGTTGAAAATATATATATATATATATATATTTTTTATCAAAAAAAACATCGCATCAAATATTAAAATACAAATTTCAAACTAAAATTTCTCAATGCATCCCAAAGAAACACACTAAAGCGTGTACTTATATACATACATACATTTATTTATTTATTTATTATTTATTATTTTGATAGCGCGAACTCAAAATACACTATATTTTATGTATACATGCATGTTTATTATATATGTTGATTGGAAATTTGAAATCATATCCCGAGCTAATGTAACTGTGTGTGTGATTGATGAAAAAATATATATTATATCTATCTATCTATATACTGTATAAGGCAAGCACAGTCATTATATAGAGTCATGCATATAACTTTAATAATTATGAGACGAATAATTTGATTAAATAACCAGTTTTTATTAAATAGCAAAGGATATGTAACTTTAAGTGGTTTTTAATGTATCGGTTACGCGTGGTAAAAAAGGGGTACAAATTGAAGTAGCAACGAGTACAAAGATAGTATCATAGGGTAAGTACTAAGCATCATAATTAGTATAATTTAAAATTCACATCGTTGAATGACAGTGCCATAAATAATGCAATAATTCATCCAAAATCCGTACACAACTTGGTTAATAATTTAATCATAACTTTCCACGCACACACAGTTCTTTTCTGTCCACTGTACAATGGGAATTAAATAAAGTTCAATCATGAGAATTACATATAGTAAAATGTAATTACCAAAATGTAAAGAGCAATAAGCATGGTTAAAAGAGGTCAATACTGAATTTTATAAATACACATTAAATGTCCTCTATTGATTCCCAGTATCTCAAATCCAGAAATTTAATTAAAAAAAAAAAAAAAAAAAGAAAAGGAAACAAGCCCTTGTCTATCATAAAATTTTCTGCCCTTTTATGCAAAGCCAGATGACACATTACATACACAATGCTGACAGAGAAATCGGCTTCACTTCACAAATTTATTAATTTTTATGCATTTTGTAAATTATATTTTCTGCTGAATCAGTCTGTAGTCATGGGTTGAGCAATGCAGCACCTGAAACGAGCCTTTCTGACGGCGGTCATGATCTCAGTCTCGGCAGCAACGAGCATTTGAACTATCTCAGTGAAGGACGGGCGAACATCAGGATTAGGGTCCCAGCAAAGCATCATGATCTGGGTGAGAGCCGGCAGGCAGTCGTGAGGGATGGTTGGGCGCACCCCTTTGTTGACGACAGCAAAGGCTGCCTGAACAGCAGTCATGTTCTGGAACGGAAGCATCCCTGTAATGAGCTCCCACAGCACTATCCCGAAGCTATATACATCAACTTTCTGGGTGTACGGCCTGTGCTGGATCATTTCCCTGACATTTCACAATATAATGGATCATGTGCCTTTTCCCGATTTTTAAAACATAAAAGTAACATCAACAAAACTTGCACCAGACTTGATGCTTATAACCATCTGTCAGCCAATAATGTATAGAACTATCCACAGTATATTACAAACCAATAGCAAAGTTTCAGCTGTCCTGAATAGAGAAGTTCATTAAAAGTAGATGGTATGCATAAATAGTCGCAACTAAATCAAGTTCGCTATATTATAATATGGTCATTTCAATCATCATATGAATAAAGGGAAGTTTCTAATTGGATAGGGAAAGTTTCTAGAATACCTAGTTTATATTATAATCATAGCAAGACGCTTTCATATTTCCCATCTATCTTGCAAGACAAAAAAGACTGAAGAAAGTCATATTTAATCCATGGTGTCACAATGTATCCAGGTACGAAAAATACATGATAATTATCAATTTGCAATGCACATATTGAATGATCACACCAATCAGGAATTCAGAATTTTACTTGATGTGTGTAACCTTTATCTAGATTTCAGTGGGAATCACGAATTATTTCGTGACAAAATCTCATTCAAACAGTGTATATGATGATGTGATATGTGTATATACAAATCAAAAGAACAGAGTATCGGTTACAAATAGCAGATAGCAGCAGATCATGTAGCAAGTATCGAAGAGCTATGGAAAAAGACATATGACGAACCAGAAAAAAGCCTTACCAAAGGATGACTACAAATTGCATATGTAATACGTTTGAACAAAGGTATAGATTATGCCTTAGATAAAAAATATATAATTAACAAAACCATATCGAGACTAAATATTCAGGCATTCAAATATATTTAAAGAAAACTCGACAACTTATTTGAGGAATACCAAAATAATGTCTTGATATGAGACAAAACGAGCAATTGAAACAAAAAGCAAACTCGGAAAAAAGAAACATACAAAAATATGAGAAGAAAGATACCCAACACCATTAACAAAAATTATAATAGCAGTTTTATTTATAAGGAAAAAGCGACGAGAGAAATGAGAAGAGAATCACATTGATGAGAAAGAACCAATAATCAGCTTGGGACTAGCATCTTTATCGTGTGATTATTATTAAGTAGGCCTATTACAGTAAACAGTACTTTGCATAAAAACACTCATTTATGTATGTAGACAGCAGCCCCCGAAAAAATTCAATCCATTGGAAAACAGGGTTTTCATGATCGACAGTTATTTTTTTAACATACCATAGACAAGATAATGCCCAACTCATAAAGTATACACATGTTGCAATGCCACTATAGCCACACTCCACACAATAATGATTCCGACAAAGATGATGAAATCTAAATTTATCCTTTTATTATAAATCAACATCAAGTTGAAGCAAATTTTGTTCTCATTAATATTGTTTCTATCAATGGTCATAGACAACACGTGGCCTATCTTTCATTCATACATGACTTACACGTGTACGTACCAATTATGAATATTTTTGTCCACTTATGCCTTGCTTGGATGTTACCAATTAAATGCTGTTACAAAGATATCATCTTTTCAGAAAAAAATAAAAAAAAAAAAAAATCAATTTGACCTGATAGTGAATCCAATAAAGTTCACGAGGTTGCAATATGTGTATGTAACTAGTAGTTATGATATGGGAGTATTTGGTTTAAGCCAGACCAGCCAAAAATCCAATTCTAGGCGTGACATGGAATCCAATACACATGGTTGAAATGTGTGCCTCAGTAGTTGTAAAATATTTAGTTAAACTAAGGGAATCAATTGAGTTCGGCCACCTAGTACTCGATTGTTCGATCTAATTAATTGATTTGTAAGACAAATATAAGTTGAACCAAATCTTAAATGATTTGAATGAACTCAAATAATTAATGACCAGATATTGAACCCAAATAAGGTTTGACAACCATAAGCTTTGGTTCCAACATATTGTTATCATTCTTGATATATACTGTTATATGTTTTATAGAACATAACATTCTTGCAGAAGACATGGTAGCATCCAGTGACATTACTATACTACTGGATGCTTTTAGTTGTGAACTCTATGGGATTTTCATGTTAATTTTAAGTTTTAATTAATTTTTAAAGTTTATTTAAGGAAAATAAAATATGGTTCTTCTACATTTTAATGTACTTATGCAGCTTTAGTTATTTGTTTAATTTACTCATAAAATATACATTTTTGAACAAATTTATTTAAAAATTTTAAAGTCTAAAATCAACTTTGAGAATTTTGCATTTTCATTCCTTTTGAGATTTGTGTTTTTTGGTATATTTTATCTTGTATAATATAATATAATATAGAATCTTAAAAAAAAAAAAAAAAAAAAAAAAAAACCACAAGCACACACACATCATTTATGGATGAGACTCTGTCTATATTTTATTTGTTCACTCTTTTTGTTAATGACTTTATCACATATGAAATTTTATTCACAGCATTCAGATTTTTGCGAAATTAGGTTTCCCTAAGAAATGCATGCATATCAACAGAAATAATTAGAGAAAGAATTCAATCATGCATACATAATATTGAGTAAAATTCTACATCACGACACGTAAATACAGCTCATGCCAAAAGGCAGCATCATGTAAACCTTTCCCAACTAAAAGCATGTTGATAATTCACAGGGTGAGACAATGAATTTCAGGAACCATTTATTTGAGTATCCACAATCCAACTGAAGACCTTTACTTATAATTCTTGATACTATACAAAGTACCGACACATAATCAATAAAAAAGGAAGGCTTGACATATGAACTTAAGAAAGAAAAGTATTACAGATACAGCATGCCACTTGTTTAAAACGAGAAACATTTTTTACTGGTCACCTATGAAAACTTCCGCTTCCTCTGCATTTTCATTAAAATGAAAACTAACCAGTCAAGAGAAGAACTTTCTTTGATTGACTTGAAAGATTGAGAAAGATTATGAAAACATTAGCGGATCAAAGTTGTCAGCATTCAGAGACACAAATCTGCAACTCTTTGAAAAATCAAAGACATGATTACCCAGTCAATGCAACTTGAATGATTTGATTTAGGAAAGGGCATTATAAACACTTACATATAATTCCAAGAAAAAGGTACCGATTAAAAACTGCTGACAAGACCAATACACCAAGACAGTTTTTAGCATGCATTGCACACACTTTAAGAGCCCTTAAAGATGAAAAATCATGTTCCCGTAATCTTTGCAAGGAAAAGATACATAAACCAAAGCATGCAATTTTGATGTGGAATGGAGGATCTAAGCACATCAGGGCATACAACGTGCAGCTTGTCAGTTTCTAAACATCCTCTTAGAAAGAGAAGTATACAGCATCAGTATGATCAATAGCTTAAAACAAAGGAAAAAAGAGAATCAACTAAGAGAACAATACAATGGTACTAGTGACAACATGGACTTATTAATCCAAAAGTAAAAATAATTTGTCACTTTAATTAGTTAAAAAAGGAAAAGGGTACACAAGTACAGCTATGCTAATTATAAATATGTCGTAATTAAAAAAGTGGGTGGAAAAAAGGAAGAAAAATAAAACTTACGGAGCCATCCATCTGTATGTTCCGGTCTCTGGCGTCATTCCTTCAGTTTGAACCTCAATTCGAGCAACCCCAAAATCAGCAATCTTGATGGACTTATCAGCAGCAATTAGAAGATTATCAGACTTCAAGTCTCTGTGAATCAAATTCAGCCCATGGACATATTCCATCCCTCTTGCCACATCTAAGGCCTGCTTCACAGCCAATTTCAGGGGCACAGAACGGTTCTGTCGCCTATTCAAGAATTGGCGCACTGAACCCCCCTTTGCATATTCGGTCACAATACACCAGACCATGGGTTTGCGGCATGCACCAATGAATCGAACAATATTTGGATGCCTCAATGTGGCTAACATCATTACCTCCTGTTGAAACTGTTGTTCCATTAAGTGTGCCCTCTCTACATCATTTTCAGGCTTCTCTAGAAGCTTAATAGCCACATCCTCACCATTATATGTCCCTCTATAGAGCTTCCCAAAAGCTCCCTGAGCAAAAGCAGGCCCCATGTTCAGCCTCCTCAAGTCAATTGTCCACTCATCATAATCACCAAGTCCCTCTGTAGGGTATCGATGATCCATCAAGGCTTGGGCCAGGGCATCATCACTTAGACCTTGAGAAGCTCTCACATTATTTACACTAGCAGCAACTGAATAATTATTGACATGCCTGAGACCCTGGTGACCCAAGATGTGAGTGTGGGAGTCAGTAGATCCAACGCTGCTATTGTCAACAGACATGGCAACTGAACCTCCACCATTGCTCATCCCATAACTATCTGTTGACATGTTCGAACCTTCATTCAGCTTGCGGTAGAAATTTTGTGAGAAATCATAGTTGTCATGATTATTGTTTAGACCAGTGATTCCAGTAAATTTTGGACCCTCCAACATTTTCTTCGTTTTATCAATGCAGTTGTGGCGCAGACCTTGAAAATTCTCTTATATCTTCCGCATTAGTCCTTTTTCAACCACCCTATCAAATCCCTGTCAATGATTAACGAAGAATGTCAATTAAAAAAAATTCCTGGCATATGTTTATCATTAGAAAGCATCGCACTGACAGTCCAAGAAGCATTCATTAAAACATCCAATTTGGGAGATTTCTGAAATTTCACCTTCAAAACATATGCAAAAATTTTCTACAATCAGGAACTAAAAAAAAGAAATATATACGCATTCACACAGTAAATCTCTTTGCTTGCGTGAAATCTTCATAATCATCGATCATGATGTAATTTACATAAATCTGATGGAAAATGACAACAAAAAAGAAAGACGAAAGTTCAAGCTTTAGCCCAAAAACACCATAAGATAACACCTTTACACACACAACTCTCTCCAAACGACCAAAACTCCACCGCGGAGAAAAAGAAATACAAAAAGGTACCAGCAAAATTGGCTGCTACAATAAACAGCGTAAAATCAACTGCAGCGATGAAAAATCATTAAACTCTCAACTTGGTTCTTTTTTTTTTTTTTTTCAAAGGATAATCAAGGGTAAAATATCGATGAACGAACATAAAAGCACGTCTCGATCGACAAGGCTTGACTTTACTTTCTCCACGGCTTCAAATTAACGCGACAGAACTCCACGGGAACTTCAGCAAATTGACAACCCTCTCCCTCCCGGTACACCTCACAAAAGGTCTCCCTGTACACAAGAAACACGCGAAGGTGGAGCAAAGACGACGATGTCCGATGGGACAGTTAAGAGAGAGAAAGAGAAAGATGGAGAGAGTACCACCAACTGGGGATGAAGAGACAGAGAGAGAAATGTATGCAGACTCTATCCAGTCTTCGTCTGCTTTTCTTCTCTTTTTTCTATCTTATTGATAATATCATTTTCACTTTCTCTTTTGTTTTTTATTAATAAAAAAATAAATTAGGGGGTACGGGTACGAATTCTCTGCGCGCGTCTGCATACTAGCACCGCTCATCGTCACCGTTGGATTCTAAACCAACGGTAGAGATAAAGATTGGGCCCACAGATACACTGCAAAGCAAGCCACTGACACGCGCCGGTCAATAATAGAGGTTGCACCTTCTCCTTGGGTAAAAAATGTGGATGAGAAATAAATATTCCCTACAATAAATTATGTAACTACGATCATTAACGTTTATTTAACATTGTATATATAAAAATTAAATACATGTAATATTACTAATAAGGGTCTGTTCTTTCTGTAATAAAAAATATGTTTCTTTTTAATTTAATATATTACATTCGTTATTTTTATATTAATCATATAATTTTTATATTTTATTTTTCATATATAATTTATTCATATTTTATTATTATTTAAAAAGTTAAAGATTGAGGGTTAAGTGTATGCATGTAAATATAAAAATATTTTAGATGTTACAAATAGTTGTTTGGTTTAGCCTAATATAAAACGACTGCAAATTTTTATATTATAAAAAAAATAAAAAAAATTAACATAAAAATAACCATTTAACAGGACTATTTTATTTTATTTCCATTTAAAAACAATATTAACGTTAAGAGGTTTTTGTTGATATAAACCATGCATACATACATTTCTATTATAGAGTGCAAAGTTAACCCAAATATGCAGACAAGTATCAGAAAATTTAGCGCAAAAGCCACCGACACGTGGCAGTAACCTGTGAGTAGAGTTCACAGGTTTTGTATAAATTTCTCGGTACGAGCAATCGATAGAGTTGCATAGCTGCCATGATTCTCCAGAGCTGTTTCCTTCGCCCCATTCCAAATGCTGGGAGTCGCTGGTCCAAGCCATTGTTGGTGGAGAAGAGTTCACAGTTGCGCGGCTACTATAGTTTGAGACTGCAAAACAATTTCGAGGTTCGGGGTGTTGAAGCCAAAGCTACTCGCGTAAGTTCGATTTGACACTAGGGAATGTGATTTTCGGTTGAATTACTAGTAATTTGCTGGGAGAGGCGCTGTCAAGATGGGGATGGGATAGTATGACGATTTGAAAGTAGTGTATGGTAGAGTAGTGAGAAGGGAGAACAATCGTTTGGATAGCTAAGGAAACTTGAAGTGAATCCAAAGCCGAGGAAGGATTTTGCCTGTTGTGTTGCGTGTCTCGTTTTGTAGGTGCTGCAGTATAGATTAAGTAGTTTTTTTTTTTTTTTTTTGTATGATTGATACTACTTACTAGTGATTTGCATATCAATGGAATCGAGCAGCCATGTGTTGCGTGGTTCAGTCCTTGTTTTTTGTCTCAAATGTGAGTGTTACTTGAAAAACAATGATACAAACTGGAATTCATTTTTCTTATTTTTCTTTATATCTTATCCATCTTTATGCTGCTTGTTCAAAATGCTTTGATTGCATCTACCTGTGATAATATGTGAAGCTTCTGGATGGTTCCATGTGTTAGCATTATTATAGATGCCTGACTGTTATCATGCCAAGTTCTGCAGGTAGATCGTGCATTTAAAGAAGGTCAAAAAATAAAGGCAGATTATGATGATCTTATCTGGCCTTCCCCAAGTGATGCAACTCCTTTTTGGAAGAGAGAATTTCCTACTTGGGATATCAGTTCAGAGGGTCCTGATGATATCCAGAAGGATTCTGATGTTATACACATTATGCATGTTACAGCTGAACTGGCTCCAATAGCTAAGGTAGGAGGTCTTGGTGATGTTGTGACTGGACTTGCCCGTGCTTGTTTAAAACGTGGCCATAAAGTGGAAGTATTTCTGCCTTTCTATGAATGTATCAACAAGCAACATATCAAGGACTTGGTTTTGACTAGCTCATATAGCTCGTATTATGATGGGAATTGGGTCCCTACTAATGTATATCGAGGTGCAGTATCAGGCATCCCAGTGTTGCTTATTGAACCTTCCAACCACTTCTTCAAGGGACAAAATGTTTATGGAGGTTCATACAATGAGTTGGAAGCATATCTATATTTCAGCCGTGCCTGCCTTGAATGGATGCAGGTTTTTTACCCTGTATCTATATACAGTTATTTGACAGTAGAGCCTAAACAAGATCAATTTCATAGGTCCTGCTTTACACATTTTGAATGATCTTGTAAGTTGAACATGGCGGTAAATTTTCATTTAGTAATTATTGTAATTGCTATTGTCAGAGTTCAATTTTTGCAGGTTTCTGGGATCCAGCCAGATATTATCCATGTCCACGAATGGCAGACTGGTGCTTTGCCATTGCTCTACTGGGATATGTATCACTACCTTTCCCTGAAGGTAAATGATCAACTTATAAGTAATTTCATAATGTTTGAGGAAGACTGCTCGTCGAACAGGCTTGTTGTTAAGATCGTGAGTTTGACATCTTATCTCTTGTAGAGACCACGAATTGTGTTGACCATCCACAATATGGAACACTATGGAGAATGCAGGTACTACACATTTGATGAGTTTTCTATTAGTCCGAGGCAAACATCATATTTTATTTTCCTTTGAGCAAAACGTCTGAATTATTTTCTTGTCAACTTCTTTTCATTTCTTCTGATCAATTGTGTTGATTTCAAATTAATTATAATTGAAGCAGCGCCTAGTCTTAGTATCATTTGATTACCCAGAGAAAAGCATTTCATTTTTGCATTTATCTAGTGGATGTGTTTCATGCAGGCAAGAGCAACTTAGCAAGTCTGGTCTTGATGGATCCATATATGCAACTGAAGAGAAGGTGAGGCTTTCATAGGGTTGCATGTATGTAAGTGCCAGAGTTTGTTTTTTCATGCTGCAATGGGAAGGATAGCGTTGCATTTTTGTCCTTTGACCCTTATTGCTTTGATCTATACACATTAAACATAAAGATTCCACTTTTCTGCAAATCTTACAGTATTTACTTTCTTTTGTTTCAAACTTGCAGGCTGTAGATGATCGAACTATTGGGCATAACCCTGAGAGATTAAGTTTACTGAAAGGAGGCATTGTCTACAGCAATGCTGTTGTGTAAGTTGTAATAAATGATCATACTTTTCTCATATAGCTGCGTGTGAGTTTTCCTATTACTTGGTGGTATAAAAATAATTGGAAGAATGGTCATTGGAATAATATAATGTAATCAAGAAGATAAAGAAATAGTTATGGCCCATCTCTAGACTAGCAGAAAAAGGAGTTTGCAAGGACAATCTTTATTGAAAATCAAAAGCTTCATTTTACATTATATACACATTTGTAGTAATTTATTGATTGAACTTATGCCGTTTTTTTGTTTTGGGCTTACCTCCAGTACAGTTTCCATGACATATCTCAAGGAAACACTTTGCTCTGGTTGGCTTGCTGCCATGCTGATAAGACATCGTGACAAGTGAGCATCTCTAATTTTGAATACATTTGTCTGGCTTGCTGAATGGTATTTTATACTATTGAATGGCATGTTTTATTCTGTTTATTTACAACAGATGTCCTCTATTATTTTGTGTATTAAATTCTTTCATCTTATTTTTATTTCAAGGGATATGGACTCCGTAAAATGGTTTATCTGGCAAGAAGGGTTTCCAATTTAGAACTATCAAATATCATTGTTTATAGATATTCAATAGAATCCATTAATAAAACAGTAATAAAATGTCTCATCACTTAAGTGCATAACCATACTGTGATTGCCATGTTTGAGATGTTCGTAGTCCTCATGTGTAACATTAGGAATATGTTCTTACATCGTCAGTTTGTAAAGAAGTGTGATTATATTCATTTTCAACCATTAGTTGTCTGAAGGTGGCAACAGCAACCTTAGTCTCCTTCAATTTAAATGCCACCCTGTTGGTTTTCGCGATTCCACCTTCATTCTTGCCATCTCTTCCTTGTCGCTTCAAGACTCCAAGCTATTTTATTTTTTGTACACTTCACCTCTATATGTCCAGAGTGACCAATTATAACTTTTCAAACCAAGAAGCTTCATTCATGATTAAATATTAAAGAGAATATTTACCCATACAATTAGAAAAAAAAAACAAGTAATACTTTTAACTTTGACCAAAATATCAATGAGAACAAAATGCCTCATTACTTCAAACTTTTAGTACATAGCTCATGAATAAGCATTCTGTGATAATATGTCTCTACATGGGGACACAATGCCCACCAAAGGTTAGGACTCAATGATATCTATATGTCTGTTTTTCTGCAGGTACTTTGGCATTTTGAATGGTATAGATACTGCAATGTGGAACCCTGCAACAGATCCATTCTTGCCTGCCAAGTTTGATAGTAATTCTTCTTTCCATTATATTTGTTTTATTTTGTTTCATCATCATCATCAACTGAAACCCATATGGTAATGCTTCTGATTGATATATAGTGATTGCTCTTGTATGGTGTTTGTGTTAGATTCAAAACACTTTCTATGTACATTCATCTCTATTATGCTATAGTAATGTAAAGCAGCTGTAGTTCACAGAGAAATTGGTGTTAGCGGGAATTGTTAACTACGGGTCTTCCTGTCAGTTCTATGTTTGACTGATGTTTCCTTAGGCTGTAACTCTATGTTTCTCTATTTATAATATATTCCTTTCTTTCCCAAAAAAGGAAAATAAGAGATGTGTGGTGTATCCCAAAAAAAGAGATGTGTTTATATATATGTGAGACTGTACTACATCTTTTGCAGGTAACAAACTTGAGGGGAAGAATATCTGCAAACTTTATGTTCAAAGAGGACTAGGTTTGGATCCAGGACACCTGTCAAACCCAGATAAGGCACCTCTGGTAATATGCATAACTAGATTAGTTGCACAGAAAGGGCTTCATTTGATTATCAACGCAATCAGATATGTGGAAGAACTTGTATGTTGCTCTCTCTCCACTTCTCACTCTGTGTGCGTGTTTCCATTTGAGCACTTGTGGCTTGCAAGTGGAACATATTGAACTGATGAACTGGTCTATTTGTTTTTCACTGCTTTCTGTCATTTGATTCACCAGTAACCAGTTACCAACTAAACCATACATTTGCTACCGAGTTTGTGGTTCTCTGAACTATATGTTTATGGATTGTCAAGAAGTCTGATTAGTATAGCTCTATGTGAAGGACCATTGATTCCACTGTTTGATGGTTTGTGCTTTCACAGAGCACTGTCAGCAGCATATGCTTGCTGCATGGAGCTGTAGTGCATCTAATTGAGTTTTACTATTTTTAGCAATGTATCAATTATGATGGATGACAAATACTGTACATTTAGACCATGTTTACTGCATGGAACTGTTGAGAATTATTTAAATCCTTATGTGTTAATTAACTCATGAGGATTAACTAATAATCATTTATAATCTCTTATAGTGGACATAGCTTTGGTGGTTTACTATATAAATATTTCCTTCCATCCTGGATGAAGTTTTTGATCATTTTCAATAGAACCGCCTAAATCGGATATGGCCTTTAAAGAATCACTGGTATAACTAATTAACTCATGTTATTTGTTTATGAATCTGGCTTGTGTTATGATTTTGTATTTAATACCTAGTATCTTGGATATTGCCATGTCATGTTCATGTTTTGGAACTACTCGTGGTTTTGATAATGCATGAAAGCAACATTGGCTAATGAGATGCTTAAGAAATAAAGCGGACTTCTAGTTAAGCGCACTTGCCAGCATCCCAGATACCATTACCAGGAATTACAGAACCGTGTTAACATTATTCTGATTTTATGTCTAAAAACCTTGAAAAAACTGATATTCACTGATGATTAAAAGTTGATTGTCATGTGACGTAGGGTGGACAAATGGTGGTTCTTGGGAAAGCTCCTGATGCTGGGGTTCAAAGAGAATTTGAAGGTCTTGCTCAACTGGTAAGGCAAATTTATTCTGTGCTGTATTTTATTCCACATCCAAGTATCAGAAAATTAATATGACGTATTATATGTGGAGGAGGGACAACAGAATGACAATAAAATATAACCTATTCATTTCCTGGGTTCTCTCCCTGTGTAGTTGCCCGGAGGGCCCATCAAATAGAAAATTCCTGCTCCCCACCCCTGTTTCCGCTCTCCACGTGTAACTCACATGTGTTACTAATTATGCAACCTTCTCCGTTCTAGAATAAGCATTGAAAATGTTTTGACCATATAACCAGTGAGCTAATAGTGGTTTTGAAGCAGTTGATTCACTACCACAGATGTATGCAATTTCCTATTAATTAATGATATCTTTATATAATTTCATCCTCTGAAGGGTAATGCATGGAGAATAGCAGTTCAGCATTTATAGTGTTTATGATCTGCTTGTCGCGCATGCTTTTGTGCAAATCTATCATTCGTCAATTGTTACCCAAGAAGCAGTGCTAAACATTATACTTAATGCAGAAATTGCAAAATTTATATGCCGTCACCAGGGTTTAAGCATGTGTAGGAATGCATTATGATTTTTCGATAGCCTTCACTTTTTTAAATACTAATTAAGATATGACATTTTGACTTCTTGTAGCATAAAGAACGTTCCAGCATCCGGATTCTTCTGATGTATAGGTACTTCCAATTTGGGTTTCAACATTATTGTTCAAATACTATTATCTTTAAGTCATTCTGAACCTGAGGCTACATAAATGCTAATTCAAAGAATTTTGTTTGCAGCGAGGAGTTATCGCACATGCTCTATGCAGCTGCTGATATTGTGTTGGTTCCATCAATTTATGAGCCGTGTGGACTTGCTCAGATGATTGGAATGCGTTACGGCTCGGTATGTATATACAGTTAAGCACACAGCATGCACTCATACCTTAGCAAAAGAATAATATGAGTGCATAAAATAAGATTTATTGTGTATCAGATCCCCCTGGTTAGGAAGACTGGTGGTCTAGCTGACACGGTTTTTGATGTGGATGATCCATCACAACATGAAAAGGGAAACGGGTAATGATTCATATCCCTCAACAATTTTCATAATAAGGTGAAGAAATCTAGACGAGACTAGATTTCAGTTTTTTTTTTTTTTTTTTTTTTTTCATCTTACGTGAAAATCTAAAAATCAAACCTAAGTATGCACACCCCGAACCTTAGCCCCTTTCTTTATCTAATACAAAAGAAATTGTAATCTTTCATCCATCTTGCCTACAGCTTTGTTTTCGAAGGAATTGATGAAGGGTCGTTGAACCAGGCTCTAGACCGTGCATTCTATTGCTACAAAGAGAGTAAGTTCAACAATTTTCTTTTTCTTTTTCAACCAATAGCATGCTAGCTTTTCAGTTTACTTGGAAGGGGTAAAACCACATAGTTGTTTGGTGATCGCAATAATGCATAGTGTGCTTTACCAAACCCTGTGATCCAACAATTACATGAAAAATGTACAGGATTGTAGTCATTGTTAAATGAACTGTTTGTTTAATTGTTGTTGCTGTTTGATTTGTTTATCTGTGCAGAACCTGAGAAATGGAGGGGAATAGTAAAGAAGGTAATGCAGATTGACAATAGTTGGAACAACACAGCAGAAAAATACATCGATGTATACAATTCAGTGAGAGTGAGAGATCAGTGACACCTTCTGAGGGCTAAAGCAGAGCAATTTGCACTAATATTTTGCAGTAAAGAACAAGTTCTACTACTATTACTACAACTACAATAACCCTGTGTTGATCAAATAGGAAAACAAAACTGCATATCTACTTTCAGCTTTATAATATAAATTATGGATTAAAAGAAATGCAAACCAAATGCTTATAATATTAACATCACTAATCTCCAGCACAAACTCACATGTTTCTTTGTGCCAAACTCTTCCATGGCTGATGAATGATCAAGAAGAGCTTTGTTAATGCTTTGAAGGTGTGAGCCTTAAAGCTTTTTGCATTGCACATATAACTTTAAGGAATCATGCAACTTGATGAAGCAAAATTATACACTTGAGTGATGCCCTACAAAGCACCAGCAAACTGCAGCAATTTATGCACAAATAACACATGCAACTGTAAGAGTAGCTCATTTTCGCCCACAGGACAGAACACTACTACACACTTTCTAAGTTCAAGCATAATCCATCTGAATTGCCTATAGCATTAGAAACCTGAAAGAAAAATTCAGATATAGCATGCTCTAGGACAGATCACAGATTTAAACTAATAATAATTCAAATACTGTATGTAAAACATTGCCCCAATCATTATTATATGAAATAGAAAATGCAGTCCAATAAAAAGAAAGACATTGATTAGCATAAAATGGACAGGAAGAAGTAAAGAAAATGAGCAATTAAGTAAGAAATTCTTTCCCTTCCCCGTCGAATCCTGACAAAGTGAATAGTCATGTTGTCGAGGACATGATACAACAAAAGTCGGTCACTAGGAATTTTGGTTATATTCAACAATGGACAATTATTCATTTAATTTCCAAAATCAGGTAGTCTGCATCCTTCAATTAATGCCAATTATTTTGAGACTTATACAGATTGCCACTGCATGGCAGCTGAAATAATTGTCCTGCACTAAAAATCAAGCTAAAGTACAACAGGTAAGTATTAGGAGAGAGGCACACGATAATCCTATGCCCGATACCATCCCTTTCAGTGAGAATAATGAAGCAATAAATGGAGAAAGGATGAAAGGGAAAATAAAAAATAAGAAGGAAAAGGTGAGCCCAAATTTTCACAGCACCGGCTAACCTAAGGCTCCATATGAGGACCAACTACTCAGACTCGCAGAAAAATTAGATTAGGTAGGTGACATAGAAGGAACAAATAATAGCAAAGATGAACCCATGAAGAGATGAAGATATCACCTCATCGATCATAATTCTCAAAGACTACAACCATCATTACTCCAGCTCCACCTTGGGAAGCTTTTTACCACCATCCAAATGGAGGGTGTCAGCCAAGTTATTTGAAAGTTGATTTATTGAATCCTTTGCAAGGCCCGTTGTTGTATTTCCAGTTGAACTGGTTCGATGCTTTGCCTTCCGCTCCACCAAAGCCTTCTCTCGCTCATCATAAAAGTTGAAATCATCAAGAAGGGAAGTATCAGCATCATGATTCTTGAATATTTTTAACATTTCAACTCCCTGTTCCAGTTTCACCTGAAATGCAGGAACATCATCCATCATCTCAAGACATGTCAAGAGTTATCTGATTAAATAATAACAACTTGAAGCAGAGGCCAAACCTCTTGAGCATCTCGACTATGTGTGACAGGCTTGTTGTCATTATTTTCAAGTAAAATGTGACGGAAGCGACTGTTGGGTACATCTTTTATCATATGCCACTTGACTGGAAATTGACCACTCCACCTGTCTTGCTGCCAGTAATCAGCATCTTTCTCGAAGTCAACATGGCCAACCATCTCGGCTACACCGCAAAACTGTCCACTAGCATTAACCTGCAATTTGTACAATAGATAAGTCATAAAAAGAACTAAATACCATAGCCAAAAAACAACAGAAATCAACAACATGAAAATGTATGTAAAACCAAGTATAAACCATTTCAATTAAACTTTACAATTTCAAAAGGATAATAATATGGAAGAACTTGAACTGATGGCACGATGCTACATTCTACTCTTATCAAAAAAGAAATGGTAACTGATGCGCATGTTGAGTAACACATGAACAAAGTCTAAAACATCCTAAAGCATAGTGCTTCTACAAAAAGCAATTCCACATTAAGTAGATCTCTTCAACTGGCAAGCAAGACCTAGTAAAATATAACCAGGGAACACTAACACTTGTATAGTGAATAAGTATGATAGAGACATAATTTACATCCAAAATTTTCTGGAAGTTTCCAACAAACAATGCCAATTCAATGCTCACTTTAGCAGAAAATACCAAAGGTAAAAGAGACATGTCAGCAAATACTTTGCAACCATTTGTTACTATTCTTTTTATCGACGTAACAATAAGGACACGTATTTCAGGTGCCTATTCTCATCAAGTCAGATTCCAGAAAAACTCAAGACAATTTGAAAGAAAAACAAGAGACTTACAGAGAAGAAGAGGAAGACAGGACAAACACCTTCCATTTCCTTTGACTCCTGGTAGGCAGCATCAAGTTTCCGATTTCCAAGCGGCGTACTTGCCCAAACACTATATTTAATACTTTTGTGGATATTGTCTTCATTGAAGGACTTAATAACAAAGAATTTTGCACGTTCATATTCAGTTATAAAATCTGGGGAATTGACACTATGAATTTGAATGCCAGAAGTGGATTCAACAGCTTTAGTGCCAGCAGAAGATCCATCTTCGGGGAAACTCTTGCTTTTGGGCTTTGAAGATCTGGGTCCTCTGTTCCGATCACTTGACAGAGCAAGTGCATCAGCAGACACATTGGCAGTACCTTGTTCCTTCTCACGTCTGCCACTGTTGTCACCGACAAATCGATTTCGGTTATAACCTGAACCCACAGTGCTTTGGTAAGAATTGACATGGGGTAAACGTCTAGAAGAGGAGCTTGATGTTAACCCAAAACCTTGAAATGATGCCTGCCATCACAAAATTAGCCATCGCAAACAAGGTAAGTACTTCCGAAGGGGAGTGCATTCAATTGATCTTAATAGAACATATTCACTTAAGAAAACGAAATAGTAAAGAAAAAGCAGTACACAAAACAGCTGCAAATAAAATAAGGCACTGCAGTGTGAAATATCACTAGATGATCTTTACAGCTATAAAAAGAAATTGCAGTTCGCAATTGATTGGTAATAGAGGAATAGAGCAGAACAAAACTACAAATCACTATAATGACATTGTGCCTAGTGGCTCATGGCTTCTGATTAACGCTATTTTACTATTTATTGAAACGGAAATACTATCTCATGCTGCTGCTTTTTAAGCAACCTTTTGCTTTCCTCTTCTTTTTCATTTTGGATACATTTTTACACTCCTCTCCATCAAACTCACTTATTATTGTTGATTCACAAGCAAATATATGTTGTACCTCACTAAATACTCAGTACTCACTAATTATTCATAGCTGATCCACAAGCCCATGTATGTCATAACCCACTAATAACTGCTAATAATTCATTGCTGATTCAAAAAGCACAATTTTGTTCATATGATTTCAAAAAGCATGATTTACGTATATTGTGCATGAAGGCTTTAAAAAATTAACAGACCTGTGCAACATTTTGTTCATATGATCCAAGTACGCCAATGGGTTGAGGGTATAAAGTTCCAGAAGCTAGTGGAGACATGAACCTGCTAGTGTCCAACGAGCTTGAACTACTTGGCAATGGCTCACTGGATCCCAACTCGCCAGGGAAATTGTAAAGACCGAGGCCACTATTACCAGAAAGCTCCCCACTAAAAGGCCCTAATGGTACATAGTAACCTGATCCTGGTCCAAAAAACGCATTGTCCACGAAATTCTCTTGATTGTTACTTCCTGAAGCCATTAACTCAGGCTGAGAAACTGGATGCGCTGAGGTAACATGTGGCGGACCCGGTGAAACTGATGGTGCATAGTATGATGGAGCCACGGGCATTTGGTGTGGTGGGAAAAGTTGACCATCAATCACTATTGGTGACATAGGGCTAGGAAGCGGTGAGAACTGTCCGTATGCCATCTGTGAGTCAAAGCCATAGCCGGGATGATAGATGATCGAAGAGTTCTCATTGTACATTGCCTTAAACAAGATAAAAGACATCACCCATTATTTGCAAGGTCCTATCTGTAATAAACATGTATAAATCACAATAATTATACTCACTGGCTGCATGACATGCAAGTTGTTGGCATTGACATAACTTGAATGTTCATCCCAGTTACCACTTCCATTTTCATAACCTTAACAAAACAAGGTCAAGGTTAACATACTAAACAGCAGGTTGCAGTGACAAAGATACAAACAACGCATAATTCATAGACAAGGTTACATCCAGAATTCATAAATTATATGCATGTCAACCAAGATAAAACTTATCATATTCTGGAGGCAATATTCACTTAGGAGTACAGAAAAAAAGGGAAAAAGTGGGGGTGGGCAGTATTAGCACGTAAAGGACGTTGCTCTTTACCTCCAAAATAATAACCCTGCTCTACAGGTGTATATGAGTTGAATGGTTGCATTTTGCTAATAGTTCCACTTGTTCCTGAAGTTGCAGTCTTATCTTTGCTGCTTCTTGAAACTGCTGGGATGGCTGCATTCAAAGGTGGAGTTCCAGAGACAATTCTTTCATCTTTTGGTGAAAGTGGCTGCCAATAAATTCGAAAAAGGATTAGAATGATTCAAGCACACAAATCTGGCAAAAGAATAAAACTATTAAAATAAATAAATAAAAACCTGCTCGGTCAAATTATGCAGCTCAACAGTTGTGTCTCCTGCACCTACCAGGGCAATCACTATGTTGTTAATCAAAAACAATAAGATGACTATACATTTCCGATACACGTGAAGTCATGTAGAAAGAACACCAAAGAATAAACAGCCAACAAACTGATCTTACTGAAACAACATTGCATATGCATCATTGCATCACAAAAAAAGAAGGTAATATACACTTAAGAAGGTTATCTACAAAATGTTCTATGGCCCGATTTAGATTTATAAAGGATTGGATTATGTTTATTCCTGCAAGTAAACAGTTTCTGACAGAAAGTAAAAAATGTATTATCCCCATGTTCTATGGATATACCAACTACTACAAACACAAAACACATAAGCAGAACAAGGAATAGCCATGTTTTGGATAGTAAGACACAATACAAGATAAAGCTGAGATAATCAATCTGCAGTTGAAAATTGTAAAACTCTTTATAATTCTCTAATTCAGTGACAGGAGAATTGATGTTGATGAAAGTACACATACACCAAATTATAATATTAAAATTATGAATTGAATAAAATTATAATGTGATGCTTTGTTGAGAAAATGATTCTTTTATGTAATATTTAAATGAAAAACATTTGTTTGATTTGATAGTTTTGAAGGGGGATGATGAATAGTGCAAGACCTAGCCCAAACCTACAGACAAACAGACCCCTTATTCCCCGAGTCTCCTAATCGGACAATAAAACAAATAAATAAAGGAATTCCCATAAAAATTACTCTCGTGTGCAAAACCTACTAGTGGATCTTCGAAACATCGAATTGAGAAAACCACTTCAATGATAATAAGACTAACACAAGCATTTACAGGGCTTTGCGCTTGGATTATGTCGGCGCCCACAAAATCGAAACCAGGAAAACTAAACTACGCCGTATTTCCACTTTCAACAGTAAAGATTTCCTATTTAATATGCAGTATACATTCACCAATACCTCACAACCTATTCCCAAGTTCGCATCAAAAGCAACACGCTAAAAATAACTTAGGGCAATAAACTGAGTAAAGACTGGAGCTCACCAGGAGACGAGATTGGGGCGAACCGGTCGCGGCTCTGCTGATTCGCGTCTTCCATTAAACTTAACTTAATCAACTTAAAAACTGATTCCAACCGAAGCTCGCGGAATGAAAGCCACTGAATATCTCAGATCTACAGGAATTAAATTGCCAATAGAAGATCCAATTGAACGAATCGAATTCTACGCAACTAGTACATACATCTCCGCGGCGCGCAAGTGTGAAAAAGCGAACCTTTTTCCCTGAAGCGATTGGAATTGGTTGAGGTCTCCGGTTGAATCTAGAATTGCTTCGCGGGAGGGTTTGAAAATAAATAGTCAATAAGGGTTTTACAGAACCAACCATACAGTATATACACACTCGTACACACAGACACGCATACATATATATATATACGTATATATTAACTGCTATCCGACTCTCAACAAACTTTTTACTTCTTACATTTCTTTAGGGCGTGTTTGTTTGGTGTTTGGATTTTTAGTTGATATTTGAATAGTAAAAATTTTGAATTTAATAATTGTACGGATAGATTGACGTGATGTTTTGAATATAAAATTAATTTTTAATATAATATAAAAAATTAAAAAATAAATATTTGATTTGATATATTTTTAAAAAAATAAAATTAATAATATATTTAAAATTCATTCATCAAACAAACGTCTTAATTATTCAGTGGGTGAGTTTGGTTAAATAAATTTGTTCATTATTTTATTATTATTATATTATATTATATTATAATTTATTTTTATGTTTCAAATATCAAATTGATATCAAATCATATAAAATATAATTATTTAAATTAAAATATTTTATTATTTAAAGTTTAAATTAAAAAATCAATCAATCAACCAGTGTGTTTGTTTGTCTTTTTTTTCTCGAAAACATCAAATCAAATACCTATTTTTTATTTTTTTTATATTATATTAAAAATTAATTTTACATTCAAAACATCACATCAACACCTATTTATATCAGATCAACACATATTTAAATCACATCGTACGAGTATTCAAATACACTAAAAAAATGTGTATTAGAGCATGTATTATAGTCACTCCCTTCATTGCTTTTGTGATTGTCTTTCCGATTGTTACTATAACAATACTCATTACCTTTAATAAAAAACACAGTTATTCTAAATTTATTACCTTTCTCAAGAATCGGTTATCTTTAACAAAAATAATAAAAATTAATTAATATTATTATTTTTTTTAATCTTAAAATTTCAAATTTTTTCAATAAAATTTATTTATAAATATATTTAAAACTCATTATCGTTTTATCTATCATATTTTAAAATTATTATTATTTTTTTATCTCTAGTTTTTCTTATTCAAATTTTTAAAATATTAAATTATATATTTCAAATTATTAAATTCACATAAATTAATATTTAAAAATTAAAATATAATATTATATAAAAATATTATGACAATAAAAATATAAGACTATATATAAATAAATAAATTATTTGTATTATATTACTATATAATAAAAATATATACAAATAAATAAATTATTGTAGGTATTATAAAATAGTAAAGGTAATGAGTTGAAGGTAAGTAACTACAATAAGTGATAAATAAAGTAATTTGAATATTGAAATGAATATGACGTGGACGGCTAAATAAAATAATAGCTTAATGGTAATAGCGCTAATTTCCCAACAAATTTGGTATGAATAATTTGTTTGGGTATAATATGATTTTCAAATTATTACTATTTATATTATTAAAAATATTTTTTCATATAAAATATTATATCAAAATATTAACTCTGTTTATATATAAAAAGAGATTCGTTCATGAGTGAACTACAACAAACAATCAAAAATATAATATAAATAACCAATGAACTATAAACTATAAAATTTTATTGAGAGAATCATTAACATCATCTAACAAAAAAATAAAAATAATAAACTAAATAATTGTACATATCATAGCAAATTGGTTTACAACATAAGAGAAAAGCATTGGGGATGGTAATAAAAGTCTTGAATTCAACTGAGTTTAAATTCAACACAATAAGCCTACCCTAAATGTAACTTTTTTTTTTTTTTACTAGAACCCCCCCTCTCAATCGTCATCCTTAATATCAATAAATTTAGAGGACATGAATTCGAGTAATCTATTGCCCTAGATGCATGGAAATGGGAAGCTATTATTTTTCCATCACAGTTTCTTCCAATGGTTTGATTTCTGGCAACAATGTGTTGTGGAAAATGAATCTATATAAGTCCAATATAATCGAAAACTGAAAATTTCTGCAGAGAAGAATACCGTACAAGAAACAGGTCCGCACGAGAATGGAAGATGTCTTCCTTTCGACCTCTAAAGTGGGGTGTGTGTCCTAATGTCTCTTCATTTCCTGGAAAATATTCGACACCTTCGGGGATAGTTTCGGGAGAAACTTGAACAGCTGAAAGAGCAAAATCGAATGCGAGTTTTAGAATGTTCAGAAAAAATAAAAATGCTAGCAATAGATGTGTATTGCGTACCCATAGTTTCACACAAGCATCCATGATAACTGGAATTATGCAGACAAATATGGTTATGGCAGACGAATCGACCTCAAATCCGTAGTGCTCAAATATGATCTCTAATAATGTCTGCCAACCCGATTCAGAATGGTATCTGCAGGTGTCAGTTGTAAGCTCAAACTGCAAAGAACATTGGGACACCATTTTCGCTTAGAGAATAATGCAGAATAGTACCCTAAAAAAATATCTGTCACGAGTATTATGAGAAACGCCTTCCCGGTGTCTGTAATGTTGTTCAGTAGTTTGTAACCTGTAAATTTCAGCAAAGCCACCTGTACGAGTGGAAGACGAGAAAATGTAAGACATCTCTGACATGTAAAATAAAGGGAGACTGCAAAAGGTTGTTAAATGGAAGCTTACTTGACTCTGGCAGAAGTATAGAAGCATGAATAATGAGATCCCGAAGACCCCGTCTGACCAGATGTTAGCGAAAGCTTTTCGGTTCTCTAATCTCCGTTCATCTCGCAGTTCTAAACTGTGTCGAGTTACTTTGTCGAATCAGAATACAGAACAATACTAACTTTTAGCAGGTCTTATAATAATTTCTTATCTTCTTGTTTTCTTCTTGTATAGGCTAGAGAAGACGAATAAAGTACTCGCGAATAGTTTGAATAGAACAAGGCATGTGTAACACCAATTCAGTCGATACTGCAAACAAATACTTACGCTTTGTGGCGTAACTCTGAGTAAAGATCCTCATCTGAAAGAGGAGGGGATTTACCAATCTCTACTTCAAGACGATACCGTGCTTTTTCAAGATTTAGAGTCTTGACCATTTCGAGCTTCTGACTTCTCCTCACGTCGAGCAGCTCTGCTGCAAGTGGTACTTTCTTGACATATCTGTTAAGAGAGCAAGCACTTCATCAAGTTCATCTAGAAAGTTTCCGGAAACAGAATTGCAGTCTCCTGGGCCTTATAAAGCTATCAAGATCTTGTCAGAGTTCAACAACACTTTGAAATCATACATTTAAAACACAGGAAACTTGTTTCGAAAGATCAATCAAACAAAAGTTTTAAGCTGGAAAGAGTATAAAACCAACAAGTTAGAAATCAATGAGTTGCCAATAAAGTGTTAGACTTTACAAATGGCATTGTCTTATAAGAATAGTATGCATTAATGTATTCATTTTGATGGATACCAAAAGTACATGACTATAACGCAGTTCGATAACCAGTACTCATGCAGTTCATACTCATCCGAACCATCAACTATACTTGAGAGAAACCTACTATCATCAACAGATATTTGTTTGCAATTGAGAGCACTCATGGCCATCATCCTCCAGTTCTCAATAACTTATTTTCTATCCTTGATATGGCCCTTTATATGTATGTGTGTGTGTGTGTGTCTCCTACTAAATTAACAAAACTTTGAGTGTCGGTAAGTTCTTTCAGGAGAAGGTGATGTGTTATCAGTGGATTATTCTCATCCTCAGGTCCTAAAAGTGAATATAAAGAAGAAGAATCAACTGCCCACAGGGAATTAGAAAAGGTATCTTGTAACATTAATTTTCAGACGAAAAATCATTATGTATAGTGTAGCAATATCTACCTGTCGAGGAAAGGCATCAGAACATAATCATGAACCAAGAAATCCAAAGCCCAAGGGACAATGATCAGTACTGCCAAAAATTTAGCCTGAACAAATAAAGATTAAAATAATCTCAGATGGACAGACTTAAAATTTTTTAAATAAGTAAAGAAATTTTAAACCCTCCAACATCAGACCCTAAAACTTATACAAGGACGTAGTCATCTTGATGCAACAAATCAAACACGTCAGAATCACTTACCGAACTGTACGAGGCGTAACGGAAGACTCGATCTTCATATAGAATGTCATCATCTTCTCTACCTACAATTGCATCCCTTACCGACTTAACCAATCCTCTCTCAGAAAAGAACTCACTAAATTCCTTTCCTACATCATTTCCAGGTTTATCAATGAGGCTGTTTGGGCTGTTTTCGGACCACGATGCATCACCACCGGCATTACCATTATTAGTACTTCCATCCACAAGCCAGTCCTCCCACCTCCTATCCTCCTCATTTTTCACATCTTCTTGTGCTTCTCTCAATTCTACAATAGCTTCAGCTCTTCTTCTCCAGGCCTCGAATTTCTCATACTCAGTAGTCAAATCATCTTCAGTAGAGCTCCCCTCTGATTCCACCAAGTCAACCATGTCCTCATAGTCATCTTTCAAACCAAGCCAATTTCCATCCTCATCAAAAAAGAACCGCTGCCACCAACTTTTCTTCTTCGGCCGCCTTTTCTTAGCTTTAGGAACCAGGCTCCTAGATTTTCTCCTCCTACAGCCCAATTTAACCACACCACAAGATGCATTGCAGCAGGGTAACAATGAGTTCTCGAAGCTACAGTTCTTGGATATAACTAGATTCTGACATAAGACCATTGAAGTGCTCATGAAGAACATGTAAGAACTTCCACATTTTTCAGCTTCAGAAGGCAGTAAAGATGCAAACTTGCTCAAAGAAAGAAACCATTCTATCAATCAATCAAATAACATGAAATTCCCACCACGTGCGTCGTCGCATCCCAGCACAGAACATAATTTAGTAACCCACATGATAAAAGCTGTGAAATTCAGCAAAATGAAATGCGCCCATAAACAAAAAAATTATCGCACAAAATGCAGAAGAAACCTGATCCTGTTCGACGAAATCTGGAGAGGAAATAGCAGACAATATAACGATTTCTTCTCTTTTCTTCTACCCTTTATTTTTTCTTTATAATTTTTTTCTCTGTGGGTTTATCTATTGGGGTGGAAAGAGCCAAGCGGGAGCGGATAACGGTTTTGGGCTGACGTTTTTGCGACAACCCCTTTCCACAGCTTGCTCGGTAACAGCCTTGGTGGGTATCCGCTAATGATACTCCAATTTTTCGATAATCACAGAACTATCGAATTTATGGGTCAATTTATTTAAAGGTCGGTTTTGTAGCATTGTTTTATCAAAATTTGACTTCAAACTTATCAAATAAAACACTTTTTCAATTAAACATATCATTTAAAAAGAATTATTTTCCCATCCAAGATACTAATATCAAATGCATATTTATATACATTAATCGTTCTTTCAATTTAAATTTATATTATTTGACCCACAAAACCAAATCCAAATATTATTAAAAAAAAAGTGTTTTGTCTTGAGAAATAGTATAGAAGAATTTTATTTTATTTTAAATGTAAAATACAAATAATTGTATAAAAATATTAAAATAATAAATATATAATATATAATTTTTTTAAAAAAAAAATATGAAGAGTTTTTTCAAAAAAGATCACTCCCCGCAAGATCATCATTTTGATTTTCACTTTTATTTTTAGTAATGAAAAATAAGTAGGACTCGTCGACTTTCTTCTACATTCTACGAGCCTCACGTGGAATCACTACGACACACACAAAAAATAAACAAAATCTTATGTGGGTGCTCATCATTCGTTTTAAAAATATTTTCTTTTAATCTAAATTCAAAGAATTTCTAAAAACAAATTCAGCAATTCAACACAATCATATAATTTTTGTACATCATTGAAGGAGGAAGAAATCAGTACCTGAACCAATTTGGGCTCAACGAAGCCACCGCATCCACTAAGAAGAGTCCAAGTGGAAAATATCATTGATCCGTAGGTTCGTCGCCTCCTGCAACAGAACAAAGATGCTCTTCAATAAACTATCATTTTAATCAATTTTGCTAACTATACGTATTTAGCCATTAATAATACTAATAATAATAATCAAACATCCTTTTGTGTGTCTGTTGCAAGACACATTACAATTACACAACCGGCAGAAGCAGCGCCTTCAACAAACCAGACAAGAAAGCAGCCAACACTACACCATTGATCTTCACTAAAACAAACAAACACACACAGGCCAGGTCAGCACAGGACAACCTCAACGGCGGACAAACCATCGACCAATCTATGATCCCAAAATACACACACACAAAATCACCACCTATATAAACACTCATCTTCTCCATTCAATCTCCACAGCAAAGAAAATGGCGACCCCAACGATGATCTTCCTTGCTCTTGCTATCTTCCTTCAAGGGGCTCTCGGTACTCACTACTCACTGTGCTTATTTACCATTTCATTACCTTCAATCTGTAGGAATACTTCAAATATGATGCATGTCCTGTTTGCTTTTCAGGCGAGCTCGTCTGCGATGAACTGCCGACAGCGTTGTGCTCCTTCTCCATAGCCTCCAGCGGAAGGCGATGTGTGCTGGAGACCTCAGGCGGGGCTCCGGCAAGGCTCCAGTGCAAGACTTCCCAAGTGATGGCCACAAACATGAAGGAATACATCGAGAGTGAGGAGTGTGTGGACGCGTGTGGGGTCGACAGGGATTCTGTTGGCATCTCGTCGGACTCTCTGCTGGAGGCGGGGTTCGCTCGTAAGCTCTGCTCTGCACAGTGTTATGACAACTGCCCGAACATAGTCGATCTTTACTCCAACTTGGCTCAGGCAGAAGGTAGTTGCCATAATCCTTGCTCTTCATTCATTCTCATCCTTCACTAACCTGCAAATATTGCAGAATGTAACAAATAATTCTTTGCATCGGATCCACAGGCGTGCTTCTACCAGAATTGTGCAAGAACCAAGGATCAAGCTCTCACCGTGTCATGTTTCAGCTCCAGAGTTCGGCTGCAGTGAAGTATGGCAGCGTATCTGCACCTGCGTATGCTCCAATATCAGCCAGAACAGATTCTTCGCTCGACTGTGCTCCAGCACCTATATAATTGCTTTGCTTAAGCAGCTAAAAACAACTTAAATATAGAAATAAAGGTACTCACATACGACAGTTACTTGTATTACAGTATTCATATCCTCGAGATGTATTATTACACATTCGGCATTCATGAAATATACCTGAATGATATCTATTTCCTCTATTTTCTTTCTCTGGCCATTTGTTGTCTCTGTCCTCTGATGGATTTCAAGTTAGCTTCAGCAATATCTGAACCACTACTTCAACCAAGGACTGAATGAAATATTACAGTTAACACTTAACATTAAAGAGTGTAGCATATATCAATGAGAAAATCTATTACAAGTGAACCTTTGCACAATATGCTATCAAAGAATTATCCAACATGAACAAAAGTACCCCAAATTCTCAACGAAGCTTGATTATTTCACCTCAACTGGCTGGGCTTCACCGTCTCATCAGTCTAGCCCCAAATTCATAACATGGCTAAGCCATGATGATACTATGAACATGCTAGAGCCAATCCCTGCATCAATGCTAACACTAGTTTTTTCAAACAATAAGCAGCTTTGAACCCAATTACAATATAAAAGAACTTGCTGAGTGATTTTAGCCTTCTCACCATTTCCCAGAAGAACAAGAAAGAACAGAGAGATTTCCTTCATTCATAAACGTAAGGGCTAGATGCATAGAGTTTCACTATCGACAGAAAGTTAAAGAATGTAGATGTGTCTTATTACATAGGTATTTAGGTACCCCCATGCTACTGTAATCTAACATACCAAGGGTAACCTCAAGAATTGGGGATACAAAAGAACTTGGAACAGTGATGAAATTCATTCTGGTTTATGGATTTATTGTAGACAAACTAAGTGAGATATATTTCAAAAATCATATCATCATTATCAATCATCAATCACAATGCTTCATCCAGATTCTTCCCCGTCGTCTCAAACGGAGTGAGCCAAACACTGAGTGCAGATAAGAGTATTGTGACCACAAACAGAACCACAGCATATGCTTGATGACAGCCATTAATCAACCCAATTGCAACAAGAGGGGATACCATCCCACCAATTTTCCCTATAGCACAAGCTATTCCAACAGCAGTTGCTCGGATTTGCGTTGGGTAAACCTGTTAACATTACAAAAAGACTTATGCAAGACACATAACATAAACGTGGAAGGAGCATAACAAATCCCACAGGATGATTGCTTTCACTAGAAAGGCACAACAAAGGTTTACCTCAGGAGCATAAATGAAGGCAACAACAAATGTTGCTGAGACAAATGTGCGCGCTCCAAACAGTAAACCCGTGCTCAAAGACTCACTTTGTTGGATCAACAATGGAAGGAGTAGGATTGAAGCAAGTACAAACATGATTACCATTGAAAGCTTGCGGCCCACTCTGTCCACGATGAAGGCTGATATAACAAGGCCAGGAACCTCTGAAAAAAGAGGTCCAGTCAGTTCAACAAATAATTCTGATAAGAACAAGTATTAGTACTGTTACACATTGTTGTGAATCAACGTTGTCATTACCTGCTAAACTGGTGACAAATACATCTACATAGAGGCTGTCACTCTGGATGTTGTCCGAATGAACTGCAACTGTTTTGCATTCCTTTTGATTACTCAGTTCTGAGGTCAGCAATATAATGCCATAATATGCAAATGTATTCCCAAAGTACAAAAACCACAATAGAATGTTTGTTTTGATTAATTTTGAAGAGAACAGTAAGGCCGCCGAAGAGGAACTGGCATGGCAGTCATGTCCATTATCCATTCCCGGGGAGACCAGACGGTCATTTTCTGAAATTTCATTAAGATCCTTATCAATATGATTCTGTGGTTGATTATAAACAAGAGATCCACATGGGAGCATTGCTCCACCAGACCATGCTATTTTCTCCAGAATATTTTGAGCTTCATTGATTCTTCCTTTCATGCAGAGAAATCTTGGGGACTCTGGTACAAAAGGATGCAAGAGAAGTACAATAAAGGTTGGTACAGAAGAAAGACCTATCAGCCATCTCCAGCCAAAATTGGGCATCACAACCTGCGAGAAAAAATAATCAAGAATTCAGGTTCCTATACCATCTTTTATGGAGAATGAACTACTACCTAGGAATTGGACGTGCAAACATTAGGTTAAAAGAAATGCTGTTGGTGAAATCCGAAGATAAGGCTCAAACAACTCACTGAACTTGAACATTAAGAGTCAAGGCATTTTTCAGCTCACTGAACTTGAACATTAAGAGTCTGAGTTTAGGTTGGCAAAATATATCCCATGAAAGTAGCCTATTCAATTCCAAACTAAACTGAGAAATAATTGTACCCCTCTGAGTAAAATCGAAAAATCTTCATGCTATGGTGTATGGTAAGCTGTCAATGGTTGAGCAGCTGGATAATTGCAAAAAGTGGCTGATACCAAGTGGACACATAATTCATGAACGACACAGACTTAGTATATGAACAAACCAAATTTTATCACCTGCTCCATATTCTAAAAAGATATAACACAATGACATACCCATGCAAGAGCAGCCTCAGATATTGTTCCAAGCGTCCAAAAGCTTGAAAAAATAATCATCCAAGAACCTCTACTTGGTGCTGGGACGAATTCCAAAAACCATGAGGTAAATATATACAAGCCTCCAAGACCAACTCCAGAAATGCCACGAAGAATGATTAATGAAATGTAATTAGGTGAAAAGGCACTTAATAAGCCGGCAACAGCTGTAATAGTAGCCACACCTAGAATGCCCTTCCTGAAAATGAAGAAACCACTCAATAAGATGAATGCAAATAAGCCATGATGGCATATGATAAGTAGAATTGACTTACTTCCTTCCATAAGAATCAGATACGACGCCCCACAAATATGACCCAACTAACATTCCGCCAAAGACTACAGTTGATATAAGGCTCTTCTGACCAGTAGACAAATGCCACTCAGTCTGAACTGCTGATCCAATAAATGATAGAATCATCATCCCCATGCTTTCTGCAATCCAACCCAGTCCTCCATAAGCAAGCAAAAGCCCATGATATTTACCAAAGCCAAAGGCTGTGAGCACCTCGTCCAGTGTGTAATCAGAATTAAAATCTCCCATCTAGGCAATTGAACAAGTAAACATCAGAAACCCATGCTTTGATGGAAGCAACCGATTCAGTCGTTCAAACTTAGCAACCAAGCAATTAAGAATAATATACATCTTCCTTTCAAAGTTCAAACTATGAAAATACAAATTAATCATGAACATCTATCATACATGAAGAAACAATCAAGAAATATGAACTTTCACATAACAGAATACTTCAAGAAAATATTAATACAAGGCTTACGCAAGCGGGGCTCACCGTGGATTTGCACTGTGAATATAGTCCGAGCCTCTATTTTAGCTTGACCTAGCCCTTCCACTCCTGAAACAATCATGAAACCATCTTACTGAGATACCATTGTTCGATAACAAATTCTATTCAAGAAAGTCAAACACGATTTCATAGTTCATACTATCGAAAACTCAGATTCCTTTCAGTCGAATAGCATTTGATATCGGCAGTCCAGAAACACTTTCAATCAATAGCGGTTAATCCAATAGCACGGAAGAACCATTACTTTTTCCACAAAAACCAAAAACTCCATCAGTAATCCACCAGAAGCATCTTATAAAATTATCATCATAATATTTCCATTAATAGCAGAAGAAAAGGAAACTAAAAATCAATCAATGATTAGGCCTTGTCCTGAAGTCCGTCGCGGAATCTCTAGGATTCCGAAGTTCCCAGATCTTGATAAGAGTTCAGGTTATATGGTAGAGCATCAACCTACCAAAAATATCTACCAGCCTCTCCTCAGAAGGTTTTTAGCCGACGGATATTCTATATGGGGACCTGCGATGCCGCCATGAATATGGAATGGAAACGAATAGATTGGGTAGATTATATCATAGATTTGTTGGTTGACCTCCCGCTCTAACATTCCCTGTTCGCACTGAATTTTCCCTTTTCTTGAATTTTGTTAAAATATCATCATAAATAATTTGAATCTCATTTGCGGGCTATTCATATAAATATTATTTAATTTTAAACGCTAAACAAAATTAAATCAAAATAGATATATTTATATACTTTCCCATCCAATAGAAACATTTGAAATGGGCACGAAAATTAAAGAATTTGGTGTAAAAGTATTTTATAAAAAAAAATAAAAAAATAGTTAAAAAAATACAAATGAGACTATAGTTTAATTTTGGAAGAAAAGAAAATGATAAAATAAAATAATAAGAAAAGAGTATATTATTGTAACATTATTAATACAATCATTTGAAACATTTTTTTTTTTAATTTTTAATACTACTCTGCATACATACATGCATATATATACTTTAATATAAATAAACTTATTCAACAGAATATATTATAAATAAATTTTATATGATTGCAACAATATATTAAATGAAAGAAAATTAAATATAGATAGTAATACTTTAATACAAAAGAGAAAAAAAAGGTATAGATATATGAATATCCTTTGGTGTTGATAGGTATCGTGTATATTGCATGCTACAATTAGCACCGGGATAGGTACGGATAAAACAATTATATATTCATTTCCCAATTATAGGATTAATTCCGAACTGTTTTAACAATGATGTACACAATACATGCAATACTCACGAGATTTATCTGAGAAGATATTTCAGGCTTTCAGTCTGTAGAGTGGAGGCAATACTTAATCTAAATTGAAAACATATTAAAATTGCAGTAGAGACAAAAGAGTGTAAATACTTATACACACACCCAAAAAAAAAAAAGGAAAAAAAAGAAGAATCAACTGACCTGAAATGATCAAAATTATAGACAAGTGTCACGACTGCTTCGTCTTTCACATGAAGGATGTACAACATAAAGTATAAAGTAAATGTCCAGCATACAGATGAACATGAGTTGGGAATTCTGGCCACGTCTTTAATAAAATAAGTCTTCTCGGCGCACACGTCACTAAAATACTACTAGTATACTACATAACACAATAAATGCAATAGCTAAAAAGCATATCAATTATTGATGGTTAACAAATAATTTTGGTCAGCTGTCAACATATAGGAAATTATATTAGGACTACCAATAGGAAGGTTCAAATCCAATATTCATGTATCAAAGACATGATCTAAAAATGACATCATATTCGTGAACGCAAACTCAAATTATAAACGGATGCATAAAATTTAATCCTCGAATCAGCAAAGCAATCTCAGTTGAGTGTTTATCTGAGTTAAGAGAGGTAATGGATTTTTAATATGTGCATACAACTTAGTCGGTCAAAATGACGAAGGAAACAATTTATAGTGAATTCGAACAAAAACATTCACATAATCCATCCCCTTAAACTGAGATTTGAAACGAGAAACACAGATAAAATTTCACCAGAGGAGAGAACAGCGTACAGTGTAATCATTTGAGAAATGCCGACTGACACGGTGGAAAACGCATTACCTTCTGTAGCAGGTGAAAGAAGATCTGTATAGAGTTTGAATCGCAGCAATCCCTACCAATCAGATGAGCTCCAACACTAACAGTTTACTTTGGTGGATCGAGCTTGAATAATAGCTGAAGCATTATCCAACGCAAAATCGCGTGGGGAGAAGCGTCATTAGCATGGCATGGCAGAATTGCTCGATCGAACGCAGATGCAGGCGGTTGGTGGAGAGCAAGGTGAAGCGGTTTCCATTATAGATCTGCAGAAACCATTACTTGGAATGTCAGTTTGAAACTAACAGTGCTATTTATAGGGAAAAGGGTAAGTGCTACGCATGATACGACAGGTTGAACCAGAGTTCCCGCCCAAATACCAACAAAGTTACAAAGTAAGCAGGGATTGTACTCAATCGATAATTCACAGAAAACCCTAGGCATGGAAGACCTCAAAAATGAAAAATGCGTTTGCCGGGAGTCGAACCCGGGTCTATTGCTTGGAAGGCAATTATCCTAACCGTTGGACTACAAACGCTGGTTGTTACATTGTGCAGATTATTTTCTTTTTATATAATGTACACGCTTATAATACTAGTTTTACACAAGAAAAACCACGCGACTAACATTGTCACTGCAGCAAACCGCACAGCTCGCACCGTAGAGTCCACAGAAACATAGTTCTCTCAAACAAGGAACTAATCTTAAATGGCAGTTGAAGATAATAACAATCATAAACGACAACATTGAAAAAATTCTACTCCTCATCTTCGACAGTATCTGCCAAAGCTCTTCCTTTCGTCTCCACAGGGAAGAACACAACACAGATTCCTGAAACCAGTATAACAATTCCAAACACAGCCACAGCAAGTGCCTGCTGGCATCCCCTCACCAGTCCCACGGCCACCAATGGGCACACCATCCCGCCTATTCGTCCCACCGCCGTCGCAAGTCCCGATCCACTGGCTCTTATCGAAGTTGGATACACCTACGTTATGCATACAAGTAAATCATCTAAGGTTCAAAGAAAATTCAGTCACTCATCACACAATTTTCATTGAAAGAGTTTACTACAGAATCACCTCCTTCGCGTAAACGCTAAGCGAAGAAAATGTGCTGAAAATCAGCATACGTGCGCAGAACAGCAGTGCCGTAGTGATTATATCGTTTAGGCGGACACTCAATGGTAGGAGCGAGATCAATGCGAGGGACGTCAGGGTTTCCATGCTACGTTTACGGCCTATTTTTTCTACGAGAAATGCCGCTATAAACAGCCCCGGAATTTCTACACAGGCAGCAAGCAGTTTTCCATTAGTATGTATGCAACGATCATAAAATGGAGCTTCTTCGAAATTATGGTTACCTGCAGAAGAAGCGATCAACACAGTGGTGTATAGCTTCGTGTCCTCGGCACTTGCAGAAACTACATTCAGTGAGTCACAAGCAGTTTGGTTGCTGCTCATCGATGATGTCATCAGCATGATCCCATAGTATGCAAATGTGTATCCCAAATGCAGCAGCAGCAGCAGCAGAGTGGTTCTAAGCAATTTGATCGAGAAAAGCTCGAACATGGTGTTGGTGAACACTTGCAGATGGTTTGCCTTCTTCTGGGTTGGGGCAAGAAGAATAGCCTCGTCGGAAGGAATGCTCTCTACTTCAAAAGTGCTCTGATTGGCAACGTGAATACGGCCTGCGGGGAGCTCTTTCCGGTTGATACGTGCTACTTTCTTTAGAATATCCATAGCCTCATTCGTTCTACCTTCAATAAATAAGAATCTGGGAGATTCTGGTATGAGAGGCGTGAGAGTGATCATCAGGGTAATTAATGCCGGGGCTGAAGAAAGAGCAAGTAGCCATCTCCACCCGAGCCTTGGCATGATGATCTGCATGTCGAGTATAGTTATCAAACATTCAAGATTGTGTTCATCAGATCTATATATCTATATATATATGTGTGTGTATGTATATACCCATGCGAGTAATGCCTCGAGCAATTCTCCGATAATCCAGAAACCTGTCAAAGCGAGCGTCCAAGCAGCTCTGTTCACACTGGGGACGAACTCGAGAAACCAAGAAGCATATACATGTCCACCAGAAACGCCGAATCCGACAATACAGCGGATTGCTATAAGTGATTTGTAGTCAGGGGAAAGAGCACTGAGAACTCCTGCAACGGTTATCACTACGATTACGCCTCGCATTCCTTTTCTGGATTGAGCAGCATAAAAGAGGAATTGCAGTAAATTAGAAGGAATGTGGGGGAGATGAATTGAATCCAGTTCGATGTGGTGGTTTTATACCTTCTACCGTAGGCGTCTGATATCAAGCCCCAAAAAACTGCTCCGACGAGCATTCCGGCGAAGACTGCAGTCGACAGTAGGCTTTCTTCGGTGGGGGAAAGTGACCACTCCGATTTAACCGCCGGTCCGATGAAGGAGAGCAGAGTAATTTCCATGGCTTCTGACAGCCAACTGATTCCAGCAAAGACTATAGCGAGACTTTGGAATTTCCCGAACCCTAGAGTGGAAATCGCTTCATCTAACGTGTGGTGCCCGACGTTCTGATCTCCCATCTTGAGAGTCAATCAACTGTCAACAATCCGTCGGTTACATCTTTCCATAGATCAGTTCAACAAAATTGACCAAAACGAGAAGAAAATTTACCAGTGCAAACCTAATCGGGGGAGCCGATTTCCCGCTAACTTCTGCTCCTCATCCGCAGCAATGGCAGCACGGATTGGAATCCCTTGAACACAGTCAGAATCAATCACTAAAGGGGCACACTCCCAGTGCAGCTGCCAAAATCGATTGCAAGCAACAGGTTAATTAAATAACAGAACTCGACAGGTTGGACTTGCTCCTACACAATGCGTGGGACCGCCATCGAAGTGCAAATGCTTCTAAAATCTCATTTTCGGAGAGATTAACAATTCCAGTTGAGCATGGCGTTTGATATTATAATTGTTACTGGCAGTGGGTAATCACTGGCAGCGACAGCCACTCAAGGAGCACCACTTGCAGACTCGTACGGAACGTATGTGTATAACAAGGAGAGAGAAGTACGGTCTGACGGAACAAGACATGTATTTCATAGGAGAAGCCCAGCCCACGATATCCGAGTGGAGGCCATGGTTATTTGGGTCAGGGTTCAGATTGGGCCATGACCCAACCCCGAATAGGGATGCAGAAGCCCAAAGATGGTTTAGAAGCTTCCAGAGAGGTCTCCAGCGAACGAAGAAGCTGTACCCGCATCCAGTCAAAATTGCACCACAGATCTTGGGCTGCACCGGCCGCGAATCTTCTCGAATCTCCAAGGCTCAAGTTTCCATAATAAGCACGTTCGCTGATTTGCCAAATTTCCAACAATCACTTGCTCCCATCTGTGATTCGTCGCGTTTTCCCCAGTTGCCTCTTGGCTTCAGAATTGCGAAAATGGAGGCGAGTGCGGCGGTATCGACGGAGGAAGGGGCGCAATCAGCTTCGTATACGTACTGGGTGCGGGGGGTGAGCAGCGATGCCGCGCCTTTGCCTGTGCCTAAGAAGATTGACCCGGCGGACCTTTCCAATCAACCTAACCAGACGCACCTTGGCTCCGCCTGGAATCGGGTATGCATTTTGGGATTTTTGTTTTGGTTGGTTCTATTGCAAAAGATTTCAATGTTTAATGCTGTATTTCTCAAATCGATGGTATGCAACTGGTTTCAAAATTCGAAATTAAGGGGCTCAAATAGGGTTCAAAAGTTGGAAAATATATTTGAAGCGTCGTTGTAGTCAGATCTGTGAAGCTATCATTATTCGTTGTGACATGTGCGAATACGATGTTGCTCTTGGCTTGGAAATCGATGACGACAAGGTTGATAAAGAACAAGCAATTATCTGTCTCAAGGTGTATTAAACGTTATATAGTTATGACTTATCAGTGCTTATTGAGGATCAATTGTCTCCTTAATTCTGCATGTGACAGAAAGATATGTCTTCTGCAATTGGTCAGAGGGCGCTGTGATCCCCTTAAAATGTTGTTAGATGCAGTACGAGTATACACTTCTTAACTTTGTTCATAATTCAGTTCCCCCCTGTTGTTTAAAAAGAATAGCAAAGGGTTAAAAATAGCAAGTAGAAACCATAAAGAGATTATTCCCCTACCTTTCCTTGGATGCATATAATCAAGATCATTTTGGTCGGGTGGCGTTGTTCTCCCCTTAGGTGCTTATTTTTGTTGTTTTAGATGCGGTAGAAGTAATACACTTCTGAACTTTGTTCTGAATTTAAGTCCCTCCTTTTGTTTTAAAAGAATAGCAAATGGTTAAAACTTAAAACGTAGCAAGTATAACTATATTAGAGATCATTCACCTACCTTTTATTGGATGCATATAATCAAGATCATTTGTACCTGCCTTCTCTTTGATGCATGACGTGTGCCTTGGCTGCTTTTGATCAAGTGCACTGCTTGTTTGCTGATCTATTTAGTTTAGTTATTCTAAGCTTGTGAGTAATGGGTATTTTAATACCTTCTATCTTGAATAGAAGGTATGAAGTAAATGCGGTACAAGTCTTAATACTTTTCAAACGAATTTTTCTACTTTCATATTTATGTTTTTCTAATCTTTTCTTCTACTTTACAGGCTGGGACATGGGAAGAGAGAAGTTTAAACAAATGGGCAACTGATAGAATTAAGGTTTGTGATCTCCTTCTTTACCTCAGTTGATGCGTCAATATTCTATCAACTTGCAGAGGGGTTAATTAAGGAGTAGAGTTTAAGAGACAATGTAATCTGATGTGAATAGGTTAGGTTGTGTTAATGTTCATTTTGGATGAGTTGATTATAGTATAATTTGGCTTAGTGGTAACTGAATGAATTTTGTGCCTGTTTGTTGAAATTGCTCGCTCTGTGTTATTCATGGGAAAATGAATATTCTGAAAAATTGAGTGAGTATAATTACATAGGCATGATGGGTAATGGTTTCAATGTGGAAAGATTTAAAACATTGGAATTACAATGCTAGTAGGCATAATCATCCATGGCCATGGTGCAGCCTCTGTTCCATTTGCTATAGCGAGGCTTGCACCTGCAGTGCTGTTGTTATGGTGCAAAGCACAGCCTTTTTGTTATTTATGGTATTAATGTAGGTGGATGTAAACGTTGGAATTTTAATGCTATTGGACATAGTTGTCCATGGCCATGGAACCCGCAGCCTCTGTGCCATTTGCCATGGTAAGGCCCGCGCCTGAGGTGCTGTTGTCATGGCGCAAGGCACAATCTTTTTGTTTTTTATTTACATTTATTAGGGTAGTTAGGATTAGTTGGGTTTTATTCTCTTTTTATTAATCAAGTAGGGATATGAGAAGTTCTATTCTTTCTTTCTTTCATTATGATTTTTGCCCCCTCACAACCACTGGCACTCTGCCCTCCTGTTTTTTCACATCTCCTTGCCTGTCATAACTTTTGTCTGGCTCTCAAGTGCAGATGCTGTTCAACTGCCATGTAAGGCAGTGGCTGCTTCTGTTTTCTCATAACCTGTATTATTATTACTATTTTTATTTAGTTTAGGGTTTGTGTTGCTATTTGGACAATGTATAGTGTATTATGCACATATGTGTCTGTATTTTGTATATTAAAATGATAGTAATAGCTATGGTGTGTACCTGCGCTGCCCCCTGCCATATTCAACTATATTAGTTTGGTGGCAGAGGAATCTTGATAACTGTAGTGAAGGAGGGTGTGTGTTTTTCAGCACTTGTGATTGTGGAAGTAAGAGTGTGTAGCTTAAGTCATTCAGAAGAAAAAATTCAATGATGGTACCTCCCGGAGGTGTTGTTGCAAGTACAAATTTGTGAAAGCCAAATCATGAATTCTTTTATTCTTGTTTGCTAGTTATAACTTATATAACATCTTATATTTTGGTCTTGCACTGTAGGAATTGCTTGTGTCTATGGGATCCTTGGAGTTTTCTGGAGGTAAAGCTGAAATAACTGAAGTCACAAGATGCTCTGGAGATGTGAGTTCCTTGTTAACTTGTTAGATTATGAAACTGATATATATCTTGTAAGCTTTTGGAGTCCTGTCCAATTTGAACTTTATCGCCTAAAAAGTACATAAATAATCTAAACTCACAGTAATCTCGATCTTTACAACTTTACCTACTTCGCAATGTAAATGGTTGCTTAATGCATATTTGTCATTCTTGTGGTGTTTGACTAACTTCCTGTAGAGGTTTAAGCAGTTTGGTTAATATCTAAATAAAGTCAGTTATAGCCCCTGCTTTCTTAACTTCATTGCTACTTGTGATAGTAGAGAACTAAAGTTATGCACTACAGAGATTTTGGCTAACAAAACAAAGCCAGAATTTCTTGATATTTCTGTGGTCATGTCTCTCTTGTGCTTTCTTAAGATATTGTTGATTGAATCATAGCGTCCTTGATATTTTAAGTCAGTTTAAAAGATGATATAGCTTCCACTCATAATTCTCTTGTTCCTGAGTTCATTATCATTTCATTACAAATTTCTGATTAATCATCTGAAGGGAGCTTGGCAGACATACAGCTATGCTACCAATTCAATCATGACGTGCAAAATGAGCAGTTTGTATTATCTCCGAAACAAGTAAATCTGTTTGTGCTATATATTAATTTTGAAGGAAATGAGAATATTAGAAGCTATTTGAAGTACTGGAGCATCCTTGTCAAAATAACCTGGAACATTGGTTATTGTTGAAAGTAGCCTCCTGTTGATATGGAAAATAAGCAAAATAAATGAAGGTGCATCCTCTTGCAGGCAATCTTGGTGACTGTTCGAAACAAGAAACGTGTAGGCTATAACTATGAGTTGACCTTAAAAGTGAATGGTAATATTCTTTCCATGCTTATCACATCATTTCTCAAGTTATACATTCCATCTATATTTATCTTCTTGTGTGTGAAATATCAGGGGAATGGGATATTGAAGGGGAAAAAAAGAAGGTAAAATGCCACATCGATGTGCCTGAGTTCTCCTATGGTGAACTTGATGACTTGCAGGTATTTATTTACCTACAATCATTTAAATTATCGCGCGAGGCATCGAGTGTACCTTCCATTTAACTCTACTCAGTTTCTGGCTTCTGCATCTATTCTAGCATATTGTGTAAATTATTTATTGCCCCTTGAGATGCCTTATCTAGGTATGTGTGTGCTTATATAAGTGTATTAACTTGGTTACTTTCCCAGATTCAAGTAAGGCTCGGTGAAGATGTGAAGACGCCGCAAGACAAGCACCGGCTGAACCAGGACTTGAAATTATTTTTGCAGCCTCTCCGGGAGAAACTTCTCCAATTCGAAGAGGAACTGAAATCGCGGTAGAGGATGATGGTAGATTCTATCTTGATCTGGTGGTTTAAATGGCATCAACATATATATATTGGCTTTAATCACCATTGCAAGTTGATTGTTTACTAAATGTTGTAATTGTAAAACTGTTAACTGTAATAGACAGAGAGACACCAATGCTCATCTCTGAACCAAAATCTTATGATTCTGAACTATTTGGTGCAAATCATAGTGACAAATTTACCCTATGGTCCTTTTTGCTGCCTGCCACACTTACTATTGTTAAGTTGCATATTATTTCAAGACTAACGTAGTAGTTCACTGTGACTAAGTATGTGTTTGGTTATGTGATTTGTGATTTGTATTTTTAGGTGAAATAGTAGTAATTTCACTTTATGTCTGGTTTTGGGTTTGGTATTGTGATTTGTGTTTTCTGATAGAATTATTGCTACATGCGGAGGATTGTATATATTTGATAAAAATATATTATTATTATAATAATAAAATATCATATCAAAACTTTATTTAACTCAATTTAAAAAAATTTGTGTAGTAAGTTTTAGTAAATTTGTCACTCAATTATTGTTATTACCTCCTCAAGAAGATGTTTAAATATTATTTCCACCTAACACAACTGCAACCCCTTTTCGTTTAAAAAAAAGCCCCAACAAGTGACTTAAGTATAAACTAAGTTGTGCAGTTGAAGCAGTACACCTAATTACCGCATTCAGGGGTTTCTTCATTTACTATACACATGGGATGGGATGGGATGCTTAAACAAATCTATAATTTTAAATGTTAGTTCGAATCACCATCATATATCTTGCCAATGAGCAAATAATTAAGTGGTGAGATCCAATGCATGCAAGCCATATGGATATGGAATTATGGACGAACCATGCACGTATGCTTGCCTAATTGTATTCTTCATAATTATATATTGTATTAGCTAGTACAGTGGTTATGATTATGATTGATTGATTCAATTAATTCAACAACTCCAGAATACTATATCCCTAGATTGCGATTTATTTGAAGGATTGGATTATAATACTTAAATTATATTTATAGATTAAATAATCATGAAATTAAGTAATATGATATTTACTTTGATTTAATATAAATTTTAGTATAAATATTACTTGAGTAATTAATTCTATCTGAGTAGGATTAATTATCTTTAATTATTATAGCAAACTTTAATCATTATAAGCAAACATGATTAAGATGAATAAAATTATTATTCATCCTAATAAGTAAAAACACCCATAATATATTATCTCGCCCAAATGAGGTGGTCAACCACACCACCTTCCACTAAATTAGTTTTTATTTTTATTTTTATTTTTTTCTATTTCAAATAAACAAATTAATAGATTTACAGAGAAAATGATAATAATAATAATAACGAAAGCCGCGTTCAATATCGACGTATTTATATATATCGTGTGCGACTGAAGTGTTCTTATTTCTGTTTTCTCAACGTACGTAAAGCGTCAACATGGACTCCTGTGGTTTTCCGGTGACGGTGAAGCGGAGCGAGGTGGTGGCGGCGGTGCTGCCCCTGCAGGAACACTGGCTGCCGATGTCGAACATCGACTTGCTCCTGCCGCCGCTGGACTTCGGAATTTTCTTCTGCTATAAGAAGAGCAGTTACACCGAAAGCCTGTCACCGGAAAATATGGTGGCGGCGCTTAAGAAATCCCTAGCTCAGGCGTTAGTGTCGTTCTATCCGTTCGCCGGAGAGATCATGGAGAACCGACACGGCGAGCCGGAGATCCTCTGCAACAATCGCGGCGTGGATTTCACGCACGCGTGCGCTGACGTGGAGCTGAAGGACGTTGATCTCTACCGGCCGGACGTGTCTGTCGACCGGAAGCTAGTGCCTGTTAAGATGCGCGGTGTGCTATCGGTGCAGGTTAGCATTCCACGCATTCTCTATTTACAGTTTCCCCGCCCCATTTTTACTTAATTCTATTTTTTATAATAAAATAAATATTTCTATTTATTGATAATTCATTTTAGAAACTAAAATGTCATGGAAATTTTGAATACCTGATGAGTTTAAAATGTGCTCAGCCAATTATTTAGTAATTAAATATAAGATATGTTTGTGACTGTAACCTATTACATTATATAGTACATATTAATTTAGCCTATGCTTAAACTTTCACTCTACTTATTCTTACAAGTTTTTATTACATGTCGATGTCACAATTATTTTTATACCTCCTAAATAATTGTCTATAGAAATATATATATTGAATTGGATTGGATTATGGGAATAGGTCAACTGATGCATCCATTGAGAGTTGGTTGGTTTTGTTGGGCTTTCAATTAACAAAAACCTTTTTCTATTGGTCTGTCGTTTTATCTTTGAGGGATTTAAATTTAAAAATAAAATGAATTAAACTAAGATGCCATTATTTCATAGTCAATTTTATTTATTAAAGAAAAACAAATATGATGTGAAGGTGACGGAGCTAAAATGCGGCGGCATAGTCGTCGGATGCGCGATCGACCACCGCGCCGCCGACGCCCACTCCGCCAACATGTTCCTGAAAGCGTGGGCGGAAATGGCTCAATCGAAGACCATCGCGCGCCTCCCCTCCTTCCGCCGGTCCATACTCAACCCACGCCGACCTCCGCAGCCGCATAAATCGCTGGACAAATTCTACGCACCGCGGCTGCCGCCGCCGCCGCCGTCGTCCGGGGAGGACGAAGACCGCCTGACGAGCCGAATCTACCACATCAAATCGGAGGAAATCGACCGCCTCCAGTCTCTGGCCACGTACAACGGCACCAAACGGAGCAAAATAGAGTCCTTCAGCGCGTTCCTCTGGAAGTCCATAGCCGAAGGCGGCGGCGACCGCTCAAAGACGGTGAAATTCGGAATCGTGGTCGACGGACGAGCGAGGCTCGGCGGAAGAACGCCGGCGTCGCTGGAATGCTACTTCGGGAACGTCGTCTCGATTCCGTACGCCGAAGCAACCGTCGGCGATCTCCTTGCGACGCCTCTGAAGGGGGTAGCTGATATGGTGCACGAATGCGTCGCCGCAGCGTCGTCGGCGGAGCATTTCCTGGCGCTGATAGACTGGGTGGAGATGCGGCGGCCGAAGCCGGCGGTGGTGAAGGTGTACTGCAAAGAAGAGAACGACGAGGCGGCGGTGGTCGTCTCTTCGGGGCAGCGGTTCCCGGTTCAGGATCTGGATTTCGGGTGGGGCAAACCCGAATTCGGGTCGTACCATTTTCCGTGGGGCGGGCAAACGGGGTACGTTATGCCAATGCCATCTGCAAAACGGAACGGAGATTGGATTGTCTACATGCATCTGATGACAAAGTACCTGGACCTCGTCGAGGCACGTGCTCCTCACGTCTTCGTTCCCTTTAAATTCTAAATATTCGAACTAATTTCGAATTGGGCCTAGCCCACTTGGTATTTACTATTGGGCTGTACATGTCACTACCTTCACAAACTTTTAAAAATATGGTAGAGTATTATTATAGTGTGAATTCTCCTTGTATATGGATGCATATTTTTCTGAGACATCTCTCAAAATTCAAATTTAAAAAATTATTAAAAAAAAAAACTTTATATGTAATATATATATATAAAAAAAAAAACATAAATAATGAGAAATGTCTGGGTGTCTTTCTTTTGTTTTCTTATTTACTCCATAAAATAAGAAAAGGCAAGTGAAAGGCAGCATGAATTGTGTTAGAATGAGCTAATATGGAAAAGCAAATGATTGAAGAAATCTTTTGGTTGAATGGACAAGACAGGACAAGACAGCCTGTCTCCAATATGTAATACAGACAGACTCACTCCAAGCGGTGATTATAAATACAAATTTAAAATTTTTATAAATATTTCATAGAAATATAAACTAAATTTTAATTAATTAAAAATACAGTAATATTATTTAAAGCACTTTTTATTTGTCTGTTTGCATGTTTAGTACTATTAAAAAAACGCATTTAATTTTGTACAACAAGTGCAATTATTAAAGAATTAAGATTTGTTGTAATGTAAGACGCTACAAATAATTTGGGCGTAGCTGTGTAGGTGGGTAAATGTAAATTACACAACTTTACGAGATGTATTCCACTATTTCATTTCAAAGAACCAATATAATACAATAAAATTCATTAATTAATTAAATTATAAAGCAGACTTTTGACATGACCAAATGTATATATATTTTTCCTTTATATATAAATCTAATAAATGAATATTAAATTAAAAATAAAAATGTAAAGGAAAACGCGGACTTACAAATAAAGGCCGCGGTTTGAATACAGCGTGGCAGTTAGCTGCAGCCTTGTAGAACGTGGCGTTGTGGGCCTGGGTGGGCCCATTTATTATTGTAATTGCACATTATACGATCCATATAGATAAATTAATTAAATGGGCCCACTTCTTCTTAATAATTATTGTATTAATAAAGGTAACCCATCATCAACTGAATAATTTCATCCTTTTTGCCACACACATATAATTTCACCAGTCAGATTTATCAAAAAATAAAATAACATTAATTGGGAGAATAATTGTTGGGAGACTTGTTCGAGCGTAACCAAACTTGGACGAAACCAATTTGACAGCTGTGTCCAATCATTGTAATAAGAATACTATGCTAATTCAATTTTATTTTTATTTTCAATATATATATATCTACATGTTTATTTTCAGGCGACGTGCTGACATGACATGTCTAGACTTATTCTTTTCAAGTTTTATGTACATACGAACGAATGATACGAAATTGATACAGCAAATTAATTGGAATATTAAGTTGTAAATTTATTGTAAGCCATAAACTAAATACACATTGTGGTCGCCCATGAACACTTTGACTTCCAATTACAAAAACTTTCAAAAAATAAACCATGGAGTGAGATGCCAATTTCAATTTGAATAGTAAACCCAGCTGCAATTTAAAATTTAATTAACAGGTGAGGACTAATAAAATAGGATTATAAAATACAAACCCATGAGGGAATAAATTGAGCCAACCAGGCAGTAGCTAATGCTCATTACATATTCATTCATTCATTGTTCACACATACAACAAACATAAAAACTCTTGCACCTGCCACTTTCCCTATCCCCATTTTAATGTGTTGTTCTAATCCCTAATTGCAATGACTCCCTCAGCCGCCACCCTCGCGCCGCCGCGGCGTCGCCGGAATTTGTTGTTCGTTGCGGCTGTCGTCATGGCTCTACTGGCAGCTCTGGTCCCCAATGCTGCCGGAGACCACGACGATGTTGACTTTCGCGACATTGTCCAGGATGCCCGGAAGTTGAACTTCGAGAATCCCCGGCTCCGGCAGGCCTACATTGCCCTGCAGGCCTGGAAACAGGCCATACATTCCGATCCGTTCAATTTTACAGCCAATTGGAAGGGCGCGAATGTCTGCGGCTACCGTGGGGTTTTTTGTTCCCCGGCGCTGTTTAATTCTTCGATTAGAGTGGTCTCCGGCATTGACCTCAACCACGGCGACATTGCCGGGTACCTGCCGGATGAGCTGGGGCTGCTCACCGATCTGGCGCTTTTTCATGTTAATTCCAACAGGTTCTGCGGCGTTGTTCCCCGGAGCTTCAGGAAATTGAAGCTCCTGTTCGAGCTGGATCTCAGCAACAATCGATTCGCCGGAGGGTTCCCCAAGGTTGTTCTGTCGTTGCCGGAGCTGAAGTTCTTGGACCTGAGGTTTAATGAATTTGAAGGTGGGGTGCCTGATAAGGTTTTCGATAAAGATCTGGATGCCCTGTTTTTGAACGATAACAGATTCCGGTTTGGGATCCCGGAGAATCTTGGAAATTCGCCGGTGTCGGTTCTTGTTCTGGCGAACAACGATCTGGGTGGGTGCATTCCCGGCAGCATCGGAAAAATGGGGAAGACGCTGAACGAGCTGATTCTGATGAACGATAACTTGACGGGATGCTTGACGCCGCAGATCGGGATGCTGAAGGAGCTGACGGTGTTTGACGTCAGCTTCAATAATTTGCAGGGACCGTTGCCGGCGGAGATCAGCCGGATGGAGAGCCTGGAGCAGCTGAATGTGGCTCATAACCGCCTGACCGGAGATGTGCCGGCGAGTGTGTGCCAGCTGCCGCGGCTGGAGAACTTTACTTACTCGTACAATTACTTTACCGGTGAGGCGCCGCAGTGCGCCAGATTCGGCGGCGGAAGGGCTTCCGATGGGCGGCAGAATTGCATTCCGAATAAGGGGAATCAGAGGTCCGCCGGAGAGTGCTCGTCGGACGCTGCTAAGCCGTTCGACTGTAGGAAGTCGAAGTGTGGTGGTAGTGCGCCGATTCCGGGGGGTCGGCGGGCGCCGGTGCCGAGCCCGCCGCCGCCGAGACGCAGTAGGCCTCCCAGGCCGAGTTTTAGGGTTACTCCGCCGCCGCCGCCTACGTCCAAGTCTTCGCCGAGTAGTAGATCGCGGCCTCCGCCGCCACCTACTCATAAAATTTCTCCGGGACACCGCCTTCCGCCTCCACCGCCTCCGACACCTGAACTGGTGACTCCGCCGCCGCATTATGCTTCACCTCCACCACCTCAACACAAATCATCTCCGACGATGCACCATAGATCGCCGCCGCCTCCTCCTCCACATTCTCCGCCGCCACCATCACCACCGCCTCCTTCGCCCTCGCCGCCGCCGCCTCCTCCACCTTCTCCACCTCCGCCTTCACCGCCGCCTCCATCCCCCTCCCCGCCGCCACCTCCTCCACCTTCTCCGCCTCCGCCTTCACCACCTCCTCCTTCGCCGTCGCCTCCACCTCCTTCGCCACCCCCTCCCCCACCCTACGTGTACTCATCTCCACCTCCGCCTCCGCCGTCTCCTCCACCGCCGTACGTGTACTCATCATCACCACCTCCTCCGCCATCACCCTCCCCACCGCCACCATACGTCTACTCATCCCCTCCACCTCCTCCACCTTCACCCTCCCCTCCGCCACCATATGTCTACTCATCCCCACCACCACCCTCACCCTCACCTCCGCCACCATATATCTACTCATCCCCACCCCCACCTTCACCCTCCCCGCCGCCGCCTTATATCTACTCATCCCCACCCCCACCTTCACCCTCACCGCCGCCGCCTTACCACTACTCATCCCCGCCACCGCCATACACACATCCATCGCCATCACATCCCACAACATCACCGCCACCACCCGAATGCTCGCATCCACCTCCACCACCCCCGCCACCGCCAACCACCGAATGTCCGCCATCCCCACCACCGTACAAACACACATCCCCACCGCCTCCCACGCCATCCCCACCGCCACCATACATATACTCCTCACCCCCGCCGCCGCCTGAAAAAATCCCACTGCCTCCAATAATCGGAGTTTCCTACGCATCTCCACCGCCGCCGGTAATTCCATACTACTAAAATCCCTAAATCCTTTCCCCTCCCCCCACCCATCTGTTTCCAAAATCCCCAAAAAGAGAGCCTCAAGCCCACATTCAAATTGCTGTTCTTCCCAAGATCTGAGGGCTCATCTCATCTCAACATATCCGCATCATTAGCATAGACCATTAGTTTCCTTTCCAAATTCATCTTCAATTTTTTTCCGAGACAACAACAACAGGCACTATCATCACTTCATCAATCACTACTGCGCATTGAAGAAAATGGGTGGGGACAGAGCATCATTAGTTCATTTATATACAAGAAGAGTTCGTTGTGCATAACAAGTCTAAACTCATTAATATTCTTTAGTCTGAAGCATTTTCTTGATTGTTTTTGAACAAGTGAGCTTTCCCTTGATCTTGCTATATATATATTGTCAATGGAATAAATGTACGCCATTTTCCACTTCTATACATGCGCTTTCTACTGGCTTTTCATACTGCAGATTCTGTATTTTTTCCCTTAAAAGTTCTATATTTATGACATTGGTGCATTCTTGAGATCTTCTTTGCAACTCAAAACAAAACTAACTGAAAAAATCTGTCCTCCATTATTGTTTGAGCAATCCCTTCTAACAAAATTGTTCAATTCCTACTCAAGATCACGCCAAAGATCGTGCAAGATACAATCTTTATTGCAACCAAGCACGAGTATTTCAAGAATCATCGATTAGATCACACCAAATCAGGCAAGGAAACAATACCAAGAACACAAATGTTGGAACTTAAAAGTCGATAGGTAAATGAATAAGCTGTTCTCAGTACTTCCCAGGTATATATATATATATATATACACACACGCACACATACAAACTGACAAAAAAAAAAAAAAAAAAAAAAACAGAAGGAAGAATTCGAACATGAGCATCCCAAATCGAGCTTATATGTGCAACCATTCACATGTAACTCAAAGCTTCTATGCACACAGATCTCCCTATCTAAAAATGCCATGGAAATACACTCCAAACTCTTATCTAGAAAAAACATACACGACTTTATATTCAATCGTCCTGGTTCCAACAAAGGGCAATCGGCAATGCATAAAAGACATATACGCTGTATGATATCTCCTCTCGGCTGGATATGATCATCCAAAGCGAATCACGATGCATGATATATCATCTTTACTTTTTCTTGTCAACGCCTCTGTCGTCAAACGCTTGGCGGCTGCTTGAGGGTCCTTGATATGCCTTACCAAATCAACGGCCTCTTGGTTACTCATCACCTGCACAGTGAATTATTTGGCCATCAGGATTTGCAGGTCAGGAATGATAATAGGAACTAACGACGATTCAAGAACTAGCCTCACCTTCCACAAGCCATCACTTGCCAATATGACAAACTGTGTATTTGAGTCAATGCATAGGTTACGAACATCCGGCTCTGAACTCAAATGCGCCTTAAGATTTTCATCTCCAAAAGCACGTGCGACAGCAAGTTGGCCATTAACCCGAGGTACATCTCCTGAAACAGGAGTTTTAGGTTTTTCATGCAATCTAGTTACAAATCCCCAAAGCACACCATGATTTCTTAAATCCGGAATGCATTGGAGAAGAATCCATTGAAATGATTATAAAATACCGGGAAGAGTGGTGACGAAACCTCCCCGCTTCTCAATCCTCCTCCTCTCACTATGCGGCTCGTGGTCAACCGTAAGTTGCTCTGCTGTTCCGTTTTGGCAAATGACAGCTCTCGAATCTCCAATGTTTGCCACCCACAATTCTTTTCCATCAATGACAATTGCAGTCACGGCAGTCGACCCACCAGGTCCAAATTGCAGGGAGTTTTCTAGGATGCGTTTATCAGTTGAACTGTAAGCATTTATTATTGCGGCCTTGGGGTCTGCCCAAAAGTTTGTCTGCAACAGGTAAGCAAAAACATGATTTCAGAGAAGAGTAAAATGATGCAAGAAAGGAAAAGTTGACATGTTACAAAGGCAAATCGAGCTATAAAACTTTAGGCAAGAAGTTACAGGGGCTGAGGTTAAATAGTTAAAACACCACATCCATCGAATTACAGAGCATGATAACTGCAATTAAATCAAGCCAATAATTGTACCCATTTGAGAATTTTTTGTATATACAACAGAAGAAGTAAAGTTCTTTCCAGCTTCATTAACAGACCGAAATCATTTGCATAATTTAAAGGCCAAACAAAACATTCTCAATCCTTTACACCTTGCTTATTTAGCTACTTAATATCTTGTGTATTTCTAACAACGCCTTTTAGCTGTTAATTTCTATGTTTCAACATTTCAAATTATCCTAACAAAGAATGAAATTCCTCCCCATCAAAAGACCTTAATTTTCGCATACTCTAGCATCCAACAGAAGTGCATAAAACTGCCATCAACATTATTATCCCAATAATGCCATAGATTACCTCTATGTTACCTTACATAGTTACATTCTCCATTAATCCCCACAACCCCATTCGAAGAAGAATAAAATTCAAACTCTTGTACAGAGCACAACAAATATAGGATTTTGAGAATAAAATGAGTCCCAGATAAATGGCTGGCGAATATAAACGAACCTCATGAAGTATGTTGTTGAAGAGATTATCCTTCAAATAGCTGGGGACTCGATCACCTAGATGGCCGTCGAAAATTGCAAACAAACCAAGCCCACGGCCGTCCATTTTTCGGTATTCGGCTACGTGGTAATCCTCCATGTCATGACCTGCTTGTCCTTCCACCAAGTGGAACCCATGGCGCACCTCATTTTTAGCTGATGAAGACTTGAATTTACTCTTCCCTTTGCCAGTGTCAGGGGAAGATCCATCTAAACAAACAACCTTCTGCAAATCTCACAGCAAATAGAGACAGGAAAAAAAATCAGTTCCGGCGCCAAATCATATGGTGATGCATCACTTTCTTGTAAACAAATCCTTGGTTCTACATAACAATATCACTAACCATACATAAAATATGTATTTTCACTATGAGCTGAAAACAATTTAGAGTAATTCAAAATTAGGGCTTCAAATTCACCCCTTGCAATTTTGACTCATCCATATGTACATCCAAGAACATACTGGATTCTTTGGCATAGTCGAGAAAATTAGACCTGGAGAGGCCATCGTCTTCCTCTCCCAAGCAACAATAAACTGACTTTCTCTTAAGACAACCATAATTTGTACGTATAACAATTAACTGATTCTTTGATCCCAAGAAGCAAAATTTCGCTGAAAATTTACCTTGATCACGCCAAGGGGACTGCAGCCTTGTGAAGGTCGCTTTCTCTCCATCTCTAACAAGCAAACGAAAGGGTATCTTAATCATATACAAAGGAACACCAAAACCAAAGATAGGGGACGGCTTCTTGATCAAAACACAGGGTTCAATTCACCACTAAAAAGGGACAGAAATTGAATTCTTGAACCAGTTCCTTTCCACCTCGGCCGAAAAGAGAGTCTTCGTCGGAAGTCTTTGTACGGGCATGTATATTAATATGTGAAAAGAAATTCTGTTTAGACTGGAGGCCGGAGTTTCAAGAGGGTGGATTCATGGACAATTTCTCATTTGTCACACACACTTGTCTATTTGGAGCAAGATTTTTTCTTTTTCTTTTTCTTCTCCCCTCTCTCTCCCTTTCGAATAAATTTTATTATAATTGCTGGAGTGGGGGCGAAAGAATTGATGAGAGTTGGTTGACGGATTCAAAGTCCAACCCCAAATGCGTGTCTTTTGATTTTTCTAACCCGATGCTTCAGATGCTATCGTATTGGGGTCTAATGGCCATGCAAAGATTTGGGTTTAAACCCTATTAAGTTGACTGGAAGAAAATTAGGGACTTGATGGGCGACTGTATTTCCTTTCCCCACTGCCCACTGAATGAGTACTGTAGAAATAATGTAATCGAGTTGAGATAAATGGTTGGGCAATTGGTAATCCCAAATTTATGATGGTAAGTTTGACTTGGAATTCGATGTGACCCCCGTTATCCATTATAGATACGTTTCTCCAATCCGAGAATTGTAGAGTAAAATGAGGCTGAAGCATTAATGTCTGCAAGTGCTGCTTCTCCACTTTGCGCCGCCGGGTAATTATTTGAGTTTTGGTTCAGAAATGAAATCGAATTACGTTCTGTGTTGGACATTCTTTGGTTAGTTTCAGAGTTGGATTCTGATCTTTCTCCTCTTTCTCTCTCTCTCTCATGATTGTTGAATGGTGGGGTTTTGGTCGAACAAGCTCATACATTCACTACACAAATATTCTGTGATTATATCAACAGATACCACAATGGTGGAAAATGCCCATATGTATTTTTCGACAGATTGTCATAGTACATCCTTCAAAAGATGGAATCATTAGTTTATTTCAGTAATTCTTGATACGTAGAGAATGCTGTTTGGTAACAAGATGTGTTGGATTAATGGAGGCTAGTAAAACCATAGCTGGGGATTTCTGATGGAGTTCCTTTAGCTGCTCACCCCATTTTTCTTTGGTGAAAAAAAGCAAAATGATTGTCAAGAATTGAGTTTGCAGTACCACGACACTTTAAGTTCTCTTCATGTTTCTCCAGGATTGCTTTCTGATTTTGAATTAACGGGTACTGAGCAAGATTCTAATCTATTTCAAAAGTCTAGAAATAGGAAATTATCTTTACAACATACGAATCTTAGTGCCAAGAAATCTCCTTATTCATTCCTGACATTTGTGAGCCGAAACATAGGATGCCTTTGTGCTTTGTGAATCACCATCTCCTCCAAAAGATGCCATGAGACACAGGGTAGAGCTATTTTTATACTTGATCTTGCCTTTTTCGAGTTTGATATACTTTATGATTCCGTTTCCTTTAGCAATAAAGTTCTAACTAAAATCCCCCACTTCTATCCATAAGAGTTGAAAATAACAGAGGCTGTGATTTGAAAAATATCCTCTGTGTATATGCAGCAGCACTCTGTAAAATCATATAACAGCTACTGAATGGTTAGAGCTCCTCTAAGGCCACAAATAAGCCAGAATCACACAGCACACGAGTGCCTGCATGATATTTACATAAGGACAAGAAAACCGGAATCTTAATTCTTGTCCTCAGGGTTTGTATTGTATCAAACATGTACAAATATGCATGCAGGTAAAAGTTGAGAAGTTTTTGCAGTACACTATTGAATCCTGGTCACCAACTAATAATCTCAGCATATCAGGTTTTACCATCCTATTATATATTAAAGGTGTCGGTTTCTTTAGTAACATGATGTTCTAATTCCTTTGAAAACACCCCTAAGTTTGATTGAGCTCTTGCCATATTATCTTACAATGAAAAATAAGATGAAATTGATATGCAATTCGACCCCTAAATGTGAAAGCTGCTATCTTTTCCAAAAGAAATATCAGTCATGTCTCTTGATATTACAATACCACAAAAACACCATCCAGCTAAGGACTTAATGGACCCCTTCTATTTAGAATCCCACTAATTTTTGTGATTTTGCTCAACGATCTAACATCTTACCTTTCTTTGCACTGAAAGAGTTGAATCTTGAATGTCATAAATTACGATTATACACAGGGATGATGATGATTTTAACAGGTGGCGACCTCATGTGTCTCGCCCTTCTTACTGTCTGCCTATTTTTCCATGTCTGTGAGCATGCATATTTAGGGCAGACAGGATTCAGTGTGATTTCACTTGAACATGTCGTCTAGAGATTGTTGGATCCACGACGATCTACGTAAGAAAGTCTTGAATCCGTATTTAGCAAATGTGTAGCACACATGGGGAGTTTCTTTGCTGTAGGCTTTTTCTTGTCACACTGTTATTAGTTCTTTGGGTGCTCTGCCGAGAACATATCTTTGAATGAATGGCTTCCAAATACAAAAAGCAAGTTTGAATGCAGATTATGATGATAAGTTAGGGTGATAATTGCTTTCTTTATCTACCTAATATCTGTCTACTAAAGCTGCTTTATGGGGCATGGCTGGATAAGATTGTTTTCTTCTTCCCATCCTCAACACAAATTTGCAAGTAGGTTTTCCACTTTACTAACTTGCTGCCATCACAAACTGCTTTCCATAAAGTGGAGTATGAAGTAGATCTGATGTGTAAATTTGTAATTAAATCTTTTTAAAGCATCTGGGGACTGTAGGTGTCATCAGCACACCTTCCATGATCAATCAAGATATGGCTGTCAAATGCTTTCTTTGGTCAGCAAAAATATGCCCCAAGTCCAGGTCAGGCTCTTTTCTCTTTTTATTCTTACTGGGCATTGAGAAAGAAAAGCAGCTAAAGGTAAATGCCAGCTACCCACCCGCCCCCCCCACCACCCACCCTAAACGTCAGCCACTTTCTATAAGCTTTGATCTCTCATGATTCACCTATATATATACTTCTTCTGGCTATTGAATACTTCCCCCTCCACTCTCCCACTTTATAACAATCTTTGCAATGGTTTTCAGGGATTTCCATTCAGTTTCTGCTTCAATGGTTGTCAGTGATCAGTTTGTGCTGTGTAAAGCAGCTCTCATATTTGCTGTGACTAGATGGATCCTGTCATTTGCGCTGCACTTCCTGACCACTTCCTTGGGCATTTTATCAGTGCCGACAGATTCGACAGCGCCGGCTTCTTCGGGCTCGTCTTGCTGCTCTTCTCCATCATCTTCGTCGGCCAGTTTGAGAATTGTGAGGGACAGTCTTGCCACGACGACTCTCGGAAGCATCCTGCCGGAGCGCCAGGACATGTCGTGCGCCGTGTGCCTCAACAGGCTGAGGAAGAACAGCAAGGTGTGCCAGCTGAGCAACTGTAGCCATGTCTTCCACAAGCACTGCCTCGAGAGGTGGCTGTCGTACGACAACCGGTTGACATGCCCCCTCTGCCGGGCATCTCTCGTCGCCGTAAGCTCTGCGCCGCCAGCGCCACAACCGAGCTGGGCGGTGGAGCGGATGCTTTACTTGTTTGGAGATGATCTGCTCCCTTAGGCCCTGTTTTTCTTGATTCTTGATCAGGGGAATGCAATTTCTTGCACCTCCTCCAGATTCAGATTCTGATTATTTGTTAGTTTAGAATTGTTATTGGGCATAGGGAGATTCAGATGTATTTGTTGAGCCCAGTTTGTACATACGAAGTTGTTTGGGGTTGCACATTTGCAGACCCACAGAAATTACAGTGCCAGGTTATCAGAATCAGCCATTCTTTTTTCTTAATTTGTAGCAGTTACTCACTCATGTACAGTAAGAGGCTTTACCATTATTGATTGATGATCTATTGTTTGTTCTACAATCAAACCGTGTCTTCAATTCTTGATCCATTCTGTTATTAATTAATTTGAAATTTGTGTTTGTTGAGGACAGCTGCTACTCTTTTTCTTTTTAAATTGCTGTTAATTTGCTTTTGCTGTGGTCACAAAAAAGATAAAGATAAGTAAACCAATGAAAAGGACCCAAGAATGTCAAAAAAGATTTAAAATAAAAAAAACGAGTTGAGGATATAAAGAAAAAGCTGACTGTAGTAGGTGTTAGCAGCCCATGTTCTTCAATGTAAAGTTAACAAAGATTCAAGGTTTTCGTACAATGTTCCAAAACTGGACAATCCATTAATCCTTAATTGGAATTTTAATATTCACCAAGACAGAATTGCTGATTCAACAAGCATATTAGTCTGGCCTGTAATTGAAGACTAAAAGGTTCTTTACTTCTTGTTTGCAACTTCACTTGCAGGCAAGACTTGGAGTTAACAACCATTGAACACCAATTTCACTTCATTCCTTCCTTATCTAACCTCCACAATTACTACACGCACAAAATTAATTATATATATATATATATATATTCTTGTCCATCTCGAATGTGTCCCCATGGAATCCAGTTCCTTGTTTCACCTCAGCTGCACCCAAATTCCTTCCTTTTACCTCAACATAAAGTACCAAACTTTTTCCCAGTACTAGAATCAGCCCATAAAGTGATCGAAATGTTTCTTGTTTATATCCCAATCTGCTGAAAATTACAAGCCATGAACACACTGAGGTCCTCCCCCTGGCCCATCATGGAAATCCATCAATTCTTCACCATTGTCTTGTTTATCATGCTCGGCCGGCATTTGTTCGTCGTCGAAGGCTTCGCCTGCAACTGGGGACTGCAGGCGACGCACCCTCTACCGCCTCGCATTACCGTCAATTTATTGAAAGACAATGGATTCAATAAAGTGAAGCTCTTTGAGGCTGATCCAGGCGCATTGCTCGCCCTCGGTAGGTCCGGCGTGCAGGTCATGGTCGGGATTCCTAACGACATGCTGGCCGACATTGCCAGGAGTGTTCGTGTCGCCGAGGATTGGGTCGCCAAAAATGTGTCCTACTACTTGTCCAATAAGGGAGTGAACATAAGGTGCATTGATCTTCCTGTAATGTATTTATTATACTGTAATTTGTGCAATGCTGATGTATTCAGAATTTGATTTTAGGTATGTTGCCGTTGGGAATGAGCCGTTCTTGAAGACGTACAACGGCAAGTTCACTCAGACGACCTTTCCGGCGCTGCAGAACATTCAGGCGGCCCTGATCAAGGCCGGCTTAGGCCGGGACGTCAAGGCCACCGTGCCACTCAATGCCGACGTTTACCAGTCGGATTCCGGCCTGCCGTCAGGGGGGAATTTCAGGCCTGATATTCACGACCTGATGGTTTCCATGGTCAAGTTCCTGAGCAACAACGACGCCCCTCTTGTCATCAACATCTACCCTTTCCTCAGCCTCGACGCCGACCCAAACTTCCCGATCGATTTCGCCTTCTTCGACGGCGCCGCCGCCCCTCTGGTGGATGGCTCATACACCTACACCAATGTCTTCGACGCCAATTTAGACACCCTGGTTTCCGCCCTGGAAAAAAATGGCTTCCCTTCCATGCCGATCATCGTCGGGGAGATCGGCTGGCCGACGGACGGGAAGACCAACGCCAATCCTCAGCTTGCCCGGAAGTTCAACCAGGGCCTGGTAAACAGGATCATAAGGCGCCAGGGAACCCCCAAGCGATCGACCCTGCCGGATATCTACCTGTTTTCTCTGGTGGACGAAGATACCAAGAGTGTCGACCCTGGAAACTTCGAGCGCCATTGGGGAGTGTTCAACTTCGACGGGTCGGTAAAGTACCCCTTGGATTTGGGCGGGGGGCGGAACCTGACGGCGGCGAGGGGGGTTCGGTACCTGGAGCGGCAATGGTGCGTCCTGGCGCCTGGTGCGAATGTGATGGACCCGAATGTGGCGCAGAGCGTAAGCCAGGCGTGCACTTACGCGGACTGCACGAGCCTCGGGGGTGGGGCATCGTGCGGGGGCCTGGATGCGAGGGGGAATGCGTCGTACGCGTTTAATATGTATTACCAGACGATGGACCAGCGGAAGGGGGCGTGCGAGATGCAGTTTCGTAATCTGGCGGCGGTGACCAAGATTGACCCGAGTTTTCACGGCAGCACGTGCCGGTATGAGATCATGATTGATGTGGGAAGGCACGATCGGGTTAAGCAGAATCCCGGCACGTCGGCGGCGGGGGGGAGGCCGGTGGGAGGAGGGGGTTTAGGGTTTCTGGTTTTCTTGGCCGTTGCTCTCTGGGCTTGTCTTATCTGACCTGCTCTGTTTGACTTATGTGTGTGCATATAGAGAGAGAGAGAGGTGGGGAGAGAGAAAGATTTGTTTCAGTTTTTTGGTGGATGAAACCATTTGTTTCAGATGCCATGTATGCATTTGATTTTTATTATTATTCTTTTTTAATGTAAAGGTACATTGTTCAATGAATCTGGTTTATTGAGACACATTTGGTTCACGAACGTGTTGCCTACTTCTAGATTCAGAAGAAGAAGAGGAGGATAGCTGTGTTACAGATCTCATAATTCTATTCAAATAAATTAGAAGAATATATCAAATAAATTCAACTAAATATCAATTTCAAAATCCAATAGTGCATATAGTCTGCTCGAGGCCACTCAGCGCCCCCAAATCCTAGGCAAGGGAAACTTTTCTTGACCCCCGACTCGCTGACCAAACAGCAAAATCTCTATAAAAATTTTAACAAACTAGATTCAAAACATATAGACATCGTGTCATACTGATTTTCTTACAAAAATTCTTAGGAATATAGAATAATCTCATTTTGCAAAAGGTAAAAACATGGAGTATTTCAGATGAATACTCAGAGCGGTATCCGTTGATAGTCCAATATGCTTGGGGATCGGTTAATACAACCACCAAAATAAAATTCCACCAATAGTTGTGCTTTCTGTGTGTTTATATACTGTAGTGACAATCCTTTAATTGAATAAAAGTTCCATGGATTCAATTTACTTGTAAAATTAATTTTTTAGTATGATATATATATAATAATAATTAATAAGTAGTTTTATTTTATGTTATTGGAGGAGTTCTTTTTATATATATAGAAGTAGTAAAAATACTGTAAAAAATCTACAAACAAACAGAGCCTAAAGGTTTTTGGGGGGGTTTATTTTTGAATTTTTAATAATCATTTAAATTAAAACTAAACAATCTCTCCCCCAATAAATAAATCCCTTTTTAACTGATATTAATAGTTAAAAGAACACATATTACATCAAAATTACATATACAGTTAATTTAATTTAATTGATTATCAATTTTTATATTAATTATTCAATGTCATTAATTCCCTTATAAAATACACAAATTTTTTTTTTTATACAAAGTATCATATTCAATAAATATTTTATTAAAAAATTAAAAAAACAATCACAAAAATAAAGAAACAATCTTAAAAACACGCTTTCATTAAAAGACAATAGAAAGCGAAGTTTTCGAAAACGCGTTTTATGGACCCCTGTATTAATATTGCAACTCAAAAAGACGTTAGAATATTTTGGTTTCCTTTAAATTTATTATTTAGAAAATAAAGAAAAAAGTCTAATTATTAAATACATAGAATTCTCCCCTTTACAATATACAAACTAATTGTGTGTGGTGGATGATTCCCTTATCCTCCCTATTTTTATCTAACAGTACTTTCACTTTATACACAAATATTCTGTCCAATCATTATTATCCATCCTCCTTTAACGTTCCAGATCATTAAAAATAAATATATTGAATCAAATTATTAATTAAAGACGTTATGCATTCGTATACATGCATGCATGCATGCATGTTCACTCCACAGCTTCCAACACTTATCTTCGTGTCCAAATTCGACAACTGAAATAAATACATTAATTAATTAATTAGGTGTAACATGCATTGTGCTTATATATAAAAAATAAAAATCAATTTTCATGAACAGAATAAATACGAGACCGTATAGCACTTGTAGAAATAGAACTATATAGTAAATATTAATGATTTGCGTTTTAATTTAAAGAATAATTAAATGGAGTCCTTAGAGAAGAAGTAAATAGCAAAAAAGGCCCGAGGGACAGAAGAGTTGTCATTGCTGCAAAAAGGCACCTTTTCTGATTTGCACAATTAACGAACCCTAAAAAAGATTCTCAGGCTGGCCTTCTACTGCCGACACCTAAGTAAATTTGTTACCTGATTTGATGTAATTCTTTTGTCATTTAAATGTATGTTTATTTAACTGTGGGTCTTTTAAAAAAAATAACAAAAAAAATATTTTATCAAATAAGAATAATATTCGATAACAATAAAAAAAAAATCATAAAATTGAATTATAAAGAAAGTATTATTTAATAGTAATATAATTTCAAATTAAATTAAGTACTTCTTTCCTTTTATATTTTTTTTATTATTTATTTATATTCGTTAGATATATTTAAAATTTATAAATTTAATAAAAATAAAAAATTGTCAATTACATTGTTATCAGCTGACTAAAATAGAAATATATTATTCAATTAATATACGTATGTATTCATAAGAGTTCTGGGTGCCCATTTCGTTATGTTTATACATTATTAATTATTTAAATGCATGCTCCAAGTAACCACTAGATGAGTATATATTGAGAGTACCCAATTTTTCATGCAAATGTAAATTTCATTTATTTAAAATATTATTTAATTAATTATTTTCCCTGTAAGTTTCCAAGGTCCTTGCATGCACCTCTCGGCTCTCGACACATAACATACATTCTACAGTCTCCTCCTCCAACCCTATTTATTGCCTCCACTGCCCCCTGCCTTCAATTCGCCATTGCACCTTCAATTCTCATACTTTAATTATCTGCTTAATGATTAGTGTGATCTATTGATTTATTGTTACATTCTTAATTAATTAATCAATTAATTAGTGGTGATGATGAAGGGAATGTTGATGTTGCTGCTTAGTGCAAATATTGCACTTATAATCGTGTGTTGTGTTGTTGCAGAAGGGGTTTCTGAGTTCAGTGACTCCAAATGTCTGAAGGTTCCGGTGTCGGAATTCGCCGGCACTGTCCGGAAAACCATCGGCGTCGTCCGGCAGGTGGCCGCCGCCGTGTCGGGCTTCCCCTGCAAGGGCGATTTCCGGCTCGGAAATGCCGTGTCCGATTGCCTCGATCTCATGGACTTCACGGAGTACCACCTGCAGTCGGCGCTGTCCGCTTCCCAGCGCCCCAACGGTAATTAATTCAGTAATCAATTCCATGTATCGATCTATCACATTATGGAACTTCGATTGATACGATGATGGTGTCTAATTTGCAGGCAAGAGCAACGACACGGGAAGCGTGATCGCCGACATCAAGACATGGCTGAGCGGAGCTCTGACCAATCAGGACACCTGCAGAGAAGGCTTCGACGGCACAAATGGAGTCCTCAAGAATTTGATTTCAGGCAATCTGGACAAGGCCGCCTCCTTGGTCCACGACCTTCTCGCCGCCGTAAAGCCAAATCCGACCACCTCATCAAAAGCCGGCGGCGGCGGAGGCGGCAGGAAACTTTCAGGCAACGACAAGTTTCCTCACTGGCTGAAATCCCGGGACAGGAAACTCCTTCAGACAACCAGCGTGACGGCGGACGCGGTGGTTGCCGCAGATGGGACAGGGAATTTCACGAGCGTTATGGCGGCGGTGAATGCGGCGGCGGCGAGTAGCAGCCGGAGATTCGTGATCCATGTTAAGAGAGGCGTTTACAGAGAGTTCGTGGAGATCAGTAAGAAGAAATGGAACATAATGTTGGTCGGAGACGGCGCCGACGCTACCGTTATTTCCGGTAACCGTAGCTTCATTGGTGGATGGACCACTTACCGCTCTGCAACTTTTGGTAAGAACACAACACAACCCAAACCCTTTTAATTTATAAATTGCAAATTTAAAGGATAATTCATTTACTGCAACATTTAAGTCCATGTCCCACATAAGATTTACTTGATCAGTTGATCCACCCACCATGTTTTGACTGAATTTAATTAAAAAATGTATGTAAGCCCATGTTTCCCAATTCATTCAATTCCAACATCCCAAATGCAGCTGTCAAAGGCCGCGGATTCATCGCACGCGACATAACCTTCGAGAACGCCGCCGGGCCGGAGAAGCACCAGGCGGTGGCGTACCGATCGGACTCCGATTTATCGGTCCTGTACCGGTGCAACATCAGAGGATTCCAGGACACTCTCTACGCCCATTCCCAGCGCCAGTTCTACCGAGAGTGCAAGATCACCGGCACCGTCGACTTCATATTCGGCGACGGCGCCGCCGTCTTCCAGAGTTGCAGCATCCAGGCCAGGAAAGGGATGCCCAATCAGAAGAACACGATCACCGCCCAGGGCCGCAAGGATCCGATTGAGAACACGGGTTTCACGATCCAGTTCTGCAACATCTCGGCGGAGCCCGACGTGTCGTGGAATTCGACGCCGACGTATCTGGGCCGGCCATGGAAACTGTATTCGAGGACGGTGGTGATGCAGTCGTTCATCGGCGGCGCCGTCAGGCCGGAGGGGTGGCTGGAGTGGAATGGGGATTTTGCGTTGAGTAGTTTGTACTATGCGGAGTATATGAACTACGGGGCGGGTGCGGGTTTGGGGGCCCGGGTCAAATGGCCCGGTTACCATGTGCTGAACAGCTCGGCGGAGGCGAGTGGGTTCACGGTGGCGCAGTTCATCTTAGGGAACACGTGGCTGCCATCCACTGGGGTGAGGTATACCGCCGGCCTCGAGATGTAGGGCTGGGATTTTATTTCATAATTGTTCATGAAATGGGTGCTACGATTTAATTTAACAAAATTTGGGATATTTTCTTGTCGTATATATTATTGTGAGCTTATGAATTTGACTACTTACAGTGTTCCGACTATATATACATATGTATGCATGTATTTATATATATTTTTTTACGCGAATGTTATCTCAGTCGAGAAATAGTAATTTGTTTTTGTTTCGTTTTATATATGACCTTTATCATGTGGGACCCACACATGGAATCATCTGGAGTCGAGGTCCATGGAGCCTCATAACTCAAGGTCTCCAATTGCTCTGTTACATTGTTTAATGTTTTACCACTGGGCCACTCTCCTTTTTTATTCATTAAAAAAAAAAATAATATTATGATGTCTCACGCTACTTGTCACGTATGATTCCGCCTAAAGTGATTTATCTGTCAAACTTAATTTGTTTTGATTACTAATATAATTTGTTTTGATTTATCTTAATAATGATGTATGAAAATGATAAGAGGCAGTATGCCTCAAAAATATTGACTCAAATTATGTATTATTTACTTTGTAATTCAAATTTGCAAAATAATTGTTTATTTAATTTATATCTACAAAATAATTATTTATTTGAGTTCTCGAAGTTGTATAATTTGATTTAAAATATCTCAAATTTGGCACATGGTTTTAAATTTATATTTAAAAATAAAAATCCTAGTTAATTAATGTTATTGAATTCAAGTATAATCTCCCAAGTATCCGGATTCCAGCTATTAACCATCTCGTCATCTCGACTCACGTTTGGGATTTGATTTGTAAAGTCAAAGATCTCCAACATATTATATAATAAGAAAAATGTAAAATATAATACTATAATTAATAGAAAATTGTAAATATCTCCAACGTATACGGATTCCATGCATACTACCTAGCCTCTTCATCTTCTTGGCATGGCATAATCAAATAATTGCCACTTTGATGATGAGAACGTGCATGATTTTCAAAGATATTTTACTTTGTTTTAGGTCTGTTTCATCTTTAAACAATTTCCATGTGGAGTGGAATAATTTATGAGTTTATGTTATAAAAGATTAATAGCAATATAACAAATTATTTAAATTAATTCATAGCAATATAATTTAGAGAATATATTACATATTTAAAAAATATCTAAGACAATATATTATATATATACTGTAATAATTCATTCATAGGAAGTGAACTGTCGTATGTGTAAATTAAATCTATTTATATAGATGTCCCCTTCAACTCATTCCATTCATCCTCTCATCTCTTCTCATGGATTCCCGCGTTTTCAAATCTTTACTACTCCTCTCTTCTTTCATCATCGTCTTCTCCAAAGCTAATTCTGTCGCAGCAGCTGATCATACACTCACCTCATCATCGTCTCCAAATTCATCCAATAATTCTCTGGTCAACACTACTCGTACTACCCACCTCTCTGCAGCTGCAATGGCGGCCTGCAAATCCACACCTTTCCCCGACTCCTGTTTCCATTCCGCCAAGCTTTCCATCTCCATTAACATATCACCAAACGTCCTCTCTATCATCCTCCAGTCCCTCAACTCCGCCCTGTCCGAAGGCTTCACGCTCTTAAAACTCCTCGCCGACGCCGGCGGCGCCAATCTCGTCGAGAAACAGAGGGGCACCATTCAGGACTGCCGGGACCTCCACCAGATCACACTCTCTTCATTGAAGAAGTCTCTCTCCTGGATCAAAACTCCAGGACACTCCAAACTGGCCAACGCCAGAACCTCCCTCAGCGCTTCTCTCACCAATAAAGTCACGTGCTTGGAGGGCCTCAGCTCAGCCTCGGGCCCGATGAAATCTTCACTCGAAACTTCCCTGACCTCCGCTTACTCCCACGTCAGCAACTCCCTGTCGTTGCTGCCCCGCCGGAGTCCTCCGCCGGACCACCGCGGTCGCAACCGGCGGCTCCTCGGCTTCCCCTCGTGGCTGCCCAGAAAAGCCCGACGCATTCTGAGCTCCGACTACAGATACGATCCCAGTGAAGTGGATATCATAGTGTCCGCCGACGGCACCGGGGACTTCACCACCATCTCCGACGCGATCAATTTCGCGCCGGACAACAGCGACGACAGAACGTTCATTTACATCAGAGAAGGAGTGTATAACGAAAACGTGGAGATCCCCAGCTGGAAGCCCAACATTGTCTTCCTCGGCGACGGAACTGATCTCACCGTAATCTCCGGCAGCCGCAGCGCCGGCGACGGATGGACTACTTACAGATCTGCTACAGTAGGTAATCAAATATGATTTACTCTCGAAATTAATAACACGAATACTGAAAATTAACCCCTTTCCTCGATCAATCATCGATCAGCTGTATCTGGGCAGGGATTCCTGGCGAGGGACATAACATTCACGAACACCGCCGGCGCCGCCAAGGGCCAGGCCGTAGCCCTCCGGATAAACGCAGACTACGCCGCCGTGTACAAGTGCAACATCACCGGTTTCCAGGACACCCTATACGTCCATTCGTTCCGACAATTCTACAGAGAATGCGACATTTACGGAACCATAGACTACATCTTCGGCAACGCGGCGGCTGTCTTCCAGGCCTGCAACATCTATTCAAGATTGCCGATGCCGGGGCAGGGGACAGTGATCGCCGCCCAGTCCCGCCAAAGCCTCGCCGAGAACACCGGGATTTCGTTCCAGAATTGCAGTGTCCTGGCGACGGAAGAATTGAGGTCCAAATCGAGCACAGTGAAGAGCTACTTGGGCAGGCCCTGGAGAAACTACTCGACGACAGTTTACATGAAGTCGTACATTGATGGTTTCATAGCCCCCGAAGGGTGGAGTAAATGGGATGGGGATCAGGGCCTCCATACTCTGTATTATGGAGAGTACGGAAATTACGGGCCCGGAGCCAGCCTGGATAATCGGGTTACTTGGGAGGGATATCATCGGATGGATGACGACGATGCTTCTGGGTTCACAGTGTCTGAGCTCATCGATGGACAGACATGGCTGGATTCCACTTCCTTTCCTTTTGATGATGGAGTTTAATTTTGTTGTTGTAGTTTTTTAACCAAGTTTATCTAAAAATATTTTTTGTTTTATCTTTTTTTAAAAAAAAAAAAACAAGAAAATAAAAAAGGAACAAGAGACTCGGATTGGATGTTAAACGTCTTGGGCTTGGGCTGGTGGATTGGACTATAGAACAATTTATTTATTGAAGAACGAATTGGGCATGTGAGAAAAATAAATATTTAATATAATAAGTATTTTATTAAAATATTATTATTAATAAATAATATCACATTTTGTAGAAAGCATATATTTAGATAAACAAGGCCTGAGGCTGTATTTGGATTACTATTCATTCTTTTTTTTTTGGTAAAATATAATAGAATATAAAATAATATACACATATAAATAAATACAGTACGTGATATAGGGGTGGACAAATACTAACCCGATACGAAATAATTGGGTTTGGGTTAAATATTTCAACCCGATTATGTATACGGGTTGACATGAACCCGATACGATAGTAAACGGGTTGGATTAGGGTTGAGGCTCTCAACTCGAACCCGATATGACAACTCGATTATAATATATTAATATTGATTAATATATTTATTTTATATATAAAATAATCATAATTTAATAATTTTCTCATAAATTAATTTAAACTCAGTTCAATTTTAAATAATTCAACATAATTTAAACTCAATCCAATAAAAACTAACATAACACGATAACATAACAAAAAATTATTTAATTTGAATCAAAAAATCCGACTTAATCATGTATACGGGTCAACACGAACCCGACACGACACGATAATAAATAAGTCGGGTTTGGATTGAATAATTTAACCCGTTTAAAATATTTAACCCGATACGAATCCGACATGAATTGACCCATTGTCAGCCCTATGTGATACGGCTTAGTTGTCCCTTTCACCTTAATTAATTTACATATATCCCTCAAAATCAATAAACCATAACGGATATCGATTCAGTTGCAACTTGGAAACACACACAAATTTCTGATTTTTTTGTAGGTATACATACAACTGTTGCATCAATGCTTAGTAAACGAAACTTTACGTGCACGACCCGTTGTAGAAATTTTAATTCCTAAATTTAGTAGATTGAGTTTGCTTATATATATATATCTTTACATATTGTTATTTTGGGGTAAAAAATATATAAGTATTTAAAATAATATTTTCAAAAAATAAGAATCGTTTTTACTATAAACATTTAGGGAATAACAAAGGAAATGAGAACACAATAATGCGTAGGAATGAAGTACTAATATAGAAAAATTGTCACTTTCATGATGAGACGTTCTTGATTTTCAAAGATATTTGCCTTTGTGAAGAATTTCTGAATGGTGTGGAATAATTTATGAATTATGTTATTAATAATGAAGTCAGAAATTTATTTATAAACATAAATAATAATTATGATTTTAAATTTAAATTAATAGCAATCTAATTTTAAATTTTTGTCAAAAATCAACGCCATTTTACACTGTATATTCATTCAGTAGTTTGCCAAAAATCAAGAGGAGGAGGAGGAAGAAGAAGAAGAATTATTGAGTGAAGTGGTGAAGTGCCGTATGACTACAAATGACTTAAAAAGAGTAAATGAGAGAGAGGGCAGTAAGTAGACATCAAAGACCGACCGACACAGAAAACCAAATTAAAGCTGAATATGAAGATGAATAAGAGAGGACAAGACAACACAGACAGACAGGCCTGTTTTTCAATGAAGTTTTTGGTGGTTTCTGCAAATAGATAAATAATATCTTTACCAGGGACATTGCATTGCATTGCATTCACATGGGCTCTCACAAAGACTATTGCCCATGATCGGTAATGCACCCCACCCCACCCCACCCCACTTGCCATGTATCTATTCTAGTGGGATTTTTCTTTTTATTGGAGTAATTTGCTGACTATTATGTTGTTTATTACTCAACTTATAGTCGATGCTGTTCCAATGTTCTAATAAAAACAATACTTGTTATTACATGTTGGGGAAAACCATGCAGCATTATTTTCGAGAGGGAATATGTGTATATATATAGATACATACTACATAGTGCTTCAATCAATCACATGGCACTGAAACTTTTAACGTATGTATAAATTAAAAATCTATTTATATGTCCCCTTGAACTTGATCAAAAACCTCATCCTCTAATCTCATGGATTCCCACGTTTTCAAATCTTTCTTGCTCCTCTCTTCTTTGCTCATCGTCTTCTCCAAAGCTCATACCCTCAACTCATCACCCTCTCCAAATTCATCCAATAATTCTCTGGTCAACACTACTCGTACTACCCACCTCTCTGCAGCTGCAATGGCGGCCTGCAAATCCACACCTTTCCCCAACTCCTGTTTCCACTCCGCCAAGCTCTCCATCTCCATTAACATATCACCAAACGTCCTCTCCATCATTCTCCAGTCCCTCAATTCCGCCCTGTCCGAAGGCTCCACGCTCTTAAACCTCCTCGCCAACGCCGGCGGCGCCAATCTCGTCGAGAAGCAGAGGGGCACCATTCAGGACTGCCGGGACCTGCACCAGATCACTCTCTCTTCCTTAAAGAAGTCTCTCTCCTGGATCAAAGCTCCCGGATCCTCCAAACTGGCCGACGCCAGAACCTCCCTCAGCGCTTCTCTCACCAACAAAGTCACGTGCCTGGAGGGCCTGAGCTCAGCCTCGGGCCCGATGAAATCTTCCCTCGTGAATTCCCTGACCTCCACTTACTCACACGTCAGCAATTCCCTGTCGTTGCTGTCCCGCCGTAATCCTCCGACGGACCACCGCCGTCGCAACAGGCGGCTCCTAGGCTTCCCCTCGTGGCTGCCCAGAAAAGCCCGACGAGTTTTGCTGGGCTCCGACTACAAATACGATACCAGTGAAGTGGATATCATAGTGTCCGCCGACGGTACCGGAAACTTCACCACCATCTCCGACGCGATCAATTTCGCACCCAACAACAGCGACGACAGAACGTTTATTTACATCAGAGAAGGGTTTTATAACGAAAACGTGGAGATCCCCAGCTGGAAGCCCAACATTGTCCTCCTCGGCGACGGAAGTGATCTCACCGTAATCTCCGGCAGCCGCAGCGCCGGCGACGGGTGGACTACTTTCAGATCTGCCACAGTAGGTAAAAACTAAAAACTAAAAACCCAACTAAATTTGAATTACTTCCGAAATTAATAACCTGGATACTGAAATTAACCTCGATCGAACAGCTGTATCTGGGCAGGGATTCCTGGCGCGGGACATAGCATTCATGAACACCGCCGGAGCCGAGAAGCGCCAGGCCGTAGCCCTTCGGATAAACGCAGACTACGCCGCCGTGTACAAATGCGCCATCACCGGTTTCCAGGACACATTATACGTCCATTCCTTCCGACAATTCTACCGAGAATGCGACATTTACGGAACCATAGACTACATCTTCGGCAACGCGGCGGTTGTCTTCCAGGCCTGCAACATCGTATCAAGAATGCCGATGCCGGGGCAGTTCACGGTGATCACCGCCCAGTCCCGCGAAAGCTCCGACGAGAACACCGGAATTTCTTTCCAGAATTGCACTGTCCTGGCAACAGATGAATTGTACTCCAATTCCAGCACAGTGAAGAGCTACTTAGGCAGGCCCTGGAGAAACTATTCCACCACAGTTTACATGAAATCGTACATTGATGGTTTCATATCCCCTGAAGGTTGGATTAATTGGGATGGAGATCAGGGCCTCGATACTCTATATTATGGGGAGTACGAAAATTACGGGCCCGGAGCCACCACGGATAATCGGGTTTCTTGGCCCGGATATCATCTAATGGATTACGAGGATGCTTCAAACTTCACAGTGTCTCAGCTCATCACTGGACAGGAATGGCTGGATTCGACTTCCTTTCCCTTTGATGATGGAGTTTAATTTAATTGTAGTTTTTCCACCAGATTTAGAGTAAGGAGGAGAGCGAAATTCGCCAAAAATATGCTTGGATTGTAGCACGATTATCATCGGTTATTGTTTTGTTATTACAAGGGAGCCCTGAAATCTCTCTAATCCACAGATGAGCAGTTTTTTAAGAAATTAAAGGTATAATTGAAATGTTTTTGAAATCTGGACAGAGACTCCTGCCTTGCCTTAATCTGAAGGAAGACAGGGCAGAGGGACAATGGCGTTCCAGGATTTTGACCAGATTACGGAACGCAGGCAGAATTATCGTAAGCAGAGGATTAAGAAGAGGATCATCATCGGATCGGCTGTCACCGTCGTTCTCTTAATCATCGCCGCTGTCGTCGGCCTGGTGTTGCACTCCGACAATAAGGAAGCTTCTTCTTCTTCTTCCTCCAATCAGAAGGAACACAGCCCTGAATCCCCCAATCCTGTCCAGAAGGAGGTCAAGGCTGTCTGTGCCACCACCGATTTCAAGACCACCTGCGAAGACAAGCTTCTTAAAGCTCTTGGCAAGAACGACTCCCCAACTCTCAATGACTTCGCCAAAGCAGCTCTCTCTGCACCTTCCGACGAGATCAAAAAGGCTCTCAAGAAAGCGTCGGCCCTAAAGTACGACGGCGCGCCGTTAAAACAAGCCGCGGTGGAGGATTGCTTGGAGCTCCTGAACGATGCCGTTGCCGAGCTCAACAAATCGATTGCCGGTGTCCGGGGAATGGATTTGTCGAAGCAGTCCGGAAAATTGGCTGACTTGAAAAATCAGATGAGCGCGGCGTTGGCACACCAGGAGACGTGCATTGATGGATTCCCCGACGGAAAGGAAAAGAGTGAGATGCAGAAGCTCTTGAAGGATGCTAAGGTGCTTAGCAGAAACGCCCTCGCCATAGTCTCCGGCGCAGGCTCGACTGTAAAAGGATCGGGTGCACAGAGACGGCTCTTTAGCCTGGATGGAAATGGAATCGGGAGGTCGATGAAGGAGGACGACAAGAATGAGAAGGCTCCGGATGCGACCGTTGCTAAAGATGGAAGTGGCAAGTTCGATACTATTTCCGCGGCATTGAAGGCTATGCCGAAAGTGCGATCCGGAAGGTATTAGATTTATGTTGTTTCGATTAACTTTCGATGTAACATGTTTACAGGGCTCGATCATGATCCGTACCTTATTTTTGTGGATAATTCAGATACGTGATATATGTCAAAGAAGGTGTGTACGAAGAAAATATTGTGATCGACAATGAAATGGTTAATTTAACGATCCGCGGCGATGGATCGGAGAAGACGATTGTCTCAGGGAGCAAAAGCTATGGAGATGGAGTGACAGTTTATAGATCAGCAACATTTGGTGCGATTGATGTTTATGAGATTAATTTCCATTGATTTTTTTTGGGATGAATATTAATTAGAAGCTGAAATTGATTTGCTCTTGAGATGTGCAGCTGTCCAGGGCGACGGATTCTTGGCGAAGTCGATCGGATTCAGGAACACGGCGGCGCCGGAGAAGAAACAGGCGGTGGCACTGAGAGTGCAGGCGGATCGGTCGATGTTCATCGAGTGCAAGATCGAAGGGCACCAGAACGTTCTATTTACCCAATCGCACCGCCAGTTCTACAGAAGCTGCGACATCGCCGGCGCGGCGGACATCATCTTCGGCGATGCGGCGGCGGTTTTCCAGAACTGCGTGATAAAGGTGAGGAAGCCGCTGGAAAACCAGAGCAGCACGGTGACGGCGCAGGCGAGGGTGGACAGGAGGGAGACCACCGGAATTGTGATCCAGAACAGTCACATCGTGGCGGACGACGACCTGGAGCCGGAGAAGAAGAAGTACAAGAGCTACCTCGGCAGGCCGGAGAAGGAGTTCTCCAGGGCCGTCGTCATGGAATCGCAGATCGGCGACCTGATCCAGCCGGAGGGGTGGCTGGAGGAGAAAGGGGTTAACAATTCGGGGGTTTACTTGGCGGAGTTTGAGAATAAAGGCGCCGGAGCGGAGACTTCCGGCAGGGTGAAGTGGCCGGGGCACAAAGTGATCGGCAAGGAAGAAGCTGCCAAGTTCACAGTGAGCGCTTTCTTGCAGGGGGAGAGCTGGACCAAGAGTCCCGGAGTTCCTGTCAGGATGGGCCTGTACAACTGATTAATTAATACTATGATTGAAAATTGGGGGGTTTTGATCAAGGCAGTTGGGATAAATATATATATTTATAATTTTATGTTTTAGTGATGTATGATCAAAAAAATAAATAAATAAATAAGAGTAACAAAAGATCAGATCTAAAAAGGAGACATTAATTTCTACTTAGGGATGGGATGTATAACATGATTTGTGTCTTGACAATTTGTATAATCCATCACAACATTGCTATGTATCTGTAAATTAATTGAGACTTTTTGCTAATCATATGTAATTTTGATTCTACTATTTTATTATTATTATTTCCTTATTTTCTTTCAATCCTAAGATAAGATTCATGGGCTTTGATTTTAATTTGAAGGCTGGAATTGGATAGGAATCCCACATTAGGATCAGATCACAAAAGCTGTCGGAAATATTATCATCTATTATTGCATTAAGTTGTTTGTTAATTATGCTGATTGATTATTTTATTATTATTAGTAACTAACTAGTTGGTGGGGTGTGAGGGTCACGCGCGCATGTGTTAGTTCAAACATTGCACTCAAAATTCCTTTCGATAGTCAATTAAGTCAATAAGTCAATTGTGATTGATGCCTGAGCTGGAAAGTAAGTTTATCACATCTTTCCACGTCATCTTTTATTTAGTATTTATTTATTTATTTATGAATCCGTTAATTAAGACATTAACATGGCATTAATTACTTGGTACAAATAGCAGCACGAGAAAGCCGCCAATCGAATACTGGGGACGGCGAATACGATACGACGCTAATTTGGATACCTTTTTATATGCTCTCTATTCCGACAACCAATCATCATTTTCTTTTTGACTCGTATATACTCCTTACGGCATGAATGAGTGCTTATTTTGCCAGATACAAATTTTAATAAAAATAGATAATAAATAATTTGACCGCGTTACTGTAGATACGAGAATCTAGTAGGAGTATAATTAGTAAATAATTAAAAATATATTAGTGAAAATAATTATTGTATAATAAAAATAATTATAAATTAAGATTAAGATAATTGATTAGTATAATTAAAATTAAAAAAATTTAAAATTAAATTTTTAAAAATAAAATTAAAGTGTATAATTATTTTGCAAAAGATAAAAGTGACAAAATAAATTGGACTGACAGAAATAGAAAAATGGACATGAGAAGTGGGACGGAGGGAGTATTTTTTTTTATAGTAAAAAAAATATAAAATTATAATAATTTTTTACTTAAAAAAACGATAATATTTTTTTTATGATAATTCTAAAAAAAAGTGAATATAAATTTGAATGATTGAGAGAATATAAGATATATATATATATATACAACTATTAATTTTATACTATAAATATACTTTATAATTAATTATTTTTTGAAAAAATATATCATACTGAATATTTATTTATTTATATATATTAAAGATATTTTATTTCGAAAATTATATATTGTTAAAGAAATTAAATCAAAACTTTGGAACAATGCAAACAGACAATAACTAAAGAAAGCAATACAAACGGACATGCTCATTGCATAGTTGTGTTCATTACTTCCCTTAGTCTAAAGCTAATTATATCATTTTGTAAAATACAAAAATAAAAAAATAATAATATTTTAAATAAAAAATGATAGGTAAAAAAGTAAAGTATAAACATATAATATTTTAAATAAAACTTTGTGTTTATACAATATTCTTTATATAAATATATCATATTCAATTCACTTTGAAATTATCAAGTAAGTGTATAAATATATCATATTTGCTTTTCTCTATAAACTTGATTATATATCTTAAAATTAAATATTATATGTATCTTTAACATTTTGTATAATTCTTTTGATGGAATTTGTATATATTATTTTGATAGAAATTTATTGTATAAGCGTTTATATATATATATATATATTTAAAAATATAGACATCAATATTTATATATATATATATACGAAATTAAGGGTTGTATATAATGTATTTTTGTCTGATATGTTTGTACGTACTATATGTTATAATTAAATATGTATAAGAATTGACATAGAGACATGAGTGAAAGATATGATAATTTGGAAAATAATTGGAGGCCATAACTTTATCTGATAGAAATGTATTAATGAACGTTAGCTTTAAGTTGGGTGGTTTGTTCTCTTTCAGATTTAAATGCAATGTTTATAATAAAATTCTAATTATTTTTTTATAAAATAATAATTTTACAGTTTATAATAATACACACGTGCAATCAAATTGGAGACCTCTATTTATTCTGCTATGCTGTTTAAGAATTTTTATGGGAGGGAGTATTGTTGTAAACTGTAAAGTTATTATTTAAATTTTTATTTTTTAAAAATATTTTATTAATATATATAATAACAATCACGATGATTAGGGTCTTCAATGAAATAATGATTAATGCTAATTTGAAATATTTATGGTATTTTAATGGTGACATCGTCACAGATTTTGACATAAAAATGACCAAAGAAGACTTTTTAAAGGACCACTTGCTTGTATTTTTCGGTTGACTTGCCCGTTGATTTTGAAACCAAGTCATTAATTGGTATTAAAAACAATGATTTGTTTGACTTAATTGTGCGTTAATTACTGTGTTTTTATTTTAATTATACAGTTTTACTTATATTAAATTTTCATTTAGAATAATATTATATTCAATATTTCACTACGTTGTTACATTCAAATATTTATTTAAAATACATTTATTGCTTAATTATTTTTCAATTCAAACTTTTTGATACTTTTAGATTTGGATTCAGTTCCATGTCTTTTGAAAAAAGAAGTGATCTTTCATTTTAAATCACTCTGGATAGTGAAAATAAAAAGTACATAAATCTTTTAACAGATTCTAATATGTACACATGTTTTTTTACTATTTAAATCAAACATTTCCACGAAATGAATTAATCAATTATGTTTATTGATTCAAACAATAGACATATATGTTGTAGAAATTTATTTATGCCTTAGAAATTTTTTACTGATTAAACATAATATATCGTATACTATACTTATATACCGCACTACCTATACTATAAAATGATCCATTAAAAAATAATGTACAAATGAATTATCGATAATCCCATATACATATATAACTTCAAACTGAAGGTAGCTTCGTTGGGACCATGCATGTTAATTATTTAATTAAGCAAATTAAATTTCAATAATTCTTAATTGGACAAGTGGTTTAATATTTTTTCCAAATTACGTACACAAAATAGAAAATTGACCCCCAAACTAATTTCCCACAAGATTATTGCCACCCCGTTCGAGTTACAGGGGTGGTCTATAAATAAACTTCCCAAACTTGCACAAATGATTGTAAGAATTTAGTATATATATAGTTCAATTAATTTTAATGGAAAATATAATAATTCTTCCAAGAAAATGGAACTCCTGCAAAAGTGGTGGTGCAGTAGTGGCAATCGCAATTGCAATGGCGATGATGGCGGGGAGAGTGTTGGGAGGTAATAAGGTTGAAGAACAAGTGAGGGTTGAATGTGGGCTCACCAGGTTCCCTGATTTGTGCATTCGAGCCCTCGCAGGAATCGAGGATCCCAATGTCGACATGATGTCTGCCCTTGTTAAGAAAGCTATCATCGAGACCAAGCTGCCGGAATCCAATTTCCAGAAACTCACCTCCCATTTCATCTCCTCCGAAGCTCAACAGGCCCGAATCGCCATGGGTACGTATACGTTAATTATGTATATATATATATATGTTTATGGTATGGAACTGTAATTGGGTAATTTGATTTGCAGATGATTGCCAGGAGCTGATGGAAATGTCGGTCAGGAGGCTGAACCAGGCCCTGGAAGCCTTGCGGAGGTCGCCGGAGAAGTACAAGTCCGACATCCAGACATTTCTGAGCGCCGCCATCACTTTCCACGAGACCTGCAAGGATTCCGTCAAGGATCACATCGCCTCCAACGTCCACCTCGGGGAAATTTACAGGAAAATGGATTTCCTGTCTGAACTCGGCAGCAATCCCCTCGCCCTAGTTAATCGAATCAATGAATCCAATCCGTCGTCGTCGTCGTCGGGACGCAGGGTTTTGGAGGTAGACGACGGGTTTCCTAGCTGGGTGTCGCCGGCGGACAGAAGACTTCTCCAGAGCACGCAGATAAAGGCCAACGCCGTCGTCGCGAAAGATGGGAGTGGGAACTTTAAAACGGTGTCGGAAGCCATTCAGGCCGCCGGCGGTGGCGGGTATGTGATCTACGTGAAAGCTGGAACTTACAGTGAAAGAATTAATACCAATAAAGATGGAATTACCCTAATTGGAGATGGAAAATACTCCACCATCATCACTGGAAGTGGGAGTGTTGGCAATGGAGCTTCCCTCCGAGGATCTGCAACTTTCGGTAATTAAGCTTTTCTTCTCTCTAATTCTGTGCTTAATTTCTTCATCGTCGTCTATCTGTCGGTGGCGAGAAAAATTTCAATGGTGATTAATTATAATTGATTGATTGATTAGTTTTAATTAGGGTTACAGTTTTCCCCAATTTAATTTTGATTTGATTGATGTATTGTTTTTTCTCTAATCAGCGATTACGGGCGACAGATTTATTGCGCGGGACATTGGATTCCAGAACTCGGCGGGGCCGTCGGCGGAGCAGGCGGTGGCGCTGACCGTCGTCTCCGATCATTCGGTGTTTTTCCGGTGCAGCATCGCCGGCAATCAAGACACGCTCTACGCGCATTCCCTCCGCCAGTTCTACCGCGAGTGCGACATCTTCGGCACCGTCGACTTCATATTCGGCAACGCCGCCGCCGTCTTCCAGAGCTGCACCCTGGCGCTTCGCAGCCCGCGCAGCGGCGGCGCGTACAATGTCATCATGGCCAACGGCAGGACGGACCCGGGGCAGAACACGGGGTTCTCCGTCCACAATTCTAGAATCACCGTCGCGTCGGGTTCTTCCTCCGGCAAGAGCTCGTACCTCGGCCGGCCATGGAAACAGTACTCCCGGGCGGTGGTGATGCAGTCGAACATCGACGGCGCGATCTCGTCTCGGGGATGGGTCGAGTGGCCCGGCGCCGGAGGGTCCACCTACAAAACGCTGTATTTTGCGGAGTACCAGAATATGGGCGCCGGCGCCGGAACTTCCGGCCGGGTGAAATGGCCGGGGTTCCACGTCATCGCGACGCCGGAGGCGAGCAAATTCACGGTGGCGAATTTCATCGGCGGGACTTCGTGGCTACCGTCCACCGGAGTCACTTTCGTCGCCGGGCTGCAGTGATTTAATTACCAGACTCAAAATTAAAATTGTATTATTGAAAATTAGGTAAGAACGTGACAGAACTTAAAAGCTTGAAAAGTGTAAAATATTAATTACTCTGGGCCAAGTTAGTTAAAGAATAATTAGCTATTCTCATAAATATTTACTTGTATTTCCGGTCGATGAATTAAGAAAAATACATACATATATATATATAAATAAATATATGTTTTTATTGAAAATTATTGAAATTCCTTTTGTTATAAAATTAAATTGGATGAGGCAGTATGTAATTAAGCTTTCACTATCAAATAATGATTCCAATTTCCACAAACTTGAGTACAAATGAAAAGGGCCATACCAATCCAATTTGCATGTGCAGTCACAGGCTCACGCCCTCTATTACATCATCTACAATTTAGTTAATTGCATTATTTATTAATAATATTATTATTATTATTAGTTGCCTGTTTAAGCACTTGTCAGTTTTGTCATTAACAATTGTCAACATGTGTTTACTCTTACAAGAATGTCTTATTATACCTAATCAAGCAAAGGTGATTACCCTTTTATATTCCTGTTTCAGTTTGTTTACACATTATGACCAACTTTTCAACATCTTACTTCATAAAATTAAGTGAATTGAGCCGATACACAAACTTTACAACGTGCAATTAAAATAATGATGAACAGTTTCTATAATGTATGTCAGCACTACCAATAAAAGACAGAATCTAGCATCATCAAAAAAGATACAACATTATCCCTGTGAGTTTCTTGAAAGTGAAATTATCATGTTCTGAGACTAGAAAAGGCCCAGAATTACACAAAGTCATGGTCAACAATCATTGCAACCTTAGCAGCTACAAGATTTTTAAAAGTTAAACAAACAGGCTTTTTTAGGTGGGAATGGAATCCTGTGGGAGCAGCCCAGTTTAACAATTCCAAGAATCAGACAAAATTCGAACTAATAATTCTTCATCTTCCAAACTCAAAATATAAAATTAACAAATCGCAAGATACTGACGAAGAAATACAAACATTGATTGAAAAAATGGTCATATTCAAAGCCTGCTGTGGATATGCTGTCATCCACTAAAATTTTTTGCAATGAGACATGATTTGCCTCGACAACTACCAGTCAATCAATTCCATTTTCCCCAATTCAGTAATGAAATAATCTATAAAAAGTTTATCCACTAAATCTACAGGTTCAGTTATAAAAAGGGATTGTCGATATCATTACATCAAAGAAATATAAAAGATGGTAACCAAAGAAAATTCAGACAGTTTCAAGAATTCAAACAACAACAGAGGTTTATTGAACACTGAAATTTGTAGATATGAATTTTACACTTCAATTCTGAGCTAATATATGTATTTATGTATGACATCAAAATCTTTCGTGGCAAATAAAAGTAGCCATGCATTCAGGTCTACAACAAACAGAAGATATATGTGCATTATATGCATACTATATATGATCATGTAAGAACACGAGAATGTAAGAGAGGGAGATCAATGAGATGGGATCACCTTCTCTTGCCAGTTTTCTTCAGAGAGGTTGGAGAGGGAGCCGCTGGGATGGACTGGCGACGGCGACGAAGGCCACTGATCCGGAACCATGAGGAAATAAGCAGACATCGCCTTCCGGAACCTTTTCTTGTACTGTTTTGGAGATATCACTGTGGGAGCCACGTTTTTAGGCCCTCCCAGAATGCCCGACGCCTTCACCCAGTTTTCGAGATGCTTATCCCACGTATACTGCCTCATGAAATCAATAATCCCAACCACCAGCTCGTGCTTCTCCTCATCAACACCAACAAGGAGCGAGTAGTCCATCACATCTATCGACTGGACAACATGTGTATTATTATTAGCATGTTTGAAAGAATTTCGAATTCAAGCAAAAAATTTAAAAGCTTACGGCAAGAAATGAAGTGTCGTTCCAGATGGCTCTCTCCAATAGACGTTTCGCCTTAGTTCCCAAGAAGATCGGAGAAGTAGGCATGGATTCTATCAAATTCTGATCGAGTAGAACTTTGTTGCTCCCGCTTGAGTCGGGATTGTACCGCGATCGGGTAGAGCCTTTCAGGTCGTATATCCGTGTGATGTTTCGTCTGAAAAGAAGATTCTCCATGACGAGGACATCCATTCTTGATTCTTTACCGCCTTTCAAATGCTTTGACGTAACCTTCCATGCAGAAATAATCGTATGAGATGATTCTGTAGGCATAGACGAATACTAAAGATCGAGCTTACACGAAGGCTGATAATAATTAATACCTGATAAATTCCAAAGATCTTGGCGAGGCAAGTCGGGCATCCGCTGTTGATTGATTCCTTTAGGTACTTAAAATAAGACGGCGCAAATTTGAGAAACGACTCGAGCTCTGTCTTCGTCACTTGTTTGATTATAAACCTGTCATCCAGTGTTTTCGCGAAGAACACATTGCTTTTACCTCCTTGCGCGCCCCATTTCTTACACCGGCTGATGGAGCGGATAAAATCCACCTCGTTTGCAATGCAGGTCTTCCTCAAAACTTCAAACTGCTTCGCGTAATAACATGTTACAGAGTAGCTCACCTTCCCCGGAGGGCCATCATCCGAGAATGTAATCCTGGTGTACAGAGTAGTATTCGGGAATTGGACAGGATCCAATGCTGAGAAACTCCGGGAGCCAGATGACAGGATGCTCTCATCAACGGAGCTGAGACTCTTCAGGGTTTCGGAAGATGATTCATCAAAAGAATGTAGCGAGAACAAATTAATTGAATTTAATAACGAGAACGAGGATGATAGCTCCAAAGAATTCTTCGGCTTTTCAGGATCCTTGGACATAAGGTTCTTGTAATCCGGCGAGACGAGAGCATAAGAAATAATGCTAGTAGGCTCATCATCATAAATCGGCACAATGATATCATCCAAACCCATAGGCAGCAGCAGGCAAGCACCACCCTGATTGATCAGCTCTCTCATATATGTGATATAGACAGGATTGTACTCGCTAATTTTGCCGAGCTTCAGAAAGCACGCCGTTGAATTCTTGTTGAAAGACTGGTATATAACTGAAAAAGGCGTGCTCGCCCAATTACTCGGATTTTCAACATCATCAGACTCCTTTGTATGCAATGCCGAATTTTGAGCCTCAGTTACACCACCAGCTGGATCTACTTCAGTTGAAAGGATGCCAGAGGAAGAATCAGCCGAGGGCATGTCAGCATTTTCAGGTACATCTCCCATAACGACAATCTGCCCTTCCGACTGAGCCCTTCGAACTGTATTTCCAGATTGCAGCATCTCCGGCTGGTTGCTTGAATTCGCGCCAGAAGAATTATAAGTGCCAGTATCTGCTCCTTTGTGAGTCTTGTTTGGAGAATCAACATGGCGATGTTTGGCGTCAGCCATGATCATATCAGGAATCATATTAGCAAGAGAAGGATCCCAGCTGCTGAAACCCCGTCCCGATCTGGGAACTATGTCCATTTCACTTCGCTTCTCCCTCGAATTCGCAGCCTGTTCCTTCGATCTGGAAACCATGTCCGCTTCACTTTGCTTCTCTCTCAAATTCGAAGCCTGTTCCTTCGATCTAGAAACATTCACCAAGCGTTGATCCCATACGTAAGCATGAATAACTAACTGGCGTTTCAGTTTGTTGATCTCGAGAATGTCGATTTCAGGTTGGACCAGTTTTGCCGACATTTTAGGCATACACCACAATGACTCCTAAACCAGAAGATGCTGATTAGGGACAGAAAATAGCATCCGATTTATAACACAATGAAATGATGTTACCTCAAATTCTTTCTTCTCCATCTGTATCATTGACTCCAGCTTCGATATCTGTTGGACAAAGCCTGATTCTGTCATCTTAGTGTTGTGATTCTTTTCTATGATCTGATTAAGCGCTTTTGACACTTCCGAGAAGAGTAGATCTGCCTTGTTGCGGACCTATAATTATATCGAACCAAGCCATCGACAACATAAACGACACGAATCAGATAAAGAGTAAAAGGATGTTTCTACTGTCTTACCTCATTGAATTCCCTCTGAATCCATTCCTGACTGTGGTAGTCAAATTCAAGCTTGGGTGGCGGGAGATACACAGAATGTACATTGATCGGCGCATACCGAAAACATGCAACCATCCTCCCGCAACTGCAATGTTTATAAAAGAATGCATTAGACCTATCTATACTCGAAAATATATTGCTGAGAAAAGAGTCGAATACCCATAAAACCGAAGACAATCTCTGTGAAGTGAATGGCCACAGCTAGCAACCCTGCTTGCAGCAGCATGGTTCGAAAAACTGAGTTCCAAAAACTTCCCGAAAGACAAGCCCCAGGCTGCATTAGACATCAGAACCCTTTTTGTAGTTGGAGGGAAACCATGGATCCTCGGACATCGCAGGCATCGATGCCACATCCAAATTTTCCCTTCACTCTCGCCTGGCAATGTGAATTCTTGAAGCTTCCGTAGAGAAATTGTGAGGCTGCCTAGTCGATGAGTGTAGCAATGAACATGTGCTTCGGAAGGTAATTCACACGACCGACATCTGTAGTCCTGCCGAGAAAATCATGGACCAAGACAAGAAAATTTAGAAAGTTATAATTAAGCCGAAGAAATAGACATGCATGTCCATTACAAAAGTAGATACCTGATCGAACAGATGGTCTCGAAGAAATCGACCCAATGGTTTATCAAAACTGCCATAGTATTTGATTCGAAAAATATGAGCACGTTCACATACGCTTCCTTTCCACACACATCTGGTTGATAGAGAGACCAAGATGCTTTGATGATCGGATGTCGAGGGAGGAAACTCTTCTTTCAGTGCTCCCGAATCCCCCGTCTGTTCGGTGTTGTATTGTTCCAACTGTACTGACTCAGAATTATCCAAGATTGAATACAACTTCGTTCCATCACCATGTGAATAGCCAAAGCCCGGTCCGGAAGATTGAGAATCAGAGAAAATGTTGGAATTAGAATCATGATTTCCTTCCACCTGAGGACTACAACCCACAGTTAGATCCATATCTCTGATTGCAAATTCAGAACTCTGGGTCTGAGAAAAGGAATCTTTCTTCCAGAAGGACTCAGGGTTAGACGGGGCCATCCCGGATGGTTCATCAGCATTGCTGGAGTGTTGCTGATCTTGCGGCTTTTCAGAGAATGGAGAAGTGGATCCAGGTATTATTGAAATCGAGCTTCCAGATCTTAGGGGTGTATCAGGCAATGCAACTTTTATAGGAGATTTCAAAGGGAGCTCCGGCAATGACGCGCCTTCATCAGCTAGAAATGAAGTCTCTAGCGACAAGTGATAAGCAGCAAAAACGCCATAATTTACTACATGTTTCACTTTCTTAAGCTCATCCCCACTGGCACCCTTTAGCAGTATCTGACACCGTGTAAACAACATGTTAACAAACATTCGATGAAATGGCCATAACCCCTAAACAACTGAAGTTCTAACAAAAGTCAACCAAGGTTATTTCGACTACAAAATGATTAATAAAGTTAACCAATTTGTTTGCCCGATGCATCAAAGTCATCATTACAATGTACGATAGGAAGACCAGAACCATTAACATAATCATATATGAAAAGCATATTTAACAAAGCTCATGCTTGTTCATTTGAACTTACAGTGCATCCTAACGGTCGAGGACAACCTTCGAGAAACATGAGTGTCTTTGTCAACTTTTTTCCACCTTGTCCAGCACTGCCATGAACTTCCAGAAACTTGTCCACATGAAAAGAGTCACAATATCCCAGTTTTGGTGCTGAGAGATTGTCAACCGATGGTATTATCTGTGCACCGGTGCATCGAGCTATACGCTCTAAAAGAGGTCTCTTGATGTTAAGTACTAGAGATATGTTTCGAGCAAGAAGATAGTCTTGTGCATACCTAGATACCGATTTTTCTACCATAAGAACATTCGGATGGTGCGCATCAATTTTTGCAACAGCCATTTTCAAATGGTCCATTTCCTAACAGAACCCAAACATCAAGAATAAGAACAATGGACAAACAACAATACAGATATAATTTACCCAGTCAAGATCAAGATCCCTAAAAAGTACAGAGATGGATCAGATTCCACAACCTGCTGCAACAACGTATCAAAACTCGATAAGTGGTTAGCAACACGTTGGTACTCCAGGGCGCCACCGAGCAGTAGAATCCGAGCTTTATCAATTTTTGAAGTCATTCGTCGATGAGCCACATTTTTCTTGCAAACCACTCCTTTAATTACAGTACTAAAGATCAAACAGGAAGAACATCATTAGACTTACATAACAGTAAAAGGACAGCAGCTGCATTTATTCAGTGATATTTCAGAAATTTCACGCAACTAAGAAATTATTAAATTCCCTTCACATAGATATACCTTTCATTTCGATGCCCACAAGCCACACACTTAACCTTCACATATCCACCAGGATCCATTCCTCCACCTCTGCTTGTATCCGGCTTTATAAAAGTAGCAGCTTCCGAAGACAATGCCATAATAATTTCCAACCAACTCTCATGCTCGTTCGCAGGCACATTCTCGGCCTGCAGAAGTTGAGATATTAAAGATCTAAAATGTCCATCAACGATCCTCTTCATAGCCCTCTTGTGCTCATCGTGTGATCTACGATATTCCCCATCCAAAAAACTGCTCGAGCGCAGGTAACCCCATTCTCCTGCTGAATTCTCATTCCCATCATCTTCTTCAGATGCAACATCTTCCCTCTCATCTTCTTCGTCCTCAGGTTCTGGAGGGAGCCAGATAAAACCATCTTTTTCATATTCAACACTTTCAAAATCCACGACGTTGATACCATTTAAAGGAGCTGGATCCGGTTGAGCATGATCGCTATGGAGATCCTCATCTTTTCCACTCACTTCCCCACGGTCTGGCCCCTGTTTCTCATAATGTTCTAGCAACGGGATAGCATCACAAGCTCCATGTTCGCTTCCCTCCGTAGGATGCGCCTCACCTCGCTCGTAGATGTGAGCAACCTGATAATAGTCATTCGTCTCATAGCTCGCATTGAAAGGACTAGTGGAAGCAGCTTCTGAGTGTGATCTGCATATCGAGTAGTCGTCATCCTCATCATCACTCCTGCATCACCAAGCAAGAAGTTATATCAATCATGACAATGCACACGGAACTTAATTGAGATCGAAAAACATCAAAACAAAGCAACGACCTGCTGCAAGAACCAAATGGCTCACTGAAACTATCCCTGGCATCAAGATAACCCGCCTTTCCCAAACCTCTCGCCCGGTCTTTATTACCTAAACTAGAGTCCATCTGCACAGAGTCTGCCTCTGCCGGCCAACAATGGCCCTGAGGGAAAACTCCGGCAGAATAACCACCCGAACCGGCACTGTTACACGTGCAGCAGCTCGACTGCGTGCTAACCAAGCTCGAAGACGACGGCGACAAACTTAATCCAGGACTCGATTCTACCATCATGTCATTATTACCAGCAACCGATTGCTGCTTCCTTTGGGTTAAGCAAAAATTGCATACCCTGATCCTATCCCCATCTCCAACCCTACCGGCGGCGAACTCATCGGAAGATGATGAGAGTACAGAGTTTGTAGTACACCTGGCGCAGAAAACTCGGCCACACAATCGACAATGGTGCTTGCGGTTGATAATATTGAAGGGCGAATCACACTCGTAGCACACCCTGCAGCTGGCATCCGGCATCCAGAAATCCCTGGACATTTTCGAAGGCTCCAACCGCCTCGGCATCCATGATTTCACAACCTCAACGATCTCAATAAACTTCCTGTTGTCACTACTACTGCCCATGAACACAAATGAAAATCGAATCTCATTGTTGGGGATCGATGATCATCAGCTGCACAACAAAAATAAAAATAAATGAAAACTACAATTTAGCTCCAGCAACAATTTCATGAATTCAGGCTACCAAATCATAACCTATACAGACGAAATCGTAATAAGGAGAATGAAATTACACAAGTTTTAAACACAACAATTGCCGATTAATCCATCCACCTTCTGAAAAAACACAAACTTGAACCCAAAGCGAAGTAGCTCTTCCCAAAAAAGTATACACAGAAACCGAAATTTCGTTAAAATTTTTCAAAATAAAAAAATAACTGTTTGTTCAACCTAATTCAGTTATCCACAGCTGAGCAAAACCACTTGATCCGAAATCTGTTATATACGTATTTATACAAACACAGTTCATATATAAAGCTTAGCAAAGCAAGATTTTGCGGTGGTAGAGGAGGAACGCACTGAATGGCACAATTTTGTGGTGGAGGAGCGTCCTGACAATTCAATAACCGAAAAAATGAAAATAAAACCAACCTGGAGCTGATAAATATTGGTGCGTTATACGAAGAGATGAGTGTGAAGGGGCAATGATAATAATAACAATAATAAAAAGAGAGCCAAAATGAAAGGTAAAGAGCGGTAAGTAAGAAGGTCACGAAGATGGTATGAGTGGGGGATGGAGAAAGCTGAAAGGGAAAGTGGGCAAATGTATGGTTACCAAAGCTGTATTAATGGCGGAAATCAAATTAAATGAATCGATTTTATTTTATATTTTTTTTCTTTTTATCATCTGGCTAATTACGGATTGATTATACGTTATTACCGTTGCCCTGTTTTTTAATTTTTTTATTTTTACGAAATTGAAACTTCCCTTGAAAAGAATATTATATCCTTCTGTATAACTAGTTAGCTTACTGGGACTTTATCGAACTCTTCCAAATGTTATATAATAATAATAATAAGGAATTTGATTGTTTAAGTTCTATTTTATTTGTAAATATAAATATAAATTATGGCGGAGAAAGAAAGCATGTGGTGTGACAGAGATGTCTTTTACGTAGAAATTTGTAGTTTCAAATGGGATTATAAATTAATTGACATTTAAAATGATGATAATTCCATCTAAAATGAACGGTGTAGATTTAATTGATGGGACAGGGAATCTAACCGTTTTATCTGAAAACCCTAAGCTAAAGTAGATCTCTTAATTAGTCATAAATGAGCCGCCAATTGGAAAAAAAGATTAATTAGGCGGAAATTCCTGCATTTACTAATTGTAAAATTTTATTTTTATTTTACTTAGCAGACAAAATTGTAGAAATTGGATATTGAATTGAACCATCACATTTTCATTGCACATGTTTTTCCTGGTTTTTTTTTTTTAAATATGTATAGAGGTGTTTACTGTTTAAGTTTTGGGACATGCTTTGAGTTTTTCTTTCCTTTTTTTTTATTTTCCTCAGGAATGGAAAATAAGTATAAAAAGATTGGTATAATAGTAATTATTACTATTCCATTGAAGATTAATCGATTAACACGAATACGGTATGAAAATGTTAAAAGTAAGTTGTAGATTAGGAGGAGATTATCTGGATGATAGGTGGACTTGTTGAGTCGTGGAGGAGGCGCCACGACAGCACCCTCAGCTGATTACGTGTCAGCCTTGGAGAGTCCCACCCATTGGTCTTCTTGTGCATACATGCACACCTTTTATTTCTACATGAATAATTGATAGACTGCCAAACACAATGGCCCCCCAAAAAATCATAATAACAATTCAATATTATATCTGAATCTATAAAAGTAAGGTAGTTAATAGTATTATATCTTATCCTGGGGGTGATTAACAAAAAGAAAGATTAAGACAACCTACATAATAGATCTACAAGCAAGAACATGACTAGACAAGATGAAAAAGAAAACAGAACCAGAGAGTATATACAGATAACCAAATTTTACACAACCAAAGGATTCATGTTCCTAAACCACATATTTCTGGCCAACATCTGTCTGGTTCGAAACAGATCAGTTGTTCCTAGAGAAACCATAACCACTTCAATGTATAAGGAGCGTCTGCCTACATAAATAATGAAAAACATAGAAGCTTCTTGGTATGAGGATTTCCCAAATCTTCAGGAGCGGAAAGGTACAAATAAGAAATGAATATAAAACATGGCAATCACAGAGCAAGTCGATTTCAACTTTCAAATCCACTTTGATAAAAAAGTAAAGAGCAGGTTAACACAGAAGCATAAATATATATACAACTGTAAGAACTTGAAACCACTACTAGACAACCTTTTTCGGAGGCCGTCGCAGTAGGGGGGGGTATAGATCCATCATATATACACGTATGTCCCAAATTTGACCAAATCTTTTTACCAATTTGAAATAAGCACGACATGTGTTTCCCAGGAGAGATAAATCCCGAATCCCTTCAAAGCCAAACTAAAATATTCACAAAGTCCTTAGTAAGGTAAGGGGATTTAAGCTTACAGATAAATGAGTGCGATAAATATGCTACTAACACCATCAGCATTGCCATTTGGAGAAGAGGGCTCTGAGAGCTGTGTACAGAGGTTCAGCTGCCTTTGGCCGTTCTACGTTCCCGAGCAGAATATCAGCTGTAGTAAGGTATGGATCGCCATAAAACTGGAGATTTGTATCCATTCTAGTGGCTACAATGTTCCCTTCTAGTGAAACCCCAACAAATGCACCTGAGGAATTTGCAGTAAACTTCATGATTAAGAATGCAATTCCATAACATGTGCAATGTGTCGTGTATTAGCATGGATATTGATTGTGAAAATATATCTTACAGAGTTTGAAAAACCAAATATTCTAGCTCCAACATCTCACACTTCTCAGAAATGGCAAATTAACAACATATGGTATCCATTACAGTCAACTTTCTACTAAACATAGGGCTGAAAGGTTGTGTTTGTTAAAGAGATCCTGGTGTCCTACCGGTTTGCTTGTTTACTAACAGGTGAGGCACCGCCAATTCCAAACTCAAATTGTACTACAGAGATGACAAAAAATTTATACAAAACCTCGTACCTTTACTGCAGCTATAGGTGTAGCACATGCCAGAGCCTTTTTCCCCAGCTCGCATATCTGCTTCTACAACTCTCCCAATTGGGCCAGCGGCAGCACTGCAACCCGCACCAAGAGAAAAGTGCATGCGACTACAAAATGTTTTCACAGCTTTGGCATCACGCATCACTATTATGAAATCCATGAGCTCGCCCCCAACCTGCAGTAGATGGGGAAAAACAAAAAGGAAAAGGATGGAGAAGAATAAGGAAAATAATACTCAACTTGGAAAATAACAAAGATCTTGTGCCTTGCAAGAGAACTCCAACAAACTCTTCTAGGTAAAGCAATTGATACCATATGAATACCAAGGTTTATTAATTCACACTCTAAAATGCAGGTTACTAAATAGAATAGTGTGCCAGAAGTACAACTAACTTTATTATAGAATCTTTATTTTTATTTTTCCAAAAAATAGGATTAATAATTTTTTTAGGGAAACGTGTAACAGCAGATGAAGATCATCAGCTAAGAAAAGCCATAAAATCATAGCTGGAAAAACAGCCTAAACGAAAAGCATCAATAAGAATGAGTGCAAAACCTGAAACCAACTACATACCTGGGCACCCCAGCCTAAACCAACAGAGAGTATGGCAGATGGTGCAGACCATGACCCATCTGATCTTCGGGCAATAACCAAGCCAGTTCCAAGTTTATATGCAAGTAGCACTCCAGCTTTAGCAACTGTTAAGATCGCTAAACCTTTGGCTCCTTTCAAAACAGCAGCAGGTATGGACTTCTCAGGATTCAACCTAGAAACCTGTAGACAGTAAGCTTCAAATGTCACAAACAAATATTATGATAGTTCAGTTAATAATGGGAAAACTACTAGGAGATAGGTAAACAAACCCTCTATACAAGCTCTTAATATCATTTGACCTAAATATCGATTGAGAACAATTAACAAGAACCAAATAAAAATGATAGACCTGGCAATAGCTTCTCAAAGTACTGGATGATTTATATATTTCATATTCCATGGACAACCCCACAGGAAGATTCAGCCAGCCTCTTGTACTAGTCCAATCCATCACATCATGCTTTGCAATCTGCACAGCATTGCTGATTGTATTGATCAATACACCTTGCAGCGGATCAAGCCTATCATAGCATGTGTCACACACCCTCTGTGGATTCCTCTCCCTAAACTTGGAAGGTAACAAGCACCTCCCTTTTGTGCAAACCCTACAGAAAACACCTCCACAGAAACGACAGTGATGCCTTCCACGAGTCAAAGCTGTAAAGGGAGCATTGCACTGCATGCACACTGTTGTTGAACTATCTGGAAGCCATTCTGGTGGCTCAGCCTCCAACACCTCTTTGTAAGCACTGTAATTAAGTGCATTAGGATCAAAAAGCGGGGGAGCACTTGGTATGTAAACTGAAGAGTGTAGGACAGTCTCTCCATTCTTTGCAGATCCAAGGAACGATACGTTTGAGCTAGGCAATTGAGGAAGACTGCGAACGCCAGAATTGTCTTTATTGCGGCCTGTAACGATAGCAACTAGCCCGTTCATTACATTTCTCAGGTTCACCTCTGGTGCGCCATTTCTCATAACAGGAGGACTTTTTTCCTCACCAGAGTCATAACCTCCATCCATAAAATCCTCAGAATCAAGTGGGGATGGATATGACACTTTCTCACTCAGTGCATCAGAATTATGGTCTTCTTGCACATTCCAAGCATCATCATCAAAGTCATCTACATACATAAATTTACTATTCTGTTTTCCCAAAGTTGAAATAGAAGCATATGAAACATCTCTTTCTGATGCTGCCATTGATCATGACCTGCATTCAATTCAGCGTGTGAGAAAATTTGAGTCTTGAAATGATAGAACAAATTACCTAATAAAAGCAAGAGTTACTGGTAGGTAAGTTTAGTGGAATGAAACATGCAGAAAAACACGATACATACATAAACTTTATTCTGCGAGATTTATAGCAACCACGTGTTTTCCCATTAAAACTAATACAAAAGCTACATGTAGCACAACATATTGATAAACTGGGAAGCAGAATCAATCGTAACCCTAGCATAATTTTGCATTCTGATATAACAGTAAATCTTCCGATTAAATCTAGAGATAAAAGCAATAAACGTAAACAATCTTCTTTAAAAATCTATATAATAATAATATAAGATGTTATTAAAAACCATCACAACTGCGAAAATAACAAAGCAACCATCGAACTGCTAAGGAAAAACCTGCTTGCTTGCCAATAGCCTATTCAACTAAAGAATACCAAACTATTCAGAAATGGTTCGCCACCGGTACAGATCTATATCGGGCGAGTCGAAACCCACTAAACGATGGCAACAAGTGAATCACTTTAATAACTATTTCAGGTGCGAATTGATTTTAACTCCGCCGGCGTTTAACGATTACACCGAAATTTAGTGAACCGACAAAAACTCGGCGACTTCTCCTGAATCTCGAATTAAATTCTCACGCTCGCTTCCTTTTTTACCATAAAAGAAGATTAACAATTGAACTTACAATTGTGTGTCCAGGAGACGAAGCGGCTGATAGAGAAGAAGAAGATTAGGGCTGGATTGGATTCCGATTATAAGGCTTGTTACCGAATTTGGCGTCGATGAAGGATGGCGCCGAGGAAATCTCCCGATCTAAGTAACGATATGAATATTTCCATAAATATTATTTTATACTATTATATATTCTATGATATACGGTAGATTGGCATAGAAGTTTATCAACGGTCAGGATCTATTCCATCTTAAGGTCAAGATCGATTCTATCTTAACAACCGGAGGTGCTTCAAAATTTCGCTGGGCCGATTTATTTTTTTGGTTTTTTTATTTTTATTTTGTATTATTTATTAATTTATATATATATATTATAATTTATATTTGTATACTGTAAATTGTAAAAAAATCAAATTATGTGTTTGAGGTGGTCTAAAGTAAGTATATGCCATTTACATTAGCAGTGTATTTCAATCTTAAGAAATGACCAAATGCAAGAACCTATAAGGGAACCAAACAACAATTACAAACATGGTATATGAAAACCAAAGAACAATTACAAACATGGTATATGAAAACAGAGTACAAGATTTACACGTCAGTATCACAACCTTAGCTTTTTTCCTGGATGTGTTTCGTCCTCGTGAATCCGGCCATCGTCGCCACCGCCACCGCCGCCCTCAGCTTTCTTCCTAGCAAGTATTTTGTTTATCTTGTGCAGGTCATTGGTAATTTTCTGTTCTCTGTTCTGTTTGCGGGTCTTCCGGCCATCCTGCATCTTCACGCCAAACTGGAATGCAGCTTTCGGCATAGCCTCCTTCTGCTCGTTGTATGTCGCCCACTCTTCTTCAGTCTCAAAGTCCCACCGGTGAAGCCGTCCCTTAGCCTGTCGCAGAAAAAGGATTAATCCTCGGTTCAACTAATAAGTGCAGTGCACCTTCATTTGTCAAATAATTTTGGACGTAACTCACCCGTCCGCCCATATCCATTTTGGACAGGTCATCTTCGTCATCACTGTCAACTACCTCCCGGTTATATTCTTGGTAGCCAGGATAGCATTCGGAGTAACTATCGGATATAAAATTGGGGTCTTTCTCCCGGGCATCCTTCTCCCTTAGTTGTTGAAGCCGCTGATCATCTCTCTTAAACACGGATCCTAAGCCCCTATCCTTCTCTTCTTGAGTCATAAATCGTGGATCCTGGATGACATTTGAGCCCGCTTGCACATCGTAATTCTGGATGTCCTGCAGCATATATTGCTCAGGATATGCCAATTGGTCAGCATATTGGTAATTCTGCCACTCGCCCTGGTAACCAGCAGCCATTGCCTGTCCTTGCAAAGCTTCATATCCATTCTAAATTTAAGAAAATAAAGGCAGCATAAAAAGGTTGGAGAGGAAAAGGTCTAAGCAGAATCAGGGTAAGAACTTGGGTCGCTAAATTAAGAAAATTACAAAGGCAGGCAAATGATATATGAGGTGAAGCAAAAACTTAGTAATAAGCACTCACAGTTTGCTGCCAACCCTGGGACAGGTCAGCAGGCGGAACTGGGCCATATGTGGGTTCAGAGAAGTAGGAACCTTTCTCTTTATTTCGAGGAGATTCTTCCATGTCCTCTGAGACTGGGCTTTGGCTCATATCTTTACTGGGAATGGAGTAGTCTACACCGTCGCCTACAAAGATATCATCCTCCTCTTTCCTTATAGTGGTTGGCCCCTGCTTTTCTTTAGGTTCGGGATAGTTCTTTTTGGGGAGTGGGGGAGGTGGAGGCAAGGTCTCCACTCCATTCTGATTCTTCAGAGAATCAGATTTTGGTATTCGCTCATCTTCTTCATACCCATTAGAAGCCATTGGCTTTCCTGTAGAGTATGTTTCAGATTGGAGCAAAACATTAACATATAAGAAATGAATAGGCAAATGGAGGATTTAACAGCAGGAATCATTCAATGAAAAAAGGTTTCAGTAGACACTAATGCATATAGTTAGCATAAGCAAAATTAAGAGGTATCGTTCATGTGCTGGATTCCATTCTGTAGATTTTATATCAAACAAATAAATTTATTAGTTCAAGGAATACAGTCTATTTTTTTGCTTGTGCACCACTTGACTTTATTAAAAGATGCACCAAAATATTCAGTTCGCTCATGCAGCATTTTTCCGATCAAAATTCTATCTAAGCAGCAATCCATCAGCATTACAGAAAATAAATGGTTTGATGTCAATTAACATAAATCACATGCAAGGTAAAATACCTTTGGCATCTTTGTCTTTCTTCTTCTTTTTCAGAACTTTTCCTGATGACCCGAGGCGAAGATATGACATGATTTTTGCTATTCGATCCAAAACTGAGCCATCAACACTTACAGTAACCATTTCCTGGAGAGAGAAGGATGAGTATCATTCAGAAACAAAATAAAGTATAACAGAAAATGAAAATCAGAAATGATAAAATACCTCAGGAACAGGACAATCAGCTTTACTTCTGTGAACTGTTGTTGGAATATCATGAGAGAAACCATTTTCCTGGAATAAATGCAAAATTAAGCTGTTTTTTCAGTAAGAATAGAAAATAACTATAACAGGATGTATAGAATGCCACGTGAATGATATTGGATGGAAAGATGCTCCCTACTGTGCTAGCACACGTGTTTGTCAATCAGTCATTTCAACATATCATCTGAAAAGCATACGCAATGCAATACCATGTCAAAGTGCTACCATATTCCAGGTAAGGATTTGCTGATACAAATTTACAAAGTACCAAGCTTACAGTCTTCCAAAGTGTAAAGGTTAGAGGATCGAGAGTAAATACAATAGAGGAAAGGTCAAAGGAGCTCAAAAAAAATTTCACGTTCAAAGTGTAGTTACAAGCGATGAAGCAATTTGTCAACAAAATTTCAGGTAGCATATGAAGGTCTATCTTCTAGTCATACTCTACATTCAATAGATAGTCATAAATGCACAAGTGACTCTACATTGATATTATAAAGATGATACTTCTCATAATTAGCACATAGGAAGATAGAAATCGAACCATATTGAATATAAAAGCCATTCGTCCAGGAAGGAACATTTCGTTGGTCTTGATAACAGTTTGTGGCTTGACCATCCACTGATAAATTGACTGCAAGAACAGAAAGTAGAGCCATGAGTTTCAAAGATCAAATATCATGCAAGCAGACTGCATACTTCCTGACCAGAAAACATCCTACCTTGGCTGTTGTGGTACGGAAAGATACCGGTTGGTCATCTTTTGGTGCTCTGTTATAATAAAAGAGAAAATAGACTGTATCAAGAAAATGAAAATTACTAATGGAGCATCATATTGACATAAACATTTTCGGATCATCCTTTAAGCCTGGCGTTGGTAGAAATGTTGCTACTTATTACCAAGTTTTATTTCACCATCAAAGCCTACTTTACAAGAATATAAATAAAGTTAGCATGACAAACAAATGTTAGTTTTGTATTCAAAGTAAGCAGGCCATATAAATAAGCCAGCAAGCACTTAGAAAAACATAATAACATCTTCAACTAAATTGCCATGCTCATAGAGAAAACAAAGCAGCATACTTAGAATTCCCTTCAATCTCTTCTCCGGCATCGATCTTCTTGTCCATTTCACTTCGCACTTTATGAAGCAAAGCATAATCCAACCCTTTGACCAAATGTGTGTGCTCAACATCACCTAGATAACATAAAAAGACACCCATAAGTGAAGTTTATAGCATAGAATAAGTGCCAAAGGTGGTCATTTTTCCAGGAAAATTATTATAGTAAGGAGAAAAAACAAAACAAAACAAAAATTATTCATGTATTGCCAATATACAAGCATTATAAACCAAAACAGATTGAGCATTTACCAACAATTCAAAAATTGAATGTACTAGCATTCTCCTCATACTCAGTGACAAACAACATTAAGAAAATATAATCATCTTAACACCAAACCAATTTGAACATTTTAGTCACTAGTTCAAGCCAACATTCTCTTAAATTTCCTCATACTTCATTAAGCCTCATTGCATACATCTAACAAACCTAAAGCTCGCCTAAGCAAAGAAAACATACTGGATAAAATGCTACATCCCTTTGAAACTAAGGGTGTGTTTGAAGTTATTCTGCTCCAAACTCCCACCATTCATCACTTTCTAGCCCTCGAAAACATCAAATCAAGTGCCTCTATGTTTCATTTAAAATATTGCATCAAAAATTTTCATCAAACACCTATTCCAACTCTAATGTTTTACTTTTCCCAACCCCCAAACCCACATCCAAAGATGACCTAAGAAACTAGGATTTGAATTGAATGTCCTGTCTAATCTCCTAATGGTTAAACTTCATCTGCTAAAATGAGAAAAGATAAATGAGCCAGCCTTAATTTATCCATAGGCTTTCTAAAACTACATCTATTTAGATAATATGCTATCCATGAAGAGTAGAAACTTTGATGTGACAAGATCAGTACCACCTCCGGTAGGATAAATCACTGCTCTGTAACTGAAAAAATTTACTCTAATGAGCAAATGGTTTTGAAAGTAAACAGTAGTTTAACAGATAGGAGGAAAAGGAATGAAATATATGAATATCTGTCTTACAATACAAAAATCATTTCCATATTTGCTGATGTTACATCCTGATCATTCATAATCAATAGAAGTCAAAAGTAGCAGAAGCAATATCTCATTCTCCGATCATATCAATAACTCACAAATCATCTAAGAACACTTACCTCCGAGATATTTGCTCTTCTCAATAGATAACTTGTGAGCATCAGCTGACCTACGGAATGAAGGAAGATAGGTGATTACTTATCCACTTAACCAATAGCAGAAACAAAAGATTAACCCAGTATGTAGGTCTTACCGCAGATCAACAGTTCCCGGGGGAGCAACAGCATGAAAGGACGTCAGCTCAGTAATCTCATAATCAGGATTCTGATCTTCTCTACGTTCTTTGGCTCGGTCCCTGTATTTCGGCTGCTCCGGCTCCTCTGGTTTCTCCTCTTTCCTGCAAAATTCAACTCACACTCTCAAATACACACTACATTAAGAGACCAAAAAAGGCAGCTCCCCCCAAATTACCCAACACGCATACTTCTACCCATAACAGAACACCAAATAAACCCCAACACACGAGCTTCATTTTCAAATCGGACCACGCCATATACAACGAAAAAAAACACACACACACACACAAAAGCTAAAATCGCATCCGAGGAAAACCAGGAATCGAGAAAACACGTACTGGTGGCGGCGAGCGATCTTTTCCTTGTAATTACTACGCTTCGTCGACATCGCTAAACTAGCGCGCGGAACAGATGAATCAATTGCACTCAATCCCCTAATCAATTAGACGAAAATTTTCGCGGTTAGGGCTTTCGCACACGCAAATAGGAAACCTATTCACCGCATAAAGGAAATATATTTGTATATCTATATAATGGAAAATTACGTATTTACCCTCATCTATTTTGTGTGGGCGGGCCTAAACACGTGACCCAACATAGCCTGCGCTCCCAGTTTTGGACCGTAACAAATAAAAGGGCCCAAAGATAATTAAACTAAAAACTCTATATATTGTCAAATATTTAAATAATTAAAATTAGAATTCAATCATTAAATAATACTCCCTTCTTCCAAATTTATGCTCATAAAAAAAAAATATTCATTACACTTAAATATTTTTTTATTATAAAATAAAAAAATAATAATTATTAGTCATTTTTATTAAAATTCGTATTCGATCAAATAAGCACACTAATTTGCACGACTGATGAAGTATGTAGATAATTTTGTGTTTTTATATAAACAAGATCCAGTACCCATCTGGACAGTGCTGTAATGAACAAAACTGAATGACCTATGCTTGCCAACGAAGGAATGATATGAAAATCATAATCAACGGCTGAATAGCTGATGCTGACGGTGCGGATAGCCGGATAGGACAGTAAACTGCTGAATTTTTCAAAGTTTGTGTCGTCTCAGGGCAGCCTAAAAGCATAACTACTCAATCCCACAAAACAAACACTTCTTACCAATCAGCATTGGTCCGAACGTCCCAAGTGATGTTATTTAAAGACCTAATAAGTAATCGAACAAACTTCACACTTACAGTCTCAAGAATGAAGACATCGATAAGCTTCGTGATCATACTGAGTTTGATCGGGTCGGAGGTTGTTTCAGCAAAGAATCATCTTTTCATTTTCGGCGATTCGACGGTCGATCCGGGGAACAACAACTACATCGAGACAATCCCGAACAATCGGGCTAACTACAAGCCTTATGGCCGGAATGGCTTCTTTTCGAATCCCACGGGGCGATTTTCAGACGGTCGCATCATCGTGGATTTCCTAGGTGAGTATTCGATGTTGTCCGAATGATGATGAGAATGATGGCAATGAATAATGAGTCAATTAATGATGTTTTGATGCAGCTGAATATGCTGAGCTTCCTTTGATTCCTGCATTTTTGGATCCATCTGGTGATGATTATAGTTATGGAGTGAATTTTGCCTCTGGTGGTGCTGGAATTCTTTCTACTACAAATCAGGGCCAGGTGAGTCCTAGATTAATCAATCCTCTGTTTGTATGTCTGAATTTGATGTTAAAGATTTGCATTTTTGACGGGTAGGGAGTTATCGATCTGGCGACGCAGTTGAAGTACTTCGAAGAAGTGGAGAGGCGGCTGAAAGAGAAGTCGGGAGAGGCTGAAGCAGACAAAGTCATATCGAGCGCGGTGTATTTCATCAGCATGGGAAGTAATGACTACTTAGGAGGGTACCTCGGAGATCCTAGGATGCAAGAACTTCACCTCCCCGAGCATTACGTCGGTATGGTCATTGGAAACTTGACGCAAACAATCCAAGTAAGCGCGCTTTCAAAACATTGTGGTCACTCGAATGTGTGGTGAGATGAACTTAACAAAAAGTTGACTTTCTTTTTTTTTTTTTAATGTTGTAAGGAATTGTACAAGAAAGGCGCGAGGAAATTCGGATTCTTGAGCCTATCCCCGCTCGGGTGTTTGCCTGTTCTTAGAGCAATGAACCCGAAACCTTCTCAAGGAGGGTGTTTTGAGCAAGCTAACGCTCTCGCTTTAGGACACAACAACGCCCTCAAGACTGTCCTTACAAGTCTCGAGCATTTATTGCCTGATTTCAAGTATTGCAACTCCGATTTCTACCTATGGCTTCTTGATCGCATCGACAATCCATCCAACTATGGTACAATTTTTATTACATGATAAGCGCGCGTACATTTTGTTACTAGTTATAAAGTATGCAACGTGACGCATCGAATTGAGCTTGTTTGGACAGGTTTTAAGGAAGGGAAGAGCGCGTGCTGCGGAACCGGGCCGTACAGCGGAGTTTACTCGTGTGGCGGAACGAAGGAGGTCGCAACATATGAGTTGTGCGATAACGGGGAGGATTACGTGTGGTGGGACTCGTACCATCCGACGGAGAGGATTCACGAGCAATTTGCGAAAGCACTTTGGGACGGGTTGCGCCCCGCCGTCGGACCGTACAATCTCCGGGATATGTTCTTGTATGATCCAAAGCAAAAACAAACAATAGCTGATGTAGTAGATGATACCGTTCCGGAAGTAGAACAAATTAAAGAGTAATTTATATTTATATATATAAAAAAAATAAATATAGTTTAATAATAAAATTTTAAATATTTGATATGATATTTTATAGTAAATGTGTACACTAAAAAGAACAAATAGTTTAGTGGTAAATGTTAGTATAATTTTCTTTTTAAAAAAACAAAAGTTGTCAGTTTTCAAGCCAACATGATTCATGTTGTGCCTCAATTTTTAGGTAACATACTTTTCAGGTTAAATAGCTTTAAATAATAAAGAAATGAAATAATTAATGCTAGCTTACTTTATATATACATATATATATATGCGCACAACAATTTCGACCCGAACAAAATGTTTAATATATTAATGACACGTACATGGTTCTATTAATGGATTCAATTTATTAGTCCAAAATGCAATTAATGCCATTATCTTCTTGTTTTTTTCTTCATAATATATATATCATACATTAATCCTACTTATTTTTTCGATGCAATTTTTGCTATTAAACAATCAGCTACAAATGCATAATTTATTTAATTTTTTATAATAATAATTTATTTTTTTAAAAGAAAAGAGTATATATACATGGAAATGTATGGTAAAAGTGACAGAGAACCAGAAGTTTCAATGTGCACGCAATATATGAGCTGGAATATTGTAACCATACATCAGGGTTTTGGTCTATGTGATTTTTTTTTGGCATTTAATATTTATTATAATGATAAAATTGCAAAAAAATGTCTCGTAGGTAGCTCTAATTATTATTTTTGAACATTTTTATTTTTCATTTTTACAATTTATGACATTATGTGTACTTCAGATATTATTTTTGTCCTCCGATGCTGAAAAAATGCATGTGACCGTCACATACGCTTTCGTGGCATGGCCGACGCATACGTGGACGTCACCATTGTTGTGTTGTCATCCACGTGGTCGTCGGACAGATAATGTAGAATTATTGTTCTTTCACTTTCATAATTTAGGACATTATGTGTACGTCGGGTATTATTTTTGCCCTTTGGTGCCGAAAAAATAATTTGTTCTCAATTGTTTATTTCAATCTGGTCCAATTGATTATTTGCAATTTGGTCCAATCGGCCAAATTAAAATTTTTAAAAGATAATTATTTTTTAAAAAAATATATAATTTTACGTCACCTATCCAACGACCCTATAACAAATTGTTTTTAAGAACCATATGGCAAAAATAAAACTTAAACTACACATAATGTCCTAATTTGTAAAAGTAAAAAGAAGATAATTCCACTTCACTTGTCCGATGACCACGCGGACGACAACACAGCAACAACGGCGTCCACGTATGCGCCAGCCATGCCACGAAGGCGTACGTGACGGTCACGTGTGTTTTTTCGGCACCGGAAGACAAAAATAATACCTGAAGTACACATAATATCCTAAATTGCAAATGAAAAAAAAAAAAAAAAGTTAAAATAATAATTAGACTGGTATTTTTTTTTGCAATTTTCCCTATTATAATCGGTAGTTTCATTTCCTGTTGATATAATGTAATAATTTGTACTTAAGTAGCATTATGTTAGGGTTATGTTAGGGTTTTAATTCAATATTATCCTCAAATGGTACTGAAAGATTCTGAAAAAATAAATTTTAATTTAATACGATTTTCAATTAATCTGAAGCATAGCATCATATTTCTAGAGGTTTGTTGTGAATTTATAGTGGTTGAATAAATTATTTAATTATTCGTTTATTTATTTTCGTCCAAATTAAATTCGACCTAGTCTATATATATATATATATATATGTATAAATAGAGCAGACTAATCTGTCCAACAAGACAAAATTGGTGTAGACGTGGGCTCAATTCACATGCCAAAATAATAAAGAAACTTCAATCATTGAGACACTTTTATTTATTCTTTCAGACCTAATCTAAACCTCCTAATTATTATTATTAAATAATACTTTATTTTTACATACACATCGACACATACATATATATATATATACATACAGTTATAACTTCACCTTCTCCGTAGGCCTTTGAATCATGTTCTTTGGAATATAACTTAGTTGTATGTAAATAATTAACAAAAACTTATATAAGCTTATATTATAATTTAATTAAAGTAGTACACAATTTTCTTTATTCATATTTTTATTAATTTCTATGCTTAAGAAATATTACATAATTTTGCCGAATAAATGAAATATTTAATACTCTCTCATTCCGGAGAATTTAGACTATTTGGGCTCGCCATATTAATTAAAAAAAATAAATATTTTATTTAAAAAAAATAGAAAAAGTTAAAAAGTAATTTAAGATATTTTTTAAATTTTAATTATAAATTAAAGAGAAGGTAGAGAGAATATAATAAAATGAATGATATTTATTGTAAATAAGTGTTAAATAAAATGCAGTAATTAAATATTGATATTTTGACTTTTACAAATATAGTAATTGGGTAAATTTGACGGACGGACGAAAATTAAAAATAAAAATAAATTGAATTATTTTTGAATTTTTGCACTTTTTTAAATAATATGATCAATAAATTACTAAAAAAATGGGGATAAAATCATAATTATAAATTTATACTATGAGTTTAAAAACTGAAAAAAAAAAAAATCCAATAAATTTTGGAATTGCATAAGTATAATTTGTTGTTTGTATTTTGGTGTAGTTTTCTCTTATTTTTAATTTTTTTCAAAAGATTAAATTTCATAAATACAAAAGCGCAATGGAACAAATCGAGTGTTAACAAGATACTTACATACACGATCCAAATAATTTCTTTATTTATTTATTTATCATTGTTGAGAGATTGGGAAATTTCACCCTAATTGAATAGTCAATTATTGATTGGAATAATTAACACGTTTTCATAAAATTAAACTATTGGTAGATTAGTGCATCTAACTCTATTTCCTACCAACCCCTCAAATGTCATCAAACAAAATTCTTACTAGTGATTTATCTGATGTGCATTTAAAGAATAACAACTGCATAATAATAATAATAATAATAATAAAAATAAAAATTAAACCATGTTGTCACGTAACACAATTAGTAATTTAACCACTTATCCCTTTCATCAATGTCAAAATAATTAAACATATATATATATATATATATATAAAACCTATTTTCCAAATTCCTGCTTAAATTAAAGTTAGTTCATGTAACTCTCTGTGCGCATCACTCTAATTAGTTTAATACATTTTTATTTATTTCCTTTGTGCGACGTGTTCATCCGTAGCTTTGTCTTTTTTCTGACCTGTCTGAAGTTATAAGGCCTGTGACAAAATTTTAGTAATATTATTAATTATTAATGAAAATTTTTGCTGTGTTTAATTCTTAATATGGATGATAAATAATTTGACGAAAGATAAAAGGGAAATTATTGCAATGAGGAACTAATATGGCAAAGGCATAAAAATGTAGTTGTGATATGTATATTTATATATGTATAATATATATATAAGTTGTGGTTTTGATTTTGCCTCAGCAGAGCCAAGCTGTCCTCTTTCTCTGTCTTCCTTCTATCTCTAGAAATTGTAATAAAAATCAATCAGAATCTTCAAACCACTCTCCCCATACATCATGATCATCACAATTTATCATTATCACCATCATCATTAATTCCATCAAATAGGAAGAAAAGGAAAACTGCGTCATCGTTCTTGCCCTACTTTCCATATCTCTGCTCTTTCATCTTGCTTGTTGAAATCTCTGCTTGGGTTTATCCTAGTTTAGCAGTGACGTCTGGATTCAATTATTCTGCATATTGGGTTTCTTTTCTTTTAAAAGAATTCGTTGTACTTTGGTTGATTTTTATTGTTCTTGGCGATTTTCTTTTTCATGGTTGATACATGTGATCGGAGGCCAGCTGTGATGTTTTGTAGATTACTTATGTGAAGTTGTTGAATTGGGGCTTTTGATTAAGGTGAAGAAGAAAAACCAAAAGTCAAAAGGGTTTCTTGGGGGTTTCTGAAAGTTGAATATTGTTGGGGAATGTTGTATCTAAAGCAACCTACGGCTGCGGCTATGGGGTTTGGAAAGTTGGGAGAGGGTGTAGATTGTATTGAAGATTGAAATTGAATGCTAGAGTGACTGGTTTCCGAGCCCGAGGCTCGGGGATCGCGAAGAATAATCAAGAACGATGGCGGATGTACTACCGAATCTAAAGCAGCAGCATCATGAAGTTCAGCCTGATTTCGCGCCTTCTTCAACCCCTTTGCCGACAACCGAGGGTTTTATGCAGAAGTTTAGACTCTACGAGACTCGATCGGTATAAGATTGTCGTTTCAGTTTCTGATTTTAAAGATTTATTATCTTTTAGAATTGTGATCTTGATTCTACTGATTCAGGAAAGCCTTTTTGTTATGAACTTGTTTGATTTATTGTTTTGTTGAATTGATGTGTTTCTTGAATGATTCTAGATTGGCTGATAGGGTGCGTTTGTTTAATAGGGTCTGTAATAGAAGATTATCTCCATTTTGCTGTTTTATGAAAAATTTGATATTTTGTATATATATTTTAGTCAAACCTAATCTCTGATGTTTTTCAGAAGCTCAAGAACTTGTTAAACCTACCTTAATTTATATTCTGACATGATTTTTGTTTCCTTGGGCCTTAAACCGTTGCTTTTCTGTTTTTGGCTGCAGAATTTTTATATGGTAGGAAGGGATAAAAGTAGAACATCTTGGAAAATTTTGAAAATCGACAGGTTGGAACCGTCCGAACTCGTCATTCATGAAGATTCTGCTATATACACTGAAAGTGAGTGTTCTGATTTGCTGAAGAGGGTACACGAAGGAAACATGGCCACGGGAGGACTTAGATTTGTTACGTCATGTTATGGCATCGTAGGTGAGTATATCACAGGTGGTTAAGTTAATTGTGTCTTGCGAAAGCTGGATGTCCGATCATCTTATGCTGTCGCTTTCACTGGTCAGGATTCATAAAATTTTTAGGGCCATATTATATGATGCTCATTACGAGGAGGCGACAGATTGGTGCAATATGTGGTCACAACGTGTATGCAATCACCAAAAGTGAGATTATTCCCCTACCAAATGCAGCCGTTAGATCCAGCATGGCTAACTATAAGAATGAGAACAGGTTAGACTCGTTACGTGTATGAAATGGTGTTACTACCTGAGTATCAAGGGGAATATAGTTCATCACTTTTGCAATCTTTTATTCAATTTATAATCATGTTTTATTAAAGTGTTTCAGTGGTCTTGACGTGTGATTTCCAAATTATCAATTAGGTGCTAGCAGGCCACGACAAAAATGACAGCTAATAAGCACCCACTGCCATTTTAATTATTTGAATTGGTTATTATTAGATATGTTGGTGGAGAATTATCCATTCATCGTCATGAATTTTCCATAATTTTATATTCACAACTCTACTAGCTATTTGTTTTTTCTAAATGCCAATTTGTTGGTGAAACTATAGCAATTGTACATGAGGGCTGAGAAAATCTGTGTTTGGGAATTTTATATTAGTTATCGCTATTTCCTTATCTGAGATTGAAGTGTATTTTGCCTAGCAACCTTATATAAACTGTTCTTGGTTCCTGTTTTTATTTTATGCGTATATTACAGTAAGTTATTAGTGACTTTTTATTTATGTACTAATTGTTGGTTACAGATACAAGAAGCTCTTGGGTATGGTGGATCTTACAAAAGACTTCTATTTTAGTTATTCCTATCATGTGATGAGAAGTCTCCAGAGAAACATGTGTGATACTGAGACAGGACAAGTTTTGAATGAAACTATGTTCGTATGGAACGAATTTCTTACTCGTGGCATAAGAAATATACTCCAAAATACATTGTGGACTGTTGCATTAGTCTATGGCTTTTTTAAACAGGTGAGATTGCTTCATTGTCAATACTCATTCTTTGACTGTTTATTTGTAGTTGGAAGTCAGCTGCTCCTTTTACTTTGATGTAACAAATTATATCTCATTCATAAGTTCACACTTATACCACCTAGGGTTTGAACATCAAGAATCTAATATGTTGTTGATTTTTGCTTAAATTCAATAAATACAGGCTACACTTTGCATATCAGGGCGGGATCTCAAGCTGACTTTAATGGCAAGGCGCTCAAGACATTATGCTGGTACTAGGTAAGATTACCATTGTTAATGACTGATCGAGTGATTTACTAAGTAGTAGTTACCTCATTCTTTCTGAGGTTTTTGTCTTAGACAAACATTGATCACATGTTTGAGGCAAGAAATTTAGTGATTCATGGCAATGGAAAAATAACATGTTAGTGTTTGTGTAAATAAATTGGAATGTTTCTATTTTGTTGCATACACTGGATGCCATCTTCTGGTAAAACCATCTTTGTCTCCGAGAACTAATTTTCTTATTCATTTAAAATTTTCTGTGTTGTCTTGTTTCTCTAAATTGATCTTTATAGCTCTAGTAAGTTTTCTTCCATCCTCTCTTACTGTTCAAATTAAACTAATATATATTGGTGTAGATATCTAAAACGCGGTGTCAATGAGAGCGGCAGAGTAGCAAATGATGTTGAGACTGAGCAGATTTTGATTGAGGATGTTCCTGAAGGATTGCCAATGCAAACTAGTTCTGTGGTCCAAAACCGTGGCTCAATACCATTGTTCTGGTCGCAGGAAACTTCCCGCTTAAATCTTAAACCAGATATTATTTGTATGTTAAAGCAATTATATAATTTAGATAATTTTCATTTTTATGTCTCTGAGATGTGTGTACATTCTAAAAATTGATTTTGTACCCTTTCTAGTGTCAAGGAGGGACCAAGCTTATGAGGCTACTAGACTTCATTTTGAAAATCTTGCGAAAAGATATGGGAACCCAATCATTATTCTGAATTTGATCAAGGTAGATAGCTTTTCTAATTTTTAGTTTTCTTGTTTATCGCTATTCTGAAATATGCAATTTAAATATATAAAAGCCTACGAAATTCTATAAATGAGAAGGTTTTTTTTTTTTAATCGTAGCCTTCTGAATCTGTTCCATAAGAACATTGACTATTTTTTCAACAGACAAATGAAAAGAAGCCTCGGGAGTCAATTCTCCGCACTGAGTTTGCCAACGCCATTGAATTCATCAATAAAGATCTATCCGAGGAGAACCGCCTTAAATTTCTCCACTTGGATTTGCATAAACATTCCCGGAGGTAACTAAAATGTATCATTTAAAATACTCTCTATTATTGGTTAATTTATTCATTAGGATATCCTATTTATGTTTGTGTTTTCTTGATATTTCATCAGCAAAGACACAAATGTCTTATCACTGCTGGCGAAAGTGGCTGCATATGCGTTGACACTTACTGGTTTTTTCTACTGTCATGCCACACCTGAGATGCTATTGGAAGAGCATTCTAAATGGCCTAGCTTTGAGTGAGTTTCTTATCCTATACGAGTCCCAGTTGGGGATGCTTTTATAGGCATTTCTTCAATGCATAGCAACCAAATGAACATTATTGGAATTCCATATGATTGATGTTTTGTAGCATGTGGACAATGTTTTTGCATTGCTGTATATGAAAATTGGAACTTTCCTTGCGATATTCTGCCTTGTGAATTGCTGGTTATTGTTTTTATGACCTTTCTTTTGTGACCACTTTTGACATTCAAACAGAAAGTAGCACTGTAATTCCATGCAATCACATCACTAAACCAAAATTTTATTTTACGAAATTTTTTACTGTTATTCAATACATGATGGTGGTGTTCATGAATAAATTAAATACAAATGCCAGCATTGGAGCTCAGTAAATTTTTTAAGTTGCAGGACTTTTGGTGCTACGGGCATGTCCACTTCAACATATTCTCAATCTGATAGTGAAAAACACAAGGATGATGAGATTGAGGATTCAGATAGCTCAGACAGCAAACCTACTGGAGTTGATAACATTGCTAATACTAACACGTCTTTCAAGCCACCAAGGATCCAGAAGGGAGTGCTTCGCACTAATTGCATAGATTGCTTGGATCGCACTAATGTGGCACAATATGCATATGGTTTGGCTGCTTTGGGGCATCAGCTGCATGCTTTAGGTGTAGCAAATTCAACGCGGGTTGAACTTGACGATCCTTTGGCCGAAGAATTGATGGGTTTTTACGAAAGAATGGGTGATACACTTGCACACCAATATGGTGGATCTGCCGCTCACAATAAGGTGAGTGATTATTTATTATGGGTGTGTTTGTTTGGGGGTTTGGATTTTGGATTGGGATTTGGATAGTAAAAATTTTGAATTTGAATAGTTGTATGATGTGATATAAATAGGTGTTGATGTGATGTTTTGAATGTAAAATTGATTTTTAGTATAATATAAAAAATGAAAAATAGGTGTTTGATTTGATGTTTTTGGGGGGAAAAAATAGGATGAATAGTGGAAATCCAAACAAATCCCTCAAACAAACACACCCTATATGTATACTTAGTTTGTATAGCAATTTCAGGTTAATCTTATATTAAAAGGTTCATGCAAGGATTTATGTGCCTTAACTTTGTTTATCTCATTATAAGTGGTGTGGCGTTCTTAAACCCTTTCTTCTGGTGATTTCCACTCTTATGTAGGGATTGTGTTCCTTCTGTGATCACGTGTTGTTGGATTTATGCTTTCTAGGTTTTCTCTCCATGAGTGTTTTAAGTGTATCAAACTGCCTTCTCCCTGCCCCATCACCCATACGTTGTATATGAGATGGATCTTCTCCCCTCTCGTTTGATACGCAGATTTCTAGGAATGAAAATTTAGTTAAATATGGTTTTATAATTTCTAGGAATGAAAATTGAGTTAAATATGGTTTTATATTTGATGAAGATGGCTGCAATATAGCCATATGATGGCATATCAAATCCTTCTTGGACCAAAGGTTTGACATCATATTGCTTATAAATATTTAGTTTTTAACTTTCAACTCATCATTAGTACTCTGACTTGGGGAGTGCTATTAACATAACACCTTAACTTATAATTGCTTATCCCAATGGAATATACAACTTTTTATTTGGGTTCAACGTTTACCTTGTCCGCTTTTATGAAAATTATTCAACGAATTAGCATCAGGAGGGGAAAGGGGAATGGAATTGGACACTCTCTTCTTATAACTAATTTTAATTTTCAGATAAGACTTTGATAATGCATGCACTAATGCTCTTATATATCATAGATTTTCTCCAAGAGACGAGGGCAATGGAATGCAGCAACACAGTCCCAGGAATTTTTCCGCACTCTACAAAGATATTACAACAATGCATATATGGATGCACAGAAACAAAATGCCATCAACGTGTGAGTTGGTTGCAAAATTGAAATGCATCTAATGAAATACACACATGCACGCAAGATTAAGTAGCTTTCTTTTTTCAAAGATATATGATAAATCTGGCAATAGTATCTATATATTTTAGTCTTGCCCCGTCACGATCCTTAGTAACTCAATGATAGATTCCATTGTTTTCCATGTTGTGCCTTCTTTTATCAATTTCTTAATGTGCTTTCTATGTTCAATTTGTTCAACCAATTGCCTGATGTTATTTGTCCAGATTTTTGGGGCACTTTCAACCTCAGCCAGATAAACCTGATGTGTGGGAGCTTGATCCAGACCAGCATTACAGACAATCAAATATTAATAAATATGGAAGGTATGGCAGTTATTAAACCTTTTGTCGATGACAGCATTGCAAGCCTCAGTATACACCTTTTCAGCTTCACCAGAAATTCCATTCTGAATTGCCAATTAAGTTTGTTTTGTTTAAGAGTCATGTTTACTTTGTGAGATAGAATAATAATCCTTGAGAATGATTCAAGGGATTATTTTAATCTATCTATGATTATAATTTCGTAAACTAATTAATTTTAATAGGTATGTGTTCAAAAGTTGGATATAAAGTTGCCTTTGATGCCTAATCTATTTGATTTCATAAAAAATGGATGATGTGGATGACTCTTCATATTATCAATCAAAGTGAAATGATCGACAACTGGTATAAATCACAGGGATGATGTTAATTATAACAGCGATTTTCAGTTCATCAAATAGCTTCTCTACTCATATATACTCCCCTAGTTTTTGAATGAAATGTGGATAATTTTATTACCATGTGTGATATTCTTCTGGTACCATTTGTGTAAATGTTCACATTCTTGGTTTGCATGTCTAGATCACTTTTCAAAAGATCATGGTCAGATGGGAACATTCTTCAAGAAAGCCATTCCCCCACGTCTACTCCAAACATCAATAAAGGTTTTCCAAGTGCTGGTTTTTCTGATGAGTCCCAAGGAGGACACAAAATTCTTTCTGAGTCAACACCTGAGATGTCTACTCCGGACACAGAGTTAACATATGCTAGGTGCATTGTCTTTACAGTTATTTGAGTAATTTCGTAAGAATGAGTGTCATCTTAATCTGATTGTAGTGGATGAAAAATTTGATGAAGGGGTCTGTTGAGAAATCAGACCTAATCTCTTGAACTCAGTTGTTTTACTTTTCTTTTGAATCGATTGGCTGGTTCTTTACTGAAAAAAATTCCTTGTTCTGTGATTCACTTGAAAGCGCATCTATGGATTTTACTAGTTAAACATGGATGCTTTACTCATTTATAATAGTCAAATTGATAGTTCTGTTGTTTCCACATCACCTTCAATATGTATAATATAAGTGATAGATGTTTGTCCTATTTGGAGATGTCACCATCAATGATTTGTTGATAGAATCATATGTATTTCTTATTGGAGTTCCCTTTCATGTCTGCTGCAGTAATTCGCCTATGCCTACGAGGGAGCTTTTTGCTGAAATACAAAGAGAAAGACACCATGAACATGACAATGGTGATGGAATTGACTGCTCAAACTTTGTTGACTTGGATTGGCTATCTTCTTCTGGAAATTCATGCGAGGATGATTTGTTGGAAAGGTAGTTCTAAAACCGAGTAGTCCTTGAATTTTTATTATAAATAATCATTTTCTCTTGATAGAAATATCGATACTAATTACCATAACAAAATCAGTACTGGCTCATTCATGTTTATGCACCGTATAATATGAAATGTTAATAGTTATTTTGAAGTCTATTCTGGTAATAATATCGTACATGTTCCATACTTTATGTCTAACCCCACTGTTAGTGATACTTAAATTACAGAGGCTGTTTTGATCAAGTGGCAACATATTTGTAACTTATTCAATTATCCTGTCGATTCTTCTTCATAAGAAACAATTGTGGCACTTTAGGGAGCTTATGCTTCGATGTGTTAGTGATGATGCAATGTGTCAAACACTCTAGGAAAACAACTTTTGTATTGTTATGTATATTGCTATAGATCTTCTTGCTAGAAACTTTCTATGGAATTTTATAATACATTCTCAAGTAACATGATTTCCGTAAACTTCTTTCTTGAAACAATCTTCCCAAGTCTAAAGTTGCAAGATTTTTTCCCTTTACCAGATCAATGCTGACAGTCTCCCCGAATGCGATTCTGTCGTCAGAAAATATAGCCAGCGAAGCGGCTGGGGAAAGAATGCCATCCACCAGTGAATGTGGCTCAAGCATGCGAGTAAGTGTAGTTTCCCTATATTTATCTCCTATTTGCAAAATTAGACTTCTTGAAAGCATTTTTTCTTTTTTAAATCTCAAGTGTTTACTGGATGACTCTGGAGATTTTTGTCGACATATCTGAAGGAGTTCCGATGCTGTTGTATATTGCAGGGAATGACAACAGGCGAGAGTTACAACGAAGCCCATACTTACGAAGTACTTGAAGAATTCTCGGATAGCTTTGTGCGCTGGGTGACGTACGGTGAAGCACTCTGTCACTGAAGAGTTTTGTGGATGACGATTATAAGACAAGAGTGAGAGAGTTTGAGTTTCTAGGTTCCGGCAGAATGTGGTTGGTGAGGAGAAAGATAAAAATATACCTCTTGATTCTTTGGTCCCATGAAAGCCACTAGAGAATGTTGTCCGACCTCGGAAACCTTGGTCGACTCGTGTCCCTTGCTCATGACATAGCTATCACAAAGTAAATAGTTACAGCTTTTTAAGATTCTTTCGCCATCCCTTCAGCTTCTTATTCTCAGCCTCTGTTTAATTTATGCATATCGTTGTCGTCGAGCTACCTGTTTTGTCTGAATGCTTAGTAATATCTATTTTTGTCGCATAGTCGAGAGTTTCTCTCCATGTATACATACATAATATATATATATATATATTACATAAACAGCAGGCCCCAAGAGGCATTGATGATTCTTTTAAACTCATTTGGTGGTTTTGAGATCTCACTTCTGAGTTGTTACAGACTAAAATAAGCACTTTCTGTGTATCTGTTTATTTATTACCAATCGATTTTGTTTTTGTGATTGCCATTTTTCAGTTGGTCTAGTCTATTGTTGCCCTTGGATAATATGGGCTCAATTTATTATTGGGCCTGGGCTTTTCTGTATAATGGTAAAGAAAATTATTACAAAAAGCACAGCACCTTAAAGGAAATATAGATTCAGACAGACAGAATTGATCATGTGAATGTGACAACCAATCTCAGAAACATTTTTCAAAGACAAGAAGACAACAACATCCTCAATTCATCTATATGATTCCATTAGTCCACACAGATACATATTCAGATTCTCAAATTTGGTTGCTTAAACTTGAAGCATAAGAAAAAAAAAAACATGCCAAACTTTTAGTTGATTACCATTATGTAAATTCACCACACAAATACATGCATTCAGTTCCACTCACACACATATATATATATGTAAGCTCAATAACTATTTTTTAGATTATAAATTAATTTATTCAACAAACCTAATATCATGTAAACTAGGTTCCATAAAAACAAATCACTAAACGAACAAAAAAAATATATATATATATATATCATTATATTTATATGAACAATTGTGGCCAAAGTAAAACTAGCAATTTTAATATAATTGGTGGGAGTACAAAATTTAGAAAAAGTAACAATATTGAATTTTACTATTATTGTTAATGATGATGATGATACCTAATTGATAATTAGGCAAACCACCCACCCATCCACCCACCAATCAAGTTTCCTTAAAAGTAACTTCTCAAAAGCTCTTATTGGTGCAATTATCCTCTCCTCTCCTATCCTATCATTCTTGATGCTGCATCTAATCAAATACATGACTTTTATGCTTTCATCCATTTTTATTTTTATTTATTTATTTATTACTAAATTAAGGTGGATCCCATAATTAAATACTTCGTTAAAGATTAATCAGTAAGTATAGATCGTACACAAATTATAATATTATATAAATAAACATACAAATGGATAATATTTGACTATTATCCATAATTTACAATATTGTTGAAAACACATAAGATATATAAAAACAACACACTCATTAAGTGTAAACTTATAATACATAGCTTGGGTTAACATTGTCTGTCTATTTTGTACATTGGCAAACTAACCATCATGTCAACACAATTAAATTAATTAAATGCCCTTTTTTTATAATTTATATATTTATTTACAACATAAATGGATGGCAAAGAAAAGCCTTTATACCATTATGGTTGGTGCTTACCTATTTCCACACAACAATTTAATACCCACCAACATATATATATATATATACACACACACACACGTATGCGTATGTGTATGTATATTCATTATTGTCTTGAATTAGACTTAGATATTCTAATTAAAGTATTGATGTTTGAAAACGAGAAAAAAACATAAGCCTATGACTTTTTTGTTTTTTTCTTCTCTTTTTAATTTTCCACATGTCGGAATCTGGAGTTAAGTATATTTTTGCAACTGGGAAAAAATAGTGATAAGATTCTGGCTAAGGGTATTTAAGAATTTTCTTGTCATATCATATGTTGTTTGTTATATATCTATGTAGAGAGAGAGAGAGAGATAGGAAAGAAAAGACATTTGTGAAGTAGGGTTCTTCCAAAACAATAAAGGACAATAAAAATTGATTTACATATTCTTTGTCTGTGAAAAGGGTCCTTGAAATCGACTTTCATTTTTGCTCCAAAACTATTAGTATTTTTATTTTTATTCAAATTGATTGTTGGCATTTCAATTTTTATGGAGGGTAAAAGAGTCAAAACGATCCCAGGCGTCTACAATACCAGATATGTACAAGACGACACGTCATGGGGAATAAAGTTGCGGAATACCTTACGGTTTGCCTCGTCTTCTGACAATCCAATAGTATTGTGCCACGTGTAAGGGAAAAAAAAGGAAAAAGGTAAAATGACCCCTCACACACAATTATTTATGGAAGGCCGAATTCGCAATTTTCCAAAATTTCCACCGATATTTTTCTTATTTTAAAAGTCAAATTTCAAAATTGATAAATTCAACCATTGTTACGTACTCAAATAAACAAGGCATATTTCGTAATCGAATTCAAACTATTTATTGAATTTCAGTGAAGAAATAATCAAATAAGTAGAATAAAAAAACAGCTAAAATATACTTAAAAAAAACTCCTTTTGGTTTTATCCACAAAGCCTCTTTGTTCTAATCTCTATTTTGCTGAGTGTAAAAAGAGAAGCTTATGACACCTAATCCAAAAACTAATAAATAATTTCCACAAAATTAAATGCAGAATATTTTCCAGACACTGAAAGTTGAAGTAGACTCAATTATCTATGTATAGAACCCAAACTTGAATGTAATGATTCACCACCATAGTCCACAGATTGTGCATACAGCCAGCCAGATGAAAAAGTAACCAACTTTAATATACATACAAATGACAATATCTATAAAAGGGGGTGTTTTTGGCTGTCTTTCCTCACCACTATCAAACGCAAAGCACGTTCGAGTTGCTGTGCTGGTAGTAACTCTCCCAAATACCTTTTTCTTCCCATTAATTTCTGGGCTCTGTTTGTTGGGTAAGATCCAAGTCTCTGTGTAGAATTTAGTGCATGTGTTTGCTTGCAAATTATCAATTGTTAAAGATTATATAAAACCCATTTTTTGATCTTCATCTTCAAACAATTGTTTAGGTACGAAATCGGTTGGTAAATTAGTGCACTGGGAGTCAATGTCTGACGATGAGTGATATGTATATATATATATTTTTTAAAAAAATTGTGCTGAATTTCAACGTGTACGTGTTCGTCTCAGGTTTGAGTTGTTGGGTGGGTTTAGAAATTTTAAAAGATTGAAAAAGCTGAATGGTTCATTGACTAAGAACATACGACTAATATTCTGTAAGAAATTTGGTTGATTTCTCCGACAGGTATCGTTAATGGCGGAATCACCAGTCCTGGCTCGCGTCCACAGCCTCCGGGAGCGACTGGATGCGACGCTCGCCGCCCACCGGAATGAGATTTTACTGTTTCTGTCGAGGTTAGGAGTGAATGATCTTGTCTGTCGTTTTGATTTCGAATGATTGATTGTATGATCCTTAAAAATCTCTGCCTGAAACCGACAGGATTGAAGCCCACGGAAAGGGGATTCTGAAACGCCACCAGCTCCTGGCGGAGTTCGAATCGATCCGGGAGGCCGACAAGGCGAAGCTGCAGGATCACGCCTTCGAAGAAGTCCTCAAGAGCACACAAGTCAGTACTAATTTTAACTTAATTAGGTTTAGCAGCCATCTCAGAACAACTCCATTAACGTTTTCGATCGATTAAGAATGTCCGTTCCTTCACCTCCAGGAAGCCATCGTGCTGCCGCCGTGGGTGGCTCTGGCGATCCGCCTGAGGCCCGGCGTTTGGGAGCACGTCCGCGTCAATGCAAACGCGCTGGTGGTCGAGGAGCTGAGCGTGCCGGAATACCTGCAGCTCAAAGAAGAGCTCGTCAATGGAATGTAAAGATACTAAGATGTCTTGGATTTGGCTGTCGTCTCTTCATTTCATTGCAATCGATCTTAGATTTATGTTTCTGCAGTGGTAATGGCAACTTCGTCCTCGAGCTCGATTTCGAGCCGTTTACGGCATCCTTCCCTAAGCCGACTCTCACTAAGTCCATCGGCAACGGCGTCGAGTTCCTCAACCGCCACCTCTCCGCGAAGATGTTTCACGACCGCGACAGCTTGACTCCTCTCCTCGATTTCTTGAGGATGCATCATTACAAGGGCAAGGTGATCAATAACCGTTGTAATAATTAACTACGCATTTTTTTACGTGAGACGGTCATTTAATATCGACTTTGTTTGTGTAGACGATGATGCTAAACGATCGGATAAAGGATCTTAGCTCGTTGCAGCGCGTTCTGAGGAAGGCGGAGGAGTACCTGTCGACGCTGCGTCCGTCGACGCCGTACGACGAATTGGAGCATAAGTTCCAAGAGATAGGATTGGAGAGAGGGTGGGGCGACACGGCGGGGCGCGTCGCGGAGATGATATCGATGCTATTGGACCTGCTCGAGGCTCCGGATTCGTGCACTCTCGAGAAATTCCTCGGAAGAATTCCGATGGTTTTCAACGTCGTCATCCTCTCCCCGCACGGCTACTTCGCGCAGGAGAATGTGTTGGGCTATCCGGACACTGGTGGCCAGGTCGTCTACATTCTGGATCAAGTTCCGGCGCTAGAGCGCGAAATGCTGAAGAGGATCAAGGAGCAAGGACTCGATATCACGCCGCGGATTCTCATAGTTAGTTCCGTTGCATTTCTCGACGATCGTTGTCTGATTACTACATTACCGCGCTGATCGATCGTTCTTTGTGTAGGTGACTCGGTTGCTCCCCGATGCGGTTGGAACGACCTGCGGCCAACGTTTGGAGAAAGTGTTCGGAGCTGAGCATTCGCATATTCTTCGAGTTCCTTTCCGAACGGAGAAGGGAATCGTTCGTAAATGGATTTCTCGATTTGAGGTTTGGCCTTACATGGAGAGATTCACCGAGGATGTCGCGAAGGAGATCACGGCGGAGCTGCAGGCGAAGCCGGACTTGATCATCGGAAACTACAGTGAGGGTAACTTGGCTGCATCATTGCTTGCTCACAAGCTGGGAGTCACACAATGCACCATAGCTCATGCCTTGGAGAAGACCAAATATCCCGACTCCGATACTTACCTCAAGAACTACGACGACAAGTATCACTTCTCGTGCCAGTTCACGGCAGATCTCTACGCGATGAACCATACCGATTTCATTATCACCAGCACGTTCCAGGAGATTGCCGGAAGGTGATGTTTTTCATTTTTCGGAACTCGTTGACAAAATCATATTTATCGTTGTGCGACGTGTTCTGAGTTGTTTGTTTTATAATTGTTAGTAAGGACACCGTGGGACAATACGAGAGCCACATGGCGTTTACAATGCCTGGACTATACCGGGTTGTCCATGGAATCAATGTGTTCGACCCCAAGTTCAATATCGTCTCCCCCGGAGCTGACATGAACATCTACTTCCCGTACACGGAGAAAGAAAAAAGGCTCACGACGCTCCACCCTGAGATTGAGGAGCTTCTTTTCAGCCACGTCGAAAATGAGGAACACTTGTAAGATGATAACAAATCCAATCTTTACAAATGCAACTCTTGTAACTAATCAAAATTGTTCTGATGATTGTCAAATGGCTTATAGATGTGTCCTGAAAGACAAGAACAAGCCAATTCTGTTCACAATGGCGAGGTTGGACCGCGTCAAGAACCTGACAGGGCTAGTCGAGCTGTACGCCAAGAATCCAAAGCTGAGGGAGCTGGTGAACCTCGTTGTCGTGGGAGGCGACAGGAGGAAAGACTCGAAAGATTTGGAAGAACAAGCGGAGACAAAGAAGATGTACAGCCTCATCGAAACCTACAACCTGAATGGCCAAATCAGATGGATATCTTCCCAGATGAACCGCACGAGGAATGGCGAGCTCTACCGTTGCATTGCTGACACGAGGGGCGCCTTCGTGCAACCTGCATTTTACGAGGCATTTGGACTGACTGTGGTCGAGGCCATGACTTGTGGTCTCCCGACTTTTGCAACGCTCCATGGTGGACCGGCAGAGATCATTGTCGATGGTAAGTCCGGATTCCACATCGATCCATATAACGGCGAGCAGGTTTCTGAGGCTCTCGTAAAGTTCTTCGACAAGTGCAAGGAGGAGCCTTCTTACTGGGATACAATCTCCACGGGCGGACTGAAGCGCATCCAGGAGAAGTAAGAAAGATCTCCTGTTTCATTACATTGATCATGAGGTAGATAGGTAGGTAACGCGACGTTTTGGTTCAGGTATACTTGGCAGATTTATTCGGACAGGTTGCTGACGCTGGCGGGAGTGTATGGATTCTGGAAGTATGTCTCTAAGCTCGATCGCCTTGAGATCCGGCGATACCTCGAAATGTTCTACGCGCTCAAGTATCGCAAGCTGGTAATGTTGTTTTTCTTTGTGTTTTGTCTGAATTGATTTGAAGAATTTCATATTGGGACTGAAATGGCTTTTTCTTGTGTGAAGGCTGAAGCTGTTCCACTTGCTGTTGAGTGAAGGAAGAAGATATGCTCTGTTATGTTCTATTTTGCAAATAATGTGGGACAATAAGAGACAGCATGATTTTGGGATTGTTGTTTGTTTGTATGAGCAAATTGCTCTTGCTCTTTTGTTTGAGGTTTGTCATAATTTCGGATTTGAGAATGTATGCATACATCTATCTACATATTTGATCTCTGCTGAATTATACAGTTGCAGTAACACTTTAAGTTCATCCATTCAACTGCTATATACATATATGTTCATGTAGCTGCCAAAAATTGCTAATACAAAAATCTAAAGGCTATATATAGATATAACCGACTCCAAATATATACAACTGAAAGCATTTACACTTTTTTTGTATGAACTTTCAGTTCCAAAGAGGTGTGTATAAGTAATCTTTCTTTTTGTAATGTTTGAACATGGAAGCCACAGTGTGCGTGTGAATATATACATTTGGGAAAAGCTTTTACATGGAGCAGAAGTTACCCTCGGATAGGCCTGGTGTTTTTATTATAAAGTGCCTGCCTGGGATAGAGAATAACTGCCAAAACAAAAGAGAAGGCGAGACCGACCACACCGCTAAATGGTTGAAAAGGGTGGCCACCGGTGACCCATGTTTCAAGATTTGGTCGGTAGGACAGAAAACCACCGGATTTCAACATGAAATTAGATGCTAGAATGCCTGTACGAAGTCCAATTGGTAGTGAGAGACCACCTTCATTTCGTTGCCGAGCTCCTGATAGACTCAGAGATAGTAGCAATAGCCCAGGGATTTCCCACATTGACCTGAAAATCGAATCATTAGAAATGTAGATTTTATCATTAAAGAGAATATAAAAATAAGATTTTTCAAGGAATTCATAGGAACTAATCAAAAGCAAGTACCTTTGAGATAAAGCAAATATTAGTCCTGAGATGATTATCCCTTGGTGATATCCATAGTCGGAAGCAATTTCCTCAGGTAGCCATGATCTGAAGAGCAATTCCTCCACAACTGAAACAGCAGTTGCAGTTGCTATTCCTTTAACAACTTTTATAAGCATCCATGCATATGCCTTAATCAACGCTACAGGTTCTGAAGAAGATGAAGACAGAGCGTCTGGCCAGCGGAGATGAGCAAAGCCAAGTGAGGAGTTCACAGCATGTATTGACACAACAAGGATGAATCCTCCAATCAAACCCTTTAGAAAATTCTCAAGCTGAGAGCACAAAAAATGACCATTTTTGCTAAGTTAGAATACCAGTTAATTAAAATATTAAACATATCGATTATTTTTTTCAAAGTGACCATGAATGTGCAAAGCCAAAATGGAAGAAGTGGATTCATGCCTTCGAAAATTGACCCTAACACATCTCTTCCATAAACCAGAACCCTTTTGACTTAATGTAGAGCATATGGTTGTGGCTGGATAAACTATGTTCATGGGTGGGACTAAAAACTCATCAAACTTGCATGATTTTTACAATTTCTTTTCACATAAATTTTATGAAGGAACCATCACAGTCAGAGAAAGCTGATCAGAGGATCACAAAAAGCAATCATTATAAGATCTTTCAGACTGAGATGATTTTTCACATAAAACAAATGTACAAATTATATTGATACAACGTTTATTAATTCAACAGGTTGAGAGCATATGGCAATGTAGTGATGTACATACCTTTGGAACCGAAGCCAAATCCATTCCATATTGCAGTAGAGGATCATCATATTTGCGGATTCTTTTTCCCCATAATGCAATCATAATCAAGACAGAGACATAGAGGCTGGCAATGCAAGCAAACTCTGCAATTTTAAAGTGGCTTTGCGTGGACCAGTTTTGCATTAGGGTAGGTAGCATTGGAATCACAACAGGTGACCAGAGAAGAAGCACCATGGAAACAAAACCTAAGATCCTGAATTTACATTAAAAACACATTAGGGAAGCTCACTTGGAATGGATGAACTAACTAGATAGAGAAATGTAAGTTCCTATAATAGCTAAGGAAGAATCCTACATGAATATGACATCTAAAAGCTTGGGTATGTGTGATTCTATAGAAAACTTTCTGAATTGGTGCCGCATTATATATTTATAGCAAATACTATTCAAAATTTACTTGATCATACACGGAACTAAGCTTTGAATGGAAAACAATAAAATGGTAAGCAGGAGAACCAGAAATTATAATTGAGTTGCCTGTATGTACAGAATCCAAAGTATAGTAGGTGGTAGAATTTGTGCTAACCAGATGAGTTTCTAAAATTCCTTTCATGTAAAAAAAAAAAAAAAAAAAGATTTTCAACAGCAAAGCCATTGGTTCTGTTAAAAGAAATGTGCATTGTGTATGGTTTCAATTGGAAGAGAATGATGTAATAATATAAGCACCAAAAATTTGTAATAAAATACTCATCCATCTATTTCTCAAATTATTTACTACTGGGAGAATCAATACATAAGCAAATACAAACTGAAACATTTCATAATCATTAAAAGCTTTTAGATCACTCAAATAACAGGTATGAGAGTTGGAGGGCCCATATTTTGAGCTCCATCATAACTCATGGTTTGTGCCATATTTATAGAATTGTAAAAAGAATGCAGCATGCACATGGAAGGGCTGTTGTAGGAATTTCTATATACTAAAAAATAAATGATATTTGTTTCAATGTGTTCAACTTTGAACTTCCAATTATCACTTCACATTCTTAGCCAAGGAAGGACATAAAAGGACTTAGTTATATAGTTCACCTCTGAAACAGTGGACGTTCGGCAATATGCAAAAATGAGATGAGTTTGTCAGTCAAACTCATTGCACCACGTATTCCACCCCAAAGCAAAGCAACTTTACCAACAAGTTTCAAAATTCCCCCCCTTTGTCCTAGTTCTGCAAGCATGTTCACCAGCCTGTATCGTTGAGCCATGCGTTTATTAGTATTTTAAGTAAGATAAAAATTAGTAACGATTTCATATCTATATATTGGAAAAGACTCTCCCAGACCTTTCTTGATCCACTCCCCCATCTTCCTTTAAAGGCACCACAGGACTAGCAACAGATAATGCTTTCTCTGCAAGACTTGTGACTATATTATGTGTTTTCTCAGGGGTCTGTGACAGGCCTGCACTTTGTTGATCACTGAGAGGATCCTTTGAAGTTTGAGCTGTTTCTGTATTCTACAAGTACATTTTTCAAAATATTAAACAATGAAGAGAATAAAGGCAAAAGCATTCATTGAAACAGTTAGATGAGCATAAGCCAAATAGCTAATAATCAGGAATGCTAACCGATAACCTTTCATAAAAAAAAAATCAATGTTTTCAAACAATAAAACAGTCCCTCTTAGAGATTTAGGAGCATCTAATAAAAAACCAGTTGAAGTGGTAATCCAGTCCTACTTTTTTTTTTTCCTTTATAGAGAATGTCCCTGGGATACCATGTTGTTAAGTAATAGTTTTTATCATTTAGGTAAGGCCACATAAAGGTTCTCAACATGTTGACAGCTGAACATAAAGATAATAAACGAGATGCAATACACACCAGACAACCGACAATGTTCAAGATAATTCTTCATGCACAGGCAGTACTTTATCTGTAAGATATTTTACCTGTTTAATTTGTATAGCTGAGGGTTGAGGTATAATTCAACTAGCCTCAACTAGGAGAGATGCAAAATGATATTATATAAACTAATATGAACACGAAATCCCAAGTTGTTGAAGCAGAAGAAAAGCTTCAGAGTATGATGTAATAGTTAGTAAAATAGTAATTTACCTGCTGGTGAACAAGCAAAGCAGAAGCACCCAGAGCAGCAGTAACAGCACCAACCATAACTTCGTTCTTGTTATTAGAACTTTGATGATCACTGTTGTCCCCTTCTTTAACAATTGAATTGGAAGGACAATCCTTATGTTCTCTTTTATTTAATAAAATTGGGGAAGTCTCCTTCTCATGGACTTGAACAAATCTATCGGTAGATATACCAGCATCTTCAATTGGTAAAAAATTTTCTTCATTACAATCCAATGCAGCAACATCAAAGAACTTTCTGAGTGCAGCTAAACTAGAGCCCACAACAACACCAACAGGCAATATTCTTTTCAAAAATTGGGTTTCCTGTAATGCAGATGAAATAACTCTTACTATCTTCTCCCCGTGAAGGGTCCCAAGCTTTTCCTGTATGGTGTCACTCCCTACACACATATGTATATTTTCTTTCCCTGCTTCCTCGGATACAGAATTTGCAACATATTCCATTTCACCAGCAAGTCTCAGCTCCATTTCTTCTGTGTCAACTGCATTGACCCTACGACCGACTTCTACAATTAAACATTTTAAGATGATAGTTTTGACAAAAAGAATTGAGTCTTCAATTTTGGTTGCATTACAACCAAAATCATTATTGAGAACAACATCTGCTTTAGAGTCTTGGCTTCGGTCAGGTGGAATACTTGAATCCAATATTACATAAGAGGGTTCAACAACTGTATCAATATGCTTGGATCTTTGATGAGGGACATTCAGGTCTTCTCTATAATCATCTTCACTAATATAAGCACTATTGTCTTCTGTCTGATCTAAAAGCTTCCACTTACCTTCTTCTGGAATGTAGTCAAGATGTAAAGTTGACTTTTTAGCCACATCAAAAGGCTGTGCATTTCTCGTCATCCAATTACGGTATGTTTTGAGGTATTCTTTGTAAAGTGGGTCGTCATATGGAAGAGTCAAGCGACCTGGGACACTAGCGTTCAAATATTTTATAAAATCCTTTTCTGGGTGCTTTCCAGTTGCTGGCACAAAACTGGTTTCATACTCAGTCCCCAGCTGGCCCCTTCTACTATCACTATGACTTGCACTATTCTGCTGTTCATACTTGTATGATGCGCCTTCCGGATCATACAGAATAGCACCTTCTGATTTATCAGATTGAGCATTGTCATTACTCCTGAGATCTGATGTTTTTGCAGATTCAGAATCATTGTTTGTCAAATCATTTTTAGCTACAGAGCCTTCACTCCTTTCCTTTACGTCCTCACTTCCTTTATCTTCTGCATTATGGTCCTCAGAGTTCTTTTCCACATCCAACTGATCTATCACGCCCTCAATTACATTGAATACACTATTAACAGCAGCTTGGGTGGAATCATCAAAACCTGTTAATGCATCTAAGGCCTCAGAAACACTAAAGTGAGGAGTACTGTTGTTACTTTCACTTTGAAGAGGTTTTGGACAACTGCCTTGCTTGCTTTGACTACTTTCTGCTTCATTTCCCGTTATTTGCGCTTCAGAGGGAGAGGATGGAGCAGAATGTTCATCCTCTATACCATGAGATCCCGACTCATGATGATCAGAAGAAAAATCATTTTTCTGAACATTATTCTCCTCCATAGAACCTGAATGATCCTTTCCGTCCCTCTTTTCCACTCCTGTTTGGTCGGAAACAGTACCATTAGACTCACTAGGTCCTAACATGCTAGAAACCTCTCCATCAGCTTTTATTTCTGGTGCACTTTTCTTATCAAAAGTCTGGGCAGACCTACCCCCTAAGAATTGCTCATCTTCAGAACCTTCATTCAGGATTCCCTTTTCTAAATTTGGATTATTGCTTCCCTGGTCACTTGTGGATTGATCAGTACCTGAATCAGATGGTTTTGGTGGAGTATCTAATGATTGCTTCTCTGAATCAGTATCACCAGAAGGCTTGTCTGAGTTGTGATCAGATTTTAAGGAACCATCTTCAGGGCTATTAGCTGTTACCCTTTTGCCCAAAGAACTGACATCTCCATCACCATTTGCTTTCGTCTTTCTCATTTTTTCAAGAAATTTTGAGTTCAATCCTGATGCCACATCAGGGAAGTTTCCAAGATTTAAAAGTTTATCAAACTTCACATTTGATCCCTGACTCTGCATAATTCCAGAAACAGCTGCAGTGAGCTTTCCACGAACATCTTCTGGCACAGCATCTTGCAATGCTTTAACCAATGTCTCACCTTGACCCACAGCATTAAGTACCTGCCACATCAATGTCATATTGCTAAGTCATTATCATGTCAATTATTTATTTCAGGATTCCCTTCTCCAATGGTAATATAAGGGCATTAAAATGCAAGCTTGTTAAAGTAAAGTAAATATGAATTAAGGATATTCTACAATTACTGGTACATATCCACACATAGATTGATATATAGATAAGTGTGTAGACACAATCATTTCACATCCACTGTGATGCAAACTGAACTCATTGCATGCAGCCTAATTGAACTTTGTTGCAGCAATGTCTATTTCCAAAAGCTCCCCTAATATAACCTTGGGAAAATAGCAAAACTTTCACAGTTACACACACACACACACAAAGAAGACTAGAATGAGAAATTCATGAATATTACCTTCATTTTCTCTTCATCAGAAAGAGTACCAGGCATAGTCACATCAAGCATATTCATAACCACTTGTGCAGTTTGTAGTACTTGCCCTCTTTCATTATCAGAACCATTATCCTCAGTCGCTGCATCAATAGATGCACTAGAATGGTTTCCTACATTTCTGTCCTCTTTTGGCAATCCTTTAGATATGCCAGGAGGTTCTCTGGTACCTTTCATAGGTCTTGACAGAATGCTTGTGCCTGTACCATTTTCTTCAAAAATTGTCAATGGAGAATTTCCATTAGCTTGATTCAAGAGCTTGTCAGATTTCCCTCTTTTATTAGACTTTCTTTCCACCAGTGCCAAACCTCTTGAAGGATTTATAGTGACATCAACATCATTCAAAAGTGGATGGCGACCTTTTAAAAGTCCAAGCTCCACAGCTGTGAGCCACTACATAAGAGTTTTGGAATTAATTTCAGTGTAAAAATCACGATTTAATAATAAAGCACCCAAAACACAGTTACCTCTAAAGTGAGGCTCTGGCACCAAGAGAACCTTAATCTGCTGCCCATACTGTTTCTAGATGAGTGAGAACATAGAAGCAAGCTCGTAAATGGGTTCTCTGCTATCATACTCCGTGGAATAGAAAACAGTGGAACTTTTGAGTCATCGTTCTGGATGTATAAAAAATCCAACTGTAAGTCTCTGGATAACACTTAAATAGATTGTTGGGTATTAACAGAGCATAACATCATATCATTATGGATCAATGCAAAATATAACTGTCAATTTCTTGACAGCAATTTGTTAAGCATCAACTGAGCACATTTTGTCACAAAAAATAATGGCTGCGAGCAAAATATGTCATTATACGGTACACTGCTATATCAACCTATATTACTTGGACTAGGACTCTACTGGGATTATCAGCCAACAGCAACCTCATATAGGTAAAAGCAACAAATGAACAGAAAATATATCAATAATAATTACAATATTTCTCAGCAGGATTGAGTCAAAACTATTATCAAACAAAATGCTTGACAAAGCAGGTGAGGAAAAAATAAATTGCATAAACATCAGCATTACAGCTATAGTACTTTTCCATAAACCTAATGAAACAGAGGCAGTATAGCATCATAAGAGAGGAAAATCAGACCTGTATAAAAAGAACAGGAATTTTCACTTTGCCAACTACATCTCGGGTGCTACATGTTGCGTAAAACTGTTCAATGGAATCAATTCCATAAGACACCATGGAAATTGATTGCTCAAACTCCCGAACTGAAGGTGCTGACAAGGCCTTTTCAACATCAAATCCTTTCCCTTGACCTTGAAACAATTCCTGCAAGCATATAGTCTGTTACAGCAGAACAAGCATGCAAAAAGGCAGGTTCAAACTACTAATGCAAGTTTTGCCTGTGTATAGGGGTCCCTAAATTTGTATTTCTAGAAAAACAAACAACTAGCTTTCCTTGCAAAGAATAGAAATTGTCTCAAGAAGCACTCTTAATATTTATTTTGAAAGCTAAAAAAAAGTTGCATGCATTAGATTCTTTAATGGAATGAATGTGGACTCCGATATTAACTCACTTCACACCCGACTTTTATAGACAATATCTTTTGTAAATAAAATAAATAAATAAATAAATATCCTCTACCACAAACATAATCAAATGTTAACATTCTAGAAGAAAAGGATAAGAGACTATGCCTGTGAGATATAACAACCTTGTTACATTTTAGTATCTTGATAAAGCCATCTACATGGCTCTGCTCAAAATCCATATGATAAATAGAGGACCTTGTGAATTCCTCCAAGTCGAAAGGAGTATCTATGCAAGTTGCAGCTGTAAGAGGTGTCCTCTCTCCAAATTCTGCCAGGTACTTTGTCAACATATTTGCACCATACCCCCAGCCAACTCCCATTAATGTTGTCCATGGCCTTTTCTTGTTTATATATTGTACGGCTGTGGAGATGTCATCACTGTCAGCAGCTGTAAATAACCTACATAAATGGAGTTTTTATATCTGTCATCAGTCTTTTTATCCAGTACAGGAGCGAAGAGATATTCTTAATAAGAGACCTTAGCATGGACATAAACTAGCTAACAATAGTATTTAGTTCAGTCCATTGAGCTCATTGAAAGAATCAAACTTCCCACTCAAAGAAACTAAAGAAGATGGAATAAAAAAATGCAGCTTCAAATGTAGAAAGTGACAAAAACAAAACAGTCTATTTATTCAAAAATAGGCCTTTGGAATAAACCATATCTCAGAAATTTCAGTAGTTATGTCTACCCTTCTGGCCCAAACAAATATTGCTGATCTTTGCTCAAATGATTGCAACATAATACAATGTTTTAGTCATAATTAAACTCACATTTACTACCGATCATCAAATTCAAACTCCAAAGAACCAGTCTAACAAGGATATTCTCATCCAATCTTTTAAGTGCATCATGTTTATAGGTAACCGAAACATTGCAATGTGAATTGAGATACTAACCGTGGTGTAGTCAGCGGTGATCCTGCACATCCTCTTGGATTCATGACAACGGGAAAACTGCCTCTCCTCAGACACTCCAATACAAATGCCTTGATTTTCCTCTCATTACTGCCTTCTGCAGTCCCCGGGACAATCAACACCGTAGTATCCAATCCCCGTTCTTCCTCCATATCCAAATTCGCTGGCCAATCCAATGACAGGACACCACCATCCTCCGTAACTACACAGATTCTCTGATACGCCATCTTCTCCTCAACGTCACCCTCACTCTTCCCCACTTGCATCATTCTCCCACTGTCCAGCTTCACATAGAGCCTTTCCTCTTTGATGAGCTTTTCGTTCAAATCCTCCAATAATTCACTCTCAGGAAAACAAATCGAAGGGCATCGCAACGTCACAAATCGGTTAAACGGCGTCGGGCTGGTGAACAAGACCCACTCCCCGATATAACGATTGCGATCATTTTCTATCCTAGAGTTTGAAAGCAACTTCCGTGAATGTGAAGTGAAAAACAGCGCGAGACCGGAGGCCACGCCGAGCGCCGGCGCTATGTAATTCAGCGAGCTCACAGAAGGAAACTGGGACAGCAAGCTTTGGAAGAGGTCATCAAACGGAGAGGATGAAGGCGTCGGATTCACTTGGCACCCGACAATTACTCCCTTGAAACGGCGGCGTTTCCACAACCGATGGCGGTGGTGGCGGGAAACAACAACCCGCCGGTGGGCAGTAGAAGGAGGAAGAAACACAACCCCATACACACACTCCAGACTCATAATTCAGACGGCAGACGACGGCGGCGGCGGTGCGACGCTTACCCGCTGCGGAATTCTGTGAGGACAAAGCGAGTATCAGAAGCCACTGCATGAGTGGTTCGGTGAAACCATTGAAGGGTGGAAGAGGTCCTACTTGGAAAAGGAAAAGGTCGGTTCCAGCCTTCCAGGCAAGCTTCGTCCTCTACAGTTGTCAATCCTACGGTTCCTGTAAAGTCGTACTGCAAAAATTGTAATCATTGAAAATGACGAGAAATCGTGTTTCAGAACTGTGTCGTTACTCCCGAGTCTACCCGAACCTTCCGCAATTATTTTAATTATTACTATATAAATGGGCTTTCTTAATAGATTGAGCCCAATACTTGAATTCTTTGGGGCATATAGCCCATTAGTAAGTGTAATCCAAAATGTGACAAATTTGATTTATAAAATTAAAAAGAATAAATATTTTCTTGAAATATATATGGTGATAGCACATGACCAAATCCATAATGATCTCATAGTAAAATAGATTGATTTAATTTGCATGTATTAACATGTGTATGAGCTAGCTTGCCAACACTACTTATAACTTCGATCTGACAGATGATGCAATAATTTAAATTAGAAATAATAGCCAATGATTCATTAATTATTGTCTGAGCAAATCTTGATCTGATTCTGTAATTAATGCGGGGAAAATTAAAATAAAATTATAAACTTTTGAGATTATTTATGTTTCTTTACTACGTACTGACAAAAACCCTGCAACTAATAATTGTTAAGGAACAATTTGATCATCGGACTATGGTTAATTTATTTTAATTTATATTCTTCTATCTGTCAGTATTTCTGTCTTTATTGTTTTGTTTGATGTCTTATTTGTGTATATGGTTTAAATTTCTTTTTATTTAATAATTTAATTAAAAGTAAAAAAAATACTACGTTACTACCAATAATTTCTGAGAATGGGGAGACACAGCGCCGTCATTCGAGGAAATTCACATTTGATGATTGATTGAACACTCTATAATCATAGATTAATTCAATTTAGACAAGATTATGGTTTAATTATTGATTATATATATATAAGAAAATTAATTTGAAACTAATAATTTTCATATAATGTCGTCGTATATATGGGAATAGAGTGTAGTCTAGTGACAAAGCTGTCGACCCCTTGATCATTGGTCGAGGTTTGATTCTCATCATATATAAAAACATAATATTAGAATTTAAATAATTAAATTTATGTTCGTATATATATATATATATATATATTTATGCATGGAGTGGAGTGGGTGACGTGGCAGAGAACATGCAATCCAATCCATATCTGGTTCTGGTGTGTGTTTGCTCACATGCCTTTGCCCATTTATGCTTCGCTTTCACTCTCCCCACATCAAAACTCATTCATTTCACTCTTATTTCATTTTCTAACTTCTCATCTTCACGACCCAAATACATATATATATATATATATATGTATATGGTGGGGGTGTAACGTAGATGAATTTCAAATTGGAGACCCAACTACCTAATTTAATGGACAATTGATTTTAATTTTTTAGTTTTGAAAATTAAAGGGCATATATATATATATATATATTTATTTATACAAGAAATTGGGGAAAATTATAAATGAAGAAGTTGGATTGGAATGGAATTAACAAGTTGGGAGTGCACATGTCTGTCTCTTTCACCAACAATCTTACCAAAAATTAATTACTCACCAACCTTGGTTTATATTTAGTTGGTTCCATCGATGTATATATATATATATATGTTATATCAATGAGAACACAACATACCACCCCAGACCCTACATGTATGTATCTATCTCTATCTCTCTCTAAATAATTATTTATCCTTCTATTTTAATTTAATAATTATATAATTAATGCCTTTATTTTAACTTCTTCTATCTTTTTTAATCACTTCATTTTAATAATATTACTTTTTTGGAGCGTAATTTCCATATTACAAGTTGGCAAGAATCTTGGCTATATATATATATTTATATAGGTGGTCAGCACTCCACGTAAGCAGTATGCATGCAGCAATGGCCCAATCAGCATGCCATGTCAACAGTGAGAGGCACGTGCGTTCACGTGAGGAGGCACGATGACGACTATTTGTAAATTTGTAAAATTAATTCAATTACGTACTGGAAATGAAAATTTAGGCAGAAAAGGGCTAATGTGACAATGTGATCATTTTTTCTTATTAATATCACAAAAACATATATGGTTTTGATCATGTTAAATTTAGTACTATTAAATAAACATATTAATTACTTGAAAGTAACATACCTAACTCTATAACACAAATAGCGTGTAGAATTTTAATGCTAAATCCATGTCAACTAAAATTACTCTAATGGTAAAAATATTTTATAAATTAAATTAAAAAAAAACATAAATACATATAAACAACATAAATAATACTATTAGAAAATATTAACGGTCACGCTTTCATTTTTTATTTTTTTTTTGTTTTTTGTTTTTTTCAAAAAAACACTTGAGATAAAAAAATACTAAATAAATAATGGAGAGTAAGTGCAAAACCCCAAAACACCCTTACCTTTAATGCAGAGTAAAACCGAAAACGCCGAATATTGTTGCAGGGTCGGGTCAATTGACCAACCCGAGAACTCGATTAAAAGATCCGACCCGTTTTACTACTCGAAGCTATTAATTGAACAGTTACTCCAATTTGGCATATTTGTATCGGGCCCCACCCGCACTTGACCTCCGCCTTTATATATAATGCCGAACCTTTCGTCATCCCCAATTCATCAATCCCGCGACTCCTCCCCAAAAAACACTACTTCTCCGATCCATTCAATTCCCTCCGCCGCCGCGACACAGTCCTCCGATCATCCTATATGGCCAAGGGCGGGAAGCTCACCAAGATCAAGTCTGTCCTGAAGAAAATGCAGTCCTTCAAGCTCGGACGAAGCTCCATCGCCGCCGCCAACACCTCCTCCTCCGACGATGACAATGCCTTCGACGGCGGCGCCGTCAAGGACCTCCATACAGTCTACGTCGGAAAGTCACGGCGCCGCTACCACGTCTCCTCCGACGTCATGGGAAATCCTCTCTTCCGAGAGCTCGTCGATCGGCGCTCCGCCGATGAAGATTCGGTCACCGTCGGATGTGAGGTGGTGCTCTTCGAGCACCTCCTCTGGATGCTCGAAAACGCCGATCCTCAGCCGGAGTCCTTGGACGAGCTCGTCGAATTTTACGCTTGTTGACGGCGGCGCGTGGTTATTAACTGCCACTGATTGGTAAAAAAAAGGAAGTTAGAGTGAATTGATCGTCTGCGGGCATCCCCACTGTATACGTGTATATTTTTTTTTTATTATATATTATATTTAATTATTACTATTATTTTTTTTCAAGCCATGCTAGCTAGTTATGTAATGATTAGCGGTGTAGATTATACTTGGAAAAAATAACGCTGGCGTTATGGACGGTGAGGATTAACCCATTGAATTAATGTACACGGCGCTAATCTATGAATGGCTTTATTGGCCAGTTGGCATTGTACTAATCATAAATACATATATTTGGATATTTGCAATGGATCATATATATATATATATATATATATATCAAAACCCACCTGGGATTTGCATTATGATTTGATCACAGATATGTATGTATGTTTTTCTTTTCTTGTGAATAAACATATATATATATATTTTTTTTGTTCCTTAAAAAAGTGAAAATTATTATTGGTGTAATAATAATGGTATGGTTGTTGAGTTTGGAGGAAGATATTAATATGAATGCTTAGAGATAAAGAGTGTATAATGAAAGGAGACCACATAATATATACATCAATTTGCTAAGTATGAATAATGACAAGTACCAATTGTCTGCCATTTGTGACTTTGTGTATGTATATGTATATATATCTCCAAATTATACCTTCTTAATCACAAAAAAGGTATCTATAACAAAGTATCTTATATAGTTATACGTAGATTATACTTGCAAAAAGAATATTTTCAAATTTACTTTTATATTATTTATAAAAAGTTCTTACAATAATATCAAATAAATTTTTATTTAAAATATTATATAAAAATAGTTATTATTCAAAAAACAAGGCTATGTTAGACAGGAAGTTTTATAATTAATTTTGGAAAAAGAAATAGTAAATATTTAATATTTTGTTAGTAAAAAAATTATAGTTATATTAGCTCTGACCCATATAAAGAGCAATATTTGTTTTTCTACGTAAATTTTTTAATATTAATATTATATTTAGTTGCAGTGAAAAAGAAAAAAAATAGTCCTATTAGTATTATATAATATAAAAGTAACAATATTTGTGTAATACTCCCTCTATTTCAATCTAAAGTACCATTTTTATCATTTTCGTATATCTCACTTCAAATTATATATTTCATATTTTAAAAAAAGTAATTATAACCTCGTTGAATTGAGAGGAATGAAATATATTATAAATTATAAGAGTATTTATTATATTAGATAAAATAGTACAATTATTAAATTTAAAAATGATATCTTTATTTTAAAAAGGACAAAAATGGAAAAAATAAACTCTTTTTATGAAGGGCGTTTGGCAATTAACTATTAGTTGTTAACTTATTCAATTAGCTGATAGCTGTTAGCTGATTGAATTAACTGGTTTGATTAGCTAATTCGATTAGCTGTTTGTATTAAAATGTTTGGTAAAATAACTGTTTGATATTAACTGTTTATACGTAAAATGACAATTGAAGATATTTCTATTTTATTTTTATTTCTAATATATTCAATTATGTTCTTTTGAGTTTAGAATGTTTAAAGTTTTTTGTTATTAGTTATTGAAAATTGTAAAAGTATTATACAAGTATTTATTTTTATTATAGTTAGATTTAAAAAATAATATTTTTATTGAAATATATAAATAGTTTTTTCTATTAAAAATGATGTAAAATATAAAATAATAAATTTTTCATGTATATATATTATATTAGTTATCAATTAGTTCATTATATTTATAATTTTCAATAAATTTAATTTATTTTTAATATAAAATTTATATAATGTAATTTTAATATGAAAATAAATTATTAGTATTTATATTTTCTATTTTATGTTGATTTTAATAAATTTATATATTTTACAATTAAAATAATTTTTATATAAAAAATAATTATTTTAAATTTATAAAAGTAAAACAATAATATAATAAAATATTCTAATATAATTAATAAATAATCAAAATATATTTATGTGTAAAATGCATAATAAATTTTTAAGGGTATATAAGGAATAAAAAAAATTTTACAGAAAAAAACTATTTCAAAACGCTCTTCAGAAATTAGCTTTTTGAGTCCAAAAAGCTATTCGAAAAAGCTAATTTACCAGGTTTTTGACCGGTCAAACAGCTAAAAGTTGTTCAATAAGCTAAAAGCTCTTCAAAAAGCTATTTGCCAAATACCCTCGAAATCAAAGAACAATAATGTTTAAAAAAAAAAAAATTATTATAGATAAGTAGAATTAAAATTTTCAAAAGCTTCTCCGCAAACAAAGTCAAAAACATTGAATTGATCCAACTAACTAAATAACTATACTTATATAGAATATAAGTAAACATATCTATTTATGCCTACATTTAGAAATGTCAAAAATTGATAAGTTGGTAGACTCGAATCTTAGGTAACAAAAGCCAAATATTATTATATATAAAATCCGAATTAAACATATAATAATAATAATAATAATAATGTCCAAATAGTTTCTATACTCTCTCTTAATTGATTATTCAGCCACCAACATTATTTATATGTTATAAAGTATTTATTGTGTTGTAATTGATTATTCGAGCTCTGAAAAACAATAATATATATATATATATATATAATTAATTAGCACACTTTTTCTTACTGTCCAAACGTCCAGAAGCATCTGCTAAGTCAATATATATATATATTCCCCAACTATATATACTACAATTTAATAAATTAACCTTCGTAAATAATTAAACAACTCTTTTTTGTCAGCTTTACGACATTAAATTATATTGAAATGAAGAATTTATGAAACTAATGATTGGGTTGTTATATCAACCTCTTAAAACTATATCTAGTTGTTGCAACACACACCGTCTTATTTTCATATAAATTTAATTTGTAGCATGGGTCTAAAATAATTTTATTTTATTTTTTAAAAAAAATAATAATAAAGGTTTAATATAATGATGCAATTTTATTTTACTTTTTTTATAAATCCCCGAAAATAGTAGGGAAAATACTCATAAATTTTGAGTTGTGACAATTCGGATGAGAGTTAATGAAAACGACAACCGCAATTTCCGGCTTTATTATGACCACACATATATACTCTCAGAAGCCGCTGTATAAATTTCAATTTTTATAAATTAATTTCGACGTGGATCAAAGTCAAACTAAGAGAGTTTCAGACCATCCCATGTGCGAAGTCGTGTTTCTGTAATGCAGAGCGCTTTCAACAATTTTCGTAGAGGCACTTTTAATTAATTCAGGAAAAAAAAAATTAAAAAAAAAAATTGAATAATAATTAAAATTTTGAATTTTTTTTATAAAAGAACACAAAAAATAAAATAAAATAAAAGAAACAAAAAACAAAAAATTTTTGTAAATTTAAATATAATATTTTTTTCAATAAAATAATATTTAAATATCATCTCTATCAAACTATCATATCAATATATCAATTTTTTTAATAAAATAATAATTTTATCCAACAGAATTATTACAAAATTCAAACCTCCAAACAAACACAACTTAAAAAATCATACTTCAAAATTCTCCAAAATCCAATCCTCCAAACAAACACACCCATATTTATTTTATAAAATTTTGATATTATTATTATTTTTTTAAATATCATATCATATAGATATAGGAGTATTTTTAAATGAAAAAAAGATAAATAAAGAATACAAAGATTTTACGTGGTTTGATGACTGTGTCAATTTACATTCACGGGCAGAAACCAGAGAAATTTTATTATACAAAGAGTTACAATCATTTGATACGACTAGGAACCATAAACACCATAAACAAGTCTATTTATTATTAATTAAAATAAGTTCAAAAGAAACTCTGCCAATTAAAACAACTATTTCGCTTTGATTTCGGGTCGGATAAACTGCTAAATTCAAATCACGTTTCAACAAGTATATTTTTTACACTTGAGACCATAGATTAGCTGATAATTCAAAAAAAAAAAATGATAATAATAATAACAACAAGAATGAAAATAATACTAGCATGTTTCTCTTGGTAGGGTTGGCATGCTTTCTAATATGAATAAATAAAATAAATATTTGTTTGTTTGTACTTGCACAAAAGAGAATTAATGAGGGCAGATGAAACATGTAGGGCATTAAATGCAATAAATAAAAATACTTCTCCGCTTCTAGTTATAATTAATACATAAAAAATATATATTAATGAAATATTTATAAATTAAAATTAAATATTTATTTAATTAAAATTGAAAAAAAAATTAAAATAAAATTAAAATACATAATAATAATATTATGATTGTGTGGTTCCAGTCATAAAACAGTGTGGGGTTATTGTCTCGATCATCTGAGCGCATGGCAGGGAATGTATATATACATATACATATACATATATATATATATATGAACTAACAAATTTTATCATACATTATTTAATGCATTCAAAATATTCAATTAAATTTTATTCCAACTCAAGTTCCCCATTTATACACATATACAGAGTAAATATTTAAATTTGAATCTCATTAATTAATTCATCGATTCGTTTAATTTTGCATTCTTTAACTTTATAATTAATTCATTATATATCAATAAGATTTACAAAACATAAAAATTCAAAGCTGAACAAGAGCCACAGGTTCAGTGGAGAAATTCGCAATCGCTTATAAAAGAGAGACAATGGTGCATGCATGCATGTGCAGTCAGCGTGTGTTTCGGGATATCAGTATATATTAATTTGGCCTGGCTTGCCTTGCCTTGTCCCGCCCATCTATTGTAAGAAATTTTAAAGGAAAATAATGAATTTATGTTATTGATCATCAAAATAAGGAGCCTATACACAGACAATACAAAACAAACTCGATCTATGAATAAAATCAAATTTAGATATAAATCTACTAAATTTAAAACTAAATATTTAAAATATCTCAAAACATCTATTATATAATATCATATATCTAATATTGTACTTTACTCCATACATCTCTTACAATACACTTACTAGTACGTGTACTACCAAAAACTAACTCAACTGTCATAACTATGTATACATACATACACATATATATATATATTTATATTGTGGAGATGGTAGTAATATGTAAAGAGATTAAAAATCTACACCACATCCTCCACATGTTACTGCTCCCTAACCTATCTATGTAATGCACCTGCTGCCTACTTTAACTTTTTGTTATTTTTCTTTTTTCTTATATATATATTGGGACCAAAGAAAGAAAATAAACTTTATGCATCACCTAAACAGAGAGATAGATAGATTGATTGATTGATTGCATACAGAATGCAGCCAAGCATGAAAAAGTGTTGGGAGGGGTCAGGCAAACCCTGTCCACAAATTAAATATATGATTTCTTACATTGTGACCCTCATCAATCTTCAAAACAATTGGAAAAGATCAGATGGAAAAATCAATTGAGACTAAGTCTTACACTTAAGAGATTAATGAAGCAAGATCGAATTAATTGTTATCATCATGATCATAGTATAATCAATCATCTTCTCCTCCTCCTCCTCTGTGATGATGAGTCTCCATACATTTCAGGAGAAACTTGAAGGTCTCGATTTCGCAAGGGATCGTCAGCCCTCCACCGTGATGAAATCCAAACTCCTCCTCGACCTTCTCCAGCAGCACCTTGAATAGTGGATCGCCGAGGTAGCTTGTCGGGATAATGAACCTTCGAAGCTCCTGGCCGACGTACACTGCGAGGTACCCTCGGGGGACATCCGTCGGCGTCTTAGGACTCTGCCCTGTTTCGTCATCCGAAGCGCATCCATTGCCGTTGGCCTTGTTGCTCAGTGTCACTCTTTGCCATTTTTGAAGGAACCCTTTGAGCCTAACGATTTGCCTGATCCCTGTCAACTTCCCATTCTCATCCATACCTGTAGTTAAAAGGATCCAATTCAAGAATTTGATACAGAAATAATGCCTCAAACCTGAATGGATGAATGAATGAATGATCGATCACTATAAAACATTAATCAAGTGACTGCCCTGAATTGAGTTGACCATTATATTTAAAATGGCACTTATATAACATGATCCACCTTCTTCACTCACTACAGAATCACTCTATCTGATCTCACATCAATAATTCCATGTGAAGATATGCTGATGCTCAAGCAGTGATATCAAGGGGCTTTCACATGGCTATGGTATTTAAATAACACCATTGATCGACGACTTACTATCATGAATTAAATTATCTATGTAATATGAAAGATCAGTAACAGCTCCAACCCGAAATTACAAATTAGTTAATATTGGCTGGAAAAGTAAGGTTAATAGAATGCTGTTTCTGTTTTTTTTTTTGGTTCAAGCATTTCGTCGAACACCTGATGATACCTCATCCCTTTCTACAATCCGTCACAAAACTTATAAGTTCCACAATAACCTCATCGACTCAAGAGTAAGCCAAGATCAGAACTTGAAAAAGGTACATTAATATTAAAATTAAAATATGGAGAAGTACAAACAGTTTTGTATATTAGTTTAAACTCTGAGCAAAATCGGCTGATTAATTTTCAATTAGGTATTCTTGGCAGAATCCACATGCGTCGCATGTTGTCATCATTGTCAAGCCTGCATTTAATTTTATAATCCGCAGATGAAAACCAGTCATCGTCTCCAACATCCCTGGGATTCTATACATATAATATATTATATATATACAAATTTATATGAGTAAAATCAAATTACGGAAATTAATAATGAAATTGATAACAAAAATATCAAATGGGGATGTAGCTCAAATGGTAGAGCGCTCGCTTTGCATGCGAGAGGCACGGGGTTCGATCCCCCGCATCTCCATTTTTTATATTTTATTTTTTCCATTCGCTTTTCACAGGTGTGATGGGGGAAGCAGCAGATGGTGGGCAGATCTCATCCACCCCTTTTCTCTTCTCGTCGCCACAATGTGAAATCTGTTCTATCCTCCTTATCTCTTATTGAAATTACAACGACAATCTTCTATCTAAATCAGAAGCCCTAATTCGAAACGAAATAGCATTGCAGAATTAGGCTCTGCTGCTTCCAATGGCGTCCATTTCTCTTCCTACCACAAATCATGTCTTCCCTTCGGCAGTGCATTCCCAACCAAAACCTACATTCATCTCTCAGAACCTCTCACCTGTGTCTAACTTTTCAGGGTCTCAATTTCTCGGCCTCAAGCTCTGTAAACCCTCCAATCGTTCAGTTCCCTATTCTGCTTCCGTGAAAACCTCCGTCACTGCTAAGGTATAACATTTCGCACCTTGCCATGTTTTTTCACAATTTACCAGTCTGTTTAGAGAAATTTCTGGTCTTTGCTTGAATTACATTTTGAATTCATATATACAGCTGTGGTTGGCTTTGCTTAGTCTAATGTTGCTGATTAATCCTCATTAATTTGGGGGAATGATTAACTTGAAGGTGACGAAAGGATCAGTTCCTCCTAGCTTTACATTGAAGGATCAAAATGGAAGGTCCGTGAGCCTCTCTAAATTCAAAGGCAAGCCTACAGTCGTTTATTTCTATCCTGCAGATGAAACCCCAGGTTGCACCAAACAAGTAAGAAGTCATTTTAATGTCGAAGGGATAAAAGAACATCCCGGAGGAATAGACAATCTTCTACATTCAGTCTAGCAATGTTCTGATCAGATGAAGATTGAATTTTTGTCAGAATAAAGATCTTCAATTTATGCTTGCAGGCGTGTGCCTTTAGGGATTCGTATGAAAAGTTCAAGAAAGCAGGGGCTCAGGTTGTAGGCATCAGTGGAGATGATGTAGAGTCACACAAGGTATATATATATATATATATATATATATAGGTATACAACTATTCTATTGAATTCGATTCAATCACGGTGGAACTGGGAACTGGTTAATTATTGTGACAATTGGAAACCAATCAAATTCTGGAATTTTGAAATGAAGTGAGTTAGCCATCAATTTGTTTCTGTCATTATCGGACAGCTTAGCTAGCTGCCTTTCTTGTCCGAATGCTTGTGGTGTTGATGTAGGCCTTTGCTGCAAAATACAAGCTGCCATTTACCTTGCTGAGCGACGAGGATAACAGGGTCAGGAAAGAGTGGGGCGTCCCGGGGGACCTTTTCGGCGCATTGCCTGGAAGGCAGACTTACGTCCTCGACAAGAATGGTGTTTGTCGACTTATATACAACAATCAATTCCAACCCGAGAAGCACATCAATGAGACCTTGAAGTTTCTTGAATCTGCTTGAATTGAAACTCAAATTTTATTTCATCCAAACATGCTATACTAATTCTTTCCATGTCTTAAACTCATTTATTTCGATTGTAATAGGAATAAAGGCTTTCTTATATGTTATTAATCGTCTTCTTCGATGTAGTCTTGGCTGTTATAGGGGCTGAAAGCTTCGGCGATCCAGGTCTTCTTCCTCCACGAATTCCATCCCATCTCTTGGCAAATTTCATCGCTGTGGTGGATGCTGAAAGTCGATATACAGCTTCTTTTGTAGAATCTCGTGGTTTGTCTCATGATGTTCATCTCCTCCTTTGTCTGGTCGAGCATTTTCTCCACATTCGGGAGCTTGAATTTCCCATCCAGCAGCCGGGACAACCACTTGCAGCGAATCTCAGATGTCTGGAGATTCGAAACACTCTCAATGTATCCCACAAAGGCCATGTTTGGGATCAACGGATTGATCGTTCCCCTGACATCGTAAGGATTGATCAGATGCTGCAATGGAACAGTGAGGATCAAATCGAATAGTAATCGTAATAAGACAGACCTATATAAGGGCATCATGCCTGAAGGAAATTCGAGCAGAGATCGGAAGGGGTCTGGAATTATGGCCTTAAGTTTCTGCTTCGAATCAAATCCTGTGGCAAGAATAACAACATCTGCATCCAATTTGGAGCCATCGTCAAACTGAACCCCTCCCTCGAAGAACCACCAGTTTGCAGCTCTTTTGATAGCGATTTTTCCTTTCTCGGCCTCGGAGAAGAAGTTTTGAGGCAAGATTGCCATTTGACACGATGCGTAGTCTTCCTCGAAAGGGTGATCGGGTTTTAGTCCGTACTTGGTGAGGGGAAGCTTCCATGTTAGATACGATTCGATGATCTTTGATACTGCTCTCCTCTGCATTGCAAATTATAATTAGAGTATATTTTGGAACAAATTGACAAGTTCTTTCATGATTGTTTTGATTAGTGAATTATTTAATTAATTACCATAGGAGAGAGCATGTGAGAAATTAGGGTTCTGAGGAAACCCTGGTTAGGTGTTGGGTGGAGGAATTGGGAAGCCCTGGTTGAGTAGAAGAGGTAAAATGGGAGACCCCAGATTGAGTAATGTGGGATTGCCCAATGTAATGTTCTTACAACCATGGTGCAGGTGCAACCTTCCCCTTCTGGACCTATATACAATAATATATATATATATATATCAACTTATGCATGTAAGAATATTCACGTACAGTTCTTTCGATTTATGCAGGCTTTTTGACTCCAGATTATTATTATTATTATTGTTATCTGTTTCCATATGATATCATCGCAAAATATAAACACAGCAAGTCAATTAACGAAACAGGTGAATTCTGCGTAGCTAGGGTCATGGCTACATCAAAAAATTAAAAAAGACACAAATAGCAGCAACAGTGTGTGAATGAGGATAAAATAATGTAATGAAATTTAGTAAACCCTAATTAATTATTGACAAAGTTGGAGATGCCATGACTAAAAGACGAATTCACCAGAAATGGAAACTTTGACTGGCCCCATCATCACCCACACCCATCGTATACCAGAAAAAAAGGAAAAAAATTCTTGTCAAAAAGTACGACCACGACATCGATCCATCAATTACTACTACTCTTTTCTATTAGCTAGGGTTTCAATTCATTCAAATAATAAATATTGTAATAAAATGAGTTGTTAGGGGATTCCTCAATCGTTTTCTATGGCAGCACTGTCACTCGACGCTACACAAGAAGAATGGATCAGTACTGAATCCAAGTGCATCCTTTTCACATTATATTTGATAAATAAATTCAAATTAATTATATTAAATGATAGATTCTGTATGTATGTATACCTTGGTTGGCCTGGGCACACTCAACAGCCAGATCAATGGCAGATTTCTTGTAACCAATGACGACAACGTTGTTGCCTTTGAGCAAAAGGGTTTGTTGATCCTGATTCAGTTTGCAGTAATCAAGAGTGTGCAGAAGTCTCCCTTTAAATATTTCAGGGCCTTTGTCTTGTGGGAATTTGGGGATTCGTGGGATGTCGCCATATTTTCCAGTACAGATTACAAGAAACTCGAAAGCATACCACTGCAAAATTAAAAGTATAAGAAGACAGATTCTTAATTATCAGAAATTAGAACTAGAACTAGAACTAGAACTAGAACTAGAATTAACCTCCACAATTGTCTGGTTATGAACATCATCGGAGTGGGTGTCGGGTAGTGTTCGAACAACTTGGACCTCCCAGACAGGGTGTCCTGGCAGCAAGCTTCCGTACTGATCTTCTTCTCCATCATCTCTGGCCTGTTGCTGCAGATACCGAATGTGGACGACCTTGGAATTGAATTTGACGAATCCGAGGAGGTCGAAGTGGGTGGCGTAGGAATGCAAGTAGTCGAGAATGTCCTGGTAAGAAGGGAAACGGGTGTTGTCCCTCTCCTGCCATGGAAAGTCAGAGAATTCGTAGTCACAACGAGGGGTCTGCAGCGTCGTTGATCTGTAAGAGCAGTGCTTCCAAACCCCTCCAATGGAGTCCGTCGCCTCCAACACCACCGGCTCATGCTCCCGAAGCTGCTTCGCCGCCGCCATGCCGCTCACGCCGCCGCCGATTATCCCGATCTTCTTGCTGCAGCAGTACTGATGATCATTCACAGCCATGCTAGCAATTTCTTAAATGTATAATGCAGTGATTTTTTATTATTATTATTTTTTAATTGTTGGGGTGGGATTTGAGAGTGAAGAGTTTGCAGCTATTTATAGGCGAACTTGCATGGAAATTTGTTGAGAAAATTAAAATAATAATAATAAATTTTCTTAAGAAATTTTGCATTTTTCATGGCTCTAAAATAAAATCACAATTTATATTTAATTTTTGTTTAAATGGTCTTTTACTTAATCTTTTGTAAGAGAAAATATTGTATTTTTATTAAAAATCCGATATAATAGTTATATTTATTTTTTTGAAATAATAAACACTACAAGAAAATATTAATTTTCTAACAAGTTTTTTTTTTTTTTTTTTTTTTGTTGTCCCTAAATTCATTTTTTCGTTACTAATAGAGACGAAATTAGGGAGGAAATCGCGTTAACTACGTGAACTTTAGGGACGAAATTCCGTTACTAATATATTTTTTTAAGTGCAAAAAAAGGGTTGACAACTATAAATTTAAAGAAAAGACTTCATAATATATAATTTCTTATAAAGGAGGATTATAAGTTTTATTCAATATGGCGATGATATATATATCTACTTGACCTAATTAATGAAAACATTGCGAATTTTTTGAAATAGTTTCTTCCAATAAAAACCTTTTCTTTTCTACAGTAGTAAATTTAAATCAGAGGAAATTGGCAAGAAAAAAAGGTAACATAACATAAATTGTAGCAGCCCATATGTGATAATCAATTGTAGACAACGAAAGGAGAAACAATAAAGTTGAATGAATTTTCTAACCATGGAAAAGTATTTCAATTCTAGATTATACATACATAATATTATATATATATATATAGTGCACAAAATTATATATAATCATGATATATATCATTTGTGTGTTTGATATAAGAAAAAACAAGAAACTTTAATGTCTTTAAACTTTAGGATATTAATTGGATTGAAATTTTGTCTTTCAAGATTTATGTTTTTCAAAGTTGTGGAATTGTTAATTTCAAAATAAAAATCAATAAATAAATAAGATTAAAGAGAGTAGTAAGGAGGAATTAAAGGTAATATCAATGCTTTAACAAAATAAATAAAGAACAGAACTTGTCCTGTAAAAAATGGTTCGATAGTATTGGATGAACTCATGGCCGTAAAAAGTAGAGACGGGAGTTTCTATATCATAAATAATAATAATAATAATAATAAAGAAGGAAAGAAATTTTTGATATATAATATATGTATGCATAAATGTTTTCATTTGTCTAACAAATTTCTCCGCAAAAATAAAATGAATGATCATTTTCTTGTGAACAAAAAGAAAAAGAAAAACTAATACTATCTCCGTCCGACTCTAAGGTCTCATTTATTTTTTATATATTGATATTTGAATATTAATTATTATATAAAACATAATACAAATTAAGGAAAATTGATAAAAATATATATATATATAATATTATTATAATAACATTTGTGCAAAAAATTATAAATATAAAGATATTTTTAATGTTAATACAATACCGCAAAAGGTAAATGAAACTTTTAGAGCCAACCGAAAGAAATAATAATGAAGGGATAACGATAAGTAATTATAAATCAGAAGGGTATGTGTATATATTATATTTTATATAAAATTTAAACATTGAAAATAATGTGTGAACACAAAAAAATATAAAAAAAAAAAAAATTATACTAATATATATATAGTAGAAATTAACAACATTCACTAATAATAAGTGATAGTTGAGTTGATAAATTAGATATGATATGATAGACTTGAGTCAATCCACATCCTTAATCAACTTGTCAATCTTTAAGGTACTAATTGTATTATAATTATTAAATAATATAATCACTCCTAATAAACAATACCAAGGTGAATTGTTGTTACTCCCTCCCTCCGTCCCATTGAAAGGTTGTCATTTTTCATTTTCATTCGTCTCAAAATAAGATTACCATTTATTAATTTAGTAATTGTATTTACTATCTAACATAATAAATATCCTTCCAACTTACACTATATTGCATAAATGTCATTACTTTTATATTACACAATACTAATAGGGGTATTTTTATTTTTTTTCACTACAACCTATTATAATACTAATATTTAAAAATTTACGTGCAAAAAGTAAACGACAATCTTGCACCGAGACGGAGGGAGTATAAAAATTTGAATTACACTTTGTGGAGCAAAACATTATACTGTTCCGTACGCACAAATAATCAATTTACAAGGATATGACGAAACACGTACCTAAAAAATTAACTTATTTAATTAACCACTCATAAACACAAAGTCTAACTAGTTCCTCATTAATCTGATGTTTTTGACCGCTACCTCGTAGCTTTATGGCACGAGTCAATGGGTTGAAACGCAGCAAAAAGTCAAACCAATTTCCCAACCAATGTATATATAATAAAAAATACTACTTAATTAAATAAAATTAAAAGCAATGTGCATATTTATATGGTTAGTTTATATTGTATTAATATAATTTATGTTTTTATTTTTTTAATATTGCGTGATGATTTTTTTTATATTTTATATTATATGAGATTATGTCATATGTTACTCTGTATGTTTATTCGTCTGTTATTACAATACAGGTTATCAGTTTATGTACGTGTTTTTATATTAATATAATCAATGTGTTTTTGTTTTTTTCTTGTATTTTATTTGTATTTATATTATCTGCTATCAATATTGTATTGAATTTTGTATATAGACCGCATGCATACTATACTAGAAATTTATAGATATAATTGAAATTTTTCATGGCCAACAATAAAAAAGATTTTCAATTTTACTATTAATTAATTAATGTCATAGTGTATTGTTTAATGTCCCAGTGTTCAGACACACGTAAGTCGTTTTTGACCCTCACCAACTCGTGGTTGACTTGGAGGTTTATGTTTTATTAGTATTAATGTTTTTTGATTAGTTCAAGTGGGATTACCTTATTTTGTAGTAATTAATTAAATAAATAAGTTATACTATGTTATTATTATAGCCTAACTTTCATTAAGAAAAAAATAATACTAATAATTTCTCATATTTCATTTAAAATGTGTTGGCTAATTTACGTACTTGTATTTAGTATCTTGTCTACTACCATCATACTAGTTTTTAGAAAATACTAAAATTTAATTTTAATATAATCCTAATATTTCGTATATCAATAATAATACAAATGTACTTTCTCATCATCATTGGATACAAATTTAATGTGATTAAATTTCAAATGTAATTTAATTTTGTCCCAATATTGATCACAATTTGACTAATTGAAAATCAATTGAGCTTCAAAATTCTTTAAGATTGAAATGTTGTGAAGTTCACACACGGTACATGAATGAATTGCAGAAAAATAGACCTACAAATAAATAAATGTATATTAATAAATATATATATATATATGTGTGTATTAAATCATGTCCATAATTCCTTTATGGTGGGTCACAACCCATCTCCTATTTATTTTTTATAATTTTTAATAAAAATATAGTATTTTCTTTTTACAAAATATCAAATTAAAATATTCATTTGTTTCCCTTAAGATATATATTTATTTTTTGCATTGATTTTAAGAAATAATAATATTTTAATAAAATGAATAGTTAAGATAATGTAAAGATAATTTTATTTTATTTTTTTAAAAAAAATAATAATACAATTATTATCAACGCCTATGTATATCAAATTGTGTAATTATTTCAATTTATAATTTTTACTGTTCAAAATACAAATTCAAAATTCAAATCATCGAACATAATGAATTTTTATTCAAAGTTGTGTATATACTTACAAATAAAAATACAAACCAAACACAAGTCACGTTTTTGTATTGTTTGTTTGATCTCAATATCGTACGGTCCTCGAAAATTATTCCTCTCATCTTCCCACAATATAAAACTTGGATTTGGAAAATTAATAATTAAGATATATAATAGGGAAATGGAATTATTTGATAAAATATTTTATGAGATGAAAAAAATGTATTTTCTTTTTCGAAAAATACAGATTTTAAATAATATAATCGGGAGAAACTCGTTTAAAGAACATACCTGAATACTGTAAATAATAATAATAATAATAATAATAATAATAAAAGACTCACACTCACTACGTAAATTTCTACCAAGACAACAAATAATTTTACTTTAGTATAGAATTAGTAATTAATTAAAGAGAGAGTCAGCTGATCTGTTTTACCCGTGGAAGGTTGATATTTCAAATTAAATAAATAATAAAATTATGTAGTTCAATCAAATTTAACCTGGATTAATTATTAATTTGGTAAATTACTTGAAATTCAACACTGCTTAGTTTAACTATATATTAATAAATTAATTAATTTCAATTTTTTTAATCCATTGTATATACAATTTGTCAACGGGTTTGCACACTAAATTATAAGGCTTTCATTCATTCATTCATTCACATATAGGGTTTGTTTGATTGTGGGTTTGGTAAAAAAATTCATTATAAAATAATCTTATAATATAATATAAATAAATTTAATTGTAATATTTCGAATAGAAAGAAAAATATATTAAATATAAAATATTTTAAATGAAATATATATATATATATATATGTGTGTGATTTGATTACAAGCTGCGTAGACTAATAAAAAATAATAAATAAATAAATCTATGGTGTTTTGAAAATATATATTTATAGCAATGAGATTTTAGAACGTGTTTCTTTTAAGATTCCATACCATTTTTACGGTTTAAAATTCACATTTCTTGAAAAAAAATTATTTTTTTTTAAGAAAATATTACATAAAATGATTTTAAATAAAAACTTAAAAGATTTAAACTCAATATAATTAAACCGATAAGAAACACATTTTTTAGGCTCAACAAGGGTCTATAGATTCACGAAGGAGAGAATGAATGGAGAATTTTCTCAATTTGATGACGATTGTTCACAATTTTCGGACAAAAAAAAAAGAAAAGAGAAAAAGAGGGCATAAAATTATGGTTAACATTATATGCACTTACGACATTAATTTCCACAAAGTAGAGCACAAAACAAATAGGGTTTGTTGATCATCAAATGTACGTAAATGGATATTCTTGCTCTTGTCGATAACGAATGACCTCAATGTCGACCAATCACTCCATTATTGTGTTATTACTTTGTCCAGAATGCGACACGTAGATTAAGACAGCAGGATCATTTTTAGGGTTTCTATCTGAAGGCTGGCAGATAGATACACAGAGACATACACTAATAGTAATGTACGTAGAAGAGTGTCCTATTTGATGAAGGTGCATGAATGTGTGTGTGTGTGTATATATACACACACATAAGCACCAAGAATTCCAATGGAAAATGGAAAGGAAAGGAAAATGAAATCGACCCAACAATTTTCATTTAGCTGTCTTTTCAAATGCAAAAGGACACAAAATTAAGGGGTAGTGTGGTTCCTAGGAAAATTCTTGTGAGATGTTTGTTGTCTTCACTTTTGTAAGTGCCAATATTATTTTGTTATTAATTCCTAACCGCTTAAGTTTATAAGTAAGACAATTAGGAAACTTTGAGGGTGTTAGTTGAGAATCTTTTATATATATATATACACATATATTTGTATTTTTTATACAGATAGAAATGATGAATGGGTCTCACTTAAAAAAATAAAATAAAATAAGAAAATAATTGATATAAAATAAAATATAGAAATATAATGCAAAATTTGACACTAAAAGCTAACAAACACGCCCAAGTAATGTTCAAATATATGAGCCAGCCCAGCTTGTTTCTATGGGCTCAATTTTTTATTTAATGGATTGGGCTTAATACTGCCACCTGGCCCATATTTGATTATTTGGGCCTCCTATCATTGTTTGGTTCATTAATTCTCGGCGATCGCAAAAACCAATCGTATTGCTCCACGTAAGGAACAGCGTGTATAGTCCGTACCGCATACATCATCGACACTATCGACAGCAGGCAGTGAGTAAGCCGAGGTGGAGCAATCCAGTGTTACGCAGAGGGCAAGTGGAGGTGGACAAAACCCAATCGTTGCGTTACACGTGTCCCGAGAGGAGTCATTTTGCTCGTTTCGGTGCATGCGGTCCGCGGCAAGTGGCAATCTGTACTCCCCATAGATGGACGGTCCAGATTTCCTGAGATCTTCCCTGTAACCATTTAAGCAGCCCCCACTGCCCTCCACAGACGCACAGCAAAAGCTCCTGGAGGGTTTCGCTAATGGCGAAAATGGGCACCGCCGCATTGGAATCTCCGCTGGAGGCTCTCGCACTCAATTACTTGACCTACGGATTCCTCGCCGTGGTCAACAGTGTCTGGGCGTGGATCGCCGTCGTCACGGCCGCCGTCAGCTTCTGGAGAATCAGAGCTTTGTCTTCGCCGCCGGAGCTGCGCAGAGATGCTGTATCGACGTCGTCCTCGGCGGCGCGACCGGAGGAGGAACAGGCGGCGCAATTGAACCCTCCCCGGCCTCCGGCGGCCGGCGGCGACAGAGAAGGCTCGACGAAAACGAAATTTATAGTGCACTACAAAGTGGAGGATTTCCGGCAAGACGATGACGGCGGTGAGACGGATGAAGATGCCGAATCTCCGGCGGCGGCGGAATTGGTCGGATTTTGCGAGGATTGGGAGAGAATGTTGGTGGTGAGAATGGGGGATTTGGGGTGGTACCGGTGGCAAGATAGGGCGGTGGTGGACGGCAGTGTGGTGCGGCTGTGGAGGAGAGCCACGGCGGCGGGCGGCGGCGGTAGGTTTTTGTAAATCACATAAATTTGGTGGGGCTGGAAGGAATAACAAGTGGCTGGCGATTTACGTATGTTTTGAGGTCTCTCTCACTCTCAGAGTCAAGATTAAATTAAAATTTAATCGAAGAAATTTGTAGATACACCTTCGTTGTCGTGTTATAAGAGCCAGATTTTCGTCGATATTTGAAAATACGAAATTGCCCTCATCGCTCGATTAAATATATACTAGTACTACTTAATAAATTAAGTAATAAGGACAAATATGGGATTTAAGAAGAAGTAATTAATGAGGGAACACTTTGACGGCTACTAAAAGTGATTCCATTTCCATGATGTCTTGTCGTGTCGTCACAAAATTAATAGCGTATTGTTGCTAATAATGATGTTCTTGCTATTTAATTAATTTTTTGCTAGTTTTGGCGTTCGGTAGGAAACATGCATTATTGTTCTCAACACAACATATGTATATATTAATGTCCATTTTTGTATGTTATTATTTTGTTGGCCTAAAAATGGACCAAACAGCTAATAGCAAGAACAACTTCTTCAAAAATCTAACATAGAAAAATCTCTCAGCAAAGATTTGTTGTTTGTTGTATGATCGGACTTCGAATGATTATTTTAATGTCAAGGTCAGTAAAACGATTCACTGTCGAAGTCATTTAAACACAAAGTTATATATAGATTCAATCGAACTATACACTTAAGAAATCAATCTCCTTGTTTCTTGATTAATCCCGGCTATAAACCCATCTTCCAACTTCTCTCACTTTTAATCGTCGATATATAGACTTCCGGAATGATCACTTAATCATCTAATCCACCTTACTACCAAAATAGTTACAACAAATTTGGGTTCCTTTTGTTGATGATTAACCAATATGTTACATGTATCATTTTTTTGAATTATAGTCACCACCATAGATTGCTGGAGCAATAGTAATGTAATTTTAATAATCTTTGGGCTCATATTACCAAGGCTCAATTTTTTGTTGCAGCCTATCCAACATTCTGCAAATATCAAGAAAAATTCAATCAAAAACATAACTAGCAACAATCATCAATTTAATGTTTTGAATTTATATTTAATTGTACTTGAGACTTAAAATTAGTATAAGAAGTTTTTGATGTAAAAATAATGATATGATGGTAAAAAAAACAGTTTAAAATATTAATATATACTAATTTTTTAGTGGATAGGGGTATATATGAATTAATATACTCTAGTTATATGGTAATGTTAATATAATAAATTGACGTGTTTCTTTTGATTGAGTTTAAAAAAAACTAATTTAGATTTGATACTAAAATAATATTTGATCAAAAATTTTATGAAAATAAAAAATATATCTTTTTTAGAAATCGTAGAATCCAAATAATAAAATAAAAATAAAATAAACAAAGAAACGTACTTTAAAATCCCTCTATATTACTTTAAAAAAATATAAAATATAGTTGGAACTCTTTTTTAAAATCATAAATGGGCCGTGAGTGGCCCAATGGGCCTTCCTATTTTTTAATGTATAGGAGTCTATCCGACAAAATGGACACATGATGAAAGCTACGACAAATGCAGCCTTGCTGGAACATATGTACACACTCCTTCAAAGAAACATAATATTATTATTATTATTATTAAGACTAAGCTATCTCAAATTAATATATAAAGCAGCAAAGTTGTAGGTATATATAGATATATGTATGATTTATAATTAATACATAAAATATTATGATTTGAATTCATTGATATATGTTGGGGTAAATTATTATTTATATTAATTTATTTTTAATGTTAAATCAATCGTAATATAATATAGCTAGTATTAATTTGTATATTGTATTTGTATCAGATTAATATAAATAGTATAATATTGTTACATTATCCTTTTATATTTTATATATTCTTAATTTTCAGTGTTCCCCTTCCAAACCCACACCTAATATGTTGTGTACTTAATTTGTACTCCAACTTGTCGGCAGTGCTGTTCATAAATACATACCGATAATAACCTCTACATGCTACAGACACTGTAATAATAACAGTTAAATTTTAAATTTTACTGTATTCAAGTCAAGGTAACTTAACACTATTAATTATCTATTTTTATATTACTATAATATTAACACTCATTTTTTATTTTTATTTTTCTCAAATTTGGAAAAGGTAGGGGCTGTGGCTGTGAATTCATACATGATACATACACATATACGTATAGGAAGCATTAATTATCGATTTGAATTTTTAGCAAAAATTGGGTAGGGATGTAATAAAAGATGGCCATAGAACCTCTGCAGATGCCCACATGCATTGCTCTGCATGCCTTTTTATTATTATTATTCTTTTTTCGATATGCAAATATACCACCATATATTAAATTAAATTAAATTAGTATTTAAAAGGGGGATTTTATTTTTATGTGTATAAAAGGAATAAGGGTATACGGATTTAGGGCATGGGACCATTTGCGCTAGTGTTAGTCCTAAATTGTGAAAAGCAGTTTCTGACAGAGTAAAGTGAAATTTAATACTATATAAGTGGTTGGTCACCTTTCGACCGTTGATTGGGTATCAATTTATAATTTATTACATTACATGCCCTTAAGATTGATTATTCAAGTTTCGGTACAATTTCTTCTTCGAGTAGGAATTTAATTTGAAGGTCGAACTCAGCTCAACTGTAGTATAGTATCCGATGATGCAACGAATTAAATCATTTATTATTATATTATATATTTATTGTTGGTTGCTACAACGTGAGTATTTAATTCTTTCTACCTTATTTGTTATTATTATTATAGTTGCAGAGGACAGGGTAAATGTAATGTAAGTAAATTAAATGGCTGGTAAATTCTGGTGGTGGAAATTAATGACCGATGGACACGTGTCCGGTTTTGATTTGTTGAGTGATTGAATTAATACCAAAGTGGTGTAACGATATCCCATCCCATCCCATCCCGACGTCAGGTTAGCTACCCATTCCTTCTCCATCGCTCGCCTGCGTGATTTGACATAAATGCCCTTTATTCCCCGCCTCCGAGTTGAGGTTAACCGATGCGGTCCAGTTCCCACCGTTGGATGATAACAAACTAGGCGGTACGCATTTTGTACGAATTAAAAATATTTAACATATAATAAGTTTGAAAAAAATTTGATTTGGGTTTGATATTATAATAATGTATGATAAGATATTTTGTAAAAGAAAAAATATATATATTTTTTTCGAAAATACAGAATTCAAATAGTAGAAACTTGAGATTTTGAATGTAAAGAAACACACCCATAGTCTCTTCGTCCTAGTGGAAGGTTCATATTTGTTTTTTTCACATAGATTTTTGAATATTAGTATTATACTAAATTGTAATAAAAAAGACAAAAATACTAGTATGATATAATGTAAAAATAATGACACTTGTGTAATATATTATAAATTGAAAGAGTATTTATTATATTAGATAGATAGTACAATTACTAAACGGAGAGAATATTTTCTTCAAAAATATATTTTTAAAAAATCTATATATTATATAAACTTACTATTTTTATATTATTTATATAATTTTTTATAATTAATATAAAAAAATTAAATTTTTTATATAATCAGTGTTAAAGAATATCTTCCCTCAGCTCAGTCTTTTTGGTTCTTGAGAATGGTCGCCATGTCCCAGGACCGGAATGATTATCCCTGCAGGCTTTCCCAAAAGCTTCTTCAATTTTGCGAAGAATCTATAGAAATTGGTTTTGGTTTTTAAATATTTTTTGGTCAATCCCAATCCAACTAGCGCTTTCTTCGATCCTTCTCGTTTTAAGACTGCCCGAGTTTCAATCAAAGTTTAAACAAACAAATTTCTAGCTATTTTTTTTTTATATATATAAAAGTAAATATTTAACAAAATATGATTTATATAATATTAACGGAATCCTAAACAATGTCACTCTCTGAGGGAAACTTAGGCTTGACAAATTATACTAGACGAATTACGTGTCACAGATGACCTAGAGACATCGAGAGTTTAAACCTATGATCTCACTGTCATAAGTCTACTCTCACATTGCTGGAAATCCCTTGCGGACAAATTGGTTCATTTATCTGTGTTCTTGCATTTTAAGAGAAGAGATTTATTCACATTGGTTGGTGGACTTCCGTTTATAAATAAATTTTAAAAATTTAAATTTATGTAAAATAGTTATTTACATTATCCAACATATCAAAACTTTAAGTCTTGAATTCAAATGCTTTTAACTCTTTTTTTTTTTTATTAAATATCTAGTCAAAATTCCAAAATTCAAAAAAAAAAATTGATCATACCCTAGATATCCGTATGAACATGCAAAATAGTATAAAATAAATAAAATATCTAAACTGCCAATAAATACCCATCTGTTCTCTCTTATTTTGCAGCACTCCCAATACTAAAAGCTTAGCTCACTCCCCCATTTCACACACATCCGACACTTCCGGCCACCGCCGGAATCTCATTTCAACAACGAAAATGAAAAGCGCCCTCCGTTCAGGTCTCCTCCTCCTCTTCCTCTGGCCGCTACTTACGCCGTCCGGCGCCGCCAGCGCGCCAAAACACGACCTGGTCCGCCGCTCCTGCGTCCACGCCAGCTACCCGTCGGTCTGCCTCCGGACACTGGCGTCCTACGGCGGCGCGGCCAGCAACCCCCACCAGCTGGCCCTGGCGGCGGTGAGGGTGAGCGTGGCGCACGCGCGCAGCGCCTCAGAGTTCCTGTCACAGCTGAAGATCAACGGCCGGCGGGAGAAAGGAGCCCTCGCCGACTGCGTGGACCAGATGGGAGAGTCTGTCGACGAGCTGAGCAGGACCCTGGCGGCGCTGAAGCACCTCAACAGCGGCGCCGACTTCCGGTGGCAGATGAGCAATGCGGAGACGTGGGTCAGCGCCGCCCTGACGAACGAGGACACGTGCCTCGACGGATTCAAGGAGATCAGCGGCGGAGTCAGGAAGGACGTCCGCCGGAGAATCACCGGCGTCGCCAGAGTCACCAGCAACGCTCTCTACCTCATCAATTTACTGGACGAGACGCGCGGCTAGATTCATAAGTCGTGGTTTTAGTTAAAAACACGTTTTCGGTTTTTTTATAATATAAGCGCTTTTTGTTTTTTTGTTTTTTTTATATATAAAATGCCATCTGTATATTTACTTATAAGTCGCGAAAAATCGCGCTATGCAATGTGGTTTGCTTTTATATCCGCAATGTACGTAGCCAGTCAATAGCGCCGTGTTTGGGTGTGCATAATTTTGCTTGTAATGTAATTTCTATTCTACTGAAACACAACTTCCTTTTCTTCTTAAGGTGAGCTATATATAATAATCAATTCCCAAATAATTGCAATTAATTATTTTGGTTCGACTAATTTAATGAAAGAATCATAGTTAATTGTCGGGAGATTCAGGAAACGTATTGGTATGATTGATTAACGACAGTTGACAGCATTGTCGTCGTCGTAGTTCCTTCGTGTAGCCAGCCACTCCCGGGAGCGCAACTCCCGTCTTGATCTGATCTACAAACCCTATATTATAATGAACGGCGGGGATGATCCAGGGATCTGAGAGTGAGATGAGATCCCTATAGTATTAATTAATTTATTGCTTCCGTGACCTAAAATGTCGACCAATGGAGATGAAGAGGAGTTGTGTATAATAAGTGAGCACGTGATGGATGGATGGATGAAGCATCACAGAGATGCTCAATTATTTTCGTGGCCCCTACTATTTGAATTCATAATGGGTTACTTGTAAAAACTCAATAAAATATGTCTCCACAACTGAGAAATTAATCTATAGTATATCAATTTATAATCTAATCTATAATTAGATACACTTAAAACTTAAGAAATCCCTAGTCAACAGACCAGCGTCCACTTTTCAACAATGCAAGGTTTCCAAACCTATGAACCCCCAAATACGAGGTTATGGGATGGTTTTCCCATCGCACTTTTGTTCTTAAATGTAGCTAATTATATTTCTAATCGAATCCAATCGACAAACTTGCTGGAAGAAGGTAAAGAAATACGGGATATACCGACACTATTTAACATTGTTTAGTCAGCCATAAAAGAAAGGAACCAAAATTTAATCATACAGGTTAGCTAACGAGCAAGTTTTTGCAATACTGGATAATAGTACATAGAAAACAGCTCGTTTCAATCCAAATCCAGGGTTAGTGCTCACAAAAATACTGCATTTAGTGATCTCTGGCAAAGGTTAAAACAGTGATGATGGACTCACAAGCTACCCACATCAATTCAATTCAATTCATTTCAATTCATCTCTTCTCTCCATGTGCTCGGTCCATCGAATTGTCCAATGCAGCCAACTTACAACCGGAACCACTGCATATGCAAAGCACCAGTTGCATAGTCAAGACACTTTAAATTAAATAAAAATATTGCAAATGTGTAGGCCTATATATGCTTTGGCATAAAATAAGTAACATCGATACATTGCACAGCTATTTGATTCAGAAAGATGAAGATGAATTTTACAGTTGTTAACAAATGTGTGCTTTCATAATTGATGTATTGTAGACTTCTTTTTCATCAGCAATCAGCATGTAAGTGTTTTTTTATTAGCTTAGGCACATTGCATACATACCTCCACCATGATGCTCTCCTCAATTGAAGTGCCATGAAGTCTACTTAAATGGAGCAAACAAAATTGATGAATTGTGGCCACCAAACCCGAAAGAATTAGATAGAGCCACCTTAATTTCCAGCCTTTCTTTTGTTGGTCCTACCAGCACATTGGTGTCCTGGATCAATTGTAGATGTCAATAAATGCTGTATAGCCTTATCTATGAATATAATGGTAAATTCATGGATATTTTACCCATCTGACTTTATTCATTTATGCCAATGTTTAAATTTTAGGTGCTCATAATTCATGACTTAAGAGATTACACGTCTACAACCACAATAAATTTTCAGTTGTTCAGTCCTTAATTAAACTTAAGAGTGTTTTCCCTTTTCTATAGGTATTATTCTTTCATTCTTCTTCACTTGAGTTGCGACTGGAAAAAGATAACATGCTAAAATACACTCCATTTGTTAGAGGAACTACTGAAGATAAGGAGCAAAAGAACATACCACAGCATCGTCTGGGTTTTCAAGATTCACATTTGGATGAACCCAGCCAGTCCGAATAGCCTAAACAAAATGAAATAGAATTTAACCATTGAGGGTATAAAATGATTAGCTAAGCTCATCAAAGAGCGCAAGCAAAACAGGAAAGTGAAACGCCAGCTGGATATAAAATTTTGGGCTTCATCGATCAATGGAAAGACCAGATAACATGCATTAAGAGAATGCTATGAATGCATAAAGTACACATAAGAGAGAGAACTCAGAAGCACAAATCTAAAAGGACAAAGTCCTGATTAAAGAGAGTCAACAATCATTCTCTTAAATTATCAAATATGAAGGCGAACCTGCACAGTTGCTACAGCTTCAACAGCACCAGATGCACCAAGAAGGTGACCAATCATAGATTTTGTGGAGTTGATTTTTAACTGCAAAACCACCATATTAGTGAATATGTGTACCTAAAAAATTTTCCAGTATACTACCAAGTTTTTTATTTGATTACCTCCGAGTTCTGACCGAAACATTTAATAAGAGCTTCATATTCCTTAAGATCACCAGCTGGGGTAGATGTGGCATGTGCATTTATGTAATTGACCTCTTCCTTGGATACTCCTGACTGAGCCAGAGCCTTTTCTATGCAGAGAATTACCCCAGCTCCTGTTTCAAGATTGAAAGGGCTAATTGTATTGCAGTTTCTTTATAACATCAAGAGAGATGTGCTACAACACATAATGGAGTGTCGGTCAAAAGTAGTCTTAAATATAGTCGACTGACAAATAATGACTATTAGAATTGATCATACAGAGGATGAACCTATCAGTAAGTGTGTGAGCACAATATGCAGGAAGCATATAAATAAAATAAATAAATTAAACAATTTTAGTTGAAATAATAGGGAAAACATTACAAGAGCCACCAAAAAATAATACCATGGATAATCAGTAAAGTCCACTAATCAAATAATTCATCCATTTTGATGTCAAATTTAAGCGAGCAAAGTTATAGTATTATGCCACAGTAACCTATAGAGAACTACCACATGCATTGCTTCAACCAAACTGTTAAGCCATTAAAATTATTCAGGCTACATTGCCAAATATAGTCTATTGAATGCGCAAATTCCTAGCTGGTCATATTTTAGGAATGTGAAAATTAGTCATTGTGACAAAATTAATTATCTATTGATCGAAGGGGAGAAAAATCACACTTAATAGGATAATCACAAATCTCATAAAATGAGAACCATGCTGCTGAACAAATCATTTAACCATTAAACATTCATAAAGCACAAGTTCAAAACTTTCCTGTTTCCTACAACTGAAAGAGGAATGGCCAGGAAGGAGCAGCTATATATCCAGCTACTTCTAGTTAATCCTAAAGGTTGTGAAGTGAATGCTTTTACAAGAAAACAGAAGCAGAGTTGCAGTGGAACATATTACTCAAATGAACTTAGTGTTAAATGGCAACTTTATCAATGAGAAAACTATATAAATTTTAGAATCCTCAGTTTACAAGAGATCTAACAATATATAAACCATCATATATTTAGCATTCACAGTATGTTATAGCTTTTTGTTAAGATTCCAGAAGTTTTTATGCAAGCAAAAACACAGAAGTTATTAAAGTATTGCTTGGTTAAGGTATATATAAACGATAAAGATGAGATTATTCTAGCACTTAAAAGGTGATTCAGGCCATGATTGGACACTGCAATTTATATACTTATAACAAGTATGATATCTTAGTAACTAGAAGAGTTAAGACATTCCAACCCATTCCTCTCAATTATTTCACATTCAATGTACATACAACTCATCAAAATTTCAAAGTTTTATCTTGAAAATTAGTGGGGTATACCTTTGGGGTGAGGTTCTGTCATGTGATAAGCATCACAAGTGAAGCTTCCACCAAGAAACTCTGCATATATAGTTGCACCTCTTTTCTGCATCCGTCAATTATTTATAAAATTATATCGACTAATATCAAGTCAACTGGGAATAACTGCATGTACAACAAATTACTTAGATAATTTCACCAAACAGAGTTCAAGAACCTTAGCATGCTCAAGTTCTTCCAAAAGTAATACTCCAGACCCTTCCCCCATCACAAATCCATCACGGTTCTGCAAAAGACCAATACAAAGTTATATGTAGAAGTGACGTTGAGGTCAAAAAATGAGGAACTTCAACAAGCTCCTTTTTTCCCTTTAAGGCAGTCATAAAAGTTCTACAAATAATGGCTCTTTGCACGTGTCATTGTCCTCCCATACTTTTGGACAGCATACTCTCTCAAATCCAAAACGACTCGAATATGCTTAATGAATTTTCAAGCAAAACAGTTAGAAGATGATATTATCCAAGAGATGTTTGGACAGAACGAGATGGTATTGAAAGTTGCGTAATTATGAACAACAGTCTGGGAATGGAAAGCAAAATATATATTTGGCACCCAAACATAAGATATATCAGATAACATTCAAACACTTTGCAGATGCTCCCCCAATAATTAACATATCTTCAGAAATGAAACAGGGCATTACTCTATCCCACGGGCGTGAAGCTTTAGTAGGATCAGCATTCCTCACAGAGAGTGCTCTGCATGCAACAAAGCCTCCTAATCCTGCACCAAAGTTTGTGATCTGAAATTAAAGACAGTCGTCATAAACATTCATAAAGTAAAAGAAGATATTACCAATTGGTATAATTGCTGCATCTGAGCCACCACAAAGCATCATGTCCTGCAATCACTCAAGAAGCAACAGTATGTGTGCAGTAAATTAGAGGATGTTAAACCCTTATGAAAGGATATGTATTCAAATCAAATTGAATGGGGATCTGAAATCTGAAGTTTGAACTAAAAGGACAAGAGACATACAGCTTCACCTCGGATGATGTGGTTAGCAGCATTCAATATACAGAAATTGCTTGTAGCACAAGCAGTGGATATTGAGTAGTTGGGGCCCATCCATCCCTGTGGGGAATAGCAAGTCAATCTTATGGTGCATAAAAAGGTTATGCATAAATAAAGCTACAAACGTCACAAGGAATTTCATTCACCAAATCCATAGCAAGTATGGCAGAGCCCATGTTTGTAGTAGCAAAAGGTACACAAAATGGATTCATCTTCCTGTAAGAGATCCGCAAAGCTTCAATTGCATCACTAAAGACCTGCTCAAACAATAAAATTCTGGAGGTCAAAATGCATGTCTATGTAAAAGATATTTTTCGAACAAATTCCTTGTACAGATCTAAAACAAATAACAGTCTACTCATCTTCAGGAACTTATGTTTAAGTAAAGGTATAGCACAAGTCTTGAACTCCAAAAGTATTAATTGATTTTATGTTGTCAAAGTGCTATATTTATTCCACATAAAATCATTCAGGAAAATAATCTCAGATGGAAAATTGTTCTTATGGGGTTTCTGCAGCCATGCTGAATTAATGGCGGCAACAGAGCCCCAAATATCAGAACTGGTATAAATTATTTTTTGCTACCAAAGCAAAAGGTTTTCATCACCACACCTTGAACCATTCTTTCTGTCAATTTTTACAAAGATCACTTCACATTACCTTCATACCACCCATTGCAGAACCGATCAGCACTCCACATCTTGCTTTGTTCAATTCATCCATGACATCTTCTGTAATTCCTCCATCAGCCAGCGCCTTTTTGCCCGCAGTCAGCATGTAAAGCATGAAATTATCCATTCTTTTGGAAAGTTTGGGGGAGACCCAGCCATCTGTAGAGTATGATTTGATTTCTCCAGCAATTCTCTACAATTTGAAACCCTATTGAGTCAAAATCCTGTCCAGTCAAGATTAAACCAGCATCCTTAAACAATCAAAAGGAGTTGATAGGCAACGCATACTGTTGGAAACTGGGAGCAATCAAAAGCTTCTATTTCACTTATGCCACTGACTCCATCAAGCAAGTTATTGTAGAACGTATCTGGATTGTTGCCAATTGATGTCTCCACACCCATACCTGTCACAACCACTCTCCTTTGCTTTGTTTGAGGTTTCTTCTTGGGTGTAATTTCCATTGCAGGATGAACAGCAGCTGCCATTGCTTCTCCTGCAACCGGCATGAAAATCCATAGAAGAAATCAATACCTCTAAATGATTCAGTCAAGCCATGGAAACCTATCATGATGCATAAAACAATTAAAGGAAATCCCTACATGTGGAGGCAGCTCGATATTAGAACTGAAAACAGCTAATAAGGTCATATCAAGAACTTCCCTTGACTCAACAGTAGCATTTACTAGCAGTCAAACCTAACTGAATTCAACCTCACCAGTTCTGTCTCGGATAACCATGAGATAAAACAGATCTATGCCCATGCATAAAGGAGAAGGTCAAAACCCCTTGTAGGCACATTCACCAGAGATAGTATGCAGGGTTAAAGAATATCAACAGCACTGCAGTCAACTATCAAACACCTACTTAACAATAAAGTTCTAAACAGAATTTTTTCATGTCTCTAACACTCCAGAGAAGTGACAAATATTTTATACACCCATTCATGAGAGAATCCCTTTAGATGCATAGCACAACAGTTCTACAAGAATATGTCTACAGTGCAAAAAATTATGAAGCGGAGTATAAACTATGAACATCGACACCACAATAATTCATGCGTATCAGTTAAGAACGACGTAGCGAATAAAAACTCTTCCAAACAACGCACAATTCCCCAAAACTGGATTATTCTTTGAAAGAGAAATATGAAATACAGTGTATCCGAAGGCGATAAACCCTTCCTGAACAACACTAGATTGAACTTGAAACCTAAACCGAATCACAGACAAACCAATGAAAATCACCTTCTCGAGGTGAAACCATAAGAGAGGAACCTATCAATCAAAACGACAAAAGTAAGCTGAAATCCCACTTGCACACGAAATAGATATAATAAAAAATAAAATAACTTCACCAGAATGAGCGGCGGGGCGATGAAGTTTCCCGCGCCGGCGGTGCAGGGAAACATTCCTCGATTCCAACCCCAAAAATAAGTCGGAAGCATGCGGAGATTTAGAGAACTGATCACAAGACTCGGAGACCGAGCAAGAGCTCACGAGATTGCGAAATCGAGACAAGTGCGGAGCACATTCCCTTCTCCTGCGGCGCGCCGCCCACTTGCTGAGTCGGGATGTGCCAGACGACGTCGTCGAGAACTTGGAAATCGAAGAATCCTTTTCGCAAGCAACTGACATGCATGCGGCCATTAGCCAAGAACACACCGCCGATGAGGCCGCCATCCCAATCCAATACCTCTCTAATCCCCTCGCACAGCAGCCGCCAAACAATCGTGCCCCACCTCTCTCTCTCACTCCCCACCAAAACCCACACCGCCACCAAATTAGTCGCGAATACTCAGTCGCTCAGTCCTCCCCCCTCCAGAGTGGACTAGCGGCGGATATATGGGAAAGGCTGGGCGAAAATCACGAGAAGAGCAGCTCGATTGATTGAATCTGAGTGAGTGGGAGAGAGAGAAGAAGAAGAGAGCAGATGGGATCGAAGAGATGTCGTTTCTTTGGTAGTTCGATTGGCATCAGACGCCAAACACAGACCAATTTATTAATTAATTACTGTACAAAGAAATAAATAAATAAGGATAGTTTATTTATTTATTTATTTATCATTTATGTGGGCTGTATGTATCTGTGTGTACATTTGTATCTATATCTCTGTCTGTCTGTGGTTCAGTTTCGTCCCCCACACGTATTTTTCCACCAATTATTTTAAAAATCTCAGTCTATTAAATTAAACCCAAAAATACTACTACTATCAAATTAGATATCAATCATATTCGTTTCTTAATTAAAAAAATTATGAATAATAATGATATAACAAACTCATACCTTGAAAATCATATTGGTTGTATTTGGAAAATTTTTAATTATATAATAGAGATCTTTTGAAAGTAAAAAAATAAATAACTATATATATATATATGTATGTATAAGCAGCTTAAAAACAAAGGAGTGCATTAGGCAATTAGGAGGGTAATTTGTAGCTACATTTGTACATTTCTTCCCTACTACTCTCACCCACCCTGCCTATCAGTCTATACGTAAGTGTAACACTTTGTACCCCTCTCTCTCTCTCTCTCTCTCGGAATCTTAGCCACGTGAACCATAATATACATTTATTTTTTTTAATACTCCATCCGTTTCACATACCTAGTCTGCTACACCCTACACTGTAGATTTTGTATTTTAGGATAGGAGGCCTGTAATTAGTAGATAATTAAAATTAAGATAACTAATTAGTTTAATTAAAATTTTAAAAAAAAGATAAATTTAAAAGTTTAAAAAATGAAATTAAAGTGTGTAATCATTTTTCATAAAAGAAAAATGACATAGTACGTGGGACAGACAAAAACAATAACAAGACATGGTATGTGGGATACAGAGAGTATTATTGAAAAATGAAAATAAACTATATATTGATTTTATTTTTTATTTATTTATTTTTTTTAAACGTGTGGTATCAAAATTAAAGTTGTGGAATAGGATGGAAATCTTTATGAAATGGGTGTGTATGAGTTAAAATAAATAAGGTATATGGGAAATTTGAAATGAAGTCGCCGTGGACTTTCATTTTTAGATAAATAAATAAAATAATACTTATCTTAAACGACGTAAGTTTTTTTAGGTGAATGAGTCATTTGCATGGTATCAAAATCTATTTTTTTTTCTAATATATATACAATATATTAATCTATGTTTCTTCAAATACATTTAACCAAAAATGTACTAGGAGGTCTTCAATTTTGAAATTTTTATTTATTATTTTATAATATCAGCGAAGTTCTTCCGATTTTGAGCTCTATTTACAATTGATCGTCCGTCAAGTTTATTTTTTAATTTTGCATTTGAGTTTGACTTTTGATCGTTTGTTATGGTTCAGTAGAAAGTTGTTTTCGACTTGTATTGAAAATCTTGTTATTTTTCAGGTCCAATGAAAATTCCGTGTTTTCGACTCCGGTGGGAGCTCTATCATTTTTCAGTTTTATGTTTTCCAATTCTGTATTTTTTTACTATGATAATAGTTTCATATTTTTCAATTTCGTCCCACCGTCCCCAACCGACATATATATTTATATTCAAGTCTCGCATACACCTACTTGCTGCACATAAAAAGCATGTCAAAAACTCTCGTATATTATAAAAATAATTAATGATACATATTCTTATAAATTTAAACTTTTAAATAGGATGACTTATCATCCTACAAAAGCTATAATATAAGTATATTTTTAAATTAAAACTTATTTGATGCATGTTAGTTGGAGAATGTGTATATATGTATATACTTAAATAATAATAATAAACTTTAGATTGGTATATATCATATAAAAATAAATTAAAATTCTAAATAAACACAGTACGAATTAAGTAAATATCAATTACATCTTTACAAGTATTTATATATCATAATTTATGTTTAACATGTAAATTTTCTTTCGGCACTATGCTTAATACTTGTAAATTAATTATATGTATTTATATTAATTATATTATTTAATTATATTAATTAAAAATAATTAAATTTTATGTATTCAGCACCCTACTGAATTATGATATATCAGCATAAAATCCTTGCCGAATTATATAATATCACTAACAAGAGGCGGTAATTAATACTAATTAAAGCCTATTAACCTTAATTGTGATATGAACTGACATCTCATAAAGTAGGTCCATAGAATGTTATTATGGACAGTCCAAGTTCGTCAAGGAAGACAACAACGCACTGTTTAAAAAATAATAGACGATAGTTCCGTAAAAGACGATTTGGTGGTGTAGAGATTGAATTTGTGACCGTAAGATCATGGGTTTAAACCTCAAATAACTTTTTCATCGAGTCTGATTTGCAGAGTATTAAGTTCGACAGAAATTTTATCCAGTGCACACCTTCGAATAGCTGCTGCGAATTTCCACGTCATTCAAAAAAATAAAATAATAATAATAACAAACAACAAATAAACAAACTCAACTATTGGCATATAATAAAAATAAAAATTACTTATACTTATAGCTTGAAAATTTATGTTTTAGAAATTAATTATAAAAATATTTTATAATTTTAGAAAATATTATGCAAAAATTTAAAAATTAACCCAAGGTCTCAACTATTTTTTAGAAAAAATTATATACAAATTATAAAAAACACAGAAAATATTATTCAAACTAAAAATGAATAATAAATAATTTGGTTAGATTTTATTATAAAATATCATATTAATATTATATTTAAATCAAAATTTAAAATTATAATTTCAACATTAAATAAAAACAAAACAAACCCTAATTTTTCCTTTTTTACGTGAGTTTTAGTTCCCACCATCTGAACAAACGACGATGAACAGCCCAAACCCAGCGCAGCCCGGCCCAGCCCAACCTTGGTTTGGTCTGCCTAGCCTTGCCGTCGCCGCCGCTGGCCTTCGCTCCACTTCATCTTCATACCCCTTTCCGATTTCTTGTATTTGCTCGCGGTTTCTTCTCCGCGGGGGTCGTGTTGCACTTCAGGAAACCAATTCAGTCTCTTCTAACGATAAGCTTTTTGGTACCTCAAGCTACCTGGAAAATTTTATGAAGGCCTAATAATGGGGCAGAAGAAGAACAACGGCGAAAAACCGAAAACGGAGGGTAAGAGTCCATCAGAGGTCTTCGCGTCCTGTACTTTCTCTAGCCTCGGCCTGCATCCAACTTTATGCGACCAGCTCAAAGGTAATTGTTGTCAGTTTGTATATTTGGCTGCTCTATGGTATTGGGTACCCGGCTGAAAGTATCTATATATATATACGTATGTATGTATATTTGAATAACAGAGAGGATGGGCTTCGAGTTTCCGACGCAGGTTCAGGCGGAGGCGATTCCGGTGGTGCTTTCAGGCCGACACGTGTAAATCTCTCCCTTTCTACTTGAACATGAATGGCTGATAAGTATGGTGCGATTTTGGCAGTGATTGATTATGTTCATTGATATTTCAAATTAGGCTTGTGAATGCAGCAACTGGAACAGGAAAAACAGTGGCATATCTTGCTCCCATTATTCATATGTTACAGGGCTCTGATAGACGAATTGAGCGCTCTGATGGCACTTTAGGTATGCTCTTGCAATTTTATGATGTGCCAGTGTTTTTAGAAGGGATCTGCTTGTTGACTCTTTTTGATACAATTTGCTTGGAAGGGTATGAGTTCTGCTGCTTGGAAGGGAATTAGTTTTCTTATGCTGCCAATGTTTCACCTTGACCTAAATATCGAATGTTTTGGCTTCATGTTTATGGTTAATGCTTCTATTTTTAATAATAGCCCGGGTTCCAAAATTGAAACTTTTTTTTATATTATATTGTCTGGAATGCATCTTCTTGTACTTCCCTTTCCACTAACTACAACAATCCCCAATAGGTCAAACCCTCCCCACAACACATATGTGTAGTATTATAATATAGTAACAGTTTCATGTTACAGCGTTGGTTTTGGTACCAACGCGTGAACTCTGCATGCAGGTATATGAAATTTTGCAGAAGTTGTTGCATCGATTCCATTGGATTGTTCCTGGCTACATTATGGGTGGTGAAAACAGATCTAAGGAGAAAGCAAGATTAAGGAAAGGTATGACTTGGTTGTTTTTGTTTTCTTGTTCTTCACCTCTTGGTACAGTGGTTCTCAAATTAAATGCTGCTAATTTCAAGTTTGATTCGATTGGTATTTTTTTGTGGTGTTCACAATGGGAAGGGATCTTTAGAATCTCATGTCTGGATAATGTGTTGGCTCATACCAGCTGTTTAGTATCAATATCCTGTGAACACAGGACAATAGATAATATTATTTAAGTCCGTCCGACATTGACATCAATGTGTTTATTCTTCCATTTGCCTTGATGAACTAAACCTTCACCAATGAACATCTAAATAGCAAGTTTTTTGCAGGTGCCTTGAATGGGAATTATTTAAATAAATTAAATCTTGTTGTGCCTTCATATTAATAATGGAATGCTGCATCATCAAATTTCGATTGTTTAAATGTGAATTGTTGTAAGCCTGAATACAAGTATTTCCAGGTGTATCTATCCTTGTTGCAACTCCTGGACGTCTTCTGGACCACTTGAAGAATACCTCCTCATTTCTGCATGATAACCTTAGATGGATAATATTTGATGAAGCTGATAGGTATTACATATTTATGTCATGCATATACAAACTTTAGCTGCCACAGTTGAATGCCTAGCTGCTAATATACTTGTTTGTATGGTAGGATCTTAGAATTAGGTTATGGTAAAGACATAGAAGAAATACTTAATTGGTTGGGCACAAGATATCACAATTCTGGCACCAAGGGAAGCTCATCGGCTACTTCCAGAGTTCAGAAGCAGAATTTGCTGTTATCAGCTACCCTGAATGAAAAAGTAAACCATCTTGCTAAAATTAGTTTAGACAATCCTGTGATGATTGGTCTTGATGACAAGAAGACACAAAATGTAAACCGCTGTCATATTACATTTGAACCTGATGTGGTTGATGGAGCCGAAGTATCAGAAAAATTGTTGAGTTCTTCAACTGAGTATAATCTTCCAGCTCAGTTGGTTCAGAGATATATGAAAGGTATGGTATGCAAAATATTTCTTCTCAATGATTAATAAATAATAAATCGGTATCTTTACATTTTATTAATTGTCTTTTGACAGTACCATGCGGCTCTCGACTTGTGGTGCTTCTTTCTGTTTTAAAGCACCTTTTTGAGAAAGAGGCATCCCAGAAGGTATACTTTCAGAATTGATGCTTTATGTTTGTATATGTTAAGTTTCTCTATTGTATAGTCTTGAAGATATGCACACACTCTTCTTTCAATATACAATCTAGCTTTCATTGCATTTTGATTATTTTCTAGCCACCTTTGACTTTACTTTCTATTTCGCAGGTTGTGGTATTTTTTTCTACTTGTGATGCAGTGGATTTCCATTACTCTGTTATAAGTGAATTTCAATACTCCCTTGTATCACAATCAGAAACAGAACTAAAACAAAAATTCTTGAGATGTAAAACATTGCGTTTACATGGAAACATGGATCACGAGGATCGCAAAACAACATTCCAGATGTTCAAGACTGAGAAGTCGGCTCTTTTATTGTCCACGGATGTTTCTGCTAGAGGCCTAGATTTCCCAAAAGTGAGATGCATCATACAGTATGATTCTCCAGGAGAGGCAACTGAATATGTTCACAGGTATATCATATCCCCGGGAAGTATTATTGATACTACTTCTGTGGGTTACTTTTTTATTTTTTCCTATTTATCTTTCTTTTCGTTTATTTTTTTCTATAAAGTATCAAATAAGTATTCAGTGTCTTATTCTCGGCTGAATTGTGATGAGACTCAATAAATTTATGTTTACTATCCAATCCATGAATAAATAATTGATCTCCACAAAAGTCCATTATCTAGATGAGAAGTCAGGCTTCTAGTGATCTGCCCTTCTCTAGTTTGAACATGTATTTTTAATCTAAGGGGGATAGGATTTGTTTGACAATATCCATTCTCTCATTGTCTCATCGGTGACCTTTCTTAGTAACATTTTGAATATTTGTTGTTCAACATAAGCTCTTATGCCATCTTCATCCTTGCAGAGTTGGAAGAACTGCTAGGCTGGGGGAGAAGGGAGATTCAGTGTTGTTCCTACAGCCAATTGAAATAGATTATTTGAAGGATCTCGAGAAACATGGCGTGACTCTGATTGAGTATCCCCTTCTAAAACTTCTAAGTAGCTTCCCTTTATACAGCCAGAAGCAACAGATGGGAAAGAAGTTTGTTTCAATAGAAATGCATCCATTGCTGGTCAGTTTGCAGAGGGGATTAGAATCCTTTATTGCATCTGAGGTAACATCTGACTCCGATCCTTGTGTTACGCCTAAAGACAGCTAGTTGTATAAAATCTGACTTAGCTCTATGAACACGAAACTGTCTGGATAAGTAAGTCGGTGAATTGCAATCTGATGATTTTCTTTCTTTTTATGATCAGCCAAAGCTGAAGCAACTAGCCCGGGATGCATTTTCCTCATGGGTCCGGGCATACACTGCCCATCGCGGTGAGCTCAAGCAAATCTTCACTGTGAAGAAACTCCATCTCGGGCATGTGGCTAAAAGCTTTGGATTAAAAGACCAACCTTCACTGGTCAGCAAAACTATCCGGAAGCAGGTGAAGAAGAGGAAGCGAGACGACAACCAGAGTAAACACAAGGTGAAATCAAAGAAACGGGCTATCCTTAAATCTTGACAGATTCGAGGCCTTCTTTCACTCTCACCACGCTGTGTACTAAAGCGCCGCCATGGCATCAATTTATCCTTCTGTAATTCCGGGTGCTTTGTGACAACCCGGTAAAAGTTAGTGCTTTCGGCTGCCCGAACATTTCCGTCGTTGTAGTAATCATATTATGGCCTAACCAGGACCACGACCTGATGATCTCTATCAAAATTGGTACCACATCCAGTCATCTTACTATTTATAGTCTGCCTTCTGTACATTTATTTATGGTTTCAAACTCATTTTCACAACGTAGATTCGATGCATTTGCATTATTTCATAATGTAGTTCGTGACAAATATATCAAGAAAAATATATGAATTTCCAAATTGAAATAGCATCACAACACTTTGACCTAAACCAATGATGAATAACTTCATTCCATCAAGTACGATTCTTTTCAGGACAAATAGTTAGATATTATTACAATGGGGATTGTGTTTGATCTATCAAATTAGTTGTCATGATGAAAAGTATTACTCGATTGACAACATAAACATTCCAAGAATGGACATTCTGATTAAAAAGAAAATTTAAAATAGGAAAATGGAATATTGAGAGACTGTCAGTCAATCATGGTGGACAATGACGTAAATCCATCCATCGGATCGGAGGGCTGAGATCACATCAAATCATTCGGTGAAGCAGTGACGAGGCCTGAATTCGTCCACGTCAGGTGAGGTTAGGGTTCGGCTTCAAAGTATGGGCCCGGGTGGGCCTTGATGTGTTTATTAGCCTGCAGGCCATTAACTCAATATTGGGCCCACTTTGGGCCTTCTTTCCCCACCTTCTTGGTACACCTCATTTTCCATCTCCTAATTACTGCTACATTTTTGTTCTTATTATTCCCTATTATTAATATATTATCATATTCAATTATTATTATTATTTTCCACTGTAGAGGATAATGTTGTGTGCAATTTATTATTATTTTTCATTATGGAAAAAATTGGGAGGCAGGCGTTGAATTGAGCTAATCAGTATTGAACGATATTTAACTGATGGTAAAAACATAATTTTACTGTAAATAAATAAAACAAAATTCTAACAATGTATATACAAACGTAGAAGACGGTTTTATAATTCTCTATCATTTGACATTTGGTTTTATACATTAATTTTATTATATATATATATATAGTTTTGTGTTGGGAATTTGGAAACATAGGGATTAAAAATCGATGTAAAATAATTAGATAATCAATTAGATCATGATTCAAGCAATTTTAAAAGTATAATTTGTCATAACGCTAATTGATTTGATAGAATTTTGAATATAAGTAATATATATATATATTTCTCGTATGTTTATATATATGCAATGACCAAGAATATTTCTAGTTGTGAATGCACATAATAAATTTATATTGAAACACATTCGATATATATTATTTGAATCCTGTCCCGACTTGTAATGATATTTCATAACAATAAATTTAAATTTTGATGAAAATTAACAACTGTTTGATCATTGATTGCATATGTATATCGGTAACCTCTTAATTCATTCCCACATGGAGAGTTTCAGGAAATTGCCTGTATATATGTGTGTTGGGAATAATGTAGTGATCATGAAATAATAAGTGTTACTCAATAATTGTTTTGTTTTATTTTATTTTATAATTTATTATTATTGTAGGTGTCGGTGATAAATGCAATCTGAACTGCATGCTAGTACCCTTGAGATAAATAAATAAATAAATTCCGACAGACATATGTAATGTAATGCTGTAGAGTTTGACCGTACAAGATTATTCTGGTGCATGTAATAAAAGTGAAGATTTTATTAATTATGAACTCTATTGAACTCCAAGAAGAAGATATTGCATATATATATATATATAATAGAGATGTTTAAATCCAATAATAATATTAAGGGTCAAGTTGAAGAAGTTGGGTTTGGGTTTGACAGAGTGGGGAGGATGATTGATTGAACCCCACCTTATAATGGTGCAATAAAAATAAGATTGTCCCACTACAAATACAATTACAAAATATATATGAACCCCACCCCACCCCACCCTCTATTTTCTTTTTCTTTATTTCATTATTATTATTTTTTTGATGGTGGATAGCATAGCACCACACCACACCTTTCAAAACCCAACTCCCCCAGCTAAGAGATATTGTTCAATCACCTGGATGTTGACCCCCCCCCCCCCCCCAACCCACCCTAACACACCAATCTTATCTCTATTCTATATGTATTAGGGATATGTTTGTGTATGTGGAGTGGGGTGGGGTGCTTCCCTAGCAAATTATACATACACACACATGCACACTAAAACAACTATGAATCTATTTATATATTAATTTGATCCAATCAAGAATTAAAAAGAAAAGTAGAATTAATATTAATAATAATAATAAAATTAATAATGGGTTCTTAATTAGTTGGTTAGCACATGAAGCATCTTGATATCATCATCATCATTAAGGGTATCCCTTATTGATGATCTTTTTTACCCTCTTTATAGTTATTTATTTATTTTGGTTTTCTTCACTTTAAAATATATGTATGAATGCATGTATGTATATGGAGAGCATGTGCATATACCTAATCCCCACATCATTTTGAATGGCATCATGTCAACTCAAGTACCCCTACTTATTAATTACATTAATTTAATCACTTTATATTAGATTTTTTTTATTTTATTTTATTTTTTTTAAAAGTACAAATGTTACTCCACTATAAATCTTTAATTTTTCTTAGATAAAAGTTCATAACTTCACCTCAATTGTCCATTCTTAATTCACCTGTCGATTATTAATTTGCTACATTTCACCAAATGTAGTGTGGTAATAAATTAAAGTAATAAAGTAGTGTAGTCATCAAATTCTTCCCTTCCCTTCCCTTCCCTTCACATCATTTAATTTAATTTATATTCTCTGTGATTTAATTTTATTGTCTCTGCAAAATGGTCGACACACACACACACACACCCCATTTTGTGAAGCACCCACTTATATATATATTTTAAATAAATAAATACAATATACCATTGGTCATTTCATGTCCCCCTTCATTTCACTAATTTGTTAGTGCTTACAAATCTTGCATGCTTTATGTCAAATTAAATGAATAAGAATAATATATATATATATGTATATAGGCACCACTTGTGTATGTAAATGTGTGTACGTCCACATCATTTTTTTTATATCAATCCATAGGGAATTTCCCTGGACAAGAAATTAAATTAAAATTATTATAAGTCAATAATTAACTACTTATTTATTTTAGGCAAAATGCATGCATTAAAATTTGTGGGGAATCCGTACAGATAATGCAGTGAGGAGCTGTCTTTCTGCTTTCAGTACTCTTGTCTATAATTAATTATTCAAATCAAATAAAAATAAAATACATAATATATATATATATATATATCTGTTTACGTGTTTTGTTTTTCTTTTTATATGTTTATGAAGCAATGTCCAAAGCCCCCTTGAAATATAATATAATATTTATTCACAAAATTCAATGTCTTCAAACTTTAAAATAAAAGGAAACTGAAATTTCACCCTAAGTCATGTTTGTAATAAACAGTCAACTACAAATTAATAATGCAGATATATATATTTACCATTAAAAAAAAAAAGAATATTCATTAATGATTATTGGCATTTATTTATTTATTTATTTATTAATTAAATAAAGCCTTAACTTTGTATTAATTAAATGAAATGGCATGTGCAAATCCTCCTGTTTTTGCGGCTTAATCAAATCATTACTCGTAAGTAGAAATTAGTAATATAATTAAAGTGTAACGTGCAAAAAATATAAATAGAATTGGTTAGTCTTAACTGTAAAATAACAAATATGGGATGGAGGAATACAATGAAACTATAAAATAAAATAAAATTAAATTAACGGATCAAACTAAAAACATCTATCCCACCAATAATTATCAAAATTAAATGAAGCCCATAAATATTCTCAAGTTTCAATTTTCCAAAATGGGACCTAAAAACCCTTCACCATCACTGTTATTTCGTGGACTATATTAGCTAAATAAATTTCAATTCCCATTTATCTTTATTTTCCCCTGTACCAAAAAAATAAAAATTCAGAAACTATAATAATAATAATAATAATAATAATAATAATAATTTTAAAATTGTTTGTGAGATGGCAATGATGTCCACAACCCTTATTTCAGTTAGAAATACAGACAACTTTAATTCCCAAGTTTGGTAACGCATAATGTATTTCGTATTTTAATACGAGGAGGAAATGTAAATAGAAATTAAAATAAAGAAATAAATAACTTGAAGAATGAGAATCAAAGGAAAGAGAATTTTGAGCATTAAAGACACAAACTTTAGGGATTAGTAATACCTCCGCAGAGAGAATTGTCATCAAAGAGCCAAACACGCAGTCGAGTTTCGACCTTTGTTTAAACCTCTCCGGTTGGTTTTATGTCGGCCTCTCTCTCATCTCTCTTCTCTGCTCGCATCCAATTCTTTATTATTATTGCTAATTTCCTGTTCGCATACAGAGAATCAATTATTTGCTAAAAAATTAAAAAAGAAAAAATTGTTTATACCAGTTGTATGGGCGATCAGTGACGGAGGGGAAGCAGCTGCAATCTTTTCGACAGTATACTTTTCCAGACTTGCGCACGGATTTTCCGGCGATTCGTTCCGAGTTCTGTGCCGCCGGCTTGATCCGGCAAGGTTTCTATTTTTGGTAAATTTCTTCTCCGGTGGGTTTAGGATTTCAGTATTTTTCCGGCCGGTGGAGGTCGGGGTTGGATGGGGTTGGTTTGCTTAGGGCGTCGCTTTCCCAAATTGAGAGTGGGTAGCGTTTTCTTGGAGTCGAAACGAAGGTTTTCAGCTAAGAATGGTGTTTGTGTTGGGATGAAATGGGGGGCTGCTGTTTTGGTGTTTCTTTAATTAAATTGGATCGAAGCAGTTTGTTTGATTGATACTTTGATTTGGTGTCGATTTTATTGCTGTTTCTGCATTTTGAGGCTGTCTGTTAGCTTCATCAATCGTGAAGATAAATTGGTGAATGTGGTTTTGAGTGAAGATTGTGAAGTGGATTTTGCAGCAATGAAGGTTCCTCCTGGTGGAGTTTCAGCAAATTCTGGAGAAGGTTTCTTCATATTTCCTCCCCTTTTTACTTTCTTATTGTTTGTTTGCCAATGTCTTTCTGTGTTAGTTTCCAACATTTCGATTGATTGATGATGAATTGTATGTTTTCCCCCAAATTTTAAAGAAAGATCTTTAGGCATTAAGGCTATACAATCTTGGCTTCTTTATGTATCGATTCATCTGGTTTAGAACAGCATTTTCTGTATGTGTTGTGTTTGTTCTATGCTTATGAAATACTCTTGATGTTGAATCTGTCGGAAAATATAAAATATCGATTCGACTCTACACAGGGGAAAAGAAAGTGATCAATTCGGAGTTATGGCACGCTTGTGCTGGCCCGTTGGTGTCTTTGCCGCCGGTTGGAAGTCTCGTCGTCTATTTCCCTCAAGGCCACAGCGAACAAGTACTTTAGTTACAATCCGAATTCGAAAGCTTTTACTGTTAAAATGAAGTGTTTACAAATTCACTTTTTCGATTCTCAGGTGGCGGCGTCTATGCAGAAAGAGGCCAACAGCATCCCAAGCTATCCCAATCTTCCTTCCAAGCTTATCTGCCTGCTGCACAATGTCACTCTACACGTGTTGTCGCTAATCCCGTCTTTCATTTTTTCTTACATAACGCCTCTCGATTTTGTCCATTTAGTGATGTGTTTTGTTCTTTAGGCTGATGCTGAAACCGACGAGGTCTATGCTCAGATGACTCTTCAGCCAGTGACCAAGGTTTGTCGATATTGTAATGTTACATGTCCTAACACGTCGGTTGTCTTAGCTATGCTAACTTTCGTCACATCTATCGTACAGTATGACCAGGAAGCCTTGCTCGTTTCCGATATTGGGCTTAAGCACAGCCGACAGCCTACTGAGTTTTTCTGCAAAACTCTTACGGCAAGCGACACAAGCACTCATGGTGGTTTTTCTGTTCCTCGTCGAGCAGCTGAGAAAATCTTCCCGCCTCTGGTTTGGATTTTTTTTTACCTTGCTTGTTAAGTTGCGGCGAGATCTCATTTCGCTTACCATTGAATTGTCTTTTTTAGGATTTCTCAATGCAACCTCCTGCTCAGGAGTTAACTGCAAGAGACTTGCACGACCAAGCGTGGACGTTCAGGCATATCTATAGAGGTATTCGGACAAGAAGTAGTATTATTTTATAATAGACAAAGTAATAACCTCCGAAACTGATTGTGTTGTTTTCAGGCCAGCCAAAGCGACACCTTTTAACAACTGGTTGGAGTGTTTTTGTGAGCTCTAAAAGACTTACAGCCGGCGATGCCGTACTTTTCATAAGGTTCGAATAGGTGTAATGAAACCCGAAACTTGGAAAAATTATATTTCTAATTCAACGAGCTCGATTTTGTAGGGACGAGAAGTCGCAGCTTCTTCTGGGAATTCGGAGAGCCAACAGACAGCAGCCTGCGCTCTCGTCGTCTGTCATATCGAGCGACAGCATGCATATCGGAATTCTCGCTGCTGCGGCGCACGCAGCTGCCAACAACAGCCCGTTTACCATATTTTACAATCCGAGGTAATAAAACATCGCATTCAAAATACTGATTTGATAACTTTATAATATCATTCCGATTGTATGAACATACGCCATTTTTGCGTGGCGCTAACAGGGCTAGCCCTTCCGAGTTTGTCATTCCGCTTGCTAAATATAATAAAGCAATGTATACGCAAGTCTCGTTGGGAATGCGGTTTCGGATGATGTTTGAGACAGAGGAGTCGGGGGTCCGAAGATACATGGGTACAGTCACCGGTATAAGCGACTTGGACGCTGTCCGGTGGAAGAATTCGCAGTGGCGTAATCTTCAGGTAATAATACTCTTCAGTACACTGTTTTTATGTACTCGGCTCGGAAGCCACCGGAGGTATTAATGTTTGTTCCTTATAGGTTGGTTGGGATGAATCGACGGCTGGGGAACGTCCGAGTCGAGTCTCCATTTGGGAAATTGAACCTGTTGTCACGCCCTTTTACATATGCCCGCCGCCTTTCTTCAGGCCTAAATTCCCCAAGAATCCGGGATTTGGAGGTAATGAAAAAACGCCGTCATTGTTTTCTTTTCGTTCAACCAACTTATGACTTACCCCGTCTTGTACAGATGATGATGCTGAGATCGATAATATGTTCAAGCGAGGCATGCCTTGGCTGGCGGATAACTTAGGATTCAAAGACGCTTCGAGCTCAATATTTCCCGGCCTGAGTCTCGTCCAGTGGATGCAGCAGAACAATCAGATGTCAGCAATCCCAAACATGGTCTCGTCGGCGGCTCTGCAGAGTAACTTTCTTGCAGCTGACGATCACTCGAAGCTCTTGAACTTCCAATCCCCGGGCTTGGCTGCCTCCAACCTTCAGTCGAGCAAAGGAAATCTTCAAAACCAACTCCTGCAGTCGCCGTGGCCCCAACAAATGTTGCCGTCTCCAGCAAATACACAACAACAAGTTCAACAACAACGACAACAGTTGCAGCTGCAGAATCCTCAACAGTTACAGCCGCAGCAGTCGCTCCCAATGCCTTCTACGACCGGCGCCATGGCTTCCGACCATATTACGAGCCAAAGTATGCAGCAGATGTCGGGATACTCCCAAATTCAGCCGCAACCGATGCTACCAGGAAATGGGCAAGCGCAGCAAAACGATCTCTCGACCAACAGGGCTACGTTCCCCATGGTATCCGCACCTCAGGACATGTCTTTCCAGCAGCACGCTGAGCAGCCCTCTAGCTTGATTCGGAGACCTCAGGAGCCGCAGCCGCAACTGCAACGAGCCCAATTAGAGGCGCTGCAGCAAAGCTTGGCGCCGAGGCCTCAACTCCAACAGCCGACGCAACAGTGTCTTTCAGAGCCGCAGCTGCAACTGCCGCTTCTGCAGAAACCGCAACCGCAAATGCAACAGCAGCTGTCGTCGGCATTAAATCCGTTGCTCGAGCCTCAGCTGCCGCAGAAACAGCAAGCTCAACAAGGCCAGCAGATGCAGCATTTTTCCCTACCTCAACAGCAGTTAAGCGGGGGCTTCTTTTCCGCGCCGACAGACGTGCAGTCGCCGAAGTTTCTATCGAACCAGTTTCATTACCAGCAGAAGACGCTTCCGATTGCTCGGGCGCACTCTGGGCGCACCGATGGGGATGCCCCTTCATGTTCGACATCGCCTTCTAGAAGCAATATGCAGGTTTCTCAGACAAACTTCCTGAGGAGCCAGTCGGGGGCAGCCGCGGTAATTGATAATTCGGTTATCAATCCTCCTAGTCTGATGCAAGAGAGTCATAGAAAGCTCGATGTTCGAATAAAACAGGAACTGCCCAACAGTAAAGCGCCGGAGCCGCAGCCGAATTACAGGATTTCCGGTACCGATCACATGGAAGCCACGTCGTCCGCAACTTCTTATTTGGACACTGCAGGTCTCCACCAGAGTTTTCCGCTGGCTGGATTGGACGGCGATGTTCAATCGCATACCAGAAGCGGTCTTGCTTTTGCCTCTGGAATCGATGGTTTGGCGCCGGATGCTTTGTTATCGAGGGACTACGATTCAGGGAAGGATATCCAGAACTTACTTTCCAATTACAGCGCAACTCCCCGTGATTTCGAGACAGAGTTATCTTCGGGAATCAATTCGCAGTCGTTTGGGGTGCCGGCGATGTCTTTTAAACCCGGCTGTTCAAGCGACGCCGCTGTCAATGACCCAACTGTTCTGAACGGCGGCGGGCTGTGGCCCCCAAATCAAGCTCAACGTATGCGAACGTACACAAAGGTATATCTCACTTTAGCCACATTTTCCGCGAATATTTATTTTTCGATTCACTCATTTAGCTATATTACGAGCTCATGAAGGTTCAAAAGCGCGGCTCTGTGGGGAGAACCATCGACGTCAACCGATACAAAGGGTACGACGAACTTAGGCATGATCTTGCACGCATGTTCGGCATCGAAGGGCTACTGGAAGATCCGCAAAGAAATGAGTGGAAGCTCGTCTACGTGGACCATGAGAACGATATATTACTCGTTGGAGATGATCCCTGGGAGTAAGCATTCACGATCCCTTCTACTATTTATCTTGTTTTTGACGCTTATATTGTGATCTGCAATCCAACTTTTTCGGCGCTTTTTCTTCGCAGGGAGTTTGTGAGCTGCGTTCAGAGCATCAAAATACTTTCCTCGGCCGAGGTTCAGCAAATGAGCTTAGACGGAGATCTCGGTCAGCAGCTGCCCGTTCCGAACCAAGCTTGCAGCGGAACTGACGGCGGGAATCCATGGCGATAACGCGGCGACAATTCTAAGTAAGATCTTGTTACAGGTATTCTCGATCGTTTGTCTGTTTTCGATGTAGAGACTACTAACTGATGGTTGAAGTAGCCGAATCACGAGCAATTTGGTGTATAATTCGCTCGAGATTCTGTCGAATCGAAAGTCGATGTTCGAGCCGAGTACTTACTAGAATGTATATGATAACACGATTGCTCGAGCGTGAGATTCGTTCGATAGATATGTTTTTCAATGGGAAACTTAAAAGTCTGAGTGTTTGTTGTGTAGATAGGTTCGTGAATTCGATTCAGGAGTACAATCAATTATTATGTCATATGTTTGTGAGTAGATAATTTTGTAATGTCCCACGAATACTGTAAGGAAGGAATCGAATCGACTGTCGTTTCTTTCGTTTAACTGTTTATTTTATTATTTTATAATTACATTTCGAGAAGGAATTGAAGCTCTTTGTATATCTTATCTTTAATGGGTCCATTTGACGTGTAACACGAACGGACCGGACCGGACCCGACCCTGTGTTGACTGTTGATGTCATTTGTACATTTCATCTAGAACAATAAAATATTTTATTATTATTTTTAATGAAAAAGAAAAAGAAAAAGAAAATGGATATGGTTGGTGAGCTCTCTCGTTGGACCATTTCAAGTCATTTCATTTCATAAGATGTTATCCTCGTATACACAAAATAGTTTTATTTATTTATTTGTTTCTTTTCATGATTGAATGTTCCAAGTTAAAGTGGATAAGTTGGCAAAGGAATCTATCTGCGCACACAATTATATATGTCCGCGTATTCAATATAACCATCCTTCTGATAAAATACTGTAACTATATATTTATTTGATAATAAGTATATATTTATATATATATATATATCTATTTTTTTTTAAAGAGAAATGTTGTTATATTTTATTATTATTATATAATAAATAGACAAATTCGGAGTAAGACAATGATTCTTTAAAACAGCAAAGGATATACACGTGGCATAAAGGGTGTACACGTGGAAAAAATGAGAAAAAGTTCCAAGTGGCCACAGTGTGACAGTATAATCCAAAGTGGATGGGACAAGTTATAGGGTGATTGGTGCAGCCGTTGACGGGTCAAAGTAATTATTAATAATTAATGTTGACAACGCGTAATCCAATATTTAATTAGTTAATTAATTAACTTTACTGAAATTAGCTAATACTATGTATGTATTAATTTTGTCATTTTTAATAACAAGATTAATTAATCTTGCAGTGACATATATATATATATATCCACCCATCTTAAATTATTTGATTGATATATAGAAAAGATTTCTAATTTGAGAGGTAAGCCTAGGGAAGTAAGGGTGTGTATTTTTATTTTTATTTTTTAAAAAAATCAAAATTATCATTGTTGAGTCGCTATAATTTTATTGAATAACCCTAAATATATATATATATATATTTTAAAATACATATTGTTAATACTTGTCAAGTCTACCCAAGTGTATATAAAAGTATTTTCATATCCTTCTTAAAATATTCCTAATTTTTACATAAATTATCATCCATGCTATATAATAATAATAAACAATATATATTTGATGACACATGATATAGTTTATATAGCATACATCCTGATAATATATGTCATGATTTTATATAACATAATATATAATTGATTTTAATATAATAAATATATTTATACAAAACATAATATAATATTGTGCTATGCTATTTAAAATATTTGATATTTGTCTCGATTACGAGTGATGATTGAATCAAATCAATAAAATATTGATTTAATCCAATAAACTAACATCATATTAAAGAGATACATATAAAATAAGATAAATTTTTTTTTTTAACTCAAATATACTTAACTTTCACTTTTAAGCATACTATAAATAAAGAATGGTTTAAAGTAATAAATAAATAACTTATTAATATTATTTTTAACACAAACTCACTCCAAAAGTAGAGTTTATTTGAATATTAATATTAGGCCTATATGTTCTTTTTCAGATTTTTTTTTTTTTTTTTTTTTTTTTTACTATGTAACCTAATAGCAATTCATTGTAAATATATACTCAATTTAAAACATTGTTTATATATATATATAATTTGATATTATTTTTTATATTTTATAAAAAAATTTCTTCAAACTAAAATATTAAATAAATACAATCAATATTATAATACTGTTTTAAAATCTTTAGATGTTATTTATAATATAAGATGTATCAAAATTTCATAAAGTGATATGTATGTATGGACGTATTTTATTATAGATTTGTGGCGCAGGGGATCACCAGCCCTCTCCCCTCCCAGCCCCCGGCCCCCGTCCCACTCACATATAATGTATATATACATTGTATATGTTATATGTATACATATATATATAATAATATGAGGGGTAGTATAGTGTACTTTGTTGTATTTTGAGCAAATAAAGCACGTGGTTAGAGAAGGGGGCCCAGACGACGACGAGGGTGAGGGGGTGTTGGTGACAAATATTTTTTTTACTTAGTTCAAATTTATTTTCATATATATTTTTTTTCAATTGTCATTCAAATTTATTTATTTGTTATAATAAAAAAATATTATGCTTAAAACTCTTCTTTTACCATAGAAGAAATTTTTTATTATTTTATTAATTTTTTAAAAATTTTTATTCGATCAAATAAACATAATTTTATATAAGGTGGTGGGGTCGGCGTCGGACAGAGGCCCCTCACATCAGAAGCAACGAACCAACTCTAACTGTGTCATTTAACTCACGTGCTTTTCACTCTTCTCGTTATATATATATATAATTTGAATTTATAATTTATAATTTCGAATTTCTTTCATGCCCAAACGGCACCGCGTTCTTGCATGATTACATCTGGGCCGTCAACGTGTCCTCCTCCGACGCGGCTCAGTCTATCACCATCCGTTGACTACCCTCACTCCTTCCCCCGTATATATATATAGCGCCCAAAGCCGCCATTTCTGCAGGCCACCCACTCAATTTAATTCTTCATTCACTCTCATCATTTAATTTACTTGTTTAATTACCGTCAACAGTTGCATGGTGAAAGCATCCGATCAGCAGCCGGCCGGCGGCGATGCAGTGGCGTCGCCGCCGCCGCCGCCGTCGTCGTCGTCGTGCAAGTACAAGGGTGTGAGGAAGCGTAAGTGGGGCAAATACGTGTCGGAAATCAGGCTGCCCAATTGCAGGCAGCGGATCTGGCTCGGGTCCTACGACACCGCCGAGAAGGCGGCGCGTGCCTTCGACGCGGCGCTATTCTGCCTCCGCGGTCGGAACGCCAAGTTCAACTTCCCGGACAATCCGCCGGATATCGTCAACGGCAGGTCCATGACGCCGGCGGAGATCCAGGTCGTGGCAGCCCGGTTCGCTCGATTCGGGTCGGACTCGGGTCGGGCCGACAACATGGATTCGCAGTCGTCAGACCACTCCTTGTCGTCGGAGGCGTTTCAGCATGCGGAATCGCAATCGCCGTCGCCGTCAATGTCGGATGGACCGCCTCAACTCGAAACTGAAATTACCGAATCGCCCCTGGACAATTCATTAGTGGACCAGTTTATCAACATGGGCACGGAGAGTAATAACGTCCCCGACTTCGGGCTATTTCCGGGATTTGATGACTTCCCAGGCGATTTTATGTTGCCACCGTTCGATCCCTGGCCAGACAATTCCGATGATTTTTCTTCACAGAATTCATGCCTTTGGAACTTTAAATTTTAAAATTAAACCCCTCAAAAAAAAAAAAAAAAAAAAGCTAACACCCCCCTCACCCCCCCCCCCCCTTGATTAATTATTATATTATTACTACTAACTAATACTGCTACTACTCCTTTTTGAGATCAGAACATTCTAGATTTTTTTTTATTATTATTATTTTTAAAATTCTTGATTCTAGAATGACTGGTCTTTTTACTTATTTGATTATTTAATCATATTTTTATAAATGTGCATGGCACAGCGTTTATGATATTTTTTCGATTCATTGGGGTGGATGTATGAATTTATGTTGTATAAGCTAAGCAGCTGTGTCCCAACGTCGTCGTTTTGCTGTTGCTAAGTGTTTTATAATTAACACGAAGCGAAGTGTATTTATATGAGAATTCCACTTGGAGCATCCTCTACTACGTACGTGTCCATAATACATTTGCCACGTGCGTGGACCACTAGCTCGATCGTCAGTCACCAAATCATAATAAAACCGATTAAATTATTTAATTATATATAAAGTTGTCTAAAATCTAAATTAATTTTCCTGGGAGTTATTAATATAATATAAATTGTAAATTAAGAATAAATCAAGAAGATGAGACTAAATTAGAATTTCTGATCCTCATTTAGATTCTTTAGAAATATCAGGACAAAGAGAAGGATTCGAACTTTCAATTTAAAATCAATTAATTATAAATGAAGTGATCTTCACATTTGTAAATTAAAAGAGTTCTCACATCATATCTAACATGGGATAATATTCAACTTTCAATAATAATAATAAAAAATAAATAGATTAAAGAGATTGGCAATAATTTATAAAATTTTTATGTCTTAAAATAGATCAAAACAGGACGTGACAAAGAAAAAATTGGAAATGGGACTGTTGATATATTGTATATATTTATATATATATATATATATCCTACCTAATATACTTCTTGTATATATATAATATTGTACCCTAATTGTGAATTAACGAAAATATAGAGTTTATTCCATTAATCGTAACAGGGACCATAATAAGATTTTGTCTATTATTATTTTTAATTACTAGTATTTGAAATCTATCTTGTTATTTATTTATTTATTTTAGGATATTTGCTGTTATTATTGAAAATTGTAAAAGTATTTTGAAAAATTATAATAGTATAATTGTTTTAGGTCAAATAATTTTTATTATTTTTTAAATATTTTGGAACAGGATTTATGTATTTTTATTAAAAAATTTATTATTATTATTATGATTATCATCATTGAGAATGATGTAAAAGATATTTATAGATTCTCATCCCATAAATTCAATTAACACATACATACTATGCTTATTAAAAATATGTATTGTTTATTATTATTATTATTATCATTTAATTCCGTGCTATTCACGGATTATTATAATTAAATTTAATTATTATATAATTTTTATTTGATTTTATAAATATTTGAAATAAATAAATAATATATATATCTTTAATTAAAAATATATAAAAGTAAATTAATTTATTATTATAATTTTATTATTAATAATTTATCAAAGAAACTTTGTAAAAGAAAATTTGATCATATTAATTGTAAAAATATATAGTTCCTCGGTCCCATTGAAACGTTACCATTTTTTATTTTCGTTCGTCCCAAATCAAAGGTTACCATTTCCTAATTTAGTAATTGTACTACCTATTAACATAATAAATATCCTTTCAACTTACAAAATATTACACAAATGTCATTACTTTTATATTACACCATACTAATAGGGGTATTTTTGTCTTTTTTACTAATATCCAATATAATACTAATATTAAAAAATCTACGTGCAAAAAGCAAACGTCACCCTTCCAACGGGACGGAGGAAGTATTAAATTATCTATACAAAGTAGATACTAAAAATAAAAACTATAAGATTAAAATAATTTTTTATTATATTTTTTAAAATTTATTGTACACAATTATAATATTTTACCTAGAAGGGAGAAAATTGAGTAAAAAATGTGAAATGTTAATTTCAATTTTTTTTTTTTTTTACAAATTTTAAGTTATTATTTCATATAACATGTTCTACATAATCTATCAAATATTATTTCTAATAAATCAATAACATTTTCCATAAAGTCACCTAAATATGATAATAAGTTAGTAAAAAAATACAATAGATTATAGTAATTAATAAAAAATATATAAAGCAAACTTGTAAAGATATAGATAAAATAAAATTATAATATCAAACTATCAATATTTATAACTACAATTGAAAGCATTTGCATAAAAAAATAGTCAAGAAAAAATAATTTAGTAAATAGGAAAAAAAATTAAGAGATTAGAGAAAAAAAAAACTAAAACAAATATAAAATTGATTGGTGAAGACTACTGCACTATCTTCTAACAATGGTGGATATATACAACATCTATACTGTATAAAAAAAAAAGAGCCAAGAAAAAATAATTTAATAAATAGAAAAAAAAAATAATAAGAGATTAGAGGGAAAAATTCAAAACAAATATAAAATTGATTGGTGAAGACGGGGACATTTACCATATACAAAATCTATACTGCATAAAAAAATTAGCCAAGAAAAAATAATTTAGTGAATAGAAAAATAAAAAGTAAAAAAACTAAGAGATAAAATTGATTGGTGAAGACGGTGGCAATATCTTCGTGGATCTCACATTCTCTTTAGAAGTTTACCATATACAAAATCTATACTGTAAAATAGTCAAGAAAAAATAATTTAGTGAATAGAAAAAGAAAAAATTTTAAAAAGTAAGAAATTAGAGAGACAATATCTTCTAGCAGTGATGGATCTCACATTTTCTTCAGATGTTCATCATATACAAAATATATATTACATAAAAAATAGTCAAAATAATAATTTAGTGGATAGAAAAAAAAAATTAAGAGATTAAAGAGGAAAAACAAATGAGATATATCTACTGTGATCTTTTTCTTGAGCAGTGCAGATTTGTATATACTGTGATCTTCTTCTTCAGTGCAAATTTGTTTCACGTGATCTTCTTCTTCTTCTGTGAGGATTTGTTTTTAAAAATTAAATCTAAAATCACCCACTACCCATTATTATAAAAATATTAAACACTAATTTCAAAACAAAAACTATCTATACTAAATTTTAATTTTCCCTTTCCCCTAAAAAAACTTATAAATAAAAGAAATAATTTAAAAATAAAAAGCCAAAAATTTGAAGTCGACACCTTTGTTATAGTTATATATATAGGATTATTATTATTATTATTATTATTATTATTATTATTATTATTTTATGCATTGATTTGTACCAATTTGCATCCTAACCAATCATAAACATAAAAAACAAAGCAAAAAATATGCCATAAAATAATCCAGTAGAAATAAAGAAAGAAAAAAAAACAAATATTATCTCCGTAGTTCAAATTTATGTCTACTTTCTTTTTTGAGTTGTTGTCGAAAAATATTCTCATTTATTTTTTAAGTAAAAATCATTCTATTTTTGTACTGTTTTTCATTATAAAATAAAAAATTAATAATTATTACTCACTTTTATTAAAACTCGTGTTTGATCAAATGAACACCCATTTGCATGACAAATAGAGTAAATAATAGCAATAGGTAGCTGCCATTTATAGAGATTGTTGTTAATTATCAAAAATGCAATTTGGAAAGAATGTGCGTACATTTTTCTCAAATTTGATGTTTTTTTTATTTAAATAATAATTTAAATGTGATATTTTTAAATAAAAGCAACATATTTATATATATATATATATGTTACGATTGTTGTATAATAAACGAATTGAAATAAATTAGAAAAGGACACACCATTTAATCTGTTCTAGGTCTAGTTAACAAATGTTAAAATCCTGTATTCAATATTTTACTATATTACATTGATTGAAACTAATTTTTATTTATTATACAATTAAAATTAAATTAAATTAAATTAGTATTGTTATTGTTTTTTAAAAAAAAAGATGTTGAGAAACGAAAGAGAACTGTGTTGAAAAAAAAAAGAAAAAAAAAAAAAAGAGTAGACACATGGTGAAATGTAGAGCCAGGAATGAGTCGATTCGTGTCGAGTTGAATACTTTAAACGGGTTAAATTACTCAATCTTAATCCGATCCGTTTATTATCGTGTCGAGTTCGGGTTGACTCGTGTTGATCCGTATACATAATTAAGTCTAATTTATTGATTCAAATTAAATAATTTTTTATTTTATTGTCGTGTTATGTTAGTTTTTATTGGTTTGAGCGTAAATTAAGTTAAATTATTTAAAATTGAACTTATTTTAAATTAATTTATGAAAAAATTATTAAATTATGATTATTTTATATATATAATAAATATATTAATCAATATTAATATATTATAATCGAATTGTCGTGTCGGGTTCGAGTTGAGAGCCTCAACCCGAACCCGACCCGTTTATTATCGTGTCGGGTTGGTGTCAACTCGTATACATAATCGAGTTGAAATCTTTGACCAAAACTCAATTATTTCGTGTCGGGTTGTCGCATCGGATCAATTTTTGGCCGCTCTAATAAAATGTAATAGCTAAGCTAACTAATAATTAAGGTAGGCTTTTGAAAATGTTGCATGAATTTTCTTCATCATTTTATTTGCAAATGTTTTAATTAATTTTTGAAACTGTTTAGTCTTAGTGAGGACCCCCATGCATGTGTACGTACCTATTTATTTAATTATGTATCTAAGCTTTAACACACTACTTCAACACTATCATTAAATTTAATAAAAAACTTTATTAAATCTAATTATATATATATATATATATATGTGAGGGAAGTTGTTTTAGTTATTTTTTTTTTAAATTATTGCTGAGTATAATATTTTATATAATTATACTCCCTCCGTCCAGCTAGAAACTGTACATATTTATATTTTGGAACGTTCAATTACAAAGTAAACATTTCATTAAATACCTTACTTTTTTCCACAAATACACTTACTTTACATCACATCATTACTTTTACACCAAAAAACAAGGGCAAAAATGTCATTACACTACCCACTATAACTAAAATATTATTATTTCTTAAACACTGCGTCAAAAGTAATTGTATACTTTATGAGTGGACGGAGGGAGTATATAGTATTGAATGTCAAAAAAAGTAAAACTTAAAAATATGATTCTTTGGTTTCAATTTCAAACTAATTTTTCTTTTACCATAATGATTCTTTAATAAAATAAATATATATTTTTATATAAGTATTAAAATATTAAATCAAAATTTTATTTAAATCAGTACTCAAATAAACAAACTTTGATAATCGATATATTAATATATATTTAAAAAAATGGAAAAATCCTACTATTATTATTATTATTATTATTATTATTTTATAAATATCATTTTTAGGTTTTTGTGTTTGGTTGAATAATTTACTACAGTGGCCCTAACTTTATTTATTAAACTGCAGATACGTCACTAGTCTTGATAAATAAATTAAATACATCATAGTAGTAGATATTTCTCTATATATTGGGCTTCAAGATTGTTTTTTTTGGGCCCAAACTTGTATAATACACACAAATTATTAAAAAGTAATATAAATAAATAGTAAAAGATTTTATTTTAAAATATAAAGATACAGACACAGTATTATATAGCCACTTTAAAATTTGTCATTGTGATTTCTTTTTATAGAAAAAAGTATCAGATAAAATATATTTTCACTTTACAAAACAAATTATTTATTTTATAATTTTAGTCCGTTCTAAAGTATTTATTTTTTTTTTTTATAGTAACTGTATTGTTTACATAACATTACAAATATCCTTTTAACTTATAATATATTACACAAATATCATTACATTTATATCACACAATACTAATAAAACTATTTTAATAATTTTTACTTTATTCCTATTTAATTCCAATATAATATTAATATTTTTAAAATTTTGTGTAAAAAACAGACGAATATTTAATTATAAGACGTTTATCACAAATATTTTTCTATTTTATTATTTACAATAATTTTCAATACTACTATATAGATTTGACAACTATAAATAAATAAAATATTTTTATTTTATTAAATACAATGTGAAATAAAAATATATACTCCCTCCGTCCAGCTAAAAAGTATACACATTTCTATTTTGGAACGTCCAATTACAAAGTAAATATTTCATTAAATACCTCACTTTTTTTTACAAGTACCCTTATTTTACATCACATCATTACTTTTATATCAAAAAAACAAAGGCAAAAATATCATTATATTACTTTTAACTACCCACTATAATTAAAATATTATTATTTTTTTTAAACACCACGCCAAAAGAAAATGTTTACTTTATCTGTGGACGAAGGAAATATATTTTTATATACTCTTTATCGCGCATTAATATATCTATTTTTTTTATTTTTTGTCTATTTGTATTAATATATTTTTTTTATTAATTTTAATTCTAACTTTTTTTAATAAATATTTTTCGTTTATTATTTTTATCTTAAAAAATAAATTTAATATATAGTTTATTTTCATTTTTCAATAATACTTCTTCCGTCCCATGTACTATGTTCACATTGTCGTTTCTGTCCGTCCCACGTACCATGTCACTTTTTTTTTTTTGGAAAATGATTACACACTCTAGTCTCATTTTAAATTTTTTAATTTATTTTTTCTAATTTTAATTAAATTAATTAGTTATCTTAATTTTAATTTATAATTATTTATATTATAAAATAATTATTTTTATTAATATATTTTTAATTATCTATTAATTATACATTTCCTAAAATACAATATCTGCAGTGTAGCAAACAAAGTACGTGGACGGAGATATTATTATTTTAAATTTTTTTTTATCAAAATAATGGTATACCTTATGAATAATGCCACTGCAGAGTACACGTGTAAGAATACATTACACATCAAATTCTATCGTTGCGACACACGTCTTTCTTCAGTCAGTACCCACCCTCGATAAAAGATCCCCGGACACAATCAATAATTCACCTCACGTGGCATAGCTATCTCTGCCCACGTGCCCTGGCCGTACTTGTTTTAAGCAGACTTTATTATATGGCCTGTAGAGTACAAAAATTAACAACTACCATCTGATAACCATGGTGCGGCCTCGATCCAGAAAAGATGTCCGAGACGGCCGGTACAAGGGTGTCCGGATGAGGAAATGGGGCAAGTGGGTGGCGGAAGTCCGCCAGCCCAACAGCCGCGACAGGATATGGCTGGGATCCTACGACACGGCGGAGGAGGCCGCCAGGGCTTACGACGCCGCCGTATTCTGCCTACGCGGCCAATCCGCCGTCCTCAATTTTCCAGAGGAACCGCCGGAAATAGTGTCGGCGAATGAGCTTTCGCCGTCGCAAATTCAAGTCGCCGCATCGAAGCATGCCCGAAGATCGCCGGCCGGATCTCTGGAGACGGCGCTGAGACAGCCGCCGCCGGAAAACATGTTCTTCCACGAACCTATTGAGCTTGGGAATTCTTCTTTCAGTCAGTTCCGGGAAGGAGAGGAATATCTCGCGACGGAGGAGAGTAGCAGAGCCGGAGGCGATGACTCCGCCGGCGGCGGCGCTAGCTTCATCGAGTCTCGTATATGGAGTTTTTGAACTTTGTTGCTATTTTATTCCCACTCGTCATCGTTACTGTTATTCTCACACGTAAGAAAGAATTCAGACATTCTTTAATCAGAAGCAATTCTCACACTATTATCAAGAATTTAGGAAATAAAAGAAAGACAAATCACAATTCCAGAATAGTCGGCAAAAAGAAAATAAACAAACAATTAATTAGCAGGCAGCTTCGACAAGGAGCCTTTTGGAGACGCCATGGCTGCAACCAGTGGAGCCAAGGACTTTCTCAGAAGCCGACACGACGCATCTATCCTTACCAACGCATTCTCGGACAACAGCATCCATGACTACGCTCCTTACAGCTTCACACCTCCCAACATTGAAGGAGCCACAACGTCCCTGCGGGTCGCCGAAGCTCGCGAATTTAATGGCGGAGATGGGGCGGCCATGGCACGTCAGCTCCAGGTCTTTATTCTCATAGGCACTTCCACAAACAGTTCCAGGTCGAATCGTACGGAAGTTAACCAAACTAGGGTTTCCACCGAATTCCTCAAAAACCACCAGCTCATTAACGTCCCTGTCCATGAACGTGCGAGGCACGTGGTACCATCTCTGCGTCGCCTCGCCGCAGTTGGACGCGCACTTGTCGGGATCGTAGGTGCCACGGTAGTCGCACGGGCTGCCGGAGCAGTTCCCGTCGGCGAGGTATCTCGGCCAGTAGCGGCCGAGGCTGTTCCCGTTCACCCAGGCCATGCCCTTCCCTAGCCCCTCCAGGTCCACCACAACCGGGTCCTCTTCCAATGGAGCCTTGAAGGTTGTCTGAAGAAGACGATTGAAGTTAAAGATAACGGCGATTCATTAACAATCGAATTTCGATTTATATATACGATTCTTACCTTGTACCAAGTCAACATTTTGTTGACGGGAAGATCATCAGACCGCCAATCGTGGGCGAACGCTTTGTCGTCTACGGCGAACTCGTTCAAACCCTTCATCCCGACATGGTACGACCATTTGTGCGCCGACAGGTCCTTTATGATCGTCTCGTCGCCGCGCTTTCCGACGATGGAGACGGGCCCGGGAAGTCCCGATTTGATTATATCGAATTTCGGGCCGTAGTTCTGAAGCCCGACAGTTGCGCTAAGCAACGTTATTTTATTCTTACCTGGATTCAGCTTCACGGGTCTCTCGAAGTTGTAGTGGAAAACTCCATACGAAGCCCATTCCGAACCTTAAACGACAATTAACCTAAAGTCAAAGTTCCGTTGTAAAATAATCTTATTATAATGGCACAAGAAATTATTGTCGCCGACCGATATGCTCGCCGTTGACAAAAGCGTGGATAACATGACCGGTCTCGTTGACTCGAAGACTCATTTTCGGACACAGGACAGGATCATCCTTGTCAAGCTTCACGCTGTAAGAAATCCATTGTCAGTTAATAGAATCATACGGATAAAGATAAGAGGAAATTAAAGCTGGTACGTCGTACCTCGTCATGTACCACAGATAGTCAGATAGATCATTGATGGACTTCTGGTCCAGGAGCTTGTTGGCGGATACCTGACCCTTTCCCTGTTTGACATATCTGTCCACGTTTTCAGGTCTCCACGACCACTTTAGGTCATCAGGTTCGTTTTCTGCTTCATTAGAGGCCTTCACCATAACAGATGTCTGGGTATTTACTTTAGCAGTGTTGTAGGCTTCGTTCTTGCAATCTGGGAGTATGCTAACAGACCAAGCAGGAACCTTGAGATTAATTCCCTTGTAAGTAAATGTAGTATCATTCTTTGGATTTGCATTGCCAAAGAAACATGTTTCTGTTCCATTGTATGCATAAATCGTCCTCTGTCGAAACCCATAACAAATCAAGAATTTAAATTGTAACAACATATAGGATGTTATTGTAGAAAAAATTAAAAATAGAATTAGGACATACCGATGAATTGTTGCCAAGATCAGTGTGGGAAACGTTTCCATAAGTCAATGCCTTCTCTAAAGAATGTAATACGTCGTGGAGCTGCTTCAAGTGTCCATATTTTGGTTGGTTAAACCCACCTGTGTGGATTAATTATATTTAAAAACATAAATATGTTTTTTTTTGGGCAATACTATGAAAAAATGAACTTAATTACGCACGTACCATATTCATTGAGTGGAGCATCGTAGTCATAGGATGTCGTGATGTACGGCCCACCAGATGTTCTACCAAAATTGGTTCCTCCATGGTACTGATCGATGAACAAGGCAAGCATTTGTAATAGAACATTATTGATCACATAATCGTCATTGATTTAACAGAATATACATTCGAATTATTTGAAAATCGAACCATGTAATAATTCTGGAAAGTGCCACCAAGTTGGTAAAATCTGGCGACAGCATAGGCGACATCCTCGGCAGTTCTGAGGGGGTCTTTACCTCCCCAGTTCTTGAACCTGATAAAATATTAATCCCATATTATATTTCACTAAACATATTATTAAAATTCCAAAAATAGAAAGGCAAACGATTCTAACCATCCCGTCCAATTTTCAGTCCACATTTTCGGACTATTCCGATTATTTGGAGTGAACTGGTCACAGTAGAAACCGTTGCAAGTGTTGATCTGCCATGTACAAAGAAAACAAATTAAATCAATCCAAACATATATATATATATATATAGAGAGAGAGAGAGAGAGAGAGAGAGAGAGAGAGAGAGAGAGAGACAATGGGTTGAGGAGCATCATCTTGCTGGCACATAATCCATGGAACTCCAATATGAAGTGATTCAGCCAAATTTGCACACCACTTTACGTATTCTTTCCCGGCATCACCGTAAGCAGACATCACATTTCCATATTCATTCTCAATCTGTAAATTAAATTAAATTAAATTAAACTTATTACCAAAATGAATTGATGAATAAAATGAAGCAATAAAAACCTGTGCAAGAATAATTGGACCCCCCTGGGACGCAAAAAGCTTCTCCTTCTTCATCATATCCACTATCAACATGGTAAAATTCTTCATCTCATTCTGCACCACCACCAACAGATAGATCATCATCAATTCAATTAATTCTTCTACTACCTACCACATTAGTTAATTAGAACTACCTTGTAAACATCATTCTGTGTCCGAAGCTGAATCCCTCGCAGATTGTGCAGCCAGACAGGAAACCCGCCATAGTTCCACTCTGCACAAACGTAAGGGCCGATACGAAGAACAGCATAAAGTCCTTCATCTGCAACAGTCTTTATGAACCTCACCAAATCCAAATTCCCATCAAAATTATACCGCCGACGCTGCGGCTCGTGCGCGTTCCAGAACACGTATGTCTCAATGGCGTCCAGCCCTCCGGCCTTGGCCTTCTTTATCAGATCTGGCCACATCTGCCAATCATTTCATTACCATTATTATTAACCAATCAATCAATCCAATAATTAATCAATTAAAATAGTACCTCGGAAGTGCTCCGAGGATAGTGAATGGAGCCTGAGAGAAGGATTCGTCTCTCGCCATTGATTTTGATTGCTCTCCCATCGTGAGACACGTCTGTCGCAGAAGCACTTTCAGATGACGACGATAAGAAGAGCAAAAACACAAGTAATAATCTGGGAATGAAACTCATCGCTGGAGACGATGTTCAGAAAGTGTTTGTGAAATTAAAATGTTCTTCTTCCTATTTATATAGAACCCTATTGGATAAATATTCAAATTGTTTAATTAATTAATTAATTAATTAAATCACGTGTATTCTGGGGAGATTTTGTTAAAATTAAATACAGTGATAGCTGCTACTATGAAATAAAACATTTTTGGAAACCCAATTAATCTGACATTATTTTGAAGTTAATTTTGGTATTTTTATTTAATTATGTTTCTTCTTCAATTTCATAGCTGTTTCGATGCTGGCATCCAGTAACAGGTTTTAAATTATATGGTAATATTTTATTTTGATTTTTTGTATCTTCCAAAACTTACCGAAAATCAAGCATAAAAATGGATATTGGATTAAATTTAGTAAACTTCATCGGTTTGTAGTTTGAAATTTGACTGAAGCATTCAAAGTCATTTGAAATAATCCATACGGATAATAGTTAGTTAGTTCCATCTATCTTAGCAACTTTATATGGTAAGGATATATCCATTTACTGTTTAAAATGGTATTTATAAAATTATAATAACTAGGAAGGAATGATTCAATGATTATATATATGTATAAATAATATTTTTAAAGAAAAAAAGCCAAATTATGTGAGAGGAACGAGTAATTTACAATAAATCTTCGTCCAAATTAATTTTATAGAATAAGCAAATTAACATTTCATATATATATATTTGTTTGATCGAATTTGGTTTAGGGTTTAGGGTATTGGTAATCAATAATACTAATATTGTGTTGTATTCGAGTATAAATGATGTTTGAGTCACTTGTTGGTCTTTTTAAATAGTGTAAGAATTAACAATTGCTACTCAAATAAGATATTCTAAACAAATATTTTAAATGGTCGGAAAAATCAAGACTATCCCAATCGCTTGTTGATCTCAATTAATACTTCTACATGCATGCATGCATGCATTCATAGTTTGCTTTTAAATAAAAATATAAATGTACTTCCTCTTAAATATAAAAATACTTTCGTTTTACATAAAATATTTACACAAATACCATCAAATAATAGCATAAATATTATGGTATAATCATGAATTACTTAATTAATTACTTATTAATTAACAATAACAGTGACAATAGTGATTTGGAGGAGGGTGATAGAAAACCTTGCAAAAACCTCCTTTGTCACGAGAACTGTCCAAACACATCTCGTTGAAAATTTAAGGTTGTCACTCTCTTATACGAGAGCGTGAGACAAAATCCCTCTCATCCAAAGCACGTGATTTTTATTTTATTTTATTTTAATTTAAAAATTATTTTTAAATTGCATTTTTTTTGTGATTTTTATTTTATTATTTATAAAATAAATTATTTTTAATATTTATATTTTAATTTTAAAATTAATACTAATTTCTATATTGTATTTATTATATATAATCAAATAATAGTATTATATCTTTATCGTTTTTAATAAAAATATCTAAATATATATATATATATATATTTCACAAAATAGTATAATATAAAACTAATATATAATATTTTTTTAAAAAAAAAATTACGAAGAAAAGCTAAAAAGACATCTCCATCCAAGCATAGCCTAAACAGGCCCTAAGGTTGTGAGTTGAATTTTTTTAAAGTTTTCAAATAGTAAAAGGTAAATGAAAATAAATAAATATTTTACGTTACATAATAGGTATTGGATCTGAAAATTTTGTATAAAAGGTATATTTATGTTCTAATATTATTTTAAGTGGTATTTTAAATTAATAGTGCCATTTGCAAAAAAAAAAAAAAAAAAAAACCATATAAGCAGCAAAATTTGTTAAATAAAAACAAGTTTTAAATATATAATGTTTCTTTGATTTGAATCTTGCTAGTATAATATTTAGGACCATAAATATTTTCAATATAAACACATAGTCTGATTCTACATTATTTAGGAACATAGAATTTACTTTTTTTTATCTTTATTTTAATTATCGTTTTTATTTCTATTCACAAAAGAAATGACAAATTTGCCAATATACAATAAAAAAATAATTCTAAAAAAATGTGTAAATATCACTTAGGACATTAAAAAATGGACTGAGAGAGTATTTAAAAACCTAACACATATTGATCTTCTTCGCAAAACTCCGTAGACTTAATCTTAATAAAATATTTAAAATAGTGAGAAAAACTTTTAGTAATACAACTAATAATAAAAATGGATATATATAGATATATATTATTTATTTTAGATTCCGTTTCTTGAAATATTATACTAGTGTAACATAAATATTAATTAATGTGAGCCGTGCTTAAATAAATCAGACTATATTGTTTAGCTATAACTGTGACACGTAAATTAAAATAGACAATAGGACAAATTATTGTGGAGCATTTTATATTTTAAATCACTTACAAAAATAGTGGAAATATTTTTCTAATGTGTTAGGTTAAGACTTTTTGAGATTCCAAAGTTTATTTTAATTCACCTAACCCAATTATAAAATTCAATTCCGCCACTGTAACGGAACATGAACCACTTTGCTGCCATTTAATTTACACAATTATAATAAAAATAAAAATAAAAATAAAATAAAATAAAATAAAAGTGATTATCAAATAATGTGGTATGAGTCGCATTCTCTATTGTAAAATGGTACTGCTCCCTCAGAACTATAGGTTGTGCTGTGTTTGGTACGAAATTTAAGAAATATTGATATTTCTTTCGTTTTATAACAAAGTATTCATTTTTTCTATATTATCATTTTAGTTCGTTCCATAACAAAGTATCAATTTCCTTTTTTAATAACTGTACTATGTACCTAACATTACAAATACCCTTACAACTTACAATATATTACATAAATATCATTACCCTTATATCACACATACTAATAAGGTTATTTTAATCATTTCTACTTTATTCATATTACATCCTAATATAATACTAATATTTCTAAAACTACGTGCAAAAAACAAATGGATATCTAGTTATGAGACAGATGAAGTATTATATTGGTAATAGATAAAAAGTACGGGTAAAAGACTTTTTTGCCTTTGTGAGTGTATTAGTGTAAAAAGTAGTGAAAATTATGTAATAATAATGAAAAAGCAAAGATAGTTTTACAGTGATATAATTATTTATGAAAATGAGACTATTATTTTAGGACGGATAAAAATGATAAACAATTCTTTACAGTGTTTTAATAAATTGGTTGATTAGGTCGTAGCTCCTAACGTGTGACGCAATGCATTTCATTTTCAGATAATCAATGCAGTAATTTTATTAATTATTGTTAGTAAGGTCTAATCCACATCATGACGTCACATCTCAAATTTCAGCGAGTTTTTTTTATTGCTATTATATATCTAGTATGTTTAATTAAAAGAATATTGTATCACATAGTAATATATAATAAATAAAAAATTATTTTATTTAAAATATAATATCAAATATTTATTTATATTATAGTACTTTTTTGTTTCATAATACATGAGGTAGTATGTTTTTCTATAACAAATGATACTCTATTTTAAAATATTTAAATATATATTTTAAATTCTTTTAAATCACATATATATATATATATTCTTATTTTAAAATTACTAAAAATACCCTTCATATTTATTCTTATTTAAATTTGCTTGTGTACAAAAATTATATATGTATATAAGAATTTTATATTAAAAATCATATTTAATATAAAAATACTAAGGGTTTTAAAAAAATATTTAATATAAGCATAAAAATAAAAATTAGATATTACTAGAATTTATATGAACTTAAACATTAAAAATAACCTGTAGATACCCTTTTTACATAAATTCTGTACTATAAAAAATTATTGAAACTACATGTAAATAAGAAAGTATGCAACAATATATTCCATCACAATTTACTCTAATAAATTACATCATTTGACCCACAAAAATAATTTACAGTAATAAGAATACGCTTTATATTATAAGCTATACACGTTTTAAGTTTTAACTAAATCGTGAATATTTATTATGCTCTACAACGTGAAGGAATAATTATTATTAAACGTTATTCAGTTTGAATGTAAATTGATGGGCTTTTTTTTTTTTTTTTTTTTTAATAATGTGATAATGAAAAAAAAAATTGTATTTATTTATTTTTATTGGAGTGATGATTGAATAAAATATAATGTATATTTATTAAGGAATTAATTATTTAATATTTCAAAAATATGATAGATATATGAGAAAATCTAAAAAATATATATATTGTAGAATATATATAAGACAGTCAAAATTTATTTAGGGTATGTTTCTTTAGTAAAGCTTCTCCACATTTTACTATTTAGATTCTGACCTTTTTTTTTAAAGAAAAAATATATATATTTTTTTTTACAAAATATTTAATTAAACATTATTTTAATACTAAATTTAAATTAATTTTTTTCCAAACTCATCAAAAAGAATACACCTTTAGAATACAATCTCCGTAGATCTAATTTACTTTTTACATATTGATATTTAAATATCAATTATTATATCAAAATATAGTACAAATTAATAAAAAATTGTAAAAGTACTTTAATTAGTATTTTATAATATTAATAGAATGACATTTATATAAAAAATTATATATACAAATATAAAAATATTTTTAATATTGAGTAAACTTAATCCTTAGATGCGGGTAGAGATCCCTCCGTCCACCGCCAATCTATTTATTTTGCCATTTTAGTCTGTCCACCGCAAATGTATCCATTTTTTTTTTTTTTTAAGTAAATGTACATTCCACTAAAATATAAAATTACCCCACCCTTTATATAATATCACACAAATGTCATCAAATAACACCACTTAATACCATAAATATTAAGAGGTATAATAATATTTATATACATTAATTGTACTACATATTAATATAATACTAATATACTAAAATTTATGGTACGGATAGATAGGCTTTGGACGAAAGAAGTATTAAAAATTAATTTTAATATTTTTAACATTTAAAAAAAAATAAAAATTAGAATCTTTAAATTTAATTTAAATGCAGATGGGCTCCAGCTACATAAAGGAATTGAGGAAGCGCGTGGAAGTTTGGAGCTGGCGTATGGCGGGTCCCGATCAAAGAAAGCATCGCCACTCCGTGACCGTTGGATTCATCTCATAATTATTGCTACTAAAAGGCCGGACAACGGGCATCAATATTTATACATACAAATTCATTATCATACATTAATATTATTATTATATTTATTTATGTGCGGATTCTTAGTACAATTTCATCTTTTAAGCACATTGAAAATCAGTGGCACTTTTTTATATATTTTTAATCGAAAAATGAAATTTAATATTATTATATATATATATATATATACATGTATAATGGAGGAGGCACTCTTTGCTATAAAGTGATGTTCACAAATTCAATGCATCAAATCCCCATGTAAAATAATCACAAATTTGAGTTACTGTGTGTAGTATTTTATCAAAGTGGGCATAAAAAGGAGGACACTTTCATTTCATCCTAGAGATTGCAAATTAATAAATGAATAATTAAATTAATGCCCAAATCATGGTGACATCCCTTTCTAATTAAATATATAGATATATAAATTAGCATATCTTTCTAAATAAATTAATAAGATCTCTCTTCTCATGGCGAAAGAATAATATCTTCAAAAGAGTTATTTTTCGGATTTTGTAAATAAAAGTAAAGCCAAGGGTATACCGGTCATTTCAGACGCGACATCTCCATACTGTGAGTGAGAATTCAGCGGCACCATACACAATAGCGAGTCTTCCTCACCCACTCCCGGAACCCCAACACCAAAGATAATCTACACCATCGATTGTCCACTCCACGGACGGTTCAGATCTTAAGGAGCTCCACTCCAGGGGCCCGCTACGCATATACTAAATTTCTTCTGTGGGACCTACCGCAAGTGGGCGAAGTGAAAACAGTCCAAGAGACATGGAATAAATCAAGTGGGCCATAGTAGTAACAGCTCCAGGGCCTGTAAGAAGGCGACACGTAGACAACGTCCGGCGACGCCAGCTCACCGGGATCTTGGGCTGAGTCAGATAACGGCAACGTGGGCCCAGTATTGGGCCGGGGTCCCAATCATTGGACGTGGACGTTACATAAAATAATGTTCCACTGACGAACGACAATTTTAAAATAATCACTTTGGAATCCAAATTAACAGTAGAATAAAGTGGTTCAATTATGCAGAATAAAAATAAACTATGAAATAAATAAAATAATTAATTAAAAAATAAAGAATAAAACTATCGGCTGCTGTGTTGTGCTGTGTCTGAAAACCCCTGAAAGAAGCTTTTATAAATTGAGGAACCCACAGAAATTGCTATTCCCCTCTGCACCAACAAAAGCCGGTCATCGTCATCTTCCCATACTCTAGAGAGAGCGGATCCTCCTCCTCCGGCGATGCTATCGAAGCCAGTGATCGAGATCCTCACCGGATCATTGGTTTCCGGCAGCGATTCCGGTCAGTCGGAGGTTTTTAAGAGCCCGAGGCAGTCGCCTCGAGGAATTAAGAAAAGCTTCGATTTCGGTGGGGTTGGATTGGGCATCGTTGCTGCGCTGGAGAAATCGGACGGGATTGCGGCCAATTCCGCGCTGTTCAACCGGAATTTGAGCCGATCTAAGCCGATTCCGGTGAGAAACGCCAACGCGTGTGGCGGAGGCAGAAAGGGGGACGATCGGACTCCTTTCAGAATACAGAACAGCAACCGCAGCAGCGTTTTTCACATATCGCCGCCGAGGTTCGCCGGAGAGGCCAGCGGTTTCCCCTCGCCGGATTTTCTCAGTTTCTGCGACTTATGCCACAAGAAACTCCACGGCAAAGATATATATATGTACAGGTACAACTCCTCCTCCCACTCCTCCTCTACCGCCATAATCACCACCAACAAAAATCAAAACCTAACAAAATCGTTTTCATATCTAAATTTGCTGACATGATTCTTCGATGAAACTCGTAGTTTCAGCTAATTGATGATTCCTTCACCACTGAAACCCTAAATCTCCCTAATTTTGCCGCGGTTCATAACTTTTACTCATACAAATGAATTAATAAAATTGCAGGGGAGAGAAAGCATTCTGCAGCACAGAGTGCAGGTACAGGCAAATGACGGTGGACGAGCGCACAGAGAAGTGCAGCTCCAAGGCGTCGAGGCCCGCGGCGGAAGTCGCCGCCGGATCACCGTACGCCAACGGACAGATCCTCACCACCGGAATCCTCGCGGCCTAGCCGTTCATATTACCACGGTTAGAGTACATATGTAAAAAAAAAAAACAAAAAGAAGCTGATCCGGATCATAATTGAATCACACCATGTTTGATGAGAAAGCAGCCAATTAGTGAAGCTGTTTATTACATCAAAAAGATAAAAAATAGCGAAGAAGATTTTGCATAAAGAGAGTAAGTAAAAAAAGGAGTTGTTAATTTGATCTTGTTTTGTAGTGGATGTTAATAAATGATAAATAGGAAGTGATGGGTGCTCACATATCACCATTAAAGCCCATCATCAGCTTTTAGCAATGGCAGAAAAAGAGGACAAGAAAAAGGAAACAGCAATAAAGAAAACACTAAAATTAACATATGGGAACACAAGCATTTTGTGCTTGTGGACCTCTCTTTAATAATGGGAAACAAGTAATGATTTTAACGGGATTCAAATTCATGAATCCATTTGATTTCAAAGATGCAATTTAGCCCTTGATTGGTAAGAATTCCCTGGTGAAGAAACAATATTGCAAAAGGCAACCCCAGTTTTACAATAACCATCACCATAATGATCTGTTTAATCCAACCTAGAAGATAAGCTATGAATACAAAGCACTACATGTTCATCAAAAGATCGATCATTCAAGTAGGACAGAAATACACGAAATCCAACTGTTTTAACTCATAAAACTTCGGAGACCTTCGAAAAGGACAAAGGGGAGTTTTTATATGTTACTGATGATAATACATTGGCGGCGGCTGGGTTGTTGTGATGCTTGCATACCCACCGTCATAAATTGCTTGACCGGCAGCATTGAGGCGCTGGCCTTGTAAAGTCATCAGGGCTTGGGCGGCGCTCATTTTGCTCATAGCAAGCTGCCGTTCGTATGCAGCAAGATTGGCAGCAGTAAAACCGGGTATATGTGCTACAGCCGGAGGAGGAAGAGGAGTCGAACTTGTTCCAGGTGGAGTTGGCTTACTACCCCACGAGCACTGGAGATGAACAAGTATCAGTCATAAGCAGCACCACGATGACAAACTCGTCTATAAATCCAATAAAAGACATTAAAAGTAGGATTCTCTTATGTGTTTTTTCTTTATCTTAGAAGTTCTTGAATTTTGATCTAGACTCAATACAACATTTCAAGGAGCGGATCAATCATCAAATTTTAAGCAAAAAAAAACATTACCTTGATTGGTTTGCCGAAAAGAAGTCGAGCATTTCCCATCTGGATGGCACGGGCAGCTTCAGCATGGTTGCTGTACCTAATGAACCCAAAGCCTTTCTCTCTTTGAATCCGGACATCCTCAATTACACCAACCCCAAGAGCATGGAAAAGGCGATGGATATCAACCGATGTGACCTTTATCGGTGTTAGTCAGAGGAATAAAGTAAAGTTAGTTATTTCTGAGAGAAGTATAATATGACGTGAAGCATTTCTTGTTTAAAGAAATCGATAGATAATATAATGCTCCAAGAATGTGTACTGACAAGCATAGTCTCATATATTATAAAGATGAAATTGGGAACTCGGGCATTCCGCAAGATTTGGCAGGCAAATATCATATTTACTTACTTCAGGAGCAAGATTGCCAACATAGACAGTGGTATACTGTGGATTACTCTCTGGTGTATCTTCATTTCTTTTCTCTTGAGCCTCCCCTGCACAACATAGCAACGGACAAAAGAACACAGTGTGAATGTGATATTTGAATTTAGTGTAAAACTTGGAATTCATAAAAGATACATGTACAAAGTGCTTTCCCAAGAAGATCTAATCTGTGAAATATGATTAAAAAAACAGTATACAACCTCTAGCCACATCACTAGTTATGCAGACTTCCAGTTTTGTGCTAATGTATGGCAAAGTTTTAAGGCATTATTTAATTAATGTTTAATGATAATAATATTAGACATAAGACAACCAGGGTCACATAGATGAGCTATTTTTAAGAAGAACAAACCTGATGTTCCATTTGTTAGTTCCACTACATTTTTTGAATCAGAAGCTTGTTGCTCATCGCCTAAACCAGCACCTTTTGTTGCCCAATTGCATCGAATTTGTCTACTTCCAAGCCATTTTCCTGGGATTTGAATACGAAATAAATTAGGGAAAACATATAAAACACCAGAAAGACAATGGATAAAAGAAGGGAACAACACATAAGTAAATTGCTAGACTATGATTGTGTTTGTTTGTATGATTTTGGAGATTTTCTACCATTCACCAAAACTTCCACTAACCAAGGCGTGCATACACATAATTAAGTTCTAGGAAATTCATTTCAACCTTTTCCACCCTAAAAATATCAGCACCCAGAAGAATTCCAAGGAAATAGAAACAAGCAGACTTAACCAATTAAATATTGATCACTTCCAATATATGATAGAAGGAAACAAAAATGAGACAAGTGAAAGCCTCTCACCATTCAGGTCATTTATAGCACTTTGAGCATCCTACCAAAAGAACACACAAGTGGAAAATCGATTAGTGCACAAATCCATAACTCGATAATAATAATAAAATCATGGCACCAACATATTCCATAGCATACCTGCTGATTGCGAAATGAAACAAACCCAAAGCCCCTTGAACGGCCAGTTTTCTGATCCCACATAACCCTTGCATCTCTGCATCAGTGAAGCATAAGCATATGCTAATAAGCTCATTGTACGTATTGTTTTCATAAACTGAAAGAAACAGCAGCTCCAAGAAACAGATAGTAAACTTAGACTTACGAGACACTAGGGTAGACAGAGAAGCAAGCGTATAAGGTAGCATCAGTAACCTCAGGGCTGAGATCACCAACAAAAACATTGAAGTGATCTGCATAGAGAATTCATACAAAGCAGATAATATCAAAATTTAAGCATAAATACTTGACAAAAAAAGAGGACAGTAGCATAGGAAGGGGAGGAAAGATACTTGTCGTGTCCTCTCTCTGTGCACTAGCATATGCCCAATTGACTTTTATTGGTTGTCCGAACCTGAAAATATTGATGTTAGACAAGCACAAGAAACTACTCATAATACAGTCAGCTAATCAAAGTTTCTACTTACAAATGTCTCCCATTTAGGGTAACAATGGCAAGGGCAGCTGATTGACGGTCAAAATAATCCACAAAACCATAGGATGACTGCAACAAAAGAGGTGCAACATATAAATCATGAATTCATGGAAACCAAAAGCTTCAGTGTGCAAGTTTAAAGATTCATTCTAAGAAAGGGGGAGCAGAAGTCCATCACATGAGTCAAATGTAAGTTAATTTGTGTCAGCAATCATTAAGCGATCGTCTGTAATCCATGTTTTGAGAATAGCAATTTATTGTGTGCTTCTGGTGATGAAAATGTGAAATAAAATAATGGTGAATTTAGGTTTTGTGTGTCATTATATGAGCATTTATCACCGAACCCTGATATGAGGTAGGATACAAACACGTGTTATATATACAAGAATATAGCAATTATCAGACATCATAAATTACATGAGTTAGAACAATGCAGCTTCAATGCAAATTAAGAACAGGAACTAAAAATATACCTTGTCCTTTCGGAGAAGCTTGCAACCTTCAAGAGGACCAGTACTAGAGAATATCTCCTGAAGAAGAGGTTCAGTTACTTGTGGATGAATATTTCCTACATACCTGTGTGACATCAGAGAATTAAAAGAAACAAGATTGAACTTCTGGGAGATGATAACAAACAAGAGTTCGAAATAGGAAAATGTCAAAGTACACTACTATTTTGGTGCCAAGGAGAAAACTATATCCAGTCTCTACAATGGATTCGATTTTAACAGTGAAGCCATTTTAATAAAGTGGAATCAAATAGCCCATCGGATATCTAAAGGGTTTAATCACATCTGGTGCAGAGCACAAGTTTTATATACAGTATCATGGCTGAAGAAAATAAATAAATGAGAAAAGAAGAGGACAAAAATAAAATCAGTGATCATCAACTGGCTAACTGGGACTTCACAAATAGCTGGATGGTTATACTAATTATACTCTTAATATTACCATCAGACAATGGAGTGACAATCCAATATTAAAAGCCAATAACATAAGTATCACCACAAGCAATTTGTAACAACTAAAGAAACAGTCAGTTGAAATTTTTACAAGGCAATGGAAGGTTTATCTGAAGAACAGGATACAAACAAAAAGACACGAGTTGAAAGAAAGATATATACATATATGTGTGTGTGAACAGAAATAAGCTCAATTTTTATGTGGAACTTACACACTGCGGCATGTGCTAGAATCAAATCCAGGTGGCAAATTTCCACTTAAGATAGGTTCTATCTGCAAAATAAATTGAAAGATAGTAACCATCTTGACATTGACTAAAAAGATGTCCATCTGTGGAATATGAATACTGGACAATGGAGAAAATAGATTAGTCTTCTTATTCATTCAAAATTTCCCAGTCACCCCAGAGAATCCAAACATACTCTCTGAAAACTATAGCTAACGCCTTAGATGTAATTTTACCAGCAACAAAAATTTATAATGCATTCAAACTGTGTTTGGCCAGATAGTTCAAGTTCTTTCTTTTTGTGCAATTAGCGGCAAGTTCTTAAGAATGAATAAGACAGGGAATTACAGGTTCCAGCTTTAGACGATGCAACAAGCATAAAATTAATCTTGAAGAATCTGTAGTCCATTCAAACCTTGTTACGAGGTTCAAGGCATGCAAGAGCATAAAATCCATTTGTATTAACATTAAATGAATTTATTAAAATACCAACAACAAGAATTGAAGTCCAAATGTGTGCGGAGCACAATGGAATGCATACATACATGGTAGATAGAACCGCACCTAGCATATCCATATAAATGATAAATCTACACTACAAAATTAAACCAAATACCATTGAGGAAAATTCAGAAAATATGCAATCAGAACATAGTGTAGGTTTATTGTGTTCCAGCTCTGTTATGAAATCAAATGTCAGCTACATAAATCATTGGAAAATATATGTAAATTGATAGTAGATACCTAAAACAATTAGCAACATCAAAAAGAAATAGAGAAATATTGAACCCTTGAAAACTCCTCCTATAGGCGTAACAAGGTTAATCACAAAGCAATCCCATAGAAAGTGAATCAAAACAAGTAAATACGCCACAAAGCACAATTCAAGATCGCTGCCAAATAATCAACACAGATTATATCAACAATCGATTCAATAGCATACTTAAATCAAGAATTATCCTAAAATACAGGAGGAAGAGCACACAGGCGCGCAAACACGCATAAAATTCCCAACGAGACAGTACAGTCAGTAGAAATAATTTCACGGAAAGAAGGCGAGCGAAAAATAAGCAAAAACCACGAAGAAAACAAGAAACCTGAGGAGCGAGGAGACCCGGATGGTAAAGAGATTGCTGCATCAATGCTTGCTGCTGCTGCTGCTGTTTCAACCTCTGCTGGTGCATCTTCTTCCTTAATTTCTTACAAACAATGGCGAAACATAAAACCGACAAGAAAATGGCGAAAACAAAGAAAAACAAATAATAAATCAAGGAAGAAAAGGAAAAGAAAGAAAGAAAAACAAAAAAATAAAAAAAAGAACCCTCGAGAGAGGGAGAAGACCCGGAAGCGAACAAAACAAGCTGAAGCTGCCAAGAGACGATAAATGAAATGGAAGATGATGGTCTGTGCTCATCTTTTTCTTCTTCTCGCTCGACGGCTGTGATTCCGTGTCGCATCTTCCCTGCAATCGGTTTTCTGGGCCTCAAAATATTTGAGCTCCTAATTTTTTTATCGGGCCCCATCTATTGCATAAAACCCCAATCATATAGCCCATTGGGCTTTAGTATCATAGCCTCCGCCCAAGCCCAAATCCAATTGTCAGCAATCATTCAAATAAAAATAAAAAATATATATATATAATCAAATACGTCTTATTCCACCACATGTGACACGTGGAGTGGGTGTCAATGAAGTAGTTACCTTTGTGTATGGTAACGGAACAGTATTATTCTTTAGTATCGAATTCCTTTGGACCTTTTCTCGATAATTTATTCATTGGTAATTAAAAAAAAAAAGGAAATAAATAAAACATGATTTACTGACAAGAAAGACCATTTCAAATTTCAGCATAAAAAATTCAAATAGTAACATACACCACAACAACAACGTAACGTCTGAATCCCGTAAGCCTGTCACTCTATCTTTACTTTAACTTTACACCATGCAATCTTCATGTCCCTAAATTGCTACCTAAAGCTTTTCCATTACATTTTTAATTAATTAAAATAAATAAAAGGCGTGTCTCCGCGTTGGGTTTTTCAAAAGCGCGTGCACTTGTTGTCCTAACATGGTATGGTATGTATGTCCCTTTCTGTATGTATAGTGGCTCCATTTTAGATTTTATAGGTCGCCTTCAATTAAACTAAAAAAAATAAAAATAAGATGTAATAAATTAATAATTCCTACGAATAATGTAGTGTATTTTTGTGGATTGGGGAATTTGTTGGGCAAACTTTCCCTGTAGATTAATAAGCAAACAAACACGCATGCATTCCACACTGCAATCATTCGTGCTGCGCGTGAGGTTGTTACAATTACAAATGGTACTACTGTACAAACTTATTGTTTTGTTTGAATCAATTTTTAGATTAAACATTTTATGTGAAATCAGACAACTTTGTTGACACGAAAAGAATTAGATACATATATTACACCTATACATGATTTATTGAGCTTCTTGGTAGTGTTCAGTTCATACATCCAAGGGGGGAACATGAGTTAAGTGTAATTATCGTGACCCACATATAATTAATTAATTATGAATTATATATATATATATATATAGATACTGAAAGGTACATCATCTGACAAACAAAAATTACAAGCCAGAAAAAAGGAATACTACAAAACTACCTAGAATTAAGTATACATGCAATAAAGATATATATATAAATTAACAGATCCATTTAGTCTATTGGATCTGAATTAGTAGCAACATACTTGGTAGGAATTATCATAATAATAATAATAATTAGGAAGATCAGTGGGGCTGGATTTGGAGGGGGAGATTGGGGGAAAGCCCCAGCCACGGCTCCGTTTTGACGGGCTTGGGCGGCGCCGCCGGTTTGTTGGCCGGGTAAGGAACGTTGGCGGTGACCCTGTTGTGCAATTAATTGCAGAGGATTAATGGTGATTTTGGACAAATTTATTGATTATTAACTGATAAGATCTCCTGAAATAAAAATTCTACCTATCCTTTCTCTTCTCCAAGAAGCGGGCTAAGGAGTTTTTCCGGGCGATGGGTAAATCTGAAAGGGGAGGTTATTAATTATTGGTGGAATTTAATTTATTGAAGAGATTTTTGATGGAGGGAGGTTACCGGAATCGAGGGGCGGCGGCGGCGGTGGTGGAGCAGAGGGGAGAGGGACGATGCTGGAGACGGACTCCGCCGGGCTAGGGACGGCCGGCGGAGGAGCTAAAGCAGCGTTGGGGTTGTGGGCGGTGGAGGATTTCTGAGCCAGTATCATCAGTTCCTTGGCCTTATCCGCCGGAAAGTCGTTGAAGACGATGACCTTGCCGCCGTAGAATATGGTCATCGGCGCAGTTTCCGCCGCGGATTTCGCACCACTGCCACCAGAAAAATAAATCAATTAAGAAATAAATAATGACGTTTCCCATAAAAAAAAATAAAAGAAAAAATATCTCTCTAATTGATTTGATATTCACGTGCTTGAATAAGTCCTCCTCCTCACCTGAGATCAGAGTTCTTCAGAGCTTCATCTCCGGCGGGGGTTGTGCTCGAATTCCGGCCAGATTTCTCAATCATCGGCAACAAGTTCATGGTCTCCGTCGGAGCTCCTGCTTCACAGATTCAAAAGAAATTAATCCTCAGTCGAACATCAAGCAAAAGGCATATAAATATCACTAAGCAGTACCTTCAGAATCCAATTTCCGATCGAAGCCGAGGCTAATGCCTCCAAAGCTGCCCTTCTCCTTCAAATACCTACTCAGAAGGCTACACGTCTGCGAGAAATTAGACCTCCCGCCGGAGATCCTCCCGGAATCCACCATCTCCGACGAACCCATTCCGATCCGGCGACAAAACTCGAAATTAAAAAGAAAAGAAACAAGAAATCCAAGACCTCAAACTCTCACCTGCATATCAAACTAAATTAAAAATTAAGGCATGGAGCGTAGCTATGGCGGTGCAAATACAATATATATATATATATCGAAAGCTAGGAGCCCACCCCACGCCAAATTTTCCACAGACGCACAGAAGAGAGAGATAGAGAGAGAGAGAAAATGGCACGAGGGATGTGTGGGGTTTATAAAAATGGCATAGACCCGGGCAAGTGCCCGTAATTGAAGAAGCCGTTTTGCTGAAAAGGGCAGTGAGGGAATCGCTCTTGTTGACTGCCCGAAAAATAATGGTGGTCTGGTCGAGACGCCCGTTTATGAAACACGTGTTTGTTTGTGTCCTGAAAAGCTGCGTACGGACGTGCCCTGCTGCATGCTGTTGCCCGGCAACTTGCCCACTCCCACTCCTCTTCGACGCCGTTAAGCCCCTTCCGTTACCGTTACCGTTACCGTTACCTGCCCTGGCTGTGCTCTTTAATTTAATTTAAGTGCAATGTGGAATAACTGTTACTTTAGGTATATATTTTTTTAAATAATACTTTAATGTGAGGTACATTATACTATTCCGAATTTCTTTATTTGTCTGTACAATTAATTTTTTTATTAAAATAATTACGGCAGAAAGTCAAGCTCGTGCATGGCTGTATAATATGATTACAAAATTGTTGCTAGTTCAGTGTATTTACGTATTTTAAATTGAGTTTCGAATTTGAATACTATTTTCTATTAACTAAATATTTTTAAACAGCAAAATTAATATAAAAACTACATCCTAGAGATAAAAAGGTGGAAACCCACTTGCCACATTAAGTGCACACTTGCTCAATCTCGTGCAAGTCAAATTTAAAATTGTGGAATATTACAATGTACATGTTCTCGATACGAGAGACTATGGCCCTATTATTATTACTTTTATTTATTTATTTATTTTTATAACACGAGAATTTGCAACCGTTACTCTTCGGGTATATTTTTAATAAATTTTTGATTAAATTTAATAATTTGTATGACAAAATTATTAAATTTGAATGCGTTACAATGCCCTATATATTTGTGGCGCTATTCATTTAATTATATGGATAATCATACTTCACTATTATTTCATGAATAAAATGAAAGACTGACATGACACTCGATATACCTATTTATATTCAATTAAAACCACGAACATTGCATGCATTATTCAATTATTGATTAAAAATATATATATATATATATTAAAATTATTTTGTAACTATTATCTATATGTCACAAATACATACAGACATGTGACCACAATATTTTAAGAATTTTCTGAAGCTGCCATAGTTTCCGAGAAGCTTCGCTAGGCCACACACATGCAAAAAAATATTTATTCAACTAATACCAATTAATTCAATATATATATGTATTTTTGTGTTATGATTTTTCAATCAATTATTAATTTATTAAATTATTACCTATTTATATATATTATAATTAGTGCCAACTAATCTAACGTTACTTATGGACTCGACTACTCTCTTGACTCGAGAGTAATTCTTCACCACGGAATTAATTATTCATCTATTAAATATGAGCAAAAGGCACTGAATTAAAGGGACGTATCACCCAACCTGCATCTTCAACAATTAAATTAATTTAAATAATTAATTAATAAAAAAATAAAAAAAAATTGAATGAGTCAAAGTTGATTGCATGCATTTTGACTTGGAATTAATTACTTGTTCTATTCTCGAAATTGTCGACAGGTTATTATTGCACGTTTTAAAAATTCTCTTCCAGAAATAAATTAAGTAACGTAGTAGTTGGTATAGTTATGGTTATGAAAATGGATCCTTAACCTCTCCTTTAAATTAAATTAATCACCACTTTATTTAAAGAGTGTGTTTGCTATATAATAATAATAATAATAATAATAATAATAATAATTATTATTATTATTATTATTATTATTATTATTTTGTTTTTTTGATAAAATAAAAGGTGTAAGTGGAAAATAAAGCATAGAAATATCATATGATAGATTAGAAGAGTTGATGCATTGCAAAATAATTGACCAAAAGAATGTGACGAATTGAATAAGAAATACTACTGAGTATAAATCAATAGAAAAAGTTTAAAATATTTTTATTAATATTATGTAATACAATATTGATAATATTTGTATAATATATTATAAATTTCGATGATATTATAATATTATGTAAATTGTATATAAAGAATTGATACAATAAATGTATATACTAATATCATACCAAATTTTTGGTGCAGTATCTATATATATTGTATTTTATACTAAAATTCAAAATAATAATTTTGATATTAATAAAAATAGTAAAATTCCAAATGAACAAAATACATTATTTCTTAATTTTTACTTCTTTCCAATTTTTTTTATAGATAAAAGAAATAAAATCAGATAATAAAAAATTATTTGATTGGCTCACTCTAAATCAAGATATATGCATTTCCAAAAATTGAGAATTAAATTGCAGCATCTGTAAATCTGTATGATAAAACTCTGTATCATACTTATAATATATACACAGCAATTAAGCTTCAACAGATACTACAACTTAGTAAACATCGACAGGCAACTGTTCTTACAGTGCCCTGTTTCCCTTCCCAACCGTTACAAATACACAGGTAAATCCATTTTCGGGAAAATTCTCACTTCAATCGGCACGTTTCATTCACTTCAGACGTCATAATCGATGTCGGAGCTATTCTGGGATGTCGAGGTCCTTACCAGGTTCCGTTGCTCGTCGTACAGGTCAAGGTTGTCGCAGGGCGCCGGGAAAACGGTTCCTACAACACGACCTTGAACGTACGCGCACTGGAATATGTGCTTCTTCTTATTCGTTATTCCAACCGACATGTCGTGGAAGGTGACGTTTCTTACAGGGATGTCTGAAGTGCCCTGAATGCGGACAGGCACGCGAACTTCCTCGCCGTGTATCGACGTGTAGGCGATGTTCTCGAGTATTGGAAACGCGTTGGGGTCGTATCCTCTGTCGGGATGCTCGTTGTAGTCAGTTTTTATGACAATGCCGACGCGGAGTTTGTCGAATGTGATGTTTTTATATGTGATGTCGCGCACGTATCCTCCTCTTCCGGGAGCTGTCTTGATTCGAACTCCGCGCCTCGAATTCCATATGTGGACATTTTGTATGGTGACGTTGGATACGCCGCCCGACATTTCGCTGCCTATCGAGATTCCCGCGCTGCCAAAGAGAATATTCGTCAATCGTTGTCGTAAAGTTGAGAAACATATGTGTTGTAACGGATTAGGATTAATGATCGAATAACAAACAAAAATGTAAAAAAGACAGATTTATGTTGTTCACCATGTGGCTACATCCACAGGCAAAAATGGAGAACACATCCAGGTTACAGATTACAGATACCGAATTGCATATCTCTAAGTCTATTCGAATAAACTAAGAGAATATATCAGACGCCCGTAAAAACTCAACGAAGTGACAAACTAAATTCAAGGTATATCAACAAGATATGAGTATTAAAAGCTTACCTGACATTCGAGCGAACGATGAGGTTTTGAATGAGTATGTTCTTCGATGGCTTCGCGTAGGCGACTCCGTACTGATCCCAACCACTTTTTATCGCGATCCCGTCGTCTCCGACGCTAATGTAACAGTCCTTGATCACCATGTCTTCACAGGAATCTGTTGTTTAATAAACACTTAGTCAGTCTGCAAGATGGATTTTTGTCGGTTTTTATTTCGAAAAGCAGAAATAACTCACCGGGATCTATGCCATCGGTATTCGGAGCATGGAAGACGGGTGCTAGGATGGTCGAATCTTTTATGGTCACATTCTTGCAGTCATATGGATGAAGAGTCCAGAAAGGCGAATTGCGCAAAGTTACGTTAGAAATCACGATGTCTTTAGACCACATAATTTGCACAAGTGGACCTCTTGTGTAATTAAGAAGCTTCTGCCGATATTTCGTCCACCATGCTTTACCCTGTCCATCAATGGTGCCATTATGCCCTGTTATCAGGCAGGCAATGTTCTTAACTAACTCAGAAACAAATCCAACAAGATGATAAACAAAGAAAACAAGTAATTAATTTGATCGGGCTTTTTTTGAACCTGAGAAGATTCAAGAATTTTACAATTTGAATGAAGAAAAACAGATAAAACAGCAGTTCTCATTCATACATATTTCAATCTCAAGAACATCATACAAAAGCCATAGATTTCGATGAGGAAGCTTAAACACGATGATTAGAAAGCTGACCTGTAATTACAACATCTTCGAGGTGTTGTCCATGGATTAAACTTCCATATCTTGGTCCGGCATGCTCTCTTCCATGTCCGTAAGAAGGTAATGGAGGCATGAGAGGCCAATAATTTTCATCCTACATAACATAAGACGCAACAACAACAACTACATTAATTACGGCATACCTAGACAGACACACTAACTGAAATTTCAAGCAATACTAAAAAGAAAACAAACAAGCAAATGTCATGAGATTAACGACATGTTAACAATCTCGTCGAATAATTTAACTTCTTACAGTATCTTGTATCCACACAAAACACAAACTTGCATAGTGGTCACTAGAAGCCAAAGTAATTGAAAACTTAAGAACAGAAACAAAACGCTGCAGGTAACTGTAATTGATTTAGCTTCAATTGTTCATTAAGTTTCTTATGCCTAAAGAACAATTTCAGATTAGAATATTTATGCATCAATGATGGTTGCTAAATGCTAATGCAATCAAAGGTAGTAAGAGAATGCCAGATTGTCTGATCCCGGATAAAAACTTATAACTGTATCTGTGATGAACAACATTCAAATGTACAGACAGAACGTAATTCGAAAAATTAAGAAAAAAGCTGCTCACATCAATGGCGAGAATGACAGCTCCTTCTGCGAGGAAGAGAGTCATATGACTGGTGAGATTAAATGGTGCAGTGAGCCAATTTCCCGGCGGCACATTAAGCTGCCCTCCACCCCTTTTCCCAAGCTTCGAAATCGCCATCACCGCCTTCTCAAACGCCACTGTGTTGAGAGTGACACCGTCGCCCACACCTCCAAACTCCGTCAAGTTAAACGTTACCGGCCGCAACTTCGGAAGCTTCTGCAACGAGAATGCCCGCCGGAAGATCATCATCCCCCCAAGGGCGGCGTCCCTCTGCCAGTAAAACAGGGTGAAGAAGAAAGCCAGAAAAAAGGCGGTCAAGAAAGTATTGTGCGTGGAGAAAACATTGGCGGCGGAAGGGATCCCACGGCGGGGCTGCTGATTGGTGGCAGACGGCGGCGAGCACGGTTGCCCCGATGCGGGCGTCGACATCTCCACCATCTAATCCGGTTGCCTGCTTCAGGTGACCCCAAGATTTTGAGAAATTGCAGGAGAATTGGTTATGATTTATTTCAGATTGGGGACCTGATCGGATCGAATAAAGTTGAGCTTTGCAAACAAAATGGTCGTTGCGGAGTTCAAATGAAAATTGATTGCAAGAAAATGGAATGGAGGGTGGATGGTGGTGATCAAATGGAGGATTTTGGTGGGGGAAGATGGAGATGGTGGAGTATATTGCAAGGGAAGTGAGATTCAAACCTGGGCTGATTTCAAGACTTTGTTCTAAAGCAGGTGTCTTTGAATATAATAACACCATTAAATTGAACTTGCCCTAAATTCCTCAAACAGATCAAACTCTACCGATTCATCTGAATTGTGTGTAGAAGAAGAGAAGATTTCTCACTTCAGCATCATCACAGACACCACCATTGTTGAATTAGCTAACCTAACCTATCTTTCCTCCTCAAATGTTAATGAACAATTAATTTTACAATTAACATTCTTTGAATCAAAACAAAATCCCAAATCCAAACATAGAGACCCATTTTCCTGCAGAAAGCCCAGCCCAGTGGTCTTCCAATCCAGTAAGAAAACAAGTTAGAAGATTGATTTTTTGGATTTTGGATAAGGAACAGGTTCCACTTGGCCTGGCTATTACCCTGCATTGTTAAATAAACGAACTTGGAGCACTGCAAAGGCATCAAATTCATCCATGGCTCTTGCCATTGCAGCATCTCCAAGCTCAAGCTTCCCTACCAGGTTCCATTATATTCTTTAAATTACTAATTCACACCACTTGTATGGGAACACTAACGCCTGCACTACCTTTTTCTTTGATAATTTCATAATGGGGTTGGGGTTTTGTAATTCTTGTTCATTCCAGGGTATTTTCAAGACAATCTCCCCCCAGAAAGGCTGCTATATGCCTGAAAAGATCAGTTGGTGTCAAGGCCAAAAAAGGTCCATCCAGTGTCTGCGTGCCGCTCCCTCCCGACAGGCCTCTATGGTTCCCTGGCAGTTCCCCTCCTGAATGGCTCGACGGCAGGTCATTAATTTAGCCCTATATCTCTGCATATGATGTGTTAAGATGAATTTCAACCTGCTTTATCAAGTGACAATTGTTGGGGATGAGTTTTTCTATGTAATTTTACTTTAGGCTAATCTTTACACATTTTGTGGTAGATGAGTAATCAGAATCCTTCTCTTTTTGTAGTATTCCTGGTGATTTTGGCTTCGATCCACTCGGATTAGGTAAGCTATTCTATACATGGTATCAATGCAAATTTGCAAGTGCTTAATTCTTTCCTATATCGAATCAAGAACAAACAGGACTTTGAAATGTTTGTAGGATCCGATCCCGAGCTGCTAAAGTGGTTCGCACAAGCTGAACTAATGCACGCAAGGTGGGCGATGCTCGCAGTTTCCGGGATTCTCATTCCAGAATGGCTTGAAAGCCTCGGATTCATCAAGAACTTCTCGTGGTATGATGCCGGTGCAAGAGAGTACTTTGCAGATCCCACCACACTATTCGTCGTGCAGATGATTCTAATGGGGTGGGTGGAGGGGAGAAGATGGGCAGATATGCTGAACCCAGGGTGCGTCGACATTGAGCCCACCTTACCAAATAAGGCTAAGCCGACACCTGATGTTGGATACCCCGGGGGCCTCTGGTTCGACCCCTTCATGTGGGGCAGAGGATCGCCTGAGCCGGTGATGGTGCTGAGGACTAAGGAGATCAAGAATGGAAGGCTTGCGATGTTGGCCTTTGTCGGGTTTTGCTTCCAGGCTGTCTACACGGGCGAAGGCCCCATCGAGAATCTGATGGCGCATCTTGCTGATCCCGGACACTGCAACATTTTTTCGGTATGATGTAGTCTTGAAATCTCTTGAAGTAGGCTATCTCTCATTTACTTACAATATGGGATTGATTTATGATGTCTGTATTATTTCCAGGCTTTCACAAGAGGCTAACATGGCCACATGGGGGAAAGTTTGATCCAAAGAATGTAGATACAAAAGAGGACATAAATTTGCTTCTAGAACAACTATGTTTCATTAAATGTCGAAGAGCTAATCCAATTTGGGATTGATTCTTCAATTTAGATCCAGTGATGATGGAAGATATCATAGTATCACACAAACTATTGTCTGGTCAAAATGTGGGATTTACAAGCAGCAATGTATCTAACTAACACTATCGACCTTCCATGAAATCCTGGTTCGAGTAATCCTAGAATGGAGTAGCCATAGCAATCCATGACGTCAGCCTGACAGCAATCTGGAAGGAGACAAAGGCATCAATGGCGGCATACTCAACCTGGTCAGGATCAAGATTCTCAGCGTCCCAATTGCTTAAAGTCACCTCCAATGGCTTCTTCATCTCCTTCCCAAGAACAGCCATGGCCATCTTCTTTAACCCCATGTATCTGTAAACCCTTCGATTCTCACCCCACGTCGCCATTTTATTCAAATTGTTGAGGTCTTCATAACACCCCACGAACAGACCGTGGTTCGAGTAAAGCTTCTCGACGTCGCCTTCAATTCCGACACCACAGAAGATGTAAGAGGGGTCGGCCAAGAATTGAAGAAGGGAGACCGGAATGCTGTCGGAGTGAAGAATTTGGAAAATCAGACAGGAAGACCCCACGCAGAGCTGAATAATGGCGACTGGATGATCGTCTCCGGGAGCCCTGTTGGGGAGCCACTCGGTGTCCAGACCCACCAACGTTCGGACGAAGCGACGGTTGAGGTGCCGAATGTAGGAAATCCATTGGTGGACGTGGATGGCCTTTTTGGCGACGGTGACGTGGACGATGTCGTTGTAGAACAGCACGGAATATAAGGCCGGAAAAAGTGACTGCGTCTTCTCCGGCGAGGATTGACGGCGGCGGAGGCGCGGAGGGATGGAGCTTCGGGGTCCTTTCAGTTTCATGACTAACGTGAGAGTGAGAAATATGTGAGGAAACTAGGACTACTATTTATAGTTTCCTTTGTTACCATGTTTAAATTCGAAGTATTAATTGCACAGCGATAAATATGGTAATTTTGATAATCGACCAATCACGTTGCGTTCTTGTTCTTGTTCTTGTCGTCCAATGAGATTATTTCCTTTTGATTTTGTACTGATTTTATTTTATCATTTTAATATGCAAATTAAATGCGCACAACAGCTAATCCTGCTGACGTGGCGAGATTAGTTACAAACAATTAATTCAAATATACAATTTATTTATACAAAATTAATTAAATGTTGTATCTATTTTATTTTTATTTTTTTATATTTTTATATGAATTGATGAAAAAATAAGACTATTTATAAAAAAAAAAATAAATCCTTTTTACTAAAAATACAAAATGTATACATTACACACACGGAATAAGGAAGGGAGTATTAAATAAAGAAAAATTTATGGCGGCGGCGGCGGGATTAGACAGAGCTTTGATTCACAATCATGAGCGTAATCGTTTTGACGCCTCAAGTTCATTGCGTCAATGCCAACATCAAATGGCCGAAATGCTCGAGGTTTGTTCTTTCGCGCAATGTTTTAGATTTCAGTTTTATGTTATGTACTTTCACAGGTATTGGATTGTGCAAGGTTGTGAATCGTGTCATCGTGATGCTGTATAATTCGAATCCAATCGGTGTTGAACGTGTTGAAAATTAGGCGGAAGCATTTTTCCAGTCCATCGGAAGCCTCGATACTCCATCAGCATGTTATGAGGGTTGTAAATTATTAGTAAAATCTCTATTTATAATTACTATTACTACTGTCAATCATGCCCATTCTTTGATTGTGGTTAGTTTCGCGCACGTATAACAAATTTTTAACGAACTACTGAATTCCTTTCTTTGGATGGATGCGGCGGATATACTGCAAAGGATATTGACAGAAGATGCCCTGGCTGAGTTGCATCATATTATTGATCTTGGATGTTGAGGAAAACAAATTCCTCCCAAAAAGTGTTTGAGGCTTTACATTTGATTTTGTGATGGAAATTTTGTGTTTTATGCAACTTTAAGGAATTTGTATTTATTTATTAGTTGATATATGAATCAGGACACAGCACATTCATACAGGACCAAAGCTTTATTCTGTCTAAAATTATGCTGGGCTGATTTATGTCTTGTAGTGAAACATAAAGTCTGGAATATTTTGTGTTGAGGTTCTGGACAGCTTATGTACTTTTAACAATGCGGGTGTTCTTTTCACACATTTGCATATTTTACTTAAATTTCTACGGGATGGATACTAGATTGAATCAGTTGGTCAAGAGACTTTAATTTCCAGATTAGTGTTTTCATTTGATTGAATGTCTTAATCAAAACGAGAACTTGAATGTCATGATTCTTAGCCGCAATGTTATGTGTCAGGTTTGTTAGAATTCACTTCGAAATGGAGGCCAATACATTTCAAAGTGGTCCTGAAATCTTAACATATGAGGTACCATTTTCATAGAGTATTCACCTGTTGTATTAGCTAGATTCTCCACTGAATAGATTTTTAGGTGCAGTCTTTGGACATTTCAATGAGCTTCAAGCGAGTAGCAAAGCTCGTTCAGGAAACTGACTGTGATGATGCAACAGATATAAACTGGTATGTGAAGTGTTTTGTTCTTGTTGGAATATTTTCTGCTGCTGAGCTCTACAATTAAGCATCTGCGAGAATTGTTTTTGTAACATGCTATATCTGGAAATGCAAGTACTCGTCTATGTAGCCTTATTTAGTAATATTAAATTTTCTCAGGTGGTTTTACACAGAATTGTTATCAATGTATTCCTACCAAAGTTTTTGCTTGCTCCAAAGAATTATTACAGGTTGCAATGATTCAAGAATTGGAGAATAATGATCTGTTTCTGGGTGTCATTGTTAACCTAACTAGTTATTTCCAGTTAAGTGAATCAATTTGCATTTGGTGTACTTTCTCACTGTTAAATATGCATTTTCAGATTCTTTAACTTGATTACATTTTACTAGGATATTTTCCATGTGATGCTGCTTTCCTTTGTTATGTGAATTTCCTGCCATGTCCCTAAATTATTCTGCAATGAGCAAGTTGAAAATTTGGCATTGTACGGCGTGAAGTTAAGGGTATGAATCACATATAGAATCCTTTGCAGTGAATTGATAGGTCTTTCTGAACTTGGGTTATATAATTATTCTACTGTTCCCTATGGGGGCACTTAAATATTTATTCATGTCTAAATATCAACACACCGCTGGAAAAATAAATCATAGGAATACAAAGATTGAAGCAAAATATTGCTAAGCCTGAGAACTAAACTTACACATGCGCCCTTTCATCTTCAAAAGTCTTGCCACTACAAGAACTTGTGAAGATTACTTATAAAAATGATCCTCCAACCATGGCAAAATGAGATTTCCTTGTGCTGTTTGCACAAGAAGCCATGGCAAAAAAAATGCTACTCCCTCCTTGAAAGAGCATTATCAATCCCCAAGTTCCAGTCTTATTGGCTAATATTTTGCTTATAGCTCCGGTGGTCGGTATACACTACTGACATTTGAAAAACTGATGTAAAGAAGAAAACACCAGTCATCTCCTTGCATTATGAATTTGTGCTTTGACCTGGATCAGGTCATTTCATCCTGATTATTCCCTGTGTTTGTTTGAGATGTGACATTGGCCAGTTAATACTTGTTTTGAATTCTTAGATTGCTAGCATCAATGTGCTGTAAAATTGGAGAAGGAATGACATGAAAGATACTATTACCCGGAATTCACAGTTGGTGGAGCTCTCAAATTATATCTCGAGAACGATATCTGCAATCAGGTATTAAAAGTTCATACAATAATTAGATTAAGATTTGTTACTCCTGCCATTATATAAGTTGTGTAGATGGAAACCACAAAACTTGAGAAGACATAAACTTGTGATGAACTTACATTCTGAGTCTGTTTTGACCCATTTACTTTTAGAACTATCCTCTTCTTCCTCACCGCTACCCATCTCTGGCATATCCAAGTATTTCTGTGATGTGGCCTTTGGACTTGTCCTTTGAGGATAAATCTTCTTGTGCAGCATGGCCCTTAGTATCTGCAGTGATCAGAAAACACGAAGCAAGTCAGAATCTGTACACAGTTTGTTTGTAGGCATGTCTTGTCATCCTTATTTGGTTGTGTAGATGCTAATATCGATCATAGCTGTTTTACCATAGTGAATATTAGCATAGTAAATACAAACCTTCTCCATTCTAGAGTTATCCAATTTAGGATCTGGAAGTAGGTCCTTTACAATGGGAGTGGGTGCAAGTCCACCTTTGCACAGGAGAGTCTTCTTGAGGAGATACGACAGTGTTTTTTTGCCTATGCCGCTTCTCTTATTATTCTTCCTAACTTCTTTTGTTCCACAATGAGCTAAATTGTTGTCCAAAGCATTGTTTGTCAAGCTACACGTCTTTTCATCTTCGTGCAGGCTGTCTAAGAGAATAGGCTTATCTGCTTCCATGCATTTATTCAGTAATACATTCAGGTCTTTGTCAACTTCTCCAAAGCCTTCTGGAGCAGCATTCTCCTCTGGATGATCTTCACTGGGAGGTAAGGTCCCTTTAAGATTGTTATTCCCAAATGTTCCAATGGTAAGCAAACCATTAGGCCAATCTGAGAATTCATCTTTGCAGGGCTGCTGGAGCATTGTATTGTCTGCATAAATACATTTCCCAAGAACGAGTATATGAAACTGAACCCCCTTTGAACTCAACGAGAATAACTAATTTTCTTTGATGTTGCTGTCAGAAATAACTAATTTCGTAAGTGACTTACGAAATACTGATGCTGAATTTTGTTTGTTCTTGCCTTCCACCCCATTTCGCCTCCCTAGCATCCAACTGAAGATCTAAACCAACATAGACATACATTCTATAGCCCATTACACTGATCCAAAGCTAACACTGTCATATAATCAATGAAACATGATTGCAAGAAATGCTATTATTTACCTTCATTGTTGGGGAACTAGTGGACAGGTGAATGCAGGATGAATCCTGTAAAAAAATCCCACAACCATGAAGAGATGAAGCGTCTAAGGTATATATAGAGAGGTTACACAGAATGAAGGGAGAGGCAAGCTGGTATGGTGGGTGAATGGGTACAAGTTCCAAAACTATGTCTCCTGCCGCCTTTTTTGAACATTTCTTTACATTTAGTTTCCACTGTTCTCTTTTTCCAGCCCTTTCTTCTATAATCTACTCATGATTTCATAACATGCATGGAATGTGTTTGTGTGTATATCTGTATTCTCCCTGTTGAAATAGGAATTTGGGATGATTTTTTAATATTATATATTTGCTATTTTTATTATTCTTGGGGTATAAAGTGAACAGCGGTTTTGGTTTTATTGAGAATGAATACATATTAGCTTTTAGATGAAAGAAAATGCTTCCCTGGCTCTTCCATTATTTCAAAGAATCTACTGTAATATAATAGTTATATGAATCATGAATGCATGCATGATGATCTGAGGATACCAATAATGGAATGGTTCTTGCCAATCCAAGAGCTAATTTGGCAATAACAAAGCTAATTTACATAAAAAGGTTTGAGACACGTTACAATAATGTGTGTTGTGCATTTTGTCTGTTCATCTTTCTAGGTGAAACTAAAACCTAAATCTGCTGGTGAAATCATTAAGTTTGTTAGAGATGGTATGGATGGATAACCTCAGTCTTATTCAGATTATGTTCTTGTTGAGTGATGTATACACAATTTACTTTAAGCTTTCCTTAGTTTGAACATGTTTAGTTAGAAATGGCCACTGGAACTGTAGACATTCAAGAACCTGAATTGCACTAATTAATTGTGGGGTCTCTCTCTCTCTGTATATATATTAATATATATATATAATGTGTATATATATGTTTTGTGTGGCAGTGAAGAATGAATGGTCTTGTGTGTTTTGTACAATGAATGCATTATGGGCAAGTAAGTGTAGACACTAGATTACCAAAGTTTGCAATTAAGCCCATCAATCTAAACTTGGCTGCCTAGGAGAGAAATTAATTAAAAATGTTATTTTGCAGGGATATTTTTATTGTGTATGTCCCTTACTCACCCAACCCTTACAGCTAGCTAGATCATTGATATCCACTGATTTGATTTGATGTTTACTTAGTTACAATAGCTGATTAGAAGAACATTCAGGATCTTGAAAACACGTAGTATGTGTTAGAGAACTTAAACGTGGTGCAAAGCCCAGAACAAAAGCTAGATGACATGACATTAGTGTGATCATTTCAGGGTTACCCACTCCACTACACTCCACATAATATATAAATAAATAGATATATACAGTCACATATATGTATGTATGTATATATGTCCTACTGGCAGGCCACTAGCACCACTCCACCTGCTTCTTCCATCTATCTTCATCGTCATCTCCAATTCATCAATGGATGGATGTATGTATGTATATTTATGTGGTGTTCAAAATCCCTAAACATTTACTCTCTTTGGGAGCTCCCATACACGTGAACTTGTCCATCCCCACATGCCCTCTTTCCTCTTCTATTAAACTATTCATACATCACTCAATATCATAATGTTTATGTGTGTATAAATATATATATATATATAGCTTTTCACATTGTGTATAACATAAGTGATTCATGTGTAGAAATCCAGGTGTCAAAGCATGTGGCATTGATAGATGTTCATCGTACCACCACGAACCAACACGTGTTTTGGTCGAACCACGTATATTATATATATATATATATACACATGTAATGGTAAGTAAGCCACCATTTCCTTCCTTGTTAATTCAACGTATTTATTTATTTATTTATTTGTGTTTCTCGAAAATGAAAATGAGGATGTAAGTAATCCCGAATGTAGGTAGGTGTTTTTGATATCTGTACTCAATATATAAGAACTTTCCATTGCCGAAGTTTGATGTAAAGTAGTAGTAGCAGTAGAAGTTTGTACATCCCTAAAATAACAACTCACACGTGCACGCAATTCCATGCTCAGGTCATTCCTTCTTTGACTGTGCAGATGGTAATTTATTATTTCTTTTTCAATACATTGGGTGGATCATGGATGAATAAATTACTGAATGAATGAATGGATGGATGTGCAGATTTTGAAATTAATCTCCAATCATTCAAGGGCATATGTTGGTTGGAGCATATATTCAGTTCAGTTTGATGGTCCCATCTCACCTAAAAAGGTACTTACTACATCCATCATCCATCCCTCTCTCACTATTTATTTCCTTCATTCATTGCTAGATTTGATTTGATTAATTTCTTTATTTCATCCCATTTTGTAATCAGTTAAAGATTCGTTTTTTCCTTTTTTCATCATATCATCATATTATTCTGTGCCTATGCATTGTTCATGAATGTGGTGGTCCTAATTGGACAGTCTCGTCTCCTGCGACGAATCCTAGACTTATATATATTGCATGAATTCCTGTGCATATTTTTGATATAGAACACATCATCATCTATTATTCAGAAACATTTAATTTAATTTCAGCCAAATGTTTTAGAGCCGTATACATTTCTAGTTCTTCCACAAGTAAAGAAAAAAAATGCCCATATACATGTTATAAAAATTAGCTATAAAATAGTTTACAAATTTCTCAGAAGCTGTAGTTAAAAGAAACAGGTGTGTCATCCATCTTGTCCCCCGCAGCACATATAACAACCTAAGCAAGCCAAAGCGCCGCACAGCTGAGTTAGCACGATGGCGCACTGGTCGTTTACCCGTGAGCATGCTTGGACACAGCACATGCAACAGCAGCGATTACAGAGATTTCCGCAGCAATTGGAAGCTGCCTTGACAAAAACCTCGCCAGGATCCGAAGGTTTGATGGTGCTGGATCCTGGAGCTATATTTTCTGCAGTTGCAGTTATGTCGCCAAAACCGACTCCCATTTTGAGCAGTAGAGTTGTCTTACTCTGAGGTTTGGAGTCCTGTGTCTTTTTTGGAGGACTGCTCTTGCTGGAAACCTGCAGATGCCAGGTCGATAAATTCCAGGAAATGATATGAAGTATAGGTCCTTGAATGCAGTGGAATCTGTTAAAAGGTAATGTAAATCAAACCTTCTGTGCACCCGATGACTGAGCACTTGTTTTTGCAACTGGGGTCTCGACTAAGGCCATGATTGTATGTTCGGAAACAATGCCGTATTGGGTGCTGAGTTTTTCTATCTGAATATAAAATATGCAAAGAAGTGTCAACATCTGAAGTGCTCTATTCAGTAATGGGTGGTAATCTCAATGAAGCGATGAATTGGAATAACCTTCTCCTTGAGCTTCTGCTCGCCGGAGAACCATGTGCGAGCTGTCAGTAGTTCAATCTGATGCTTGGCTATTATCTGTGATTATATGAAAGCCTATCAAAATTTTACAGCTAGAAAGAGAAAGGCAAGAAATCGGACACCTAGATTACATAGTACATAAAGATATCCCGACAGTGTACACAAGCTGTGGACCTCTGTGGATATCCTATTATAGAAAATAGAAACACTGAAGCTTCAGAATCAAAAAGCATTTATGTACAAAAGGAAGTATCACCTTGCCAATTTGAACCTCTTCATTGTCTTCAACATCCAGACCGAGAGTAAAGTTGCTTTCATCTGGAAGAATACCACTTACTCTAATGGTCTTTGGAAATGTTCCCGAATATCTCCCTGACACAATCAAGGGGCTTTCACTCGAAACGTCTGGAATTTGAGAAGGGTACACCTAAAATAGACATGTGACACTTTGGTTAGCAAGTGATGTGTGGAATGAGAAAAATATTAGGACTTTGTGTCTGTAGGTAGACAGATCAGTTTCTTCCCCAAAAAATGTACTAAGATGACAATAATGTTTCATGCTTTGGCCCCTTTTATTCTTACCCATGTGGGAACCATTTTAGAGGGCATATCTAAGGAGATGCCAAAGACATCATGCTTATCTCGTAAAGGATAGAAAAATGAAGACAAGTATAAAGTACCTCAAGATCGTCGAGTTCATTGAGATTCTGAAAAGCAATATTGGCAAGAACGATAGATGATGCTCTAGCAAACAGTCTTTCCATTCGAACAGTAATGGAATCTACAAAATTGTAAGTGCAAGTTAGAAGAGAAGCCAACATGTGTACTTACCGAAAATGACATTTAAATTCCAACAAAGTGAAGTTAGCTGCAGTTCATTCTTGAAAAATTCTTTCTGGTTGTTTTGAGATATGAGTTATAAAAAACCTTTGCATGCTTATATTACTGTGAATAGCTTTTTCGATCTGGACTCAGTTTTATTGTAGTCCCCAAGTCAGTAAGATTAAGAATTCCTATACAGTAATACAAGCCAAAAAGTCGTGGAAAACATCAAATGCCTTGAAAACCAAAGATAGAGCATCAAAAAGGCCCCCAAAACTGTTAACCTAACCTAAATAATCATTCAACTACAGGAGCAGAACTTGCAGCCATACTTAAAAGAGACTTACTGCTTGTCAGTTATATGCAAAATTATTCCTTTGCAACAGGAAATTATATTTCTTCATTGCACAAAAAGTGTTGTATGCAACAGAAAGAAAAACAAGTAAAGACCACATTCAAATGTATGCATCAGAGTGCTTTACATGAAGATTGACTTTAAACATTTTTGCAAGTAAAACTTACCCACATCAGTAGCAGCTTCATGATGGCCATTGCCAATTATAGCAAGCATTCGGAGAAAGTAATGATTGCAGAATGTGCCTAAAGAGGAAGCAAATTCATAAGACCAAAATGGTGATATATATGTATCAACAAATACTAAGCTGAGTTTACAATAACTTGTTTGTTTTACCGACTTAGTTTTACATGAACAAGCAAAACTGTTGCCACATCACTGCATGATGTCCATTGAACACCAATCTTATTCTTTAATCTTATTATGGAACTCGTAGTTATTTAAAAGATATAAAAAATTAATATATATAAAATTCACAAGTTGTACCAGATGTTAGAACAGAAGATAACCTCTTTAGTAGTATGACTGTGAGACATTACAATTACAAATTACCTGAGGAATATATACAATATGCATTAACTCATACCTATGCCAAGCGTGTATATTCTTGGATGAATATTCTTTTGATTTGATAACTGATTTTTCATTACATCACAAATATGCTTCTCATCTTCCACAGATCCATCAGCAATGAGAAAAACTAATGGGATCGCATTGCAGGTGTCGGATAGCATCTGAACAGCCTGAAAGTCAGGAGTTTATGTTAGAGATGCTAACAACAAACTTTCATGTATTAAACAAAGAGGTAAAAGGGTTCAATTAGCAACTGTTTTCACAGTTGAAAAGTGTGATAATCAGAGAAATACTATTCCACAATCAACTGCACAATTTCCTTTCAGACACATTATGCATTCATTTATCAATTTTTATTTTATTATTATTTTTTCACCTTTCTCCTCAACTACATTTTCTACAAAAATCATCATAATAAACTAGGGGGAGTTAACTTATAGCCAGGCATTTCTCCAACACCTTTTCATTGTAACTCAGCGCATCACCTATCCGAGAGTAAGAATGCAAATAACAGACCTGTGCACAACTTGCAACTGGAACAAAGCCTCACAACACCAAAATAATTTGCACTAATTTGTGTTTTACAACGTTTGGTCCTCACCCCAAAACTATTCAAATTCTGAACAAGCATGGATATGGATAACAAAATTTCCTTCAACCATATCACTTCCTGGAAATTCATTGTTGCTTTCTACAACATAACTACATATTCACACATATCTGGACTTGATGCATAAACACATCTTATTATGCTAAAAATCTACTTATGTATTTAGTGGTTGTATTCTACAAAAAAGTCACTAGTAGTGGCACCCAAAGGCATCAATACTTTGTTAGTCAATACCTAAGCAAGCTAAATCGCACAGAAAACATTGGATTACTGAATTATTTTGATGCTATGTACTTGCAAGGATATAATACATTTCAAATCATAGCAGGCATGATATCAATTAACACAAAGAAAATTCATATAAGTTGCAGAAAATAGGAATTTACCCGATTTAGAGGAAGCAAGATATTAGTTCCACCGCCAGCAATAAAATTCGTATTAATCCACTGGGTGACATTTTTAATAGCTTCTTCAGTTGCCGGTTTCATAGTTGTGGAAAATAGAAAAACTTCATTATTGAACGCAATCACATTAAAAGAGTCCCCAGGATCAAGCTTGGCCAATGCAGAAAGGATGGCCTTTTGGGTATCTTTAAGCAGTTTACTCGTCATGCTTCCACTTATATCAACAACAAACACCACTTCTTTCCTAAAAACCACCTTCACAGTACATCATACAAAGTTCAGTAAAAATTACGAAAAGCAGAGAATGACCTTTGCAATTATTGGTCCATTTACCTTCTCACTCTGCTGCTTCCCTGGAAAAAGATAGCAACAGAACGTATCTCTACGATCCTCATCATCTAAGATTGGAGGGTTCAAAAGCACGCCACCAAATATATGACTTGAAGATACCTGAGAACATCAAAATTGTATGGCAGAAATATCAAGCCAAGCCATAGACAGATTCCAACAGATATGTATATTTATTGAAAGTATCTTATCCTAAATTCTATTTCTATATGTAGTTTAAAGGGTGTAAAGTATAAACAAAATCTTACACTGTATGTGAACATAAAATTACTGCTCGACCAAGAAAGGACATCAGATTCATATAAGAAGCCCAACTTTCCAGCTTTCCTTAGCTTCTCCTAAAGTCTCCAATAAAAAAGAAAGCATCACCGCAGTTACGTAGCCTTTCCAATTCAATATATAAATACTAACCACCAGAACCTCAAACTAATGATACCTTCAAAGGATGACTAGTTGTTTTGCATAGAATCTCTGTTCCGGGACCAGCATTCACATTTAATTGTATCCTCTCCCGTTTAGGGAGTTTCTTCATAGGAGGCGTCACATACTCGGGGAAATCAAACGGAATGCTCAAGGTGAATTCACCATCATGATACAATAATTTCTGAGACCATCTAAGTTTAGCAGATATATTGGTTCCTCCATGAATCTAAAAACATAATAGTTCACATTATGTCAAGTTTCCAAATATAGAGAAGATAAGAATCAGATAAACAGACAGGGGAAGAACTTGCCTGTGGGATTGTAAGAATGAATATATTGTCTTTCAAGAAGAATCCATCTTTGATATGTCCAATCTTTTCTGTACCATTTTCATTTTTCGGAGCGATTAATTGAGTGCAATAGGATTTATTGGGAAGGTCAATCTCAACACCTAGAAGTGAACCCTGTTAGCCAAATCATAGAACCCTAAATCACTGTGTGGACAAGTGTTAAGAAATGACAATAATTTTTAGGAAAACGACGGAAACAAATCAATGGAAGCACCTGGTCGCCGATGGGAACAGCGACGCGGCAGTCGCAGCTGCGACTGGACATCACGCAGTGCAATCGCCAGGTGGCGGTCACAGTCACAAACGCCGTGTCCAAACAGCAATCCGCCTCGAGGGAAACCGCAAGCATCTGGAGCGGAATCAAGGCCGGAGGATCACACTTGCCGTACACGTACGGCTGATAGCTCGGCATATCAGGATTGTCGACGATCGCCGGGTCGGTGATCACGGCGTAGAACATTGGAGCAGTAGGAAGATAAGAACCACCGACGGCGGCGGCGACCGCTCTCTCCATCGCCGCCGCCGGCTTGGGCGGCGCGACCGCCCGGTCCTTCCCGAAGTACACTCTCTTCGAGAGGCGCAGCCCGTCCTCCACCGCCGCCTCGAAATCCTCCGCCATAAGGAAAGCTTATTTCGGTTTCGGATAAACACGCTGAATCGTTCCTCGTTTTCTGTAGCCGACGCAGCGGAGTAAAGAATTACAGCGACGTCATCTCCCGAAAAGGAAAACGTATTATTGGGGATATAGATGGCCGTTGGGGAAAGTGTGGGCCCTCACGGCTCCGGGATGCAGCCCTTCCTGTCGTGTTGCTATTAATGCTCCGCCATGGATGTGTGATTCCAAGGTACTCGTTTCGTTACCGATGATTAAATCAACAAATGAAAATAAATACTGTGAGTGAACAAAACGTCGTTTCCGGAAACCTTCTGGCAGGGGATACGATCATACGAAAGCCTCCTTCCCTGCAAAACCACTTTCTAAAGCCCCCACACTTCCTTCCTTGGCTTGCACAGCAAAATTCCCAAACCCTAAATATTCTAATTGGAGGACGATTTGTTCTTTGTTGTTCTTCTGTACTTTACTGTAGCCTAGCTGGCCGGCCCGGCCCCCGCCACCTTTCTATATGTATTCACCATTTGCAGACAATTGTCGATTCCGTCCAAATTTAAAGATCTCTACGCAACAACATTATTAGGGTCGTGTTTGTTCCTCATTTCTTTAAATTTTTTATTAAAAAATAATAATAATAATAATAATACTACTACTTTTATTTAAATATTTGTATACATTAATAAAATACTGCAACCTAAATTTAGCATAATAATTTAGCTCAACTTGGATTCATCGCTGCAAGTTTTTGTCGGTTGTATTAAAAAATTTAACGATTAATGGATAGATTATATTATATATAAACTAATTTATTTGGAACAGACCATTAGTGGATAAAAAAATATATATATTTGGAGTAATGGGTCTTGAAAGTAACCCAAAAACAGTTGATAATGATTTCTATAAAGTCCCAAAGAAAGGTCCCCAAATGCAAATGGGCCAGAATAATGTTCTCGTGAAAATTGGAAGACTACACTAATAAATGTCTACCTCAAGACAAGTGAAATAAATATTTGGATACATACAAAATACCGGTTAGTGTAGATCTTTTTTTTTATATTGTCCTAACTTGTTTGTGCATTTTGTATTGTTGGTAAATTTGCTAATAAACTGCTCATAAATTTGGTTTTTTATATATATATATATATATATATAATATATATATAAAAAAATATTTCTCCATCTTATATTAAAGGTGTCATTTGAAATTTAAGAGTAAATTAAAAGACAATAGTATTTTAATAATTAGTAAAAGTATATAAGAGTTTTTTATATTCTTATTCATTTGACTTTATGTATAAAGTAATTGCATGTGTAATAATAAGTTTGTAATTAATTAAAAGTTAAACGTATTTTGATATTAGTGTATGATTATTTTTTTAAAATAAAAAATAAATAATTTGAAATGAGATAAATAAAAATAATAAAATTGATATTTTGAATCAATACAGGGGAAGTATTATAAATTGAATTGTTGATTTTTTTTTTTGTGAAAAAATAAAATAAAAAATATATATATAATCCGACGGCGGTTAGAATGCCGACGGTCAAGTCAGCACCGTATCCAATTAGCATCTAAGTATTTCATTATAAGACATATAACATATATTCAAATTATCACACTAACTTAAGCAATTAATATTTCATCATAATACATATAGCATATAATTCTGTATTGTATAGAAATATGTATCGTGTGAGTTATGTATTGTGTTGAAACTCACGTATATTGTGCTACATGAAATTATATAATTATAATGTATTATGTTATATATTGTATTAACACTTATTGTATGAATTATATATTGTGTTGTATTGTATAATTTGTTTAATGTGTTATTATATTGAAATTAGAATATATTGTACTGTATGCAATTATATAATATATTATCAAAATATTTGTTATATATTATATTATTATATACTATTTTATTTATAAATATGTACTAATTGAATCAAATCAATTCATCACGTGCTACGAGAGCGCATAATGTGCTACTTAAAAAAAAAAAAGATTTGTTTATATAATATTTGGAATAAGTTGAAATAAACATATATATATATATTAAATTATAGTATAAGTTATACATAAAAAAAATTGGGTATATAAATTTGTAAATATTAATATATATATTTATTTGATTTGTGCATTATTTAAAAAGTAAAAAAATAAGGAAAAAAATAATACAAACTTAATTTGCATTAGGAAATAAATAGTTTAATGTGATTATAAAGTTTGTGCATTAAATAATTAATTAAACAAAAATTAAAATTTGTAGTAATTTAATTTAATTACATATATATATATATTATTATAAATAAGATTATTTATAAATATTTATAAAATAGAATAATAATTTTATTATATAAAAATGATACATGCAGCACCAATTAAACTCGCGACCCTCCCTCAGCCACCACTTTGTTGCATTATTTTTTAAATATTTTGTATTTTTTTATGAAGTACTACTATTTAAGTAAATATGTCGAGAGCAGTTAATCCCAATTTTCCAAAATAAAAATAAATAGCATAAAAGTCCTCACGTATTATAAAATTAAACCAAGAACAAATTCACTACTAAAAAAAACACACATCAATACCAATTCAATTTCAAGTAATTTTGGACTACACTACACTATACATAGGATCTATCTATTTTTTTTCAAACATAGGATCTATCTATTTTTTTTCTCAAAAATGAAGGAACGGGTAGCGATTGAGGCGACGGAGACATGAAGAAACTCGATCCCGCGTATATCTACTTCGGCCGCGCCGACACCAAATCAAGAATGTACGTTGAAGTTTTCCGTATGGATCTTAGTTGTTACTAAATTCATCGTTTCACATTTCCTCTCCGCCTCCTCGCCCCTACCGGTAATCCTTTTCATCTTTTTCCGTACTCTACTTGACGATCGAAGGGTAACAGGATGGATTTAAGCCCTTAGATATCTATCCTGCACTATATAGATCGATCGAAGTAGAATCTTGAAAAAGGAAAATAATTGTTGGAATACATAGAATACCAATCGGATGCCAATTAAGATCAATCAGTATGATCACCTATGGCGTCAACAGTTGATCAGCAACAAGTAGGAAATAAAAGAAAATTGTGTAAAGAATTTTCTTTGATTTCTTGTATGTTCTTGGCCGCTGGAGAATGGATAGATAGATCTGGATATATGTTTTTCATCAATTTACATCCTACTTATATATATATATATATATATGCATTATTTAATTTATTAGTTAAGTTGAGTGAGTTAGTTACTCAGCATATATTTATGTAATACGTTTTTAATATTTAAATTAATATTTTAGACTACTTATGCCACAGTTCAAAAAATATATATATATTTATTTATTTAGGTGTTTTTAATAAATTAATAAATAATATAATTAATTTTAAACCAACATTTTATTTTATTTCAAATTTATTTAATATATCAAAACTAGTATGAATTTTTCTTTATTAGTATTGAACTATCTGTACGGACAAAGTCCTTATTAGTTTGTGCATATCTCTTTTCTAATTAAGAGCCCTGAACATTATTTTAAATATTGAAATTTTGATCTATAATTACAAAGACAATATATATATATATATATAAATACAAATTATTATAACAACAAATTATTATTATTATTATTATTATTATTATTATTATTATTATTATTATTAACAACATAAAAATTTACAATATTTACTTCTCGAGTGCGCACTATAAATTTTCGACTAAATATAATAATTTGCAAACTAATTAAATTATTATTATTAGTAGTAGCACAAGCCACATGCCTACATGTATCACAGACTTTTTATATTATATTTTTTATTCATCAAATTTATTTACATGTTATTTTTCAAGTATTCATTAAATTTACTTTATTCATAACTTTAATAAGTATATAAAAAATAAAAAAATAAAAAATTCAACACTTAATTATCAATTTTCAATAAATTTTTATTTATTAGTATTATCATATATCACTATCATTATAATACACTATTCTTATTATTTTACATTATTCTCTCTAATCACTACTTGAATTCTATAGATAAGAGTGTTTTTTAAAAATAAAAAATAAAAAATTTAAAGCATAACTATTCAATCAATATTGTTCTTAATATTTTTTTTTTCCTTGGAAAAAAAACTCAATTTTTTGGTTATAATATAAAAATTTCATCAATTTTAATCATATTATAAATAATTTTAATCAATTTTAGTATCGTCATTTTAAAACTAACAAAAATTGTTGAATTAGACGTTACGAGATTAACGCGACAGTTTAACCCATAAACAACACAATCGTATACAATTATACACGACCATATTTAATTCTAAGTAACCATCTAAAATTTCAGTCTTTTTCTTATATATATATATATATTTAAAAAAATATTTTGAATTTAAAATAGTTAATATATTTAAAATACAAAAAATAAATAGTAATTTCAATATAATTAAAAGTATCAATTTTGTTTCAATATAAAAAAATTTATCGGGTATGTTTTTTTAAAAAATTTTGCCTAAAATTTATTTACCAAAATTTTCTCTCGCAAATATCCAATTAAACACTTATTTTTTGTTTGTTATATTCTATTAAAAATTAATTTTACATTATAATACAATTTTAAAAAAAAATTCAACATAGACTTGTATAGCTTCCATGATGTTTGAATATAAAATTAATTTTTAATATAATATATAAAAAATTTGTTTAATTGGATATTTGTAAAATAGAAGATTTTGCTAAATAATAAAATTTTAGGCAAAATCTTACAAAACAACATATTGATACAACATATGATGAACTTTTTTTAAACTAAAATTAATATAATTTAATTATATTACTATTTATTTTTTCTATTTTCACTATATCAACTATTCTATATTAAAAAAAATGGAAGAAATATATATAAAGTATTTTTCAAATGTGAATATATTTTTATATTAATAGAAAAAAGCTGAAATTTTTTTATTGGGTGAGCATACCAAATATGTTTGTAATTTCTTATTTGTATTATATGTCATCAATTTATTTAAATATATATTTTTTTTATTTTCTATTATTTGTTTTTATTTTTGAAAATAAATAAATAAATAATTATATACTTTAATTATATTTTAAATTTTATAATTTATAATTTTATTAATTTTAATTTTAATTTATATTTACTTGTATTATATTATAATTATTTTTTACTAATATAATTTTTAATTATGTATTAATTATACCTTTGCAATTTCTGTATTTACAAAAAATTGGTAAATTAAAATGTGATGAAGGGACTATGAGTGTGTTCTTTTACTTAAAGAAAAAAAAAAAAAAAAAAACTACTACATGTTTTTCGAAAATAAATTAACAGTATTCTCATTATTTTTATATTTTCTAACTAATTCTATATATTTCATATTAAAATATATTTATTAATATCATTCCACAAAACAATCACACCCTAAAATTTTTTTGTTCTTAACTTTTGATACAACATTTCTCTGTTGATTGTTATAATTTGATTACTCATAGACTACTGAATTAAGCAATACCATTATATATTACACGCTGTAAATTCTAACAATAATTAAACAAGATTGCAAAAATCGGGCTTTCATTTTTTATATATCTATATACTCCATCCGTTCCGCAACAAGAGTGACGTTTACTTTTTGCATGTAGATTTTTTTTTAGTATTAGTATTATATTAGATTGTAGTATAAAAAAAAACAAAAATACCCTATTAATATGGTGTAAAATAAAAGTAATGACATTTGTGTAATATATTGTAAGTTGAAAGGGTATTTATTATGTGAAGTCGGTAGTATAATTACTAAATTAAGAAATAATAACCTTGTTTCGAAACGGACGAAAATGAAAAAAAGGTAACATTTCAATTGGATTGGATGGATGAAGTATATTAATTTTAATTGATTATACAATCATGTTATTATTATAAAAATATATTATTTTATACAGTCAAAATCTTAATAAACATACTATAAAGGAATCCCGGTAGGGACATGAGGCGGACATCCTCCAGACTTTCAATGGCGGCTATCCTTCGCTCACTCTTCATTTTTTCATCATTATTGCCAGCATCATCCTCGTTTCCAGACCACCATCATCAAAGTCCTCCCCTGCCTTTCCCATCGAACAGCATTTTGCAGGTCTGCAAGAATAAATCGGAATTTTCTGTTTGTCTGTTTGTTCGATTTCCGTTAATTAGTTGTCTGAAATTTATGGTTGTCTACTTTACAGAAATCGATTAAGCTTGGAGAAGGTCTTCTGGAGAAGCCAGAGGATGTAGCCGTAGATAGAAGAAGCGGTTTTCTGTACACGGCGACGAGAGACGGATGGATCAAAAGGATTCCGAGAAATGGAAGCAGGTGGGAGAATTTGCACCACGTCGACAGCCACGCCTTGTACGGTCTCGATATTACAGCCGCCGGCGATGTAATTGTGTGCGATTCAAATAAGGTTTTCATTACATCCACATTCTAATTTCTACATCCATCTCTCTCTTACCTGATAATTGCAAATTGTAATTAAATTGTATGCTGTATTGGATAGGGCTTGCTTAAGATCAATAAAAATGGCGTCCAGATTCTTGTTTCCCAAGTTAATGGCAAATCGGCGAGGTCAGCCACAGCAGCTTATAATTCATACAAACATAGATACTTACACACACACACACACATAGATATATATATATATATAGGAAAATAACTAACGGTTCTTGTTCTATGGTTGTGGATTAATTTTCTGACAAGATATGCAAATGCTGTGTCTGCATCGACGAATGGTAAGCTATACTTCAGCATTTCAGTGAATGTGAAGAACGAGACGTCCACGGGGAAGCTAGTCGAATTCGATCCTTCGACAAGCAAATCATCGATTCTTATCGATCATATCGATTTTGCAAATGGTGTCGCCGTGTCCAAAAACCAGGATTTTGTAGTTGTCTGTGAAACATACAAGTAAGTCTCTGTCTCCCAGACAACTCTGTTTCATTTACAAGCTTTATGAATACTTACAATGCTGTGATGTCCGAACCAGATATAGATGTTTAAAATACATTCTGGAAGGCAAGGATGCAGGAAAATCGAAGATATTTGTCGACAAACTCCCCGGGCTTCCGGACAACATACATGTGGCTCCCGATGGCTCTTTCTGGATTGCCTTGTTACTGGTAAGTGATCAAAAATGTTTCACAATTTTCATCTTACAAATTTGACCTTTGGATGGTTATCTTCTGCAGATTAAGCCGGGGACCAAATTGGAATTTCAATCTAAGAATGTTCGGAAGACCCCCGAGGTGGATAACAAAGCGCTGGTGGTGAATGTAGCAGCAGACGGCAAAATCATAAAAGGATTCGACGATCCAACAGGGGCAGTCATGTCATTTGTAACATCGGCTCTAGAATTCGAAGGCAATTTGTATATGGGAGGCCTGAGGAATAATTATGTTGGGAAATTGGCTTTGCCGAGCATGTACTAAAAATTATTACAATAAGTGAGATCATCCAAGAACCGGGAAGTAATAAAACAGCACCATTTGTTTTGACTGTCTTTGTATCACTGATCACATAGCAGCCGTCAATGGCAATTTTCCGACAAAATCGTTGTGCAGAGTTCCTAGATATAAATGGCCATCAAACTCAATTGCAGATGTCACTTTTGCAATAACCTTCCCGGTCGGATCATCGAAGCCTCTTATGACTCTGCCGTCGCTTGCAACGTTCACCACCATTGCTGCATTGTGAACGCCGATCCCAAACTCAACGATCTTTGAAAAAGATTTTAGAAATTGCTCGGGAATATATCGCAGCCACCAGCTTGGCCTCAGCTGCAATAACATAGGATCCATCACCGAAGCGAACACCGATAATGTCAATGGTTTGGGGATTTTGAGGTTACCTGCAACAGGGCAATCCAGAAAGTTCCATCTGGAGCAAGATTAATGTTGTCGGGGCCTCCAGGGAGATTGTCGATGAAGATCTCTGTTTTGCCTTCTTCTTCGCCTTTAAGCACATATTTCAGGCATCTGAATCTGGTAAAGAATTGGGGATTAATTATTATTGATTTACAACGCCCCAATCTTCATTGATTTAAGAAATTGGGGATTATGGACTACTCACTTCCAGGTTTCGCAGACGACAATATAATCCTGATTCTCGGACAAGACGACGCCATTTGCGAATCCTAGGTTATCGACGAGGACGGATGCGGTGTCTGTGGAAGGTTCGAATTGGATAAGCTGTCCGGTGGACGTTGGCTCCAGAATGTCTAGAGGCCAATGGTGGAAGTCGAATTTTCTGCTTGCAATGCTGAAGTACACCTTACCCTCCGACGATACAGCCACGTCGTCGGCAAATCTTGCGACAAAGTCTCACAACATTAGTCTGAAACAAAATCAATGAAAAAAAATTCGAAATGAGTTGTGTGATTATGGATAACCTTATTGGGTCGCCATTGACGTGAGTTGCGGCAACTGTGACGCCCCCATCCCCAATCTTGTGCAAACCCTAAAATTCATCATCACTGAATTATTACAGCAGATTAAGAACTACAATGGCGGTTTGTTTAATTTAATGAAAGAAGCATGTAATTACCTTGTCTGCATCGCACACGAATAAATCACCATCCTCAGTAGGAGCAATTCCTAACAAACCGTCGCTGTCGACGTGGCGCCAACTCTCCCAGGTGGTTCCATTTCTGAGCAGCCGTTTGATCCATCCATCTCTGGTCGCCGTGTAAAGAGTTCCCTTCCCGTCGACGGCGACGGCTTCAGGTTGTTTCAGGACACCTTCTCCGAGCTTTACAACTTCCTGTTTGATGTAATTAATGTTTATAATGAAAGAAAACAGAAATCTATTACAAAATCGCCATTGATTTGTTTATATATTAATTTGCAGGTGATTGATTACCTGCAATTTGCTGTTTGATTGAAAGGGCGGTGGGGAAGTAGGGATTTGAAGTGCTCCAAAAGATGGTAATGGTGAGAATGGTTGAAGGCTGAGCTGAAGGGCTACTGCAACGAACAGAATTCCAGAAATTAGTACAAGATTACTTGTTGACGATGAAGGCATACTGTTAGAATTGGCATTGAATTCTGCAAATGAATCAGATATGGCAGACCAGTGGATGGATGATGAATTTAAGGTCAGTTGTATATATCATAGAAGCAAACAAGTACAGATGGGCGCCCATACGACCACAGAGTAATAGATAGTGATACGATTTTTTATTTTTTATTTTTAATTTTTTTTATCACTTTTTAAATAACATATTAATTATGCGTTTCTTATCAAATAATTAAGACCAATAATTAATTAATTAAGTTATTTATCTTCTTCTAATGATAGTCGGGATTTTAAGGGCTTGAATATATAGTCACGTGCGTGCATTTCGTCATGAGGTCTGATTTTTATATATAGTTCGTTTCTGTATCGTCATTAATATTTTAGAGTACATTTAATAATTCATAATTTTGACTATGGCAACAAAATTAGCCAGCAAAAAACCTAATTATATATCATTGTTGCGTGGCTTGCATGCAAATATATATGTATATAAATTATTAGACGATTTAATAAACAAAAAAATAAAAATGATTTAATTAAATATAATATTATTAACAAAGACGTCGCAGGTACAATTGATCGATGATTCCACAAAATTAAAGCACTCACCCTCACACAATTGACAATAAATACGTACATACTTACATACATGTTTAATCAATCAATCAATCAATCAATCAAAGAATGAATGAATATGAATCACGAGATGAAGAAATTGATGGATGAATTTTGATTAATTAATTGATTTATGTATGGATGATCGATCTACGATCTGGAGGAGCCATCGTAGATGCAATCAAGAACAGCAATGATTCCACAGACGAAGGCTTGATCCATTCCCGCCTTAATTTCTACGCCATAAACGTCTCGTCCACCTTGCACCACCTGCTGCTTCGTCTTCATCTCCTTCCTCATCCCAATCTGCAATATTTATAGATACACCAATCAATATATATATATATGTATTCTGTAATTAATTAATTAATTAATTAATTAATTATAATTATATAATAATTGTGAATACCTGTGCAAGGACGTCTCCCCGGGAGTCAACAATGGTGCAGCATCTGCCGGGGAAGTCGCCGAGAACTTGGAAGCTCCTTCCATGGCAATCAATGGAGATTCTTTTCGACCTCATACCAAAGCATAAACATGAATGGCGAGGCTGTTTCAGAGTGAACACCAGCTTCTGTACTAATTCGTTGTTCTTTTTCTTATAATTAATATTGCTCTTCATCCCCATGCTCATCCCCCTCCATTGCCTCCTCATGCTCACTGCCTCCACCATTGATCCCTGCAAACCATAAACACCGTTAATTATTTTAATTAATTAATTAATAATATATATATATGTATGTATACTTACGTTTCGCCTGATGAGGAGGAGAGCGTTCCCATCGCCATCCCTGAGAACCATTTCCTCTTTCCTCCCCACGCCGCCGCCGCAGTCGACGCGGAAAGCCGGGCCGCCGTCGTCGTCGGCGCTGCAATCCGACGCCACTAAACCGCCGCCGTTGACCACCTTGGGCCGCCGCCTGATCATCAAAACGACGTCGGAAGGGGCGCAGTAGAGCTTGCTCACTATTGGGCTAATCATCGTCGATTTTCCGGCGGCTGCCATCACAATAATCTAATTCTTTGTATTTCTACTAATTAACCTTTTCTTCTTCTTCTTCTTCTTCTTCTTCTTGAATTTAGGGTTGTTGTGATCGATCCCTCCAATTTATAGAGAGACAAGAACTAATTAATGCAGATGATGGATGCAATTAATTTGTTGGCGCCGCAGATTTCAAAAGGTTGGGTGCAGTCCTTTTGACAAATATCTCTCATATATATCACTCGATCAAGAATATTCTTATTATTATTTAATTTTTATTTTTTTTTTGTTAATCCAGTCAAATTAAATGTATTACTGCAAGCGATCCAGAATCTTTCCTTAACATATAATTAATCATCATGGAGGATTTCGTGTATCAAACCATAATTGGCAAAACAAGACATTTCTTCCAAACTAAATTCTCACCCCTCTAAATTATCCTCTCAATTTTAGTAGTTACTCTATGTCACAAGCCAAACTTTTACAATAGCTATACACATACACACACACACACAAATATATATTATAAATTATAATATTATTACAACCCATCAAATAAAAACAGGCATGCATAAGCATATAAATTAATTAAAGACGTGTCCGTCTGAAAAATAATTCCCAACAACACATTCACATGGAAATTATTGCAATATATATATGTAATCAAGATTAGTAATCACTTTTAAATCAAAACCCTTTTGTTTTATTATCTATATTAATACATTAATCCTCGAGGTCGCCTGAAATTAAATAAATAATTACATTTTATCTTTTCCTTCTCACTCGTAAATTAAATTAAATTAAATTAAATTAATCATGAAAGAGTTTCCAAAAGGGGTACGTGTGTTTTAACAATTAATTTATTGGCTGCCTAATAATTAGCTTTTTTTTTTTTTAAAGGAATATTTGAACTCAGACTTTCATGGGTGGAAGCAAAAGAATTCCTACACATGCTCTTAATTAATTACAGCACATGATAATTTATCCAAAAATAAGAAATAAAAGAAAATTCAAAAAGTATTTAAGAATGCGTTTTAAATGATACAATTAGCAATGTCATCATTTGGCAGATTATTACATCAGATTAAATTTTGAGTGGTTAGGACATGTTGCTGTTAATCCAATTTATGTGCATGAATGTCTGTCTTAATTTTATTTTTTATATTTTAAAAAATATTAAGCAAATTTATACATCATTATTATAGTGTACAATTTTATAAATCATAAAAGAGCATGCATGCATGCACAAGTAAGGAATAATTTAAGATATATTTTATAGAAGAGTGTGACTTAAATTGGAGAAACATATATTGTAAGAATTAGGTAATTAATGAAGATATTTAATTGACAATCGTTATCGACCGTAACAACAGAAACAACAACCACTAAGAGCCACGTCATGTTTGTTTGGCCAGGTGTATGTCTGAATTTATTATCAATTTAATTTGTGCATGTGCTATTTGTGGCAAAATTATCCTACTATTTCATTTATTGTTTTTTAGTTCAAATATGGTAATGGGCCTTTAATAAACCCGTTTTCTTTATTGGATCTCGATTCTTTTGGGCCCAGATAATAATATTAATACATTACTTTTAATACTGTGTAAATCGCACCTAGCTATGCAATTAGTTACCACTTCTTTTCCGAGAATTAATATATTTGATATTTGATTTTGAATTTTAGTTTAATACGAATAAAAATATATATATTTATATATAGATATACAATTTTTTTTTTTTTAACGAATACTTTATAGTAAACCTCTGATTGAATCTAGTCTGAAAGCTAAGCTAGAGGAAAAATCTGGTCACTCCATACCACTATGGAGATATATTTCTATAATTACGAAACAAACATATGCTTACCTTTTATTAAGACAAATATTACTAATTTTATATCAAAAAATAATCTTAATTCTAATTTTTGTGGGTGTGTTTGGTTTATATTTATGTTTGTATTCTGTGCAAAAACCACTTATTTTAATCAATATATAATATGTATACTATGCAATGACAAATGGAGTCGCTTTGGCCGAGTGGTTAAGGCGTGTGCCTGCTAAGTACATGGGGTTTCCCCGCGAGAGTTCGAATCTCTCAGGCGACGATCTCTTTATTCATTTAAATTTTGTTTATTTAGTAGACACAGCAACATGACCAGAAGCTGTCTCTTCCATTGATTATTATTATTCTGAAATTCTACGGCCCCAGTTTCAAATTCTTGACAATTACAAATCCCACCCAGACCCAATTCCTCATTCCCATTGAAATTTTGTGGCTGGTCGAGTGATTGGGACACATCAAAAGTCAAAACAAACAAATCCAAAACTAGGAAAAGACAAAAGGGATTGATTGGTGCACTGTCATCCAACAACCAAGAATCAAGAAATGACCAGACCATCACTTTGATGATTCATTACATTACAATACATGCTTCCCAATACCCAATACTTCACTACCATCTACTTCGTCACCATTTATTTGATGCTTTATTTAATTAAATCGATATATGTTTCTTGTTCACCCATTCAAGGTTGTTGCTCCATCTCATCACAAAGTCCCCCCCCAAATTGAATAATCAAAATCATTTGACTCCATAACTTCCAATTACAGTTGAAAATTGAAAAATGAAAAATACACACATCAAAATTATCAAAAGAAAGAAAGAAAGAAAATATCAAGCATGGATGACGATCACAAAGGATTCTACAACCTTTCTCTATGCAACCAACCACAAAGTTCTTTCTGGTTGATGAGTTATGTTATATACATCATCAATCAATCTGGATTTACACTTGACAGAGGTCTTCTTCTCAGGCCCTCTTCAATCCATGGTGGGCTGGAGAACTCAACCCTTTCTGCTCCATAGCTGCTTCTGTGAAAGCAAGGGGCGATTTCGGTGACTTCGCTGCCGTCGTCGTCGTCATCGTCGTCTTGTGCTTGTGTCCTTCGTGGAGTTTGTGTCTATGGTGGTGGTACTGCACACTATTATTACTATTCTCCTTCTTCGACTGCCTATCCGACTCCCTCGAAACATCTCTCATCGAATCGCTGTCTGTCGAGACTGCAAACACAAATGTGCCTGTCTGAATGTCATCAAGATCTTTCAATGGCCCCAAAACACTAATCACTTCACTCATTGTCGGCCTCGGCTTAGGCCGGTGGCTCAGGCACTGATACGCCAATTCAGCCGCCTTATGAGCCCCTATCTCCGAGTATTGTCCCTCCAGTCGCGGATCCATCACCCGGCTCAGCTTGCGTGGATTCTTCAGCATCGGCCTCGCCCAATCCACAAGGTTTTGTTCCCTGTGTGGGCGGGTTTTGTCCACTGCTTTTCGCCCGGTTAGAAGCTCCAGGAGGAGAACTCCGAACCCGTATACGTCACTTGCGGCTGTCAAATGACCTGCACAATAGCATTTGATATGATCAATTTGTAAGCAAGAAGTGAAGTATCATCACAAGAGTATAATCAAAGTACTCTGTGAATGAGTTTTACCTGTCATAATGTATTCGGGTGCAGCATATCCATGTGTGCCCATTACACGTGTCGACACGTGTGTATCGTCGCCTTCTGGACCGTCTTTAGCGAGTCCGAAGTCAGACAGTTTGGCAGTGAAATCCTGAAGGCAACAAGAGCTCCAACATTAGACCTCTACAGAGCACAAGATCCATATATGAAAAAGAGGAATGGGAGGATGGAGGAAGTTTAGTTATTACCGAGTCGAGCAATATGTTTGATGCCTTGAAATCACGGTATATGACGGGCTTTTGGGCGCCATGGAGAAAGGCTAGCCCTTTGGCAGCTCCAAGAGCAATTTTCATCCTTGTCGACCATGGAAGTGAAACAGAGAATCCTGTTTACAAGAACCCAAACTTGTTTAGACCAATGCAAGGTTCATCAAGACATCCAATGAAATTTATGTATCGAATATGGTAAGTCAGAATGAGTTTACCAATATTCAAAACTATAGTATTACAGAGCACACAGGCATGATCACATAAGGTCAACTTCCGACCAGAAAGAAACAAAAACAATCATGTAATTTGACCTTTTCTAAATACTGGCGATGGTTGAATATAAAAAGTTAACAAGTTGCAGCGAAAGCAGGTGGCCCTTCTTGGTTACAGCCAAGAACATACCATATACATAATATGTAGACACGAAATCGTATTTGGTCCCTTATCATTCCATATTTTAATTGGGAAATCACCAGACAACTGTTTAAGATTACCACAAGTTGAAATTGAATGAAAGTGATTAATGAATAAAATAACACTTACTTCTGAAGAGTTGATTTTCCAGGCTGCCTCTGGGCATGTATTCATAGACCAGAAGCCTGTGTTCTTCCTCGTGACAGTAGCCGATCAGCTTCACCAAATTTGGATGTCTCAATTGGCCAAGAAAAATCACTTCTGTCTGCAGATATATTAATTATATGAACAAGACAAGAGTCACATATATTGCAATATATAGTGCTAAATCGATAAAAATTAACTATAGGAATGAAGATTGATTCATCGATATACACACCAGCCATTCTCTGTGGCCCTGCGTGCCGTCCAAGTCCAGGAGCTTCACCGCCACGGGCTGGGCCTTCAAACCGGGCCTGAGCTTATCGTCGATAAAGCCCTTGTGCACTGGCCCGAACCCGCCCTCGCCGAGGAAATTACTGGACGAGAAGTTCTGCGTAATCACCTTCAGTTCCTGAAGAGTGAAGACGTGCAGATTCGAACCTGCAAGCGAAATGGAGAGATCCTCCGATAGCGTCGAGCCGCTCAAATCCGACAACGAAATCCTCTGAAATGATGACTGATTCATAATCCGCTTCTTCCGGTCGGGGCGCCGAGGGCTCTCCGGCTTGAAGCAGCTCGGGAAATAGTCCTGCCACTTCATCTTCTTCTTCACCGCCATTTTCCAATCGATTCCGCGAATTCAACAATCAGTTAGCCGATTTGATCAATGCTCGATACCTTCGGAGATTTGATCGAGGAGGAAAATGCAGAGTGGCGTTCTAGGGTTTATGCGGAGAAGACTAATGAGCCAATTTTCAAATGCTCAACTGCTCTTCTCCGAGTCTGAGTTCTCTCTCTCTCTCTCTCTCTCTACCAAGGCATGGGAGATTGAGGTCTGCAACTCCTTTATATAAGATCTATTTATTTTATTTTAAAAAATAAAATTTGGATGCACGCATCAAGCAACACAAAATAATTATAATAATATAATAATACTAATTGATTTGTCTTCCTTCCAAACATAACTCATTCCATTTGACTAAATTTTCCTGATAATTTTACGGAAATACCCTGCAAATGTAGACTGACGTGTCTGCCCCTGCTGAGCTGGCGCTTCCACACGCGCTGTTTACCGTTACCGGCGTTGGCGCCAGCCGGTTTTCTTTCAGACTATGTTTGGACTTTTTCGTACAAACAAAAAATAATTAAAAAATAAAAATAAAATGGGCAATTACAATATAATACTGAGTTCAATAATTAAACTTTATCGCATTATATTCTAATTTATGTAATTTAATCGGGGGCCATTTCTACCCATCTCTGGTATTTCCTTACGCGGGATGGCTTTGATCTTTCAACACAAATTGCCCAGCAAGACTAAGAAAACTGACAAAATAATAACAAAAATATTTTATTTTATTTTTATTTCTATTTCTATTTTTTTGAAAAATATTATTGTCAATCCATCACTTCTTAATTGTGTGGAGGAAATGGGCAAGTATTGGGGAAATGTCTAAGAAAAATGGAAGAGGGTTTTTTCAAAATAACACATTATTGAATATACATGTATAAACATATATACTTTTCGTCCAGACACGCTAATGATTTGGTCACGATAAGGTTGCGAAGGTCAAATGATTTAACAAAATGCTCGGAACGACGTCGTCCCAAGGGTGGTAGGTTTTCTTGCAATGCTGTGAACTTGTTCTAGAAGTTTCATTCACATTGCAAATCCTGGGAATAATGAATATTATATATTTTGTATCATTTATTTCATGCCAGAAATTAAATCAATTTGTTAATAGGAGCAAATTTATATTATACTGGAATATTTGTTTGTTATAATCTGTTTTTTTTTATACATCTACTGATGTGTTAAGTTCTTAATTATAATATATATATATATATTATTTAAAAAATTTAACTCAGTTAATCTTACATATAGTTACATAAATCCTTCCTAACTTTGACAGATGGATGCATGCATTGATTTCTTGAAAGTGTTTTATTTTCTTTAATATATATATATATATATATGTGAATAAAAGATGTTGGTTAGGTAGAACTGAATTTGAATTTGAAACCATTAATTCCCATAGTAATGTAAAAATAAAATAAAAGTAATATTACTTCATTCATGTCATTCGTATGCTTGTAACTCCATTTTTTTATTACCAATATTAGATAGATAGATAGATACATATATATATTTAAATTGTCTCCAGTTGGTGGGGCATCGTATTCTTCTTTCCTACTTATTTTTAATTAACTAATAAATTATTCTGATACGATTGCTGTTCTGCATGACCCATGAGCCGTGTACATTTTTTGTGGACAAAAAGGGTAGTGGCAGGTGGGGACAATTCGAGGCTCAACAATCCAAGTCAAATGGGCATTATCGACATTACACATTGTATGGATACGCAATCATTATTTGCTTCTAAACCAGGGATGGTTCAATTTTTTATTTTTGTTTTTTGACATAATGGTATATATTCGACATCATATTTTAATTTTTGTAAAATATATTTTATTGAAAAAAAATAGTATATCATAAATATAGAGAATGATTCTCAACAATAAAAATATATAGATTTTGTTTACACAAATATTTTTGAAATTTTAAAATTTTCGAAGATTTTAAAAATAGTAAAAAAATTGAGTATTTCAAATACTCCCTCCGTCCACGGATAAAGTATACATTTACTTTTGACGCGATATTTAAAAAATAATAGTATTTTAATTACAGGGTAGTTAAAAGTAGTGTAATGACATTTTTGCCCTTGCTTTTTTGTATAAAAGTAATGATGTGATGTAAAATAAAGGTATTTGTGGAAAAAGTGAGGTATTTAGTGAAATGTTTACTTTGTAATTGGACGTTCCAAAATAGAAATGTGTATACTTTCTAGCTGGACGGAAGGAGTATTATTTTGTAAAATTATATTTTTTGGGTTTATTTTTTAAAATAAAAATTGATGAATAATGTTAAATTTTTTAAAAATATTTATAAAAATGAGCGCTAATGTATTGTTTGGAATGAAAAGATATATATATATATATAATGTGCATTAAATGAAAATAATAATTGAATATCACATATTTATTAAATAAATTATTATAAAAATATGTGTAAAGCAAAAATGTAATTAAAAAAAAAAATAGAGTTAGGATTTTAATTAAAAATATAGGCAATATATATGGGTGTGGCCATGATTTCAATATAATTAATTAACGTTAAGATTACTTGTTGAACAAACAACTTCATCCCACTTGTCCAAAAAGTTTGTGCAACTTATAATGACCGTCACTCTCGCGACAATACATATACCTTAGAAGTTAGAACCTTCTAATAATAGTAACTATATCCAATTAATCAGTTTAATTAAAAGAAATAAAAAAAGTTGAACATTTGTTGTAATGTTTTGTAAAATAGAATATGTATTCAACATAAATTTCTAAAAACTGTAAATTAAAAATAATTTTTAAATTGTATGAAAGTAGGGTCAAAAAAATTAGGATTGACATTAAAATAAAAGTACAACTACCAGCGTTACCTTCTCACTTTAGTGGAGTTTAACCAAACTGCTGTCATAAATTCCAAGTCTCAATTTTTATGCAAGAAATGGGATACTATTCGGACAAGTAACTGTTTCATTGTCTACTTGTGACCATTTGTTCGATAAATATATTTATTGTATGATAAAAAAATAATAATAATAATAAAAATTATAGTTATAACCATTCAAATTAGATTTGAAAATTTATTTTTATAATGTGATTTAATATCTAAATAATTAAACCTATAATGTATAAATAGATTGGATCTGAGTCAAATAAATATTATACATTCCTATTGAGATTAAAATTTGAATTCACATGTGGCTTTGGATCTGTGCTATTGATTTTGGGGTCAAGAAGTTTCTAGCAAGCCATTAGTTAATCAACTCATCAAAATATAATATTGTGACTGTGAATAAACACTCCGTAGGTTTATTTTGGCATATGGTCCATCACGCTTTCTTCAAGCTCGAGCCACCTTTCTTTTTTTAGCATTCGTAGGATGTAGGAAGGTTGTATCTGCAACCCTGCTGCAGTTTGAATATGTGTGTTTGGCATTATCCATTGTGTCCAATCCTTTAAATGCCTGCAATAGTCAAACTTAGTATTTAGGGGATGGTCAGACTTGTCCAAAATCATTGGAGAACAATTCATTTTTTTCTATAGCAAATGAAATTAATATGAAGTGTATTCTTTCCAAGGATGCATAGAATATACAATCAAATGAGAAAAAGTTTGGTGGTGAGTGAGGTTTGAAAGCCAAAAGTTTAGAGAGAGAAATTATTATGTGTGCTCTCACTCTTCTCCCCATTTTTTTCATGTTTTAAACTATTGTTTAATACTGAAACCCACCGGAGAGGTCAACGGAGATCGGAGATAATGGAGTTCCAACCGGAGAGGATGATCAAACTCTGAGCTGGTTGTATGGTCGTTGTTAGTACGCGTTTGTGACAACGTGAACCTGTGGAGATATTTTCCTAGGTTAACCATGATAGCTTTTTGGATTGAAGAAGTTGTGGTTGTTTTTATTCTTAATCAGCACTGATTAGTGGAATATCTCCTGGATTAGTATCCTCGGATGTAGATTGGTTGATAATCGAACCGGGTTAACAAACACCTTGTCTCATTATTTTTTTATGTTCTGCATTGTCTTTTGTTGTTAAAACATTGTTATAACTGTGAACCACCCACGCTTAAGGAGTTGACCCTTTAAAGTGTTTGAATGTATTTTGTTCGATAAATCACTTCCCCAACAGTGACATTTAAAAAAGAAAAATAAAATTTAACAAACCCAACTATCATTTAATAAACTAGTACGATCTAAAAATATTATTCTAAATTTATAATAGCCATATTTAATTATTAGTGAATAGTGAGAGTGCACTCAATACCAACTAGCTCTTAGTTTTATTTTTTTGGTACATGACTATAAGAGTATGGGTACATTGACTTTAATAAATTTAAATAATATTTGTTGACTCCATCAAATTATCTTTTACAATATAAAATTTTAATGAAAAACTACAATATTATTAATGTGTATAATTACTTTAAATTAGCTTATAAGATTATTCATCTAGTGTCTAATATGAAGATAAATACTTATAAAATATTAATGCCTATTTTTATGGCTATATATAAAATTCTTTCATTTTTTAGACACTCAAATATTTTTCTTATTCATTTTAATATTAGTTTTTTCAAGCCAATATAAACCAGTATTTAATAATAACTGGTTTGAAACGAAGAACGTTACTGCATGCCTGGGAATAGATAATTATTAGTACGACGAATGACTTTTAAATTTTGGCTGATTTCTGCTGTAATTAATTGACAAATAAATAATCTTTCCACAAATGTTACTCCAAATAAACAAACTTTATCAATTACACATTTAATTTAGGCTTTGTTTAATTGGTTGTGTTTTGAAATTAATTTCAAATTATGTGCTGATTTAAATTTTTGGTTATATAGAATTTTGAAGTAATTCATTTGAAATAGAAAATAATATATTTTTATTGAAAACTGTATAACAAAAAGTTTGATTTCAATTTAATTTCGTTGAAATCACAATCTCTTAGAGTTTGGTTGGTTGTGTTTTTTTTTTTTGTTTTTTTTTTTTGTGTGTTTTAGAATAATAAAAATTTTAGATTATACTAATGATTTGATGTAATAAATAAAAGTTTGGTTTGATATTTTAAATATTTTTTATTCTTCTTCTATCCCAATACAAATGACCTTTGTGTTTTGTAATAAAGTAAAAAATAATAATATATTATTGGCTAGTGATAGTATGTAAGATATTTTTGATATTTTTATGTTTTATACTTTTATATATAAATTAGTTACAATATATAATATTATATTTATATTTTATTTAAAATCTACAGATTATTTTTATTATAATATAAAATATATAAATATTTTTTAGTATGACAAACATAAATAATAAATAATAATTTGAGTTGAGATAAAAGAAAGTAATGTCATAAATGAAAAAAATATATATATGAGTTTATATTTGTAAAAGAGGAAAAAAAAATTGTAAATCAATAGAAAAAAAAAATGTGAGAAAACCCAGCCTAACAAACCCTAATGTCATCACTATTCAAGTATATATATATATATATACATATTTATTGAGTGACGATAATGGTTAAAGACAAGTATAAACCTTCTTATTATTTCATCGTATTTAATTTAATTTAATATATATATATATATTTAATATTCCAACTGGTTTTATTAATCGGACTCGTTCCACGTTGGCAAGTTGCATTATAACAGATACATATATAGCCTTCTTTTTATTAATTTTCCTTCAATTTATTAATAATTAAATAAGAAACCCAAAGTCGTGTATGCTGTCTGAAACGACCATTTGTATGTCTAAAATTTCAGCCAATTCTCAAATTATTATTTGAATTTAGAAAATAAATAATTCAATAAAGCTATTATGCTGATGGTATAATTTTAGAAAATAATACCAAGTCAGTTGAACTACCACTGACCACATACTCTACACCAAACCAAATCAGTTTACAAATTAAAATCTACACCACCTCATATATATATATATATATATATAGATCAATTATATATTAATTATTTTCACTTTCTGTATATATAATTAATATAAATACATATGTATGTATGTATGCCTATTTTTATTTGAGGAAAAAATATACTTCCTCAGTCCCAAAATTATAGTTTGGGTTGTGTTTGGCACGTGATTTAAGAAATATTAATATTATATTTGTAGTGGATAAAAAGTACGGATAAAAGACTTTTTTTCGTCCTTGTGAGTGTATTAGTGTAAAAAGTAGTGGTAATTGTGTAATATTAATGAAAAAGTAAGGACAATTTTATAGTGATATGATTATTTATGGAAATGAGACTATTGTTTTGAAACGAAATGAGTAATATATATTAATAGTTCAAAAACACATGATAATAGTTCATATAATGCATTTATAATTGAAGTAACACATAGAGTGTGTGTGTTTGTAAGGTTTTAATTTTGATTTTACTATTTAAAAAAAAAATAATTATTTTAATTTAAAAATATTATATCAAACACTTGTTTTTTGTTTATTACTACTATATTACAATAAAATTTAATTTTATATATAAAATATCACGTCAAGATCAACTAACTATATATTTCAATTCAAATTCGTTGTAATTCACTGAAGTCATGTATTTATTTTATGTGTTGTCAGTAAAATGCTGATTAATTTAAATTAGCATTGTAACTGTTATCGTATATTTAGAAACAATATATTATATTTATGTTAGTTATCTTATTTAAGAGATTCATAGATTCTTGTCTTATTTAAATGGTTTATATATCACTATAAATATATACGTAAATCTTACGATTGAATAGAGAATTTCAGTTCATATTCTAACAGTAACCATGCTTTAACTTTTGCATATTATCTTTTCATGACAATCTTATCACTGGAATTATTATTACATTAGCATTGTTCTAAACTGATTGGGTTATAACAACGCTTTTTGCGTATGAAATTATTTAATCATTATCCATCGTACAAGATACAATAATTAAATTTGCAGTTACATCTTGCACTGCTGCTTAACCCGAATTAATAAAATTATTTTTTTTTTTATATATAAAAAAAAAATGCCACGTTATTATAAGTTGTTCACATAATTGTACAAATAAATAAATAAATAAATAAATATATATATATATATGTATGTATGTGTGGACAGGATAAGAGTAAGTGCTTTTGGTCTCGTATTTATAAATTTAAAATATGTCTTTTAGACCAAACCACTAAAAGAGGTTATTAAAATTTTATTTAAAATTAATTACATATGTAGTGAGTAATTTATTTAACTTTCAGCAGACCAATAATAAACAGGGAGCTTGCAAATGTAGTATTATTATTATTATTATTATTCACAACTTTTGAAATGTCTGTAGTCCACCTTCTTTAATTTATGCAAATTAAATTAAATTTTCGATATAACATCGTATGCATGCACTAAAAATGATCGTGGCCAGCTAATCACATAAATATGTAAACACGTATATATTGTGAATATATATATATATAGTAACTTTCGATTATAATCGGACAGCAGAAATTATTATTATTTTGGCAAAATTATTTGGCACCAAAACACGTGATTTTGTAAACTTAAATATATAAATATATATATATATATATGTATATGTATATATCTTGTAAAGATGATGGATGTCTTTTAATAGAAGTTTTAAAAGTTTTGGGTTATGTTTCTTAAAGGTATAAATCTACTCTCCCATTATTTATTAAATTTTATTTTTTTAAACCTATCAAATTAAATACTTGCTTCTTTTTTTTTAAAAATTTTATTACAATATATATATATATATAAATCAAATATTTGGTTGTGTTCTCTTCATGTTTTAGATTTGTATGAAATTAATTTTATTGTTAGCTATTAAAAATGGTGAAAGTGTTACAAGAAATGTAAAAGTACTATTAAATTATTTATTTTTGTTGTTTTAGATATTTTATAAGAGTAATATATTTTTATTAAAAAGTATAGATAAATATTCTTTTTATTGAAAAATATATAAATGTGAAACGAACAAACCCTTATTTATTTCACTTAAAAAAAAAAAAAATCTTTAAATTCAAAGCTTTGAATCCTAAATCTTTAAATACAAAAACTTATTTAAATAAATTTTATCTGTAATATGACCAATATTTTTTTTTTGACCAGTTATTATCGAAACGCTAATTAATTTTTCGTTATTATATAGTATTCAATTCAAATAAAAAATTTCTTTAAATATGCACGATTTATTACTACTGGCCCAGTGGGCCTATTAATTATTTTTCCATAATATTGCATTTTCATTTATTAATTACGTTCAATTTGTTCCAGATCTTATAGTGGAAAAGTAATTCAAACATTTTATTTCATGCATATATATATATAAATAATTATTTATTTCTTTTAATGCATTATCTACATGAAATATTGAAATCGGACAAAAATTTATGGCTTAGATATTTTAGTAAAAAAATATCCTCACCTACCGCAGCATAGAAATTTCTTCAAATATTCTATTTTGAAAAGAAAAAAAAAAAAAAAAAACTGTCAATTTATATATATATTTTTTAAAATTATTATTTTGTCATACAAAATCGTCCTTTTTAGCTGTTCAGTTAATGCGTTACGCGCGACTTTGACTAATTTTAAATTTTCTCAATCGCAATAGTCTATTAATAAATTAATTGATATATGTATGTGCTGATTTTGACTTTCCATGAAAATGCAATTTTATAAGAGGCACAAAAATTTGAAAACTTGTATAAACTGCTTCCAGCAAAAAAGGGGGCAGGGCATTCTTTAAATGTGCATTATTATATGTAAAAGTAATTTATTTACTTCGTGAATTTTTATAAATATATAAGTATATAATCTTTTTTTTTTTTTTTTTTTTTTTTGCAATTCTAATAAACAATACTTCAGAACAATTTATTTAATTTTGTTTTTTTATAATGCATGTGTGCTTGTGAGGTTGACTAACTCAGAGGTTGACTTAGCCTTGATTAACTTATTGGATATTGGGAAATGTGCAGGACTTTGATATAAATATTCCACACTCCAAGACTTTTGGTGATTTATTTTTAAAAAATGATTTTTTTATTTTTTTCTAGTAAGGCTAATGAATGAAAATACATAATTAAATAAATGAAATACGTAAATTGAGTGTACTATAAATTATGATTTTTTATTATATTTGTTCGATACATAAATGATTAACTAAATTTGTTAAAATAAATATTTGATATGCCTATTCACCTAATATATATATTTTTTAATGCAAGTTTCAATTAGTATTATCAAAACGTATAATATATATAGTTTTACATTAATATAATACTCCATCCCTTCCAAAACTATGATCTGATTTGGGTTGGACACTGGATTTAAGAAATAATCATATTATATTGTTAGTTGGTAAAAAGTACGAGTAAAAGACTTTTTTTTTCCCTTGTGAGTATATTAGTGTAAAAAGTAGTGACATTTGTATAATAATAATAAAAATGTAGGGATAATTTGACGGTGAGATGAGTATTTATGAAAATGAGACTATTGTTTTGGGACGGAAAAAAATAATAAATAAGACTATTGTATTGGGACGGAGGGAGTACTATACATGGTTGGCTAATTTGTCTGTCGGATCTAGTTTGCAGGATATTAGGTTCGGCTGGAAATTTATGCATGCGCATTTTCGGGTAGCGGCTCGGGATTTTCACGTTATAAAAAAATAATAATAATAATTATCAATAACAATTAGATAAAAAAAAATAGAGAAAGAAAATAATTATCAATGATAAGTTCCGTATGGAATAGCATGTAGGAAATGAACTTGTAAGTAATTTTTTAAAAAATTCACACACATGAAAATGTGGGTCGATTGGGCTCAAACAAAATTTCAACTAATAATAAATGGGCTTTATTAATGGGCTTAGTCTTCCTTAATATAGAAATTGGGCCAACGAACACAAACACATTTCCTTAATCTAGCGCAACACTATTCGCCTGCCTGCAAGAGAAGCCACTGTTCGTGCAAAGACGACGAGCTCGAAATCCAGCCGAATAGGCGATGCGCGGACCATGAATTAGCCAAACTAGTGGGCAAAAGAGAGCAGCAGTTGGAATCAGTCTTCAGGAATGGCTACGGAAAGGCAATCTATGTCGTTTGTTGCATCTACCGATGAAACTAACCTGTAAGGTTTATCCTCCCAGTGGATCAAGCGTCATATGTGGCGAAATACTCGAATTTATCTTTCGATTTTTTTCTATTATTTTTTTTGTTTGGATCCTCTTTGTCCTTTTACCTTTCGACAGGATTTCGTTGAGTTGCCGAGTGTGCTCTGAGTTTTTATTCAGTTACTTTAGTAATGGATGCTCTGAAGAGCGTGGCATTGGTCTTTCCTGAAATGCTGTTTTATTGTACATTGTTATTGCACTTTTTGGTTAAACTCCAATTAGAAGGAATTAGCATTATCTATGAGGTAGATATCGTATCTCCGTATGTATATATACCTGTTTTGGTACAGCTGAATATTAACCTCCTTAGAATGGGTATGGATATTTAACTTTAAATGGATATCGCCGTTTATTAATGCAAGTGATCAAGATTGTACAGAACTACAATTATTATTGCTAAAATTTTGTAGCCTGTTTTATTTAATATTTACTATACAAAGACTGGAACTTGAACATTCTTGGTTTTTACCTATGTGAGTCTCACATTATGCTTAGATCGATTGTGAATCATTCACCAACATACCTCTCATTGCGACCTTGAATTCAGTTTTAGAACAGCACTGCCTTGCTCGTATAGATGCACAATGGAAAAAAAAATAAAAATTGTTGTCTGTTCTGAACATCTGAGTACTATTACCATCTTTTGACTGTGAGAATTTTCTCTTACATCTTGTCTGGATCATGCTGTGAGTATGAATTTATTCTTCTTTTAACTTGTGTTCACTCGCTTGCCCTGTGCATACACTTATGACCCAAAGATCTTTTGGAGGGACTCCATATACATTATGGCACTCTTAGCTTTTCTAATGTTGAAACATGGGTTTGCTGTTGGCTTTGTAGGTTTCTTGACATACTGCAAGAGGCTCCTTTGTTTGGTCATCGGAAGCGGACAAGGATTATTGGAAGTCTTCTCTATTGTGTTCTATTGGCAAGTACTGCTATCTTAACTATGTTTTGGGTATGACACTGACAGCAATATAATTTCATGAAAGCTGATTTTTATTTCATTCTAGGCAGGCTATGCAATTATAGCTGTGGGAGCTACATGGATACTTCAGCCATTTCAAGAATTGATTGCCCTGCTGCTTTGTAGCTGTGATGTCATTCTTCTGGTTGTCACAGGTTATTATTGAAAACTTTTTAAAATCACATGCTTATTTCTTGTTTCCTTTGTTTCCATGATTCTTATATGTAGTATTAATGAGACTTTTTCATGCTGGTTTTTGTATTTTTTTTTTTTTTCTTGTAAGTACACTTGGTTTGAATAAATCAAATCCTTTTTGGGCTTAACCATTTTTACAGATGATTGAGGTCAACAATGATTATATAACAACTAAGAAAGAATTCAGCTGTGATTTTTTTTTTTGTCTGTGTGTAATAGCATAGCATATTGAGGGTTTCAATTACTTGAACTATTCAGGTGAGTGTGTTTAATGAAGGATATGCTTATTTCCCCATTGCACCACCTACTTTCTTGTTATCCTAAAAAAGGGTAAACATTGATACTGCAAAATAGGCTGATTCAATTGATAATAAAATAACACACTGGATGTCCTAAAGTAAGGTCATATATATGTTATTTTATAGACAACTCTTCATAAAAATATTTTGCTGTATATATAATACCAGTATTATCTTGCATGTACTTTTTTGTGCATATGACTTTGTTGAACTGTGATGAACTATTACAAAATATCTTTTCACATTTATAGGCATATTTCAGCAATTCCTGGTTTACCAAGTCCAGAAGATACGCCTGCAGGTATTAGCTCCTATCTTCGTGATGTTACTGCATTATCCTCTGATCTTTCACACTTTGTTCTGATGTCTATTTTTCATTGAGGATGGAATGGCAAATTGATAAAAGATCAATGTAACCTAATGTGTTGTTTGGTGTTAAAAGATGCAAGAGTAAGCAAGAAATTTCATATATAAATTTGATTGCTGCAGCCAAGAATATATCACCTTTCAAGAAGGTGCATACCTAGGGTTTTTTAATGTGATATTTTGTATGAAAATTTGGACTGCTTTTATAGGAAATTGTGAGGTTGAATATATATATATATATATATTAAACAACATAGCGCCACTTTTTGACTGGTTTTGTTTGATCTCTTTTTAAAATTACAACAGCTAAGATTTTAGAGATCATGATGGACAGTTTTGATTTTGTAGGGTTACTATGGGTTCAGCCAAAAGTTGAAGCATATAGTTCGCCTGCCGTTTGCTACAATTGCATATGGTATGCATATATTACAATTTTGGATTTTAGTTTCTATTTTTCAGTTTATCTGAACATAGCAAGTCTTATTAAAATACAAGACCCCCTTTTCCTACTTGTCTGCAATTATGTCATACCCCTGCTTACCATCTCATGCAACTTCTCTTTGTGCACTAAATACAGCAGAAGAATGTGTTTTGTATTTACTGTCTGTCAATGATTTTTAATTCTACGTTACATGCTTCCTTGACTTTATATAGACTGAAAATTTAAGAATATTATTGATTATGATTATCTGAATTGCTTCAAAAATATAGGAACTGCTGCGATGTTGCTTGTTGTTGCATGGAAGCCGCACATCAGTATTTTGTCAATTTCTATGCTCCTCAGGTCAGGTTAAACAAATTCTATGCTTAATTCTTCACTCAGCCTGGAAAAGATTTTCCAAATGAGTTCCTGAAAGTGTTATGTTGATTTTTTGATATGTCATAGCGCCTGAGACTATACCAAAATAAGTCTATTTTTACAGTATCTGATGTGTAATGTTACATTATGAACAGCTGAAACTGATAATTTTGTGTATTATAGTTGAAAGATATAATGTAACTTTTCACAAATTAACATTTAAATAGTGGCTCTGCCAACTTCGACCTGATTAACCCTGCTAAAAACATACTTGGATGATTGTAACAAGAACTATTGCAAACTTTAGTTGTTTGTGTCATGTTTTTCCAATGCATATGGAAGTTAATTTTGGCCACATTTACTAAAGGGATTGAGCCATGGAGTATTTCCTTAAGAAGTTTCTCCAGCGGTGTTAACTATTAAATGTTTGTAGGCCTTATGATTGTGTTTGATTTACAGTTTCCCAACTGTATTCATCTTATTGTATTCTTTTGAAGCATACAAATACCAGATAGCTTATTTAAGCATTATTTTTCAACTATCAATAGATCTCAAATTTGTGTGATGATGTAAAAGTACAGTAACTCTTATTCTGATTTATTTGTCCCTTGTTTGACAATTTATGCAGAATCATCATGCTGGTTGAATCCATTTGTGCTGGTTTTTTTATGAGCTTCTATATTGGTGAGTTTGGTTGCCGGCCTAGTTGCGAAACTGACGGCTGTCCTGTCCTTGGAAATGCCCTTCCTGATTTTAGCTTTTTGAGAATAAACTTAAAAATTTTCTTTTCATTGATTTTTTGAGTTTGGACGTGAACATGCATCAATAAGACCAGTCATGTAAAGTCTTCACATGTCTTCTAATAATAGATTGTCTAAGACCAACAAATTAGCCTCTTCTTACTTAAATTTCGTTATTTCTATAAAACAGAACATGATATTGTGATTAGCCATGGATTGCTTTTTGGTCCACGGTTTCTAATTTTTTGACTGTTGCATGTCAGAGCTTAAATGCATTCGTGTGATTCAGCTAAAGTATTACTTAAAAGTGTTTTTGGAGTTGCAGGTTATGTGCACCAGTACAATTCATTGGATTCACAACCTGATGTTTTGAACTCGCTGTACTCTCCACTCCAACAGTCAAGTTCTTTGGAAGGTTTGAGGTAGTGATCTACTCAAACTTTGTTCAAAATAATTAATATTTTTATATATATATATATATTTTTATCTATAAACACATACTAATGAACAATGCAGTTGCCCAGGTATCAGTTCCTCTTGCATATATCTTTCCTAAGAAGTTTAATTTGTTTACTGGGCACATGGGAAGATCACTCTCATTTTCTTATATATAGTTGTTTTTATATTTGTCTTTTGTGATAGATACCATGATGGCGGACGTCTTTCTGATCAGCAGATGGCCTTGCTACAATATCAGAGAGAAAACATTCACTTTCTCAGTGAGGAGGTAAATCATAATTGACAATCTATAAAATAGTCCTCATAATTTATGAAAATTCTTCTACTTGAATTCTCTTTTTTAGAACTTTTGTGCAGAATATGGTTGTGATTTGTTTTGCTGGGAGTTGTAGTATTTTGTTTTCTTTTCTGAGCCGTGAAAATCCCTGGCAGCCAAGTGCATAGCCTATAGTGGTCGATCATTATACATCTATCTGGATCTTGATAAGCAGTGCATTATAGTATGCTCTTTGTGTACTCATGATTCCTTTTTGTATTCCTTGTAGATTCTTAGATTGCAGGAATGCTTAAGCAAATACCAGAGATCTGATGATGAGAGCACTCCTCAGGTAATGCAATGTGTTAATCTTAGTAAGATTCGAAAAGCATCAATCGTGTATGTAGATGGTTAGCATGCAATCCTACATGAGACAATCTGAAGTTTAATGGTTTAGGGTTTATGGTTAAGTCAGTTCCCTCGGGATAGTACAAAACTATTACATCCATGATGAGGATAATTGATATGGATCTGGTATCTGATTTTATTACTTCCCCATAGGTATTTTGAATTGTCATCATTATAATTGTTGATAGTTCGAGTTTTTATTTTTTTTTTCTTTTGGTAAAGTTATGTCTTTAATTGGAGCGTGAGACTATCCGTTTTCACCCTGTATTCGTTTGAGGAAAATGCTAACTAAAACCGTGTTATTAACTATGTTGGCATGATAAGCTTTTTATCTCTGACTTAATGCTTGTTCTCTCATCAACACCATCACAACTGTTATTGTTTAACTTTTAGGTTGATCTTGCACACTTATTAGCCGCTCGTGACCAAGAACTACGAACACTTTCAGCAGAGGTAATGCCTTCTTTCTTAAGAAGTAGCTGATATTTAGAGTCCAAAGAACGACATGAAATGCATTAAAACTTGTCTGCTGAAAAGGTTTCAAATATTCGAGCTGCTCTTTAATGTAGAACGATGGCTTGGGAGTTTAGATTGTTGCCAGGCCATCAAGATGAGTCTCAAGTCGTTTGTTGTTGCAGATGAACCAATCACAGTCTGAACTCCGGCTTGCTCGGTCTCTGATAGCTGAGAGAGACTCCGAAATGCAACGCGTACGCAGCACCAACAATCAGGTGAGCTTTGGCCAATCTTGTTTTTGCTATTTGTTTAACGAAACCATATTTAGGCAAAACAGAAATGCTTGCAAAGTCATAAAACTTTACAGCTTACCGAAGCACACACAGTAATCTTACTTTGCATATGTACAATTTCCTACACTAACTCATGACCTGTGGTTGCTGTTAATGGAACAGTACGTCGAGGAGAACGAAAGACTTAGAGCTATATTAGGAGAGTGGAGTACCACAGCAGCCAAGGTAATACAATCATCTTTCTCCATATTTTCATACTTACCTCGATCACACTGACAACTATTGTGGATGGGACATAAAAGCTGGAGCGTGCGCTGGAGACCGAGCGGATGTCAAATTTAGAATTGCAGAAGAAAATTGCAACAATGAAGCCTCCAACAACACAAGAACAAGCCGAACCAACAGCGCGCCTCGACCATTAGCTTCACCTGTAATCACATTCCTCCCAATCTGGATTTACATTCTTTGTTCATTTCCTGCTGTAGAAAAAACTTAGGCAAATGCAATGGGTGATTTGTACATAGACTGATTTGCTCCTTCAACTTCTTCTTGTCTGATTCAATTACTGTTTTGACACAAACATCCTCACACACACATGCTACGTCATTGTAATTTGATTCGAAATCAAAATTGGAAGTTCTAATAGCCAAAAGTCTGTAAATTTTCAGTGTAGTTACAAGTTCTAGAGAAAAATCCACTCACATATCCATTAGTTGAATTATAATGGTGAGACATGAGCCGTCTCGTCCAAGAAGAGACAGCCAAACACCGTGTTAAAAAAGTCACTTCCTTTGACAATTCCGCCATTCCCAGTGATGGCTTCTGTGTCGTATTTGCAGGCGCGATTACAGTCAGGGCAATATGTAACCTACAAAGGAACGACACAGGTAAATGGACATATAAACGAGCAGCAAAGAAATCTTTGCATCAATAAATTTGCTGTTGGAACAGAAGTAAGGTAAAAAATTTAATTACCTCAAGAAGTTTAGGCTGGAAATGACTGTCGAGCATGACATCAACGCCATACATGGCTCTTGATGTCGGACTATGCATTTCTGGATGCACTGCAGCAGCTGACTCGAAGACGGATTTGATCATCTGTTTAACTCTCTGATGGATATCCAACCATTGAACTGCAATATTGGCACGTAATCGATCATATGATTAGAGAAAAACGAACCTGCACTGCTAAAACTCTCCCCAAGAAGCAAAACTTTTGTAAGAAGATGAAAAATAAGTAGTTCATACCATGATGCTCTTTCTCAAATTCTTTAACAAACTCTGGTGTGTTCATGTGATTTATTGTTCCCCTGTAATTCTGAAGTGATGCGACAAAAGTACAGCCATGAACCATGATTTGCTACAATAAGAAATGTGTATGAGGTAATTGACAGCTGGACTTACCATAACTGTGAAATGTGTCTCATATTCAAAGAAACTGTGCTTCTCCAAAGTGTATGGGTTGTTGGCCAGCCTCACCTGGAGGAAATAGAGATAACTATGAAGCCTACAATTTTATATGGCAGAATTTACTGAATAAATAAAATTGCTTACCCAGAAAACATCTGTGAGGAATAACTCCAACGGATTCATGCTGCGGACCAGAACAATGTAACGAAGATCAAACTTTCTTCCTTTGAATAGTGCAGGGTGTTCAATATACTTCTGACATATTTTTGGACCAGTCTCCATGAGACGAATGATGGCTGACAAATTTTGAGTAACATTTGTATCGATAGTTCTTGCCATGTTCCATGGTTTTAAGATCCACAGGTTGTCGACACCATCCCTTTCACGTGTGAAGTAGTCTCCCACAAGTTGAGTAAGATGAGTTTCAAGGTTATATGTTGGTTGGAGCCACTGCGGCGCACCATGAGCCTGTTACAGAAGATGCATGAATCGCAAAAAGGGGCTGTTAATAAGAAGACATAAGCAGTTGGATCGAGTCATTGAACTACACACAACATTAAGTAATTTACCTTCTGAGCAGTTTCAGCCAGGTGATGCTTCATAACTAGGCAAGCTTCATAGGGAAATTGATTTATGTATTGCTGATCATTTAGTCCAACTGTCTTCTTCGTCTCCTCATCCACTTGCATACTGGTCCACACTATATCTGCATTCTTTGGCTCAGTTGCTGCACAAGAAGAAATAGAGGACAAATGAGTTACCAAAACTGTGAAATGAAATGTTATACAAAATGTAAAAAGGAAAGGATATGCCATACATTTCATGTTTGCAAAATCATGCATTATTCAAGTTGTAGTAAGAATAGGAAGCATGTTTCTCATCATTAAAGCACTTATTCTAAGAAGGCATACTTCAAAATCATATTAACAATCAGAAATCAAATAGAATTCCCATAACTTGACTCAGACACCTACTGATTACAAATTCTGGACGTGTCAGATATTCCTCCACTTGGGGTACATCAGTATAAACTTGCAACACACTCCGACCACTATGCAGCAGACTCTTGGTTGTAGGTTCCACCTCTGGTGGTGGAGAAAATTTTTTGGAGTGTAATTTCAAACTGTATTTTTCATACTCCTGGATAAGCAATAAGAAGACTTTAAAATGGACGATTCCACAGGTTGAACGATCAAAAAATTATTAATAATAACAATAGCAAAGGACATACACTTATAAAATAATGTTGGGGTGTAAAGAACCAGGCTGTAAGCCTAGCAGATCGCTGCTTCTCCTCATCGATGCCAAATAGGTAATCCCTAGTGCACTCATCACCACTTTGAATATTTTTTGTAGGCCAAAGGATTGAATAACTGAAATGTTGCCACAAACAAATAGTTCTCACCTATTAGATTGAGACCTGAACACCTAATATTTCTGTAGTCATTACAGTTTACTACAAAAAAATGTAATGGTTCTTGAGGTAGATCACTAACTACTGATGTGTGGCACAAATCTTGAAAACTACAGCATATTCAAGATAAAACCAACATCTTAGGAGGAAACTCAAGAAAGGATTCAGAATTAGACCTCACAGCTGACTCCAGTTTACCCTCAGGCATGTATAGGAAAGGAGAAACTCTGAAATTGGCTTCATCGCTGTGCCGCAATGCTGAACCTAATTCATCCATTACATACCTGAGAGTAATTGCAAAAGAAATAAGTGATAAGACGAGAAACAGATCGTGCAATCAGAGAAAATTCACCAACCCTATCAACCAATCAGTGCAGCCAGAACCACACTAATCACTATAAACTTGCTGCACTATCTATTGAGTGTAGTAAAGCAGTTCTATTCATATCACATGCTGCAGAAGAATCAGAAAAGATTGAATAATAATTTGAACCATTTGATCCTCTATGGTTCTTGCAAAGATAGACACATCATCCTAAAAGGCTAACTGATGTAATTTTCACAGGAGAGGCTCTTGGTCCTAGGAGGGAGGGTGAGTAATCACTATAAGCATTTGTTACTATTTTAGTAGGATAGAAAGAAAGAAGAAAGGGAGAGGAAGCATGCGAACAATTCCTTTGGTAGACATTTAATGGCGTCATGGATTTCCACAATATCAAACAAGGATACTTGGTTATCTTCTGGTTCATTTTCAAGGCACCAAAAAAATTTGATATAGATAAATGCTCTTCAGTTAGGAGAAGAGTTTTTGACCCAAACAAAAAGTATTGTAATACTAGTTTGACTCCTTACAGGAACTTGAGCATAGAAAATGAATGCATACCAGACAGGGTTTTCATCAATCTTCTCTTCATTTGCAAGACGGTAAGTCATCAAGTACAACCACATTGCATTAATAACACGATCAGTGAGAGATTCTCCAGCATTTAATACAGGGAGTCGAGGTTTTAGCATTGAATCAACAGCACACCTCCCTGATTCCAATATTTTTGAAGTACCAATGCCATTCAACAGAGAAAGTTGGGGCAGAGCTTCAATAATACTAACAGCATTCTCCCCAAGAGGTCCAGGAATATCCACCTACTTCAGTGGTGATGTCAGCATAGCTAAAAGTTGCTTATCAAAACTACAAAAATATAAAAGAAAAAAAAAAATACATTGAATCTTACAACATTACCTCCAGTGATGTTAAGTTGGTGAATTCTTTAAGATATTTTAATAGTTCATCAACTGACATTTTGTCCAATGGATTTCCACGAAGATTTAAGGAGGACAGATTGGATAATTCCGATGGAGAAAAGGCCTGAAACCAGCAATAATGAAATGAGTGAACGAGGAAACAAGTCAAGGTAGATTATACGAATAATATGTCTGAAGTTGGAAGCTAAAACATAGAAGTAGGAATCGGATTTATGGGTACTGCCCACCTCAGTAATGATACTGTGAATGCACCTATTTGACAGGTCAATGGACGTGATGCCTTGCAAAGGATGATCCTCGTGGCAAGAATCTCCTCCAGGATTATCTTCGTCATATAATCCTCCACAAAATCCTAAGGCCCACTTACCATACTTGGGAGTGAAACGAGAATTGTAGATTTCCAGTTCAGGGCAATTTTGCAGAATTGCATCTTCCAAGTACTTATCCCTTTAATAATAAAAAGTAAAAAATAAAAAACAGCCACTATATCATGCACTTAACAATATTATCAACAATTTGTGAACCTGGATACTCACCCAGTGTCTGTGACTGGATTATAGTTCAGCCATAGAGCTCTGAGCGATTGGAAATGAGTTACCACCTTTAAGACAGTTTCTGGGTTCTTGAGCTTGTTTCCAAGGAGGCTTAGTGCAAGCAAGTTCTGGTGAAATAAAATACCAAGGGAAAAGATGTAAAGATCAATGGACTTCAGTGAAGAATAAAGAAAGATCTATGGACCAACACATACAGAAACTGAACGGTGGAAAAGTAAAAAGTAGTATACATGATGAAGATTTATTCACAGTTATGGTAAGCTAGTCACATAATCACGGTGCATGAAGGATATATTGGTATCACATGGAAATATAAACTCACGGGAAATTTACTGGGCAAATCAAGAGAAACCAGCATAGCATCATCAATTTCAAGATCCTCAAGCTCCAGCCACCTGACAGAATGGATGCCTTTTTCTTTGACTTTACAGTACTCTCTTTCAACTATTTTTGTCGCACTTAGTTTAGCATCATCTTCATCACCCGTTTCCTCCACCTCCGAATTCAAATCAATATCCACACACATTAACGAAGCCATCCTTTCCACCAAGCCAGGAACCTCCTGCAACTGAATGTTTTCGAAAAATATCATAGAAGTAGTGTATAAAACAGTGAGTAACAAATCAAGGACGCACTTAATTTTCATAAAATGGACTTGAGATAACAGACAGCTTCTTTCAGCCAAAATCCACGAATTTTACCGACTTCTCATTTCCTAATTATGTTGATGACGAACAGCTAGCATCTCTACCTGGATACTCATAAACTACTTCACCACCTACATCTCTTGTTCGCCATTACACACGCATACACAGAGATTCTGTTCGTTTGTACCTGCTTGTAAGCATCGGCGAGGCGAAAACTCCAGGCATGGTCGACCAAAAACACATCAGAATCCTTCCCTAAAAAATCAGCTGTGAATACAAGCCTCCTTTGCCTGCCATCCTCCACTGGTTCCACCTGGAAATAATTCCCACCGTCGAAAGTCTCAGCCCTGAGCTTCTGGTAGAGCCTTCGATGCAATGGCTGCGGCAGCCCCGACGCCGCCAAAAGAACTCCGTGCAGCTTCACGAAGTCTTCATAGTTTTCCGGACTGACCACAGCGCACATTTTTCGCAGTTCCGTACGATTGAGGGGTTTTGGGCTGCGCCGGAGCAGAGGGTTTTTGTAAATATATATATATTCGGACTCAGGTTTGGGTTTGGAATTAAATTTCGGGTTTGGGTTCGGATTCGAGTTCGTTTGCCATGAGTCATGGCCTACCGGCTATCAGTTTGAAATAAAATGATGAATCATGATCCTCGAGAACCGGGTCCGGTCGGACCGGGCCCTGTATGTAGCCGTTGCAATCTCTCGTCCCAAACGGGCAAATTCACCTTTATTGCGTATATAAATTCTGAAAATTTTCTAGAGAATTTCTCATACATACAGAGCTTGAATTTCGAAAATGGCGTCCTTCAAACGCAGAAACTCCTCCTCCTGCTCCTTCCTCAATCTCCTCCTCTCGTTCCTCAATTTAATCCTCTTCATCCTCGCCGCCGCCGCAATTGCTCCGATCATCGCCCTCCGGAATCCGCCGACTTCTCTCGGCTGGGCACTCCTAATGGTCTCGCTCATCTCGCTCATATGCTCCTTCGTCGGCTTCTACTCTCAGCTCACTCATTTCTGTTACGTATTCCACATTTCTCTCCTCCTCGCCTCCTCCGCGAGCCAGCTGCTCGGAATCCTCGCGCTCTTCACCAAGGAGAGATCGAGCCTCGCGATGTTCAAGTCTCCTAGGGATCCGCGCGAGGCCAAGCTATTAGTGAGATTGGAGTGCGGAGTCCTGATGGCGATGTTGGTGACGCAGCTAGGGGTTCTGCTCCTGAGCTGCGCGGTGCACAACTGCTGGATTAGGGAATATGAAGGCCTGGAGGCAGAACACGAGGCGGCGAGCGAGAAGCGTCGCCGGAGAATGGCGAGAGTGCAGGAGGAATCCATGGCTAATGCGGCGAAAATTGCAGAGATGAAGGCCATGGAATTGGATGAGAAGATGAAGAACAAGTATGGCTCCAAAATTGATTTTCCTGAACCCTAATTGCTGTTAATTAAATACGATTATATTCAGTATATTGTGATTGATTATTTTATTGATAGATTGTTTGGTGTAATTTCATCAATTTTTTGTTTGTGCCTTATTTCCTGTGGTCACTATAGAAATGGCCGCCCTGTAATGTAATTGGAGTATTTATTTTACTGTTGCTATTATAATGTTACATATTTAAATTGCAATATACACATAAATTGTGTATTTCTTCATTTGTTTGTTCCTTTCGGCGATGACCCAATTTAAATAAATGCATTGTGTCAATTTATTCAATTCATTATTTATTTATTTTTTCTAAAAGGTACACATTTCAAATATATAAAAATCATGATTACATAAGGAGGAGGGTTCGGGTGGATTTCACGATAAGGACAACCCATGTGCAATTTTAATTACAAAATTTAAAAATCAGCAAGCATTCTAATGATTTGCTATCAATCATTAAGGTCGCCTTTATACAGCGATTTTTTAAGTTTCCAAGATTTAAAACATTTTAAAATTAATACAAAATTTAAATATTAATATAAAATTTACTATTTCTTTATAAAAATATTGTAATAAATTGCCACATTACATATAATTTATAAACTATATTATATTAAAATTTTAACTTTTTATTATATTTTGACACCTTCTAAAATTTTAGTGATGTGTCAATAAGTATTCTGTCAATAGGATGGACTCCAAAGCCCTTCATTTCACGCAAATCATGCCATCATAATTCCGTTTAGGCATATTTCTTTTGAGATTTTTAAAATTTTAAAAATAATAAGAAATTAGTAGTATTAGGTATAATATTGTATATAATTAATATAATATTTTTAAAAATTAAATAATATTTAATTTTCAAAAATGTTATATAAATAGAGCTGTATTATTTATAATATATATATATATATGCATCGGTCCCCCCTTATGAAATGCTACTTTCATTTTAAATTATTAGTCTTTAGGCTTATTGCATTAATTAATTAGCAGTGATAAAGAAAATGACACGAGTGTGTGTATAAATATATTTTGACTTTTTCACGTAACGTTTTACAAAATGTGTATGCGATAAATAAAATAAAATCGAAAATGAATTCCATATTAATTGCATGTGTGTAAGTTTGAATTCATAGCACGTTAGGGTCAAGTTCAAAGCTAAATTTGAGTAATAAGTAAATAAATAGTAGTATTAAGTGACGAATGATTTTTATTGGTCAGTTTGATATATTTTCAATTAGAAGGGAATATTTATAATTATGGTAATTATTTGAAATACGGTCTGCGTTTTATTATTTAATGGGTAATGTGGCTTGTGATAATTACCTCATATTAAAATATTTAATTTAATTAACAAATTAAAATTACCACACCGATTATTGAAGCACTGTGAGTCTGTGACAGTCGTCTTCCTCGTCTACTGTATCTCTCTCTATCATCTCTTTCTCTCTCTATGGTTTCGAGCTTCCATTGGATCCTGGCTTCCGCACCAGACGTAATCAGCTAAAGCAGTGAAGATAGAGTGTAACGCTCAATTAATCATTAGGATGAGATAGAGTTTGATTGATTGATTGATTGATTCGATTAATGTGATGAGCAAAGCAGACCGGAAAAATGGGGCACCACCACAATAGCCACTACCACCAGCACACCACCGCGACGGATGGAGACGGCGGCGGCGGTTTATCTCAGCGTGTCAACAGCCCTAGGTTCTCCGGCCCAATGACCCGCCGAGCGAACTCCTTTAAGCGAAACAATAACCATACGAAGAGCAGCGCCGGCAATACCAACTTACAGAATAGCAGCAGTAGCATCAGCAACAACGCACATCATCATGAGATCATTGATCTTCAGCTCAACTCACCCAGATCTGAGACTCCGGTTGCCGGCGACGGTTCCGAGCATTTTAGGACGGCTCACGCCAGCAGCGTGGCGCAGAGGCCGCATTTGAGGAGACGGATTTCGTATCTGAGTGTGGATTTGGGGGAATTCGGATTGGAGTTGAAAGGGAAGAAAAAATTGGGGCAGTGGATGTTTTTTATGTTCTGTGGAGTGTGTTTGTTTTTAGGCGTCTTCAAGATTTGCGCCACGGGATGGTTTGGATCTGCCATTGAAAGGCTTGGAAACAATCAGGTGATCCATGGATTTGAATTAAACTTCTGATTTTTTTGTTGATAGTTAATTTGCTAGAAAAAATAATCTCCATGGTTGACAGTGCAAAGATTCAGTTTGATCACTTCAGATCGATCCCTTTTAATCTTATTATAAATAGTTCGTTATCACAGTGTGTGATCACTTCAGAGTAAGGTTAACTTGTGAATGTTCTCTTATTGATTTTGCTTGACAATAATAGGTTTCCATAGAAAAACAGGCTTCTAGTTTGCTGGCAATGGTAACTAAATGTCAAGAAGACAAGACATAGGATGGATTATTATTTTGGGATTGTCCATAGTAGCTTCACATGTTCTGCTACTCTGCTAGATATAGATTAATGGGAAGGGACAAAAATATGTGTTGTATTTTTGGGTTATATTGTGTATAAATTGTATAGTTCTATCAATGGATTGTGAGGAAGCCATGTTCACTTCACATTGTTGTTTACAAATATCACCTCTAACAATTTTAGAATTCTGGGCATTGCATTGATGTATGCTGATGATGTTTTTGAGAACTTGTGGTTTCAAATAAAAGTTAATTATGTAGGGGGTTGCTTGCGTAAAATTTACGTTTCATGACTTGTTAATTTCGCTACATGTTTAGCATGCTTGTGTTGGAATACCGACAACTGTTCTAACATCTTCCTTTTCATAATTCAACTAGGATGTAGATTACTCGGATGCAAGTCATATAGATCGCCGTGATCTAGCCTCTCATGATTCTAGTTTTGTGGAGAAAGCAGGCGATTATGGGAGGAGAGAAATTGAGGTGGAGCGAAGGCTAACCATAGTAGCCTCGGAGGTGATAGATAGCCACAATAGTAAGGCCGACATAGCTGTAAGTCCTGTGTTTGAATTATAACTATCTTGTAGAAGTTGATATTAAGAAAACTATGGTTTGTTCTGTTCTTTTGCAATCATTTTTCAGCATTCAGAGATATGGTTGAATCCTGACAATGAGAATTTCACTCAGTGTGATGATTGGCCGAAGGGTCACAAAAGTGAGTGTTCTTCCGACTGTTCTCTGTTACTGATTTATTAAGTTCTCCTTTTTCATCATGACAATTTGCCATTTTCAGAGCTGGATCCAAACACAAATGGCTACCTTCTCACAAATGCAAATGGTGGCTTAAATCAGATGAGATTTGGGGTCTGGTTGTCATAAACTTCAATAATAAATAGGCCATTACAAAATATGTTACATCGATTTCTCATGAATAAAATTTTAGAGTGCAGATATGTGATATGGTTGCTGTTGCTAAAATCATGAAGGCCACACTTGTTCTTCCCTCTCTTGATCACAGCTCCTATTGGGCTGACGACAGGTGATCTTTCCGAATCTTGATTGACATTTTTTATCAATAATATAGCATTAACAACCTTGTCACTAAAATTTGCATTCAGTTGATCTTATTATCTTACATTTTCGAGCTGTTTATAGCTGCTGTCAACAACTCAATATCATTTCATTCTAAATTTTCTGTAACATAATGTTCAGTGGTTTCAAAGATCTTTTCGACTGGCAATACTTCATTGAGGCACTGCGAGGAGATGTTCATATAGTTGACTCATTGCCACCCGAATACGCTGAAATTGAACCCTTCTCAAAGACGCCAATTTCTTGGTCCAAGGTATGAACCTTATCAGTCATTTCTATTCAATTCGAATTCTACTAGTCGCAGATTTTTTCCCTTACATCATCCTGCTTTCGAAGACCTGTAAGTCGAGTCTGAAACCAATTTGGTTGTATGGTCAATACACCCATTAAGCTTTACACGCACGAATCTTTCCTTTGGGTTAGGCTGGCTACTATAAGGCAGAGGTGCTTCCACTTCTGAAGCAGCATAAAGTAATTTACTTCACGCACACTGATTCACGGCTGGCCAACAATGGACTATCCACTTCAATACAGAAGTTAAGATGCCGCGTAAACTACAGAGCATTAAAGTATTCTGCACCCATTGAAGATCTCGGCAAAGTTTTGGTGTCTAGAATGCGAGAAGATGGCAGCCGTTACCTTGCACTGCATCTAAGGTTCAATATGGTTTTTACATAGCTCAAAGAAGTTTCAATGTTACATCGAGGGATAATTGCTAGTTTTTACTTATTCAAAATTCAATGGCATGTGACTTGATTCGGGGACTTTCTTTATTCTTTATTTCCATTCAGGTACGAGAAGGATATGCTCGCATTTACAGGTTGCAGCCATAATTTGACCAGTGAAGAAGATGAAGAGCTCCGCCAGATGAGATATGAGGTCAGCCATTGGAAGGAGAAAGAGATAGACGGTGATGAAAGAAGAAAGCTTGGCGGCTGCCCTTTGACTCCTCGGGAGACTGCCCTCTTGCTTAAAGGCCTCGGCTTCCCTTCCAGCACTAAAATTTACTTGGTCGCAGGCGAAGCTTACGGGAATGGGAGCATGCAATATCTTACCGATATTTTCCCACATATCGTTTCCCACTCAAAGCTGGCAACCGAGCAAGAGTTGAATCCATTTCAGAATCATCAGAATATGTTAGCTGGTCTGGATTATGTTGTAGCTCTCGAGAGCGATGTTTTCGTCTATACTTACGATGGCAACATGGCCAAGGCAGTGCAAGGTCACCGGCGCTTCGAGGGCTTTAAGAAAACCATCAATCCGGACAGGTAGATAGAATTAAAAGGAGCTAACATTTCCTACGACAATACACACATAAATTGCTATTCATTTTTCTCAGTAACATTTTTTTTTACACAGGATGAAGTTTGTGAAACTGGTTGATGATTTTGATGAGGGTAAAATCACTTGGAAGAAATTTAGCTCCAAAGTCAAGAAGCTTCACAAAGACCGAATAGGAGGGCCGTATTTGAGGGAGCCGGGCGAGTTTCCAAAACTGGAAGAGAGTTTTTACGCCAATCCTCTCCCCGGCTGTATTTGCCAGAAAACACCCGAAGATCACCGGTCCAGTTAGCTAAATTCTTGCTGTTTTCGCAGGGTTCTACTGTGAGAAAAGCCCTTAAGGACCTCTCACAAAAATCCAGTTCCACAATCAAGAGTTGCCAAGACTGAATGATTCGCCGGAGACATTTTCCGGTTGGCGGCTGCACAAAGCCAGCTCTAACCAGAAGGGGGAAACCCCCCCGGCAGTTCTATCGCAGAATTCGTGGAGTCTCGGTAGCTGCTGGCAAGACTGAGTTTTTGCGGATTTGTCAAGTGCAGTCATTTATGTGATGAACCAAAGTATACAGAGACATACATACATATATAAATTGCATTGAAGTTGATATATATACTTGATAGATTTTCCACTGATTTAGCTGTTCAAAAATTGTTCAATCCCCCAAATACCATTATGGTCATGTGTACTATACTACTGATTATATTGTATTTCTGGAGAAAAATAGTCTATAATGTGAGCATTTAATAAAACAGCTAATGAAGCTTTTTCACCTGCAAGATTCGCCATTCCTTCATCTTCTTGCTTACACAATACTGTTCACCAATGGGTGAGAAAAATAAACCATTAGAAGGACAGAAAGGTTAAATAAAATGAAGACTTCCCATTCATTTTAAAAGAGAATGAAAAGCCACATTTAAATAACTATATGAATTTGCATCTGACTTGTGATGACTGTAATAAGTTCCTTTTAACTGTGTATTAACTCTATGATGGCCTGCCTACCATGCCCCACCCCCCACTCTAAGGCTCTGCCTTCACAATGGCATCAACCATATCATGTAGAGGTGCAAGTTCTGCCTCTCCAACCAACCTAAATTCCTGCATTTTCAGATAACCAAGAACTCAGTTACAACCAAGAATAATATTCATTGTATGTATCTGTAATTTAGGAAAGAAAGCTTTACCCATATGAACAGAACAAAATGCTTGAAGCATGTGTGGAGATGGGCATCTACATGGAGCCTCTCAACGATGTTGAAATGCGAGTGATAGATGTGCGCGTAGATGCGAAAGAGCCTCTTCAGTATGGTCTTCACTAACACCTCAAAGTTCGGGGGGAATGGCACACCTGCGGAAACAAAATTAGCACATGAATTCAAAATAGGGAATGGAAAAGAACACAAAAAATTCACCATACTCACCCAAGTTTTTGGGAAAGATAGAGTCGTCCTTAAGCAGATCCTCAATCCAATCCAGTAGAAATTCAGCATATTCTGGAGCAGTGACTTCGATGGGTGCAGTTACGATGATCCCATCAGCCCATCTGTACTCGTACCTGCACATGATCCAGAAGAAGACAACCATCATTCCATAGAACACTACCCAACATGTGGCATGCATATCGATCATATTCTTGGTATATCTGATCAAAGAGAATAATGCAGACACGTGGAGATAGAGACGGGGCAAACAGGGGAAGATGTTATGAACTCAACACGTGGAGATAGAGACGGCGCAAAGAGGGGAAGATGTTTGAACTCAACACGTGGTGCAACCAGAACTGCCGTTAAAAGAATATGAGGTAGTAAAGAATTGGATTACATACTTTGGCCCTGCCGACATTATTGGACACGTCGAATGCGTGCAGAATTCAGTGAGAGCGCCGTAGAGAACATTCACATGATTGAAGAAGTCAACAGCTGCATCCATAATAAAAGGAAGTTATGATGAATCGATCACATCAAACCTCACATGATCATAAGCATCGTCATTTATTACATCATCGGCGTAAGCAAGACAATCTAATTAAATGACATCATTCTTTCCCGTAAAGGTAATAAAAGACAGGATCTAAAGAAAAGGTGTATAACGATCCAATCCGCCGATTGGAGGGCGATCCATCTCTTTTATAAAAGGATATTAGTGTGCATTGTTTTCGCAGTTTTGTCATATCGACGTGCAAACCAACACCCGAAACTATACACATATTATATAAAATGTTGAGCTAGACTTGAACTATCGAAAATCAAGCTCTTGGCATTTACGGCGAATCATGATCTTTAAATGAGGAAAATAGTTCAAACATTTACATTCTGCACTCCATATTGTGTTAATAACTAACTTAAAATTCTAGAAGCTAGATATATTAGCAATATAACATTAAACACCAGCTATTAATTGTGCTGTCGAATGCAGTAGGATCAACAATGAAATATATAGAGCAGGAATTCTCCAAGAAAAAGCTTACTATTGACAGCCAGCCATTCTCTGTAATCAATCCCTTGGGGAAGCTTCACCGCTTCCCTCAAGCTGCCACCACCCAGTGTGGCCTCAAACAGCTGCTTCAGCTCCGAAGCCTGCAACAATCAATAAAAGTTATTGCCTTATTTTCGATCTAAAAGAAATTGATGCAAGCATTTATCATGTGGATGAATTTGTCTATAGATCTCTTTGAATATGAAAAAAACTAATTCACAACATACAGTTCTGTCCATCAATGGCACTGCCGCTGCCCCTGCCCCTGCCCCTGCCCTGCTCACAGAAGGAGTCTCCTCTGGCTGGACTCCGGTCGTGCTGCAGCATTGTATCCAGCGTCACACTAATCAGCGATGCATTGGAATTCCTCACCGCCAAACATAATTCAAATTCAACTCACGCCAAAATTATACAATTTGGGTTAAATCAAACAATCGGACGCCCAAATCTACCCTACCGACAAAATCACCAACTGAAATTTCAGAACAGGTCTAGCACATAAATGCAAAATGCACAAACAAAAACAAATCACATTCCATCAAACACCGCAGGACGCAATTTACGTACGCACATACACACATATAAACTTGAATCGAAGTTCCCAACAAAATCACACACGGATAGATATGATTCCCGAACGATAAACCAACCTGTTTCCATCCTCCGAAGGGCACATGGTTCACAAGCAGCAATTCCTCCGAAAATCAAACAAGGATTATGCATGTTCCGTACCAGGGTCGCGCACATATATATATACAGGCACAAATGACAGAAACCGCGGGCGGACGTTGGTCGCAACTGTGGCCAGACTGGGGGCAGTGCGGAGTCGAGGATCTACCGCCCGCCCGCCAAGTTCTTCTTCCTCTTCTTCGTTCCTCTGCTTTTTGATGTCCACGTGTAAGTTCAAATCCCCCTTGTCTCTCTAACTTTCGCCACAAATATCATACAGACTACAGTCAAGATTCTAATTTAAAATTTATATATATATATATTTATTTACATATGTTATTTATTATCAAAATTATATTACTTAAAATATCTCTCCAAAAGTAAAATTACCAAATTTATTGAATTGTGATGGAGGCAATATTATATAGAAAATATAATAAAATCTCAACAATATTGTACAAATTGTTTTCAAGAAATACCGTTACAAGTTAATGATATTACCGATTATCATCAAACGTAATCACAACTAAGTTGTGCATTATGTACATCTGATTTAATCAAATCCAGTATTATAAGTTTTTTATTTGCTTTCGAGAAATGAAAGAAAGACGGAAAGGTCAATAAATTAATTAAACATTATCAGATATATATTAAAATTGTGCAGGATTTGTTACCTAAATTTAGTGAATGTATAGTAGTATTTAATAAATATGTGCATAAGGATGTTCAAGTGAAAATGGTATTTATGGTTTGTTGGTTGGAAATTTTGTCCCAAATTTATTACTATTTATTATTTTAAAAAAATAAACATCAAATAAGTACATTTTATTTTTTTTATATTTTTCTTTCTCTTTCTCTATCTCTATTAGTAAATTTTTAAATTGATTCGAATTCAAATAAATTAATATTTTATAAATATATAGTATAAAAAAATAATACGAAAAGAAAAGGGGGTGAAAGAAAGGGCCTTGAATTCATTGATATAGGCCATGTTTCAATAAATGAGGCCCATTTAGCCCCAAAATAGAAGTGAACCAAATATTGGAATTGGCATGCGTTCATTTTCGAAGCAGATAAGGTTGTCGTGTTTGTTCTCATTGTGTGCCGACCAACTTCAATTCTTCAAATTGAATTTAACTAAATCGTGAAAGTGGAGACAGACAAAATTGAATTTAAGTCAAACAATTATTACACGCAATCCAACGTAAGGAACCATACTGACACTACTCGTCGTCGATGAAACTGGAAATTAAATCAAAACTCAACAAGAAGAAGAAGAACAGGAAGATGTCGAAAACATGCAGGAAGACCTAAGAATGCAGTAAAAATCAATAATGCATGCCAGAACAAGAAACCCTAATTCAATTACTAGCTAGAGCTAGACACCCAATTCTTCATCAGTTAATTGGTCCCGCCAAGAACTCCCTTGAGCTTCTTGATCTGCGCCACGTCGAGGAAGGTGACCTTCGCCACCAGATCCGTCGGAAAATCGTTGGCGAACAGCGCGAAATCCGTTATCTGCAGGCCGGGGCTGGGGCTGCTGAAGCTCACAAACGCCAGCGCCGGCCCCCCGCCGGAGTTTATCTGAAAATGGAGGAGCCCCTGCGGGAACACCATGGCGTCGCCCTTGTTCAGCGTCGCCACGTACACCTTGTTCGAGAACGAGGTTATGAATCCTGCGCAGATGGTTCCCTGGACCACCACCAGGGCCTCCGACCCCCCCGGGTGGGTGTGGAGGGGGATGACGCCGCCGACCGCCAGGTCCAGCCGCGCCAGGGAAAGTCCCAGCCCGTTGACGCCGGGGAACTGGGCAGAGAGGGCCGGCGTCACGGCGGCCTTGATGAGATTTGAGGTGTTCCCGGCGGCGGCCAGGCCGTGGTAGACGAAGTCGTTGACGGTGACGGTGGCGGGCTTCTTGCAGGCGTAGCCGGCCGGGGAGGCCGGGAGGCTCAGGTCTCCGACGCAGAAGTCGTCGGCGGCGGCGGCGGTGAATAGGGCGGCGATGAGGAGGATGTACGGAAGGGACATTGTGGAATAATATTACAATGTTGGTATAGTGAAGTGTGGTTTGAATTTTGGGATTGTGCAATTCTTGATAGGGTTTTGGGGGTCAATTTATACGAGATTTGTGGTAAGATATTTGTGGCATGCAGTGAATGAGTGTGCATTGGAGATTATTACACTGTCCAATCAGGCCAAATGATATTATGGACAGAACAGAATAGAAGAATAGCCATCATCATCTTTATGGGCGGCCTGGAAATTGTTGGAACGTAACATATATAAAAACAATGCATGTGAATGAATTCACCTTTTTGGCAAGACCAAACAACAAAACTCTTTTGGAGCCCAACGAAAATTACGTACGTACACGCACCATGTGAATCACCATCGTATTCATACCTTAAAAATATCGATTTTTTTTTATCATTTTTCTTTTTAATTTATAGCACATTCCGGCAAAAAAAAAAAAATTCAAAAAAAATCAACAAAACTATATAAAATTCAAAAAATTTTATTATAAAAAAATAAAACTTAAAGGCTAGAAATATAAATTAACAAACAAATAAAATTTTTATAATTTTTTATATTATTAAATAAAAAATAGAATAAGCAAAATACTAAAAAAATATATATTTTTATTATTTTTTACACTAAAAAATAGATATATTTTGAGGACCGGCGTCTGATGGCCAATGGCCAATGTAGATCCGAGAGGACCTAGACATTATTCTTCCATCCCTCTGCTCTGCAAGTCATCTTGTCTTTTACCATCTCTGTCTTTTAGGCTTTCCCTATCCTCCACGGCACCTCACATTAACATATAAATACATACATATATATGTTATAAATAGGTCAAAAAAGTAGATTCAGATCTTCCTTTCAACATATACATTAACTTATTTGTTCATTCCATGCATGCAATTCAACGTACGTACATCTTGCTTATACAAGGATTACTAGCTCATACAACATAGTATGTATATATAGGAACACTGAAATGTATATATGGCTGCAGCATCAATCACTTATAGTAAACAACACAATTTTTTCCATTTTTCGACTAGAGCCGAGACACGGGTGCAGAGTTCTTGTCGTCATCTTTCAGGAACGGATAGTCGGTATATCCTACGACAGGGTCGTGCGTATAAAACGTCGCCCTGACATACTTATTCAGCGGGCGGTTTAGCTTCAGCCTCACCGGTAAATCGGGATTCGATATAAAGAGCCGGCCATAGGCAACCAGATCAGCCTCGCCATTGGCCACAGCCTCGATCCCGTTCTCCCTCTTGAATCCGCCGCTGCAGATGAAGGTCCCCTGATATGCCCTGCGCCATGCTTTCATGTACTGCGCCTCCTCCTCCGCGCTCCCGGTCTGGCCGGATTCCGTCTGGCCGTAGGCGGTGTACCGTGGCTGAGTCATGTGCAGGTAGGTGAGCTTGCAGCCGCAATCGGTCTGGAGCTTGTTGAGTCTCTGAATCACGGCTAGGCCGAGGCTGAGTGGATCCGTGTCCAATGCGTTGAGATGATCGATTGCAGGGGAGATCCTCACGCCGACTCGGTCGGCGCCGACTGCAGCGACAACGGCTCTGACGACATCCATTATGAATTTGCAGCGGTTGCCTAGAGAGCCTCCGTACTCCCCTGTCATTGCGTTGATCCCATCCTTGAGGAATTGATCGATTAAGTAACCGTGAGCTCCGTGGATCTCAACACCATCGAATCCTAAATTCAAATTTCAATTAATATTCTCAGTCAGCATATTCGTATTGAGCGGAGGTAACTTAGCGAATTGAAGAGCAGCTGACCTGCTTCAATGGCGTTTGCGGCAGCCTGGCGATAGTCTTCTACCAGTTGAGGGATTTCGTCGGTCTCCAATTTGCGTGGCTGCGGATAAACTCCGTAGATTCCGTTGGGCAGGAGCACTCTCCATCTCTTGGATATCGGCTTGTCCGTGCAGGAGAAGGGTGCGATTCCTCTGGGCTGAAGTGCTGCGGAATGAACCAGGGTTCATATTAGGTCAGAGCTGCCATGACGATTGATCACAGCCGTCGGATTCAGTACCTGGATGAGATGCCCGTCCCACGTGCCAAAGCTGACAGAAAATGACAGAACCCTTTGCGTGGACGGCGTCCACTACTTTCTTCCAGGCCTCCACTTGCTCCCTGTTGAAAATCCCCGGCACGTGCGGGAACCTGTTAATTAATTAATTAATGGAGATTAGGCCCCACCAACAACCAATAATTAACTACGCAGGCCATTGGATTTGAAGTTACGAAATTACCCCGCCCCCGTTGGGGAGATTATGGTGCCCTCGGTGATGAGAAACCCGCCGTCGGTGGCTCTCTGGGTGTAGTGCTCCACGAGGGCAGAATTGGGAATGCCGTTAAGCGCTCTGCATCTGGTCATCGGCGCCAGCACAACCCTAAATTTCAAAACCCTAACACGATTCAGAGGACGAAGAAGAAGATAATCAAATCAAATCGAAGAAATTAAAGCAAAATCAAAGCAGAGCAGATTGACCTGTGAGAGAGATTGAACTTTCCCATCTTGTAAGGAGAGAAGAGAGAAGGGGTCGATCCATCTTCAGCCATATGGAGATCTGCAGTGTGGATTAAATGGTAGATAGATCGATAGATATATGGAGTGTATATATATTTGAAGTTGAAGGGATCAAAGTTTCAAATCCTCAAGGCCAGTACTGCCATTGAAGTGATGGAGGAACTAAAGAGGCACCTTCGTCGATGTATTTGCTCACGCTGTTCATATGACTAATAAATAATAAACAATTATTAAAACTACTCCGACATAGTGGAAGAAAATCGTCGTCGCTATCCGCCCTGGAATTCCATTTCTCGTACCCTACAATTGACTCCATGGACCATGGATATTTAGTCGATACTACTGTGCTGAGCTGGAGGCCATGGACCACAACTCCACATTCCCATACACGACGAAAGGCCGGTGCCGGCCCTCTATTTTGGGCCTTCCTGGACCATGGCCCAACTACTAAAAAAGCCCAACAAATGATCAGTATTAGTCCAAAGAAGAAAGGTCACGTGGCAAAGCTAATAGCCACATGATGATGGCCATGGGCGATGGGGACTCCATAGTCGTCTATATGCACATATATTGTGATCATTATTATTGTTAATTTTTTTTTAATTATAATAATAGTAATGATGATCATACTTGACAAAATAATTGAGATTAACCAGGTTTTGTTCAGCTTTATTAAGACAAGGCATGGCGTGCGTGGTCCCTTGCGCTGTCTGCATCGAACAATCCAATCCAATCCAATCCAATCCATCATGGCTTATTACAACTTAGTAAATTATAATAATTGATTTAATTTGTTACACTACATGGGATTTTATTTTTATTGTACGAGCTGAGGTGAGGATCATGATTTGTGCCACGGCCTCAGAGAAAAAGTATTGGAACTTTTCATGGGATGCACATGTTGGTGTGGTAACTTAATTTATTTATTAATTTAATTTGTTGATATATCAAACCCTTCATCAAAGGGCAGGGCAGGGCAGGGCACTCGGAGACCATCGATGAGCTGTTATTATTATATTGCACAGATGTCGTGTTTTGGGATACCTTAATTAGACAGTAACTAAAAAAGTAAGTATGTGTTGATTATGATTCAAATATTTTCACATGCATTAATATACTGTCAACGCGGCTGCGCCGGACACGTGATCGTGTCTGACGTGGACGGACGGTCCCGAGATTTTTATTTATTTATTTTTTTAATAAAAACTACTTTTGACCGGATGGTCAAACAAACACGACATTACATCCCACGTTGGCTTCACAATATATATATGAAACGGTTATAGTTATGAATTTAAACATTATGATATTACTGTAAGAAATATTCTTATAGAACACATCGCACATATTCTTATTTCATACCGTATATACTATCTGCATTTTTTATCTGTATTGTTTGAAAAAATCAATATAATGTTGATTTCTTCAAATAGTAACTTAAGCAATATATATATATTCATCTGTAATGTTTGCTATTCTCTCCGTCCTATATGATTTGTTCATATTTTATATTTTCGTCTGTCCCACGTAATTTTTTATTTTATTTTTTGGAAAATTAATTATACACTTTAATCATATTTTAAAATTTAAAATTTATTTTTTTTAATCTTAATTAAACTATTTAGTTATTTTAATCTTAAACTATAATTATTTTTACTAAATAATAATTATTTATACTAATACATTTCTTAATTATTTACTAATTATTCTTTATCTAAATTCTCGTCACTACAGTAATACACTCATATTACATGGGACGGAATGAGTAATATCAGGGTGTGTTTGTTTGGGGGTTTGGATTATGAGTTGGAATTTGAACAGTAAAAATTAATTTTGAATTTGAATAGTTGTATGATGTGATATAAATGAATTTTGAATTTGAATAGTTGTATGATGTGATATAAATGAATTTTGATATGATGTTATGAATGTAAAATTGATTTTTAGTATAATATAAAAAATAAAAAATAGGTATTTGATGTGATTTTTTTGGGAGAAAAAATGAGATGAACAGTGAATTGGAAATCCAATCCCCTGACAAACACACCCTTAATGGCAAACAATTTAAAATTAGTTAAAGGTTCGGCACACCCATAAATTTCGAAACAGATATCGACAAATTAATATTAATAAAAATAAGTTCTGAAATATATCATACTTTTAAATAGTAAATATCTAAAATTGAATTAATACTTAAGTTGATATTTTAAATAATTTTTTTAATATAATAATAATTTTGAACATTTTAGAAAGAAAAACATGATAAATTTTGCAATATTAAATCCAACCTTTAAAGAAATAAGTATAAATAAAGTAAATTAAATAGGATTAGGCGAAGGGCATGTTTGGCGGACCAATCGCTAACTATACATGGGCTACGGAGGCTGGTTGGTAGAATTTGGCAAAAGTGGTTACTATTAATGTAAAACAAACAGCGCGTAAGTAGGGCATGCTTACAAGCAAACTACCGAAACACTCTTTCATATCTTAATTGTGAGACATTTAAAAAAAAAATAAAAAAATCAATTGATACAGAAGTAAGTATTATGTGCAAATACCATGCAACTAGAAAGAAATACTCCCTCCTTCTAGAACTATTTTATGAGTTGGGTTTGACAAAGAATTTAAAAAATATTGATATTATATTGACAGTGAATAAAAAGTAGAGTTGTTAAACGAATTGAGCCGTTCGTGAACTCGGCTCAATTAAAGCTTGTTTGCGAACGTTAACGAGCCGAGCCGAACAACATAAACAGGCTCGTTTGGTTAAGGAACGAGCTCGAGCTTTGTTCGCGAATGTTCGTTTAAATAATATATTTATAATAAATATTATATATACATATAATATTATAATTTATAAATAAATAAAATATTAATTTAAGATATATAACTAAAATTATTTTTATTTTTTTATAATTTATATATAAATTTAAAAAAATAAGACAAACGAGCTCGAACGAGCTTAATCGAGTCTAAACGAGCCGAACACGAACACGAGCTCAAACAACAAAAATTCTTAACGAGCCCGAGCCTTGTTCGCGAACGTTAACGAACACTTAAAAATTGGCTCGACTTGGCTCGGCTTGGATCGTTAACAGCTCTAATAAAAAGTACGAGTAAAAGACTTTTTTGCTCTTGTGAGTGTATTAGTGTGAAAAATAGTTGCAATAATTTTACAATGATTTTATGGAAACAAGACTGTTACTTTAAGACAAACAAAAATAATATATATGAGTAGTATATATGAATGCATGATAATGAGTTTGCACACTTGGATGACAAGTGACAATAAAGAAACAATATCTCATATAATTTATACATGTAATCAAACTTGTCTTTCGTCTCGGTACAAGATTGCCTTGCCGTCTACTTTTTAAATTACTTAATTATTTTTATTAAGATAAATATTAACTTATTATTTTAATTATTTTTATTAAGATAAATTTTTTAACTATTGACTTATTATACTTTTATCTACTGTATATATAAAAAACCAAACAAGTTAATCGAGTACTTTGAGAAAGAATAAAATTCATGTGTCCAAGAATTAGAAAAAGGAAGGATGCGAATAAAAATCAATACATAATAAAATTTAAAATTTTATATTTAATATTTAATTTAGTTTTGAAATCAAGAGTGGATACTTATCACTAAAAAAGAATTAATAGATATTAAATTTTTAAGTATATCAAGAAATAAATATTATATTTTAAATCTCAAAAAGTAAATAAATAAATAAATAAAACAGATTACGGCTGAAATAAAAAAATAAAAATAGAATAGAAACCAACTATTAACAAACATATATATATGTAGTGTAAAGTAAGAATACGTGGTATGAAGTGATGCATTTGGATGCAAGCTACAAAGGAATGATCAATGACATAAGCAATGCCTTATAATTGAAAGAAACAACAATATCAGCGAACGAATGTTCTGGGGAGAGAACCAAATTGAACCCTCCTACAAAACAATATCAACACATATTTTCTTTTTTTTTTGGATCCGGAAGGGATGGCTTGGCGTGGGAGTTAGACCTGTGACCTTAAGGTTATAAGTTTCATGGTTCGCCCAGTGTGACTTGCTTGTTGAGCCTAGTTTGCAGGATATTATGTCCGACCGGGGTTTATCCAGTGCGCACTTTCGAGTAGCGGCTGCGGATTCCCACGTCATAAAAAAAAATGGTCATTTTTCGTTTTTTTCGTCCAGAAATAAAATTATTATTTAATATATTAAATATAGATTTTTATTATTTGAACTTTGCGTTTTTATACAAATTATTTTATCATATATTATTTTAATACTAAATTGAAACCAATTTTTTTTCAAATTCATCCAAACAAACACACTCTAGATTACTAAATTAATTTACACACTCTAGATTACTAAATTAATTTTCTAAGGCATGAGACATGATATGCCTTCGAAGGGCAACTGTGGAAAACCATGATGTGCGCCTTGCTTGTCTTGCACTATTTGCCATGCACAAAGTTATCAAGCCGTGAAAAGCAACCTGACCAATTTCAAGTTCCAACCAAACACGCCCTTACCTCCTCATTGCCCCTCATTTTGGACTTTTTATTTTTTTTTCCCTGTTAATATTAAATGATAAGAGTATAATATTATTTTTGGTAATTTCCAGAAAAAATCACAATAATAATAATAATAATTAATCAACCTTGGATATGTTCAATGCATATTTGATATTTGGTTCCTTTTGTTGCGGTGGTTCTCACTTCCTTTCTCCTCTTCGACTCGTTTCTTCGAAGCAAACGGCGACGAACGCTCCTTTCTCTCGTCTTCTCTACCCCATCCTCGTCGTGGCCTCCTGAACTACCTCTGCTCTATCCTTTTCACCGCAGTTGGGTCTCTCTCGTGCCGTCTCCACAGGAACTTTATTTATCTATTGGAATCTTTGCGCTGAAAATCGTTCGTTTCCCCGAAAAAGATTTAGCGTCTACCGTAAAGGTGAAATTTTTGACTCCTTCTCTCCACAATCTTGTTCTATGATGTTATTTTATTGCTTCTGTTTCGATCTGTACTCAATTCATGCTTGTGGCCGGCCTTGATTTGGGGATGTAATTCTAATCTGGATGCTCGAGCTTAAATCGCGTGGAATTTGGACATAATTTGGAGAGTCTGAGGTTGGGAAGTTTTAGTATAGTTAGTTAATTTAGGAATTATTTTCACTACTTACTGGAAGGAAATCTTTCAGAGGTCAGAATCTCTTTGTTTGTATATAGATGGTATCGGTACTTATAAGTGAATTTTGCTCGCAGTAGGTTGGGTTCACAGTAATTCTTTGTGGTACGAGGCTGATGTATGAACTTTCGTACCTAATACCTGTCTGGAATCTTTTTTCTTTTTTAGTTCTGAACTTTTAGCATATTTTCAATGGTTATAAGGACTGGTAGTACATATTGGAAAGGTGGAATTAGTAGACTCCAATAACAGGACGTGAAGTTCGTCATATAAATATTACATAGTGCCAAAAAAGTATTCATATATGCTCGGTGTCGCAAAGTGATAGTTAAGTGCCTACCATCACTTTTTCTTATTATTATCCACTTACAAACCACTGGGCTAAAGTATGTAAAGAATGATAAAGGAGAGAAAGAAATAAATACAAGTATCCATTTTTCTTATCTAATGTTTGTTCAGGAAGCAATTATAGTGTCGCACAATAAAAGTTAGTTGCTTTCATATAATTGTTATCTTTGTTGATGCTGAAGATGTTTGCAGGGGAGAGAGAGTTCAGAAGATGGACAAAGATGAAGGAACTGGTAGCCCTAGTTGGAGTGCCTCGTTATTTATGCAAAGAACAGAAGATGTTGCTAAGGCTGTTGCTGCAGCTGCAGCTGCTGTTAGTTCACCCCGACCTTCTGTGGTATATTCATCTAAAGATGAAAGGGGTAGTCCGCTGCAAAAATTTCAATCCCATGTCTCAAGAATAATGAAAAGCTTCTCTAGTTCGTCTGAAGTAAAAAGCGGATCTTACAACCCTGAAATTCTAACTAGTCAAAAACGTCAATGGGCTAACTTTCAATTGCAGTTACTGGTAGGCTCTGTTCTTAATGATTACATATTTTGCTTGGTTGCAGACTGCTGTTTGAAGAGTGTTGCGTTCTTGGTTGTCAAAATTACAGTTCTGCTGAAATGTTTTTTCCTTGAGTATTGGAATGTTTGAGCTTATTCTGTTGGACAAGTATGACTTCTTTTAGTGGCTTTCATCTCTGCTCTATAAATCTTTGCATATAGTCTGAAAACTTCCATCTTTTTTGTACTCTAATTCTTCTGCCTATAACTCTGAAAGATATAAGATTCCATGGCTAGAAAGGCTTGTCTCAAAATTCAGAACGAATACTATGTTTGCAAACAAAAATTTGACTGTGTACTATTAGTGTATTGTCATCTAATGGAAGTCTTGCAGGATCACAGGGTTTGGAAGGAGCCTTCAAAGCTTTTTGAAAGTATGGTGGTTGTGGGACTTCCTCCTAGTTCTGATGTTCGAGCACTTGAAAATCTGTACTTCTCCAGGAAGGTTGAAGGCTCAGGTAGATTTCGAACTGCAATTAGTGGTCAGCACCAGTCTCGAATAGAGCCTAACCTTGAGCCTCAGGTTCTGATCTGTTTGTATTTGCCACCCTTGATTTTGTACCGGTAGGTGATGACTAATAAATTATCTTTGCTTTAATGCAAACTTTATATGCTATGAATTCAGGTCCTGTTTGTTTACCCACCGGAAAAACAGCTGCCTCTTAAGTGCAAGGATCTCCTTTCCTTTTGTTTTCCAGCAGGTATAGAGGTAGGATGAAGAGATATTTATTTTTTTTGCTTATTGTCTTTTGTTTCCCAGTCCCTTTAGCTGCGACTATGTTTGAAAATCTTATGGATGGTTGATGGATTAGTTTACATTGTGGACATATGAATTTAATATGCTTAAAGATAGTACTTACCAATTAGCTCTTGCCTTTAACTGCATCAGAACTTGTTTTAACAGAACGAGAGTTCAATCTGTTCCAGCATATAAGAATGTCCAGAAGTTCCCCCCCCCCCCCCCCCCCCCACCCCTCCCCAATCTTGGTCAATATTCTTGGGAAATTGTGGAAAAAGAGAACTATATTTAGGCAACTAATGTTCTGAAGTGGTTGATCAAAGTTGTAATACGATGATATATGCTGTTTATTTCCTGATTATACTAACTCTAAATGACCCATGTACAGGTGAATGCTGTTGAGAGAACTCCATCAATGAGTGAGTTGAATGAGATACTCCTTGGACAGGTATTTGGAGGGACTTAATTGTGCTTTAAGTTATGATTAGTTAGATTTAAAACAGGTCAAGAAAAATGTTATCTGCTCTTCCAATAATTTTATTATTGTAAAAGTGATTTCGGACTTGAGCTGAACTGGTGAATTTTCTATCTTGTGATTGTATCTCCATTCATCATTGTGCCTGTGCAAAGCTGGTACTTTGTAAATTCTCCTAACAGTTTACTGTTCATTTCCCTTCTGGTTTTGCATTTTTTTATCATCTTCCATCCTTTTGTTTTAAATTTAGAACATTTGCTGCTTTTAGAGATTGTTCTGTAAGCCTTGAATGAGCAATGAAAGTCTGGGTAGAGCCTTAATTACTACCCTGCCAACTCCCACCCACTCATGTAATATGAAGCATAACTCTGGCTTCTTCTTGATTTCTTAATATCATTACCACTAAAACCCTTCTAGTGCTGAGTTCTCGTGTTGGCATTCACATGTATAAGTTCTTCTGCTTTGTATACTGGATGCTGAATGATTTTATTCTACACAGGAACACCTCAAACAGAGTGATTTATCCTTTGTCTTTCGGCTGCAGGTATGGTGGCTACTCGTATATTTTGTTTTTATTCAAGTTTGATATATGGTTACATCCTCAAAAACTTCTTGAGAACCTTATTTACCTTTTTGGCTTCTTAATCATAAATTATGGGTCTAACTTGAAAAGTGAACAAAACACCATCATATATGCTGATCTCAATTACAATTGTCCGGTTGGATAGATAATCATATTTAGCTTGGATCCTATAACCATCATTATCATATCATTTTCTAGATATACTTATGATACTACACCTGAAGTTGAAGCAGAATACAAGGGTACTCTTCAATTTATAATACTGTTCACTTGAGTGCATGATGGTGCAGTTGTAAGTGTTTACGAAAAAATTGATTAAAGGAACAAGGTAATCCACATAACATGTTTTCATATAGAATAAAAAGCATTTCAAATGTGACTAGTGGTGCAGTCAAGTCAAACAAAGGAAGATCCAATCATGAGGGAAAAATCTGAGGAATTTGCACCTACATTCTATGCGTTGAACAAATAAATTTGATGCAGTTTTCACAATTACTACTATGACTAACATGCTAAAAAAATTGAAATCTCATAATTAGTTGAGATCACAGTTTTACAAAACTAATAAAGCCTGCAAAATAAAAATTGTAATCTAGGTGGAAAATTATGAATTTTGTATGAAAATGCAACAAACAACATTTCGTAACAGTTCAATTGATTTGAGAGTTCATTATGTTGCTCTTTATTTTGAATCTATTTATATTTTTCTGCTTGAAATTAATATTTTTAGTTGTATTTATGAAAATTTATCCCTGTCATTATAATTTCAATCTCTCATTATTATTTTATGCTATGAATATTGACTTTGTATTTTAAATCTAGGTAGCTGATGCGTCCACTCTTTATGGTTGTTGTGTTTTGGTTGAGGAAATGATACAAAAGCCATCCGGATTAATTTCGACAATTTCAGATGGCCAAACTCCTTGTGGCTTAAGTCGCCATATTTTAACTACGCGCCGTTGCTATTGCATTCTCACCCGGCTTCCATTTTTTGAGCTGCATTTTGCTGTGTTGAGTAGGTCTGTAAATTCTGTTTATAAACATTATCTTCAATTCTTTCCTGTTGATATATGCTACTATTATTCAGAAGGTATTGGCTAGGCTGCTGTATTTGCTCACTTGGGATTCTTGTATCCTTGATGAAGCAAGATAGCATAGGAAGATGCATTGCTAATTTAATTGAATCCTGCTGGAATATCCTAAAAGATCTTTGAAAGATAATTCTCAAGTTTTTCTCAATGGGACACTTTTATATTGCAATGGGTTCCTCGTCTGGAAATATACTTGAATGCCTGATTTTGTTGGCCTTCTTTCTATTTCTAGTTTATGCTATCTTGACTGAAGAAATGCATTTGATTATTTGAATATGAAGGCTTTCCTAGAGTTCGTCAGTTTAGATCTCTGTAACTGGTTGCATGGTACACTACGAAACACCCCCACCCCCACCCCCACCCCCAAGAACATACAGACATACATACACATTTTGTTTTCATTACTGCCAACAGAGAAATGCTGACTGAATGATACTTTCCTCCTCCCCATGCTCACAGTTGTGTTGGTTTCACCTTTTGTTTTACCCTGCAGTATCTTTGCAGAAGAAAGGTTTGAGCGATTAATAAAGCAAGTAAATAATTTGGAATTTGAGTCACCTATGGGCTTTGATGTGGAAACATTAGAAGATAATGATGGTGATTTACCCTCTGGGGATGGGGGAGTTAGCATGGAGAATAAATCAGTTGAAGTTTTTCAATCTATCCCCGAAAATGGAAGCACCACTCATGATATATTTCAGTTGGAGGGTCCTGGTTTTAATCAAGTTAGGCACTTGAATGAAAAACATGATACTACTGTTCCCGACCTCAAACCTGAGGTAGAGAAGCCATCTTCTTGGGAAGAACCTGCAGTTGATTCTTCTCCTAGTGGTAGTTTTATCAACAAACAACGATCAGAGAGGCAAATTTCACAACATACAGTTCTGGCAGGACTACAGTGTGAGCAATGCGAAAGCTCTGAGACTTCCTCCAGGTAGATCATCATTATAAATTGGGCTCAGTTTTTCTTTTGTTCTTGCTGTGGAAATCTGCATCTGTGGCCTAGGTCTGTCTGAGGATGTTATACATTAACCATTACACCAATATTAACAAATTTTCGAATTTTCACAACCTAATAACATTTACACAATGATGAACACAAATCTGACAATTTATTTTATACCATTCTGAAAGCCTGGAAGTGTTCTTATGTCAAATCCATGTCGAGTTTTTAATAATCATGAGATCAACTAATACTTATGGAGATGCATTTGGAAGTAATATGCAGTCTGCATCAATAGGTTGCAGGTAACTCATAGGAGAAAAACACTTCTGATTCCTATTGGGCCTGGACATGGAAGTCCTTGTACTTCCTTAAGATTCTAAGCATTGTATACTACATGGGAAAACCATCACATGAACAAATAATTTTATTCATTCAGTTATTTTATTTCTCGTGATCTATTTTTTCAGCTATCAAGGTTCTTCAAGTGAAGACAGGCTTTTCGGAAGCAATCTTGAAGATGCTGAAACAGAAGAGGCATCACCATCTGGTCAAGATAACTTCAGGGAACAAAGCGATATTTTGGAGTGGGCAAAGGTTCTTATAATAGATTCCTTTTTTTCTTTTTTTTTTTTATCCAATAATCCTTGCTGCATGGTTGATAACCCTTCTGAAGCAATACTTTCTTTGCCACCCACTTTTATGTAGGCAAACAAACATGGATCCTTGCAAATAATTTGTGAATACTATAAATTATCTTGTCCACCACGTGGTTCGTCAATCAAGTTCCAGCCTTTAGATCATCTACATACACTGGAATACCATAGGCCTGATGAAACTGTTCTACGCATGGCTGGCTCAACCATTGACTTGAGATCCTGCAACACAAGTTTGGAACTAGCAGAGGTATGCACTTTCCTATACCTCCAGTGAATGAGTTGGGTGTTTTCTTGTGAATTTTGTTGAAACCATTGTAGTATGAGTTAGAGAATGTATATGTTTGCTGTAGTTGTCACTGGTAAATGTTCCATTTCATTTGGATTTAAATTTTTTTTTTTTTTTCCCAACATTATCAGGCACTGAATGCACTCATGGTGGAAGAGGAGGCTGCTGCATTATCAGTATGGTCCATTGCTTGCTTGTGTGGGTCCCTTCGATTGGAGCATGTAAGTTCATCACCTATCAAATTCGACTTTTCACCATTAGAATCAATATATTTGATTTCAGTTGCCCTGTAGCATTAGCATAATCCTGTCTTTGCAGGTGTTGACGTTATTTGCTGGAGCTCTACTGGAGAAACAAATCATGATTGTTTGTTCAAATTTGGTATGTTTGAATTGTTCACTTTGTTAGCATGAGTTATTAAGACTATAGTTGTTTGGCATGCCTTCAATCTGGATGTTCATTGGTATTCTACCAGTATTGTCCTGTGAATTTTGATTTTTTGGCTCTAATGTATAATAGATATAGATCAACTTTCACATTCTCCTTAGCTGTAAATGAGGATTTTTTACATTCACCTTAGCTTTATCTGCTTATTTTAGCTTTTACGTGTGTGGCTTTGTGCATCATCATCCATTGAATACTGGAGAGGAAGCTAATTCTTAATACAAATTTGTGTTTGTTGGTTTCTTGGTACAGGGCACTTTGTCAGCCTTAGTTTTATCAGTTATCCCCCTGATCCGACCTTATCAGTGGCAGAGCTTGCTAATGCCAGTAAGTTTTCCATAGTATTATATTACCCCGTTATTTTAAAGAGGAAATGTGATGCATCCATTTTTTCAGTTTGTTATGATATTTTTTACCTGAATCCATTATCAGGTTTTGCCCAATGACATGCTGGACTTTCTAGATGCACCTGTTCCTTACATAGTAAGTTTGTCATGTATCTGGTTTCTGCATTGTATATTTCTTTTGACATCATAGATTGTTTTGATTCTAAATATGTTAAATTTTCATTTTGGATTATTCAAGTGTTTTGAGATGATTCATAATTGACAGGTTATATTTTCTTGTATGCATATTCATTGTCCGTCATGTTGAATGGCATGTGTTTGTTTGAAGCACAATATATGCTAATTAAGGTTCTAACAAAAAGTCAAATTTGAAATGTCTGGAATCTGGATATTATTAGACCTGACTGACCTTAGTAACCACTTGCTTCTACTTGGCGTGATGGAGTAAGCTTAATACGACATATTTTTGTCTCTGGAGCTGGGTGATAGTGCAGACTTGTAGTTACACCCTGTAAATCTATTTACGTAGCAGGTTCCTTGTGTTTTAATTACAAATGCACTTCTTTTTGAGCAGGTTGGAGTAAAAAACAAGACAGCTGAAGTGCAATCAAAATTAACAAATGTTATTCTAGTGGACGCGAACAGAAACCAGGTAAAAGTAGTGTTACTTTGAAGAGATGAGATGTAATCAAGCTTTATAGCTCATGTTCACAATTTCTTGAATTTTTTATAGAATTAAAAATGTATAATACTCAAGACACTTAATTGCCATTCATTCCTCGACACCCTGCAGAGGCCATGTTTTAACCTTGTCTATTTAATTGCGTGTGGATGTTTATTTATCATCATAGATTCCTCAGCCTGACACAGTTTGTTTTTGGTATTGTCAATAGGTGAAATCACCATCTATACCACAGCTTCCACAATATAGGGAGCTATACTCATCTCTTAGCCCTTACCATGCGAAGCTGGTGGGAGAAAGTTTTTTAGGCAAGAAAAGACCTGTTTATGAATGTACTGATGTCCAGGTAGCACCTTCATTGCTTGTTGGTTTCTATCATTCAATGTCATAGATTAAATGCTTGATTTTATTATATCCAAGAAAACCTAATCTATCTGCTATGGCAACACTTAAGTTATGATACATTCACCATCTTTGATTTTATGGACATCTGCTGATCTTCATAAGTAGTATAATTTAACTATCAATTTTTGTTATAATACAGATTTCACCTGGTGCTTCATGTCATATTTGCACATTTTTGACTTTTCACGATTGTAGGTTGAAGCTGCCAAAGGTTTTCTAGAAGTCCTGCGGTCTTACTTGGATTCCCTATGCTCTAACCTTCGTTCTCACACTATTACAAATGTCCAATCAAATGATGATAAGGTCCGTGTTAGTTCAAGGATCCACATAAATTTTATTTACGTGCACATATTTGTCTGAGCATTAAACATTTTGATCCTTCATGCTTTGTCATTGTGTACTTCCGCTACACGTGAAATTTATTACAAACAGACAAAACTTCATTCTTCGCTTGAATATTATTAATTTTAGTGGTTGAATGCTCAACAAGAATGTTAAAAGTTGTTCACATAATAGTCCTGTGTGCTTTAATTTTCGGAAGCTCCGAAACTCTGTGCATCGAGGCAGAATTTAAGCAGGTTTCACTATTTTTGGTATATTTCACTCATGCTCATTCACTATTCTGTGTTCAATGATAGACTAAACATTCAATTAATAATTATAAATATAAAAAAGAAAAGAAAAAGGTAGTTCTTGAACTGAATCCGGAATCTCATACGAATATTTCAACTCTAGTGAGTTCTTATATCCAAGGCAATGTAATTTCATATTCTCAAAATGTCATGATGCTACTCGTTAACATATCTGTGGATCAACAGGTATCATTGCTGTTAAAAGAGAGTTTCATCGAATCATTCCCCAGCCGCAACCAGCCATTTATGAAGGTGCATATATAACCAGTAATTTTCCTAAATGCTGCATACTTTCAAACATTTTTACTAATACACAATTCATCCCTACAGCTTTTTGTGGACACACAGCTCTTCTCTGTACATACGGATTTCGTCCTCTCTTTCTTCCAGAAGGAATAGCCATCCAAATCTCCCCGAAAATAATCTTCACCGGAATGCAGGTACTTCACCCTCGCCTATCAGTCGAAACCCTATATTATTCTGGCTTGCTTATCTCAATACAATGCGATGCCTTTTTAACGTATATTTCTCCCCAACTAGCCGGCCATATATCGAATGCTCGGTGTATTATATATGTTCACCCTGGAAAAGACAAGAAACAAGAAAATGATAATGTACAGCGGTGGCAAATTGTGAATGCATCATCAATTATCATCTGTTGGTGAATATCCAAATTGTACTTTTTGTCTTTCCTTATTTATTTATCTATGTAATGAGAGCCTTAAAGGGCCTCTCAAGTGTTGTTTCTTTTGAATATGCACCTGCTTAATGAGAGTGAAAAAGTTGCATAGCTTTAAATAACAGTAAATTGAAGAGGTTGGGATTTGATTCAAATGTTCCCACCAGTTAAATGACCAGAGGGGAGGTTCAGAATTGATGAGAGTCGACTCTGTCAGTCAGACAACAATAATTTCTGCCCCATAGATGGTGGCATTCAGATGGTCCCATGATTACAGTGTTAGAATTTAAGGAAGTTGTCTACCAAGACCAATATGTTCATCATTCATGTCTGACAACAATTCAATGCAGCAAAGTATACACACAAATATATATGTGTATATATATATATATATATCTATATTGTATCTCATGCATTCGTTGTGTTTGTTCTCTAGCCATTGCCCTGTTCTTGAATGAAAAATTTAAGTTGAAGAGGAGTAGAGGACCACTGCTGTACTATGATGAGTAGATAGCATTTTAAACTTCACCATGTATTCCTACACCTTAGGAAATATATACTATAATTTAATTTATTGGCATGGAAAGGTTTAAAATATCAATGAATGGTTAGAATCTGTGAGAAGTAAAAATTACAGTGTAGGGATAGCAAGATGAGTAATATTTTATAACACAGTCAAAGTGGGAGTCTGAGGGTAGTTCCAAATTGGGACATTCCATGAATGAAGATGGTGAAAGTAAAGGCAACACATAAGAATGAACAGTGAGTAAATAAATGAAAGGGGTGTATAAAATTATACAAATAAAATGAAAATAATCAGTTTTGGGAAAAAAAATTGCAATGTGTGTCAGTAAGAGTAGGTGTGGCCATCAATGTGGTGTTTGTGCATACCAAATCATAACAATTCCTGCCCTAATTTGGGAACACTTTCTTAATTGCAATTCTAGGACATGCCAATGCTTTTCTTGTTTGTGATATTGGGATATAAACAAATAAATAAATAATTAAAATGGGCCTCTCTAATTTCAGTCTTGCTGGACTGGGATAGAGTTCTTTTTCATCTAAAATAAACATACACACAGAATATATGTATGTATATATGTATATTTAAATGTGTGTATGTATTGTAGTGTGCAGGTGAGGCTGTATTTGAATTCCAAAAGACTGAAAAGTTTAATTTCATTCTGCAGTTCAGAAGCTGTCATGTGATGTGTTTGGCATCCCATTCGTGTCCAAATTTGATTCTACACTGCACTGATCAATTACTGCTCTTACTGCATGCCAACCATATTATATATATATATTCTTACATGGGTTTTTGTTCTTTTTCTTTTCATGATCAACATGGATCATTTGTATGATGAGTCATGATGTTTTATAATTCATCTGCATTTGAAATTAGAAGGGATGGATGAATGAAAATCATCTGTCTGATTAGGGCACCAAATTGATGAACAGAAGTAAGAACAAAAAAGGGAAAAGATAGATATTTGAAAAGGGTAAAATAAAAGTGTGATGCCCAATTCCAACATCTGCAGGTGTGATTTGATTAGTCACAAAGTGATATCTGTCTGGATTCTTGACCATGCATGCATATTTATATATATACATATACAGAGACTGCACGGATTGATACTTCCTTCTTATTCCATCTACAAATTACCCAAATTCCTTTTTACCCCTTTTGTGCAAATTTATTACCCTACTATATGATCTTATTCAGGCTTGCTTTTACTCCCAAACCCCCAATTTCATTACCATCCACAAACCCTAATTATATCCCTACAAACCCTAATCCTCTGATGTTGGATGAAATCCAATACACATTTCTTGTTTCTTTCGAAGATAGTGGGATTTCGAGATGTGGGGTGGGGTTTTTCCTCTGTCTCTCTCAGTAAGTACAGAACCAAAAAAAAAAAAAAAAAAAAAAAGAGGAGTGGGGGGTTAAAGTGGTGAAACCGTACAATAAATGAATAAAACTCAGGCATGAACTCTCCTTCCTCTCCCATGAATATATATATTTCAAACATGATTTTGTAGTCAAAAGCAAAAGTGTGCAGTGGTGCTCACTCTCTTGCTTGATTTATTAATTAATTAATCAGTTAAATATATATATACATATTATGAAGTGAGTAGACACCAACCCAAACATAACCCAAGAACCATCCACCCGCACCCACCCACCCACCGTTTAGTTTATGGATTTCCGTATTGGTGTCAGAGACAGGAGCTGCCATAAAAGGCAGCATAGTTGCAGCATCACCAGTGGCAGCTGCAGCAGATGCTTGCAGAGCAGCAGCTGCTCCTCCTCTGCCTGCCTGCCTCCCTCTCTCTCTCTCTCTCCCTGCCACTGCCACTGCACTACAACACTGCACTAGTCATAATATGTGTACAGTACACTTTCCACTCTGTGTGAGAGTCAGAGAGAGAAAATTAAAGCAAGTAAAAGAAAATAGAGGGTGGGTTTGGACATTTTGTGGGTGGGGGGGGGGAGGGGTGATGATCAGAACCATTAGTTTTATCCATGTACAGAAGATTCTGCAGCCCAAATGGTCCCTGAAATAAATAACCTCTTCTCCTCTTTCTCTTCTCTTCTTCCCTCCCACCCTCCATTCGCATTTATATTATATCCTCCACCTCTTCTTCTTCTTCAATTCCTCTTTCTTGAAGGTGATGATGATGATGATGAATGGTGGGAGAAGCTGTAACAGTAGTGGTAGGTTTCCATTCACAGCTTCGCAATGGCAGGAGCTGGAGCATCAAGCCCTTGTTTTCAAATACATGGTTTCAGGAATGCCTATTCCACCCGATCTTCTCTGCACCATTAGAAGAAGCCTCCACGACACTAACAGCAGCTCCAACAAGTCTTGCTTTCTCACTCCTCAATCTTCCTCCTGCAGTACGTCCTCACTCACTCACTCATCTTCTTTCTAAATTTGTTTGTTTAATAATGTTTTGAATGTTGAATTTACAGTGGGGGTGGGGGTGGGGGGTTGGAATGGTGGGTTCCAGATGGGGTTTGGGAGGAAGATAGACCCTGAGCCTGGGAGGTGCAGGAGGACTGATGGCAAGAAATGGAGGTGCTCCAAGGAGGCATATCCAGATTCCAAGTACTGTGAAAGACATATGCATAGAGGCAGAAACCGTTCAAGAAAGCCTGTGGAAATGTTGTCGACTTCTCAACCCCAACCCCAACCCCCAAATGCCATTCCCATCACCAACACATCACTCTCTGTCTGTGTCACAATCGCTCCTCCTAACAAAACCTCACTGCTGCCAATGCCCATGTCAATGTCGTCTTCTTCTTCCTCCTCTTGTTCTTCTCTCTCATCTTATCTCACTCCTGCAAGCTCTGAACCCCACTTTCTGAGCCCTCATTTCCAGTCCAGACCTGCTACTGCTGCTACTGCAGCTACTGCCATGTCTCAAGAAACCACCACGAACTTTTTCTTGGAATCTTATCATCCCCAGCAGTCACCTGGCAAAGGTGCTTGCAGGTATGTATGTAATGTGTATATATATATTTATACGTATGTATTCATTGTTACTTCTTTTTATTATTAATGATGTGATTAAATGGTAATTATAATATTGATTGCGCCGCCGTGACGGTGGTGCAGGAACGGAAGCATGTCCGGTGATTCTACTTCTTCTTCTTCTTCTTCGTGGAAACTGGCACCACTGACAATGGGGTCATCATCGCCGTACCATCTTGATCTCCCAGACCACCACCACTACTACTACGGCGGCGACAACAACCACCACCACCAGCTGCAACCATCATCTTTAAATAACCTGCAGGATAGAATGGAGGAGGAGCACCACCAGTCCAAAAAAGTGATGCACCATTTCCTGGACGAATGGCCTCCCAAGGAAAAAGACTGGCCAAGCTCTGAGAACAAAATGGCAATGGCAATGCCCACCCCCAACCCCACCCCAAGAACCCAGCTCTCCATGTCCATTCCCAACTCACTGCATGACTTCTTCATGACCCAAAAATGGTAAAGATATTTCCTGTCTTCAAAACCCACTTACTATTATTATTTAATTATTTATTTTTAATACACCTACCTCCCTCCACAGAGCGCACTATTTGATGAATCCCAACCCCACCTTTTTGCAGAAAAAAGATACGAACCTGAGCAGAGTGGGCTATGGTTTCTTTGAACCAAAGGCAGAAACAGATAGAGAGAGAGAGAGAGTACACTTATGATGACGATGATGCATGGTGGGACAATCACAACGTTTCTCTCTCTCTCTCTTACTTTGATCCTTCCAGCCATCAGTATTACTAAATGGTGTGTGTATATTTTCTGGCCCTGGAAACTGTTTTCTTTTTCTTTTTCCTTCCTTCCCTCCATCACTGTGTGTGGGTGTGACAGTATCTGTCAGTGGAATTATGAGAGGAGAGAGAAGGAATCCCTTGGATTTTGGTATTCTACATTGTAGTAATATTTTGTTTTCCCGTTACTGGGAGTAGTATTACTTGTTTGAAAGGCACCTGCCAATATTGCCAGATGTTTATGTACTTAATTTTCACCAGGAGAAGAGAAGAAGATATCATAGTGGATGCACTCCTCCCCCTCTCTCTCTCTCTCTCTCTCTCTCTCTCTCTCATGATAGTAATAATATTTTACGACATGCTTTCAGACCACTCACTGTAAAAATTTGCCTGTGGCTGTGGGCCTGCTGCTGCTCTATGTATACTGAGTGTATGTATAATGTATGTATCAATGCTTTCTAGGCTTCTATCGTCCCTCCTCATTCTTGCGAGCTCCCTGGATCTTGGACCCAGTTGCATCTCCGCCGGGGTATCCATTTGGTCCTGGAGTTCATGGATCTCTCACATTCAAAACCAATGTGGTAAATCGTCCTCGAGCTCGCTCAACTAATTAAAACCTCGGGTTAAGGTTTGTAAGTTTATTCGTGTAATAATTTTCAAATACTAGTAAATGTTTTAATGTAAAATAAGGTTCCAGTCAAAAGCAATATTGTAAATTCGGCATGCAATCATTCACCTGGATTTTTTACATATTAATTTAATATGTTTTTTTTTATTTCAAATATCAAATAAAAATCATATTTAAAATCATATAGTATTATTTTTTTCCATAAAATACTATATAAAAATTATTATTTAAATTAAATTAAATTTAAATAAATAAATAAATAAAACTCAATTTTAAAACAAACCACACATATTTTAGTGTTTTAAAAATACATGATTCTAAAAACAATACGATACTTTTATTAAAAATTGTATGTAATAAATTATTTTTATTTAAAATAAAAAACAAATACATTCATCATTCCTTGTGCTAATATAATTACAGTATCTCGTAAACTTACAATGTCACAACTCTCAGATGGTGGAAAGAGGTCGGTGTGGTATGTCGATTTGTAATGATGTGCAAAAGAATTTATTGTGTTTGCTTAATATTATTAATATTTGTTTACATTTAAAATAGTAAACTAAATACATTATGGACATAAATAATATAATTAAACAAATATTACTATTTCAATGTACAAACCAGTACACCTTCACCAATTGTTTATTCATTCAGCATTTTTTTATATTTCCTGTGTAAATGAAGATTTGCAGCAAGTATATATCATGTGTCATTTAATTTAATAATATGCCTAAAATCAAAGGGTGTGGTTATTGACTATGAATTACTAACTATAAGTGGCTATGGTAGTAGCCGAATAAGCAGTTGCATGTTCACACGTTATTAAAATAAAAAGATTAAACACACCCAAAACGACAGCTATTTAAAAAAACCAAAAATCATTACCCGAAGAAGCCGAAAGAGTTCGAACAATGCGGATCAAGCGAAGTCAGCCGGCTTCCCAATCCTTATGTTGTGCTTGCCGAGGAAGTCCGCAATGGCATTCTTCTGCCAGCCTTTGAAACTCCTGCTTCAATTGAAGATTGCTCTGAAGATTTCAACAATAGATATAGAAGTGTTGCTTTGGTGTTTGTTTGTGTAAGAAAAGCTTACTTGTGATCAAGATGAGCTATATAATGTCGCCTCCAGGGAAGGCTGCTTGGGTGGCATCAAATGCGACTTTGATGGCTTGTTTCCATGTCCCTCCAATGTCTTCCGGGGTTACTTTCGCCTTTGGATCTTTCGGTTCTTCCATTGGCAAAGAATATCCAGACAGGATGTGGCCAACCCAAGTCCTGTCCTTCCTGAGGTATATAACTTAATTTTTAGAGATCGACAAAATAAATAATCAAGTGTGGTACAATTTAAATAGGTTGGTACAAGCTCTTAAATTTCAATTTTTTGTAACTATATATGTAACTAGAGATGATTCACCATTAACAGTAAGTTTGAAATTATACGCATTACCATAGCTCCAGAAAAGAGTAGCATAAGAGAAAATACGACGTACTAGTTCGAAGTATTGACTCACTTTATTACATCCATGTGCCGTGGCGTGTAATGCCCTCCTCCAATACCAAGAAGTACTTTCTTGCGTTCAATCGAGCTGGGATTAAAAAACAAACTTGTGTTAGGATTGAATGAACTAATTGAATTTACCATTAGGTTCGTGCATTCATCATGCATTCAATAACTCCAATATATTATAAACAAATTTGGATATATATATATTTCTCAAAACATTGTATTCAACAATTAATTTCACCTCAAACACATCGAAAACAAAACAATAATTCAAACAAAATTCACTAAGCAGAATTTAATGTGTACCTACTCCAAACTCCGACAGCAGGACTTTCTCCGAAGCCAAGTCCTTCCCAAACTAACTTCAACAATAAGATTGATCACTTTCAAAATAAAATTCAAGAATTGGAGAATTTGCAGCATGGATGACAAAAATAGATTATCATCCATATGTATTGGAATGATTATGATTATCCCATTCTTTATTCAGCTTTTCAGTAAATTATGTGTTAACATTACTACAAAACAGCCAAACTAGAGATAAGGGTACAGCCCGGAATTCGGAGAGGCAGTAGACACACACAAGGGAATTGATGCAACTAACTATAAAAATAAACATGTAAGAAATATTTACAAATACCCTAGTAATTAAACATTTCCATCAATAAAGTGTATTCACAATATTTTGTAAAATAAATCAACAATATTAGATAAGTTTGGCAGTAATATATACTCAACTAGAGCAACAACATGAGCAGCATCCTCTCTCCCCCAGTAGTCTTGTGTGCTGTCTACACAAAGCACAGTAAATTCTTTAAATCAGGGTGGCAAGCAAACCCTTAATCAAAAAGATGATCATACAAAGCCCTTCAATGCAATAACCTACGCAAAATATCAGAAAAATGGGCAAGGGTATGGGACAATTTAAAGCAGCACAAAATAAGCTTTGATCACAGAGATGCAGCAAATATATTCTTGCTTCCGAATGAATGGTGTAAAGTCTCTTTTACCGTTGATATTAATAGTACTTAAGAAGTAATGACAAAAAATAAGGAGAATTTGGTATTTAATTGGGAGATACTTTTATTAGAAAAAGAAAATTAATACCTTTTACTTCCGACTAAAATAACAAAATGGATACCTTTGACTCAGAGTATAATGGTAACTTTTATGGCCCCATTTGAAAATGGGTGTGGAAAATGCTTTTGACTTCTACTTCTTAAAAAAAAATGTATAAGTAGTTCCAAACCCAAATTTCAGACCTCAATGACAAGTGTAAAACACAGTTTGTAAGTTTGCATAATATCACAAGAACATATATCAAGCAAGAACTCAAAACACAGAGATGGAGAGCAAACAGAAGGGAAGCATTTTGAAGAAATCCATTATTGGAAGTCTTAGCGGAATATAAATTACCTATCTCAATAAACATAGTTGGCGTCGTTGTTATAGGTCCATGATGAGTAGCCTCCAATGTTATCTGAATTGAATGGAGAAAACAACAAAAATGATATCAATCAAAACATCAAGGTTAAGCAAGCTGTTTCATAAATCCAAACAGTATGGTATAAATCACAAATAGTAGCGATCAATTATGAATCACAACAGAAGCAAAGACATGAACACCTCAAATTCGGGTACTAAATTGTGAGATTCGGCAATTTTCTGCAATAGAATAAGCCATGGCCCCATACGCGGACAAGGACGTCCTGCCCATCCTGGTTTTCCCCCTTGTGACAGAACATCCCCTTCCTTCAAATGAGGCACACCTGTAAACCTAATTTGCCGTCAATGGCAGAAACAAAATTTGCAAAAACAATAATAAACATACATTCATACAAATTCACGATAATTCAGTACTGTCAATTTAGGGCTTACCTATCGGATGAATAGTAAGCGCCGGGCGAGTCGACGCGGCGACATGTTTGGATAAAAAAATCATCTCCGCCACCGTCTCTCCGGTGGCTGCTTCCCATCTCGACTCGAGATTGTCTTCCACAATTATCGATTTGTCATGTTCTAACAATCGAAGAGTGCCGCGGCCATTTCTGAAACTTCTGATGCCGCCTTCCAGCGTCGGACCTTGCTCCCATCCAGGCATCGCCAGCAGCGCCTTCGCCGGATTGATCGACGCCGGGTCGGCGGTGGTCGCCACCACCAAACTCGCCATTTTTCTGTAGATCTGCGTAGAATTAAGAATTGAACTCCATATACAGTCTTTGATTATGAAACAATTTAATACATTTATTTTTATAAAAAAATAAATTTAATTATTATTTATTTTATATTTAAAATTGATTTATGCTGAGGCTTCGATGGAGCGGCGAACATGTTGAATCCCTCGGCCCTACGGAAGCTCTCATTAATGGCGCCGAAGCCTCAGCGCTACAGTTACTGTAAGTTTTTGGTTTTCGTTTGATGAGGAGTGGACAGGACGCTTTCTTCTTGTTTGCGTTAGGTAAATCTGATTGGTTTTGGTTGCCGAACAGATACTGCTGCAGCGAAGAAACTTAGAACTACGACGACCGGCGCGGCTGAATCTGCATCGAATCCGATGAAGGATGCTTTTTCTAAACGCGGATTATCTGAATGCAACTGGTAATTTTCACAGTTCTTGGTGATTCCTATCCCCGCTCGTTTGGTTATATTTTTTATTTTTCAGCTTGAGTTTTCAATTAAGTATGAGATGAACATGTGTGCGGAATATGTGTTTTTTTTTTTTTTCATTTTGATTAGTGTGGTAGGTTTTTCAGCTTCAGATGTATCATTTTTCTTTGGTATATGAGCATGTTACGAACGAGCTAATTTTAGTTAAATGTCTTTAGAATTTACTGTGGGTAATTGTTCTTGGTCCATTTGATTGCTGGATGAGAACAAAGAAAGGGTTGTGAAAAAGCAAGCTGGGATATCCTATATATATATAACTAAAGGGTGTGGGCTCCGTACTTCTAATTCCAACAATCTACAATTTATCAAAATCAAAATATCAGCCATTAGTTTCCGATGTTGGATTTCGAAAAGGTGTATCGAAAGTCCGACAAAGCTTGGCAATAATTTAGTGACTCTCTTTTCTACCCAATACTATATTTAGGGGGTGATTCAATATAGATTTTGTAGAATTTTATTTAACTTTCAAAATTGGGTGTATTCAATCAAGATTTTTAAAAGTCTTTTAAAGAGTTATTCAATCAAAGATTTTTAAAAATCTTTTTAAAATCTAAAGCTATTCAATCAAGATTTTTAAAAGTTTTTTAAAATCTTAGGTATTCAATATAGATTTTTAAAAGTCTATGGATTTTAATAGATTTTGGTTAAAATTTTATATAGAAAAGAATTTTTTTGATCATCGATGTATTCTTAAAATTATTAATATTATTATTATTATTATTATTATTATTTTGTTATTGTTGTTGTTGTATATGTGATCAATAATACGATAATATTTATTACTATTATTATAATTTTTAATAAAAATAATAATTTAAAACTAAAATATATTAGCAAATTATTATGATTTATTTTTAAATATATATTTTTATATTATAAATATAATTTTAAAAAATATTATTATTACAATAAATATATATTTCTGTCGTATTTTCTTTTCAATTATCGAATACATTATATTATCGGAAATAAATATTTAAATATATATTTTTTATTGAACCGTTAATTTATATTTATTTTTTTAAAAAAAAATCATAAATTATTTATTTATTTATTTTAATATAACCTTTTTAGATAAAAAGTAAATACATATATATTATTTATTAATACTTATATATTATTTATTAATATTAAATATTATTTTATTAATAATTATTTATTATATTTATAAAATTTGTGTTTGACATAAATTTATATAATTAATATATATTATTTTATAATTTTACAAAATCCATATAAATTCATAAAGAATTCAATCAAATCCTATAAATCCATCTAAATCAATTACTAAAATATAAAATCTAAAAAAATCCATTAAAATCGCAATTGAATACACTCCCTTATTTTTAAATGCATTCTTTCTGATCAAATTGCTTTTACTTTTTGACTTGGTTAGTCAATTCTTGATAAATTTTATTTTTAATATATTTTGCATATATTTTTATTTTATTTGTTTTACAGATAAATCATGATCTTGAAAAAGAAGAAGAAGGTAACACATAATATACATTAATTTTTGATATATTTTACCGATATTTTTTATTCTAAATATTCATTTGTTATGTACAAATATATAAAGATATTGAATAATATAACACTGTTCTATATATTTTTTAAATTTTTATTTTATTTTTTATTTTTGATATATGTTGATTTTTACTGATTTAAAAAAATGTAATTAAAATTAATTAATTAATTTTATTTGTAGTATTAATTATGACTAATCATTTTTATTTTTAAGATTAATAAACAACAATTTATATAAAAAGACAAATATTTAACCACATTAAATAATATTAATTATTTTCTATATATTATTTTAAATAAAATTAATTTTTTTCTTATTTAATATAAATTATTTTTTTTATTTTAAAATAAAAATATAAGCAATATTTATTTGATAAAGATTATTTTATTTATTTTTTAACTTAGACACAATAATTTTATTTGAAATGTATTATGTAAAAAGTAAGCAAATAATAGTTTTATTAATTTATATTTACATTGAAATTAAAAATAAAAAATTAATCATTTTTATTTTTAAAAATAAATATAATTAATTATTTTAATTTTTCTCGAATAAAAATAACATTTAAACATTTAGACATACATGTATAATGTAACATTATTTTAAAATAATAATTATTTATATTTTATTTATTATTTTTTAAAATACTTTAATTATGTATAAACCCGTGCATAAAACGGGTTTAAATGCTAGTAATAATGAAATACAAAAAGGTCTCACATTCAGGTGCATAGGTAAAAATTATCATTATTAATTATTTACTCAGATTGTGTTTATTAGAAGGATTTTGATAAATTTTTACTATTTACTATAAAAATATAAAATTAAATACTATCTTCGTGACGATAGATACGAAAATTTAGGTAAAGTATAATTAGTAGATAATTAAGAAATGTATTAATAAAAATGATTATTATTTAGTAAAAATAGTTTAAGATTAAGATAAACAAATAATTTAATTAAATTATACACATAACATGTCCTTTTTTTAAAAAAAAAATATAATTATACACTTTAGTCATTTTTTAAATTTTAAATTGTATAATTTTTTAATTTTCGTTAAACTATTTAGTTATTTTAATTTTAATTTATAATTATTTTTAATATACAGTAATTATTTTTACTAATACACTTCTTAATTATTTACTATTCATACTTTACGTAAATTCTCGTGTCTACGATACGAAGCCCAAATTAGATGAGATGGAGGGAGTATTAATTTATTTATCATATTTTTTCTTAGATTTTTCTTTCTATACATTAACTAAAACAGTATATTATATCAGTAAGAGATTATATAATTTAAATAATTTATATTAATTTATTATTTTTATATTTTGATGTGAAATATTTTATAAATCAGTAACATTATATAGAAAATAATATAAAAATAAACATAAATTTTGAAATTTATATTTTTGGAAATAAAAATCAATCAACAATGGAAGTCATCGCCAAAGATCTACAACAAGACAAATATTCCATAAATATGTATATAAACATAGGTTAAGTAATAATATAATATCAATATTTTGTATTTTATCTATAAAGCATGTACAAATACTAGTTCATAATTAATGTTTTGATTAGAAATGTATATTTAATTATATAATTTTTATACAAATAAAAATAGTAAAATATTTTAAATAAAATAAATAACTAAATAATTTATCAATTATTTATTTAATAATTTTTTAAAACATATTGCTACCTAATTCTTAAAAAAGAAACTTATAAAATAAAATATGGATTATTTATTTATTTTATTTAAATAGTACATATATACAACAAACTAAACAGCTTTGGACGATTTTGTATATATTTTAGTTTAACAAAAAATTTCATATAATAAAAAAATACAAAGCACTTTTTTTCTATATACCAAAATATAACAGTATTATGCAATTTACCTACAAATATAGATATATGAGAGAGAAACGTAAACCTCTCTAAAACCCTAAGCAAGCCGCCCGCCACTCTCCCATCCGCTCTTCCACGTTTTTATTCTTCTGTCCCGCGATTGTGCTAACCGCCTCTCTGTGATCGAGCTTTTCGATATTCAGTTTCGTATTCGAGACATTCCGCAATCCTATTTTGCTGACAAAATCACATCCCGATCATCATCGTCGTCGCCAAGCGGATTACTTTGCTGTCCCCTGCATCTGATCACAATTTGATCGTCCGCTCTCTCATTATTAACAGGAACTTATTGCTGAAGGTGCATGGTACTTCCCTTAACTTCTTTCAGATTAAGTTTTCTCGGTGGAATTTCTACAAGTAACAACCTTCCGCTCTTGCTTCTGATACTTTTTTTGTTTTCTTATTGTACATTACTACGGTTTGTGCTTTGTATGCGGTGTGGAATCTCGGTGTCAATGTGGATTATGATTTGTTTGTTTATGGCTAAATCGGGCATTTTAATATGAATTAAGAAATTCATGTGGCTGCTTTGTAATCTGTCTTTTGTTGGTTGATGCCGATGGTCCGAGACTACAAGGTCGACAACATCAGCTATGACTTCCACACGTGATTTATTTTTATTTTTTGGTCTTTTTAATCAGTTTTGTTTCCGTGTTCTGTTTCGAATTGAGTATCTAGTTGCATTGCATCTGTACTGATGATTTTAATTGTTTTATCTCTGTGTTAGGAGAAGAATTTTGTGAAAATTTCTAATTAAAAGAACAGAACAGAGAATACTGGTATGTTATATTTACCAAATAATGGTTTAGGGTTGTGAGTGGTTAGGGAAGAAATCGTCTTCCTTATAGTTTAATCCCTAATAATTTCTTGTCCAAAAATTTTAATATGGCAGCCGTTCAGTTCTTAGGGCCTGGAGTTTACATTGGGAATGTTTGTTACTTTGGTTGTATCTCATTGTTCTATCAAAAAATAAATAAATAAATAAATAAAAAATAGATGAATTGTCAAAACTTGTTTATGACTTACCCACGGTTGAATTAGATGTGTATTTAGGGAAAGGTTGGACTTTGAATTTTACTATCTTGGATATTATTGCTGAACCTGGAAAATTTCATCTTTATTTTAGTTCATGATGAGATTAGAACAAATTGATTTTCTGGTTTTGGCATGTTGGCTAAGTTTCTCACTGATGATGCTCCAACTATTTATCTAATATTCTAATAGACGATCTTCTTAAGTCAGTTTCATATATGTTTGTATCTCCCTGTCATTCCTTGGCCCCCATTTTCCATGCACATTCTTTGCTTATGCAATTTTGTTTCCTTGAAATATATAGAATATTGTTGTCTTAATTTTTTTGAACAAACTATCAATATGTGTAAATAGCGTAAATCTGTAAGAAAATAAAAAATAAGTATCCTTTGTTCCTTTATAAATATGAAAAGTTATTTATATAAATAGGCTTGACCACAGAGAACATCTTTGATTGTACTCTTATGTTTGATTGGGTTTTTTATTCCTTTCTTTGTAGATTCTTAAGGTATTTCCTTATGTAATTCAATGGAAACATAATAATATTTTTCATTTGAGGGGACCAGAATAAATCTTGGCAAATGCATGAATTAGTTATCATATCCCTGGCAGTGATTATTGATGTCTTTGTTTAAGGGCATCCCATGCTAGAGAGAAGGTTTGATACTAACAAACTAATAATGAATTTCTTCATCAATGATCATCATAACAAGCAGATTACTTTGCTGCTAGTGATAAAAGCCGGCCGATTGAATATCTTCTATACTAGCGGATAGGTTCATTGGTAGTGAGCGAATCGAATACCATCCGGAATAGTACATCATTGTATGTGACTGGGATGGATCCAAATTTGTTTCCCAAAACTGAGCCCAATGCACCCAGGAAGGTATTAGCATCAATTCTGATCGAATTCATTCCTCATTTGTTAAATTGGATGTTTTGATTTTGATTTGATATTCAGATTTATTTATTTATTTGTTCCCCTATTTTTGTAATTAAGTTCGATTCATGATCAGGTTAGATTTGCACCCAAAGCTCCTCCAAAGGGACAAGCGAAGCTGGTCCTGCCTAAACCGTAATTCTCTCTTTTACTCTGGATATAGAAACAGAATTTTTAGGCTCCTATTCTTAAGATGAATTTTCTTTTACCATGGTTTTATTTGTCTATTTCTGTTGCAGTGAGAAACTTGAGGAGGATTTAGATGACGCAAAGACAGACCATCTTCTGCGCCGGCTTCAAGTATTCCCTATCTGTCTTTTCGTATCAGCTGATAAACATAGTAATATTTTATTTTTCTTTCCAATGAAATCATTCTTTATTTGCGCTATAGGAAACATCTGTCGCAGGCAAGGTCAAACCTGAAGTAAAAGGTAAGTTTAGATTTAAGTAAACTTTTAGCATTTTAAACCATATTTTAGAATAAGCAAAGAATAAATTATCGTGATCCATATTCTCCATCGTTTCCCAGAGAGAGCAAATCACATTCTGTCACACGAACAATTTTCAATAATCACTTCTTTAAGATGACTGCCTTTGATTTTAGCTGGCCAGCGTCAAGTTACGTCCGGTGTTGGAGGATCATCTTTCACCAAGTCATTTACCTTTTCAACTTATAAGAAGAATCAGGGCTCATCTTCAACTGGCAAGTGTATTTTGTAATTTATTTTTCTAGCACAGTATACAATATTGGGTTTTCATTCAATAGTAATTTTTTCCTGTCTACAGGTGATGCTGCTGTGAAAGAATACAAGGAACCATGGGTAAGGCTAAGCTGGATTTCTAATTTAGTGTCATTGAAATATCCTTCCCAATAAAATTTCTGTGATGATTTTTGCAGGATTATTACAGTAATTATCCTGTAATACTTCCCTGGAGAAGACCATACTCTGGAAATCCAGGTATTTAATCCTTTGTAATGCGCTGAGCTAATTGTCAATACAAACTTATATGCCTATGATTGCTATTGCTACTGAGTTCCTATTCTTATGTCCTGGTAAAAAATGTGCATAGAACTGCTTGATGAAGAAGAATTCGATGAAGATCCACAGGCATCAACTTATGATGAAAATGATGTGAATCCCGCAGGGGAGCTTGGCCTATTTGTCAGTATATATCCTTTTTACAATAAATTGACATTCCAGCTACACTGCACAAGTGTTAGAGATATAACAATTGTATGTTCGACAGGATGTTAGTGCTGAGAGCACTAAGCTCTTTCTCCAACTGCCGGAAACTCTGCCTACAGTTAAGCAGTCAACTGGTGCAAGGCCTCAAATGTCTGGAAACAATCCAACTCCCACAAGCGAACCGGGGGAATCCTCTAGTATCATTGAAGAAATTCCTGAAGGCTTGATGGGGAAAATGCTAGTGTACAAAAGTGGTGCTGTGAAATTGAAGCTTGGCAATACGCTATTCAATGTAAGCATTTGGACACCCAACCAATATACAGTAACTATAATATAGATCAAGAAACAAATGGGCTGATTTGATCTCTCTTGTATGTATGGCCAACAGGTATCTCCAGGCTTGAGCTGCACATTTGCTCAAGATGTTACTGCCGTCAATGTAGAAGAGAAAATTTGTTGCAATTTGGGGGAAGTCCAAAATCGCGTCGTCATAACACCTGACATGGATAGCTTAATTGATGCTGAATCTGATTTTTTGTGATGTGGCCATTCTTTTGTGTTCATATTCAGAGTTAACAGATATGATGGCTATTCTTTTGTTCTTTTTTGCTCTGGAATTTTGCATACATTGTTATTATTACGTTGACTCTCAGATATGGCTAAACTGTTTATTCATTTTGCACGAAAACAGTTTATAACATTGAGATATAGTGATGTTGTGTTGGCTTTCCTGCCGGATTTAAGTTTTCATCTCATTTTTACCATTTTAACGAAAGTAAATAAATATAAAAATTCTTAATATTCATCTATTTTTTATTAAGAAAAAGACAGTAATTTAAAATAGGAATAATAATTCAAAAGCCTTTTGCGCAGCATAGGGTCCAATTAAATTGGGCTCTGGTTTTATGGCCTATGAAATGTTCCAGCATGGGCCCAGGCCCAATATGTTGGCACCTTATTCTTATTCGGGGAGTTTTATGTCTATCCCCTTCTTCCGATCACAATTCGGTCGTCCGTCCGCTCTGTCTTCGTGAGCAGGAATTTACTGCTGAAGGTGCACAGTTCTTCCCTTAGTTTCTTTCAGATCTAATGTTTCTCGGTGGAATTTCTACAATTAGCGCACTCTCGCTCTTGCATCGGATACTTTTGTGGTTTTCTTATTGTAAATTACAACAGTTTGTGCATTTTATACGGTGTGGAATCGCGATGTTAGTGCGGACTCTGATTTATTTGAGAAAATTTCTGTGGCTGCATGGTAATCTGCCTTTTGTTGGCTGATGCAGATAATCCGAGTTCGAACTCAACAGCTATGAATTCCAGAAGGTTTTTCTGTTATTTTATTCATTTTTTTTTCTCTCTGTTTCGTAATTGAGTATTCATGTGCATCTGTAATGATGATTTAATTGTTTCATCTCTGTGTTGCGAGAAGAATTTTGTGAAAATTTCATACCTCTTTTTAGCGAAGTAATTAAATAGAACAGAATGGAGAACTTTTGTATGTTAAGTTGATCAAGTAATGGTTTAGGGTTGTGAGTGGGTGGGGAAGAAATCGTGTTGCTCATAGATTGATCCCTAATAATTTCTCAGACAAAATGCTTAGTATGGCAGTCATTCGGCCTGGAGATTAGTTGGAAAATTATGTTACTTTGGCTGTATCTCATTGTTCTATTATAACACATTTAGGATGGGTGAATTGTTAGAAAGTGCTTGTGACCAATCCTCTGTTGAGTTAGATGTATATTAGCAAAACTGGACTTGAACCTTACTATCTTGGATATTATTTTGATTTTCTGATTTTGGGCTGTTAGTTGAATTTCTCACTGATGATGCTCCAATTATCTAATCTTCTTCTAGATGAATTTCTTAAGTCAATTTCATATAGGTTTTTACCTCATTGCTTTCATTGTCCTCGTTCCTTTGTTTAAGGACATCTTATGCTAGAGTGAGGGTTTTCTAGTAACAAGCTAATCATCAATTGCTTCATCAACAACCCATTTTTGTCTCTTCTTATATATTAACTTCTGCAGATTGGTTTCTTTGTAATCAATATTCATGATGTTGCTACCGGTGTCAGGGATCGCAATGCTAGAACTGCCCTGTTTGATGGTATTGAGGAAGGAGGTATAAGGGCATCGCCATCATACTCCAACCATGAGATTGATGAACAAGAGAATGATAAAGCAGTGGATGGGCTACAAGATCGAGTTAGTCTGTTAAAAAGAGTAAGTTCATTCCTCTATAGTCTATAAGATGATATGCTTTGAGGTTAGTGGGAGGTGGGAGTACATTTCTTTTCCCTCTCTGCATTAATTGTGTATATCCTTTTAGTAGATCTTTTTGTGAGGGATTGGAGGGCAAAGTGATGCAATAAAAAGGAGACGTCATGTATAGTAAAAATTGTGGGGGATGAACTGAAGATAATGGCAACTTTACATTAGTTATAATAGAATTAAAATCTCCAAACCGTTTATTCTTATGCTAATGAAACTTTTACCTGGCCAGTTAACAGGTGATATACATGAGGAAGTTGAGGCCCACAACCGAATGCTGGACAGAATGGTTTGTATATTGTTGTCTGCACTATGACCATCCCGACTTCCAATCACATGTCTCTGATTCTAACTTTGTATTTTAGGGAAATGACATGGATGCCTCAAGAGGTGTTTTATCTGGAACCATCGATAAATTCAAGATGGTATTTACTTTTCTTACTCTCTACTTTTCACCCGTCTACTTTTCCCATTTGTCAAATTATTGCGTTCTCAACACAGGTGTTCGAGACCAAATCAAACAGGAGGATGTTCACACTGGTTGCATCATTTGTGGTGATCTTTCTTGTTATATACTATCTCACTCGGTAAGTGATCAATTGGAGAATTTATCTTCTTCAGCTCATATATCGATTGTGGCGTTCTCGTGCCACCATTTTGTGGATGATTCCTATGATCACTGCTATACCTACCTCTGTGGTGTGTGTAGATGGTATATGGTGTGATGATGTATGGTTGAATGACATGGTCTCTACCATTTCATTCATATATACACCTCCTCAAGTAAGTACCACTCTCTTTGAGTCTCTCTCTCTCTCTCTCTCTCTTGCTAAATATTGAAATGGAAACATCGTTCCTATTTTCAAATGTGCTTTTATTTTTTTCTGAATACTAACAACCACTTTTGTATGTCGACGCTATCGTCTCACATATATCTTTTGGAATGCCCCCCTCAAGATGGCTTCTCTAATTCTCTAATAAATGTATTCGACAATAGTTATATTTATTATTTACAAATATATTTTACCGACGAGTCAAATATTTGCAGGTTTGTTCTATTCAAAATTTAAAAATAGGTAACAATGTAAGTAAAATAAACAGCTATACACTCGGTTATACATGTACCGAGTTTGTATAAATCCTACGGTTAATAAAATCTATTGCAACAAATAGATAAATAAAGCCAAACAATGATGACACTATATTTTTTCATAATGTTTGTCTCATTTTATTTTTCTTTACTATGGTTGTGTTTTTTTGACATGTTTGGAAAAAAAATTTAGTTCGAGTTTAATATTAAAATAATATATAGTCAGATGTTTTGTAAATAAAAAAAATAAAAAAATAAAAATTATTTGTTTTGTGAAAATGGAAAATCTAAATAATAAAAAATTTATTTATGAAAAAAAAGAAAAAAATTCTATATTTTCCCCCAATTAAACCAAACGCTTTAGCGAAACCCAAAGCAGTACAAAAATTTACCGACTCTGATGGGCACAACAATCAATGTCATTAAAAATGAAGTGAAATATACAATATGACTTTGTCACATGTGATTCTAAATTAAAATCGACTCATTCCAGTAAACTGAATGATTAAAAATTTTAGTCAAAAAATTATTTTTGGTCTTAATGTAATTAAAATTGATTAATTTTGGTCTTAATATAAAATTTTTATATATTTTGGTCTCAATATAATTAAATTTTATCATTTTTTGTCATAATATAATCAAAACTTATCAATTTTTTGTTTTATTATAAATTTTTTTTTATCAATTTTAGTTCTAATATAACTAAAATTCATCGTTTTTTGTTCTATCATCAAATTTTATCTTTTTTTTTTATTCCACCGTCAACAAACTGACGGAAAATGCTGCAAAATTGTGCAATTTCTTCAAATATAAATATAAGGTTTGATTTCTTTTAACGTCAGCATTTTTCGTCGGTTTGTTGACGGTGTTGAACCAAAAAACGATAAGATTTGATTATATTAGGACAAAAATCTATAAAAATTTTATATTTGGACAAAAAAATTGATGAGTTTTTATTATATTAGAACCAAAATTAATAAGATTTTTATATTGGGACCAAAATTATGAATTTTAGTTATATTAAGATAAAAATAATTTTTTTTTTTCAAAATAAAAATAGTACTTTCTCCCTCGATATTTTATCCGATTTAGCGTAAACAAAAGAAATTTATGAATAATATAATTAGTAAATAATTAAAAATATATTAATTAAAATAATTATCGTATAATAAAAATAATTATAAATTAATTTTAAAATAATTTATTAATATAATTAAAATTAAAAAAATAAAATTAAGAAGTGGGACGAAAATTGAAAAATAGATATAAAAAGTGAGACAGAAGTAATAGTATGCACGCATTTTCATGGATAAACCATTGACCAAAACAAATTCATCGGATGTCCGTTTCAATGAGAATTAATTACAGTAATTATTTTTTCACTTTCTAGACACACACATACACGCCATGTTCATCCATCATAAAAGCTCTATCCGATTCATGCCGACGCGACTCTGACGTGGCGACTTAATTACTTGTTAATTTCCGATGTATATGTATATCCCACGTCACAATTTGTTACTTACCGTAATTTGAGAATGACACAAAAAATCACAGAAAAAAGAAATAATAAAAAAAATAAACTATAAATCACTCACACGTGTTGTATGAATGGAGGCATTGGAAGGAGGCGGAGGAGAAGAGGGTAAAAGTGGGACGATCTCATCCATCGGGATTCATATAAATCTCTGTTGTTCGTGATCCAAGTAAACCATAATTCTCCCCTTCTGATCATAGAGCTTTCTGGTATTCATTTCCTATTTCTTTGCAGAGAATCTTGCCACTCATCAACCGCTCATTCTCTCTCTTTCTCGCTGCTCGGGTATGTGTTTCCCCTGTTACTGAAAATTCTTCTGCGATTGTCCTCGCTGCGAGGGGTTATTTGTTTGGTTTGCTTTTGTTTGCATTTTCGGTGGATTTCTTGTTTTCATTTGTAGTTTCTGAAGAATGGGTCTTTTCTGGGTTTTTGATTTTTGGGGTTTGGTTTGATGTTCTGTTTGGTGTGAGCTGCGATGGGATCCGTTTGATGGACATTGGGTTGTTGGCTTAGTGAATATGTATTTGTATTGATTTTGATCTGCTTGTAATTTGCACTGAAGGTTGAATTTTGTGGGCAACTTTGGGTTTAGCAATTTGCTTGATGATGGTCCCTTTTCTATTAGGTAGTCTTGTTTAGGTTGAATTTAGCTTTTCCATTTCCCCAAATTTCGAGCAATGTGATTGTGGAGATGGTTTGCAGTCGATATCTTTGAGTTGGTAATTCGTGCTGTATTATCTTGGAGGTATGAGAAGGGGTTTCGACATTCAATTTATTGCTTATGTTTCAAGTGAAAGTTCAATTTAATTGTAGTTTATGATTTTTGCAAAGGATTGGGTTGTGTGTGGTGATAATGCTGATCTAAGGTATATGGATTTCAGTTGTCTAAAAGGGTTCTTACACATGGCAAACAACGAAGGATCGCCTCGAGAAAACAATGTGACTGCAAAGCCTCCTCCCGAGCCTTCACCATTGCGAAAAGCAAAGTTTTTCAAGGTATTGAATTCCTTAGAGAATTGACATTTTTAGGAAGAAAATTTTTGCAGAATATAATTACCCTGATTGTTGAGTGTTCTTGAAATTTTCGGCACAATGCTGCTGAAATTGGAATAACAGATGACCAAATTTTGGTTCTGTTTCTGGTTTCCTTGTCATGTAATTGAGGATTTAACTTTTTCCGTCCATCTCAAGCTGTGAATATTATCTGTTGTGTCAATTCTTTCCGAATGTTAGATACCTTACTCTACTTGCTTGCAGGCAAGAATGAGAATCTTGGTTACTGGCGGAGCTGGATTCATAGGCTCGCATTTGGTTGACAAGCTAATGGAAAACGAAAACAATGAGGTTATAGTTTACATGGTCCTTTTGATGAAAAAAAAATAAAAATGTAGCAACATTAATATGCATATGTGAATAGAGTTGTACTTGTTTTGTTTAGGTAATTGTTGTCGACAACTACTTCACTGGATCAAAGGACAACTTAAAGCAGTGGATTGGTAATCCACGTTTTGAGCTAATTCGCCATGGTACACTCTGTTTCTAGTCCATTAGTTTGCAAATTTTTTATGTTTTGATTCGGAAAAATACCTGTTTCTGTGTCATCTTTCTGATTTAAGTTCCCCTGTTCAGATGTGACGGAGCCATTGTTGATTGAAGTCGATCAAATTTACCATCTTGCTTGCCCTGCATCCCCTATCTTCTATAAATACAACCCAGTGAAGGTCAGAATCTAATCAGAAAAAGACTTCATCGTATTGTTAGATATTCTAATGTCTGCGAATCATCAAGTTTTGAAAGAAAGAAAATATATTGTCATCTATCTTACACAAGGTATTGGATTTACTTTCTTCCCACTGTTATGATCTCAACAGACAATTAAAACAAACGTGATTGGGACACTAAACATGCTGGGACTTGCCAAGCGAGTCGGAGCAAGGTTTGTCCGCTCATTTACATGTTATATATTAACATTCGGTATTTTCTCTATATATCTGTTGAATTCTTTTGTTAAACTTTTTTTTAATAGGATTCTGCTGACATCCACATCGGAAGTTTATGGAGATCCACTCGTGCACCCTCAGGATGAGAGTTACTGGGGCAATGTGAACCCCATAGGTATTTATAATTGCACAACAAACTTAAATTGAATGTATTTAATATCACCTCCGGTTTTATATGTTTGTATAATGTGCATTATAGGAGTTAGGAGCTGCTATGATGAGGGGAAACGGGTTGCTGAAACTTTGATGTTTGATTACCATAGGCAGCATGGAATCGGTAATTTGTCCCTTATGTTACCTATATATGTTTCTTGCTGCAATGAACATAATTAATGTCTGTAAATGATGAATTTGTGATTAACAGAAATAAGGATTGCAAGGATCTTCAATACGTATGGACCTCGGATGAATATTGATGATGGTCGTGTTGTGAGCAATTTCTTAGCTCAAGCTATACGGTAATGCTTTCGTATTCTACTTCTATACCTCTTTTAAAAATTGGACTCAGTAATATTAACCTAAACCATTCCACTGCAGAAATGAGCCATTAACTGTCCAGTTGCCCGGGACACAAACACGAAGCTTTTGTTACGTCTCGGACATGGTAGACATGCACTCCTAACACAGGAACACGCACACACATCTTTAATTGTTTTGATCAATTACCCAATGAGTTAAAATCCTGTTGTTGAAGGTTGATGGTCTTATTCGGCTGATGGAGGGAGACAACACAGGGCCAATCAACATTGGGAATCCAGGTTTGCGCCTAACCTAACCTCATTTGCAATATGAATAACCCCTTCATCGGGTTCTATGTTTAAATACTCACCGGTGCACGGATTCTGTATATATTAGGTGAATTCACAATGCTGGAACTCGCAGAAACCATAAAAGAGGCAAGTAAACTAGCTCGCAAGTGCCCAAATTATTCATTACGCTTGATGGATGATGCAAGTTTAATTCAAATAAACACATGTATGGGATTGCTTGCAGTTGATTAATCCAGAGGTGACCGTGGTTACGGTAGAGAACACGCCGGATGACCCTCGTCAGAGGAAGCCGGACATCACCAAGGCAAATGAATTGCTCGGGTGGGAACCGAAGGTCAAGCTGCGGGAAGGCATTCCTCTCATGGAGGAGGATTTCCGATCCCGGCTTGGGATTCCTGGTAAGAACGACAACTGAAACTGATCCCCCACCAACAGCTCCTGCAATTTCATTACATTTGAAGAAATCTTGATGAAGGTGTTGAGGAAGGAGAATTTGAAAGTGACATGTTATAGAAGAGTGAGTACATGAATAAATTATTGTTCTACGCTCAAGATCATTTTTTTTTTTTTTTGGAAATTGTTATGTTATGATCTTATTAACACTCTCTCTCCAATAATAATGACAAAAACAAAATCATTGTTCTTAATTACCAGTATCTGCTGTAGGCTGTAGTTTGGCTGTCAATATTAACTCTGGACTGACACTGTGGTTTAAACTCAGTCCAGTCTTAGGTTCATAAAATCCATACACAGTACAGTCGTTGTACTAATCTGCAAAAATGCATAAAAATTATTGTTATTTTTATTATTATTGTTATAACAGCTGGAGATTTAACATTTAACAAACTAGTTAAGGAGTGCAGCCGCAGGGCAGCAGCAACCAACCATTTGAAATAAAGTAATGAGTAGTATTAGTATTTAAAGTAAAGTAGATGGAGTGAAATAATTGAACATAAGAAAATTGCTAAAAAAGGGCACTGAACTGCTGATTAATATATATATATATATATTTATTTGTGGGGTTAGTGTTCTTTTTTCACCCAGAGGTCACAGGACTTGTTATTTTGAATATATAGAAAAGGAGATATGAATAGAATCACAGTAGTGTGATTGTTGTATATATTAGTACTGTTCCATTTTCATGCCTAACCTATACTACACCAGCCTACCATTCATTAACTAATTTGTCTTATTCCTCTTTTTTCACTCATGCTTATTGTGTATGTAATGTAGTGCAATACATACAATACATGGTTTTACTGAATTTTATACTGAATTAAATAAGGTGGAAAAGAAGAATACAGCAGAAGAAGCAGCAAGAAAGGTATTCTAGTCTACTGTACTAAAATATATATATATATTAGTAGTGTATAGTGTAGAGGATAGCATATAGTATTATTATATTCTGATTGATAAAGGAGAGCTTAGGTAGATCGGCCCTTATTCTCTCTCTCTCTCTCTCTCTCTATCTGTCTTTCTGTCTGTGTGTGTCTATCACATCTACATATTCTCTTTTCCTGCTTTCACTCCCAATCAGTTCCAGATTCCACTTACATTACATGTCTTCTTGCTCCTCCTTCTTCAACCTCTAATAATATATATATATATATGTATGTTGTACATATACATTTATATATAATGTTTCCTGGTTTCAAAGGTAAGGCCAAAATTCCCTCTTTACGTTCTTATGTTATGTGGTATGAATCAGATTAATTCTTTGCTATTTAATTGCCTTGCTGACCTCTATGTGTATAGCAGGGCTTCACTTTTTTTTTTTTTTGGTCTTTTTGAGTCAATAACTTTTCACACACAAAGAAAAATGGAACTTGGGGATGCTGAAATGTAGATATATTTATTAGCTGCTGCTGCTGTTGTCTGTGTTGGGTGTGGATTCTGTTGTGTTTCTTTAATGGGTTCAGAAGCAAAGGGGTCTTCTATCTTCTCCTTTTTCTGCCTTTCCATTTGAAGAACTTTGATTCTGTACGCCTCTCTCTCTCCCTCTCTCTCTCTCTCTCCCTCTCTCTCTCTCTCTATCTCTGTTTGTAATAAACAAGAAATAAAAATTCCTTGTTCTCTGCCCTTTGGAGAATAATTCAATGTGCAGATGTAAAAATCTCCCACTTGTGTGTTGCCATTTATGGCTAACCCTTTTTTCCCTGTGGCCTCATCACTTCACTTCACTTTCTTCAACAATTGTATCATTGGGTCTTGATGCTTCTTAATATCCCCTCTTTCTTCCAAAATCAAAACTTTATGTCTGTGAGAGAGAGAAAGAGTTATTGTCATACTTTGCACCATAACTATCTCATCATGAACTGCTAGTTTCCTCTCCATTTGGGTTTATGGAGATTCTTTTCTTTTCTGAAATTTATGGCCTTAGCTTTAGATTTTATTTGTTAGTTGTTCCTGGCTCAAAAGAAGCTAAGGTTCCCTTTTGTATGCATCTATCTCATACAATCCCCAAAACAAAAAATTGAACCAATTATCAAACCCCACACTAATTACCCCCACAATAACAACAATATTTACTATAGTAATAGTAACATTTCCCTTAGTTTGCAATAAAATACACAAACCCCAAGAAAATATATAAATATATACATATACTATATGATGATGGGAGGGGGGTGGGGAGGGCATGATCTCAAGTCCAGGCTTTGTCTCTTATGCCCCCCCAAAATTGTCCCTAAACAATTCAAAAACCTTATCATGTTTTGTCTGCTCCCCTTGCTCCTTTTCTTAATTTAACCAAAGTACAGATAAGAAGATATGATGATGAGTAGTATTCCTTAAAAACCATTAAAATATTTCTTCACTCACTCAACTCAACTCACCTTAGCTTTGTCCCTTTCTTGTTATGTTCCTTTTCCTCAAATCTTCCACCACTTAATTGGGGTTTTATTAATTCTCTTTCTCTTCTCTCCTCTTATTCTCCTTCTCCCCTCCATTGAATTATTCCTTCTTCTTGCAGCATCATCATCATCATCAACAACACAGGAGGTGCTGCTCATCTGACAGACAGACAGACAGACAGACATAATATTAGTTAGGTTTTGTTGGATTGATTGTTGGCATGGAGAGGGAGAGAGAGAGGGAGAGGGAGGCATTTTCAGGCAGCCAGATTGATGGGAAGGTCCTGCAGGTGTTCCAGAAGACGTTCGTGCAGGTTCAGAACATCCTGGATCAGAACAGGCTGCTCATCACTGAGATCAACCAGAATCATGAGTCCAAGATTCCTGACAACCTCACCAGGAATGTGGGCCTCATTAGTGAGCTCAACAACAATGTCAGGAGAGTCGCCCATCTCTATGCTGATCTCTCCACCTCTTTCACCAAGTCAATCGATGTCGCCGCTAATTCTTCCGACGGAGATTCCGCCGGCGCCGGAAAAGCTGCCCTCAAAAGGCACAGGCCTGGCTGATCTCATCTCCTCTTATCATCTGACCCCTCCATCACTTTAATTTTGCTTCAAGCAAATTTAAAGGATATATATATATATATAGTTTGGATTATGTAAGTTTGTAAACTCAACTCCCAAATTGTCCCCTCTGCCCTGAGTAGAACAAATAAATTAAATTGTGCCCTCTCATCTTTATCTCTAATTGAATCTATGGTTAGTTTCATTCTCTCTGTCAAAAGGGTTGGGGTGAGTTTTGATGCCAAGATTGGATTTTTTTTTTTAATTTTATGTTTTTCTTCAAACTTTGATGATGATTGAGGATTGTGTTGTTACCCTTTTGTTGATTGGTTAATTTTCTTCTGCAAAAAAGGGCTTTTGGAAGAAACCCTTTTTCTTCCTTTCAAAAAAAAAAAAAAAAGGTTTGGTTGGATTCACTCCATTCCCATGAAAACTCAGAAATATGCTTTTGCTTCTGTTATTTCCTTCACGTCCATTTTGCTTTGGCAAATTATATAAATAATTGACATTGTACAAATAATTCTACAAAGATGCTCTGAAATTGGTGAAGTAGAAAGAGAAGAAAAAATAAAGCAGCTTTTGGATAATCTTTTGAGTTCCCAATCACAGTCCACCACAGGAACAGAATCTCAGATGAGTGATGATGATGGTCTTTTGACCTTTAAAAAATAAAAAATAAAAATCTTGGGATGTTTTTTCTTTTATCTTTTTTTTTTTTTTGTTTGTTCTTGATTGGGAATTATGAATCAACAAAAAAAAAGAGGTAGGGGAGTTTGGATGGTTCAGACAAAGGAGAACAGTGCATTCCAAAGTGACAAACAGATATATATGTATCAACAGTGACATCCCAACAACTTGACAAGGAATAAATAGGGCCCCACTGAATTTGTTCATATTTTCCTCTTCTTACAAGAAAAAAGAAAAAAGAAAAAAGAAAAGTTTAAGAAGAAGAAGAAGAAGGGTCCACTTGGGTGATTTCTATGGGAAAAAATGGGCTTGTTCTATATTCTTGATTTAGTGTTTGTTGCATGGTGATTGGTTAGGAAAACCAGGGACCTCAGCTCCAGAGGTGTACCCCCGTTATGCATTCTCTCTGATGGTGTTGAACTCCCGGGAGTCTCCAAGAATTAGAGCCCTTATTATTATTATTATTATCTAACTCAATAAAGTTTTATAGTGAAATGTGATATGAAATTCTTAAATGTATTATTATTATTAATAATATTTCCATCATTATTCTATTATTGAAAATTTGTTTGGGTATACAAGATATGAATGTTTTGTAAAGCATAGCCCATCATCATCATTATTATTTCTTATTCAATCAATGAAATATGACAAAAACAAATGAGTTGGATATTTCACTTTCTATCAACCACTTAAGTATAATCATCTTCATCAATCTCTGCTTCTAATTATGCATCAAAATAAAAAATCAATAGTGATATCACATCAATCATTCTATTTAATTGACAGAAACTTACAACATAACATATAATCTCTATATTTTATAATTGCATCATGATCTTTCTACATATATATATACATTAATTAAAATTTTATTTCAATAACATATATTGCAGCTTTGCGCTAATGTCTGGAATGTGAATCATGTGAAGTTGCGAAAACTTTTGCAACAGCACCAGAAATAAATAGTACACATAAAAAAGTATGTTGGTCCCCATCCCATTCCAATGCACCAAAATAAAAATAAAAATATCTATCAAACAATATTTTTGAAAATGACCTAAATTGCTATTTTCAAGAAATTAAAATCCACGACTTGGGATTTGAAATTGGCCAAACTTTTAATTTATTTATAGCAAATCAGAAGAGCACAGGCAACATGGGAGTGAGTTGGCCGTCCCCAATATCCAATCCACAAATTAATTAAACTAACCCATGTGGTCTTAAAAATGTTTTAAATTAATTAATTGATATATGTTATATTTGTCACCACATGTGATTGCAAGAATCTCGTACCAGTTAAAATTGGTGTCAAATTAATTAAATAAACATGCTTGGGGTGATAAAACGCCATAGTCTCACCATCTCAACTACTGTTTGCAATTTAATATTTTGGGCAAGTTGAGATTAGCTACAGCTTTTACAAAAAGGATTAAATTATGCACTTTATCTTGTTATGATTATTACTGTTCGTTTTCATGGCTACGGCATCTTTGAACTTTCTAATTTTAGTATCCCTAAAGGGACATGTATTATTTATAGTAATATGAATTGAATGGAGAAAAGAGAAAGTGTGTGTGTGGGTTTTCTGTTGTTTCTTCACAGTTAATGGGCTTGGGCCTTTTGACTTGTTAGTATTTTTTAAATGTTGGGCCCAAAGCTAAGCCCATCTCAGCCTCGCGGTTCATTTTACAGCTCAGCTATAAAATTCCACCGTGGCTCAAAACCCTAATCCAAATCTAGGGCTTCGATCTTCTGCCGGATTACTGATCTTTGATCCCATAGGTTCCGACTCCCGAGCAAACTCGACAATGGCGACGCAGAGCAACATTAGCAAAAAGCGCAAGGTTTTGCTTCTGTTATGTGATTTGCGGACGTGAATGCGTTGTATGTGTATCACATTCATCTTTGATTATTACTATTATTTTTTTGGAACAATCAGTTTGTAGCTGATGGAGTGTTTTACGCGGAGTTGAACGAGGTGTTGATGCGTGAGTTGGCGGAGGATGGATATTCAGGGGTTGAGGTTAGGGTAACTCCCATGAGAACTGAGATCATCATCCGCGCGACGCGCACCCAGAACGTTCTTGGTTGTTATTACTTCCAATTTTTTTACGTTTTCTGAATCGATGGATATTATGTAGAAATTAATAGGTTCCTGGCTTGATTCTTTAATCTCTATGAATCTTCCACAGACCATCCTCCTTATTTATTTTTGGATTGTTTGCGATTTTATTGAAGTAAATTGGCTTGATTACCATAGGGGAAAAGGGGAGGAGGATTAGAGAGCTGACTTCCGTGGTCCAAAAGAGGTTTAAGTTCCCTGAGAGCACTATTGAGCTGTATGCCGAGAAGGTCAACAACAGGGGGCTTTCTGCCATTGCCCAGGCCGAGTCTCTTCGATATAAACTACTTGGTGGTCTTGCTGTCAGGCGGTATGGAATTATATATTATTGTTACTTCCTCACATATTCATCAATTGATATTCAGCTCACTTTATTTGTGGCTCTTATGGTACAGTATAAGTCATCTTGTTGTAGATTACCTGGTGATAGTGATTAGAGTATTGATGGCCTGGTAAATGTGCTTGGTTTGGCTACAAAAACTACTGCTTTAGCATTTCTTTTAGAATCTGCATCAATCTCTCCAGGAGAGAAAACTGCCAGAGTTTTCTTGGGAGCATAATGGCTGTAATAAATGTAGTAATTCTACTTAGATTGAGTATATAGTGGGTATTTACTTGCCTTTGATTTATAAATGATTTGGTATAAGCGTAATCAATTATTATGTTTGCATACCAAACTCTTGTTGAATGATAACTTAAAACGTTCTCCTCCTCCATGTGTTGTGATCATCGTAATTTTATCACTGTAAATATGGATCAATGAAGAGGACACATAAACAGTAATGTATTCTTGATATTGCTGAAAATTGTACCTTGCTTGGAGTTTGCATTTTAAGTTTGACAAGTTTGTATGATACCTGTGTATATAATCGATACTTACCTTGTCTTTATTTAATTATTATGTTTGAGGACAATTTAGCAGGAGGATTTTAGTATTGTTTATAAGCGGTGCTACATTTTAGTCCTGGTGCCTATTTTGTGAGTCGGGTGAATATTTCTTGAACATTAGAGTTCAGTTGCAAGTATGTTGTAATTATTTATAAACCACAGTTGTTGTCTTGTTGAAGGGCTTGCTACGGTGTACTGCGATTTGTCATGGAGAGTGGAGCCAAGGGCTGTGAGGTATGCCTATCAAGGCCAGCTTTCACCTAGATTTTCTAGATTCATACTGTGGTGCATGTTGAATTGATGCTTTTGATATTCGGTGACAGGTGATTGTTAGTGGAAAATTAAGGGCTCAGCGTGCCAAGTCCATGAAGTTCAAAGACGGGTATATGATTTCATCTGGTCAGCCTGTGAAACAATACATCGACTCTGCTGTTAGACATGTTCTGCTCAGACAGGTTTATTATTTTCTCTTGCCACTCAGACACCATTAATAGGCCTTCCAAGTTATTGTCTCGTCTGATATTTGTGCGTTCGCTTAGGGAGTTCTTGGCATCAAGGTTAAGATCATGCTCGCCTGGGATTCCAAGGGAAAGGTTGGTCCGACAACTCCACTCCCAGATTTTGTGAAAATCCATATCCCCAAAGATGAAGTTTTGAGGCCAGCCATTGTGCCGACGGAAGTCGAGCTGGAAGCTTAGAGGACAGCTACACCAGTTATTTGTTTCCCAGTTCCTTAGAAATATTTTTTTCAAAGATGAGACCAATCTAGAATAATATTATTGCCAATTCCTTCCTTGTGGCAATAAGTTTTGTTTGCATTGAACCAACCATAATGTTTTACCATTTTCATCAGTTTCAAACGTGAGTTATATTTTTGCTAGTGTTATTTTCCAACGAGAGCATTTTCTGCTGCAATTCCTCAAAATAAATTCCAATTTTATTTTAACGAATAAATTGAAATTCTGGTGAGTGAAAATGGGGTCATTATTTATTCATTCAATTATGTTTTATATTTGTAATATTCATACAGTATATACACATGTTCTATTTAATAATGTACGGTACTGAAAGAAATGCATTAATAATAGTTTATTGCGTATAGGCGCATCCCAACAGTATGTCGGTTTTGCCGCCATTTCAACGCTCCTTTTTTTTATTTACCAATTTGCCCTCGTAAGCCCTTCCCTGTATAAATAAACCGAAATTCCTCGTCCGAGATCCCTCTTTTTCTCATTCGTTATCTTCCCCTCCAATTTTCCGGTAATTAGGGTTCTCCGCTTTGGTTAGAGAACGAAATGCCTGTAAATCTGACGGCTAATGCTATACCGGCGATTTCCGCCGGAGACGTAAACTCCAAGCCGCTGGTGCAGGTGTTGGACATCAAACTCATAGGCTCTACGCAGGAGCGCTATCGCCTCCTCCTCTCGGACTCGGTGGTGAGTCAGCACGCCATGCTCGCCACTCAGCTCAATTCACGAGTTAAGTCTGGTCAGGTGCGCAAGGGCTCCGTCATCCAACTAATCGATTATGTCTGCAGCATCGTTCAAAACCGCAAGTCAGTAAATTATGTGTTATGTTACTTTATTTAATTTTTCTTTTTCGTGCAAAATTCCTCTGCATCTATCTGTAAGTGGATGACTTCTGGCTTCCTTCTGAATTTGACGTTGTTTGAGGGATTCGCGCTTTGTACTTTGGTGAATTATGAGTTGACATTTGCTTGTCCTTAGTACCGCAACATTTGTATTCATTAGGATGGAATTGAGGTGTATTATATGCTCCAGCATAGCAATGCGCATCTGCATAATAAAGTGGGAGCAACTGGTTGAAGTATGGAACAGGGCATGTTTTTTCGTTGACTTTAAGATAAACTGTTGGCTGATTGTCTTCTCAGAAACCTAATTTATTGTGCTATTGAGAAATCTGTTGTTGGACAAACTAATATCGCAGTAAGGGCAGACATGCTCACTAGAATATTTAAAGTTGATTCAATGTTCATTGGGATGGTGTTCAACAGTTTTCAATATAGCAATGCTCATTTGCACAATATAATGGAAAACATCTGATTGAAGTATTACACAATTCATGGTTTTCTCATTGACTCTAGAGTAACTGTTGGTCTCATTTCTCAGAAAGCTAATTTCATGTGCTTGTGAGAAGTCTGTTGTTGATGCAGCTAATATCATGGTTATAAAGGAGTTTTGTCATCATGAATTGTTTTCGTCTGTCAATTTGAATTGAAGTCTTTTTGTGCAGTCTAAAGCAATTCATAACTGCCAAAAAACCGACTTTAGAATAATGCTGTGAATTGTTTAGAACAGCTTTAAGCTCCTGGTTGAAGCTCATAAATGTACATTGTGCTTGCAGGATTATTGTGGTGCTGAACATGGAAACAATCATTCCAGATTGTGATATTATTGGAAACCCAAAATTGAATGAGTCTAATTCCATTCCTCCAAAGCCTGCCCCTGATGCTACTTCCGGACGCCCACCATTGATGAACAATCGCAGTGTTGGTACTCAAAATTCTACGATCACAAGTATTAGCCATAATTCGAGCTTACAAAGTCAAGGAAACAGCACACAGTTTTGTCCCACTGTTCAGCCCCCTTACAAACCACCTCCAAATTATAAAAATCATGGAGCAATCATGAGGAATGAAGCCCCAGCTCGCATCATCCCCATTGCTGCTTTGAATCCTTATCAAGGTCGATGGGCAATTAAGGCACGGGTGACAGCCAAAGGTGATATTCGACGTTACAACAATGCAAGAGGTGATGGGAAAGTATTCTCCTTTGATCTTCTTGACTCTGATGGAGGGGAAATCCGGGTAACATGCTTCAATTCAGTGGTTGATCGTTTTTATGATGCTGTCGATGTTGGAAAGGTCTATGTAATATCAAAAGGTAGCTTGAAACCTGCCCAGAAGAATTTTAACCATCTGAAAAATGAGTGGGAAATATTTTTGGAGACATCATCATCGGTGGATCTTTGTCCAGATGAAGATGCTTCAATACCTAGGCAACAATTTTCATTTAGAACCATTAGCAATATTCAGAACATTGAAAACAATTCTATACTAGATGTAATTGGTGTTGTGGTAACTGTGAACCCATCAGTTCCTATATTGAGAAAGAATGGAATGGAAACCCAAAGGAGAATTCTGAACTTGAAAGATCAATCTGGATTAAGTGTTGAGTTGACACTATGGGGAGATTTTTGTAACAGAGAAGGACAACAATTGCAAGAAATGGTAGGAGCTGGAATTTCTCCAATTTTAGCAATCAAAGCTGGTAAAGTCAATGACTTCAGTGGGAAGTCCATAAGCACCATCTCTGCTACTCAGTTGTTCATAAATCCAGATTGTCAAGAAGCTAATGCCTTGAAGGACTGGTATGCTGGAGGTGGAAGAGATAGTGTTTCTCATTCGATATCCAGAGATAATATAACAGGGGGATCGAAGAATGAGACTCGCAAGACTTTGACACAAATAAAAGATGAAGGACTAGGAAGGTCGGACAAGCCAGACTGGATTACAGTTAAGGCTACTATATCTTTCATCAAAACGGACTCTTTCTGTTACACAGCTTGCCCTTTGATGATCGGTGACAGGCAGTGTAGCAAGAAAGTAACAAAGTCTGGTAACTCTAGATGGCTATGTGATCGGTGCAATCAAGAGTTTGAAGAGTGTGACTACAGATACCTTCTTCAACTCCAGGTTCAGGATCATACTGGTGTGACATGGGTGACTGCTTTTCAGGAAAGTGGTGAAGAGATTTTAGGTTGCCCGGCCAAGGACTTGTACGCAATGAAATATGAATCAGAAGATGAAACCAGATTTGTTGAAACTATTCGAAATTGTCTCTTTTCAGAGTTTCTACTTAGACTCAAAATCAAGGAGGAGATTTATGGTGATGAGCAGAGGGTGAAGATAACAGTCGTAAAGGCTGAAAAGGTGAACTATGCCGAAGAAAGTAGCTTTCTCTTTGGTATGATATCAAAGCTCCATCTGCATTGAAGAAGATACTTAGTCTAGTGTTGTTCTTATCTTTATACCAACCATTAACAATCTGTTAAATTTGTTCACTGAGATTCTCAAATCTGCTTACAGCAAGGCAGATGTAATTGACTCTACATGAGGATTATATTTGATTGATTTCATAAATAAGAAAGTCATTCTTCCACTGCACAACATTGAGTCACGACAAAAATGTCTCCAAGCCCTTGCTGTGTTGCCTCTTTTGTTTATATAGTGCAGGAAATGTGCATGGAATGGATCCGTCAAAAGCAGACAGGGTTTGGGTAGCATCTAATAACTCAGCATAGATGTCCGTAACTCAACGGTAAACTTTTGTCTATGTCAGCCTCCATTAAGAACACATTGACATGAATTGTTGGATAGTTGATTACATGATCAAACTTATGATCATTTGCTTTCTAACAAGATCTTTTATGCCCAAAAGAGTAAAATTTGCTACAGACTAGGTACGAGAATCACGCCTTTGCAGAATTTACAAGGAGGAAATAGAGGCACAACAAGAAGAAAGGGCAGCTTTACAAGTGAAGTATGCAGAAGAGCCTCCAAACAAAATTAGGCTCCCTCAAGATCAAGATGAAGACTGAAAAGGTACCTAATCCTCCTCCGGCTCATCGGACCTCCACTTCCACTTCCTGGGGCAGAAGATGGTACCTAATCCTGAGCTCTTCAAGGATCCTCTTGAGTTCCAAAACAAGGTCAGATCTTCGATTGCCCCTCTCCCCCGCATTTTGGAAGTTTAACGTATGCGTCACGTAAAGTTCCATAATCATCTTGTCCGCATCTACTATTTCCTTCATCTGCACCATGTGGTTTGGATTCCATTGCTGAGGCTTACTCTCCAAATACCTGAACATCCATTTATCCATCATTAACATTTAACATCAATTAGTCGCAACCTGTTATAATTAGGAAGATGGATTTCAATTATACGCACACTTTTATTTTGCTTTTCAGGGCAGCTATGCTCTCCACAGAAGTGGAGAAATCGACAGCAAACTCCACAGAATCACCCATCATCTCGGGGCTTCGGTTAAAGTTGCTTATAGCTTTGGTGGCCAACACTGCGTTCGGATAGTACACCTTCTCATTGTCCGGTTTCAGGAAGATTGTTGTCAGAATGTTCATCTCATCGACAATCATCTGGAAAGTTCTCAGCAATCAGAATGAACAAACTCAGCTGAACAAAAGGATAAAACCTTGATTTTTCAGTGGCCGGAAACACATTAGTTACCTGAGCACCTTCAACAACACAGCGATCTCCGACATCAAATGGGTGCACAATGAAGACGAATATGATGGCTTCGAATACTGTTTTAGCAGTGTTGCCAAACATGAAGACAACGAGCAAAATCTGAGACGCGATGAACACCAATACTTGGGTGGTTGCGATCTCCATTAAAAGGAACCATACTATGATTATCACTACCAGGATAAGCGCCGACGCCAGCCTGTTTAGCTCCTCGATGGCAGTTTTGGCATCGGTAAGAGAATGCGCTAGGTACTTTCTCTCGTTATAGGCCTTTACCTGCATTCGAAAATTATATATAGTTGAAGTTAGAGATACATGATTACTGTTTTCCTTGATATTGATGATTATCTCACCACCCAATTTCTGAAGGCTGATCTCTTGATCCTTTTAGACTCTGCAGCTCCTTCGAACAGGGGAATAGCGTTTTCAACCTCTTCTTTCGGCAAAAAGCGCAGGAGGTCGTCTTCTTCGATGTATCTACAACAAACAACACAACCACATCAGTTAAGGATATTCAACATCTGGATGAGGTATATGATTGGTATAGTTTTTAAATTACTTGTGTCCTTCCTTTGCAACATTTTTGAAGATTCTATAGGCAGCTTCCCTTGCTTCGACCTCGCTATTAATAGCCGCCATCGGCTGCTCTTCTGACTCGTCATCTACGCTCTCGTCAATCGTATCATAGACGGTGCGCAGCGCCGAATCCCTTATAACTCCAATCAGCCCTTTCATGGTCCAAGCAGACACTTTCTCCCTCTTCATCTTGTAAAGCTTATCGACATCAATGACCTCCCCGTCCTTCGCCTTCTTTCCGGCATTCGGTCTCCTGAAACTCAACTTCCCACTACTTCGCCTAGAAGAGACTCCTTCGGAACTGTTTGTCAGCAATGGAGGCCCCGATAGAGCCTGCAGGATGTACTGATGAAATATGGATTCTTGAATCCTGTCGAAATAAGTCCTAACATGGAACGAGGATGCTATGAGCTTGATGAGTAATGTCTTCAGCAGCCACAGAACTGCCCCGACCAGAGTCGACACGATCCCTCTCGTGATGTAATAGCGAACTCGGGAGGCCTTTTCGTCGACCTCTACGTTGATCAACACCAACCATGCCACGAGAATCAAGGCCAGCCAAAAGACGATGCGCACGCTCTTCTTCAACCCGAAGACAAAGTACAGAACCTTCTTCTTGAGCAGAAAGTTCTTTTCGATCAAGAACACGAGGGCGTTGGTTAGCCATTCGGTGAAGAGACGGCCGCAGAAGATCACCATCACCATCAAGCTCCATCTCCAGAGGTGAATTTCTAGACCCCAAATTTGGAAACCTGTTTTCAGTTTGTTAACTGTTAAACTGGCGATCAAAACGGTCGTTATGGTCACGAATGCAGACCATTCGATCACCTCCACCGCTTTCGTTTTCCTGCCCTTCTTAGCCTTATTGCCAGCCCTGACGCTATCTGTTTTGTAGACCTCCTCGTCGTCCCCGCCCACACTATTGTCACCTCCCGTTAACGGCGTCTTTGGAGTCTGTTTTGGCGATGCGACGGGAGGTGCAGGTTGTGGCTCGATTGGCTTGGATTTGAATGGATATGGCGGCTCGGCTATCCTGGACTTGGGCTTGGCATAAGCTGAGGTTCTTCTTCTGATGGGTTGGGGAGGCATTGGTGAAGGCTGTTGAATTTGAGGTGAGGAAGATGGTGATGGAGATGGAGATGGAGGTTTAATTGAAGTTTGAGGGTGTGTCTGTGTAGTGGTGGAAAGTAGAGCTAGTTGGAGCATGGACAGCTCCGCCATTGAAGGGTTATGGTGATGGTCCTGGACCTTGAGGGGTGGTGGTTCAGATTTGCCATTGCCAATATTATCTTGGGAATAATGGATTTTGTCGGGCTGAATCTCCACTACAAAGGTTTCGTTTTCTGATGATTTCTCCCCTCCTTCCATTGAAGATGAGGAATGAAAATGATGAGGTGAAGTTAGTTAATTCAGCCTGCTTATAGTTAGCATTGAAATTTCAATGTTGAGGAGGTGACTCCAAAGTCCACACGACATGGCATCATTTGTGGGCGAACACGACAGTTGCAAACTATGGTAGTCGGGAAAGATGTTCGAGCAAATTTTTGATTAAATCTAATAGTCTGCAAACTATTGAAGTGATATTGCACTTATCCTAAACAAGATTTGTGTGGCAAATAAAATAAAAAAATTTCAAAATCATGATCTAATACATTGAAAGGGTCACAAGTTTACTCTTGACACCGTACCATCTCTTACGGGACAAATGGTGATTATTTTAGGAAAGGGGATAGAGTTCAGCACTCGAATTATTTAAAATTAATTATTTTGATTTACGTAATTAATTAAAATAATTAATATAATTATATGTTATAAATTTTTAGTATCAGCACTATCCTTTCCCATATCTTAATTGTCATTTTGGCTGTTCTTTCTTATGCATAAATGTCATGAAAATGTGTGTCTATATAATTTACACATCACCACGCTCCCAAAAACGAATATAGCAAAGTCAGTTTTAAGAAACCAACAAAATATGTACTGCGTCGAACTCGAATTGATTGTTGGCGGTTTCAGCAACTTAAATAAAATCTCACTGAAATTGGTATATGATATCACCCTTAACTCTTTAACGTCTCCTTGATATATTTTTGAAATTAATATATAAATATATTTATTTGATTCAATTGTCAAGTTACAGAGCTATCTAACAATACATACAAAATATTGATATATGTAATCATATTAGAATTATCGAAGCCGTTCAAAAGAAGACTTGTAAGTAATCAAAATGGATTTAGATTTTTGTGTTGAGTCCGAAGATTATTTTGTTTGCAATTACTTTGATATCGACAATTTATTAATTTGGAAAATGACCAAATTTATATATTTGTAAGAATATGTAAATAGGATTTGAGTTTATGCTGATATATGTTAGTCGGCTGACAATTCAATTAGTTGGATACGTGTTTAATGCAAATAACATAAATTAATGGTTTGATTAATCAATATTAATGACTTTTAACTTGCTTGTAATGAACATATTTTTATACCTCACAAATTATGTTATTTTATATATATATATATTAACATATGATGTTTGTATGATGGTTAGAATGCTAATTTTATTTAATCAAACATGATGCTGATTTAACTCGTAAATATTTGTATTGAGTCGAGTTATGATCACCAACGACTCAAGTACCGGCTACTAGGGCTCAACTCGGCTGGTCGCAACCCTAACACTACAAAATTCTAAACTTTCTAGTATTATATACAAATACATGTTATATCCACACAGGAGACTATTTATATAAATAGATCTCTTGTATTAAAATTATTTAATATCAATGTCGACTCAAAGGACCACAACTTGTATTGAAATAGATCTTAATATCTATACATATATATACCACAAGTTGTATTAATGGTTACATAAAATGACCAATTCGCCCTTCACAGTAAGAAAATGTTTAGTCTTTGTTTGTACATTTTTGTGATATATGTGTGTGTACATATATATCACACACACACACACACACATAAATGCTATATTCAACAATCTGAGATACTACTGTTGCCTGAAAGCAACACCTTACCCACACTACCATTTTAGAGCCAACCAGCAAAATCAACATCAAGCTTCTTCTTACTCGTCTGCCCAAGTATAATTAAAATTTTGGATTACATGTTGGCCCCATTAATGTCTTGTTCCACAATATATAAAACTAGTCTCTTCTCTACTCATCCCCACACTATTACATGATAACTATCAATCCCCTACAAACTCTATCTAAAACTTTCAAGAAAACAACATTCATCATCACATCGCCATGGGAGACCCTCCAAGCTCACAGCCACCACCTTCACCAACTAGATCCAACCTATCTACGTTCTACTATGGCATAGTCGTGGTAGGAACTGCAGCTATCCTTCTTGCACTCTACAACATGCTCGTTGTAAAGTTCTGCATAGATTTGAGGGATCATAGTCTCCGGCAGAGGGCTAGAAGGGGCAGTCCAGGAGGCATATCGAGGCGGGATTTCCATACCTCAATTTTTAGCTTCAAGTACAACAAGAAAGAGAAAGAAGCAATTGATGAAGAAGGTGACACTGAATGTGCAATCTGCTTATCAGTTTTCGAAGAAGGTGAGGAGTTAAAGCAGCTGCCCAAGTGTAGGCACTGCTTTCATGCTCCCTGTATCGATATGTGGCTTTATTCCCGCATGGACTGCCCCCTCTGCCGTACCCCCGTGGTGGAACCACCCGCCCCCCACGGGGAACCTAGTGCCCAACGGCATGATGCCATGTGGCATTCAGAGGAAAGGCTGCTAGGTTTTCCTTACGTGGTTTAGATGATAAAAACCACAGCTGCGAAGGTGTAGAGCAGTAATGTTTGTGTACATAAAGTGCGGTAGAAATTTTATGCAGGCATAAGAAAGTCAAATGGTAATAATGAAGGTGTTATAAAGTGGTGCACACAAATTGGATCTGTCATGTGTTCTTCACTTATGTGTTCTAAAATTCAGAGATTCAATGTAGAGGCAGGCACAAGAATCTATTTCTGATACGTAGCTCGTGGCCAAAATCTTATATAAACTTCAATATGTTTCAAACCGGGCATATATAAAAACATTTTCACAAATATAACAAGCTCGCATTGCATATCATGTGTCACCAGAGCAATATATATTACAAACAAATTACATCCTCCTTAAATTATCTAACCTGGCCTGGAGGTCACTGTCTATGCCGCCATCATCATTTCCTGTTGCCTCCGCTTGTGGGACCTTATTCTTAGAAGCCGGAGTGGCTACAGTCGCAGAGGGAGCGTCAACAAGCTGCATTAACATAACAGATGTAAATTCATTTTGTGATTCGGGTGCATAAAACTGGAAAGAGAGAATAAGAGAGCTGAACCTGTACCTCAGAATTGATACCAACACCAATCTCGTCAAGAACCTGATTCACCAGTTCTTCGGTCTCTTCTTCTTCCTCATCTCCTTCAAGTGCATCATCAATGGCATCCGCCATCACCTCGCTGGTCAATTCCATCCTCTCATTCTGCCTTTCAAATTCTTGCATTATCTTTTGCAGAGAGGGAAGGTTCATCTGTCTATTCATTTGACCCATCGCTTTAGTGACGCCTTTCATTGCCTCACCCATAGCTTGTGTTGATTTTAGTGTCTGTGAAAGAAATATTTCAATTATAGAAGCAATTTGAGGCTTTGAAAATATAACTGAATCACTTATTTGTAAACCTCCTAAAGAACTGGATGCAATATTTTAAAGCAAATCTCAAGAAGCCAAATATTGGCAACAAACCTGAATTCTGAGGGAAACACCTTGAAGTTGAGATTTCAGCTTGTAAAACTTTTCAATTTGATGTCGTGTTCTAATCAGATCTTTCGCCATCACCCTAACAGCTCCCTGTCATAATAAAGTTTGGAATTACCATATTGAGTTAAATTGGATCACAAACTTTTCTAGAATTGAAAAACTAAAAAATAAAACAATGGCCAATGGACAATGCTTGGTAACGGAGGTCAGAAAGTCATCACTGTTTTCAGGAAACAAATTCAGAACCTAAACAACCAGGAAATAACAATCCTCCAAGGTATGATTTCCATAGAATGGCAAATTTATATAAATTAATAGAACTAGTTTCACAAATTCAGCAAAATCACAATGCAACCATTTGAGTCGGCTCACACAAACTTCAACTATTTCAAGCATGGATTTGGAAATTACAATGTGTGTACTTCAAAGATACAAAACTATCAGCCAAAATACTCCAGTACAGGTGAATCACAGACTCCATATTTCTGCAGCATACTTAAAGTAAAAAACCAAATAACAAGTCAGCTTCTGTTGCTCTTCAATGCTTTGAAGCCTTTAGTAACACCAACTGTAATTTTTCAAAAGCATAGCTTTCTAATTAAATGCTAAAATTGAACAGTGGACATTAATATCACACAGCATTGCCACATCTCAGTTAAAGAGCATATGATTAATCAGAGGAACATCTCATCGTACCAGCAATGAATAAAGAGAAAACACAAACTTGAGAAAAATATGGCAAAATTATAGATGCTTATTAAAAATATTATGGGAAGTCTCAGACCATCTGCCCTTGCTTGGCACTTTTCTTTATCTCTGCAATGAGCTTCTTTTCTTGTGTTTGTAAGCCCTGTCTCTCCCTTTCAATTTCCCGAATTGATTTATCCAGCATTCTTTTGTTTTCCCGCAAAAGTTCTGCAAGTTACAAAAGACAGCATGATCTTCACATACATCCCCAGTCCAAATTACCAAATACACGCATTTAATGGCGCTTTGCATCAGTGTTCGGTAATACGGCATCAATATATAAATGCTAATGATTCAGTTATGTGTTTGTAATGAATTTCAAATTTATTTGGGTACATGGCGTGCAACTGCAAACAAATACAATACTACCGAGTTTTCCACCTCATCAGTTGCAACCTTTCAATCTCTTCACCCAAGTGCTCTAAAGCTCTCAAATACAGTACTCGTTCAAACGACCAACTTGGGCTAAAACTTATGCTACAGTGCTCTTATCTTCTACTATCTACTTTGTCTGGTTGTAATTATCCAAGAATTTTAGGTTTGGGTGAACCCACGGTTATTGTAAATTGATTACATTTTGAATAATATTTTGAGCTGAATCTTACGTTAAACACAGATTATGCAATGGCATGGCAGAATTCAGGGACTGCACTAAAATTATTGTAAGACTTTGCAGATTCAGAGATAGCAGAATTTAAGAGAATATCCAATTTCAAAGAGAGTCGTGGAAAAACCTCTGTATAGGCTTAATGCGAACAAAATTGCTCAATGTTCTATCGAATTTCTCTACTATCTCCAAACGGAAGGCTTAGAAAATTAGAGCACAATCTTGTAATCTACAATTCGAGTCTAAATTAGATATCTTTAAACCCTATTGAATAAATAATCATATCATCATCGTCATCAAGTCCTTCAGACAATTTTAAGATCATCCAAACCCAAAATTCTTAGTGAAAAAATAGAATTCCTCAAACCCTGATCATCAATCCAAATATCACCGATCAAACAAAAGACCTAACAATCAAACCCGAAAAAAAATGCATACACGAAAAACATATATATTGCTTGAAAATAAAGGAACCTGCGGGCGTCTTCCTCTTTCCAAAAAGGAAACTCATGGCTATCCGATGAATCGATTAGCTTCAGGCGGAAATTTTCAGATCGGCTAAAGAAACCCGCGACTTTTATATGAATAATTGCAGCGTTGATGGCATAAACCACACGACGAAGTTTCGATCCAAAAAGCAGTCCAACTAAACCATTACGCGGTAGATCATAATAATAATAATAATAATAATAAAATCAATAGAGCGTGCAATCCCCGTGGGCCACATTGATTTTGGGCGGAATCTTAACAAAATGGGCCTTTATTATTGAAGCAATTTTAAAATTGGGCCTAAAATAGAAAGAAAACCCAATCAGTCAAAATCACAAAACAAATCAATGAATCTACTAAAATTGAAACACTACAAATTCTACTGTCATAGTTGTCCCATATATATAAATTTTTATTTTGCAAGGCAGGCCGGGCACACTTCAGGACCGTACAATAAAACTATTGGGTCAGTGGGGGCCGATCACATGCAAAGAACAGTTTCTTAAAGCATGTGGACATCTATAATCTATTACACAAACATATCAACACCTATATGATCTATAAAATTAAAAATACCCAACTATTTCTTTTAATTTTTTTTTAGTAAAAATGTAACATACTTACGTTTAATTGTGGATTTAAAAATCACTTACTTCGTATGTATGTGTGTATGGTAAAGGTCGTGATAAAGTTGAGAATTTTAATAAATAAATTGAAATTTTGAGAGATTCATAGATGCATAGGATCCCAACGGTGGAGTGGACAGGCATACATACAATACATAGGTCAAGTTTTGAATTTTACAGCCAAAGCAGAGACAAAGGTGTCAAGGGAATTAATTGCTGTGCTGGTACGACATGCAGTGGTACACGTGGTCAGGACATATGTATGTCTCCTCCCTACACCTCTCTTCTGATCTTATATTTAATTAATTAATTAATTAAAATGTAAATATATATATATATTATGTGTGTGTACTAAAATAAGGAAAAAGTTGGGGGAGATTTTTGGTATCAGGCATTGCACTGTACTACTGTGTGAAATGGAGCAGTTGAAATTAGGAATATATGTATTTAAAAATATATATATATATTAGAGGTGATTATGGCAAAGGAAGGCCGAAAAAGTTGCAAAAGAAGGTTGAAAAAATCTACAAGTGTTGGTGCAAAAGTAGGGATTGCATGTGCGCAATGATGCTCATATTTTGACTTTCTGAGATTCCCTCTCTATCTCTATATTCTTTCTAATATTAATTAATTAATTAATTAGGATTTTGCTTTTGTGGGTGATTCGATTCAATTAAAATCAATTCTCACTCATCAAAACCACATTCTATATTTATATAATTGATTCATTACAAAAAAAACCCACCGTGTTAATTGCATGCATGTGTGCTTGCTTGCTTTGACTTTAAGTACTGCTGTATTCTTATTACAGTACTGGACAGAAGATGAAGATCAATCATGTAATGTGATCGATTTATGTCACTTTTTTACCCTAAATTTGTCCAAAAGTACACACGCAATTGAACACAGCTGAACCCAATTATATCTTCATATATATACACTGTAAAATTAAATTGTGTTTGTTAATTTGTAGTCCCCATAATGACACATGAATAAGGTGGTTTGTAAATTGCATTTTAAAAATCCCTCAAAAGCAATAATTAAAGCCAAATCATATTTTCTTCAATCCAAAGACACATATGGTCTCTTCCCCATCATTGCCCTTGTCCCATTATTATTATTATTATTTTTTATATTTTCTTAATTTTATTTTCTTTTATTTTACCCCTCGAATTCAAATTAAATAGCAATGTGCGATGCAAGTGCAAGCAAGAACTAATGTAATTCCGTTATTGTTAATCATCGCAACGTGATACAAATTCAGGAACTAAATTTAAAATAAAATCAGATTTAATCATAATTGTAACAATAATAATTAATATTGGGTCGATTATTTTTTACATGCGTACATGCAAATATCATCAGAAAATCTGACGATGATTCGCAATGGCCTGGTTGATCTCCACACTGGTGGTTCCGTACACCGGCAGTTCTTCCTCGTACAGACATGCTCGTCCGATGTTCTCGAGCTCGAAGAGGTCGGAGCTGGCGCAGCTCCGGTCGTCGACGTCGCTCCCGTTGTTATTTTCATACAAATCTCGGAACTCATGATGCCGCCGCAGGTTCTTGCCCTCGCCCAGGCGGAAACTGTTGATATTCTTCTTAATAAAATGGCTGCCGACGACGACGCTTGGAATCGACGCGCTGCCGACGGGGCATTCGTCGCCGTCGTTGATGTACGTGTCTTTCTGGCCGCAGGGTCGGCTGTCCTGGTCGAGAATCACGCTGACGGGGCAGAACCTGACGGATCTCTTCGATTTCCCGGCCCCGCCGGAGGAGTGATTCTTGCTCAGGCAGGACGTCGCCGTCGCCGTCGTGTCTTTCATCGATCTCGACTTCCTGACGGGGTGGTGGAAGTCCTCCAGGGCCTGGTTTTTCTTGAGGTTTCTCGGGCTGAAAATGGAGTTGAAGAAACTGGCAATTTTGCCTCCAGGGGAGCTGGGCTCCTTGACCTTCTTCAAGTCGCCGTAAATCTTCATGGCCCTGGATTTCGTCCTGGTGAAACGGCCCTCCCGCTTGGGCGCCGGTTTGATGGTGGTGTTGGCATGTTTGGAGGATCTGGAGGAGTCGGTCTCGGAGGAGGAGAAGGCGCTGGAATCGGTGGAGGAGGCTGAATTGGAGGAGAAGTGGCGGGGGGCGTAGTTCTCCATCCATTTCTCGACCATGATCGCCCGGCGGAGGCTTTCGATCTCGGCCTCGACCTGGGCGGCGTGGGTCCTCCGGTCGGGGCGGGCCTCTCTTTGGTCGTCGATGGAATGGTAGATGGCGTCCAGCAGGGAGGAGGAGAACGACGGCGTTTTGCAGCGGCGGGGTCGCTGCACTCTTTCCATGGGAAAGAAAATAGATTAGATTAGCAGGGAAGAAGAGAAGGAGGAGACAGTGAAGTGAAAATTGAGAGTGTGGAAGTGAAAAAGCCAAATGAGACGGGTTGGATGTTGGTTGGGGACAGAGCAAAATTATTAGATTAGACTAGATAGATCAGAGCAGAGAGAAGAAATTGAACAGTAGGTAGGGAGGGATGGAGATGGAGGGAGTAGGGAACTCAACGAACTGTAGACAGAGTGTAAGAAAGTGCTGCAGAGAGTATTTATAAGTGCCGTAAAAGGAAGCTTTAGCACGCGTGCGTATGGTAGTATGTGTGTGTAAGAAATGTATGTATAGGTATGGATGTGACAGAGTGGCCACGACTGGCCTGGCCTGGCCTTTTTGTGCGTGTGTGTTGCAGGCAAGTACTGTACTGTTTGTTCATTTCAAAAGACCAGATCAGAGTGAAGAGGAGAACGGGTGGGGGGCTCATAGCCATAGGTATATGGTCATATCATATGGGATGGTTCTTACATGCTGGGCTGGCATGGCAGGTTCCTACTTCGAGAGTGAGAGATTAAATTAGAGGGAGACACCACCATATAGTTTATTAATTAATATGCTTGTAGTTGCATGAGAAGATGCTTGAGTTGTATCTGTTGCCAATTTTATTCCTGTTTGTTTTTTTCATTTCCCCAGATTTGGAATCTCTTTGCATGCATGTGTGTGTAAGAATTTCCAATACGGATGTTCCCGTTTATTTAATACTCCACTACATAAATATATAATCTTTCATTCTCTCTCTCTAATATTATAATACTTGTGTGTCATGAGTTGCCCTTCTTTTCCTAGCCATCGAATTCTTTTATCTATTTTCACTCTAGTACAAAAAATAAAATTAAAAAAATACTCTAGTGAACACACTAGTCAGTAGTCAGTACTCACTTGCTGCAGCTATATGTACCTATAGATTCTCAATTATTGCATTGAAGGAGAGTTAAAATGTGGTGTACCTCTAGAGCAAATGTAGCCATGTAGGGTGTAAATCCATATTCAAGAATCCCCAAAATACAAGCATGCATACATATACAAACATAAAGAAGCCCAGAATTTAATTGAGTACTCACTCTAGTTCTCTTCTCCCCTTGGTAATATACTAATCTGTGGCTTCTCAAAATAGCTAATACTTACCCACTTTGGTAGTCAAGAGGACCTCCCTCGGCCATTGGGAAATAATGAAGCATATCTGAGCATTCAGATGCTTTGGATGTGCAGGATGATCACAAGTATTGTTTGTGTACCCTTGCTCGATTCTCTTCCCACCACAATTTAGCATGTATCTCCCCGAATTGCTCTCGACTGAATATACACGAGCAATCCAAGATTAGTGTGGACTGTGGAGTATAATTGTGTTTATGTATTCAAAATACATAGCATCTAAATTCAAGATTAGTGTGGACTGTGGAGTATAATTGTGTTTATGTATTCAAAATACATAGCATCTAAATTCAATACTGATTACTGACCTGAACCTCACACGCCTGAGTTCTCTCTTACCGTCAGGCAGAGCCCGGATGGTGATGTACACACCGGGCTCATCCTGCTCGACCCACTCGCTCTCCAAATCACTGGCATTGCTGACAGATATATCTTCAGAGCGATCAGCATCTCTGGAGGAGCTAGTCCTCATGGAGGCATTCATTGAGGATGTTTCTGTCTTGGTGCCACCGCTGATGTTTGAGAGCTTGGGAGTTGAGGCGATGCCACAAGAATCATAGTTAGACCGGGAATTCATCGACTGAAGGTCTAGGGAATCAGATGAGGAGTACGCCACCCCTGTTCCATTTGGTCGATTTATCGTATGAGGAAGCGGTTCTCTACCAAGTGACGGTGTTGCAGGACTGTCCCCAATAGATCCAATCTTTGAACTGGTATCATCTTCAGATCTTGGAGTTGCTGGAAGAGGAATGGAACCAGGACTGAATCTTTGCACGTTGTAAAGCTCCATCACTTTCTCAGAGTTCTCAGCCCACCACCTCTGAGCTTGCCATTTGTTGAACATGTCTCGGCTAAACAAACAAGCCAAACATCAAGAACCGGTCAAAAACAAAATCATGTCTGAGAGGCAATAAGCTCCCAATATAACAGCTGACACATTGTAATTTGTATAGAGAAAAAATCTCAAGAAAGTGGTCGAAGGCCACATTTAACTCAAGCAGTCACAAGAAATCCAGCATAATTCGTGAGAGACTAACTGCATCATTCAAGCCAATCAAGAATCTCCACTAACTATACTTAGAACTACAAATGGGCTGTTGTATATTATTGACAAAGCCACTAAGTCGGACCAATTAAGGACCCTGTGAATGAAAAATTGGAGTTCACACGTGTATGAATTGGAAATCATTTGACTTTGCTTAGAGGGCATGCAACAACCATCCCACGAAATAATGGGGGGTGGGGGAAGCAATATGCCAAGAAAGCAAGCATGATTAAATCATGTCACGGGAATGGAATGGATCGCAAGTCGCAATCCATAAATGGACCAAAATGTTAAGGAAATCGAATCTGATGCATGACTACTTGGTAGAGTACCTGCCCAAAGCCATGTGTTCATTATCGTAAAGCAGCGACAACGCATTAAGTGATCAATTGGTAGTGTTTCACCTTTCTCTCCAGCTATTAATGTTTCTTCTGTACCTTTGAGAAGTCTCCATAGGGGACCATGACAAGAGTGTATTGTTCATTTAAGGAACCAGTGATGTATGTGCACCAAACTAACACACATATAACATACTCTTAGAATAAAAACCCGGTTTCAGTGTTTTACCCCGGTAAAAAAAAAATAAAGAAGAAAAAATTCACCTAGTAAGAGAAATAAGAAATTAAAAGCACACAGCTAGACTGGCTTCTTGTTCTTGTTCAGAAACCAGTATGATCAGATGCTATCTTGTCATCACTCTGGTTTTGGAGTGACAAGATTTGCACTTTGTTTCCAACACGACTCCCCCTAGAGTGAAACAAGAAATAGTTCCCAGGAAGATGACAAACCAGAGCCAGGCGTGAAAATGATAGACTCGCCATACCCCGACAGGCCAGCAACAAGTAGTAAAAGGAACCCGACACCATGAAAACAGGCCCACCAAAGAGTTTCAATGGGTTTGCCCTTAGGACTTTTGAAAAAGATATAAATGCAATGCAAGGACGGGCTGTGACTATCAATTATCATTTTCGGTTGTAGAGAATTTTGTTCAAAGTATTAGGTAAGCTTCAGCATTTGGCAGTTTCCTAAAATCTCTCCGTAATTTATTGCCTGTCTATTTTTAATGCTGGAATTATCGATCTTCTACCTAGACTAAACTTGTTCTAGGCCATCATAGCCCAGATAATTCCAGTACTCATCAATCATTTCTTTTCCAAATATCAGCTCATATAAATGCCAATATTACACTAGTATTAAATTTTCAAATTAAATTGATCTTTCTTTGAAAAAAGAAAAAGGCACTACAGCCTAACTTTCTTTTCTCTAAACTTTTCCATATGACAACAATATCACTGACACTTACCAAAGAAAACATAAAAACTGACAGACGCTGATTTCCTATGGGCACAAACAGGGGCTGGATATTAATTCTTTACTGTCTAATGTCATGGCAGTTTGCCAAATCCCCAAAAAATGCTGCTAAAAAAAATCACCAGCTAACAACAAAAATCTTTCTTCAGTATGTTTATTTACTGTTCAAGCTAGTGAACTCTTCTACAACCTTTAAAGTCACCTTTTATGCTATGAAAGGACAGAGCATAAAAACAGAAGGTCGCCAATTTTATGTAATAATAACCAAAAGAACCTTTTTATTGCATTTTATTGTTTTCATCTATGTTTTCCAATTTTTTAAGCTCCCACAGGGCATAAAGTTGAAGGTGACTTGATGGGTTAAAATCTTCTACCCCTCATTTTCTATATTCCTTTTGTCCCCTGATTTATCGTAATTTCTGCATAATCATTAGAAAGTACAAACAATCCTACAATTCTTTGACAACTCTTTAACAAGTAAAAAAAAAATACCATCAATATTCACAAGAAATTAATTATGTCTAAGCGCCTTTCCCTGATGGTCATAAAGCCCAATTAATAGGCATTGAGCAGATGTTTTCAACACCTAATAAGCTTAAATGATGGCTATTTAACTATACCAATCATGCCAAGACATAGGCTCCACTCACAATTTAATATTTTCCCACTGATTCTTTGTTTTGTTCCCCTCTCTCCCCCCCCCCCCCCCCCCCCCCAAAAAAAAATGTAAAATAATCTCCTATCACATTAAGTTCTTAAATATTTATTAATTATTTGACTATTTGTCTCAAAGGAAGAAACTATTGGACTAAAAAAGGTGATGAAATGGAAATTATGTAAGTGGTCCGCATGGCTACCCATTAGTATACTATTCTACGAATCATCTGATTTGTTCATCTTTGTTTTATTCATTATTCTGCATTTGATGTTTAACTAACAAACAAAACCTTTAATTCCTGCAATAAAATAAATAAATAAATAAAGTGCGAAATTACCAAAAGGGGTCACCTGAATCGAATCCGCTTGAGATCATTGCCTCCGCGCGGTAAGGACAAAAAGGTAATTAGCACACCGGCTTCCACCTGAGCCACCCACTCCTTCGGCTCGTTCTCCTCGACGAACACGACGGGCTCGACTCGCCGTCCGCTTGCCGACGCCGGCGTCCTCTCCCCGCTGGAAATTCCCTTCAGCCTCGCCTCCAGCTCCCTCCGCCCCCACGTCGAGCTTCCAGTTCGACGGTACGACCATCGGAACTTCTCCAAAGCAATCGAATTCGAATCCATCTCGCCACCGGTAACGCCGCCTCCGCAGCTCCCGTTCCTCCGGTGCTCGGAAATTGGCACGCAGTGGCGGTAAGCACCCGACGCCTTCAACGCCATGTCCTTGATCTACGAAGGATTTTCATAGACATAATTTTCAGAAGCAAAATTCCGGAGGGATGCGTACTAACCGTCACATCATTAGATGAAAAACCTGAGAGGAGAGTGCTTTGATGGCGTGTTTGTTGACGCCGGCGTTGGGGTTGAGTTTCTCGTCGGATTGATGATGGTGAAGAACACGATCAACGGGCGGCAACTCATCGCTCGCTTCCTTCGAACGTACGCATGTAAGCATTCTCGCTTCGATCAAATTCCTCAAAATTATCTTCTCCCCAAAAATCTAAGCCACAAACAGACACACCAACGCAGAAGCAAAAATCAATACACCTAGCAAAAAATTTCCCTTCAAAACACCAATTGATTTCCCCAAAACCACCAGATATTAAGCATCAACATCAACTTACCCGTGGAAATTACGAAACGCCAAAAAAAAGGAGACAAATCCTGTAGAACCGAGAAAGTGGCTCAAACGGAATAAGGTGAGAAGCAGTTAGTGGTGACGAAAATGTAAATTTAATGCCGCCCCATAAAATGTGCCATCACAGAGAGAGATTCCTGTTCACCATAATTAATTATACAGTACCAAACAGCATGAGTCAACACTGCATTCATCCAGCACCATATTAATACACACAGACTCTGTTAGGTATGAACACAAAATTGGGCTTTAGGCACCGCGAAGAAAAAGAAGAAGAAGATCGGGCGATTAGACAAGCACTGCGAAGATTGTTAAAGAAAAAAGGGAATTTTGAAAATTGCTTGCTTTGAGGGTTTTCGGGCTTTGAGACTCCATAGCCTTTGCTTTATAAGCTCGTTTTGTTTTTTCTTTTTCTTTTTTTTTTTCACATAATCGTCTCTTGAAATTTCATTATCCCAATCCGTACATAAATGTGTTGTACCAAAATTACTGCAATAGCTACAGGGTGTATGTGAAGTTTTGATTTTGTATAATAAAATTTTAAATTTAAATAGTTTTTAATATTGTGATGTTTTTTTTTAATGTATTAAGTATTTGATTTGATATTTAAAAAAAAAAATTAAAATAATAAAATTATAAAAAAATCTTACAATTAAACACACTATGTGATTTTTGAATTTTAACTCCGTCATTGAAATATTAAAAATAAAATAAAAATACACCAAAGCAAAGCAAAAACAAACAACAACAAATACTGATATACATTATGTTTTAAAATATCAAATTACAAGCTGTTTTTACTGTATGGGTTAAAAAAATTCATCACAATAGTGACAGTAACAAATAGACAATTAGCATACATACACTACAAATACAAATTGCATGTTTCATAGCAATTGTAAAGAAAAAGATGATTTTTCTTCGAACACTTTTTCGTCGGTCAGTGCCCCGTAAGAATTTTTGTTAGTACAATCTCGTACATAACTTTAAAAGCATGTTAAAAATAAAAAATGCATTCGATAAAATAGAGTGTATATAGCTCTAGATGTAGAGCACTGTATTACAAATGAGATGTGTTCTTCCATATATGGATATTCTAACGAACCAAATTTAACACATGTCAAAATATATCGTATTAAATAAAATCATATAATTGTATTATTTTTTTATTATAAATTATATTATATTTGATAATTTTATGTGTTATATATTATATATTATCATAATAACAATATAAAATGAATAACCAGCATAATCTATAATTAATTTTAACATAATTTATAATCAAGGACGTACAATTTATACTCAAATACTACAACATAAGCACATTTTTTGCGTGTGTTGCATTAAAAATCTGCTTCGTGTGTATTGACTCTATGTCATACATGTGATCTTTGTTTTTTCTTGCAAACTTACGTTAAAGATTTAATTATTTGTTATTTATAAAATTTGTATTTTATATGTATATAATGATATACTTGAATTTTTTTATAGAATTAATAATAAATTTTTAAATTAAAATAAAATGAGAATAAAAATAGATAGAATCCATCTATAATATTTGTATAAATAGACAATAAGAAAATGGGTATAAATTTTATTTTTTTAAAAAAATATATATATACTGAATATGATACAAATAGATATATTAAAATAATAAAATATGCACATTTTTTACAGATACAGAAAAAAAAAAAATAATTAAAATATTTTGGGCATAAGAGAGAGGGAGAGGGAGAGACTGAATGGGCTGCTTTAACAAACATTATGCTGACTGTGGCGAAGCCCAAATTTGAAATATTTCATTTGCAAAATAAAATATTATATTAATTTTTATAAATATACAAATAAACTATTAATTTTATAAAATAAAATATATTTTTTTTATCACAAAATATTATATTAATTTTTTTTATTTATTTTAAAATAATCAAATTAGCTCAACCCATAAAAAGAAAATTCTGTTTTGGTTGCTGAAAATGGGAGAAATCTTGGTACGAATAAAACAAATTGTTTTTGAAGTTTCCGCCCGCCCATAATGATTCAACAAAATTACGTCACAGCCCCCACACTGCAATATCATATTCTATATGTAATAATATTGCAAAATGAAATAAATAATTATATAAATTTTAAATGATAGTCCAAACCACCTCACAAGTTTCTTATCCGTACACCCGATTATGTCGATTATTATTTATATTATATTTAGGGGTAAAAATGTCACAAACGATCAGTTTTTTCAAATTATGTAACATAAATAATCTTTTTCAATGTATCGAATAATACTTCCAATCAAATTTCTCATGTTATAGTAATACGAAATAGTTCTCTTAATAATAATAATATTTAAATACTTATTTATTTGTTTTTTTGGTGATAATAAAAAATAAAATAAAATATTTATTGATCGTGAAATCTAGAATAAATAATTGGTCGTGTTTATTTAGAGTTTTAAAAATAAAAAATAAAAATGGATCAATGGTATCAAAATTGACTGTTAGCTATAGACACGGGTTTTTTACACGCATTTTTATTGCGTCACATATTCACCGCTTGTTTTTTTCTTCACCCTCACATCTTCACCGTTGGATTCTCTCGGTTGCCCAAATATTCGACGAATCCAACGGTCCATAGAAAAGGACATAATCCGCGAGTTTTGAATTGCAGAAGCGCTATTTAAGTTTGTACGTTTTCGATATCGTTGACTGTTTTGACGTGGAATTTCATGGAACAAACATCAAGAAGCGTCATTATGATCGGTCTCCGCTGTGCACCGCTGCACCGGAAAATATCTCGATCCTCCTTAAAATAAATTAGTCTTTTGATTCTATTTCCTTCTCAAACATTATTCATTCAAGATTGCATCTTTCTCTCTCCCCAAAGTACATATGTATATGGACATGGTTTCCTTCACCTCTGCGCGGAAATTAGGGTTTGGGGTTTGAATGATGTTTTGAGCAGTGGTTTTTGTTATTGATTGATTGATTGATTTACCTTGGAGGTTTATTTCAATGGCTGATAATATGAAAGATTAATTATTGTGAACAATCGAGGGGTTCCGTGCCCTCTTGAGTGTAAAATACAGAGCAGATACACTCGAGGTGACTGATAACACGGAAGAAACAGGGCGGATTGAATTGGATACGCCTGTGCATGTTGCGCACAGCTGTATCGAGTGTGTAGATAGGGATACACTTGCGCGCATATGGCGGCGATGCGGCGTAGGAAGGGCGCCGGTGGGAGACGGCCTGAGAATTCAGAGCCGCGATTGGACGAGAGCAAGGAGAAGCACTACATCGAATCGGAGAAGTCGAATTCATGTTCCACGAATTTGAATGCGGATGTCAATTCCATCGTGCTGTCGAATTCGTATCCGGCGGCGAAGAAACAGAGGCCAAAATGGGGCTGTGCCGACACTTGTTGTTGGTTCGTTGGATGCGTCTGCTCTATGTGGTGGCTTCTGCTCTTTGTCTACAACGCAATGCCGGCGTCGTTCCCCCAATACGTTACGGAAGCAATCACCGGTCCGTTGCCGGATCCTCCGGGGGTGAAGTTAGCGAAGGATGGGTTGAAGGCGAAGCATCCTGTGGTTTTCGTTCCAGGGATAGTCACCGGAGGCCTTGAGCTGTGGGAAGGCCACGCTTGTGCTGAGGGTTTGTTCAGAAAGAGGCTTTGGGGCGGTACATTTGGTGAAGTTTACAAAAGGTATCAATCGACTCGTACAGACTTAAACCTCTTGGCGCCATCATTAATGCGTGTTCATAAGCGTGAGCAGTTAGAACTTCGGTTTAGTAATTACTTATGAACTGACAAAGCTGATGATACCCATGAGATTCTTTCGCAGTTTGCAAGATGAGATTAGATTGTGACTAGGCAAGTAGCTATTATAGTGCCTTTTTCTACAAGAATTTATTGAAACTATAGATTGCTACATTAGACTCAGGGAGTTAATTCTCTTTTACTTTCCTATAAAAGAACTAAAAAACCGAGACTTTTGATTGTTTGTTTTTCTTTTTCCTTGCTTATATGAATTACCGATCTTTAAACCTTGAACGACATAGACTGCAGCTTCCTATGAAAACAGAAGTTTTTTTATTAAAAAGAAAAACTGTGGTTAGATGTATGAATTGCCAAAACCACTATTTGAATTGTGTTAAAACTATTTTGATTGAAAGATGGATTTTGAAGTTGTTATTTGCCATTGTAACCGAGTGTTAACAAACGTGCTAGTTGTGCTTATTGTTAATGTTTGTTGGACGGTAGTATTTAGGTATATAATATATATATTTAAATGACCCATATTTGTTTTTTTGGTGATTTTTATTTTATTTTATTTTATATACTACAACATGTTAACTTACCATGAATTGAACACTTACTATGATTGCTGTTGGGCGCGATGAAACTTAAGGGTCTGTTCTCTGATTGCTCAAACTTGGAACTATTGACTTAATAGGAACTACTTACTATTTGATGTAAATTGCAATACAATTTGAGTTGAAATGTTCTCTTGTATTGTGTTACCCTTTTTATAAAGAAAGAAGGAATGCTATACAGAATATTATTTGATTTGTAAGTGGAACGCATATATAGGGATTATACTAGTGTTGCTCAACAAGAAGGTAGCTTTTATGCACCCTCTTTGATCCAATTGATTATTCATATTCACTTTGCACTGTTATTCTAAGAGTCTTTGGCATCAATATGAAATATTTTCAGGTGGATACTTAATTTTCCAAGTTAACTCATGTTGCTTAATCATTTCATCTTTCAAGTGTTTTACATGTATGCATTCTATTTTTTCAGACCCTTGTGCTGGGTTGAACACATGTCACTCGATAATGAAACTGGATTGGACCCTCCTGGTATAAAGATTAGGCCAGTTTCTGGACTAGTAGCTGCTGATTACTTTGCACCAGGTTATTTTGTTTGGGCAGTTCTAATTGCCAACTTGGCTCGGATCGGGTATGAGGACAAAAATATGTACATGGCAGCTTATGATTGGAGGCTCTCATTCCAAAATACAGAGGTCTGCTACTTTCGTTGGACTCTTTGTTGAAAATCTACTATTAGGGCAAGCAGTTTAACTGAAAGAAACACTATACTTATTCGAAACAACAAGATTGTTTCATTATCTTTAATTGATAGCATTCTTATCATATTTATTTTATTGAACACATTTGAACTCTTGTTTTGGCAATTCTACGCCGGAAGTAGTAGGTTTCAGGACTTGAAACCATTGATCTCATGTCAAAAGCAGCATTTCACTTTGATTGTGGAATATTTTGTTAATTGTTTGTGGTGTTGGAATGACCCCAAATGCATGATGGTAGTGTTTTTTCCCATCCATGGTATTCTTTAAAATGACATGCATTTCTATTTTTGAACATTTTGCTTTTCACGCAATCACCAGATTCGAGACCAAACTCTCAGCAGGATAAAAAGTAATATAGAGCTGATGGTTGCCACTAGTGGTGGTAAAAAGGTGGTGGTTGTTCCACATTCAATGGGTGTCCTGTATTTTCTCCATTTCATGAAGTGGGTGGAGGCACCTCCTCCCATGGGTGGTGGGGGTGGACCGAATTGGTGTGCCGATCATATAAAGGCTGTAATGAATATTGGTGGACCTTTTCTCGGCGTTCCTAAAGCAGTTTCCGGGTTATTCTCTGCTGAAGCAAAGGATATAGCCATTGCAAGGTTTTGGTTTTGTTTTTCTATCCTTGCTGATCGACTGATTAGATAATTTTGTATCAATGTGCTTGTCCTTCAATCTATTTTATTTTTTCCATGATTATAAAATGGCTGAACTAGGGCCTAGGTGCTGTGAATAAGTTCATATGCTGCATTACTTCTTAGCCCTGGTTCCTGTGAAGCTCAGGATTTTATTGCAACCACAATGATATCTGGGTTTTATTCTGTATATCTTTTGATAATTTAAACTAGATGGCATTTTTTCGTCTGTCTATGCCCTTGCCATCAATTAGCTCAGCTACGAAGCTTATTATATTAATTTCTTATTGGTTGAGACAACCACATTGGTATTGGGGATTGAATGTGCGTGAATTATGTTCTTGTTAGCAATAGATATTTGCTTACTCATGGTTGAGTCCACAAATCAATTACTTTTTTCTTTTGTTTTATTTTACTCATGTAGAATTGGGTTTACATGGAGTCTGTGAGAAAGCTCTGCATGTTGTTGAACTTGTGTTTATTTGAACCAAACTTTGTGCAAGGACTAAGTGCTTTTATGTCTACTCAGTATTTTATGATTTATGCAGAGCTATTGCACCAGGTGTTTTGGATATGGATGTGTTTGGATTTCAAACAATGCAGCATGTGATGCGAATGACCCGTACTTGGGACTCAACAATGTCAATGATCCCAAAGGGTGGGGAAACTATATGGGGTGGACTTGATTGGTCTCCAGAAGAAGGTCATGTATGCAGTTTAAAGAAGAGGAGCAGCAATGGTCAGCCAACTGGCCATAATACGACTCAGAAGTTAGATAAGTCTATTCATGCAAAGTATGGAAGGATTATTGCATTCGGGAAGGATGTTGGTGATTTTCATTCATCTGATATTGAAAGAATTGATTTTAGGGTAATAACTGGACTTACAATCTGCATTGTTTTCAGAAACCAATTCTTAAATACCAGCTCTGCTCTTCCAAAGAACCTCATTGAACTTTACAACTTAGCGTTGTGATTGTCATGGATATCCATATATAGCTACTCAAAATCTTCAGAGCTATACTCCATATATACATTTCTTATTAATTGTAGTTATTTGATTTTATACAAAGGCAGAAAGGGTTGTTTCTTCTACAAAGAATGCAGATGGTAAGGAAATAACTACTAATTTATTTATGTCTTTGATCATTCATGTAGGGTGCTATCAAGGGGAGTAATCTGGCTAACACGACCTGCCGTGATGTGTGGACAGAGTACCATGATATGGGTATTGGTGGAGTAAAAGCAGTGGCTGATTACAAAGTTTACACAGCTGATTCAATCTTGGATCTACTTCAATTTGTTGCACCAAAAATGATGACGCGTGGTGGGGCTCATTTTTCATATGGAATTGCTGACGATCTTGATGATGAAAAGTATAATCATTACAAATATTGGTCGAATCCTCTTGAAACAAAGTAACACTCCTTACCTCTGATTTCCCCTTTGTTTCAACTTCTTTAGTTTCAGTTCTGTTTATTTGCCTCTTAATTTCAAAACGGTAACTACAACTTTATGAAACTGTAATTTATTTTTTTGTAGATTACCAAATGCTCCAGACATGGAAATCTTTTCCATGTATGGAGTGGGGATCCCTACTGAAAGAGCCTATGTATATAAATTCAGTCCTGCAGCTGAGTGCTTCATTCCTTTCCAGATTGACACCTCAGCGGATAGTGGAGAGGATAGCCATTGTCTGAAAGGTGGTGTCTATCTAGTCAATGGAGACGAAACTGTTCCAGTTCTAAGTGCTGGATACATGCCTGCTAAAGCTTGGCGAGGAAAAACTCGATTCAATCCCTCAGGAATCCGAACCTTCATAAGGGAGTATGATCACTCTCCTCCTGCAACTCTGTTAGAGGGGAGGGGTACCCAAAGTGGTGCTCATGTTGATATAATGGGAAACTTTGCTCTTATTGAAGACATCATCCGAGTCGCAGCAGGGGCCACTGGAGAAGAAATAGGAGGGGATCAAGTGCATTCGGATATATTTAAGTGGTCAGAAAGGATTAAGTTAAAACTCTAGAAGATTTAGTGTGTACCATATTGTAAGTTGTCTTCTTGATCCCTATTACTATGTTTAAATTCCGGGCGCGCATGTATTTCATGGTTACAGAAACATGATGGTTAATTCACGTTTAACCTGCAGGTTCGATAAGGCTGTCTGAATCTTGCCGCCATTGTCAGCATTCCTCTGCATTAAGGTGTATATATGAATTCGACGTAAAATGCACAAACTAGCTTATGGTTTTTAACTTTTCAATGCTCGACTATCTCTCAATCTTAGTTACACTGATGCAGTTGAGATATTATGTTCTCCGTTGACACGGTGGAGAAGCCGACGACTTGGGGGATGTGGATTATCATATGGGCATCGGCGCAGAGCCAAAAAGTTTTTCGACAAAAACTGGTGCAGAATTCCGGCAGCGAATGCTCATTGTTGTAAGTAGGGAGTAATGATTTATAGACAAATTGAAAGTATTAGTATTTAGCAAGATTGGAAAATGGTTGGTGAATTGCACAAAATACCAAAATGCAACTGGTCTGTTCTGGTATGGACTTTGTCTGTTTGCCCCCTCAAGGTCACATGAAAATTTTTGTTCATTTCTTGTCTGTCATTTTTTAAAATATATTAAATTTACTTGGGAACTAGCTTAGGAACCTATGAACGGCTCGTGACACCACTCTCAGACACACCCCATTGGATTCACCCATGTTTCAGTTTATTTGAATAAAATATACTACAGTATTGGAAGAGGGTGGGGGTGGGGGTGGGGGTGGGTTAGTATTTGTCGTTTTGTTACAAGGGGAAAGAGTCAAACTTTATGGGGAAGTGTAAACCACATTAAATTCATTCCCACCCTTCAGTCTTCACCATTCACACCAAGACCCTCACAGACTTTTTTGTCTTGAATTTCATTTTATCAGCATACAACACAATTATTCCACGTCGTTTCTCAAATATCTTTTAAATTTTGCTATAGTAATTATATATATATATATATAACAATATTAAAAAATGTGGAGAGGGGAGGGGTAGTCGTTGGGCACAAAAAACCTCACCAAAGCAAAAGCATTTCTTGAAAATAAGGCATACAGCTTTGGAAAAAACAAAGGACCCAATGGGAATGGAAATGGCTGTGTTCTGTGTGTTGTGTTGTGATTGTTGTGGGCCATTTGTTTGTTTGTTTTTTTTTTTTAATCCTTTTACTAATATACATATAAATATATATTTATATTAACTTGTACTAATGGAGTATTATATAAAATATATATATATATACTTCATGCTAACATAAAAAAAAAAGGCGAGAAAAATTACTCATGGGTGTTGTGTAATATGTGGCGCAGTATAGATGCATCTAAGAATTGGCACCTCTCTCTCTCTCTCTCTCTCGCTCGTCTCTAGCATATTAATTACATTCATATTTATGCAGACTACTATTGCTCTCCCTATCACCTACCATCTTTTTGCATTTACTCTTTCATATACTTTATAAAAAAAAAATAATAATGATACACTGAACTCTCTACAATTTTATAATATCAGTCAAATATATTAATTTTTTCAAAAAAACACATCATCTTCAGATTCTTTTACAGAGTCTAAACAAACTTAATACATGATGGAGCCCTGACCAAGACTATTAGAAAAGAAACTGAATAAAATAAAATTGGAATTGAAAGTGAAAGCGAGACTACTGACACTGCCAAAAGAAAACTCTAAAAGAAACAAATGCTACACAGTGAGGTGGGGGTTGGGGGGGCCACATGGGGTTGAGCCAGACATCAAGTGCAAACCAACAAAACAGGGATTACCGAAGAAACCAAAAAGAAGTCTAAAAATGAAATGATTCCATCAATGGTGCTGGTGGGAGGTGAGGTGAGGTGAGGTTGCGTGTCTTTATTATTGCTTGTTTTGTAGCAGTATTATGTAGCACTAGTCATTATTTTTAGGCAATAAAAGATACCATTTTTATTTATTTTTAAAATCCCAAAACAGTGGTGGTATATATATTAATGGAATAGGAGACTGGAAGAGGCCTTGTGGGTAGCCAAGAAAGGATTGGTATTTCTATTTTGCTTTGTAGGGAGAGTAGAATCAATCCCACAAGTGAGGGGAAGAGGGGGAGGGGGGAACATACCCAATTTCTTCCCAACAGCTTTGTCCATTGTTCCTCCTAGCATTGGCAGCAGATCCTAAAGGTTCCCATCTCTCTCCCTCTCTCTTTCTTTATCTCTCTCTACCCAATTCTCCTGTTTTTCCTTTCACTTTCACTCTATATCTGTGTATACACATATATAGATATACACGCCCACACAACACAAGCATACACGAGTTTCTTTCAAGTTCTAATGATGCTCTGTATACTGTAGATACAAAAACTTTAGTTACCTTTTACTTCCTATAAAGTTTGTCGACTTTTGTGAAAGGGTTTTCTATTTCCTTAGTTGGTTTGGGGTTCTTCTTTCCTGTTTCTGAGGCATTTGGGCGTATCAGAGATATGGGTTTGTTTTGAATGGTCTGCTTTGTTCAAGTAATTATTTGAAGCCCTGAATTTTGCTGTCGATGAAATTTTTTGAGTAGTGTTGAATTTTTTTTATTTAGGTAGAGTTTTGGTTTGCTTTACTTTCCGGGCTTTTCATTCATGAAGTATTTACTTTAAGGTTCTTGTAGTTCTGGTCCAGGCTCTAATACACTGTCATAGTGGGTTCATTTTAGGCATTGATTGATAATTATTGAATGCATGTTGAATTTAGGATGATGGGGGGACTGATCTGGGGTTAGAAAAAAAGTTTTGATTAGTGAATTTTCAGTAGAGTAAGGTCCATTTCTATTTCATTCTTTTGTTATATGTGTTGTTCATGTAATGGTTATTGTTCTTCTGCAATTATTGCTGCTTTTAATAGTTTAGCTTTTCTAACCATAGTTTGATGGGAGGTTTTATTTGATGTTAGGTTTGCCATGTCATGGTGGTTGGATCTTCAACCTTTTTAAATGCTCTTTAATTCTCTCATTTTTATTGTTTCGGAAATAAGTTGTGGCTTTAATTGAGTTTGGAGAAAGATTCCTTTCCTCTAGAGGATTATGAATTTTGCCCCATTCTATGCATTGGGGGGAATTCGTAGTATTAGGTATTTTTTGGTGTTAAGGTTATTACTACATTAGTACTTGGTGTCGCAACTTTGTGTGTGGAGGGCTCACCAACATATAGGGGCTCAATCAATTTAAGACAATGTTGGACTAATTGTCGTAAAGACTTGTGTGCGCTTCGAATGTGTCATTTGATTCTTGATGTCTAATAGTTGTAGATGATTAATGAAATTCATCCTTTGCAGTGCTTCTTTGACTCTGAATTAACAAATTGTTGTCCATGAACTGTGGTGTAGAGGTCGATGAGGATCAACATATTTGCATTGGGTTGTGCCGATACAATACCCTTTTATGTATGTTAAAACACTGTTTCGGCGAACACAGGTGGCTCTAGCATCGTGTTTTTTCAACAAGTACTCATCTTAATTGTTGGATTCTAGATTTATTTATTTATTATTTTTTTTAGTGTTAGTATGTATATCTGTCGCTAGATTGGTATTTGCTTCTTATGCCAACCTTTTGTGATGCATTGATGATACCTTAAGACACCAATAGTTGCCATTTAAGAGTTGCTCTAATTTAGAGTGGAACATAAATCATCGATCTCATTGTTGGTTGATATATTTAGTGTTGTTAGCACACAATTGTAGGTGGTTTGTTTGGATGTATGTTGTCTCTGTGATATGATGGTCTACAGAAGAAAGACACACATCCTCTCGACCAGAATATCATACATCACTTCTTTTTTTTTTGTATCAAATGGGCACGTGGCAACATTTTGCTCGTGGTTCATATCATTGATAGTTTTTTATATGGTTATTTTTGGGAGTATTCTGCTTTGGATTGTATGTCCAATGCTCTGTCGATGAAACTTCGTCGCCATCTACTGCTCTTCATCTGTCTTGAAGCAACTAAATTGCAATTGCTCCCATTTTCTAAAGTGCATTAATTTATCTTGACCAGAAGGTGAAGCAATTCGATTTCTGAATTCTGTTAATAGCTCGCCTATCTTACTGAGAAATAACTCTAATGGGAAAGACAAGTTCGGTGGAACAAAGTGCTTCCTCAGAATCCGGTAACAATGTCCGGATCCTCAATAGTTTCTCCTTGTCTCATTATGGAATAGATTTAAGTTGCTTTCTTCCAATTCAGTGCACGACGAAGGCTATGGGAACGTGAATCAAGGGCAAGATTTTCCGGCTGCTGCTCTGTTCACCAACAACCCCGAGCTGTCTGCAAATGCTTCACAACACGAAATAAACCAGCCAATGGTAAATTTTTGTGCGAAGAAAATCCCCCTTATCTCCCATACTTTTGAGTCTGATTCAATTGGTTGGTTGTAGTTCCCTTCTCAGATGCAGTTCCCGTATACTTACCCTGATCCCTTCTATGGTGGAATGTATACTTCCTACAACCCTCATAGTATGGTTAGTACCGCTATTCTTCCCTATTTGTTGCCTGTATTACGGGTTGTTCTTCTTTATCCTTCCTAATAATGTTACTTGATCAGATTCCTCAGGTGATGGCGGCATCCTCTGGCCGTGTCCCATTACCTGTCGATATTTCTGAGGACGGTCCCATATATGTCAATGCCAAGCAGTATCATGGAATTCTTCGGAGGAGGCAGACTCGTGCGAAGCTTGAAGCTCAGAACAAGCTTGTCAAAACTCGCAAAGTAAGTGTGTGTGGATTCTCTCCTTCATAGTTGATCGGTGCAATTAATGTTGCGAACAAATCATGTTCGAAACTGATCAATTACATACACACACGCGCGCAGCCATACCTGCACGAGTCTCGCCACCAGCACGCTCTGAACAGAGTTAGAGGATCAGGAGGGCGCTTTCTGAGCACAAAGAAGTCTCAGCAGTCCGACATCCTCCCCCCGTCGATCTCTCAAAGCAACACGACTCTGGATCCAATTCAGTTCGACCCTAAGATGAACTCGAATGAGAATCACGTTGAAGCGAACAAGTATATGGCTCCTCCCATGACTGAAGGCTTACAGATCTCATCTGTTGGTGTTCTTCAACACCAGCAGCAGGCAGAAGACATATTTTCGAATGTGTCGTCTCACATGACCTCTGTTCCTATGCAAGGAAGCGGAGGCAGCAGTCTTGTCTATAATGGGAATCGCCACTATGCTTCCATTGTCCGGTGAATGATGAGGTCGCCGACGGGCAATTCATCCTTGGCTTTGTTACTTATGGTTCTTAAAGCTGTTGTTTACTCTCTTCTGCTTGTGCTGTGTTTGGAAAGTATGAGAAATATTTGTTTGTGTACTTATTAAGATTGTCTTGTGTCTGCATAGGGCAACTTGGAACTTTCTTTCAGTCTTTTAACTTATAACTTTGGATTATTATGCTTTGTTCTTGACTCTTGTTTTGTTATCTTCTTACCTGTTATGAATAGTTTGTTTTTATTCAAGACTGATATGCTTTGGATCTGTTATATTTTTTTTTGGGACTCTAAACTTTATATCTATACTTGATTTGTCTCCGGATTCGAATTCATTTTATATGATTACAGATCTGGTATTTTTAGTTTCGATTAGGATTTGAATTTGAATACATATATAATACTACTTATCAACATATTTACGTAATGTATATGTATAAAGATATTAAATTCAAACTGATTTGATCCAATCAATAATATACATACGGAATTGGACCTCTTGACGGGCCTATTTCTATAGGCAAATAATAATAACTATTTTATCAAAATAATAATAATAATTATAGAAAAAAATTGATAACTATTTATAGTCATCGTAATCATACCAAAAAAACTCAATATTCGAAGTTCCCAAAATTTTAAATGCCTTTCCCAATTATGTTGAAAATCGAAGGGGACTGGTCGTTCTTGTAGTTTGGGGGTTAAATTAAGGAGTAGGTAGAAGTTGAGGGATCGGGTTGAATTTGATTAAATAAAAATGTCATTGGCCCGCCAATTCTAATATTTGCAATGGGGCCCTCGATTTTCCCCCTAGTCTTGGGCAGAAGTTTTTGGTATATTTTGAAGGCTGCTGCGAGGTAAAACATCAGTGATAAAGTAGCACCGCTTCATAGGCTTTGTTGGGCGAGGTGTACGGGGGGAGCTATGGATGGCGGCGTGCGGAGCAACGCTCGCTCCGTGGAAGAGGTTTTCAGAGATTTCAAAGGCAGGCGTAATGGTTTGATCAGAGCTCTTACTAGTGGTGCGCATCCTTGTTTTTGGTTATTTTTTTTGTATCTGTATCTTCTTAGTAGTTTGCGTTCGATGTTCTTTTTAGTTTTTATGTGTTGCAGAACTTTGAATAGTTTGCTGTTTTACTCTTCCTTTTAGTGTTCTACTGAGATTTGGAATTTTGTTGTAGTTTAATTTTACTGCGTTTAGTTTTTAGTTTACATTTTTGTAAACTAAGTTTTGGATTTGTTTTGTTGTTTTCGTCTTTTTCAGACGTTGAGGAGTTTTTTCAACGGTGCGATCCCGGTGAGTTCTAGGGTTTATTCCAACTCTGCCGTCCAGAAGGGCGTTATATTGTAAATTGTTATGTCATTTAGTGCTCTTAATTAGCTTGAATGTGTTGCTTTTTTCTTACTAATTGTTTGTGCTATACTTGTTCATGAGTGCGATAAGTTACGTTAACTTGTGACCATTTATGGAAGATTGTGGTACAAGCTTTGAGTCAAATAAAATCATAATAAATGTGTTTTTATGAGATAGATTTGCTTACTTGAATAATATAAATTGCTAATTTAAAATTCAGTTCTTGCTGCTGTTGTGATTCTTCCCCACATTATTTTGTAACCTATTCATTTCTGCATTAGTTTTATTTTATGGGTGATTCACCTTTGGTAACAAGTTTATATTCTTGTTATGGTAATCAAAGATAGATATACCAAATATATGCTATGCTTTACCAGGAGAAGCCCTATATGGCGTCATTTAAATTTCCATGGATAAGATTGCTTCAGATCAGATCTTTATTCTTTCCTGAAATTCATTCACCTTTTCTGTTAAGTGTCTGTGCAGGGTGGATAACTCGACTATACATTATATTTTTCTGCTGGCGCCATAGTTTTGCATGAAAGCTCAAATTTTCAAGCTTAGTTGAGTAGATTCATGGCTTGTAGTTGGAACCCTATGGGATTAATTTAGTCGAGGTTAATAATATCAACTGAAATTTCTAGAATTGAAACTGGTTAGTGCTTACCAGTTATTACTTCAGTAACTTACCTTTACCTTTTAAGAGTCAACATGCTGCTGTTGAGCCTTGCTTCTGTATGCTGCAGTACCTTTTTTTTTGTCCCTCTTGAATTCATTCAAGTAATCTGTTTTTCTCATTTCTTGCTTAGCAGCATGTCTTTTGTATTGATTGTCATAAATACTGTATATGCTCTATGAGTCACTCAATAAAACATGCTTCTATGTGAATGCATTTAATTTACACTGTAAATGATTCTGCCAATTCCAAAATCTGTGTACGCTGCAGAGAAGGAGAACTTATGCCTTTACGGATTTCCTAGCGAACAGTGGGAAGTTAATTTGCCTGCTGAGGAGGTGCCTCCTGAGCTTCCGGAACCCGCTTTAGGTATAAACTTTGCAAGAGATGGGATGCATGAGAAAGATTGGCTGGCTCTTGTTGCAGTCCACAGTGATGCATGGCTTCTATCCGTGGTTTTCTATTTCGGTGCCAGATTCGGTTTTGATAAAGCTGACAGGTGAACTAGTTTTTGAATAATGTCAATAGTTTTTCTTATTTTTTTGCTGGAACTATATAGATTATAATGCTACCTTTTTGGTTGAGGAAATCCATTAATCCTGAGAGATGAGTTAGCTATTCTTGCATTCAATGAGTTTGTCATTTCTGTCACACTGGTTTGAGGAAATGGCTATAAATTCATTTCGTCCTTATTTTTGTCCCACCCTCCTGTGATAGAAGCTTGGACATTTTATAAAACCTTTATATAGCATGCATTTAAATTACTTACATAATTTCCTGGTGTATATTAAAGGAGTGGTTAGCCATCTTTTGTTCTTGCAATATAAAAACTAATCAGTGGTGAGGTTACATTGCCCTTTGAGGTGCCATCCTTTAAACTCGAGGATGCAACAATTTAATTCGAGTTGGACAAATTGAGTGTTAACCTTTGTGAGTTCCTTTTGAAAGATTGCCATCTCTACACAGAACCGTAGATTATCTCTAGCTGGAATTGTTTAATGCATCTGCCTTATAGTTTCATTTGTCGAATGATATATAAACACAGGAAGCGGCTATTCAATATGATAAATGAAGAACCCACGATTTTTGAAGTTGTAACAGGAGCTGCAAAGAAGCAATTGAAGGATAAGTCATCTGCATCGAACAACCGTAGCAGCAACAAGTCTAAGCCGAACCCAAAAACAGTAAAGCCTCTTTTCCACTTCAGAAATAGTTCCTCCAACTTCTTGAAATCATAAAATCTCTTTGTTGTTATGAAACTCTAACATTTCTTGAATCTTAGGGAAAGCCATCCAAGGGCCAAGCGAAGAATGAGGACAAGAGAGTGGATGATGATCCTGATGACATTGATGATGATGACGAAGATGACGATGAGCATGGTGATACCTTGTGCGGGGCGTGCGGGGCAAACTATGCATCTGATGAATTCTGGATCTGCTGTGATGCTTGTGAAAGATGGTTCCACGGCAAGTGCGTCAAGATCACTCCCGCCAAAGCAGAGCACATCAAGCAGTACAAATGCCCTTCGTGCAGCAATAAAAGAGCCCGGCCGTGATCAATTCCTTTACGTCCTCGATCGTTTCGCAAGGTATCAATCGTACATCCATCTGTTTAGTAATATGATGATTTTCCATGGTAGATTTTATCTCCTGGCGGCTGCAGAGAGATGATTGGTTTTCACTCCCCCTTCAGGAGTTTGATTATTCATCCCCTCTTAACTAACTACATTTTATTTATCTAGTTTACTGCTTACCAGTAATCGTTGCTCGTTTGTGTTCTTGAATTCTTGAACCTTTAAATAAGCAAAAAGAACAACACGCTAGTGAAAATTTTTCCAGTAGATAATTGCATTCAGAAACAAGCCATCAAACTTAGTTTGTGTCTAAATAGCTTATTCACATTGCCAAGCTCACGCTCAATTCAATTAATCCTAGATTTAATCAATCAACAAACCAACCTTGAATTACGAAATAATTCTAACTTCAGCAAGCCTTTGTCTCTGTTTATTGAGTTCTCACAGCTTTACTTATTTAGACCAAAAAAGATTTGGGTTCCGATTATGTCCTGCCACTTCCTTTGACTTAGTCCCTTTTCCGCGGGCGCCGGAAGAGACGCTCCACAATGTATCCCGAGGCTGACCAAGGCCGGAAGATTTACTGCTGGCCTTTGACTTCATCGCCGGATGTTTATCCTTCTTCCCCATTCCGTTGGCGAGCAACCAGCGAGACCCAGCCTGCTGCTGATTTGTTGAACCCCACAGCTTCTTTTTACTCGGCTCGGTCTTTAATCCAGCAACATGTACTTCAGAAACTTTATATCGGGGAATCAGCTCTTCGTCGGTAATCTTGTTGTCTTTCGGCTTGTCCATGACATTCTCTGTTTTGTGGCTCTTTTTTGCTTCATCATCCTCATTAGATTCGCTCACAAATGATACCGTGCTGTAAAGTTTCGGTTTTGGAGGGACAAAAACTCGTTCAACTTGAATGAGCGCGAGCATTGGTGCGCCAACTGGCTCATAGTCGCGCAATGGATCGCGGAGCTGCACCATCAAAGCAACTGTGAAATTATTTCCTAACAAACCGTACTTCCTGCTCCTGCCCCGTCTTTTCTCCCCCTTTGATCTCCCTCGAAATTGATCCAGCGAGGTAGCATGATGGGCTGCAAGGACTTTAGAGGTTCGCTCGCTGATCAGATCATCGTCATCAATTTCGCCAGAATCCAGTTTTACCCATTCGTCGAGTGTCAAAGACAGGCTCATCAGTCCATCAACATCTTCGCCGTTATCTTTAACATCCAACAGTTGCAATCCGCCAGTTCCGTCGAGGGCAATCGACCCGCCAGCATTCACTGTCTGTCCTTTCAGAGCTGAAAATTCACCGATAGATTGAGCTGTAATATTTGAAGGAGCTTCCTCATCTGACATACCAGATTGTATTCTCAAGCCCTCCATTGAAAGAGCTTCAATCTTATCCATGGCCAGAGGAGCCAGATCTTCCAACGACACATACTCTGCATCACTGCTATGTGTCTTCGAGGGGGTCTTATATGACCCGGAGATGGTGGATGCTTTAGCTCCCTTCATACCCTTAAACTCACTGTGTATGCTTTGAGAAATTTCTGAATCTGGATGAAAGGTTTCAGACCTGAAACAAGAAAATAGGCGTGATCATACATAGAACAGTTATGGATCGATGAATGCACAAAAGAATGAACAATTGTCAAGCAACAACAAACCTATCGGGTCCATCCAGACTTGCCGAACTGTCCCATGATATTTGTTCGATAGTCTTCCCAGTTATATCTTCAAGTGGCATTAGCCTGTTAGCCTGCATAGAAAGTTTCTCGATCCCGACAGAGGCGAGGCCCTGAAGTATATCCATCACACCAGAGCCCATTTCTGCCGGCACCACCACAGGGTTCGACACCTGCATGATCAAATTCCCTCCACTCTTGGCATTCTTGAAAAGTGCAGGATTCATTGAGCGTATGAATCCTCCGTCTTTTGTCTGCACAAAGGGACCTAAACCTTCTGCAAGAGGAGGCAGCTGTGGAAGATCCTCAGGAGGAATGTCGATTGGGTTGCCAAAACCACCCGAACCACTTGGCGGAGAGTTCTGAAAAGCATTTTCATTGAAGCCCCATTCGCGCATCAAAGCTTCGGTTTCTAAGTCTTCCATCCTCAATCCCCGAGGTTTAGTCTTGAAAGCATCAGTCTCTACCTCAGATGTATCCTTGAAACCTTCGAAAATTGATGAATGATAGAAGTCCTCGGAGAGGGTTTCCCAGGCAGATCCTGTTGGAATATCGCTGACAACTTCAGCTGGATCATCATCGATGTCAAAGTTGAGTAAACCTCCGTGGGCAAGAGCATCCTTTTCGAACTGCCTGAGTAGGCGCTCTCTTGGAGACTCGGGTTCGCTTTCAGAACTCAATCCGAATGGGCTATGCTCCATACCAAGCATCTTCAAGAAATCACTAGCTACTGAATCTGTAGTATCATCCAAGCAAGGTGATTTTCCCTGTCTATGATCCCTGCAATTAGATTCATTCTCAACACTACTTTTTAGGTCTAATGTTTCGGAATCTTCTCGGAAATCGAAATCTTCATCCACAAAATCAGAAGTAGAGTTTAAAGCTGCCTCTATTTCTCTCATGAGTAATTCTTTGGAATCCATGTCACATCCCTTCTCTTCTTGGTTAAAGTTGTATGTCCGTGGATCATCATTTTGGGGAACAACTTCTGCAAATGATGGATGCAATGCCACATCCTCATCCTGGCCTGGATCTGTGGCAGTGATTGGCTCAAGACCATCTCCCGGATTTTTAGCAACATCCATTATTTCATCCTCATTGCGGCCTAGATCTGTGGCAGTGCTGGGCTCAAGACCATCTCCCGGATTTTTAGCAATATCCATTATTTCATCCTCATCACGGACTGGATCTGTGGCAGTACTCGACTCAAGACCATCTCCTGGATTGTTAGTAACATCCATTATTTCATCGTCATCACGGACTGGATCTGTGGCAGTGCTCAGCTCAAGACCATCTTCCAGATTTTTAGCAACATCCATTATTTCATCCTCATCATCGGCTGATTCCGCGACATTCCTGGGTTCATCACTATCTCCAGCATTCTTAGCAACATTCAACAATTCATCTTCTGACCTAACTTTTTCATTAGTAGTCAACTCTTCTATCCCTTTGTCTATGACAGAAAAACAAGAGATTTCGCATTCAGGTTCAGAAACATTTTCACCAGAATTGGGTGGAATACTCAAATTCACTGTATCAGGTTCAACCTGTGAAGGCACAAACTTATCATCCTCGAACCTATTATTAGCTGCCACACAAGAAATTTCTTCATCCAACTTCTGATATAGTATATTAACCGAATCACGCAGCTCTGACCCTGTGGTTGGTAAAACCTCATGAAGGTCTTTAAAATTTTCTGGGGATTGGTTTGAGGAAGACGACATTTCAGGAAGACTTCCCACTCTATAAATGTCAAGGCTATCCAATCGCTTGGAAGGATGGAGTTTTGCCATATTTGCATTGTTCTGCTGCAATCTACGGTATTCAGGAGCATTTTTGTTGGCAGATATCTCTGTATTATCACTCTCAATAACATCGTATCCGAAACTGACATTAATCGTTGCCCCTTTTGCTTTACCAGACAATCTGAAACTAGTTGTCCACTTCCCTGAGCTCTTCTCTTCTTCGAGTTCCTCCAACGTCAGCGGAAGCAACCTGGTTAGATCTATCCGATGGGATTTCAAATCAACCTCAGGGGCATCACAGACAGTAACAAACAACAAGAAATGCTTGGCCTCATACTTTGCCGAATGGTGAGGACCATTCCTACTACCATATACCAAACAAGTATGAGTCAATTGTTCATCAAATTCTGCCACCCCTTGATACACTCTAGCTGCACTTGTTGTTTGCTCATCATCCCGCCTCTTCCAGTGCACAACAAGACGAACATTGTCAAAATAATCTGGTAACCCCTCGATGTTATGAACCAGCAGCGAAAAGCAGCAATTAAACCTGCGGGATCTGGCATGGGTCAAGGCCTTTAAACCCTTCCAACTCCAAATGGATGACTTCTTATCCTGTTCAGATGAATCTTTTGTTTTATTCCTAGAATCCACAGGCCTTGTTTTCGGGATGGGCAATTGTGTTTTATCAACAGACTTGGATCTGCTGCTAGCGGTAGAACTTGTAAGCCTTGGCCGAGATTTGTCTACATAATAGGCTTTACTTAGGGTTTCAAGATCACTTAAAAGTTTTCCATTTCCTGAGCTCCCACCAACCTTCTTTCTACTATCTGCTTTTGAAGACATTATTTCCTCGCAAACTACACATTAACATAGGATTTTGGAATAAATTTAAAACCTACACATGAGGTTATAATCTCCAGATTACCAGGTATATATATATATAGATATAGATATAGATAAATCACAATCTCCAATCTACAATAATCAAGGCGTTGTGCAATATTAGCAACAATTTACTAAAATCACACAAAAAAAATACAGAATATTATCAACAAAAGGCTCTCAGGATTGAATCATTGGTATCATCGATACTAAACAAAAGACTATATTAATTAACTACAATCATACTTCATAAACTCTGTCTGCAATAATCCATAAGCAGATTAAAATTAAACAAACGCAGAGAAGAAACAGGACGAAGAATCTTACAGGCAACGACAAGAGCATTCGAGATTTGGGGAGGAGCGTTCGGCTCTCAGATTGTGACCCTGAAGACTCTCCTTCCTACGTCTTAGCGTGTTCAATTCAAAATTCAAGCCCACTCACGTTGAGCATTTAAGGTAGTTTACAGTTATGCCATTTCATTTTTATGAATTCCCAAATCTGCCCCAATTACATTATGTGGGCCATTATAATAATTAATTACTACACAAACAATTCGTGAGTCTGTCTATTACTGATATTTTAGAATAAAAATTATTTAAATTATATATTGACTATAATTAAAAATATATATATATTAATTATACAGTATGAAAATAATGCAGAAATCAATTAAGGTCTGTTTTCATAGTCAAAAAAGATTATTTATTTGCCTGAAACAAATAGTAGGAGTATATAGATAACGAGGATGGTGAGCCTAATTGGGCCTACTGCTAACAATGAATAACTGCACTTGTTGAAAGCAACAAAGTAGGTCCAATGGGTAGTGGCCCAAATAAATATATGTAAGAATTTAATTATGAAAGTGAAAAATGGAAAGCGACATACTATTATAATTTGGTTGTGTGAAAGTTACATTTAATTTGAACATACATAGCGATTGAATTGAGTTGTCGGCTTTAATGTTGTGTCCAGATTTCTACTGGATGAAAACTGCCCATGAAACATTTGCATAATGAAATTATTAAACACTTTATAATTTTATTGTATTTTTGTTGAGCCATACACATCAAGGAGTAAGGACCATCGTTGATATGATAATCTCTACACATATAGATTTTGAAATGCCTTGAAATATTTTTTCTTGGATAAATACAGTCTGTGTAATCCATTTATTGAAAAATTGGTCCTATGGGTATGGTGTGACGTTTGGGACCAAAAAGGGAGAGCGGGAGTCAGCATCTGAAAATAATAATAATAATAATAATAAGAGGATTGTGGCTGTAATAAAATCGGCTATTTTGTCTGCTGTCAACTGGCACCAAGATCGTGTAATAAAATACAAAATTGATACTAAGACAAAATGACAGACCCAACTGGAACTGGAGCTCATCATCACATCAAAACTCCATTGAACTTTTTTTTTTTTTTTTAATCGGATTAAGAACAACATTTTACACCAAAATCAAAACCAAAACTTGGATATCAAATGGATGATTCCTAAAGGATATTTTTTTTTAGTACCTGAAGCTGTCACACAGTCCAACACAAACAAAGCAGATATCGAATCCAATGCACGCCTTCTACTGTAGGATTGCTCCAATTTCTGATAAAAAAACACCATTGGAGCTGCACCAATTCATTCTTCTAAAACTTTGATCTACCATTATGTACCCTGATGATCATATCTCTTCATTTTTTATTTTTTTGGAGAAGACGAAGAAGAAGAAGAAGATAATTAATGGAAAAAGACCTCCGGTTCAGATGATACAGATTTAATGGCGGCCGGAGATCAGTGGAGCTTCCGTTTCTCTTTCATTGAATTCATCTTCTCCAATCGCCATTCGTCCCGGAGCCTGGCTATGAATGTATCGGCTTTCGCGTTCACGTCGGGGCTGGGGCAAGAGATTGACGACGGTCCGGCAGTATCGCCGACGTCGGATTTAACTGACGTGGCATCGATATCTTCCAGATCCGGTGAGCTGCTGCGGGAGATGTTGGTTTTGTGGATCTGGACGAAATCGCCCTGGCCGGCGAATTTGATTTCCGGCATGCGGAATGGCGGAGGTGGTGGTGGTGGTGGTAGGGGGATTAGCGGCGACGGGGGTGCAGTGGTGGACTCCTCGTGATACTGCGTAATCGGTTTTGTAGGTTTCGGAGGCCTGCCGCGCGGCCGTAGGGGGGCAGCCGGTGCCGGAGGAGGAGCCGACGGCGGAGGAAGGGGAGTGGTTTTGGAACGACGGCTTTTGCCGTCGGTTTTGAATATGGAGTTTAGTATTGCAGAAGGCGGAGGAGGTGGAGGAGGCGCCGGCGGCGTGGTGGATGTTCTCTCGAAGCGTCTGCTTTTGCTCCCGGTTTTGAATAGATTGTTGAAGATTGAGTTCGGCGGAGGAGGCGGCGGCGGTGGCGGCGGAGGTGTTTGCGCGGTGGTCGGAACCGAATACACGCGCTTGCTCTTGCTGCTCTTTTTGAACAGGTTCTGCAACACCTTAGACGGCGGCGGCGGGGGGGGAGGAGGCGGCGGCGGAGTCGACCGCGCTTCCGCCGTTGACGGCGGCGGTGAATTCTGAGGGGCAGTTTCGTAAATGTCTCTACTCTTCACTCTCTTCTTTCTCTTCCGGCTGCCGGCTTTGTACAACGAAGCTATTGCAGTTGCGAAATCCTTCGTCCCGCCGCTTTTTCTCCGGTGGATCGGTTCATGCTTTACCTCCGACGAATGGAACTCCGGCGTCGGCTCCGGTGGTGGGGGCGGCGGCGGAGGTGGCGTCGGCCGTCTGTTTTCGCTAATTTCCTCTTCCTTTCTCTCCCTTTCGACGTGGTCTTTACGTGGAACAGTCTGGAATGATCGTCTCTTCTTCGACGTCGCCGTAGACGACGGCGGCGGCGGTGGCGGCGGAGGAGACGCCGGCTTAGGCGGTGTCGGCGGCGGCGGAGCGGAATTGACTTCAAATTTATCCACCGTAACTTCACGAATAATCGTCTCTGCCTCTTCTTCCCTCTCCGCCGCCTGCCTCCGCCGCGTGCGGCTGTCGAAATTCTCCCGCAGCGGCGACCTGTAAAAATTTAGGTCAAAATCATCCAAAAACCTCGACCTGCTTCCGCCGCTCTCCCAAAGCGCCTCCTGCCTTAAATCTGGATAAGAGCTGCTGCTCCGCCGCAGCCTTCCGCCGCCGCTACCGCCGCTAATCATATTGTACTCCTTCCGATCCGGAGAATCCATCCAAGCCGGAGCCAAATGCCGCAAGGTGTTAGACCTAGCCGAAACACCTTCGGCGTTCCGCCGCTCATCCTCCGGCGGCGGAGCATCCTCGTGCCGCCGCGCAAACACGCCGCAGAGAATCGCGAACAACACCAACAGTATATTGATCGAATCCCAGCTCTTCTTAACAGAATTAGGCCTCAGAATTTGATTCGTGTGAGCAAGGAACGAAGGCAGCACAAAAAAGAGGACGATTAAGGCAACAATCGGAATGACTAAGATTAGCGCCACAGGATTGAGTAGCGGAGAACTCCGATGCCGACCACGGCGGCCGGTGGGCGGCGGTTGTGCCCAAAACGGTGGCGCGTCGCCGTCAGGTTCCATAGTCGTTTCGTACACTGCCGCGGTAGCTTTGGACAGACTTATATATAAAGCCCTTTCTTCTGCCCAATATTAAGACTCAGTCTTGGCAGGGACAGAATATTTTAATTTAATTAAAATAATCAAAGTAAATCGCAATAAATAGTTTAAAATATACAAATATACAATGTCACGATTATAAATAAATTGCCATAAGCAACTTTTTTTTATATAAGCTGTTACGTAATTCGTTTATCACAATAATATCGGATGTGAAAAATTAAATTACGAAACAACATTAGAATAAATAAATAAGCCGTCGCTTAATTATTTACATAAATAAACACATAATTGTGGTAGCTACAATTATTTGGAATACTCAATAGATTTCAAGAAAATTTGTTGTAACAATTTAATAAACACAATATTATATGTGTATATTCATTTTCACCCCAACTAAAGTTGGTAATTCAAATATCCAATCAGTGATTGAGATCAAAATTTTAAATAATGTATTAGGTGGTTGCCTTATCTCAATTTACATTCCAGTTTTTATAATCAATTTAAATATCGATTAATTCACAACACGTGTCTAAAATACATAGACCTAAAATAACACAAACAAATATTCCAAAAATTTATAAAACATAAGTATCAATTTAAAAGCTCGGTTAAGCGACAATAGAAGGAGCCAGCTTAGGTAGTTGCACCAGATGCTTCAATAGTAGTACCATCATACCAACACTAGCCCCATAGTAATAATAATAATTAATTAATACAAGCAAATACAGATGAGGATTTAATTAAAGTTGTCACTGATATTTAACCAATAATTAAATGGTCAATTCTTTCTATTAATTACACCAAACATAATTCAGACAGCCTGTGTAACATAGTAGTTACGAATTTAAACTAATTTAAATATTTCGACCCGGAAAATTATTAAATTAAATGAAGAAAATATCAACCCGCTAATTCTAACATGTCCGGTTTCAATTTTTATAAATAAACTGTAACACAGTAGTATATGACTTTATTATATAATTATTTTATTACAAGTACATAAGTTTTTGTATTTTTAAATAGTAGTAATATTTCAAAATCAAAATAGAAGAACAAAATTGAGACAGTTCACCAGATGTATGATTGGAGCGTGGCTGAAATGATTGTACAGCTGCAGGCCCTTTTTACATCAAGAATAAATAAATAAAAATGAAAAATAATATATATATATATATATATATACAGTTTAGGCCTTTACATTAGCTACTTTTTATAAAGCTAAGATCAAAATAACTTTTTTTTTTTTTTTTTTTTTATATAATTAAAAGAGAAAATGGTTGATTATTAATTAGGTTACATAAAAAGGAGAACACCATTTTTACTTATACCTAATTATGAAATAATTAAATAAATGTTGGGATTAATGAATAAAAAGATATAATTAGGTTGAAGAGTGGTCAAAAGGCACAATGTCATGATTTTTGCTTCTTGTGTGGATTTTGCACGAAATGTATTTTTTTTAAAAAAAAATTTATTTTTTTAGTGATTGCATTTTTTAGTGCCTCTTTTGGCGTTATTATTTAAATGATTCTGCCTTCCTGCTTTGGTGCCACTACAATATTTAATTATATTATGCTTATTTTAGGTATTTAATTACTCGAGAAGTAATTATTATATTTTGTTGAAATTTTTAAAAATACCTACTCAATTTAAATAGGCTTCAATATCTCTAAACTGATAATTGAAAAGGAATTTGAAAATTTCAATCACCCTGCCACATCAACTCAATAATATCATATAAAAAAAAAAGTATTATTATTATTGTTATTATTGAAGGTGTAACAATAAATAAAATTAAATAAATATATATATATAATTAAAATTGAAGGACCCCGTGAATTTGAGTTGCGACCAGCTTCTACAAATGTGAGTTTGACAAGCAATCATAATCTATAGTTTCGGATTAATGTTTCTTACAATTTATGCAATTATTAATCACGTCACTTGACGTGCACTCCCTTGTCACAATTTGTTTATTTTTATGCGTTACTTCATCGAATTATATAAAGTTTAAATTTTAAAGTTTTTATTTTTTTAGTTTTAAAAAAAGAAAGGTGTTGTGTTCTTGGTTCTCAAAACAAATTTTGCAAGGAAAAGTGTGAATATAGGCCTTGTAAGTTTAAAATGGGTTGTTTGTAGTTTTTTTAAATTTGCAATAATCCTCCAAATAGACTGTATTAGATTCAGTATATTTCTTTCCATAAATGAAAAAAAAAAAAAAAACTTAATAATTAGGAGAACAAGTGGGAAAACGACAGCCCAATTCCACGTGAGATATCAACGTCAGTTATCCACTTTCTAATGAGCTTTTATATAGTAGTTTGTTGCAAATTTGCAATCCTACGACTGCGAAGCATTTAGAAAATTAAAAATAGGTCTTTAGTAAATAGTGTGCAATAAAACATTTGAACCGACATTAGTTCATAGAATAAAACATGAATATTGATCTAAATCCACACTCATCATAATATTTTGCTGATTGAGTAGTGATTGACAGATAATTTGATTGGTGGTGAACAGCCGTGGGGAATTTGGATTCTTAAATTAAAATCCTACTAAATAATTAGGGACAAAATTGAAATCAGCAGCAGATATACATTATAAATTCTATTAGTATTATTATTATACATGGCTAATTAAATATATTTTAATTATAAAATGAGTTTTTAAGTATGTGAGATTGAGCATACAACAAATAACTATTGACAGAATATATAAATCATTTAAAAAAAAAAAAATACCTTCTATTTCATTCCATTAGGTTATGGACTAATCGTGGGGTTCTTCAATCAACAATCTAAATTTATTATTTATTTCTTGTCTCCATCTGTCTGTCTGTCTACGTGTATGCATATTCAGTTATAATCAACAAGTATACAGCTGGGCCACAAATGATCAATAATGAGCCCAACAAAATAAAACCCTAAATCAATTGATTTTGGGAACTAATGGTTTCTATTCGGATGTTCAATACTGACATACTACTCAGCAATCCAATGTACTATTAGAGCTAATGCTGCCAGTTCATGCCGATTTCTACAAAGGATATTTGACCCCACAAGAAAATGAACAAAAAAAATGGGCAAGCTAACTAGGGCTAATAAGTAAAATACTAATTAAGCCTGGCATCAATGTAAACAAAGCAACAGCTGCTAATCATCATTTGATTCGATCAACTCAACCAATATTACATGATTATTAAGGAATCTAAGCACCAAGAAAGAAACTCATCCAAAACACTGCATGATTATGATGACTCTTATGGAACAACATATATAAGCGTTTCAAAGAAAGAGAAATGGCAGCTCACAGTGGTGTTGTTGTTCATCCTGTCCGAGGAAATCTCGAATAGAATTGGCGCTGTTTTGGAGAGAAAACCGCAACACTCCTCAATCGAAGCCAACAGAACCTGCATCAAAAGATGAAGAACAGCCCTTGCAGTGATCTTTAACCGGAGATCACTTGGATGACGTGCTGGCCTGCAAGTTATCTACCTCGCTCACCAGCTTCTCTTTCTCTTCTGACAACTCCTCCTTGATGCTGCTTGTCTTCCCTCCATCGACACTTTGTGATCCAGTCATCCTGGCCAAGATCACAAAAGACATCCCCCCAAGAATATTGTTCAGACATCTCAAAACCACGACTGAGCTCTTGAAGAGGGCTGGTGGGAATCCCTTCTCCAACACGAACTCAACTCCATTGAGAGTTTGGTATCTGAAATTGCTGCTTAAGCCCATATGAGCTGCCCAAGTGAGTGCATTCAAAATTGTCGGAGGAGGTTTGTTTGGTGTCTCAAAGTTAGGATCCATCTTCTTCCTCATAGTAATCAAACCATTGGAAATGGCAGTCCCGACTAGTCCGGCACCAAATCCAACAGCAGCAAAGACAGTGCCCTTGTAAACGAATGTGCCAAGCCTGCTCAACAAGCTATAAGATCCCGGTTCGAACATATGGCTCGTAGGTGAACTCGCAAAAATACCAGGCAGAGTCTGTACTGAAGCCGAGAGGGTTGGAGCCAACAGGTACATCAGTGTAAAATTCAGGATGGAACCAACAACAAGAGTCGAGAACACAAAATCGAGCTCGTTCAAGCCAAAATTGGGGCGCGACGCCATGTCTCCAAGAACACAAGAGGTGACTCCCACCAATTCCTCCATGAGAACTTTGAAAGGAAATTGTGGATCTGCAGCGACCCTAGATCTCCATCCACTAAGAAATGCCCCAATGGGTCCAAATCCATCTGATGAAGACTTGGATTCATCTGAATCACCTCCACTACTCCACCCTCCACTGCCACCATTCCCACTGCCACCACTCCGGCCTATGCCTATGTCGCCGCCGCCACCGCCAGCACAGGGGTGGGGAAATTTGGATTGTAAATTAGGGTTTAACAAACTATCTCCACTGCATTTCAGCGATGGGAAGGAAACTGAGTTTCGGAAAGTATTGTCAGCAAATGTACCGGAAACGTACGTAACCGGACGAACACCGGCTTTCCGACAACAACTGCCGGAAAGAGGAGAATAACGAAGCTGAGCCGCCGTTGACATCCTATACCACTCAGAGAAATACCAACCAAATCAGCAGATCACTTTTCTCTGAAAACATCGAACACATCGAATTTCAGATCCCCGAGTACAAAATATCAGTGATAAACATAATACATTAAAAACAAAAAAAAAAATCGAGAGAAACGCATATGATGATAACGACTTGACGTACTAAAGATCAACCATCTAGATGCCGTATGAACTGAAATCAAATCAATCAATTAAACAATCAGAACAAAATAATAAATTGTTGAAGCTGTAAAATATATACACACACATCAGAACAAAATATCTTCGAAATTGCAATCACCAACACATGCAACAAATCACTCCATTCAGCATCGAATCTAAAGGTACAAGAATTACACTGGAGAGGAAATAGAGAAATGAAACCTTTGATTTAGGTGGGCGGAGAATTTGCAGGCTCGCGGTAGTTCAGACAGCGGGCGAACTCTACAGAATCAAGCGAAGGGGTGGGGTGGGGTGGGTTTACATTATATAGAAGTAATTATTATTGGGCCCTACTCACCTAATTTTTGAAGCTACATTAAAACCTAGTTGGGCTTAGCTTAATTTTAAGGCCCAATACCATAGAATGAATAAATAATTTTTTTATTGAAAAAAATAATAATAAAAACCAACGATGGTGCCGGCGGACTTCTGGCGTTGGGGCGAAGGCCTGGCCGGAGAAAATGGCGAGCACCGGAGTCGTGTATCCAAGCTTAAGTCAGGCCAGGGACTCCGTGAGTCAAGCCGCGGCTCGGCTGGTCCTCAACTAAACTACTGATTAAGTGGTGAGGTAATTCAGGAAGTATGTGTTACCGTGAAGATAGGGTCAAACGTGGATTCTCAAATGACCGAGCAAGGTATATTTACTGGTTCATCATTTAGTTAGAGAAATTCTTTTTGCCTGGAAGACAGGTGTGAAAATACTGTATGATTAGTTATAGTCTTCTAGGGTTATTTATAAGTCAATTTTATCAATCATACTCAGCCTGAGGTTGTGCTTTACATAGAAGAAAGAGCATGGAATTTTCATTGGGACGACCAAAGAGGTCAACTTGTAATATTAATTCAGCATTTGGGAAATTGGGGCGATTGTGCTTAATGTTTACTCTGCATATCGAGCCTTTTGAATCGAATCCAATCCAATCCAAACCAGTTTCTGCTGTTTTGTTTTACGATGGATTTCATTACTCCAGTTATTACGCTTGTGGCCTCTGCCATAGATTGTGTAGCCGGAAGATTCGCAACTGAAGGAGATCTGGTTAAAAGAATTGATAATCTTGATAGAGCCTTGGAGGAGCTGATTGAAGTGAGGGATGACTTGATCAAGCAGGTGGATGGAGCAGAGCTAAAGGGGTTATCTCGTACAAATCAAGTCAAGGGGTGGCTAGCAAGAGTGGGCAGAGTTGAAACAGAAGCGAGACAGATGATAGATCAAATGAGACAGAAGAAACAAGTCCTATTCTGCTGTGATGCATCCTGTTGTTTGAGGTATGAGCGCATCAACGAGGCCGACGAGAAGCTTGCTGTGGTCAGAGAGCTGAAGGGGCGAGGAAGATTGGAAGTTGACTTGGCAGATGGGCTGCTTCTGGTGCCTGTGGTGGAGGTGCCAAACAGGCCTACTGTGGGGATGGAGTTAATGCTGGATAGAGTCGGGATTCTTCTGAGGGACGAGACGGTTGGAATGCTCGGAATTTATGGGATGGGAGGGGTTGGCAAGACGACTCTCTTGAAGTGCATAAATAATGGATTTCTGAATCAGGATCATGACTTTGATGTAATAATATGGGTTGTGGTATCCAGAGATTTCATGATCGAAAAGATTCAGCGAGCTATTGGGGAGAGGCTAGGCCTGTCGTGGGATGAGACACAGTTTCAAGAACTAAGAGCTTCGAGAATACACAGTGTCATGAGGAAGAGGAAATTTCTGTTGCTGTTGGATGATGTTTGGGGAGGCCTTGATCTGGACAATGTTGGCATACCGATCCCCAGTCAAGAAAACGGGAGCAAAGTAATTTTTACAACACGGTCAATGGAAGTGTGTAGCTATATGGATGCCGATGATCAGCTCAAGGTTGAATTCCTGAGTGAGATGGAATCATGGGAGCTCTTCTGTCGGAAAATCGGCAAGCTTGACATCCTAAGCACACCCCTGATAAAGGATCATGCCAAGACCATTGTGCAAAAATGCGGAGGCCTTCCTCTCGCCTTGATCACCATGGGAAGGGCGATGGCGAACAAGAAAGTTGAGGAGGAGTGGAGACACGCAGTCGAAGCGCTGCACAAGACTCCATCAGACATTCAAGGCATGGAAGATGTGTTTACACTCCTCAAGTTCAGTTACGACAATCTTGGCAATGATGTCTTGCGCTCGTGCCTAGTGTACTGCTCTTTATTTCCCGAAGACTGCAGTATTGAGAAAGAACAGCTGATTGAGTACTGGGCAGGGGAAGGCTTTCTAGATGGCTACCAACACCGGGATCCCCATGCCGTTGGGCATTCCATTATCGGATCTTTGCGAGTTGCGTGCTTCTTGCAGAGCGGCGAAGAGGAATCACAGGTCAAGATGCATGATGTCGTGAGGAGTTTCACCTTATGGATTGTGTCAGAGCAGTCGAGATTCATAATGCAGGCCAGTGAAGGGCTAACAGAAGCACCATCTGCCGAGAGGTTGAGTCGAGCAGAGAGGGTCTCATTGTTGGACAATGCAATCACTAAACTATCTGGCACACCTATATGTCCCAACCTATCGACGCTGTTTCTCCAATTGAACAAAAGCCTTACCAAAATTTCTGATGGCTATTTCCAGAACATGCCAGCTCTCAAAGTTCTGGACTTGTCGTTCACTGGCATCAAGCAGCTTCCATTAAGTATTTACGCCTTGGAAGAGATTCGCCATCTGGACCTGTCGGGAACTAGGTTAAGAGCATTGCCGGCAGCGCTGGGATCACTGAAAAACTTACGGCATTTGAACGTGCAGCGCAATCAGAACTTAACCGTGATCCCCCGTGATGCATTATTGCAGATGTGTAGATTGAGAGCCTTAAATTTCTACTACAGCTACTCTGGTTGGGAGATGGAACAGTTCGAAGGGTCCAGTCAACTGAGGCTCAAGGACTTGGAACAAATGGACACTCTTCAGTCACTGGGGATCACAGTAGCTAATGTATCTGCTTTGAGTGTAATCTCGTCGAGTAAGTTTCTTCGAAGCTGCATACAGTATCTGTACATCAAGGAGTGTGAAGGTCTGCACTACTTGCCGCTGTCATCACATCCTGGAGACGGTGATCAATTGCGTAGGCTGAGTATCAACAATTGTGTCGGCATAAAGCATTTGGTTGTAGAAGAGGCAGCAGGACAATGTTGGCTACCAAAGCTGGAGATTCTCGCCCTTAACGGGCTTCCCAACCTGATATCGATCTGGAAAAACAGGGTGGGCGACGGATGCCTTGTCAACCTTCGATCTGTCAACATTTGGTACTGTCACAAGCTGAAGCATGTTTCTTGGATTCTGAGACTCCCACAGCTTGAGACAGTTTATATATTTTACTGCAAAATGATGGAAGAGGTTATAAGAGGGGAAGATGCAGCAGAAGAGGATTACAAGAAGGTGTTTCCTAAACTCAAAACTATTTCGATAAGAGATGCACCGCAATTGAGGAGTATCTGCCAAAAGGCCATCTCTTTTCAATGCCTGAAGAAGATTGCCGTCATCGATTGTCCAAATCTGAGGAAGCTTCCACTCAAAGCACACAATGTTGCTGAATTACCGATAGTGTATTGCTACAAGGCATGGTGGGATGACTTGGTGTGGGATGACAGTGATACAAAAGACACCTTTCTGCCATATTTCATCAGAGCTTGATGCAGGTTCAGATCAGGGGCTGTCTAAAGTGTATACTTTTTGTAATTTATGCAAAATACTCACCACTATTCTTCATATGCACCATCCAAAATGCTATGGGATGCTTCTTTTGTTTGCTGTTTGGGAGTGTTCTATAAGGAGAAATGCTTTCTAGAAAGAGAGCAATCAGCATAAAGCCAAAAAGACTGCCCAGAATGAATGTAAAATTTCTTCAACCAGTAGAATGCTTATGAAACTGCTAGCCCTACTACTGTCAAAAAAACAAACTGCAACATTCAGGGGCAGGAAAACTAAGAAAGAACAGGCAAATCAAGTTTTTCACTATGTAACTATGCATCAGATTCATACTATGTACATGGAGAGGTTTAGATGAGACTTATTGACACATTATATCAAGGCAATAAGAATCAAAAGCCCCCCCAAAACTTACAAACCATCCTTACTGTAAATCAGATGTCACCAAAGCTGTAGCTAAGCTGATGTTTGAAATTTTTATGAGTATTAAAAAAACATTCAAGAAAACAATATCAATCAGCGCTATGTCCCTAGTCTGACTACAAAGGTACAACTTAAGCAAGAGATCTAATTCCAACTTGTAATAATAATAACTACTGAATTTGTAACTTTTTGTGTTCAAAGAAACCTATGCCTGAGGCACTTGCATATTTCAGGCATTAAGAACCTCAGGATAGACATTTCACATGGTATAGAACTAGAAGATTTTCCTTATCCAAACCCCTCCAGAACAGTACAGAAATAGTAAGATGCAGTTGGACAGTACCATAAGATTAACAAACTAAATTGGAATAACCACCACCTGAAAGCATTGTAAGGTTGAGAAATTCATGTAATTAATGAAGAGATCAACACAACAAATAAGCATATATAATAGCTTAAGATATACACAAAAAATCAGTGTACCATAATCCCATCAAAATTTACAGCTATGATTAACTGAAAAGGCAAAGGTGATGAATTTGCCTGACAAGTATATTGCATAAACAGAACATCATTGAAATACACTGTTCTAGGCACAACCAGTTTCTTTGAATTTATTCAAATACAAATAATATAAGGTGTTGTTTTCTTCTGTGCAGGATTAGGTTGGAAAAACTGCTAGAGTCTGAAGAAATCACAACACCATAAGAAAATTTATGAAATGTTTTGCTCAGGAACTGCATACAATATTTGAAAAGCAGATATTGCAGACATCCTCGAGATGGAACAATCTTTCCATGCTTCTGTCACCTCACTTGCTCTCAATATCATACAGGTCTGTTCTGAACACGTTTATAAGGAAGAACAATAAAAAGCACAGTAAGTATTTACTGAAGTCTGAAATAAATGGAAAACCAATTGAGTTAAAAATGTGGTTTTTTTTAGAGACAACTATCAATTAGTGAACAGATATACATGTTTATGTACTATAGATATTAACATTAGCTAAAAGATTTACTTTTCATATGTTATTTCCTGGTTAGAAAAGAAATTCAAACAGAATATTCTGGCACAAAATATCAAATTGATAGGAATGTCAATGAATAATCTTCTATATATATCTGTGATGACCTAAACGTCTGCTTAATAAGCAGCCCAGGGTCTGTCCACAAATTAAGCAAGGCCTGATTCGACCTAGAAGCAGGGAAACAAAAACAAAAGGATGTGCGTACATATAAAAATGAGTGACATCAGGTTAAATAGAAAATCAATGATGAGGTTTATACACACCAATGGCTATTTGTAACATTTTAATTTCATATTTAATAATTTGCTGACACATATTTATTGGGTAAAGTAGCACATCTGGATGAAGAATGTTTAAGTTGCAGCCAACTGATTGAAATGTGTCTTTTCTCTAATCAATGTTAGATATTTTTACATAATATTAGGATAAAAACAACAGATACAAGAATTATGGCACATATATATACTACAGATAGAGATGCAGAGATGCTCTAGCTTTATAGGAGAGGCTGGATAAGCTAAGAACCAAGATGGGTATGAGATCAAGTCTTTTACTCCCAACTTCCTTTTTTAAATTATAAGATTTTCTCCTTCTTCACTTCATTAATACAGAAAGATTAACTTAATCAAGCAGGCTGAGCTTTTATCCCATGTATTTGAACGGCATAACCATTATCATATCTTGATTAAGCTGAACGCCTCCTCCCCTCGAATTAGGCGTAATCATGCCGGATGAATATGTATGATTTCAAAACAAAAATTGCAATTCATATAAATCAAACGCATTAAACGGTCAAAGGATACACCAAGTAAAATCCATGAGCGAAGGCTCCCACCAGCACTCCAGTGAACAACCGATCTCTCAAAACCGGCCTGTGCCGGAGCGACAACCGAACTGTCAAGACAACAATAAAATCAACATATAGACAGGAGACAATATATATCGGGAAAAGGAAGAAAAATGACTCACTGAGAGGAAGAACAGGAGCATAGATGAGAGGAATTAGAAATTTAATCGGAGCACTTTTTCTTTGCCTCTTGACGACTTGCCTTGAAAAATCAAATGAGCGATTCAACACGGTGATCGACATAAATTCAAAGAAATAATTCGAGACACATACACACATATGTTATATATCAAGGAAGCTGGAAGCGCACTTACGGATCAGACGGTGGCGTTGCCATGGAAATCACTGCCGGCGACGTCTCGGGGAGCGAGGACGATTTCAAAGAAGAGAAGGATGTGAGAAAAAACGACTCGCCGATAACATTGCGATAGTTTATATACGCAGGACGGACATCGGTTGAACTTCATTGGCTGCGCGTTAGGTTAATATATATAAGATGCTGATGCATATGTTAATTAAAAATAATACTAATATATATATATATATATAATTAATTATTTATAAAAATGTTACCATAATTAACAAAATAGGATTCAAAACCTAGAGTGAGTAAAAAATATATTCGATTTTAATTCTCCTACATTATAAATTATTTCGTAAAATATTGTCAAAAAAAATATTTTGGTTAATATCCTATAGGAACAAACAAATCATTTCTAACTCTCAAATCACTAAAAGAATCTAAATTGTTTACATTGAGGTGGTACAAAGAAAGATACTTACTTAATCTCCGACTCATTAATTTCATTTATATCATTTTAATTGCTACATTAATTTTATTTTAATCATAATTTCAATTTTCACTGTTATTATTTAAATATTTAATTTTTTCTATTATTTTAAATAATTTTTTATTTTTATAATTTAAGATAATTTTTTGTAAAAAATTAAAAAATTAAAATTAAAATTAAAATTAAAAAAATAAAATAAAATAGAAAGAAACGCCACCAAATCAATCAATCCAGAGCCATTAAGCATATAAAATAATGGCTCTGGGTTGAAAATGCCCTTAAACATATAGAATATTGTATATAAAATTGTAGTAACTAAATGTAAAAATGTGAAAAATGCATTTTGGTATATTTTTTTTTTTTGCAAAGTTTGTTCAGATTTTATTATTTTAATTTTGTATTTTTTAAATATTTTTTTCTCTCACAAAATATTCCATCGAAATTTTATTTTCATATCAAATTCAAATCAAAATTTTTTCAAACTTATAAAAAAAAATAAAATAAAATCACACCATTTGTTATTGATGGTTATCATTTTATAATTTATATATATAATCAACTTCTAACAGGAACAAACACTTTGGGTGTGTTTGTTTGAAGGATTTTGGTGGATTTCTACTATTCATCCAATTTTTTCCCCCTAAAAACATCAAATCAAACACCTATTTTTCATTTTTTATATTATACTAAAAATCAATTTTACATTCAAAACATCACATCAAACCCTATTTATATCACATCATACAACTATTCAAATTCAAAATTTTTACTATTCAAATCCCAACTCAAAATCCAAACCCCCAAACAAACACACCCTTTATGTATATTTTATACTCCGTTGCGATACTGATTATTGTTCTGCTTGCTTTTCTGACATACAACGGATTTGGGATTAGCATAAAAATTTGCTAAAATTACAAATTATAATGAATTATATACCAATATACTGTACAATATAGATTAGTTATTTCATTTTCATTATCTTAATGGCTATTGAGAACTACGTGGTGACTGCTGGGCCATCCCCCAGTTTCAAAGAACAGCGACAATGCTTCACACACAAGGGTCAACCTTTGACTAAAGAGTCAACCTTTTTGACTGGGACCTGCTATCTCTATCCCAAACTGTCACTGCATAATTATGTGTGCAAGACAACTTCCATCGAAAGAAACCACATACGATTTAATAGAATTCAAAATTGTATCAAAACAATATGGAGAAGATTTTCTTCGTCTGTTTAGCATCGATTAAGAAAGAACTATTACCCTAACAACGCTATGAAAGTTTCAAAACTAAACAAATTAAACAAACAAATTTCTGAAACAAACTTAACCAAAATGCATTTGTATAATCAATAGATGAAATTTGTGCCTGCAAGATTGTGATGCAGGAGCTTGTGCGCAATCTGGTCCCTGACATGGACGCCATTGGCGGACCTCACGCTGATCTCCGGCACAACCTCGTCGTCGAAGAGGTCGAACCTCAGCTCCGGGCTCAGCTTCTCGAACCTCATCTCGCAGATATTATGCAGCACGCAGCAGGCGCCGAGAACCACCGGAAGATCCTGCAGCTTCATCTCCGTCCTCTTCCTCAGGCAGCTCCACCGGGCTTTCAACCTCATGAACGCCTCCTTCGCCAGGCTCTGCACGTCGTCGACTCTGCCATTGAAGGCGTGCTGCGTCCACGTCAGATTTTGGTGTGTGTAGGGAACCAGAAGCCAGTCGAGAAGCGGGAATGAAGAATTTCCGACGATCCAGACGTCCTGCAATGCGCCATTGTTGGCCCTCTGGAAAAGGGCGGATTTTTCGAGAACTTGGTCGTCAGACATCGATCCCGGCCATCCGATGCAGACGTCGGTGAAGATGCCTTTCGGATCGACGACGCCTTGGACGGTTATGGAGTAGGAGGTTTTCTGGTTCCTCTCGGTGTGCCTTTTGTTGAAATAGGCGGCCACGCTGACCTTGGGGGCGATGATCGGAATGTGCGTCGTGTACATTGCTCCGGCGACGTTTGGGATGCCGGAGAATAATTCGAATTCCTGTTTGATTTCGTTCAATTTGTTGTCGTCCGGCCATTGGAGGAATTTAGGCATCAGGACGCTCCGGATCGCGGTGCAGACCTCGAGAACCAGTTTGTGGCAGGTGGATATCCCCAAACCGAACCGCTTCGACACTTCCCGGAGGGCCTCGCCGGTGGCTAATCGGTAAATGCAGACGGCGACGCGCTGCCGGACAGGGATCGCCAGGCGGAGCATTGTGTCCTTCTTCGTCACGACGGATTCGAGCTCTTCGCAGATCATATCAAACGTTGCTCTGCTCATCCGAAAAGCTTTGATAAAATCCTCCTCAGGGAATTCCGGGCTGTTCACCAATTCCCACCACGCCTGAGACCGATTCTTCACCCACAATCTCCGCTGCGCCGGCGCCGGCGCCGCCGAGCTCGTCGATTCGTCGGAGCCTTTTGCGTAACTACCAGACTCAGACCGCGCCCGCTTACTGTTCGACGAATTGCCGGAATCAGCCAAGGATAACTCACTCTCATCCATTTTCTTCGAATCAAACGTCACAAATTTGCTGAGAAACTCCTGAACCGACGAATCATTCGCGATCTCGTCGATAAGATCTCCCCTCTGCCGCTTCTTCCCGCCGGAGAAATCCAAAGAGTCGGGGTCGAATTCTTGGAGGAAAGAAGAGTAATCGAAGTCTTCTGGAAATGGGAACGACGGTACTCCCATGAAGAATAAATAACAACCCGAAAGCGTAGACAAGAATTGATAAAGAAGTCTGAACGAAGATGTGAACACAAGAACAGCCTTCCCCAAGTATATATAAGAGCAACAAAAACCATGGCAGAGGGCAGGAGGATGGGGCAAGCGCGTGGGACACGGTTGGGATGAATATTCTGGAGCTGGCAGAAGGGGCTTTGGAGTTGGACGGTGCGTGGGAGAGCTCTGTATCTGTAATTGATAAATCTGTTAGCTTTACGCGGTTAAGGTTTGGTTCATCGTTGTCGCAGTACGACTAGGTTTTTGGGGAAGGGGGGAGGAAGCTGGGTCGAAGCGTTTTTACTGCTTTATCAGGTGAGGGCAGAATGGTAAAATCGTTACGACTTCAGTTTGACGTGGACGTTTCGTTTTGGAAGCTTCCTGGTCAACCTAAATAGAAAGGAGAATTTTGTTTTGTTATTTACAAGTGATTTGGTGGATATATAGTTTTTGGTCCTTACGTTTTTGGGTATTTATAGATTTGGCCCCGAAGAAAGAATTTGTGGTGCGGTTTCACCGAAAGCCCTCGGCCTTGTATTAGTTTTTGGCGTCCAGTGGCGCTTCGGAATTGAAGCGTTTTGATAAGTGAGATGATTTGATTCTGTGGAGGTGTAGCTTAAGCTCCAAGTTTTACTCCATGGCTTCTCTACTGAGTCCGCCTCTCAGTTTGCCGCTTAACAGGGTAGTCAAAGCTGTTTCTGTCTTCATGTTCGCGATTTTCTTTTGTAGGGTTATTTTTTTGTGTTAAGGTACTTTGACATGAGTGGATAACGATGATAGTGTAGAGTTCTTTTCCTGTGAATTGTAATTGTTGTAGATATCCTCAACTATAATTTAATATTAATTTATTTTTCGGTTGTTTGGCCTTTCTTTGTCAGGCCAGCAACGGAAATTCTAGATCTCTCGGTCAGAAGATGTTTTCGGAGAGCGAGCGTATGTGTTTTAGGAGAAATAGTGTTCGCAGTGCGAAATTTTCCGCAATAAAAAACAAACCATCGGCGGAAGCAGATGTAATCGTGAAGGATTCTGTGAATGTTGAGGCAGTTGAGGACAGGATAGGTAATTGATTCTTCGGTGATTTTTTCCGTTTATCCCTACTGAATTAGTCGTGTTGAATTCAAATTTTTGTGGTCATTGTATATCACGTAATATGCCTCTAAGCGTTCCAATAAACACAAAAACACTTAGTAGTAGATATCTATGGTAATAATATGATAAAAATAGTGATGTTAAGTGCATTCCCCCTTTGTTGTGAATGTGACATCTTAACTTTGAGATGAATTGATCTTCCTTACAAAATCTAGGATTGCATGACACAGCCGCTGTTGAGAGATTCAATTTTAGTATCTTATTGATACCCAATTGCCGTTAGATATCTGTGGAAGCAATACTGGTGTCAAATTCTGATACTATGTGCTAGGCTTGTGTAGTTGGGTGTTTTGAAGGAAGAACCAATCATGGTTCAGTTGTAAGTATTTATTTTGACATAAGATTAGGGTGGAGAAGAAATGGGAGGGAAAATGTTTGTAACTATATGTCCAATACATGGCATTTGTGATCTGTTCTATTGCAATCATTGGAGTTTTTCCATTGTGAGTCCTTTGTGTCCCAATCTATTAGTATGCTTTGACAAAATTGGTTATAATTTTGAAGATTACGGAGTTGTTGGTGTTCACCATGTTGGGGTCTTGTGCGAGAACCTGGAGAGGTCGTTGCACTTTTACCAGAATATACTCGGTATGTTTCTTTTACTGACACGGTGATAGTCTACCGTGTTATGAAATCCTTAATTTTTGCATGAAAACCAGGTTTAACAATAAATGAGGCACGACCACACGATAAACTCCCCTATAGGGGAGCTTGGTTATGGGTAGGCTCTGAGATGATACATCTGATGGAACTTCCAAATCCTGATCCTTTAACCGGCCGGCCCGAACATGGGGGTAGAGATCGCCATGCTTGTTTAGCTATTCGAGATGTTTCTAAGCTGAAGGATATCCTCGATAAAGCTGGTACTTGTTTTAATCTATTTCATTACCTGTCGCCTAATGTGCAAAAATGTGTTTCTTGTATGTCCAAGTTTAAGATTGTTGTATTTCGAGTCATTGCATTTGGTCTTTTGATTTTTTCCAGGTATTCCCTATACCCTTAGTCGCTCGGGTCGGCCAGCGATTTTCACACGAGATCCAGATGCTAATGCACTTGAATTTACACAAGTTGATTGAGGATTGCTGCATCAGAGACAGACGAACTAGTTTTCTGTAACTAAGAAGATCTATAGGAATGGAGTTTCATGTGGTGCAGATTTTCATAGCTTGATTCTGCCATCATTTGTGGGTAAGAAATGGCTCTCCTCATTTCATCATGCAAATATTTATGTATGTGCCTCTTTTTTCTTTTTTTTGTACTTGCAAATATTATTACTACACAGGGATGGTGGTAGATATGAACCTGAAGCAATAAAAGCATAGGTTATATGGCATCGACCTTAATATCTATAGATGCACTTTAATTTATGTATTGTAGAGCACCTCCAACAGGGGTCCTTCCTACTAGCACTACTAATTGACACCTATGAGATAAATCATTTTTAAGAAAAAAAAAAAAAATCTTGTTTATTTAGTTATTTTGTCAACTCTACAAACGGCAGTTATTTGTAATTATTTATTGTAAAAATAATAAATAAATAAATAAATAAACTACATAATAGTGTGTCTAAATCGAGCAGGCGAACCAGAGATGTGGATATCCAAACATATGTTTTTCAATTTTAAATTTGTGTGTATTATCAAGAACACTCAATAATATACTATGTTTAGGCAAATATATACACGCAATTTTAATTATCTTTTTCCTCTTTGTCATTTGTCTCTTAGTCTAGATACAAAGTTCCTAGCCTAAGTCCAATTTCAGCTCCAATCCCTTTACCATACCAATTCCATTTCCAATCTGGTTGATACAATTTGCTAAAATTTTACGTGGGTTAAAATTTTAAAATATAATAATATTTTAATGGTAAGTGTGATAGATAAAAAAAATAAAATGAAGATATTATAAAATATTTACTGAGAAATTAATAAAAAAGATATATAAAAAATAGTGATAATTTATTATAAGAGCATCAGTTACAGTCACTTTCTTCGTTGCTTTTGTGATTGTCTTTTCGTTATACAATACTCATTACCTTTAATAAGAAATATAGATATTCTAAATTTATTACATTTCTCAAGAACCGATTACTTTCAATAAAAAATAATAAAAGTTAATTAAGTATTATCCTTTTCTTTTTTTTTTAATCTTAAATTTTCAAATTTTAAATTCAATAAAATTTATTTATAAAATATATTTAAAACTCATTAACGTTTTATCTATCATATTTTAAAATTATTTTTTTTACCTCTAGTTTTTTCTATTCAAATTTTAAAATAGTAAATTATATCTTTCAAATTATTAAATTCACATATATTAATATTTAAAATTAAAATATAATATTATATAAAAATATTATGACAATAAAAATATAGGACTATGTATAAATAAATAAATTATTTTTATTATATTACTACATAAGAAAAATATATACAAATAAATAAATTATTGTAGGTATTATAAAATAGTAAAAATAATGAGTTGAAGGTAATTAACTATAACGGGTGTTAAAGAAAGTAATTTGAATATTGAAATGAATATAACGTGGACGAGAAAGATAAAGAAAATAATAGTTTAGAGGTAACGACTATAACGAATGATCTAAATAGGCTAATAAAATATGAATAAAATTATGAGGAAATAAATTTTTTTATAAATAAGACTATATATAAATTTAAAAGATAACAAAAAACTTGACATATTTTTATTTTTTATTTTATGGATAACAAGATTATTAATTAATTAATTTATTTATTAATGTTTTTATCTTAAATTTATTGTATATTTGACTCTTGGCGTCTGGATCGCTACTGCTTTGATTATGCGCTCATTTTAAGTCACGAATGTACATTAATGTTGAAAGTCTGACATGTAGAGTGTGTTTGATTTGAGTTTTGGATTTTGAGTTGAGATTTGAATAGTAAAAATTTTGAATTTGAATAGTTGTACGATGTAATATAAGCAGGTGATGTGATGTTTTGAATGTAAAATTGATTTTTAGTATAATATAAAAAATAAAAAATAGGTATTTAATTTGATATTTTTGAGAAAAAAATTAGATGAACAATGTAAATCCAATCCAATCCCCCAATCAATCAGACACACCCGTAGAGTTGTGTTTATTTCGTGATTGATTTGTATTTTAAATTTAAATAACTTTTATATATAATATTAAAATACTATTTTCTCTCTCTTTTTTTTTTTTTTTTTTTTTTTTAATACAAGTCATGGCGAATATAAAAAAACATAGACGTAAAAATTAATTAGGGTAGTGAATGTTTGACAATCCTGTTGAATATCAGCATATTCTAATTATTGTGGCGGAATCTTTTGCTCAATTTGGGCAATTCCGTTACTTTCACTCTTTTTTATGAAACAACAAAAGGGAAAAAAGTTGGATTCGTTTACTTTGTTTCCTTTTTATATTTATATTTTGATTTTTTAAAATAAATAATTGTTTGATTGGTTGAAACTTATACAAAAAAATTAAAAAATTAAAACTCAAAATAAATACATTTTTTAATCTTATTTGTGCTATTTTTGTATAATTTAATCTACATATCTTTCTTTTTTTTTTCTAATATTTATTTTATATCTAAAATATTCTATCTAATGCTATATACTAATATATCTTGGAATTCAAAATATAAATAAGTAAAAATAAACATAGCTTTTAAATTATAATAGTATTATTTATTAATAATAATTTATTTACAAATATTAAATGATTATTTTATTTTAGAAGATATCATTCTGTCTATTTTTGTCTGTTAAATTTAAAAGTTTATATTTTTATTTTTAGTAATTGTGATTTTATCACTATTAATACCCTCTAACTGTCAGATTTATATTTTGAGTTATTGTATTTGATATTAAAAATATTTTTATATTTGCATAATTTTTTTACAAATGTCATTTTATTAGTATTATAAGACACTAATAAAAAATTTTATAATTTTTTCTTAATTTGTATTACGTTTTGATATAATAATTAATATTTAAATATCAATACGGTAAAAAAATAAATGAGATCCTTATATTTGAACGAAGATAATAATATTTTTTCACTTACATAATATTTTAACATCTATTTATATATACTTATATTCAAAAGTAAGAATAATTTAGTTTTAACATTGTTATATCTATCATAACTTCATATTAAGAAAATTAGGTTAAAATATTTTTTATTTTTTATTTTAAAGTGATAAAAACAAAAATAAAATAAATAGTATTTTTTTTACTAAAAATGGATCTTGACTCCGTCCGTGCGTGTCTACATTATAAGTACAAAAATTTAGAAATAATATAATTAATGAATAAATTATAAAATATATTATATTACTTATTACAATGTAATTAATTATATAATAAAATAGAAATAATTAATTTATTTAAGCTAATTAAAATAAAATTATAAATTACAAATTTTAAAATGATATATGAAAATATTTGTATTTGGTTTGAATTTTTAAAATTTTTAAATTTAATTTAAGCCTTAAATAAATATATAATCGGAATACTATTTAAATTCAAATTAAAATTACAACCTCTTGATCTTGATACTCTTATCCTATGTTACACATAACACAACTCAGGCACGTGTATACACGTGTGTATGTAACACTACAAAATTGCCCAAAATGACTTTACTCTTTCTTTTTTTTTTCTTTTTTTTTTTTTTTAATAAATGAAGAAAAGAGTAACGCACAGAAACTTTTCACCAGTGTAATAAATATAGTTGTAGTATTTATTTCGTTTTGTTAACCTTCTGCTGAATCTGCAATTTTATTTTTTTATATAAGTATTTCAGATCAGTTCAGAGGTCGCTTTTCAGACTTATTTAAACAAAATAATAATAATAATAATAATATATATATATATATATATGTAGAGAGAGAGAGTATACAACCTTCTTCATATTTATATTTCATTGTGGAATTATCAAACAAACAGCTATGTTCGCCGCCAATCTGACATCTATAGTAAACTTGAACAAATTATTTTAATAAATTCAATTAATACTTTGTAACAATTGCACATTTTGGCTTATTTATTACAAAGGTGGTCCACTTTTTGAAAGAAAAAAGGGTTAGTAAACCTATTTATAATAGATACTATACACATGACATAAGTTCTAATTTATAAAACAAGTAATAATAATTAGGCATTAAACCTTTTCGAATTAAGACGCTAATAATTTTTATATTAATAATTAATAATGATAATAATAAACCGCCTAAAATTAAATCTTAACAATGACTATTATTGTTACTACTACTACTACTACTACTTCAAATATAAATATTTTCCCGATTGTGCCTATAATATATATATATATATATTGGCGAAGGAAAAAAATCCGTCGATATCTCTCTCTCAAAAGACGATTTTGGCAGTGCTCTCTCTCTGGGCGTTCCTTCTTGGGGTGGAATTTATTCTGCGTTACGTGGGGGTTCAATGGCGATCCTTGACGCGGTGGACACCTTGGACGCGACGTCGTCCAGGGCCGACAACCGACAAGGCAACCGCGCCACTCTTCGCCGCAGGCAAGGCGGGCGGGCTGATGACCCTACATTGAACTCCGCCTCCAACTCGCCGGAGCCGGAGGGCGCCGCCAATAAGGCGGGGAGAAATCAGGACGACGAAAATTCGATTGGGAGCCTCTCCGGGGGAGTTTCGGAATCGGTGAGTGGAGACCGGGGGGCGGAATCCGCCGGCGAAGGGTGGGGTGGCGGCAACGAGGCGGAGGAGAAAGTTAAGGAGAAAGCCGATGACGGTGACGACAAAGGAACGAATGTTTCCGCCGTCCAATTCGACTACCGACCGTCGGCGCCCGCCCACCGCAGAATCAAGGAGAGTCCGCTCAGTTCCACCGCTATATTTAAACAGGTGGGCTTTTACGAGTTACTTACTTCTGTGAATATGTTAGCTTCTCTGTGTCTGTTTACATTTTGTAATCGCCGATTAAACTTCCATAGCCCTCCTACACATATATGATCAAATCGACTCTGTGGAAATGCTTGCGCCGAGTGAGTTTTTTTTTTTTTTTTAATGATGATCTTGCTTTGAGCTTGTTTCGATTGGAATGACTTCTGATGCCACTTGTTTGTATATCTGAATATGATCAGGATGATATGCTTCTGGAAGATTCTTTGTTGAGGGGTGGGTGGGCGAGGGGAAGTCACCTTCAGAAGCATAGTTTCTATTTTGTTTATTTAAAAGAAAGTGGGGTTGCATCTTTAGCAACAAAAAACAAAGAGTTGGTGAATTGTTGGGAGATTTAGAAAGTGTGGGTTGTAGATTCGGTCTTTTAATTTTCTTCCATGAACTAGGCAAGGGCTTTCAAGCTAAAACAAGACAGCTATGATTATTGGGATGGGCATAAGTATTTGTCATCGATCTTTTGAATGTAATACAATATTACCATAATATAGAATTTATAATCTCTGTTGGAACGTGCTAGATTGAACTCTTGTCTTTTCAGGTAAGCAGTAGTCAAGACCGATATGATTTAATTACTAAAGTGTCTTCCATTTTCGAAGATTTACCTGTAGCTGGATGTGTCAGGCTAGATAAAGCAATCTGAATGAAACTATCTTGTTTTCGTGTTTGTGTATTATTACGTTTTGTGTAATCTTCAAAACTAATTGCTTTCTTTTTACAGAGCCATGCAGGTCTGTTCAATCTGTGCATCGTGGTGCTTGTTGCCGTAAATAGCAGGCTTATCATTGAGAATTTAATGAAGGTACACTTGTTTTGAAATCTTTGTAGTTTTTGAACGTTATTCCATCAGCGGATCTAATCTTGTGACTTGCAGTACGGCTTGCTGATCAAATATGGGTTTTGGTTTAGTTCAAAGTCGCTTAGGGATTGGCCTCTTTTGATGTGTTGGTAAATACAACTTGAACCTATTATTCTTTTGTCGTCATAGTTTGTTTGCAGATCTTAACTTTTCCAATCCTTATTGCAGTCTAAGTCTCCCAATTTTCCCATTTGCCGCATTTCTTGTTGAGAAGTCGGTGCAACAGAAGTACATATCTGAATGGGTCAGTGCAACTGTCTACCTTTTTTTAGTAATACTCATTGAAATCTTGTATTTGGATTTTCTATCATGATTAAGGTTAGTGAATTTTAATTACACCACTCATGAATCCTTTTGCTTTGGGACCACTTAAATAAGTTTCGCTGTTGGTTCACGTCATGAATTTTGGTTGCATGTTTATTAATAACTAACTGTCTTACGTGTGATCTTTGGTCAAATAAATTTCAAAGAAGTTATCATTAATAACCTGGAATCATTTTTGTTGACTGAATATATGGTATCAACCATGGCGATAATACTTGACCGATTCGTGGCTCTTGGTGTCGACATTTAAGTTTGAAGAATCTGAGTTGTCCTTCTTTTATGACAGCTGGACAGCTCTTCACTTTTTCGATATTATACTTAATTATCCTTACGTATTGATGTTCCTTTTGATACTATTTGGGTAACAAGACCAATTCCTCTTGTGCCACAATCTTTTTGCATCCACAGTGATGTTTAAATAACTAACGTCCACATTCACCATCTTGTATTTGTTTATTGCTACAAGTTCATTTACTGGTAATCGTACTAATCAAATATACGCATGTGACAACTTCTGAAATCCTGTATCCATCGTGCAGGTTTCAATATTCCTTCATATTCTAGTGACAACTGCCGAAATCCTGTATCCAGTTCTTGTCATTCTTAGGTAAGTCTTGATTTTGCTGTTTCTCTTTGTTTATATGCTGTTTCTCTAAGTGGAAAAAAAATAAATTATTGTGTAGCAGAAGTTGTTATGGTTAGAATTGGGCCATTAAATTGAAGTAGATGAGATCAACAGGGGAATATGCAAATATCACGATCTAACACGTGATTGGTAGGATTCTGAAATGGATAATGTAGCTTATAATTGGTGGTTCTATAAATTGGGTGGAATGTACTCATTTCAAACATTTTTGTCTTATTTTGAAAGCACGTCTAATGAAACTACGGTATATTTGTCTTTATTAGTTATGTTGTTTTTGGCTCTTGCATACGTGTATCTGAACTTTCCTTAATCTTCCTGGTAGACTTGAATGAAAGAAGAAAATAAATGCTTCTGCATGCACGATGACTTGCTGCGCAATTGATCTATGTCAACATATGAAATATTTCTTCTTTTTTTTTTAAAATGAGCAATAAATTGGTAGCCAAACAAAATGTAGCAAACCTGTAACTTCTTTGAGTTTATTTTACAGATGATTAAGGAATTCCTTATGAAGAAACTAAGATCACTCAAATTCAAGCAACGGAAAATCGTCATACTTTTGCAGTAAATAGCTCTCTTTTAAAAAATAATATACTGTATCCCAAGACCATGAATCTGACACAATAAGGCTAAGTCGGTTGTTGGAGATATTGGTCAAGTTGCTTGCTTCTGCTACTTGATTTTCTAATGATAAAGAAAAAATTCCGTAGAATTTAAACTCAGCTGTTGGTACGATAAGCATAAATTGTTACGTTGTTGTGCAAGTTAAGCATTTTTCATGATTTTGGAATGGTGCAGGTGTGATTCAGCTGTTCCATCAGGTGTCACTCTGATGCTCTTTGCCTGCATTGTGTGGTTGAAGTTGGTTTCTTATGCGCATACAAACTATGATTTGCGTGTACTTTCAAAATCACTTGACAAGGTAATCAAATTTGATATATTTAGTTGCACATTCTGGCATCATATATTAATAATCTCTTCCTTATTTAATAATAAGATTTTAGTTTAGTTAGGGTAATTCAAGTTGGTTTTCTAGGGCTTTGACATTGGACTAGAAACTTGGAATTTTGAGCATTTGCATGTTTGCCGAATATTTGGGTGTTTTTTGTTTTTAAAAATGGGACATTAGTTGTTTGATATTTTAGTTCTCTAGATTTTTAGTGATTTTCATGATGAGGAAACTTGTACTTAGGTCAGATCACAAAGATTGGTTTAATATTATGAACACTATTGTAGATTGTACAGTAAAAAATTGTAATAATCTGTCCCACTTCCCCTGCATTCCCATTTCCTTCCTGTTCAGGAAATTGAAACATAAGCATGATCACTGGATCTTGTTGTATCTTCAACCCTTCTTCTTAAACTGAGTCTAGTGGATATTATTTTCTGATGAACACACTTTTGATGTCAGTTTGAAGTATTATCCAGTTACTGGAACATGGACTACCCCTATGAAGCGAGCCTTAAGAGTTTAGCATACTTTATGGTTGCTCCTACGCTCTGTTATCAGGTATTTATGCTTACTCATATCATTTAGCAATTCAAACATCATGCGACACACTATTCTACTGTCAATTGATGAGCTAATATATTCGTAAATATTTCTGTAAATGTGGTAAACGCTTGGTTTAATTGTGAGGCATTCCCAATCTTTACTAACGATACTTATTAAAGCCTCGACATTCAGCTTAACCAGTTAAGACTATCTACTCTGATCTGGGCATGTGTCTTCTAAATGAGTTTGTATGAAGATGAAGGCATAATTTAGGAAAACCCAAGCAAAATGCAAAGGGCTTATTTGTTTGGGAAAAATGAAAGGAGTGAAATTTTCGCTTATACTTTTAGTACATACTAAAATGCTAATTTCTTGTTGCTGTTTGAATATGATGGTGCATATTCATCAGCATCGATGAGGATGGTATTCAAATTTCAGAGTATAGAACCCTTTGTAAATTCCTGGTTTTTGCAAAGTGAAGCTGTTGAGGATTTTTTAGTCTATTGACAGAGTAGGATCAGTTGTCTGTTATTTGAGCTAGAGAGGTACTTCAGAAGATGTTCCCATTTATGCATTACTCTTTATTGTTTGAGAATGGTTTGAATTACTTTATACACCAAGTTGATTTTGCTGCTTATAGCCAAGCTACCCTCGTACGTCATGCATTCGGAAGGGTTGGGTGGCACGTCAACTCATTAAGCTGGTGATATTTACGGGATTAATGGGCTTTATAATAGAGCAGGCAAGCTCCTATTTCTTTCCTCATGTCATGGTTTTATTTGTCTTCTGAAGAGCATCACTTGATATATTTTACTTTCCCTGCAGTATATAAATCCAATTGTGAAGAATTCTCAACATCCTTTGAAAGGAAACCTGTTATATGCTATTGAGAGGGTTCTGAAGCTTTCGGTTCCAAATCTATATGTGTGGCTATGCATGTTCTATAGTTTCTTCCATCTTTGGTATGCTCTTCCTCCTTCCTCCTTCCCCCTGCTCCCCCCCCCCCCCCCAACCACTTCTATTGAATTTTTTCTGTCCCACAGCTTTGTAAACTTTTCATAAAGCATTCCTAAATCTTAGCATTTAATTGAAAAGCCCTTCACTCCATATGAGTAAGTGCTACTTGATCAGTCTTGAGTCACTGACTTCTTTTCATGTACTTCATAAGGCTTTTTGAATTGGATATGCTTAGAAGTTGTTCTCTAACTTCTGTTTCTCTGTGGATATACTTCTCCAGTTGTCTCAATGGTAAAGTTCTGTTGGATGTTGACATAATACTATATAAGTCATCATACCTTTATACCATATAAAGTTTTGGAACTGATACGCAGAAATCCATCTTGGAATGAAATTGGTGGAAAGATAGTACTCCCTCCATTCGCCAAAATTATGTAATTTACAAAGAAAGTGACATAATTTTGGCGAACTACGGGAGTATTACTTAGAATGCAGATTTCATGAGGTTGCCCTTCAGTATTTAAATAGGAACCCCTTAAACATATATATATTAATATATTAGTGCTACTGCTAGTGAGATTACCGGTAATATTTATTAATATATTAGTGCTACTAATTTTCTTGGTTGCCTTGTCTGGCTGGACTCTTTCCTGAATACGACCATCTTGTTGGGATATAGGCTAAATATACTTGCTGAGATTCTGCGCTTTGGCGATCGTGAATTCTATAAGGATTGGTGGAATGCGAGGACAGTTGAGGAGGTACAGTATAACTATGATCTGAGATTGTTTCTTCCTTCCTATTTCTTTTTTCCTTTCACTGAACTTTTCCGCCTGCTGATTAATTTTCTCTCCTTTTGTAATATGTTACTGGAATTACTGCTATTGCTGCGATCAGTATTGGAGAATGTGGAACATGGTAAGTTGAATTATTCGGAGTTTAAAATTTATTATTAAAATGGGAGAAGAAACAGTTGTATTAAATTTGTTGTATTTATTCTTAGTTGTAAAATTATGTGTTAATGCTTGGCTGTAATTTAGATCCCCAGTATCTGTCTCATTGAATATACAGGATGTTCATAGAAAGTGAAAAAGGTAAAAAGGCAGGAACAACTGTAAAATGTAGATAAGGAAATGCAGACTGTGTTTTACAGATTTTTTTTGTCTCATATGATTGTGTGTCCTATCGTTTCCTGCACTCGTTACCATTCACTATATATTGATAATTTTCATATTGTGCAGCCTGTCCACAAATGGATGGTTCGACATATATACATTCCATGCTTACGGAATGGGATTCCAAAGGTACTTTCACTTTTTTTCTTCCATTTTATTTTCAAAGATCTCTGCTTATATGCATACGTGTACATCAACAAAGCGATGTCCATGGCATGTTCCAGCTGTCTCTTGACATTTAATTTAGGCAAGAAATCTTTTTTCCCAAGATGCTGCTTCATTAATTGTTACAGCTCAAGAGCAATAAAAGGTTTATTTTTTAGTTCTGTTTCCTGATTGACCTCGTGGGTATCGTTTTCAGCTAGCTGAGGCTGCTTCTGTGCTTTTCCACTTAGATCTCAGCTCTTTCTTTATTGAGTTTAAATAGGAGTTTCACCAACTTGATTGGCAAGTGCCTTGCATCTTAAAATAGTTGTTTTTAAGTTTGGATTTGCTTTTATTTGATATCGCTTGACATTACTTGAAACTTTAATGTGCTTGCTCTAACATAACAGCAATAAAACTTTCACATGCTTTATACCTGTCATGAACTTGCTTAGGAAAACTAAAGCTTGACTCGATCAAGTTACAAATTATTGGCATTTTAGTCCCTAACTTTGCCTTTTTATACTCGAGGATAAATTCAAATTGCACCTTTCTTTTATTAAAAAGGTGGTTGTTGAAATTGCTCCTTTTTTCTATATCGCCATTATAGGAATGTGTTTTCATTGCATGATGCATTTACCATATGTTGCCTTGAGATAACTGAGCACAGCCAAAGGGGCTGAAGAATGCCATCTCTTAATTTGAGAAAGTTTGGATTTTGGCAAGTACTTCATAAATTCGATTACAATTTACATATGTGATAAACTGATTTAAAATCTCGACCTTTAAGTAATCGACGAGCAGTAGTACTTTGGACACAGCTTATATAGTTTTTCGGTTTTGCAATTTATGCAGGGAGTTGCACTTGTGATCGCCTTCTTTGTGTCAGCCATTTTTCATGAGGTATATTATCATCTCTTCTTTTGGTTCTCTGTTAACGAAAAGATATTCTTGGTTTTGTTCTTACATCACACCTATGTGTGTTTGTTTGGGGGATTTTAACTCAAATCCACTATTCATCCAATTTTTTCCCCCCAAAAATATCAAATCAAACACCTATTTTTAAATTTTTATATTATACTAAAAATCAATTTCACATTCAAAACATCACATCAACGCCTATTTGTATCACATCATACCACAATTCCAATTCAAATTTTTTATTATTCAAATCTAAACTCCACAAACACACCCGTACTGTAACAAAATTGATTCCCTCATTGTTTTTGCTTCCTTTTCCATGATCGATGTTTCCTCTATAACATCCATCTGAACTGAAGTATATACGATTTTGTGTTATGTTTGTCAAACAGCTTTGCATTGCTGTCCCTTGCCATTTATTCACGTTTTGGGCTTGCTTCGGCATTATGTTTCAGGTAGATCACTTTCTTGGTATATTTTCACTCTCGTACTCTTTCACATTAACCCAATATTGATACAATTTTATGTTCGCCCTCCGTGCTTGGTTTACCAACAGGTCCCTCTAGTAATAGTGACGAATTACTTACAAAACAAATTCAAGAATTCAACGGTAAGTTCTGGCTAAAAGCTTCTCTGTAAATAATAAATCCAAGCGCGATTTTGTCGCGACTCTTGATCATATATCACAAGACTATTCAACTATTCTGACCATGAGAGGTGCTGCAGGTGGGGAATATGATGTTCTGGTGTTTCTTTTGTATCGTCGGGCAACCAATGTGTGTGCTGCTATACTACCATGACATGATGAATCGGAAAGCAAGCGAAAGGTAACCGATTGCTTGCCCGTGAATAGGCGGAGGTCGACGTCGACGGTCCAAACCGAGTCTATTTGTATTTGTTGTAATACCTTGAAAGTGATGGACTCTCTTCTTTTTCTGCTGCTTCTGAATACCCAAACTATGCTTCATCGTCCTCCTATGTTTAAACTATACTCTGTTTAGCTAATTTATCGCCTCCAAAATGTCGGTTACATTCTTACAATAGATTTTTGGGAATTTTAAAGTTTGAAAAATTTGAAAATAGCGAAGAGTTAGTATTTAAATTGAATGAGTGACTAGCATGATCTATATACTTTTTAATCTACTTTCTTTAACACCACTACTTTACTCATTAATTTATTAAAAGTTTCTTTTTTTTTTTTTCACTTTATTAATTTATAAGTTTACTTGTAAAAATATTTTTCATTTTATCAAACTCAAATGAACATAGATTTATGTATGGATTGGAGAGGAAGTTAAAAAATTGGAGTGAACGTAGAAATGAAATAAATTGGATAGAAAAAATCAATTTTGGTTTCAAGAATGTCAACGGTGATCTGATGCGTCCGGAGTTTGAAAACCTATGTTCTCATGAACACAAAGTCTAACTCCTACATCACTACCCGACCATCCCTTACTATATTATAATACATTGCTGACTTGATTGGATTAACATATTTATACATATTTCAGCATATTTATCACATATCTAGCGTCTACACTTAGCCGACGCCTGGGTTGAGGCCAAACCAACCGTCCACGTGCGCAACATGCTGGAGATATACCATACAATATGAAAGAAATATGCGAAACACTTACCAGTTAACACATATATTGTTGATTAGTCGTACAAGACAGGGTCTCGCACACATAAGACGAACTATGATCGAAAATTCATGACAATACTCCATCACTTTAAGTTGCAAACAAGATTGTGTGACACCACGTTATTCCTTGCACTTTCAATGTGCCTCCAAGGGACTACTTCTTTTTCTTATTTTTTTTTAATTTTTTTTATGTAAAAATTCGCAGTCGCTATTAAAAATAAAATTAAAATTTTCTTTAAAATTTTAAATATTAGGTGTTGTTTAAAAGCCCATTGGGCCTAATTGGGCTCAATTCCAGGCCCGGCCGAAGCTATTATAGAAAACTCTCGTCGACCACGGTCGCCCCTCATTCGGGAGATTCAAAGCTTCACAGGGAAAAGAAATTTGAGGGTTTCTAGTCCGGATTCTCGGCTAACCTCTGTGGACGCGCCCTCGAGTGATATCTCCGCGCTGCCTATCTGCGTTTTCCTCGGATTTCTTTGTCTGTTTTCGTCTTGCGATGCCTCAGGGTGGATATGAATAAGGTCAGTGTAGCTGAATGCGGGCATTTGTTTCAACTGCGTCTGCATCTCGCTTTATTCGATATGATATTTTAACTGTCGGAATGCTGGAATTGTAGTTGATAGCACGGTTTTGCGGTATGAGTTTGTGGGGTTTTGGAGCCTTGTTTTTTCTTTTTTGTTTTTTTTTCCTAGGGTTTTATTTGGTCTTTTGCAATTTCTATGCGATGTGTTTCGTTGTGGCTCCCGTTCGGTACTTACGTGCTGTTAATTCGTCGTGTTTTTTGTGGTTCATTACTTTTATGTCGTTCGGTTCCGCAATTTATTCTGTTCGGCTCTGTTTAGTCAGAGTCTTGGAGATTTGGTAAAATTTTAGAGTGATAAAAAGTTAGTATTAGAAATGATCGTTTTGTGAGAAAAAAAAAGTCTCTGATAGTCATATTTTTTAGAAACTGCAGATGAATAGTTAAAAATTCCAAAGTGTGTGTAAACAAAGTTGAAGCTTCTGGTCAAAGTCATCAGCGCATTGAACTATGAGCATTGGTTAGATCTTGCATTCCCTGTTGTATGTGGAGTCACTCCTTGGAGTTCCGTGTTTATTTATATTTAAATGGAACATGTATTGGTCTTACTTTTGTCGTTAAGAAATCTTCTTATGAGATTACATTTGGACTCATGGTTCCATAAATGTGTATTGTAATCATTTTTGTCATGGCGACACCATGGTGTCCTGGTGCCTTTTTCGGGGGCGCCGCAACTCTTCGCCTCGCCTTATTAAGAAAGGCTGTTTGGAGATGCTTTAGCAACACCGTGGTGACGCCTCAACGACGCCAGGGTGATGCCATGGCACTGGGAAGGCTAGCCCAGAGCCTTGTATAGCCCAACCCAACCCCAAAACAGCATCGACATCAACCTTGAAACCAAACCCTTGACTTGTCATCCTCTCTCTCCCCTGCTCTCTTCTGGTCTAGTCGCTAATAACCGCATAATCCCATCATGGTAGTGCTATTATCTATTTATTTATACTATTAGTATTAGTATCTAGTGTATTACATTATTAGTTATTTTAATTTGTTAACTATTTTGTATTTTCTTGGTACGTTATTATAAAATTAATAATTGTAAGCATTAATTTCTTATAACATATAATATATACTCCCTCCGTTCCAGAAGAAATGTCTGGTTGGGATTTGGCACGGGAATTAAGGAATAATAGTATTTAATTGGAAGTGGGTATAAAGTAGGATGTAAAAGACTATAATGCCCTTGATTTTTGAAGGATTGTAAAAAATAGATTAGAGTAATAATTAGGGGTAGTTTGGAAAAGTAGGAATAATTTTGTTATAAAGCGAGGACTACAATTACTAAATAAGAAAACAAGACAATTGTTTTGGGACGGACGAAAATGGAAAAACAAGACAACTCTTTTGGGACGGAGGGAGTATAAGTTTTTATACGTGTGCGCCGTGCTCGCCATTTTATCGCCATGGTGGTATGGCGGTTCACAGGCGCCGCGCTGTAAAAGGGCGCCATGACAACCTTGATTGTAATCAACCTTCTGTACATTTTTTATGGACTAAGGTTTACTCCTGCTATCTGTTTTCATGTTCAAATTCCCCAACACGCATTGATGCAATTTTGACTAAATTTACATGGTTTATTGTATTGCCATTCTATTCATCTTGATTAGGGCATGTATTATCTACTGAGTTATTATTTTGACAATGCTACGATGCATTATATGTTCCTTTCCCATTTTCCCTATCAACAGTTAAATTGCCTTTCAGGTGTACAAGTTGTAGTTGAAGAATCGGTTGGTGTTGGTTTTCTGTCTCTTGTTACTTGGGCTATACCCTGTTGAGAAGTCATCTCAGATCTCTAGTGGTATGATTGACTATTTGTGCAAGCTCAAGTGTTCTTTCCATTAGATGACTGTGCCAGACATAGTTTCTTTGTTGTGAATGGTTGAAATTAGTTTTGGAATATATGCTATCCTTGTTTGCAATACCTTTGGGATAATGTGATTATTGATGTATTTGCAGAGATTAATCATTATGGATTTTGGTCACCTTGGAAGGAAATGCCGAGGTACCTGATTTAAGCAAAGAGAGGAATTCATTAATAAGTGTCTCTCTGAAATATCCTGATCTTCATATAGAGAATGGAGTGCAACAAAGATGAGGCCATACGGGCAAGGTCAATTGCTCAGCGCAAGATGGAAGAGAATGAGTTTGAAGCTGCTCGAAAGTTTGTTTTGAAAGCGCAAAATCTTTACCCAGGACTTGACAGTATTGGCCAGTTGCTAAGCATATGTGATGTTCAGTGTTCAGCTAAAATAAGATTAGGATCTGAAAAGGATTGGTATGGAGTCCTTCAAGTTGAGAAGTTGGCTGATGAATCGAAGATCAAGAAACAATATCGACGGTTGGCCCTCAGTCTCCATCCTGACAAGAACCGATTTCCCGGAGCCGAGGGTGCTTTTAAGTTGATTTGTGAAGCGAATTCAATGCTTTCAGATCCCTCCAAGAAATCTATATATGACAATAGAATTAGATTTTTAGTCAAATCTGGTTCTGTCAATTCAGCTTCTCAGCGTACAAACAGTGCTCAAAACAATGTTTCTGATGGTTTTAGAAATCAGAATCAAAATCAAGCTGCGGCTCAACCAGCATCCTCAGTCAAGCAGGAAATTTTCTGGACATGTTGCCCATATTGTGGTATAAAGTACCAGTACCTTAGAGAATACATAAGGAGATCTTTGCGTTGCCAAAAATGCCTGAGGATATTTATTGGTTATGAAGCAGGTGTAAAATGTGCTTCAATGGATCCTAATTTGGGTCAATCTGGTGCCTCTTCAGAAAAAGTTGCTTCAAACATGTCCAATGCCAAAACATGCATTCAAAATGACGAAGGACCTTCAGCTTCACATTTGGGGTCAGGGGGGACAACCAATCAAAAAACTGTTAAAGCAACTCCGGGTAACCGCACAGGAGGTGGTTCTGAAGGCACCCAAGCATCAAATTCTCACAAGGTGAATGTGGATATGAAGACCAAAGAAACAGATAATGCGAAATCCTGTAGGGCAAAGCAAGGTGGAGCTTCTAGTAGTGATGCGATCAAGAAGGAAAAAGCTGATGTGAAAAACAAAAGGAAGAGGAGCAGAGAGGTGGTAGAGGAGTCTAGTGAAAGTTCTGATTCTTTGAGTGAATCTGAGGTATATGCCCCCATGAAACATAAGTTTTGCGATGGTGCAATCAAGACGAGATCTAAGTCTAGTCAGGCCCAGAGCCCACGAAGATCATCACGGAAAAAGCAGCAAGTTGCCTATAACGAAATGGATGAGGATGGTCTTGCTAACCTCATGACAGCACAAGCAAGCCAGAAAAGTCAAGGAAAGGCACAAGCTGATGCATGTAAGAAGCATGACATTCAAAATAGCTCCTCTAATGATGCTGAACTTGCAAAAAGCAAACAAATGGGGAATGTTCATTCTAAAGAAAGCTCACAGAAGAGGGATGCTGATTGTGTTAAAGAATGCAAAGCAAATGAAGAACCAAATGTTAAATCTGAGACTGCTGCCCATACATTAGAAGCCAATACTGATTTTGACAAAGATTCATCTCCTCGTAACGATATGGATGCAGTGTCCTATTGTCCTGATCCAGAATTCAGTGATTTTGATAAGGTTCGAGATGAAAAACATTTCTCTGCAAATCAATTCTGGGCTTGTTACGATACGCTGGATGGCATGCCCAGATTCTATGCCAAGGTGAAGAAAGTGTGCAAGAATCCATTTTGTTTGACCATCACTTGGTTAGAAGCTGTTCCTATTCATAAGGCTTTTGTGGATTGGGTGGTTAATGAGTTGCCTGCTAGTTGTGGCACTTTTAAGTTTGGGGAGACTGAGTCTACATCAGCACGCTTGTCATTCTCCCATCAAGTGCGTTGTGAGAAGGGCCTGAGAAAAGGATCTTATGTGATTTACCCAAGAGAGGGTGAAGTGTGGGCTATGTTCAAGGACTGGAACATAAACTGGAGTTCTGATCCCGACAATCATAAGGAGGAGTTCAAATATGAAGTTGTGGAGGTCATTTCTAATTTTGTTGAAGGAGAGGGCATAAAAGTTTGTTACTTGGATAAAGTTGACGGATTTGTAAGCCTTTTTGACCGGGGCGGGCAAAGCGAGGACAATTCAGTTGTGATAGGGCCTGATGAACTATACAAGTTTTCCCATCCAATTCCCTGTTCCAAAATGACTGGTACTGAAAGAGAAGGGGTGCCCATTGGCTCGTTTGAACTCGATCCTGCCGCATTGCCCATGAAACCTGAGGACTTATTCTATCTGAGCAAAGTGAAGGTGGAACAGATAAATGCATCTTCTGGACCAAATTTAGCTATGAAAAATGGCAAGTCTCTGCATTCTGCAGGTAAACATACTCCTAAGAAGATTGTGGATGCAAAAGAGGTGTAGTATTTCTTGTGGGGCTGCAAGTAGTGGTAGGTGCAAGTCATCGGTAATTTTGGAGTGCAGGAGAATGGAAGCCGCCATCCGACTGGCAGGGAATCATGTTCTTTTCCTAACAAAGAGACATACACTCACTCGACTCCACTGTAAAGCTCCCTCCTAGGATAGGGAATTGCAGCTGTATTTTTTGTGGGATGATCGAGTGTGGAAGATTCTGCTGCATCCGTGGTGGTGTTTCAGTAGCCTGATGGTGATGATGGCTGAATCTAAGTGTGTGTGCATGAGGATGAGGATGAGAAGGAATGAAACGCTTTCTGCAGTGAGAATCGAATATGTAATTTATGACAATTGACAGCAGCAGCCAAGTGTAAGTGTAGATTATTTAGAATGGAGGAGAGTTGGTTTGGATGTTTCATAGTATGGATTGAGCTTCTGGAATTGATTGTAGACTGTAGTTGCTGCTCAGCAGCCCATTTCATCCTATCCCTATCCCTACCCCTTGCCTTTGTTTTTTCTTTTTTATATTTTCGCCTGCTTGATTACTTCCGTCGACATAAATACTGCAATTGCCATTCCTTTACTATCTACTACCAATATGATCATAACGACTAGTAACAAAATTGTGACAGAGACTGTGTTACCAAAATGTATGTATAGTTGGAGTTTTTTTTTTTTTATATATTTTTAGATTTTGTTTGAATAGTAATTTACATATAATGTTATTGTGTGAAAAACTAGTTGGAATGTTCTTTTAATCAATTTTTTCTAAATTTTACGATCTTTGTTTTTCGAAAAAGATATTCAAAATATTTCGTTCAACCAAAAGAAACGCAACCACTGTATTTGAAGAAAATCTGTAATATAAAAAGAAAATACAGATTGGATTTTTAGCACATGTGCTGAACACTTACATATTAATTCATATAATTATATTATTTAATAAATTAAATTATGTAATTAAATGTTTAAGTACTTGATTGTTTGGAAAATATGGAAATTTCGGAAGTGTCGGAAATTTGGGAAAAATTTTAATTAATAAAGAAATATATAATTTAGGAGTAATATTTTGAAGTGAAAATTATAGAGTACTATATAACTAGGTTATTTCTGATTTTAGTTTACCAAACGGGGAATATTTCGATTCGAAACGCATCCGCCTCTTCCCTGGTTTCTTTCCTCTTTTCTTTCTTGTCTTTCCCTTCTCTGCCCGCCCTCGTCGTCGTCTTCTTCTAGGACATCATCGGAGGCGAAGTTCAATTCTTCGGACCAGCTTGGCCATCGTCGTCATCGTCCTGCCCCTAAATTATCAAGCGGGAATAATAGACGCGAGAACGTTCAATACAAATCAGGGTTGCTGTTGGTGCTGCGGAATCAATTGCTAGCTCGTTCCTGGTTCGAACGCGGGAGTCTCAACTGAATTTTCGTCGCCATCGCTCAGCCCTTTGGTTCTTCATTGCTGAAACGAGAGGTACTGAAAATGAACTTTTTCATTTTTCGAATGCGGGTTGTCGTTGTGGCATGTTTGTGCAATCATTCTCTGGGTTTGAGCTCGTTCCATGAAAGGCTTTTCTGCGACCATAGTTTGAAGGATTAATTCTAAGTAGGCGACAAAGTGTGCTGGTGAGAAGTTAAATTGCACGCTAGGTGTTCGATTTAATGCCTAAGCTGATTTGGGGGTAACTGTTTTAAGTGAGCACGATCTGTTCGACTAAATGCATGGAGCAAATACGCAAAAATTCCCAATTTTATATGTGCTCTACTGATTTTGAGCTCTAAATATATTGTTTGGTATGAGTTCAACTAACTAGACTAGGACTTCACAAAAGCATAAATCATACTATTATTCAGTGTTAGACTTACTTTTGTTGTATTTCCCTATTTCTTGAATTGATGCATCTGTGAAATGATTTTGATGCAGGCGCCTCATTTAGGTTGTGCTATCATGTTGAGATCTTCATGTCGCAAGCTATTCGCTAGCACTCGTATCGGTGGAATTGGTGAAATCAAGCTTTCATCAATGGCAGATATGCCACGATGTTTTCACAGCGGCCAGGTGAGATTATAATTTGTTCCAGTCAAGTTTCTTAGAGATAACTCTTCATCTTAATTTTCTTGTGCTAAGTATTTTCAGAATGCATTACAAAGAATGCAGGGGTCCTGTAAAGTTATGTTGTGTGCTGCCAATACGATCTTCAAGTCCTAATTTTTTTCATTTAACATCAACATAATTACATCATTGACGCCCCTGTATGATTACAGCCCTCTTTCGCACCAAGAAGCTTTTTTGGCGTAGAAGATTATCTGGACGACGACAACAGCCGGCCATACACTTACCAAAAGGAGAAGAAGTCAAAGAATCAACACAAGCATATATCCTTCAAGCAACGCACCGTTGCTTTCATGGAGCCATTTACTCTGGACGTGTACATTTCAAAGCGTTTCGTCACTGCTTCAATCACTCACAGGGTAACTTGCAAGCAGGTTGCGGTCGCTGGGACGAACTCTAAAGACATCAAGGCCGCCCTCAAGTCCCGCGCAGATATTCCAGCCTGCCTCTCTGTTGGTCGCATATTGGCCGATCGCGCCAGGGAAGCCGATGTCTACACAGCCTCTTACACTCCAAGGGAGAGGGACAAGTTTGAAGGAAAGATCAGAGCAGTTGTGCAGTCCCTCATTGATAATGGTATTGATGTTAAGGTTTATCTTGATTGAGCCTATACTGTCTGCCATCCATGGATATTTAACATTAAGGAAAGGGGAGTTTGAAGAATTCTTTATGAAGAATTATTTACAGTATAAAACTTTTGACCTTTTTTTTTTTTTGCTGTTGACATATTGATTCTATTCAGCTGAACTGAGCCCATAGCAGATAGACGATTGATAGATATGGGCTGTGTCCAAATGAATAAAGAAATGGAAATCCAAATGTACAAAAAAGATTCAATAACTGAAGAAGAGTAATAGTAGTAGTAGAAGTAGTACTGAATGAGTCAGTAGCAGTCGCCGACGCTATAAAGAAGAGTACAAAAGGAAGGCAGGGGAGGCTCCATTACCATTACCATCACATCACATGGTCGTCCTTGGAGTCCCCACTCAAACCCCAAACCCCAATTCAATTCTCTCACTCGCCTCTCTTCTTCCGATTCAGATCGAAATCATACCACAACGGGAACCCTAGCCCCATGGACGGGGACAGCAACTATTACGGCGCCGACAATAATGGTACGGCGCGCTCAAACCCTAGCGGAATGCAAGATCTGAGGTGCTACAGCGCCTCCTACGCCACTTCCTCGGCGGCGCAGAACGGCGCGGTGCAGCTGGACATCGTGGTGGCTGGGGGAGGAGGAGAGCAGTGGAAGTTTAAGAAGGGGAAGTCGACCAACGGCGTGGTGTCGAAAAGCTGGAGCTTCAACGACCCGGAGCTGCAGAGGAGGAAGAGAGTGGCGAGCTACAAGGCGTACACTGTGGAGGGGAAAGTGAAAGGCTCCATTAAGAAGAGCTTTAGGTGGATTAAGGAGAGGTACACTCAGATGGTGTACGGTTACAGGTGAGTCACCATCCTCCTCCATCATTCATACATATATATCTATATATGACGTAAATGTACGTCTGTTGGATGTGTACTCACTCCCCCTACCCTATCTATGTATTCCTCTCTGCCTGCTTTTTGTTTTGTTGCTGAGTGATCTGATCTATTCTCTACTTTTGATTGTAAATGCGAATGAGTGAGTGAGTGAGTGAGTGCACGTGTGTGTTTCTGTTGTGGTAATCATACAATTTGTGGGTTTTTATCAATCCATGAACGCGTCTTGTAAAGTGCACAAAAAACATGAATTGAATCGAATGATGAATTTGTTTGTAGTGATGCTATCTGGATTGCATTTGCATCATTGAATCTTGACAATCAATCCCGTTTGGCCCATAATTCTTTAGATCTTTATTTAGGAATGCTCGAATTGTAGATGCCTGTCTGTCTGTGCTTTTGAATTCTGGGGTTGGCATTGCAATCCATTCCATAAGGATTTACCTTCAGGCATAGATAGATAGAGGTTTCATAGTTCTTGACTGTTTTGTTACTTTGATCTAAAGGTTTCTGGTTGAATGCTCTCTGTGTTCAGTATTATTTATTCAATTCAGCTACTGTAAGATCAAATTAAAGAAGCCTTTCTTAATTAAGAAAGATGACTAAATCAAAGATGGGTAGCGTATGCGTATCCCCACCTGCATTTAATTCTCATTAATGGCAGGACTTTCCGGTCAAATTTGGCTGTGCAAAATCGGACCTTTGGTCCTTCCTATCCACAGTGCCATCAATTAAGTGACCACGACCCAGTCAAAATGGACCCGTCAACAAAAGAATTTCTTGGTCCCCAAATATAAAGAAAGAAAATATTGCCATTGCCTTGCCTTGCATTGCAATGCGTAAATTTATTTATTGAAATCCCAAGTAGTACATATCATCATTTCTAGGCTACAACAATGAACAAAATCTAAATCATGATAGTGATAATCAAACAACAATGGAATGAATAAACCTAATGGAATGGAATGGAATGATCTTTAATTTGTTAAAAGCCAAAACTTGAAAAAGGATTTGGCGAGCAAATGAGCCATTTACAACCTTTGAATTTGAATGAAAGAAATAAAGGTCGCGGCGCCATAGCCGCACCTTACTTCCCCGTTGCAGAAATGGGAGTCCTGGGACTGGGAAGTCCCATGTGCGCCACTCTCGGCGAGAGTCGAACCTTCGGGCTCGGCCGAGGTGACGGAATCGGACCGTAGGCGCCAGGGAATGCATTAGCCGGGCGCGGCGAAAGGTTGACTTGCTCGAGTGCCCGGAATTGTAGCTCGGCAGGGTACTCGCGGACGCACCCGATCCTCGGTCCGAGACCTGTGCACCATTTCGAAGACATGTGCTTGGCCAAGCTGTATAATGGCTTATCTTGGTGATCGCAGAATTCGACCTCGGGCTCGTTGGATTGAACCGGCGCGGTTGATTCCGTGTCTTTGGGTTCGTTGAGAGTGTTCGATGATCCGTGTCGCGGAATTGAATCTTCTGAGGAGTCCTTAGAGGGAGGACGGTCGTCGTCGGTTGCGCATCTCTGGATAACATAGGATGAATCGAACATTTTTTCAAATTTCGATCATGGAAATTTGTCGAATTCAATACATGTGAGAGGTGATTAACTTACCTTGACGTTGGAAAGATCGACCGAATGCTCCTCGAGAAAGGTTATGAATTCCTGGAAGTTTTCTTCTGTCGGGAGGTAATGACCGCTGTACGGCCAAATCGCCTGATCGAACGCGTAACATTTGTAAGAAACGGGCAATAGATCAACAGAGCAGGCAATGCAACATATATAATGTAATAATGCCGACAGATGGAAAAGGTTTGATCATATACCTCAAGAACGCCTCCGCGCGCAACCATTCTTCCGGCAGCTGTGATGGCGCCTCCGGCGAGGAAGCTCGAATGCTGGAAGAGGCCCTTCTTCTTCTGGCCGACGTACAATGTCCTGCTCGTGCTGAGAACGAATATCCATTTCGACCCTTCGATAGTGTTCACAAAGGAACCATTTTGTTTGTACATGAGCTTCCCGTTTTCTACTACCACCTCGTACACTTCCCGCTCTTTCTGCTCGGCAACAATGGAAGAAGAAGAAGGTCAGCTCATCATCATCATTATCATCATCCTTATGACACCTTCTTGGATTTAAACGAATGTCAAGGCTGGAGTAATTAACTTACAGGTCCTAAGTATTTGATGCATTGCTTATGTAAATTGGCTCTGGGACATTTGTCGAGGTTCACTTCCTTTCCATCTCCGACATCCAACCTTAAACATCGTAAGCAATAATAACCTGAGTCAGTCGAAATTGATGAAACGCAAAGGCGAAGACAAGATGGAGAAGCTTGTAACTCACCAGTAGAAGAAGGGTTGCGCGCTTTCACTCTTGAACCAGACATCGTAATAGAGATGCAAATTGTGGCCGTACCGATGGCGCGGATCGATCTGCAGAGGAATTGATCGTGAACTAATGCTACAAGAAATCGGACATGAGTCAACGACGATTATTGAAATTTGTAGCGAAGAGACTTACAGCTTCAAGCCAATGCTGCAAAGCCAATTTCTGAGCCTTCTCGTCTTTCGACAGACCCTTTCCGACCTGCAAAACATTCGGAAACCATAAGAAAAAATGTCGATTGAATCATCGAATGTAAGTAATACTACTAGAATTTAATTAATTAATTAATTAATTGTCTAACCTTGGCTGCCCTGGTTCGGGCTCTGGCCCAGCGGGAAATGGCGGTCTCGGGCTTCTCGACATTGAAGAAGGAGACGGAGCTGCGCTTGAGGGCGGCGAAGTCGAGGGCCTTCCACCAGAGCTCCTCGACGACGACGGCGCAGTCGGCGAGGTTCCGTCTGGTGCGGTAACTCTTGTAGACCTTCTGAAGCTTGACTGCGGCGGCGTCGAGCTCGCTGACGGGTCGGGGGGAGAACATGAAGGCCGGGTCGGGTAGGGCCGGGGCGGAGATGGGGCGGGTGGTGGGTGATTGTGCGACTGTGATGTCCTGGACCTGGACGAGATCCTTGAAGGAGAGGGAGGTCTCGAGGACGAGTCGGACCGGCTCGCAGTGCCTCAGCTTGATGGAGTTCTTCCGCTTCATCTTGTTCAGATTGTCTTTGGTGATGGTCATTGCCTGCTGATTCTGGGATCCCAATTGGAATTGGAATTGGAATCCGAATCCGAATCCGAGACGGTGGTGGGTGATTTCTTGCCAAGCTGAGGACAGCAACGATAGGGATAATCCCATATATAGGTTATCCGATCCCCTACTTTTTCACCTGCACCAAATTGGATTTTATAATCTTCGACTGGTTGGAATGAACAAAGAAGTCGAATCGAGTGATGGTGTGATCGAGGTCGGAGACCTCAGCCCAAATCAAGATCTTTGTTTCCTGGTATGTATGTATCTAGGAATTGATTGTTGTTTGAGATCAGAAGAAGATGAAGAAGAAGAAGGAGGAGGGGTTTTAAATACGATGAAGGGTGTCCCCTCTCTGGATATATATATGAGATGAGATGAGTATTTACAAGTAAAGGGGTGTGTCGTGTGAGATGAATGGAGATAAAAACACGTGTAAAGGTCGAGAAAGGGAGTGTGGTTTGAACTTTGAACAGACCCTCCCTCCCTCCCTCCTATGAAATCAAATCAAATGATGTCCTCTCTCTCTCTCTCTCTCTCTCTCTCAGCTTCCGTACCAAAATTTTGACAGACAGTGAGAAATTCCCTAATAGTTTCCTGAAAATGGGAATGCAGAAATTATGGTGGGTGGGTGGTGGGTGGTTCGGATTCAAAGATTTCTACCCACGAGCTATATCTTTGATGAATTATTCAAAGCTTGCTTGATCTTTTTGAAACCACAACACACACACACACTTTCTTTCTTTGGAAACAACAACAACAAAATAATAGTAATAATAAGGAGGCTAAACTACGAAAAGGGTTGTTAACCCAGCACACAATCAGATAAAGAATAAGAAGAAGAAGAATATATGGTGTGAAAAAATAGAATTCAACCAAACCTACAGAGATAAATCTTTTATAAGAGAGGCTGGTCAAAGAAAGTAAGCCCCATAGGCATAGACGCTGCTTCCAAGAACAACCAACAACAAACACCAGCGTACCATTAACAATTTAACCTTACCATTACCATAGAGACTAGAGAGAGAGGGAGGGGGGGGGGGGGGGGGAACCCTACACCTACTCGTTTTTTAATAGTATAAATTTATTACAGTTGCCTTATACAGCCCTGAAATAGTATTATACTACAATATACAGTATTGTTTGAAGGTCAACCGCCAAAACAGTCAGTCCAGTTGGCCAGTTGTGTACGTCGTGTCACTGACAAGAAACACACGCATTTACGCGCCAGCCCGGCCCGGTTCGACCCGACCGGTCTTGTTGCTCGTGCGGCGGGTTGCGAGTCGAGTCGTGTCGTGTCGTTCCATTGACTGACTCGACTCGCTGACTCGCTGACTTTCTTATCCACACCTACACCTACACCTACAATGTTCATTTATTACTGCCATTCCTTTCCCTTCTTCGCGCGTTTTTAATCTTTGACTTGTTTTTATTTAATAATTTTTTATTATTATAGAATTAACATCCAATGCATATACCCTAATTTTATATTGAATCGATTTTATTATGTTATGTATACATTACTTTTGATTATATATGTATATATGTCAGTCTTACTAGAAAAATTAATCGCTCGATCAATAAGGTTATTACTTTCACGGTAATTAATTATGATTTTTGTAACATTATTAAAAATTAGTAATTTGTTTGATGACAGCAACATTTATTTATTATTAAAAAAAAAAAGAAAAATTTGGATCAGGTGTCTACGTCGCGACAGCTTCGGCCAGGCCTACGTATACAGACACGGGCGGAAATTAATTAATTGTCATAAATCATAATAATACCAAAATTAGATTAAATCGCAATATTATCATTCAAATAATTATGCATTTGATTTGGAGATAAAAATACATTGAAAATATTATTAAAAAAAATAACGACCTATGGCAAGGTTGCCCTAAATTTCCAAATTCCAAGCATTGAAGTGAGAGAGGACAGCACAGCCCATATTCGAGATATTATCAAAAAGTGTAAAATTCAATACATTACTTTTCTATTATTATTATTTTTTTTATTTTAATATTCAAATTTTTCAAAAGGTAGGTCATATATTTTCCTTTTGACTTTCGTATGTATTTGAATCAAGCAAGCCAGTATTTATTTATTTATTTATTTATTTTTTCTCATTCATTTTAGGGTGTGGGTGGACATACATACTCTTTGACTAATGGATCGATGGTCGTCCATGTTATTAATTGCACGAATTTTTCTAGATTTTTTATATTTTTTACAATGTTTAATTTATCTGACCAGAGATATATTTATATGATTCAAAACAATTATATATAGGTGGTAGATCATTTATAAGATAAATCAAGACGAGAATAGAGATCATTTATAAGATAAATCAAGACGAGAATAGAGATCATTTAAATAAACAATCATTGTCTAATCTATCTATTGATTGCTGAATAATTTAAGCAAATCTCACTATATATGCCGACAAATAAGCATTGGAACTTAGAAACCAATTTACTAGAAATATTCAATTCATAATTGTCTTGCTAACGCATTGTCAAAATATTGGAATTAAATACTACTATTATATATATATATATATATATTTTATGAATAGAATTTTCAGAATAAAAGTTTTGCCTCGTAAATTTAGGATATGTTTTAAAATATATTTCACTTAAAGTAAAATAAAATAAACTCTATTATATATATTCTCTTCGTTCCATAAGTAAATATTCATTTGTTTTTTGCACGTAATTTTAGAAATAGTAGTATTATATTGGGATATAGAATGAATAAAGTATAATTGACTAAAATAACCTTATTATTAGTATGTGATATAAATGTAATGACATTTGTGTAATATATTGTAAGTTGTAAGAGTATTTGTAACCGTTACTAAAAAAAATGATACTTTGTTATGGGACGGACTAAAATAGAAAAATAGATACTTTGTTATGGGACGGAGGGAGTAATAGGCATATAAATACATAATAAGTGTTAAATATTTCAATTTGTACTATTCTAAATAAAAATATATTTTTTATTATAAAAAAATCATATTAAAATATTATTTAAATTAACATTAAATAAAATCCTTATTTTCATTGAAATAAAGAATTATGGGACATATACACATATACTCATATACTCCTTCGTCCCACGTAATATAGACACGTAATATAGACGCATTAATGTAGATATGAGAATTTAGATAAAGTATAACTACTAAGTAATTAAAAAGTGTATTAATAATAAAAATAATTATAGATTAAGATTAATATAACTAAATAGTTTAATTAAAATTTTAAAATTATAAAATTTAAAATGCGATTAAAATATATAATTATATTTTTAAAAAATAAAGAACAAATTATGTATTGGACGGAGTATTAATTACAATGAATATAAGCAGCGGAGTAAGGAGAAGGGAAGAGTGGAGCATTTATTGTCGATACCGAAAGGAGTACCAAACTATTATCTTAATTAATGCAATTAAATTATACTCCGTACACATCAATTGAACATTAATTAAATTAAAAGCATAATAAATACATACATAATATATATATATATATATCCGATCAATCGAAATAATTGAATCAAGACTTTGAATGCAGCAGCCTCGATCCATCAAAAGTCTTCCCTTTCATTTTCTTTTGTTTATTGCGATGCTAATAATAAGGTGCATGTGTTATTTTGATATTAATTAATTTTTAGGTTTGTATTTATTTTGATATTTTTTATTAAAATAACTATTGGATAAAAAAAAAGAGAATAAACCCATTATATATACGTACATTAATATATGTTACTACTAGCATCATTATTTTTCTTTCCTTTATGAGGTTGAGGTTGGGTAATACTACTCATTCCGTTCCAGATACCGTATCTGCTACACCGTTGACACGCTATTTTAGGAGGAGTTTAATAATATAAATAATTATAAATTAAGATTAAGATAACTAATTAGTTTAATTAAAATTAAAAAACAATTAAAAATTTTAAAATGAGATTAAAGTGTGTAAACATGGACATGGTATCTGGGACGGAGGGAGTACTTGTTAGCACGGGCAAAATTAATATATTTTTTATAAAAATACATTTATAAATTTATATAAGCAGGTAATTAATTATTTAGTAATCAAATATATATATATATATATATATATATATTAAAGCAATGTAAGCACGAGCAAGTTGCTGGCCGTGCCTCTCAATTGTTTAATTAAAAAATAAAATAAAATATTACTAAGTATGCATGTAAACACACACACACATGCAAACGCGTGTGTATCTATTATAAACGTACTATATACTCACATTTTAAATTGATTAAATTAAAATACACCTTCACTTATATATATAATTAATTAATTACAAATCACTCCCTCCATTAGGGAAAAATGTATTCAGTCCTTTTCTTATTGCTCTTTTTTTTTTTTGCTTCTCAATTTGATTGTTTAATTAGCTTTGCCAATTATACATAAATGTTATTAAGTTATAAAACATTCAAACAAAAAAAATATATATATATATATATTGTATAAAAAATCATAGAATAATATAAGTGAAATGGATATAATATTATAAAGAGTGTTGGATTGAATTTTAGGAATATTAATGGTGTCTTTGTTTGATTTTGTGAAAAAGGGAAGCATATTCAAAACACGATTTGCGAGGTGTTGAATTTATTTATGTTTATTAATTTAAGACAAAACACAATCTTTTACTTAATAATAAAGTTTTTATTTTAACTTGAAATTGAATATATATATATATATATATTAAATTCAGTTTGTTATGATCTATGTGCCCTCAATTAATCATGTCATGTTACACACTATTATATATATTAACTGATTTTCTTATGTTGGTTTGTCTATATTGATGTTTACATATAGTTATTTATATATATGGTGTTAAACTTAATTACATGTAGCTGTTGATTCTTGACAATTGACTGAATATATGTGATCCACTGTTTATTTTATAAATTAAGTGAACTACTATTATATACTTTAATTAAGAGAACAAGATTGAATGAATAGCTCAAAAATAACATTCAATTAAAATAATAGTGGTTAAACAAATCATGCAAATTCAATTCACACACATGTACATATATATATATATATATTTCATTCATGTTTGTTATATCAAAGATTATTTTTTTTTTGTTAAAAATAGCAAATCAATTGTATATTAAAATCTTATTTTATTATTTTTAAAATATTTGTTTAGATATATTTTTGAAGTATTTTTTTTATAAAAAGAGTTTAGAGAGTTTTTAAAAGTAAAAAATCAAATAAAACTTAAGTATTACTATAATGTGTACAGTTATAGAATGTAATATTTTAAATAAATAAATAAATAACATATTGATAGGCAATGCTAAAATAATTTGAAAAAAAAAATAAATAAATAAAAAAAATCAATATACAAATCAATAAACCAGTGTTATTAAATAAAGGCAAATGGTTTGGGGAAAACGAGTGGATTAGGAAACTGCAG